TTCTCCTTCTTCCGGAGCTTTTTCCGGTTTAGGTTTACCTATCCCTAAGTTCGGGTTAATAAACTAAGTTATATTTAGACTATCGCTCGGAGTAAGCTCGTTACTCCCGAATTAAGGTAGCTCGTTAATAAACTCTATAATAAAGGAAGCTTACGAATCCTAGATATTTAAAACTTCGATAATAGCTTCCGTTATATTATTAGTAACTTTACCCGTAAGGTCGATTCGGTCTAGCTCCTTTTAAGTAAGCTTTTCGGTTTATAACTCTTCGGATTTATCGTAAAATATTTCTTTATTAAAAACGACGTCTTTAGTTAGTATTACTTTCCTTAGTCTAGGAACCTATACTCGGTATAGGTTAAATATATAATATCTAATTAAATAACCGACGTAAGCTCTCGGTTTAACTTTAAACCTTTTTCTATCGAGATCTTAAGCGCGTTCTCTTAATAAAGGATACGCGCGATATCCGTACGTATAAATTCCGTATTAATCTAGCCTTAGGTCGCTCGTTAGCTTCCTTATAAGCGTAGGTATATACTATCTAAAGTAAACGATAAACTAGGTATTAAATAATTTATAAAGCGAGCGAAGATTATATATATAGCTCGGGCTTATATTTATTAAGTATACCGTAGCCTTTACGTATTTAGGCTATAGCTTTTTTAAAAGCCTTACTCTTATCCTTATTTTAATCGATTTAACGATAATAAATTATCTAGCTTTCTTACCCCTACTAGTTAGCTCTTTAGTATTCGCCGGTAGTAGCTTAAGATTAATGCTTTCTTCCCGAGCCTAGATTTTATATCCGGTTAGGCCTTTAATTCCGATTATTATTCGTTCGTTATCGTATCGAAGCTTATAAATCGAAAGGCGGAATTATCGTCGTATTTATCTTTTAAAGAATCGAATAATCTTCGTAATTAAGTAACCTTATTTACTTTTAAGGGTCTTTACCTAAAGCATTCCGCTATATTTATCTTTAATAACGAGTATTTATTTAAAGCCGTCGTATCTTTCCGGAAAGTTAAATAAATCCTAATATATACGTTAAAAAGGGCGTAGCGAGTAATGTAATAATAGTCGGCGTAAGATTACTCTTTTACCTATCGTAAGCCTATAATATTCGTACTTAAGCGTAGGTATACCGTTAATCTCGATATTCTAGGTATACTTTACGAGTACTTTAAGCGCCTCCGGACCTAGGTACCTAGCTCTAAGGTACTAGAGTTACTCGGAGCCTTTTCTCGGTTTTATTTAATCTCTCGATTTTCTTTATCGGGTTTCTTTTCCCTTAATCGTCGGAACCGTAACGAGCGATATTACGCTATATGATATTATTATAAGCGTACGTAACGGTATTATAAAAAGAACTTACGAATAAACGGAAAATTACTTAAATTTAAAAAACACTAGGTTATAACGACGTTCGAATTTTCTTATAATAAACCCGTTCTTAATCGATCCCCGGCGAAAAGAGTAATTAAGACTATAATATTAGATATTAATAATAAAAAGCTTTACTTCGGAAATAATATTAATATGGAAATCTTTAACGAAAATAACGTCTTTAAGCGTAAGGTCGATCGTAAGCTTACCCGACTTATCCTAAAGGTAGTTCTTAATAACGCGTATATTAATACCGGTAATGGAAAAGCTCGTAATACTAGCTTCGATAGTTTATCCGTCTTTAGCGGAAACGAAGAAACCTTCGATTAATAAATCCCGGTTATTAATAAGGTAAATAGCTCCGTAGTTATCGAAGATAGTACTCTCGAAGAGGGGGTATCGTATTAAATCTATAATAGAAAATACCCCTACGCTAAAGGTTATATAAATAATGCGTAGGTTAATTACCGTTACGTTAATATTATCGGATTACTTATTATTCTTATTACGCTTATTCCGAGGTAGGTTAATTCCGGAGGAGCTACTTTAACTAAAAGCGGTAACCTTTTATCCGTCGCTTTTAATAAAGGCTCGGAATAAGGTAAAATCGCTTAAGTTATACCGTTATTTAGTAGCTAGTTTTACGTCGTCGGGTATATATAAAATTTATCGTAGCATTTTACCGGTAATAGCGAATTAAAGGTTAACGTATACCTCCGGAGCCTAACGGTATTATTTATTATATAGATATTTATTAGCTCTAGCGTTATCGGTCGAGCTACTAGAGCTACTAGAGTTACTAGCGCTAGTCGTTCCGGCTTTATATCTTAAAGTAGCTTTTTAATACGTAGTTAAGATATAAAGGCCCGATTTACTTATTTTCTTATCCTCGGAAATAAAAGCTCCGAGTATTTTACTTAATTCTATAAGGAAAAGTAGCTATCGTTTAAGCCGGTCCGCCGTAATTAGTTTAATAGTTACGCGAGTAGCTTAATTTAAAACGATCTTAGCTTTAATAGCTTCGAGGAAGTCCTTCGTTCCGAGTACGCTTCGGATCTCGTTAATATCGTAAGTAAGAGCTTAGTAATAAGCGTTATTCTAAGTAGTAAAGAATTACTTTCCGTAAAGAATATCCGCCTTTACCTTTTATAATACCTCGCGGTACTTCTAGCGAACGAACGTTTACGTAATAATAAAAGTAGGAGCGAAGTAATCGCGAAGTAGTCTTACGGTATTCTAAACGTTCGGCTTAAGTTCCTAAGCTTTAAGTTATATACCGACGAACTCGAGATAATTAATAAAGACCGAGGATATAATCTAATAATAAAAAGCTCGGTAGCTTTTACCGGCGATAGTAACTTAAGACTCCTAAGAGCGACTTTACTCGAATAATTACTTATATTCTTCGATAAAGAGGTAGCGCGGGTTTTCGGTTAGAGCTTTCGGCTCTTCCTTACGAGTCTTAGGATCTTTCTCGACCTATTCGTAAAGAGCTTAAAGGTATTACTTCCTCGCTCGTTCCTTTTCCTAAGTAATAAATTCTTCGAACGATAGAAATATCGCCGAGCTTAGCTTATAATCGTTTACATTAGGATTAATATCCTTTTAAATATCGAACTACTCGGCGTAGTTTTAAAAAGTAATAAACCATCGTAAATATTCGTCGAAGTTACGTAGGTTAATATTAATAAGTAGCTTCTTAATAAAAAAGTTTCCGCTAGTATCCGTTATTATTATAAATATATTACTCGAAAGGAAAACGAAAGCGATATTTAAAAAAAAAACGATTAATCGAAAGATTAAAGAAATAGAAATAAATAATAAAATTACTCGGAAGCTTATATAATAAGACCTTAGTTAACTTAGTTCCTTAGAAGGGCTACCGGGCTTATAATTAATACGTAGATTAAAAGAGTTACGTAGGTACTAAGGTTATTTCTTAAGAGTAACGAAAGGTAGGAAGAAGAAGGTAAATTAATTAACTATTTAAGAAGGAAGGAGATTAATAAAGGAGATACGAGCTACCTATATATAAACGATAAGGAGCTACGAGCTATATTATATAAGCGAGCTAGGAGCTATATTAGGTAAGCGAGTAACTCGAGAAGGAGTAGGGAGCTATATATAAGTAGCTCTCTATGTAATAATATTTTTATATTTTTATATTTTTATATTTTTATATTTTTATATTTTTATATTTTTATATTTTTATATTTTTATATTTTTATATTTTTATATTTTTATATTTTTATATTTTTATATTTTTATATTTTTTTATTTTTATTTTAATATAATATATTTATATTATAATTTTATATTATATTTTAGTAGTTTAATATAAGTAAAGTAGTATCAGAAGAATCTAGTAGTAATATTTTTAAAATAAATAATAGTTATAAAAGAAAACTTAAACTTTTTTTTACAACCCTGCTTATATGTTTGTAGGGCGTGCTGGAGAAGGAGGGAGCCCTGGCGGGGGGTCACGTAGAAACGTAGATCGATGTGCGCCTACTCTAATAGTGCTAGATGGATTTAGTGAGCTTGCATACCTAAGGTAGGTACCTGTACCTTGCTTGGGGAGACATACTCTACCTGGTACCTACGTAACTCAAAAGTACCAGCAGGACCGCCATATGCAATTATGCGCCCCCGAAGGGGTGCGACTGGATGGGCCCGGATACGAACACCCACATGAACACACATATATCCACGTTAATGTCCCGTCTACGTCCGCGTATTGGCGGCAGTAAAAACTAGAGCTCTTCATTTCGGGGAACCGCTGCACGTTTGGGTTAGGGTTTGGATTGGGTCGCTCGTTCTCACACCCCTCTATATGCATAGGTACATACACGGCAGTCTTTCCCGGTGGAGCCCCACCACCTCATCACCACTTGTGTGGCTGGATTGCACATACATCCATACATTGCAGGTGCGTAGTCAGGAGGTACCTAGATCGGAACCCAGCCGGTTAACCTCCTCCGGGGTTTTCACTTAGGTGGATTCCAAGACGTAGCAGCTGACACCTCGGGATCCCCTACACCTCAGGAGGAGAAAGCTTATAACGCCTTTAGGAGCCCACATATGCTCTCTTCGATCAATGAAAGGGTTCTGAGGATAGATTAGAAATTATGTCCTGGGTACGACGTTGCAAAAGGCTCCCTACCCCAAGTTGCCCCGAGGACCCAATGACCAATGCCGATCGCATAAATACGGCAGACGTTTCCGATACGAAAGCTTAGAGACTTATGGCACGCACGCACGCACGAGTCATAAGAACGACGTATTCATAACCGACTCCTAGTCGCCCTCCTCGACACCGAAATCCGGGTCGCTTTTCGCCGGCACCCATTAACCGCGTCGTCGCTGCAGGGTTTCAGGAAGGAAACGAGCGGTCCTTGATCACCCGGGACGGCGCCAGGATACCCGTGTACTTGCAAATACCACTAGACCTATATCCGCACATGACCGACCCGAAACGCCGTTTTCCCACCAACTGCCGGGGTATGGAGTAATTACATAGTAAACCGGGGTGCATGAAAATTCAGCCTTATTCTCTAATCCTGCCACACCGACAGTATATGCATCATAGCTTGCTACGCCTCCCAACATGATCAACGCCGCTGGCTTAGGAAGCTCGCCTTCAGGGCCATGATCTGGTGGCGCTCAGCCTCGGGCAGCTGGTCGATGGTCTCCTGCGGCAAGTTCATAACCGCCTGCATCAGAGAGTCCGGATCTTGCTGCGCGGCCGGGGTAGCGGCCGTCGTGGCGGGAGGGGCCGAAGTAGACGGAGGCGCGTACGGGGCGGCGACTGGCGGCGTAACGGTGGTGGCCCCCGCGTAGTTGGTCGCGGCCTGCACCACCGGCGGAGGGGCCGCAGGATTGTCGACGACGGAATGGATCGCGTCGGGAGAGACGAGGCCCATCAGGAGCAGCGCCTGGAAGATGGCGTACGACAGCTGCGGGGCCTGCGATAGAAGCTCTGTCGCGCGAGAGGCATCGTTCGTTGCGAGCGACTTCATCTGCGAGAGAATATCGAGGAGCTGGCTCGGAGGCAGGGTGTTTAGGGTTCGCGAGATGGCATCGATGGCGCTGACCCCCGGGGGCAGCTCTTTTCCCGGCGGGAGGGGAGGGAGCGATCCTGCGGGTGCGGGCAGGGAGGTGGTGTGCGACGTTCCGTTCTGCGGCTGGCTGTTGTATGCCGAAGCATTATTGCTATTGTTGTTGCCAGAATCATCGCCGTCGACACGACCCTCAGTACTATAATCGACTCGTAGTTTGCGACCCATGATCTCGTAATCGTTTAGGTTTCGGACCGCTGACGCCGCGGAGTCTAGAGTGAGAAATTGGTAAGTACAAAAAGTCGGAGGTAGGCGAGCAGTGGAGAGACAGCAAGAGAGCCTCACCGGCGTCGGGATATTCTGCGAAGCCGAAGCCTTTCGGACGACCGGTTTCACGGTCGTAGACTAGCCGAAAGTTGATAACCTTTCCAGCCGTACTGAAAATATCGCTGATCTGCTCTTCGGACAGACCTATACAGTAGCGGCGGCGGCGGTTAGTTAGAAGGGTGCCTAGATAACCAAGGGGAGGGAAAAATGCGGGTGGTTACCATAGGGAATGTTGCCGACAAAAACAACACGAGAAGGGGGTTTTGTCGACATTGTAGTCGACTTGGAGGAGGAGTAAGTAAGTAGCAACCACAGGCCCAGAGAGTGGATCTGTTTGATGCTAGCAAGCTTCTGAGGGCCGGGAGCGTCAAGGGAAGGAGCTACGCAAGCCGGCGAGGGGAGTAGCGAGGTGAAGCAACCAGCCCGGGGGTAGCGACGACCTCTGTGATGCAGCCACCGATAGCCAGCGAGAAGCTGTTCTTACTGGGGCACGAGAACGCTAGAAAGGAAGGACGCGACGGGGGCAGGGCAAGACCAGAAGCTAGATGCGTCGCTAAGCAATGATCTAACAATTGACCGGATGAATTCCTGCGAGCAATCTCACATCATGTTAGGAACCGCTTTGTTCTGCCGTGTCGAGTTGTGGGAGAGAGTAAGTAGGTTAAGTGGGAGAAAGCTATTTTCAACGGATTTCTAGATCTGGTTGTTGACTTTTGCGACAGGCACACGGCTACCCTAGGTAGAGGTACTTGCTAGGTAGGTACCTATGTAATAGGAGGTACCTCCTAACCCAGTGTAAGCCCAGGTGTATAGTAGGCAATTGTCCAGAGCTACCTACCTACCTAGGTAAGCCGCAGCCTACTGGCATTTGAACGCCACCCATCACTGAGAAGGTACCTGAGGTTAGTCCAGCGCTGTCCGACCTTACCAGGTAGTAGGTAGGTAGGTACGCTAAAGAGGCACCTACCTGTCAAACCTGTCCAGGTACTGAGGTACCCGGTATCAAACCCGATTCACCCGTCGATAACAAAACCCCGCTTACATAAGGCACATTGTCGTCGCACATCGAGTTAAAGGTACTGCTGACACCCCGTCCCAATTGGAAAAACTCGATTTTCATTTGCTGCCATGCAGAGGCTCTTCTCTCATCCGGCCTAGGCACCTTACTTTTCGCAACCTGAACATCGCGGGACACGCCGCCGCCAGCTTCCTCTCAATCTGGTCAAGATGTCGCGGTCGCCGGTGGACGAATATGTGCAGAGGATGCGGGCAATGATGCGCCAGAACCGAGGCGGGTTTCCCGGCGGTCGTCCGCCTCCCGGCGCTATTACTGGTGTCGCCGCCATCGCCCTGTTCGGTAGTGGGCTTTTCATCCTGCAGAACTCGCTGTTCAACGTCGACGGCGGTCACAGGGCTATAAAGTACCGGAGGATTAACGGTGTGAGCAAGGAGATCTATACCGAAGGTCCGTCCGACTCGCCCAGGTTGTATTTTTCAAAGGTGTCGCTATGCTCACTTACCCACGCGCAGGAACTCATTTCATGATCCCTTGGTTCGAAACCCCGATCACCTACGATGTGCGAGCGAAGCCGCGGAACGTCTCCTCTCTTACCGGCACCAAGGACTTACAGATGGTCAACATCACCTGCCGCGTGCTATCCCGGCCCGAAATCAGCGCGCTTCCCCAGATTTACCGGACGCTAGGGCAGGATTACGATGAGCGGGTATTGCCTTCGATCGTGAACGAGGTTCTCAAGAGCGTGGTAGCTCAGTTCAACGCGAGCCAGCTGATAACCCAGCGAGAAAACGTCGCCAGATTGGTCCGCGACAACCTATCGAGGCGCGCTGCGCGATTCAACATCTTGCTAGACGATGTCTCCCTCACGGTACGCCGGGAATCCTGACAAGCTGCTGTGTTGATAGTATGCGTAATCTACTAACACTCGACCGCCAGCACCTCGCTTTCTCTCCCGAGTTTACCGCCGCGGTGGAGGCGAAGCAGGTAGCGCAGCAGGAGGCGCAAAGAGCCGCCTTCATCGTTGACAAGGCAAGGCAGGAGAAGCAAGCCATGGTGGTCAAGGCGCAGGGTGAAGCGCGATCGGCGGAACTCATCGGAGACGCGATAAAGAAGAACAAGGCCTACGTCGAGCTGAAGAAGATCGAGAACGCGAGAGTCATCGCCACGCAGCTGCAGGAAGCAGGCGGTAGGAACCGACTGCTGCTCGAGGCCGAGGGCCTGGGCCTGAATGTTTTCTCGGATGATAGCAGCAGCAGCAGCAATTCATAAGCGCGAGGAGTTGAGAGGAACCCCAAATCTCCACTGTACGCTGTACCAACGAGTAGGACGGTAATGAATGTAAAATACTTATTCCCATGCTGATGGTATCGCGTGCTTGGTCTGGGTAGCAGGTGCAGGATGCGCCTGGTAAGCGTGGATAAGAAAGAAGCCTCTATCTCGACACCCCGTGGCTGTCTCCGGAGTTTGGTCCTTCTGGAGCAGGAGGGCGTACGCAAGCAAGTCCAGTATAGGGCAGCAGTTGTAGGGAAACAGACGCAACCGCTTGGATCCGTCGCCCAAGTGTTTGTTGCCAGGACCTCGGTTGGCGGGGGAGGTGCCCAAGGTACCTGCCTTAGGTACCTCCTAAGGTAGGTACCTAGGTAGGTAGGTCTGTAGCGGGGTCCTCGAGCCCCGCCTTAGGTAAGGCAAGATCGCCTAGATGGTGCTCTTGCACTTACCCCACTATACCTAATCCACAGAGAGAAGCGAACCGCCTTCCAGGCACTAGCTTTCAGGTAACAATAGGCACCTACCCTACTAAAGTGCGTACCTACTAGGAAGTACCTAACCACCTAATAGGTACCTTAGATACCTGCCTAAGTGACTAACAGGTACGGTACTTAATGCGCATACCTCAAGTTGTCTCGGTAATCAGCCAGCTCCCATTCACGTCCACTCCCATATAAACCGGGCATATTCTTTTCCTGGCGAACTGGCCAACATACATCACCATATCATCTTCTCTCTTTACACGCGAGCCGCCATCAAGCCTCCCCGTAACTGACAGCACCGTCACCAGAGTCAGCCGGCAAGATGATGATCAAGTACGTAGTTACCGTCGGTCACCGCCTGCCCCTCCGCCGCGCCGTCGCGGGCCCTCGCCATCCCGAATGCTCGCGCAGGGGGCAGCAGGATCACGCGCTGACATGCGGAGCAGAGTGAGAACCCTCACGGGGAAGTTGATTTCCCTCGACGTTGAGCCCACGTCCAAGGTACGTGTCCGACATCTCACTCTCATCCTCACTCAGTGTCGTTCCGTCGCCTATGGCGGTTATGGCCGGCCGAAGGCTATATCGCGCCGTGCTGCTCGTCATGCTCAGGCGGGATAGTCACGCGGTCGGATTGGATGCTGACGCCTGCGTTGGTCTAGATCGAGGACGTCAAGAAGAAGGTCGAAGAGAAGGAAGGCATCACTCCCGACCAACAACGACTGATCTATGGTGGGAAGCAATTGTTCGTCTCAACCGGATCTTTTCCCTCACCTCGCTTCTCCATTACACCCCAGGCGGATCTCACCTACCCTGCCGCCCCTCGTCTACCAAATCCTTTACACGAACCATATCTACATACGCCCCTCCTCCTCTGTTGCCCTCCCAAAGACGATACCAAACGTGACTCACCTGTGCGAAATATCTAGGCATGACCAAGTGACGATGGCGGATGCGGGAATAGTACCGGATGCGACCCTCCACTTGGTTCTCACCCTGCGCGGCGGCGGCGGGTGGTAGGAATCGCGCACACCTAAATACCCCTAACTCCGGCCTCTCCAACTCCGAGCCACGTACCCCGATCACGTCTCACGATGGCAGCCTCCGGCGATAGACCTGGGCTGAGAGAGCCTCCTCCACGAACGGCCCAACGCACCCACCCGGAATACCCAGGGAACGACGGGATAGGTACGGCGAACACGCACGACATCTCAATTCGCGAAAGCATAGTACGGCGGCGTTGATGGATAGCATGAGGCAGCAAAGGCACCGGTGCTGCTGGATTCGGACCGAGCTATTTCGCATACGATCCCGCCATCCGTTTCCTCCTCTCCTCTTCTCCTCCCCCCCCCCCCCCCCCCTCTTTTTTTTGTTCTTTCTAGAATGGCAGTTGGTATCATCTCACACCGCGGAAGAGAAGTGGAGAGATAGAGAGGAGGGAGCAGAGGGGAGAAAGGGGGAGGAAGGACTGGGAAAGCATAGACAGATAGCGTACGTAGGCAATGGTGACGCCGCCCACGGGACGATGACGCGTGCATCCCTAGCACTGGTGCGAAGGGCGTGGTCTTTCCACGCCCATGCCCTTCTAGGTGAAACGTATAAGTATGCCCCGCCGATCTGCTCAAGTGAAGTCATCGTATAACGCAGGCACCCACGACTGCCGTGAGCTGTCGTGGTATGTAGCACGCACCCTCTAGAGCGAAAACGATCGGTGATGGGACTTGGTAGTTGACATCGCAATGGACCTATCTGCGAGATCAGAAACCCTACCATACAGGAACCCCATGTATACGCAACTTAGCCGCGGTAGGCAGACAACGCGGGTGGGTTTGCGCCGGTCCGCGAGCCCGAGCCTCGAAAGCCAGACCAGCTTAAACCCAACGAGTCCGTAAAACATAATATATACCGCGTCCGTCCGTCCGTCCGTCCGTCCTTTGCGCCGATATTTCCCCCTTAAAAAAGATATTGCCCTTCGTAAAGCCAAAAATAGTCGACGAATCTCCCAAATTACCCATCTCTTTCCTCAGCAAAGCGAACATCGATTCGCCCACCGCCATCGCGAACATGGCCACCCCGTCCGCCCATCGTCCGCACCCGTCTCTGTCCGTCCGTCTAAGACTACAGCAGGGAGAGAGGTGGACGGGAAGAGGATAGATGGAGGGGGGGTGGAAAGCAAATAGAAACGAATTGCGAAAAAAAAAAAAAACGTAGCCAAGCACTATACGAATCAAGACCTCAGTGTTCTGTATCCTCGTAAACGCATGAGCACAGGAGGTGTCCGATAATTGTGGTAGTAGTAAACCAGGGTCGTACGACTACATTACACTTCCTCGGTTGCGGCGTGATAGTGGTTCTGGTGTTGAGAAAATACATATGGGAGGGGTGGTAGAGCCTCGTGGGTTTCTGTTTCTGTTGCTCGGTGTTCTTGCGTCGTGACCGCAACGCAACCCGGCTAGCCAAGTTTGCACGAGGATATTCCTCACGAGAGGCGTCGAACCTTTTGTTTAGGCTTCACGAAGATGTTGACCGGCTCCCTTCTCTTTCGCCCAGTAGTTTGTTTAGGCTCGGGACTGGACTCGGAAGGCGCGCCGGGGCCGGCGTTGGAACCCGGTTCAAACTCAGCGCTTGTACTGGGAGCCAAGGTTCGAGTCGGAAAGCCAGGTGACGAGGATTCCTTCGGTCGGTTCCATGGTCCTGGAGATGTGGCATGCTTAGATGGAGAAGATGCTGTTGGTTTAAGAGATGTATTCTGAGCGGCCTTCTCGACGGGGACGACTTGAATATCTGCAGTTTTATAAGACCTCGCTCGCTTCATGATAGCGATGCTTGACTTGGGCGACGTAGCCGAGGCTGATGGGCGTGAGAGGCTCTGGTTCTGGGCGGGCGCCGGCGGGGAGGTGGTGGTCTGGGCAGGTGTGAAATCCAGGCTCGGTCCTTGCGGCGCCGTCCCGTTCTTGATACGGAGCAGTTTCGCTTCTTGCTCTTTCTGCGTATAGTCGGACTGACCCCCGCGGCGCGGCTGGGGCGCGTGGATCTTCTTCACCGCAGGCAGGGCCTTAATTCTATATTCCTCCACCATGCCTAACGGAGCATGCGTGATCTGTCCTGGCCTGACGGGCAATTTGCCGGTCGGCGTCGAAAGATGGTTTCGGCGGCTAATCTCCATCGCCTCTCGTCTGGCCTTCTTCAAGATGTTCTGGGCGGTATTGGTCTTGGTTCGCGACCCGCCGGTGAAGCGGAGTACGCCGCTGGGAGCGTCTCGTGCAGGCCCTCCGCGACCGAATCCTCTCCCGTCTTTGGGGGCACGCAACTGCCTGGGGTTGAAATTGACAACAGAGCTGACGTTCTGCGCTTTTTCCTTCTCGATATTCTTGAAGCTGTTCTGGAGCTTCTCTGCAGCCTCTCGCCTACTATCGGCAACTAGCTTCTCATATCTGTCGTAGACCTCGTGCCATGATGCAGGGTCCGGGGCTTGGAACTTGCGTCTCTCGGATTCGATGGGGAAGTCGCGCTTGATGAGACGGTGCCAGCACTCTGCGTCATCTTCCCGGAGATGTGGCGACCTCTCCTCCAGCTCGCGCAACTGTGCCGCATTGTCGATTTTAAGGAGGATCGGGCGGAGTAGGGAGTACGGGGCGCCGCCTATGTCGTTGATATCTTTGGGTAACATTATGTCAGTGACGAGCGAAGGGATCGGGTCATAGGCGAGTTGAGGTTGTAGATGGATAGATTGCAGATGGGCGAAATGGGGTAGGTGGGAACATTAAGGTAGTTAAGAGAGGAGGCCTCTGTTAGTGAATCCGAACATTGGGGGGGAGTTGAATTATCATGCCCATGCTCTAACTCTGCTTTATTTCTTGCTTTCTTTTTGTCTGGTTTGTAACACACGTACCTCGAACATTTCTGACGCACACCGCGGTACACAGGTCGACCAAGGTTTTAACCATCGTGGCTTAGAGATAGCATAACAATAGGGGGTGAGTATGGGGGCTGTTGATTATTGGCCAGTAGTTGGGACGTTGCAGGCTCGAGTTTTGCCTCAACAGATAACCTTCAAAGCCTCCCGTAACCACACCCTGGGATGGAACCTGAAGAGACCCAACCCCTCGATGCTTGACGGCTACTGTTGTAGGCGTTGGTGTTGCTGTGAACGATGCAGCCCTTCGGCGATCTAGGGGACAGGTCGGGGCAGAAGAGAAACCTGGAGGAGCCGACGGCGGGGATTATCTGGTTTGGAGATCTCTGGGGGCCTACTGCAATTCGGTACCCGTTGTCATCGATGCTGGTATTGTTGCTGCTAGCGTCGACGTCGTCGTCGTCACAACTGTAGTATCGGTATTGTCGTAGCCTGCCTTGCTCAGCCAGGTGAATCGAGAGCGTCGAGATGGGATGACACTCTAAGAATAACGGCCGGGCATATGGAGGGGCGGTAGCCTATAGAATGCGGCTTTGTGACATGATGCTCTAGGACTAAGTAAGGAGCTCTTTTTGAAGGCCAGTACATTGTTCCTACACCTGTGCAAAACGCTCAAAGGAGGTTGCAGAGAGGAAGTCGGAGCTGAGGCTGACACGTGGGTCGGGATCTGCGATACCAGGTTTTATTTGGTAGCCTTGCAGATCTGGCCTGCCTCTCCTATTTTTACTTGCTACTCGCGCCACAGATGTCCAGTACGGCTCGATCAGGAAGTCCTCCACATTAAGCGCATAGCCCACTCTTATTGTTGCATATTTATAGGCGGAACAGAATACTACCATACTACCAAGGCAACCTGCAACGCCGACGGCCATCACCAACTAACCTGACATTACACAGCAAATGTGCAACTTGCCGCCAATGGTGTAAGAGTATATACATACCAATGAGACACCTGCCCATCCTGTGAGCTTTGGACCGTTCAGGAAACTTAAGCAGAAGGGCAATATCGAGGTTAGCTTATTCTCACAGTTCTACCCATTAACAAAAACGAGCTAATGCAACCCCCAAATTAAAACAGAACGCGAAATTTAAAAAGCAAGTTCCAAACGAGGTCGGCCTGGGAATCGAACCCAGATTAGCGGAATCAGAATCCGCTGTGATAACCATTACACTAGCCAACCGATGAATTGATTCGTGTATGATTGCGCAAGTTTCCAATGCGTACTTAAAGTGTTTTCAGGCCACCATTTCTTAAGCAAGACTGCACCCTCAACAATATCCAGGCTCCCCGAGTATGTCGTTACATTTGCCAATGGTGCTGACCCAAGAGCGATATTCGCGATATCGCAGTACCTGCAGGAGGTTGGTTTAACATCAATTCCCACAGTGATTCCATCTTCTCAGGCCACAACCGTAACACCACCTCGTCGGCTGGTTAAGTCGTTGGTCTTAACTAGCTGTTGATACTTGTTGCAAGTCGACGAGGGTAGCAGTAACGGAATGAACACGGTACGCCTGGTAGTACGCCGAAATGACTTCCTCTCTTGTAGAACGCACAGGTAAGCTACATAGGTAATTAGGTTGTCGGGAACCTCGAGATATACCGCGCGGAATCCGGAATGGGGATACGCCGAACACGAAACCCATCTATTCCCGCGAATATTCCAAATTGTACCACACATGAGGATCATCTCTAAGGTCGTAATGGCATGGATTCTTGTCGACAGGCTCCCTCTCCCCCATGGTGTATTACTCCACACATCAAGTCGCGCCGCCTGTCAGGCTGCATGTCCTAGCAGCCATCTAGAGCTAAACAATAACATGAATGCAGCCAACCGATATCAGGCCAAACGTATCCTCATCGTGATTTTGACAGGCCGGTAGTACCCGCTACTATTGGTATCTCCCTGCCTCCTGGTAAACCCCTGTACGCCGTGACGCCACCAGACCGTATGAGAATCAACGGGCATATCCCAACAAGTGCAGAGAAGTTTGTACATGAACTATGGCCTGGTCTCACGATTGCAACCCCTAGTGCTCTTTTTTTGTTCTTTTCTCCCCTTTTTTCTTTTATTTCTCCGACAACTGTTTATGCCGCCGCTGCCACGGCTCGAGAGGATGTCGCAATGGCGGGCTCGGGCTGGGTTGCTTGCTCCTCGTCCTGATCGTTCGTTTCTCCGCCAGCTTCTGCCCAAGCCCCCCAGAGACCGCGTTTCCCCCTGACTCGGATAGGGCCCCCAAGGGATGCCTCCTTTTGCTCAACCTTGATGGCATCCTTAGTCGCAAGTACCAAGCACTCAAAGAACATCTTAGTCGCATCTGCTTTCGATGTTCTCCCCTCGGGAAGAAGTTCTTGGAAAACCACAGACTTTTTCCGCTTCTCTTCATTAGTAGCGGCTTCGGAGCCAAATAAATCTCTGAGCACGTGGACAGCGTGCTTCGTACCCAGTGAAACGGGGCCGCTGTCGGCCGGGTGCACTAGTGGGGCAGTGGTCTCGTCGAATTCCGGGTTCGGGCTCCCTTCACGAGCGTGGTGGTCGTCGTCATCATGTTGGACACCCGTGTCATCTGCGGGAATCTCGAGTATGGTGCCGTCGGGAGCGACGCTGCGATCACCAAAGCCTCCGTCAGGCACAACTAGGCCTTCATCATCTTCGCCAATGTCTAAACGGGGAGATTTAGACACTCCTTGCTCTTCATCACTACCGAGGTCGGCGACCCCGCTATCCCTCTTCCGCTTCAGATCATTAACAGGTCTTACGCTATCGAGAGAGAGCAGTCCTCTCAGCTCCGGCGCCCAAGCCTTACTACGGCCATCGCCCATAATACTGTTGGCGAAACTGCCAGTACTTCTCAACTCGATGAGAGCCAAAAAGTACGGGTCTCGCGAGACGAAGCTGGGCACCTTCAAGATATTTTCGTGGTTCTGCTGTTGCTCCTTGATGTGTGAGCTCGTCAGCTGAGTAGCAGGGTCTAACCCGAAGACTTTACGCTTCTTCGACTTCTTCTGAGGTAGGGGCTCGAGTTCCTCGGGCTCGTGTCCGGGTTCGTAGATGCTGGTATTATTTAGGCGCGTCCATTCCTCGACGTCACGTGCTAAATTCTCATCAATGTCGGACAGCGGTGACTCCGAGATACGAGCACGATCGATAGCGGGGACACCGCCCATCTCGGGTACGACTGATTGCTCGCCAATGTCAAAATGGAAATCGTCGTCCATCGGAATGTCGCCATCACCATCGGCGATCCTGACACCGTCGTCGCCGAGGTCAAGGTTAAGCGACGGTTCGCGTTCGGCACCTTTCGCCCGCGGCGCGATGTCGAGCTCACTAAATATATCGTCCTCGATAGACCGAGCAGCAGGTGCGTCTCGACCCATCTCGATGCTCTTGTCCATCTTCGGACGCTCATCGATATCCATACCGAAATCCAAATCCAGCTCCAAGTCGTCCATGGGAGCAAGTGCCACCTCATCCTCGTCCATGTTATCGTCATGCAAAAATTGGCTGTTGTTGAAATCCTCTTGCAAGTTGATATCGCGGTTGCTGGGTCGGCCTCTGCCCCGAGTAGTTGAGCTATTCGGAGTGGCACTGATGTCCTCCATCTGACCGAGCAGCCAGTTGGCATCTGGAGGTGGTAAGATGTTGAGGTTATCGGCGGGGGTAATCTGATCGGGAAGCATCAAGGCCTCCCGATTTGGCATGTTAAGATTCTCTGGGATATCATTGTTTCCTGTCGAGCGAAAAGCCTATGGTGACAGTTAGCCTACGTAGAGGAGACGGCACGCGACCGGCGGCGACAAACCATCTTGATCTTGAGCAAAGCCTCGTTACAGTCGTCGAGAAGATAACGGGCTTTCCGGCTGTAGATTCTGACGACACCTAGTAGAAGCTGTCCGCTGAGCCGGAGCGCCATGGGCGCCTGATTCGGGGTGATGATGGCATCGACGCTGTCGGGGAGATTGGACTGTAAAATATGGGTTTTGGAAAGCTTGCGCTCGAGATTCGCCGACAGCCAGACTCGGGCCAGAGGCCCCGTCTTCTGCAGCAAGGTCTCGGAGTAGAACATCGCTGTCGCGACGAAAGGGAGACAGAAGAGCTATCGGTGAAGGCAGCAAGGTGGTGCTATGCGAGAGCTCAATTACGGCGACATTAAAGCAATAGCACGAGCCCTGCGAGATGCGACGACGCGTTGGGGGCAAGTCCCGTATGCGAGGGGGGTAGGGTCGAGGGGCGGGAGGTTGAGGCTGGTGTAAACAAGAAAATAGGAACGCGTTGTTTTGGGCGCAGATCGCGTACAACAACGTTCGCAACGGACTGGAAACCAGCAATGCACGCACGGCACGGCTCAATTAGCGCACAGGCGCAATCTCGCTTTGGCGCGCTGGGATGGATGGCGGGAGTCGAGGACGATAATGAGTATATAGATGAGGAGGGTGAGGGAAGGGAGAGGTTCGCAGGGGCGGGAAGAAGAGCGAATGGTTTGAATGAAGATGGTGGAAGTTATGCGGTGGAGGGGGGGAGGGACCTTTGGGGGGGGGGGATTGCGTCCGGAAAAGTGTTGCGAGACTGGGCTGTTTCGCTGACTGGAAGCGAATGACTTCTGAGGGAGGCGTCCGAGAAGGAGAGGAAGAAGAAAAGAAAAAAAAACCTCGGTCATTTCCCTGCTTTCTGCTGGAAATCCAAGTGGCTGGCAGTGCCTATCGGGGGTTCGCTGTGGGGCAAGGAGCAGGAGTCGACGCCTGATTGGCTACCCCTTACGCTTCGCTGTGGCTTTGGCCTACTATGAATATACAAATATACCTAGGAAGTACCAGCCTGCCTGCGGGTTGCCAGGAGTCGACAGAAAAGTCGGCCGGCAAACCACTTAAGCGGTATAAGCACCAATAGGGGAGCGTAATGTGTTGCCTGTGTGTGTGTGTTGCAGATACAATTGAACGCCGCAATACATACGTCCAACGTTATCCTGTAGCTAAGGTACCTCCACCTACCTCTACCTTCTAAAGTTTCTATTGGTGGTAACGAATGCTACGAGAGTATAAATCCCAACCAACTTATTTCACCTTACGGGCAGTAAAAGGCAAGTGTTTACACGTATACGCCGGGTGCCTTTCGTATAGGTATTCCTATTTCAATTTCAGATTATATACAATAAGTACATTCAGTGCCCATCCCTTCGCTGCTTGTGCTGCCTGCTCTCCTAATGTGTGTATAAGGTGCCTGTGGCTATCTGGGTCCGACGCTGTACCCGCGTACATCCGTAGCCTAATGCTTATAGCAAAAGTGCAGCTAAGTGCTTTGATATTAGTATAACTTAATGGTCGCAGGCAAAGCATCCATGCCGTGGCTGAGCCTTACACTGGGTGGGTACCTATATAGTGCTAAGGCGCCTTGGTCTCTTCATCACCCCAGGATGTCAGATACAAGCCAAGAGACGGACGTACCCTTTTTCGTTCAATGGAGAAGTGTGATATCCCGATCACGCCTCACGATCTCAATACCGGCCGGCGCTAAGGATTGAAAGACGCCCTATAGCTAGGAGGTACCTATGCTAGACAATACTAGGTAGGCCCTCACCCATGCTATAATTCTCAAGATAGGACCAAGTATAAGTACGATATGTTGTTATCTTTCCAACAAGTTGCCCTAGAGATAGAGCGGAATGCTGGCCCTTTCGACCCACTTACCGCCCATGGCAACAATGACTGGCAACGCTAAAAGAAAAAGAGGTATGTGAGGTTATAGCTGCAGCCGCAACAGCACCAGCTGGGCCTCTCCCTCGGGACCTGTATGTGAATACTTTGGGACCAGGCTCCCCGGGACGCAATTCATTGGGTGGTATCCAATGCCTTACCTCGTACATGCACATGGATGATCTTGCCTTAGCGTCAAGTCCATTCCGGGGTAGCTGTTGTACATACATAGGTACACATACCTGACCTATAGGATATAACAGCGATCCAATCCATCAATACCTACCTAGGTATTCTATGAGGAGGCGCTGATGCAGTCGCTCAACGTGTTATATCTGTCAGCATCCATATGCTATCCCCGACATGCATATAAGGAGGTAGATATCTTACGCACCTGAGACTTGCCTTAGGCACCTAAGGCGCCTCGGTGCAATATTATGCATATGGCGGCATTCCCTGACGCAGATGCCTACCTTACTCACAGGTACCTAAATCTAATGGTATTAACAGATCACAGTAATGGGTGTTGTAGTATTCGAAGTTGCGGTTTAGAAGTCATCCGGTACCTCTTCCAGAGAATGAGTGGCCAGCAAGCTCCGTTGCAGGTGTATGCAGTGTATAGGTACCCAGTACCTACATCCTACTCACACAGCCTCGGATTGGGTACGTGCCTGTATGTAACTCCCGAAAGGGACACTATCCCAAAGGGACCAATGTTCCACGTCTTTTAAGAAGCGCATTGGACTAATAAAAAAAAAGGTCGCCAGGATTGTATTCTAGATTTCTCAAACTAAACCAACACGTCACTCCTTATCCCAAACACACCCTACTATCCATACCAAACGTATCCATATCGCCTATACCACCACCTCGACATGTATTCTCCCGTTGCCTCGTAATGTCCTCGCCCCTCGATGCATCTTGCTCTCTCTCCAACAGTAACCACCCGTTCCTCTGGCCGTCCGTCTCCTCCCTCATGCAGCACGGCGCTACCGCGGTTCGACCGTTAGTTCCCTTCGAAAATGCCATGGCCGTGGCGCGATCGCGAGACCAACGGCGAGTCTCTGCTTCCATTGGCAGTCCCCAGCATCAATGGAATCGATCGAGAATACGATCGGGATGGGGACGAGTCTCCCCAACGCTCACGGTCCAGCTCGAGGAAACCGGGGCATGCCCGGACCACATCTGCTCAATCACGGGTAAGCACTGTCCTCAGAACGTCCCTGAGCCGCAGTTCGAGAGCAGTCCTCTCGGGTCTCGCTCGGTCTTTGCTGTCTCGTCAAACTCGATTCGGCGTCTAACTTGAACCACCATCATAGTCCGTAGCCGACGGGTACTCCTTCCTAACCCCGGCCGAGACAGCGACTCAACTCCAGACCACGTTAACACTCGGCCTTTCTCCCACCGAAGCCCTCTCCCGCCTACGCGACTTTGGCCCGAATGAGATCCCCCACGACCCGCCCGATCCGTTATGGTTGCGATTTATACTACAATTCCGAGAGCCGCTTATCATTCTACTTTTGGTCTCCGCCTTTCTCTCCATTTTTGTTGGCAATATGGATGACGCTGTTAGTATCACCATGGCTGTGACGATCGTCGTCGCCGTCGGGTTCGTGCAAGAGTACCGTTCGGAGAAATCGATCGAGGCCCTTAATCATCTAGTTCCCAACCACGCTCATCTCGTCCGGGCCCAGTCTACGCGGCCGGTTTCCGGTGCTAAACCCTCGGCGTGGCCTCCGGCTGTTGGTGACCTAGAAGAGACGGTGCCAGGGTCCGGGTCGGAGACGCCGGGTGAGGATTTGCTAGAAGCTACTTCGTCTAAAGTCATGGCGACTCAGCTTGTGCCTGGGGACCTAGTTCTGTTTACAACGGGAGACCGCATCCCAGCCGATATCCGTATCACGAAAGCTACCGATCTAACTATTGATGCGTCGAATCTCACAGGGGAGAACGAGGCGCTAAGAATGACAGCCGAGGCGCGACAACGCAGCCTCTACAACTCCATGCTTGACCCAACTACGCCGCGCCAACCTAGCCCGTCAGTTCTCCTACCGCCTTCATATAACGCAGAACCGAAAGAAACTGCGCGAGGTCAAAGGGTAAATAATATTGCGTACATGGGGACGCTGGTCAAGTCTGGCCATGGGCAAGGCATCGTCTTCGCAACCGGCGGTAACACTCACTTCGGGACCATCGCTACCAGCGTGTCGGGAACCGAAAGTCCTCGATCCCCTCTTCAGCAGAGCATGGACCAACTAGGGAAGCAGCTCAGCCAAATATCGTTCGGAATTATCGCCTTGATATCTCTGGCTGGACTACTCCAAGGCAAGAAAATCCTCGAAATCTTTACGATATCCATCTCTCTAGCCGTTGCCGCGATACCCGAAGGGCTACCGATTATAGTGACGGTGACCCTGGCCTTGGGCGTCCATCGCATGGCAAAGCACAATTCCATTGTCCGGAAAATGCCGAGCGTCGAGACGCTGGGCTCGGTCAATGTGGTCTGCTCTGACAAAACAGGGACGCTAACCATGAACCACATGACAACAGCTAAGATGTGGTATTTTGGCTCAGAAGAGCCGATCGATGTTGATTCGGACGACGAGGCGACGGAAAAGTCCCCCGATGCCGCGGCACTCCGACTCCTGCGTATCGGCAACATAGCAAACAATGCACGACTTGCACATGGAGCGAGACCGGCATTGCTAGGATCCCAGGGCAGAGAATTCGCGCCGTACACGCGTTGGGTTGGACAGCCGACCGACGTCGCGATGCTCGACCTGCTCGACAGATTTAAGGAGCATGATGTGAGAGACTCGATTGGCCCCCGCACAGCCGAAACACCTTTCAGCTCTGAAAGGAAGTGGATGGGAGTGGTGATCGGGACCCATCCCGGGAATAGCGATAACGAATACGCTTATATGAAGGGCGCTATAGACAAAGTCCTAGACGCTTGTAGTGCATACCTCACCGCCGATGGTCGCGAGATCGTTTTAGACTCCCTTCGGCGCCGAGAGGCATTGCAAGCAGCCGAAAGGATGGCTGAAAAGGGGCTGCGGGTCTTGGCATTCGCGAGCGGCCCAGCGGCCAAACCCCCGCGGAGCAAGCCCGCCTATAACTCCGCTCGAAGCCCTACACCTCTTGGCCGAGACGAAAGCCAGAGCCCAGGGATATCCAGTAGCGAAGAATCCTACAAGGGTTTAACCTTTGCGGGACTGGTAGGGATGAGTGACCCTCCGCGACCAGGGGTGTCTCGGTCCATCCGAAAATTAATGCGCGGCGGCGTCAAGGTCATCATGATCACTGGCGATTCCGCAACTACGGCGTTGGCTATCGGAAGACAGCTTGGCATGCAGATTGCCACACCTCGCGAGCACTCTTCGAACCAGGTCGCCGTTAAACCGGTGCTCACGGGGGACGAACTCGACGCCATGACAGAGGACGACCTCGCGGCGGCGATGCAGAACACGACAATATTCGCGCGTACAAACCCAGACCACAAGATGAAAATCGTCCGAGCGCTTCAATCGAGAGGCGACATCGTTGCCATGACTGGGGACGGGGTAAACGATGCCCCGGCGCTGAAGAAGGCTGATATCGGTATATCTATGGGTTTGCATGGGACCGATGTGGCCAAGGAGGCTTCGGACATGATTCTCACAGATGACGATTTCTCAACCATACTTCACGCTATCGAAGAAGGCAAGGGCATCTTCAACAATATTCAGAACTTCATCACATTCCAGCTCAGTACCAGCGTAGCCAGTCTGGCTCTGGTCCTCGTCTGCACCTGCATGGGGCTCAAAACTCCCCTGAACGCCATGCAGATTCTCTGGATTAGTGAGTTGGCCCCAATCTTCCCTCCGTCCCATCAGCGAGCCCGCGACTGACTAGACCAAAGACATTATTATGGATGGTCCGCCAGCCCAGTCTCTGGGCGTCGAAAAAGTAGATCCAGATGTCATGTCGCGCCCGCCGCGTTCTCGACATGAACCAGTTCTTACGAAAACTCTCCTCTCACGCGTCCTGACGTCTGCCGCAATTATCATGATAGGTACCATGGCCGTGTATAGCCGCGAGATGCTACGAGACAGCGAAGTCACCCGGCGCGATACGACAATGACCTTCACCTGCTTCGTGCTTTTCGACATGTTCAACGCGCTGACGTGCCGGTCCGAGAGCAAGTCCATATTCAGGGGCGAGGTGGGCCTGTTCTCCAATAAGCTATTCAACTGGGCGGTGTCGCTGAGCTTTGCAGGCCAGCTGCTCGTCGTCTACTTCCCGTGGCTGCAGGAGATCTTCCAGACGGAGGCGCTAAGCTTCCTCGACCTCGTGAGGCTGTTCGTGCTGGCGAGCTCGGTATTCTGGGCCGACGAAGTCAGGAAATGGTATAAATACGGGCGCAGGCGGTTGAACGGGTACAGTCAAGCCGTCTAGAGCGGGGGGGTGAGCGAAACACGATAAGAGAAAAACCTAGAGCGTTGTTAAGAGTGTAGTTTTTGTGTTGACTTTTTTTTTTTTTTTTTTTTTTTTTCAAAGGAAAAAAAAAAACGGCAAAGAGGATAACGAGAGAGACGACTACGACTCGTACTATGAACTCCTGTATATGACCCCTCCCCCCCGGTCTGGAACTGCACTACCGAGATAAACCCCGTAGATCTACTCGTAATGAATACGAACATGGAACATGAACATGAGCAAGGCGTTCGAGCGGTGGCAGCGAATGGACATCGGTGATATCCCGAGCTTGGTTGGGCAGCGTGTGCGATGCGTAGATTATCCGCTAGCTCACGTAGTTGAGGGTGTGTATACGCAGCACCAGAACATTGATATTGAATTTTGTAATACGCATCCTCGTCTCCCTATTTTTCCTCCTCCTTTTCCGTTCTTTCGTCGTAGTGCCATACGTCCCCCAAATCACCCATACGCAGGTAAACAGGCTGTCGGCTTGTATTTCTTTCTTTCTCTCTCTCGCGATACCTCTTGTCTTCTTCTTCTTCTTCTTGCATTTCCTAGTCCTATTCACGCGCCCCCCGAGGTTTCGATATCGCAGCCTATTAATATTACGAGAACCCGCCAGGCACCCCTCACTTCAATATGAATCTTTCCATCTATCTGAATATTACCGAAACTACGATGAGATCTTACCGGCAAGTAGAAAGGCTCATTGAGTACTTCAATACAAAGCAGGTCCGCAGTCTGGATGGATATTGCTGTGTTCTACGAACTTCGATAATTCGGCTACCGGTGGATAGCGTCACTAGGCATCCCTATACCAGAGACACATCCCCGAGGGTCATCCTATTTTCTATACATGTACGAACTGCAAGAAGGAATAAACACAGCTATGGGGGCGATCCATAGCCGGCAAACAATGATATCTGCCCCGTCACGGAGATCAAGCCAAGCTGCGTTTGGCCCATTGTGTAGAGTTCTATATCGTCGGGGGATTTGTTTGCTATCCAGTTCACGGAGTGTCGGTAGGGTCCCTTGAGCCCAGTGTCAGCGCAGAATACCGAAAGAACGTGAAATCGACATCACCTACCAATCGGTGACTAGTTTTTCGTCAAGCATATCCATCTTCCTCATATCCGTGTCGGAAATCTCAAATCCGCCTATTTTGGCGTTCTCAAGTAGACGTTTGCGCTTCACACTCTTTGGCAACGGGACGAGTCCATGCTGGAGTGACCATCTGGGTTATGGTGATCAGTATGGCATGCCTAAAGAACGAGTTCCCGCGGACAATACTGAGCTAGGGACCAACCTACCGGACCAGGAGTTGCGCAGGCGTGCAGGAGTACCTCTTGGATAGCTCTACGATAGTCGGATGCTTCATTCGCAGGGCCCGCGCTAGAGGAGCATAGGCCTGGACGACGATTCCGTATTTGGCGCACGTAGCGCGGATGGCCGTCTGGGTGTTGAAAGGGTGGACTTCGATCTGGTTGACAGCCGGTAGGATCCTCGGGTTTGACGCCATCAACTCCTCGATCTGCTCGGACTAAATTAGTCACGGGTCACAGGTGCGAGTATACGATTCTATCCAACTTGCTTACGCACTCTTTCTCCCCTCCGTCTCCGCTAAATAACGACAATACGAGGAAGGAAAATCGGACGGTAACCACGGGAACTTACATGACGGACCCCGTAATTGCTTACACCGCCAGACCTAACCTCGCCGTCGTCGATGGCATCCTCGACGGCGCGCCAGCTCGTAAGCCGCGCATCGCGGCCGCCGTAGGGGCTGTGAAGCAAGAATAGGTCGATGTAGCCGAGGCCGCAGGTGTCGACGGACCGCTTGATGGAGCGGCGCACGACTTGGTACGAGGTGTTGTTGCTGGCGAGCTTGGAGGTGTAGAAGACGTCCTCGCGCACGAGGCCCTGGGTATTATACAGGGGGGTGGATATGAAGTCCCGGATGGCCCGGCCGACCCTCTTCTCCTTGAGGTACGCCTGGGCGTTATCAAAGCCCCGATAGCCGGCGGCCAGGGCCCACGTCACGGCGGTCGTGGTTGCTCGGGGGGCCATCATATACAGCCCGAGTTGGATCTGCGGCATGAGCTTGCCGTTCGGCAACTGGGCGACGCCGCGGGAAGTGAGGTCAGCTGAGTGAGACGCCACAGAGTTACGACGAGGGGATGAATGGATGGGCTAGGTGGTGCAGCACTCGCTATGCTCTTTTCTCAGAGACGCTGCGTGCGAATACCTATGTGCCTATGACCTGTCGCGGTGCGCTCACCTTTACTTTACTGGCCAGCGAGAAGTTGCCTGACGACATGGTGTCTTAACCTGGCGGGTTTCGGCGAAGAGGGACTGGCGGGCCAGCAACGATCCAGGCCCTACATAAGGCGTAGGCGGATATTCCGGTCTCGAAACCCGGTAGGTGCGGGTGGTTTGAGGGGATCACGAATATAGGCACTGTGGGCTGGGATGGGACAACTGCCTGTAGGTACCTAAGGGGGCGGAGGTAGGTACCTAGGTTAGGCACATTAGGTACCTAGCTCTCGCCTTGGGTGGCCTCCAACTGTGTCAATTCGGACAGCGCCGGCGAGGTGCCCGAGGGTGCCTGGGTGCCTGTCCCCTACCATATACCTACAAGTAGGCGCTGCTGGCGTTGCTTAATACCGCTTCCCCATGACTACCTACCTACCTGGTAGGCAGGTATGTCATCAAAGTCGACGTCATATCTTCTACGAAGGCGAGATACCCTAGGTACGTCCTATTCATAGGTGTAAGTCTAAATAACGAGCCAACACGAGGCGCCTCTTACCTACCTACCTGGTACTGGTTAACACTACCTGCTATGAGGGGTCGGCATAAGTGCTAACTATAGATATAAAGTCGTCAGGGGCCCAACCCCCAAATACGATCTTCGGTAAGTCCTCCACCCTTCCGAAGAGTTTGGAGGCTAATTGAAGGCATCCTTGAGGAATCCGCCCGCCCACGTCGGTTTGCGTAAAAGCAACTATACACGTTAGCCGCGGATTCGGCCAGATACCTATTGCACGGAAGATACCTAGGCGATAGGGTGAGTAGGCCCAGTCTATGGGGAGATCTCATTGTCTCGCCTCGCCGGAATGCCCTCGCAACTCTGGTCTGCGCCGTAAGCGAGGTGGTAATGGTAAGAACTCGAGCCTCGATAGCGGCCACTGGCCATGGGGAAACCTCCATAGGCCACGAAACAACCAAGCTTGTTGGTTAACTAGGCCACTGCTACAGTCGCAGCCCTTCTGGATACGAACAGCAGCATGAAGGGCCGACCGCCAGGTATCCTACATCTATGATTGACTGCTCGAAAACTGACTCGGCAGCGGTTTATAGATACCTGCCTACACGTGGGTAGCTATAGGTAGGTTGTGGGTGGCATTTGGAGGTAGGTAGGTACCTGTTGTAACCTATCGTCGAGCGCGGGTACCTAATGCGATCCAATAGATGCAGACACGACCAGACACATGTAGACAGACCGGCCTATATATATAGAGAAGCGGATGGGTGGGATGGGGACGAATCTCGATGACAGGATGGATGATGGGTTTGGGTTGGCACCAATTCCATCATTGCTGGTGGCTCACGTATGTAGGTACCTATTGGGTACCTAGGTAGGCAGGCCAATGTGGCTGGCCTGCCCGGGCTGGGGACATGTACCTACGTCGGTACCTAGTAAAGTTTCTTCCCTCCTGACAGGTACCTACCTCCTACCTTCGGTGCCTTACCTCTTTCAAACACGGGTAGCCTTGCGAGGAGGTAGGTAGGAGGTACCGAATAGGCAGGACGCTACCGTAGATATCTCGGTACCTACAGCCTAGAATATATAGTAGGTACCTCTAGGTGGGTACCTGCCTATGAGCAAAACAATAAACAGGTACAATATGAGGTACCTACATACACAGTTCTGCTTGGTGCCACACAGAAAACAGGCTCTTAGCCCGGCTAAGTTATGGACAAACTGGAAGCACTGAATCGCTCGAAAAAGGTGCCGGTCTAGCTACATGCGGCTCGACGATGAAAACTTGCCTGGCCCCTTTCGGCTAGCCCTCACATGCATTGAGACCAAATGCGAGCTCTGTCGGTTTTTTTTTTAGTGCGTACCTTAAGGTCTATAGTAGGTACCTCCTAGGTATCTAGGTAAGTGAAATCTCTGACCAGCCGGTGCCCGCCCGTCCCAACTGTCCGTCATCCGTACCCGCCTTTTTGCCTGGTAACTTGGCCTGGTCTGGCCTTGCCTCGACGGGTTTTATTCCTCCATTGCCAGTCACGCCCCGTTTGTTCCACTTCCTGCCGTTTCTTTGTACCTGTGACTTTTTTCCCCGAGCCGTCGTCGCGTCTCTCGTCATTCTCCGTTCCCTCTGCCTCTGCCCTTTTTTGCCTCTCTGCCTCCCGACGTTGCGTGCATCGTTCTCTTACCATTTTGCGCCCGTCGCCCGCCGACCTCGGATTGCTAACTATCTAATTCGTCGACGGAGAGAAGGAGAAGAGAGCTCGCAACCGTCTTCCTGGCCTTCCTCGACCGACTCCGTCCCGACTCAAAACCCAGACGAGAAAGCGAGGAGTGCGTGCGTATATGTGTGCGTGAGCGAGCGAAGCAACCCGTGCGAATCAGACGAAGCCACCCTTTACAGTCTAGCAGAACCAGAACCGCGTCGACAAAATCCTGCCGTCGTCTCCACCCAACCCGACCTTCTTTCCTCGCATACATATGCCTCTGAGCATTTTCGCATCGCCGTCTCTCCCTGCCCATCGACCGAGACCACAACAGCCGCTGGCGAGCCCTTCTCCAGTCTCGCGCCGTGCCGGCGGAAGGGGGTCCGAGGCATATGATGCCCTGTGTCGTCATGATGGAGAACGGCTTTCGAGATTCCCTACCCACAAACCATGACAGAGATTACAACCAGTACGTGAACGGCAATGCTGTTCTCGCGCCGCAACCGGCTTCCGACCGGCAGAATGGGCTTGTCGCCGGTTCCGACGCCTGGGCCGGCAACGGAACCGGTGCTATGGCCAACGGCAACGGAAATGGCGACGACGCGAACCAGCCGCAGCGGTCGGGCTCGAGTGCATCGCGCATGAACGACCTCCCCGACGAGATACAACACATCACCCAAGGTTTCGTCCCTCTGGGACTCCTTCTCTCGCGCCTTGCGCAGAAAACCCACAACCAACTAGTAGATGAGATCATGGCTCTGGCTAAGATGCCAGCCCCCACGCCCGCTCTCAATGGCAATTCGGGCCACGCCGGCACCGCGATAGACGACACTTCAGCCGAGAACCTGAACAAAAAAGCCCGGTTGCTGAACTTTGTCCAGGAGAAACACGCGGAATGGGTCAAGGCCGCGGTAATTGCGAGATGGAGCAGGAATGCCCAGTCTGTCAGCAAGCTGATCGACCTGATGAACCATATCAACATGCAGCGAAAGCTGTACGACGATTCTCTCGAGTACATGATCAACATAAAGAGAGACCTTACCTTTGCGCGAGTACCGAACCCCGATCTCCAAACTGCACTTCACGTGCTCTCCACCGGCGCCGCCCCCTGGATGCCAGACTTCAGCTACATCGAGCCGCCCCCCTTATCCCCTAAAGAGCAACGGCAGTGGATCGAAAATCTGAATACTCTGCTTTCGATCCGCCTGAACCTGGAAGACCATGCTAACATCCCTTATCACTTCCGCGACTACTCCATCGACTCGGGCCGGGTTACCTTTACGGTCCCTGGCGAATTCGAGGTGGATCTCACGATAGCCGACGAGGACTTTGACAAGCAGTTTTGGTTCATCGACTTCCGATTCGCATTCACGCCTGCGCCCTCTGACTTGTCGGACTCGCTGAGGATGTTCTTAGAGGCCAAGGTCAACGAAGCTCTAGAAAAAGACGGCCTACACGGATGCTATACGTTCCTTCACGAATTTGTATTGACCCATAAGGTCACCGAGTATGTGCGCCAGGCGTTTGAGCTAGCCAAGGGTCGTTGGGTCGAGACGCTCAAGGTTGAGCGACTGAACCGGGCCATGTCGATCCAGTATTGGGTCGGCCGCTTCGGGGCAGACGGCCCGAAGAGCTGGGTGATTTTAGGCGTCCACAGCGGCAAAACGGCGAATATTTCTTTCGACGCGCCATCGGCGAGCCATCTCACCCTACGCTGGTTCCGGGACGGCAAAGAAGTGAAGGACGTCGAGATTCTGTTTGACGATGCAGATATCTCCACGGAAGGTCTCTTAAATCGCGTTATCGGGAGGCACGTCGAGTACATGCTCGGATCGATCCACGCCAAGTTGAAGTCCAACGAACGGTTCGTCAAGCGGGAGGCGGGCCTCGCTTTGGACGTATGGAAGGACTCCCCGATACAATCAACGCTCAAGATGCAGTTGGGCCACGCCCACTACGTGACTGTTGGGATAAGCCCTACCACGGGCATGTTTTCTATCAAGCCGCAATCGCCAGTGACTTTCCGGGGAGAGCAGAGGCTGAATTGGCAATCGAAAGATCCTATTCAAGACGGAGTTACTTGTTTAGAGGGCATAAGGTGCCACTACATCGTGGACGAAATTAATCGACGCGGGATGAGTGCAGGCTGGTTCGTCTGCAAGGGACCCGTGAAAGTGGATAGTGTTAGGGAGATCCTCAGCGCGAGAAAGATGGGCCAGCTTATGTGGTTCAAGCGACAAGGTTGGACGGATCAGTGGTATCTAATGGTAACCTTGAGCGTGAGCGGGGACAAGTGGTGGTTGATTGAAGTGTGAGTCTCGACTCGAGAGTCGTCATCCCTCTCCCCCGCAACTAGGGCTAACAGGTTCCCGACAGTGATAATCATCCAAATCAAGAGACGCGAATCTCGTCGTTCACGAAGCTACCACTCAGCTCCTGTGCGCCCAATCTTGAAGACAAGTTCTTCTCCAACCTAACCATCTTTACCGCGGCCATGATCTCGCACATCACAGATATGAGGTCACTACATCAGCGGCAGATCCGACACAAGGCGCATGACGGGATCAACTACTCGCTTCCGCCGACCATGAAGATCCCTTCGATCTACATCAGACTATCGGACATGTTGAGACATCCACAGTCGCGCAAATCGGGGAAGCGGGTTGCGCCCTGGGCACTGGATTTCGTAGAAATCATGTTTAAAGGCATCCGGAGCCCGTCTCCTAAGTTGACGGCATCAAACCGCAACGAGCCTGCGGGAAACGCTGCCGTCACGCCACAGAAGCCTCCCCTGCACGTGTTTTTGGACGCTCGCCTTAAGGTATCCAACCGTTCAAGGTTCGGCTTACTCAGGGGTCACGTCGAGCGAGACGTGGCGTTTAGTAGACGCCTCGGGGTATTTGCACTCCGTCTAGAGGCGGATGTTGGGAGCCCTATTTTAGATACGCTTACTCAGCGCCTGCAGGCCATCGATAAATTGGCCGATTGCATCGACGCAATACGCCGGAGTGACAGGGACATCCGATGCGAAGAGATCACACTTACCAAGGTGGTTGTCACCTACACCGATCAGACGAAGCCGACGGATGGCGTGACGATGCAGTCGCATGGTGACCGCTGGAAGGCGACGCTGCAACTTGGCGCCGACGGCATCGAGTTGTTTTTCGATCGAGGCAACCCGCAGCTGCGTGTTTTGGATCTCTTCCAGCACCTAGTCAACTCGGACCTGCGGTGCCGGAAGCTGCCGTTCTTCTTGTCCAGCACGCTGTCAATACAGCGCGCTTTAGAAGCGATCGAGGACGCTTGGGAGACCCTCGCCATGAACGACCAAGGACGGGTGGAAATATTCGCAGCACATCTGGATTGGTTCAACATACACTACTCTCTTCCCGGCCCGGGCAAGAACCCTCACGCAGTGCGCCGCCTGACAATGCAGATTCGACTGCGGGCTCGCGACGAGGCGGTGGAATGGCACGTGTTCCGTGAAGAGCCGGGCGGAGTGCAGCCGGAGGACGAGTTTACCCACGCCCTCGATAAGGTGTGGAATGCCGAGGACAAAGTATGGCATTCTCTGGTGACCTGCGCCGCGAGCAAGCCGGACCATCGTGTGGGAGAGTTGATGAGGGCGGTAGACGAGGCGGTAAGACGGCTCGTGCACCAGTCACCGACGATTTTGAAACAGAATCCGCCTAGGAGTCAGTCGCAGACCAAGAGCCAAGCTCAGACCGGATACCACAAGAACATGGCGGCGGGAAAGGCTAGACCGCAAACACAGGTGGGACCGGTAGTGGTTGTAGACGACTAGGCGACGGGCGAAAAAAAAAACCAACGGCAGAGCAATTGACGGCCATCTGAATGCAAGTACCACCTTTTGTTCTCTGCTAAATACTGAAGGGAGAAAAAAGGGAGGGGAGGGAGCGAGAGAATGCGATGTGAATGAGGGAACATCGGCCACACTTGAGATACCCTAGAAAATCGTCGGCGCGGGGAAAGGTGGGAGGGAGGGAGGGGGAGAGAAATAGTGACGGGATATTAGTTGCTAAACAGCCCGAGGCCCGAGCTACAATGAGAGTATTAATCGATAATGACGCCTTGCGCAAAGGGAGAGGCTTTTCGAATTATGTGACAGGTGACGATACGGGTGTTGGCACGAAACTGGCATCGGCGTAAATCCAAGATCGGCTTACTACAGGTAGGTAGGTACCTAAGGTAGCAGGTGTGGATGCAGGTAGTCCCAGTAGGAGGCTGTGCAGGGGAAAAGACAAGAGTTATTAGGGTCTGGTAATCCATCCCCTCTTCAAGTCTTCCCTCCTTCTCGTGAGTTGAAACACGGGCGGGTTCGGGGTAGGTTGCCCGGGGTGGTTTCGCGGAAACGGGCCGCGTGCTGAATGTGTACATAGGGTCGTTTAGGGTGTTGTCGTAGGGTCCTGTCGGACCGCAGATGACCCCGGGTTGGAATCGGTTGGACTTGGTTGGCGTGGTGCCTGAGGTAGGGTGAGTTACTGGCGTCCGCCAAGGGCGTTGAGATATTCATAGGCGAGCGAGCAGGGTGCTGGATGGGGTACCCAATGCAGGAGATCTGTGGGTTTGGCACCCCTTACGCGATGTAGGGCGCAGATGCGATCTCGAGAGCCGATCATTTTCTGCATCGGCTACGCTTCCTACCCGTTACGTTACTTCCCGTCTCGCAGATGACTTGGTATTTACTAGGAGGTGGGCATACCTCAGCATAGTTGGCGTTCGCGATAACAGGGAATGGTGGAGGGAGTGAATGTTGGATATACCTAATGAATGGTCTGTGTGCTCCCTGTCAAATCCACCTTGACTACCGACAATAGGTACCTACATAATGATTATCCCCTCCTCTTACCTCGCCTCGAGCGTGTGGCTTTTTGCGACATCCAACTCATACCTATTATTACACACTTACACACATCCCTCACCCCCTACACATGCCTACCCATATACAGAACCAGAACCTACCTACATACTGCGGCCATCCCTGATTAATCTAAGAGGCCTTGACACCGACCCCCCTCTACTCGGCCTACTTCCTCCTAGACTTGGTCTCGTACTCTCTTAAGCGCGGCTCGAATCTGGTAACCCTCGCGAGCAAGTCTAGTCGCACATTGGAAATGTCGTGTAAGTCGTGTGATAGATAACCTCTCCCCACCCACCTCGCCTCCCCCTCTTTCTTTGCTACCCACCACATTGCCTTCTATCTTGGTCCCTCCCAAGGCTCCTCGCGTCTTAGACACGAGAGGGTAGCGGCGCTAGAGTGTGGCCTGATATCGACTCCTCCCTTGCGAGATGCAGCGTGCAAGAAGGGGGGAGGGAGAGGATGTAAACAAGACAGGGCAACGAGAAAGAGGGGGGGGCGGTGGAAAACCAGGGGACGTGGTGGTGGCAGTGCCGCTAACGAGCTAGCAGTCTTCTCAGGGACGAGCAAGGTAGTCAACACATCGCCAATAGCGGCAGAGGACGATGACGGCGGCCCCTCTGACGTCGTTATCCGCAAGGAGGCCGCTGTGGCGTTGCTGCACGACCACATATTCTTCCTGCACTGCGACCCGCACTATGTCTCGCACCGGGCCCTCCTCCCTGCGGCGGCGGAGGAGTCGGGCACGACCGGGGAAGGGGAGGGAGCGGCGGCGCACCAGCTACCGGCGGATGTGGAGCCCGTCGGCAGCCCCTCCGTCAAGCTGTACGAGGTGGTGGACCACGTGCCGAACCCGGTCTGGAGCAGCAGCGTCGTGAGCAAGGAGGAGTTCGTCGACCTCGCGGACGGGCTGTGGGTCCGGATCCGCAGCCCCATGGCCATCACGATGGAGACGAGGTGGACGATCCGCGAGGGGAAGGGCGAGGGAGGCGGGGGCCTCGAGCTGGTCGAGGACGTCGAGATCACCTGCACGAAACTGCTGCTCGGTATCGTGAAGTCGCAGGTCGAGAACAACTGGAAGGGCATCCACAAGAGGATCGTCGACAGGCTGGTCGAAGACGCGAAGAAGGCAAAGACCACCGAATAAATTCGGGGGGGGGTTAGGGGGGTAGCGTCGTAGGCCGAGCGGTATGTGCTAGGCCCAGTGAGAAGAATTGTACAGCCTGACTGACGAGGGAGAATTGTAAATCAGAGGTGGTGCTATTCCGAATTCTCCTACGAGGGGAAATGCCTATAGGACAGGGCGATGGGAAAGGGGGATGGCTAGAGAATATGTAGATATGCCCTTGCCGCCTGCCCTATCCCTTCATCAGGGCCACCTCGCCGAAAACACTGGGAATTGGGAGCGTACTATGTCTTGCTCCTCACAAACGCCAACGCCGAGGCCACAATGCTATATTCGCATAGCACACAGCACGAGGCGGTGGTGGACTGCGTGTAAGTGAGATAGGTAGGTACCCAGGCGTTAGGTACCATAATGTACCTACCTAATGCATGCTACTATCTGTAATAAACGTCCACTACTAAGACCCAACCCCTTTCGCCGCTGGAACCAAATGCCCTTTACGTACCTACCAACGCACACCCTCCAACCCGCATTTTACGCCCGAGATGTACCTGAGTACGACGCAGTTACATCTCTATGCCCCTCCATGCGGCCCCGGTCCCAGGCGCAATTCAGCCAACCACGGGCCCAATACCCCTCTTGACTATCCTCTCAGCCTTGCAGTACAGCGCGGCTGCACACGTACCTATCCCTCTCTCTTTTTTTTTTTTTTAACCCTCCTTCCACTGGCAAAATCCCACCCGCACCCACTGTCGCTTGACTCACTCGACAAAATACTGACCTAGGTAATCCAAGCATGATATCGTTGCCCCGAACAAATCCGCGGTTGTAGATACCGATACTCTCACCACTCCCCCCCCCCCTCCTCCTCTCTCTTCAACATCTCCGGCCTCTCTTGAATGACCATCCTCCTCCCTCGCATCCTGATCTCGGTTGGGAGCCTGCGCCAAACATCGAGAATCCAGATTCAGAGATACGCTCTTGGCCACTTCTCATCGCGAACCGCGAGGTTCCGCTCGACGCACCATACCCCCGGGTCGCTGCCCGACCAACCCAACATGGCTCCCAAATTCGAGCTCAAGACTCCGAAAGGAACCAAGGACTGTGAGTTGCGCCCCGCCTACCGCTGTACGATCGTGTGAAGCTTATCATCGAAGGGGAGGGCAAGGACATGGTCATTCGTGACAAGATCTTCTCTACCATCACCGAGGTCTTCAAGCGCCACGGCGCCGTCACCATTGACACTCCCGTTTTCGAGCTCAAGGAGATCCTGGCAGGGAAATACGGCGAGGATAGCAAGCTCATCTACGACCTGGCCGACCAGGGCGGTGAGATCTGCTCGCTGCGCTATGACTTGACCGTCCCGTTCGCGAGGTGGCTCGCCATGAACCGCGACGTCCAGACCATCAAGCGCTACCATATCGCCAAGGTCTACCGGAGAGATCAGCCGGCCATGACCAAGGGCCGCATGCGCGAATTCTACCAGTGCGATTTCGACATAGCGGGAGTCTACGACGCCATGCTCCCCGACGCCGAGGTCATCCGCATCGTGAACGAGGTGTTCGATGCGCTAGGCTGGAAGGGTACCTACACGGTCAAGCTCAACCACCGAAAGATACTCGACGGCATTTTTCAAGCCTGCGGCGTTCCGGAGGACAAGATCCGAACCATCTCGTCCGCGGTGGATAAGCTGGACAAGCTACCGTGGGCCGAGGTGCGAAAAGAGATGACGGAGGAGAAGGGGCTCGATCCAGAGATTGCGGATCGAATCGGAGAGTGGGTAGTCTTGAAGGGCCAGAGGGATCTCCTGGAGAAGCTCTGGGGTGACGAGAAGCTGTCGGCGAACGAGTCCATGAAGCAAGGAATCGCCGATCTCGATTTACTGTTCTCGTACCTCGACTTCTTCAACGCCCTAGACATCGTTTCGTTTGACCTGAGCTTGGCGCGGGGCTTGGACTACTACACCGGCGTGATCTACGAGGTCGTTACAGAGGGATCTGCGCCGTCGTCGTCAACAGCCCCTGCACCTGCCACGGCCGCGCCGCCGCCCAAGAAAAGGAAGAGCAAGGTATCTACGGATCCCGACGAGGATCGTTCGTCGGACCCAACAGTAGGTGTCGGTAGCGTGGCGGCCGGCGGCCGGTACGACAACCTGGTCGGCATGTTCTCCGGCAAGAACCAAATACCTTGCGTCGGCATCTCCTTCGGCGTCGACCGAATCTTCTCGGTCACGAAGGCGCGGATGGCAGCCGACAAGACCCACGACCAAGTGCGGAATAACGAAGTTGACGTATACGTCATGGCGTTTGGCGGCAAGGGCTTCAACGGCCTCCTGAAAGAACGCATGGCAGTCTGCGGGTCGCTGTGGGGAGCCGGTATCAAGGTAAGGCGCGCTTAGGCATAGGTATCGTGCATGCACGCACGCACGCACGCACGCATACATATACGCATCACGCAAATCTGCGTCCGATTTTGCTAACTGAGAATGGCGCGACAGGCCGAGTTCAATTACAAAGTTAAGCCGAGGCTACCCAATCAATTCAAGGCGGCCGAGGTGAACGGCGTCCCGTTTGCCGTCATTCTGGGCGACGAGGAACTCGCGCAGGGCAAAGTTAAGATTAAGGAGATGGGCCTTCGCGACGACCACCCCGAAAAGGAGGGAGTGCTCGTCAACCTGAGCGACCTCGTCAACGAAGTCAAGCAGAGGCTGCAGCGGAAGCAGGAGCTGGACGAGATGACGCGACGGGCCGAGGGTCTGAAAGTGGTGCACGGCATCAAGGGTGACGGCGTGGCTGCTAGTACGCCTGGCGAGGTCGCGGCAGCTCCAGAGGCGTCCACGGAACCGGCGCCAACAGAACCTCCCGCGACGGAGGAAACCAAAGCCTGACGGAATGATGCATTCGATGCCTAGCGTGCGAGATTGGCGCCCACTTAGGGTGCGCCATGCAGGAATTTCTGGTCAGATCATTCGCGTGAGAGGGCGCGAGAGTCAAGTCTATCAGTACTACTATACCATCACATTTGGCCGGGGGCAGCGGAGTCGAAAGAGGAAGAAAGCGGAGGAGAGACAAGATAAAGTCATTCACAACAACAAACCGAGTCCCCCCCCCCCCTTCCTCCCTGTATATCACGATTCCACGCTTAGCTCCCTCACCAGCTGCGTGCGTAGGTACCTAAACCGTCGAAACGGGAACATTCTACCACTACGCATTAGTCTGACCGCTTTGACATGTTCGTAGTATATCCCGAAGCTCCACTTATGATGGCAGGATTCTTCCTCGTTAGGTCTGGACCTCGCGCTACGGACTTGCATACGCATTGGTAAGAGAAATGTGAGAAGCAGTATAGTAGACGCCTTCGCCCCAATGGAAGCGGGACAGGACCAAGAAGACGCTAACTAGAGCTGCGAACCCTTCATCGGACAGCCATCGGACAGCCATCTGACATGAAGCAAGATCCATATTCTACGGGACGCTACTACGTAAGCGGTAGGCGCTATACCTCACATTGATCACAACGATGCCGTCTTTCGGTGCCCCCGTACCCTCGATTAGCCACCCCTGGCCACACACCCACTCGTGCATTCGCTTGTTCTTACCTGTATGCGTGCAGTTAGAGAGCGGTGGGTTGGGGATATTACGTTGGGTGTGTATCTGCGCATGCATGCACACCTACATACCTACTCATGCACACACACACACACACAGAGGGAGGACGGCGATCATGGCATTCGGTTTCATCGATACCGCCCCCAGACATGCGCGACCGACGTGAGAGAGAGACAGGACGCCGTCCTCATGACGAAAGACAGGCCCGTCTCTGGCTGCCCATCTTGGTTTTGGTCGCTTATCGACGTCTTGACGTAGGTATGCAGCTTGGCTCGCAGCAGCACCGGTAGCAGCAGCAGTCAAATGATCGGCGGCGTACGGCGGCGGTAAAGAATCGTGCCAGAAAAAAAACAAAAAAACATGGCGGAGGTGTGGCGAGGCGAGGCGAAGGGGTGTATACCCGCTGTATAAGGGACGGAAGGCGAGGATCAACACCTCATTCCGGGGAGGGAGGCCCGGAGCGTTTTGTTTCTTCCTCTCACTCCCCGCCACCCTCTGCGCCTGCTGCTGCGAGGAGGGGAGGGAGGGGAGGGAGGGAGGTGAGACGATGCAGAGAGGAGCGGATGGAGAAGAGCGAGGATAGGGGCGAGGGCCGCGTGATGCGTCCCATCGGGTGGTGAAGCTATCGCGACGCTGCGGTGGGAAAGGAGGGGAGGGACACTATACCTGCCACCCCGCCTGCCGTCTAGGCGTGCCAGTGGAGACGCATCCGGGCCCCTTCTCTCTCTCTCGCTCGCTCGCCCTCCCCGCCTTTCGTCTCGTTTCTGCCGGCGTCATCATCGCCGTTGGCGTTGGCGCTGGCGCCGCGCACCCAGACGTTGCGCACCCAGGGTCGAGACGGCTGGGTAAATACTCATAGGTAGAGGCCTGGAGGGATGGGGTGGATGGGTGGATGGATAGACACGGGACGTCGAGCAGACCGCCAACTTCCTCCTCGCCCGCCTGTTTGAGACGACGACGGGCGAGCCGTTTCGCCAGGCGGTGGCGCAACGGGGTAGCATACGCTAGTTCTCGATACGCGATATGAGCGGAGGTTGGAGGTGGAGGTGGAGGTGGAGGTGGAGGGGGGGGGGGGGGATGTTTTGTTTCTCTGGCTGCCGGATTGTCATCGCTACGTGCAATGCAACGCAGAGACGGGAAGGGATGGCCAGGTGGGGTTTGAGGAGGGAGGGAGGAGGAAACAAAACAAAAGAGACCAAAGAGAAGCCGAGGAGAGAGAGTTCCTGCAGAACAGCGTCGGTGTGGTTTTCGCGGCAGGGGAGAAGCGGAGCCAGGGCTTCTCATTCGCTTCTCGTCCCCTGCGTAGCAGCGAACCTGGGACGAAGTCCTACACTAGATGCATGCATGGCATGGCTCGCACGTACAGAGGCTACATCATGTATAGGCATGCATCGTGTCTAAGGCCTAAGCGTGCGCGCGCTTGTGTCGCTCCAGAGTATAGCCATAAACATCTAGGTAGCAGTGGCAACAGCGGCAGCGTCAGCGGCAGCGGTAGCGACAGCGGTAGCGATAGCGACAGTAGCGCGGAGGATGTGACACGGCCAACATATCAGGCACCGTGACGTGGGTACTCATAAGTATACGTTGGGTAGATACCTAGGTAGATAGGTAGGTAGGGTAGGTAGGTTGCCTATCTGCTCTCTTTCTCAAGCACGGTTCCTCTTCGACTGCAAGGAGGTTAGCATATAAGTAAGTAAGCGTGTGCGCACCTCGGCGATGTGACGATAGCGTCTATATACATACTACTATGCCGTCTGTGCGCCGTGGTGTTTTCTGCCTCTTCCCGGGGTCGACGAAGTTCGCTTACCCGTTCGAGAAGTTGGAATTCCGTCTGCCTTACTTTAGGTACTGAGGCATTATACGTAGGGTAGCACAGTACACAGCTCAATATCAACGGACTCGGGACTTATCAGCAGGTGGCAGCATCGGAAAGTTGATATCGGGTTGTGCATGCATTATTGGCATATATCGGCATACACACACGCGCACCCGCACCTACACGTACACATACATATGCACATGTATACCATCTAGGGATGCATGGCTGAGGAGAATTATCGAATATTGATTCCGGCTGAGAGAGAAAGAGAGAGAGAGAGAGAGAGAGAGAGAAAGATCAAATTAACTCCGCCAGGCGTAAACGGCCGGGGGTCCACCCGCGTATAGCAAGTAGGAAGATGGCGTAATAGAGACGGCGGGATGCGGTTGGCCGGTTTGTTGATTGGTTGGTTAGCCACTTGTCCCGGTGAGACACAAAAGCATGGATACACTATTACCTCATGCAGGTATGCAGAAAGTAGAAGAGGGCGGCGGGGAAAAGGCAAAGAGAGAGAGAGAAAAAAGGAAGAGGGTAGGGTAAACAGATGGAAAAGGAAAATAGGAGAATGTCACAGTTGCAAGGTAGGAGTCCCTTTTGGGGGGGGGGAAGGGAGGTTTCAAGCCCATTTTTGGTGCTAGCGTGCCGACTAGCTGGCTTATTGTTCGGTACTGAGCGCCGTAGTGTTACAAGGGGGAGATGGGGAAGAAGGGGGGGGGGGAGAGAAGAAAAGGGGGGGACGAAAACCACAGATAGGTAATTAGATATCTAGATCGGTGCACCAATTGCTAGGTAGAGGTATGTAGGTACCTACGTTAGGTACCTAAGGTATGCAGACGGCCCGCCCTCAGCGTTGACCGGAGAAGGCATGTCATATCTACATATACATACACACGTACATACTCTCTACAGACAGAACATGCACAATCCGCATTGTACGGAGGCGTGCATGAGACATGTCCACAGAGAGGAACACGGGCTCGGGGCTTTGCGGTGGCTTGCTTGCTCTCAATTCGCTCTCGAATCGCTCTCGTGCCCGCCTGCAGATTTCCTGCAAGGGGAAGGAAAGAAAAAAAAAAAACAGACGGGCCACCACGAGGGATTGGTAATGGATGGCTAGCGACCGCTAAGCAGCCGAGTAGCGAGCCTCCCACTGTCGGTCGCTGCCACATCCCGGCTGGCTGGGCAGACCAGAAACAGGGATGGAACGGACCTCACCCGCCAAGAGCACATGGGTACACCGCGCGGCCCGCCACCTCTTGCCTCGCCTGCCTCCGGCCCAAGCTCTGCCTCCTCCCGGTCGCCCGCTAGGTTGTGTGCTAAGGTGCCAGGACGCACGCTACGGACACTTTTTTCCCACTCGCCACGAACATGGCTTGTTCGACCTCTCTCCTCTCTCTGTCTCCCCCCCCCGTCCGCATCCCCCTCCCTTCATTACACTACGCTGCATTCATATCACGGCTCTGAGATCCGGACCAGCGCCGACAAAGTTAGCCTGCAGGGATCACGCACCACACGACAACCCCGAAAAGAGCAGGCAGCGCGAAGGAGAGGGAAAAAAGAAGAGAGACAAAATGCCTACGCCTGGTCTGTGTGAACAAGCCCGGCAGCCCTGCCGGCGGGAGGTGCAATTGGATCTTGCCACTCCCAGATGGTGGGAGATGGTGGCCTGTCGTCAAACTCCCGTCGAGCTCCGTCAGCCTCGACCCGCTCGACCCTCGAGTCTCTGCATGAAGAATTCCCGTTTTCGTCCTCCCCATCACGAGTTGCCAGGACAGACGAGAAGGGAACCCATGCCACGAAAACGGCAAGGCCCTGGTGCTGGCCCCATCCAAGCTTGGATTCTGCCTATTGAGCCCTGCCTGCTGCGTGCTACGACGCATTACAAGATGGACACTACTTCATATTCATACATGTGTGTGTGTGTATGTGTGTATGTGGGTGGGTAGGTAGGTAGGTATGCATGTACATAATGCATACACATACACATACTCTACACACACACACACACACACACACATGTACACACATGGTAGGGAGGGCAAGGCCCCTAACGGTGTCGATGGACTTGGATTAATTGCACCGTGGTACTGTCCCCCGGTTCCCAGTTTCTGGTAGACAAGGGTTTGCTTTGGCCCATGTCTTTATCGTGTCGTCAGGAAGGGCGAGGATGCCTGCCAGCGCTCTGCTTTGACCTCGCCCACAGCCAAACCTACGCGTGATACCCCGGACTTGACCATATGAAGAGATCGTTGGTCCTGCTCCAACTCGTGGGCACCCGGGGAATTCCAAGATTAATAAAGAGAGCCGATGCCTGGACGACTCCTTTCCGCCCTAGGTTTTCTCTTCGGTTTGGCTGATGCCCTCTGTGCTCTCTCATTACTTGAAACGCCGTCTCACGCCTGTCGTTGCTTATCTTCCGCCTCTGACGATATCTGCCTCAACAGGGACAGCAGCACCCCGTGTCCGCCCGCAGCACATCGTCACCTGCTTCTGTCGCCATTCAACACACACTTTATCCGCTACGTAATCTTGCCCGTGGTGGCTATCATCTACCGTCGCCTTGAACTCCGGTTCGTTTCTAGGGCCGACGCAGCGAGTCTAGAGGGACAGAGACAGAGACATAAGAAAAAAGCGAAGAACTCGTTTCAAGTTGGGAAACCCAGCATTCACCTCCCGACCCGTTTCTTCATATTTTCTTTCTTTTTTCGAGATCCCTTGGGACGGCATCGAGCCAATATCTGGAAATAACCCCAATAATACCTGGCCCCTGAACCTTTCAAACCCAGTCGAACGGTGCCAGCCACATTTACGTGGGGAGGAAAGAAGAAGAAAAAAAAGGAGGTTCCCGGTCCAGTTACTTACTTACCTTGCTTCCCCCCTTTCCATTCTGCATTTTCAGCTTCGTTGGTTTGGACTGGCTGGGAACTGCGATGCTACGTCTGTATTCTTAAAGGGGCAAAACAAAAAAAAAGCAGCCGTCCCGATATCGAAATCGTCGTCAACCCGGTCCGCGACGCCTCGTTGGCCCCTCCATTCGCCGCAAAATCAATTTTCGAAAATCAGACTCACCGTAGTCGTCAGCTCCAATACAGCCCATCGGGATTTCGCCGCTGCGGTGTGATTCCTCCGTGAAACTCTGAGGCGTCCCCCAGTGTCACCTAAATATTCGGTAACCTGCATAATCAGCCGATAGCCCAGCCCAGGAACGGTGCAGCTGCTGTCTTGCTCGCCGTTTATCGGATAGCAACGGAAATAGAGATCCAATATTCGCCCGAGAATCATACACCCGTCACTTGGGTATAACTACTGGAATACTGGCGACGCGTTCACCACGGCAACCTGCCGCTCAGATTCCACCACAGCAGCTATGAGTGGGTTAATACCGCTGCTACTGCCGTCGTCTTCGGGCGGTAGGCCAAGTGCCGACTATGCCCCTATCGAGACGGGCAGGCGGGCATCACTCGCACCACATTCATCCGCAGCCCTGCCTTTGGTCCATCGCCGACAGCAGTCGCTGCCATCCATCAGAACTGCTAGGCGCGGCTCCCTAACCCCTCCAACTGCGCTTCCAATCATTCCCTTCACCTCCATGGAGTGGAAGAAGGCCATAGATGAAGTGAAGCGTAAGTATCTGAACCGCAAGTACCGAGCATGCTCTGCGAGGTGCTGCGAGATACTGGACAACCTCAAGGACCCGTCCGCGGTGGAACCCGTTTACCTGATCTACCTCCATTTCTATGCCGCCTCCTCCTTCGAATCATGTGCGCGGCCCCTGTCAACCTCGTCTAATTACCGTACCATGCTTCTCCGCGATGCCCAGACCCACTACAACAAGGCGGACGGGTTGATTCAGAAAACAGAGGACGGCATGAACGGGAGAGGAAGATCCGCGTCCTCGAGCTCCAGCACCTCCAGCCTTCACTCGCCAGAGCTCTCTCCTAGTACGAGGTCGTCGGCGCCAAGTACCACATTGTCATCGCCGAGAACATCGCTATGCTCGGTCGAAGAAGGACCCGCGTCGAAGTCGAGCTCAAGACCGGTAGGCAAGGCCAAGAAGAAGGTGTCGTTCTCGGGGTTGAACGATCTCATCGAATTCCAACCGGAGCCATACATTCGCCCGGACAGCCCTACGCTGGGGTGGGAAGACGACATGCTCCCTCCAAGCGCCGACTCATTCCCTTTATTTGTGGAGAAGAACAGATCGGTGCCGGCGGCAAGCCCAGAGTCGCCAGTAGAGCACGAACGGCCGTCGATGGCCCCGCTAGCTCGGGATTCGCGATCGACAGAAGAGGCAGGTCTCGCAGACGACAAATTCGATCTAGACTCCTTCCTGCAAAATCGGTCGATGAACAAAATCCGCGCCCAGCTCTCCGGCCTGCGCTCGCAAATCACCTTCCACCGCGATGGTGTCGACGCCATGCTTGCTGTGTCCGACGATACGCCCACGGTGCCCACCGTTCCGATAGACATACCGCCCGTGCCCCCCACGCCATTTACGCCACCGCGTCCCGCCCGCGCAAATACCTGCCCGACGGAGGTGGAATTCGGGTTGAGCCCGAGCGGTAGGACGACTCCTTGGACGGCCTCTGCGCTGTTGGACAGCTTTCCCAAATCTCCAAGCTTCGACATAGGCAACCCGAGGGCCATCGTCCGGCCGGCCTCGGCCGCCTCGATGATTCGCTGCGCCGACGAAGCGCTACAGCAGCGCATCGAGCGTCTACGCGCCGGTGGCTGGCGCAGGAAGCGCTTCGACACCCGACGTTACGAGGTGCTGCGGGAACAAGTCCTTGGCGAACTTGGGGCATAAGCGAGCGGGAAAGACCTGTCACCCCTCGCTCCCACCACCCCCCCTCCCCTGGAACCCGGATGATGTACGTCAGCTGACTGCATGTATTGGAACCGTACTTGCGTGACGTAGTCTCCGGCTGGCCAACGTCGCCGATCCTATACGCCTATGTTCAATTAATCAAAACGCCAAAGCCTTTTTCGCGACAGCTTCCAGCCACACCCCACGCATCCGCGGAAGCGGGGCGGGGATGGGATCGCGGCGATTACTTGCCCTACTCGCCGACCATTTTAACATTCGTCATATCTCTTGACCTGGTTTGTATTATACAATCGTGTATGGTTGTGGACTTAACCACGTGCGTGCGCAGTCTATTACTATTGTCATCTCTAAGCAAGGGAAGGTTGGCGGGGGAAGGGGGGGGGGAAACTGGAGTTGGAGGGGGGAAAGGGGACGGAAGGGGAAAATGTCCCCCCCACCTGCTCTCATCACTTTATCGGTATGTTTGCGGGCTGACAACATCGTCGTCATTGTCAGTCACATCGGGTTCAGTTACTATTGGCTGTTATATCATTATACCCTGCTACGAGACCATCCGCATAGGTTTAGGTTATTTTTATTCTTCTTCCTCTTCCTCTTTTGTCTTCGGCTCTCTCTCTCTCTCTCTCTCCGTTACTCGTAGTAGTACGAGAGTCGCCGGGGCTATGTAGTAACAGCTTTTTTTCTTTCTTTCTTATATATATGAAAAATACCCCCAGTAAGAAAATAACGGGAGACGAGGGGCGGGAATGAAGGAAAGGGAGGGAGAGGAGCAACATCGGATAAGCTGAGCTGGGCGGGAAAAGGGGGAGAGGAGGGGGTTTGGAGGACGGCGAAGTGTGTGTTGGACGAGAGAAGAAAAAGCAATAGGCCAGAGGCACACCCGGGAAAGGGGAGACACGTCCGGCATTGGCGCCAGCACGTATGTACATGCGCGCGAAAAATTAATCGATTGAGTTGCTGCTCTCGCAAGAATGGCTTGCGCCGCCTTGCCTCTCGGCTGGCCGCTCGCTTCCACATGCCCCCTGCTTACCTACCTGTCTACCTGTCTACCTGCCCGTCTCTACCTACCACCTCTATGATCATCGCGACGGGGGGGGGGGGGGGGGACCAACGCTTCGAGCGGAGAATCGAGATAGGGGGAGGTAGTCTGCAGACCTATAGTATGTGCACATGCTTGCCTGAGCAGATGCAGCCGCGGCCGTCTGTCTCCTGTCTGCCTGCCTTGCTTACCTACCTCCTTGCTGCGCGGCGCGCGCCGTGCCGTCTGTGTCTCGCCGGGCCCCCTTACTTCCCGTCCCCGCGCCGCGGCATAAAGCGGGCGGCGGCTCCTCGACCACCAACGACCCCCCGTATGCCGTATATATGCCCCAACCCGGCGATGGTCGGCGGTAGTAAGAGCAGTAATAGTAATAGTAGTGGTGGTAGCGCGAGAGAACTACTTCAAAATATCAAGTAAGCGAGAGATGGGCGCATATAAAACAAAAAAAAAAGGGGGGGGGGGGCAAGGAACTTGTAAACAGGCTGACGGGACCTCAGAATAGTCATGACCACGGACGTACACTTGAGACGACGACGCTAGACGGGATAGAAATAGGATAGATAAAGTGGGTGGCAAGAGAGAATGGAGGAGATGTAAAGACCCCCCCCCCAAAGAAAAAACTCCTTCTAGGCGGGTAAGGATCTAGGAGGCAAGGAAAAAAGGACGCCCCTTACTTGACCGACCAACCGATCGTACCTGTCTAAACCCGAGTTCCCGTTCCTCCATCTGCGTCTATATTCCGATATAACGGTGAACAGTGTGTGAAAATGTGTACAAGTGTTCATATGACGCGAGTGAAACTATAGTGCCATACCGACCCTAGATTGTCCCTCTTCCAACTACTTTGCTATATCTTTAGCCCTGTCTTCCTCAACCACACACACTCTCTCTCCCCGCCAAGGATGGGTGGAGGATTGGGTATCTATCCTATTTGCGCCTCTTCTACCAGTTTCCTCTGACTAGCTTCTAGCTGATCTCTCAAGACCCGAAGCTTCTTCGCTTCGCCTCCTTCTCGACCTCTTCCGTCACCTTCAATGTCTGCTCCTGCTCCTTCATCTCGCGGACCTTTGCCATCACGACCTCGCGGAAGATGGCGCCCTTCATAGCACGCGTGAGCTTGCCCTTGCCGGCGCCCTCCTCTTTTGTCGGCGTAGGCTGTCTGATTGGACCGGCTTCGCTGGTCGCAGCCACCGAGCTGTCGGGGAAATCGGGGTTCTCTGGGTCGTCTTCCTGTATCTTGAGTGCCTCGATACGGTTCGACAGCTTAACGAGCTCGATACCGCGCCGCAGCCGTGCCTTGGCGATGTAGGCCTTGATCTCAGGTAACAAGTTGTGGTCCGTGGCACTCTTACCACTGAGCCAGGGGTGCTTCAGAGCTTCCTGCGAAGATATTAGCAACTATGTATACCGGATCAGCAGAATACGAGTCGCCACGTACCTTGCTATTCCATCTGTCGTCGGGATCCGGCTGTAGCAGGTGGCATATGAAGTCCTTAGCGTCGTCACTGACATCCCTCCAGTACCGTTCGTGGAAGACGACCTTGCCGCTGCTGCATTCATCAATCAAATCCTGCAAGTTCTCCGAACGGAATGGGGAATAGCCGCAGAGGAGGGTGTAGGTAATGACGCCCAAAGACCACATATCAACAGGTTTGCCGTGACCTTTCTTCAGCATCACTTCCGGGGCTGCGTAGCCAAAAGAACCCGCCATCGTAGTGAGGACCTCATCCTTGGTATCGAGCATCTTTGCAATTCCGAAATCGGCCAGGACTAGGTCAGAATCGGCAGCTTTGCTGAGGTACAAGAGGTTTTCGGGTTTGAGGTCTGGTTTGGGTAGTTAGATAGCGGCCCAGAGATTACAGGGGGTGGGAGAAGGCAACGACCTACCTCGATGCACGACATTCTTATCATGGAGGTAATCGACGGCACCCAGCACCTGATTTATCGTCTGTGAGGCGTCTTTCTCGGTGAACTTGCCTTGTTCACAGATTCGGTCGAAAAGTTCGCCGCCGGTAGCTAATTCGGTAACAATATACCACTTGTCCTACACACGACTCGAATCAGTGCTAGGCCGAAGGGGAGGGGCATCCGCAATTAGGGGGTTTTCTCTCTTCCGAGGTCCACATACCCTCGACTCAAACCAATCGACGAAGCGAACAATGTGAGGATGCTTCAGGCGCTGGAGCATCTCCAGCTCGTCCCAGACCATCCGCTCGTTTCCCTTAACATTCTTCTTCAGAATGATCTTTATGGCGACTTTGCCCATGGGGCCATCCGCTTCGCGAACAATACCATATGTACCAGCACCGAGGGTCCGTCCGAACTTATACTTCGCTTTCCTCTCGTAGCTCTCGGGTTGGCCCTGGAGGCTCCTGAGCATGGCATTGACTAAGTGCGGTGCCACGTTAGCAAATGTCGGCTATCGAACACCGGCAGAGTATTACACATCGAATAATCGAGCAGATATATATATAGGGGAGAAGACGGGTTATATCGCCCCCATCCGTCCCCCTTCACCCGAAACAAACACGGGAGAGACGCGATAAACGAGGCAGAGGAATACAGATATATAACTTACAACTCATCGTGAATTGGTGGGGTAACCGGGCAAGAAATGCCAGGCTGGAGGGGGTCTCGTGCGAACGCGGGTCAGGATGAAGAGCGTTTCTCTCTTCGAGGCGATAGCGAAGCCTTGAGTCCCGAGAGGGCGAGGCGCTGGCTATTAGGTATGATTAATTCGCCGGTCAGGGAGAGAGAACGAGGCCCAGGTATGGAGGTACGGGGTTGAGGGGAGTGGATAAGTCCTAGAGGAGGAAGACGAGGGAGAGAGGGAGAGCGCTGGTATTGGGCTCGAAAACGATTGTAACGTCTTAGTGGAGGACAGAGAGAGGAGGGGCGCTTCCAATGGATCAAGGGTACGTAGCTGTTTGGGGGGGGGGGGGGGAGAGGCTAGGGCAGGTAGGTACCTAGGTACGTACTTGATTCTTTGGCGTTACCCGCCGTCGTGGCCGGGTTGTGGTATGGAGCAGCGTGCGGCAGCAGGTACTTGGAGCCTGGTAGGTACATGTGAATGTGAGCGCCCAAGGCAGGCTCGGTTCGGTCAGGAGGTACCCAAGTTGCACCCTCTGGAGTACTTGTACAATGCTGGGTCGGCTGGACTCTTCGTAGGAGGTCGTTCCCTATTTCGGCGGGGGGGAGCAAAGGTAGGTAAGGCAGGTATTGTAGAAGGGACTTGGAGAAGGGACTTGTAGAAGGGACGTTTGGAGGGAAACTCGTCTTTATCTTAGGCCGGGTGGGCGCAGCTGAATTTCGATCGGCCTGGGTCTCCTATAAATATAACTGGGGTGAGCGGCGCGTATATTCGGGGGTACTTAAATATACCTACCTACAGATGTACCTAGAGGTATGTAAGCACACTAGATGATGTACCTACCTAGGTACTCCTGTAGATTACACCGCAGCGCGGAGGCCCAGGGGTTGGTCTCGGGAGGTATTGTTAGACAGACGTATCTGTGAGCGAGGTACGCGAGAAGGTAGGCAGCGGATAGACATCCAGCTATGTTTTAGGGTAGATCTGATATCAAGAAAGCGGAGGGAGGCGGGAGGGACACGAGCTAAGTAAGAAGAGGGACCTCCATATGTAGGCGTCTCGGTTCGTCGAGATTCGCAGCCTCTCGGTGATTTCTGCCATGTGGGCGTGCTGGCCCGGCTGAGCTGTACGTGAGGCAGCACACCCGGCCTCCCCAGGCTTGTATACTGGGTAGGTATAGTATAAACCTAGGCTGATCACATCGAACCCAGTCCCAACCAACATGACGTGATGTGATGGATTGGGAGAGAAAGCCTTGCTGGATAAACCCTGCCGTGTGCTCGAAAGTTGGCTATACATTAGGTACTATAGAGACTTTCCTCCTACAGGTACCTAGGGTAGGAGGGTAGGCAAGCAGGTACGCAGGATACCTACAGGTAAGTATACATGTGCAGGTACCTTCTTATAGGTACCTACACCTATTCGTGCAGGTAAGGTACCTACCTAAAGTCCCTACCTCTATTACATCAGGCACCTACTCATATACGCCTTAGGGGGCGGGTAGGCAGGTACGTGGTAGAATACGGGCATACCGTCCGCTGCACACCCATGGATAAGGGGCAGGCCAGCTCAGCCGCAATGCCGGGCTGCTGGGGGAGCCCAATAACCAGTCGCGGACGAACCGAAAGCATCGAGAGGCTAACTCGAGACTCACTACTCATATGAGATACGTAAGCTGGCTGACACGGCACCGTGGCTCGCGTTGGCGACCTCGCTGTCCCCACCGGCGGCTAGCCCTCGCCTCGTGGCCATGCAGCACTACATCACATGCCTATTCCGGCTTATACGCAGTAAGGAACAACGAGGGTGCCCTCCTTGTCATCCAATCTCCCCAGACGACTCCGCGTATATGTAGCATATCAAATGACTAAGCTGCAAATATAGACCTGTAAAGTCAGACAAATTAGCATGGCGCACCGAGTCGGAAACGGAAGAGAAATAGAGGGAGGCAGAAGACAGCGGAAGATGGAGAGAGTGTACGTCTACATAGCAGAGTGGGCATCGTGGAGACGACATGGTGGCCCCCCTTTTGCTATTTCTATATTACGTTCGGTACCTATTTACCTACCTCCTTTACGGGTATCTGATGGAGTAGACTTGTGCCGTGCGTGCCGGGAAGCCGGAACCCATGGCTGAGCATGGACATGAAGTCCGGCGCAAAGGGTGATTTCAGGGCCCCGAAGCTGATACCTTACCAACCTGTGGGAGGCCCATCTTGAATGCCTCACTGGATAGGAGGTACCTACCTTAGGTACTTATGCTGGCCTCGGGCAACGAGACTAGGTTTGTCACATCCATACATTAATGGCATTGTATGGGTCGCCTTACATACCTGCTTATCCTCCTGTACTAGGATTAGGAGGCCGTACATAGTAACATTGGGTTGGGCTAGAATGAGTGATGACATGTGATGTGTAGGAAATCAAAACACATTGTGCACCTACGCAGGCATACGTATATTTTCATCTTGACATATTTACAGACTTACAGACTTACAGCCCAGTCTCCCACCACCAGCTTCACCTGGCCTACACACACGTATGTACGTCTACGGGGATAAGATGTGCATGCACGAAGGGTGCATGAGTTGAGGATGTTGTCGTGGACGGACCAATGCACATTGCCTAATGACACCTGTAGGTACCTGTACCTACCTCCTAGGCGCATACCTTAGATACCTTAGGTACCTCTCTAAACTCCTAACATCCGTTGCCCTAGGAGGAGTACCTCTAGGTACCTAAGGCGCCCAGCTCTGACTGATGACTTTATGTAGCTCGCCTTGCCGATTTGCACGGCCCGTGGCCGAGGGCAGCCTTAGGCAGGTACATGTCACCTCTCTGACTGGGCTGCGGGGCAATTGTGGCGTTCCGTTTACTCATGCAATTCATTCCCTTCATCCCCATCCGCTGCCTTCCGTCTATGCACACCTCTTCATTTGTGAACGATCTCGACTCGCCCACGAGTTCATTCTCCTCGATCTGCCTGTCTTGGCATCGGATCCCGGGAAGAGACAGAGATGTGATTGCACCACTTTGAACCCCAACACCTCAACCAGTGCCCACTCCTCAGCCGTCTATGGGTCATCCTGCTCGCGTACCTTGGACAAATTCTCATCGTCATATTCACTGTATATCCCAAAGCCATCTGGTAGCTCTGCAGCTACTTTCGCAGGCTGTTTCGGTCCCCGGACTTTTTCTCCTTCGCCATCGCCCGACCCGCGGAATCCAACGGACGCCTCGGCTGGGGAGGCGAGAACTGCTGTCCTGGCTTGTGTCACCAGCACGGCCTACATCCACCTCCGCCACCCTGCGCAGCCCATCTCCCCGTACCAAAATGTCGGGTTTGGGCCCCAAGAGATTAAACAAGGAGCTATTAAAGGTATGTCTAGCATTCGCAACCCGGCGCCCCTTCTGCTGCGCAGTACGTTAACTAGATGCAAATACCAGATCTCGAGTAGTCTACCGCCTGGTATCGCCCTGGTCTCTGCCGAGAACTTGGAAGAATGGTTCCTTGATATCCAAGTCCTCGACCAGAATCCCCTCTACGCGGGTCAGACCTACCGCCTGAAGTTCAAGTTTAGCAACTCATATCCCATCGGTATACGCTCTCGCCTCTTGATCGTTCGGGGGACACGGAACTAATATGGGAGTGACAGAGCCTCCCGAAGTAACATTTGTGAAGCTGGACAACCGACAGATACCTATGCACCCTCACATCTACTCGAATGGGATCATCTGCCTTGACCTTCTCGGAACACAGGGATGGAGCCCGGTCCAGAACGTGGAGAGCGTATGCATGAGCATCCAGAGCATGTTGACTGGGAATACTAGAAACGAGCGGCCACCGGGAGACGAGGACTTCGTACGCGGGAATCGCCTGCGACCCAGAGACATTGATTTCTATTACCACGATAACACCGTATAAAATCAGCGAATCTGACCAGCTTGAGCTTCCCGGCCGATAGACTACGACCAGCCAGGAGCCCTGCATTGCGCCGAGACCCGAAACAGTTCGTTTTCATTTGCCTGTCATCGGGCTAGAGTTTGAGGGGTATCTGGTGTTGGAACATCCATGGGTGTGGCACGAGCGGTTCATCAAGGCAGGCGGGATTATTTTCAGCTAGAAGCAACGGGACTACCCCAGGCTGACAGGTGCATATTCCGCGAGGAGAAGGGTGCGGTTCCCAGCTTACGACACCGCGCTGGAATCTTCGTAATGGGCGGCTCTTTCTAACGGGTATATAACTTACCGCCATCGCGTTTCTTTCCGGCATTCGCACACATATTTATAGGCAGATACCGTCTTGGGTTGACCACGCGACTGGCTGTTTGAAGGCACCCATCCTCCTGGGTAGCCATGTGTCTATCATGATCGGATGTGTGTTGAAGCAACACTGCCAGGCTAGCAATAACATTTCACACTTTGATGAAGACGAAATCGAAGGGGGGGGGGGGGTTAAGAAAAAAGACAGTGTTGGCTCTGGAAAGTGATAACAATAAGTTTACCCGTACCAATGAATCTTTCTATGAACCGGGTACTGACCGCCTGTGTTTACATATCTGCCTACCTCTTACGTGCTTACATAGGCCTCGCCCGTATAACAGGTAGGTAGTATAGCACACGAGAACGGCGTGGCGGGCAATCGATGCGGGGCGGTGACGTCGCGTCGGTGCTGATCAACGTTTTGATTCCGCGATTCGGCGCTAAGCCGGAAGAGGACAAGCCTGTTGAATACTCGAGCTACCTCCAGCCTACGTGTAGGTAGGTACCGAATAGCCTCACTCACTACATGTAGGTACCTCCTCCAACCAACCCCAAAGCTACCCCGGCTCCTCTGCAAGTTGCAACCCGTCCCAACACGCTGAAGCTCCGTCTTTCCCTCTCGCAACCCGTGCATTACGCATTACCTCCCATCCCTCTTCACTCAGAAACCCCCCCTCCCCCCATGAAGAGCTCGAGATGGCTCCTCATGTGGGGTTTGACACCGACCAGATCAGAGATAAGGCTCACAAGGACCTTCTCTATCTTCTAGAAGGCGTAAGTAAGGCTCCCGAATAATCATGCCATCCTAGGCTGGGACGGTCGAGAATAACAGGTCGCTTCAGGTTCGCGGCAAGAAAAACCTCGTTATCGAGCGTAGCCTGGCTGGTCCAATTGGCGTCGTCGCCAAGGTGTCGACGTTGCAGGACTATGGCGTCGACAAGTTCTTCTTCCTCGAAAACGGGAATGCCGATACGAGCCAGCGCAATGTCGTCTTCATGGCTCGAGGGGAATGTGCCCGGCATGCCCAGTCCATAGCAGGTTTGTGATGTTGCTTGGTCTAGATTTCATTCCCTCCCACCCCCCACCCGCTCGCCAGAAGCTACGGGCTCTCAGTAGACATCATGGATGCATTCATCCCGTTCCAAGTTGTCAGTCAATACCGCCCAATATGAATACCTCATAAGCGCGACTTCACAGTTTTTCTCTCGCTAGAACCGACGCGTGAGACGCTATGGTGACGTGCTGACATCAAGCGCAGACCAGATCAAGCGGTTGCAACGCGAGAGCCAGACCGGCCACGATTTCCACGTCTTCTGGGTGCCACGCCGTACCCTGGTATCCGACAAACTTTTGGAGGAAGCTGGCGTCCTAGGCGACGTGAACATAGCCGAGCTTCCTCTGTATTTCTTCCCGCTCGAACGAGACGTCTTATCTCTAGAACTCGACAACTCCTTCCAAGACTTGTTTCTCCGCAAGGATACGACACCGACCTTCTTGATGGCTAAGGCCTTGATGGACATTCAACTGAAACACGGACTCTTTCCGCGCGTCATCGGAAAGGGCGACAATGCAAAGCGCGTGGCTGAACTGCTTACTAGAATGCGACAGGAGATTCTGGCCGGAGAGGATGCGAGCGAAGGCTCCAAGTCGGGGCTTTCTCCCAGCAACACGGTAGAGAGCGTCATCATAATCGATCGCGAGGTGGATCTTGTCACACCCTTACTCACCCAGCTGACATATGAAGGGCTGCTTGACGAGGTCTGGGGAATCCAGAATAACCAAACGGACGTTGATTCCACCATCGTCGGGGCTCTGCCGCAGTCCGCCTCTCAGAGTACCGCGTCTACCCCGACGCCCAGCGCTATTTCGAGGAAGCGTAAGATCCAATTAGATTCCTCTGATAAACTTTACGATGGGCTCCGCGATGCGAACTTTGCGATCGTCGGCACGCTCCTCAATAAAGTCGCACGAAGGTTACAAAGTGATTTCGACAGCCGGCACACCTCCAAGACAACGGCAGAGCTCAAAGACTTCGTCAAGAAATTACCTGGCTATCAGACCGAGCATCAGAGCCTGAAGGTCCACACTGGGCTTGCCGAGGAGATCATGAAGCATACTCGAGCAGAGCAGTTCAGTCGAATGCTAGAGGTCCAGCAGAACCTAGCCGCGGGTGCCGATCCGAGCTCGCAACTCGACGCCATCGAGGAATTGATAGCAAGGGACGTGCCGCTGCGTGAGATACTGCGGCTTCTGTGCATATACTCATGCATATCCGGCGGTATCAAATCGAAGGATTTCGACCAGCTTAGGCGGTTAGTCCTAGAGGGCTACGGCTACCAGCACCTTTTAACCCTGCACAACTTAGAGAAGCTTCAGTTGTTCTTGTCCCGCGCTTCGCCGATGGCTAGCATGATCCCCATGTCAGGTTCGGGAGCGGCAACGGGGACTAAGACTAATTATACCTACTTGCGCAAGCAACTTCGCTTAATCGTCGACGAAGTCAACGAACATGACCCTAACGACATCGCGTACGTCTACAGCGGCTATGCTCCGCTCTCTATCCGGCTTGTACAGTGTATACTACAGAAGCAATATCTTCTCTCGATCACGCGTGGCAACGGGGCGACTGGCACGGGTACTGCTGGCGGCGGCGGCGCTCAGGGATGGCGGGGATTCGACGAGGCTGTCAAGCATGTGCGAGGCCAGACATTTGACGAATTGCAAAAGGGTGAAGACAAAGCGGTCAAGGCCCGAGCGCTATTATCCGGAGGAGGTGACAAGAAGACGGTATTTGTCGTCTTCGTTGGAGGTATCACCTTCACCGAGATCGCGGCGCTGAGGTTTATCACGAAGAAGGAAGAGGGTTGGTGCCATATCTCGTCCTAGATCTCCCCACCTGTCACGTCGACCAGCTAACATGACGGTTGTCTTAACAGGTCGGAGAAATATCGTCATCTGTACGACATCGATGATTAGCGGAAATAAGATGATGGATGCCGCAGTAGAGAAGGGGTCATTCATAAGGGAAGCGCCGGCGGCGAGCGTCCCGCCGACGGGCCCGTAAGAGGACGTGACGGCATTCCGATATAGAATCCACCAAGACAGCGGCGGAAGATCAGGATCTGTCCTGTCCGTGTGAGAGGAGTCGAGAGGCGCCATTCTCGACCGTGTATAGGCAGCTGAATATGTCGCCGCTCGCAGAGAGCAGGGCCAGGATGGTCCGCATTACGTTGGCGATTTATGGTCGTTGGCTTGGTCCCGATTTGCACTGGAGAGAAGGAGTAGGGTTAGCTCGTGGTGGTGGCAGACAACAATGAATTGAGGAATGACCTGTTATATATAGGTACACATGTGTGTCCCTTGAACGTACAGGTAGGCGTACATAGGGTGCGGATAGGCAAGCTTAGCTGTGCCTGAGGGAAATTGAATAGATGGTTGCCGCCGGCCCGGTTCGAAGGTGAGGATAAAGATGGTTTTCAGGTGTAGATCTGGCCTACCTTAGGTACCTCCTACCGAAGCAGGTACCTAGTGCGTCCCGGCTGAGAGGCCCTGCGAGATGTCGAGTACACGATATGTACGTGTAATCATACCTGTGTTATGTGAGGCGTGGGGGTATTCGCTTGGTACCTCCCCGACTTGGACTGAGGGTGCAACCAGCTCCCACAAGTTCTAACGGAGAGAAGAAGCGTGTGTTTGGTCACGTGGCACTGCACCCCGACCTCCTCCGGGTTCCCCTTCGCTCCCACGAACCCACCTAAACTTGCTTAACCTGACCGAACCTGACCCGCCTAGTCTGTTACCTGGGTGGTCTGTTACCCAGGTGGTCTGTTACCCAAGTGTTAGGTTAGCTTACACTGGCACATGGGTGCAGACATGCCTATACGCAGGCATGTACATGCACTGGCAATCGGCACGGCAAGGTACATGGCGAAATGGTGGCATAGGGTCGCCGGCCGGCTCCTCTGCTCTCTGCTGCTGCTGTTCCTGGCGGCAGGAAGGTTACCTATTACTGGCATTACCACCTACTTACTTCTGCCATTACCGGCGTTGCTACTCTCCCAGTGGGCATCGCATGCGGACTTGAGAAGCCCATCAAACGTCATGTACCATATCCCTCCTAAACTCTACATATCCCTCTATCCCTCGTGTGTCTCATCCATAGTCGGGCCGTCCGCGGACACCAATTGATTTCCCGTCTCTCTGACCTTGGCACCCCGGGCAATATCCAGAGATGAGAGGAGCCGAGACGGCGTTAACTCTCGGTCTCACCTCTCGCCTTTGCCCCCTTCTCGAGTGAATACCATACATCACTTACCTCACTTAGAAAACGCTACGGTTTCATTCACTCGACATACCTGCCTTTGCGTTCCCTGCCGTCGGGCAGCGGCTAGAGACGAAGCAATCGAAAACGAACCCGGCCCCGCGGGATCTGTGCATGGCAAGGTACAGTATAATTCCTGCCCATTGGCCACTGTGCGTGATCATTCGATACTTCTTCAATAGACTCTCACCCCCAGATGAAACCAGTTCTTCATAACACGGCTAACAAGAACCCCCCCGCAGCGGCCAGAGTCCCGGCGTTCACAGCGCAGTGCCCGGACTAGCGACAGAGCTGCCGTGTCCGGTTGGCATGCCGGTCCAGTGACGATTACGCGCAGATTGAGAGACGAGTTGCTCGCGCGAGACGTTTTCACATACTCAATGGGAGTCGTGGTCGAGCTCCCCATACACGAACCCCGGGCCACCTACTTCATACCCTTACGTCGCTGCGTGTGCATGTCTCGAGCCGCGACGGGACCTGGGCTCACCAGCTATGAGAAGCGCTCAGGAGGCCTTGTTGGAGGAGGGCAATTGTATCGGGCCGGGCCCTCTGATGGATTTGGAGGAATTGGACCAACACCTAGAATCTCTACTTGCCTCTTCGGTCGATATTACCAAGACTCTTCCTGCCTCTCTCGTCCTAGATCCGTGCACCCCTTACGGCGCCGACTCATCTATATCGACGGAAACCCCGAGAACAGAATCCGAGATTGTGGTACGGATTGATGATACGGACGTAGAGATGGATAACATGGCTTCCACACCTGTGCCCCAGCAAGGCGATCACACGTAAGTCTCCTTCATATGGTAGTATCTACCCTTGGCGAATTTCCATCGCCGGTTGGGTCATTATCACGATGCCGTCGCCACCATCATAATGACATGTTCTAAACCGAGCAGCAGTTCTTACCGAGATAAACCGCCGTCGAAGGACTTGAAATTCCTCGGCGCTGACGGAAATCTCGGAAAGTCTTTCGAGTCATCAACCTCGGCCGTCTCTGACCAGTCGGAGTTGGCCTCTCTCCCCACCACCTCGTCGTCCTCAAGTAAAGCGACAACGCCCGTCGATGTGGACGGACCGAAAGACTTAGGAGTGGCATCCTCCATCAATAACGTTACTACTACCGCAGCCCCTGTCAGAGCGAGGAGGCGGACATATAATGTGCGGCCGCGAGCATCCATCCCAGCGGATCTCGCTCCGTACGAGTATGCCAACCAATGCATAGCCGCAGCCGAGTCATCTCGGCTGAACCCGTATGCCCTGCACCAGGACGAGTACTCGATGTTGAGAAGCCACATTACCCATGCTCAGGTGACCACCTATCTAAACGTCCGGAACGGAATCCTGCGGTTATGGCTGAGTAACCCGCGGATCTGTGTTTCTCGAGAGGAAGCGGTTGGATGTGCTAAAGACGCCAGATGGTTCAACGCTGCAAGCGTTTGCTACGATTGGCTCGTCCGCGCTGGATACATTAATTTCGGATGTACCGAGGTTACGATGCTGAAGAAGCGGTCGAGGAACGCGGACCAGAGCAAAAAGGGGAAAACTGTGGTCATCATCGGTGCCGGCATGGCTGGGCTCGGGTGTGCGAGGCAGCTCGACAGTCTATTCCGACACTATACCAGGCAACTCCGTGACCTGGGGGAGGGCACTCCGAGGGTAATTGTCGTTGAAGGCCGAAATCGCTTGGGCGGTCGGGTGTACTCGCGCGCACTGGACGGAAGCAGGAGCCAGCATCTCCTAGGCTTTAAAGGCCGAAGACATAGTGTCGAATGCGGCGGCATGATCATCACAGGCTTCGAACGAGGCAATCCGTTGAACGTTCTAGTCCGAGGGCAGATGGCCCTCCCCTACTACGCCCTGAGACCAGATACGACCCTCTACGATACCAATGGCAAGCCGGTCGACGACAAGCGAGACCGGCTTGTCGAAAAACTATACAACGATTGCCTTGAGCGAGTAAGCGACTACAAGTTTAAGAACCCGCCGTCGAAGCTCATCGAGGGTAATAAGGACTCGATAGATGAAGGTCGGGATAGCTCGTCTGAAGGTCAGAAGACTATCGCCCATGTTGAAGAGGCAGCGGCCTCTCTTCCACAGGCACCGCCGGTTTCGCAACAGAGCTTAGGGCCTCAGGTTAACTTCGTTCCTATCTCTACCGACCGAGCCACTGGCAGAACGCACGTCCAACCCGGGACCGCAGCCACCGTCAAAGCAGCTTTTAAAGCACGTTTGATGGGCTGGGCACTAAAAGAAAACGTAACCGATGACCACGATCTGGACCTCGACGCCGCGGCCACCGCCCCCGATGCGACCCTCGGCTCCGTCATGGACGAGGCCATATCGCAATACAAGAATATCGTCGACCTTACACCCCAGGACTTCCGACTTTTGAACTGGCACGTCGCCAACCTTGAATACAGCAACGCTACGAATTATAACCAACTTAGCATAGGCGGTTGGGATATCGACGCCGGAAACGAATGGGAGGGCAAGCACACGATGGTAGTCGGCGGCTACCAGACTGTTCCGTGGGGCCTAGCGACTACCCCGTCACGGCTGGATGTCCGAAAGAACGTCACCGTCAAGCGAGTAGTCTACAGTCCCAATGGAGAAGGACCTTCGCGTGTCGAATGCGAAGACGGATCTGCCTTGGACGCTGATTACATTGTTTCGACTATACCCCTCGGCGTTTTGAAACATGGAAATGTTGAATTCGACCCGCCTCTACCACCTTCCAAGGTAGAAGCCATCAGTCGGTTGGGATACGGTATCCTTAACAAGATCGTCTTAGTCTACGAAGAGCCTTTTTGGGACAATAGTAAAGACATCTTCGGTTGTCTTCGCACTCCATCGTCCCGCCATAGCCTTAAGCAGGCAGATTATGCCTCTCAACGGGGACGCTGCTTCCAATGGTTCAATGTAACGAACACAAGCGGCATCCCGGCGCTCATTGGGTTAATGGCGGGGGATGCTGGCTTCGATACCGAACACTCTGGAAATGATGAGTTGGTCGCCGAAGCCACCGAAGTTCTCCGCAGCGTATACGGCGCTAAGGTCCCATCGCCTATCCACTCAATCGTTACACGCTGGGGCTCCGACAAGTTCGCTCGAGGATCGTACTCCTCTGCCGGTCCCTCTATGCACCTCGAGGACTACCAGACGATGGCGCAACCTGTGGGCAATCTGTTATTTGCGGGAGAGCATACGACCGATACACATCCTGCCACGGTGCACGGCGCCTACCTGACGGGTCTGCGTGCAGCATCGGAAATCGTCGATGCCATGCTCGGACCAATTGAGATTCCTGCCCCCCTCGTACCACCTAAGGAATCTACCGTCGCCTCCCTCGGGTCAAAGCGCAAAGCCCCTAGTGAGGTCCTGCCCCAAACCTCGTCTAGAGCTAGTAAACAAGCTCGTATCGAAGCTTATGAGCACGCTTTTGGGCAACACGTCGTGGCGCAGATTGGTGAGCGGCCGTGGCGACCCCAGAAGGTAGCGGGGAACGCGTATCTCTTATACAGCAAGGAATTCTTTGAGATAGCACGTAAACGGTGTCAAGGGGAGCGCCGGGCAGGAAAAGGAAAGCCCGGGCCGAACGAGGTGCGTGTCATGACGAGTAAGATGTGGAAAGAGGCGACAAGCGAGGAGCGGAAGCCTTTCGAAGACCAGGCAGCGGAACAGAAACAAACGTACAGCGAGGCTCTCCAGACCTGGGAAGACACGGTTCGAGAGTGGGAACAGCGGTATGTCGAGATAAGGAAGGAATACGAGAAGGATCACAAGCTCAACCTCGACGGCGACGGAGATACTCCCGACGAAGACGGCAGGGAGAGAAGACGAGCAAAGGTTGGCAGTTACGCCGAGAGCGAGGGAAACGACGCCAAGGCGAGGAAGCGAAGCTAGCCATGGAGACAGGTCGTTTTGGTCCCTGTCTCTCTCCCAGCCATGCACATGCTCGGCGAACAGCGGAGGAGAAAGGGGGCCACGCAATATATAATACGTCGGCCAAGGTGGCAACACATTCAGCGGAGTTATCGGCTAACCGTACATACAGTTCGATGCCCGGGGTGTACTAACGTCTGCATCGGAATCCGACGCGGAGGGGGTTGCTGGCGGCTCATTGCATACTTCGGTACTCGCATGTTCATGTCCTATCGAAGGGGTATGACATCTGCGCTCTTGGAAGAAGCAGAATCCACCTCTCTCGACCCGTACATACATACACATAGGCACTATACGCGTACATACACCACATGATGACTTTATTATCCAGCCCGTATACCTAGGCATGTCTGGGTGTATATATATGTGCGTGCGTGTGAATAATGGGGGGTTACCACTCCCGCCTGCTATCAGATCCAGGGGGGCCGCTGACGAAGGAGAGGGAGGGAGAGCACCGCAGCAAAGTTGCCGCATACTTCGACAGGACAGCGTCCCCGCGTCCCCTGAAAACCGCAACGTATAGTTTGGGAAGTAGGTAGGTAAACTTAGGTGAGCGGCTCAGCCCTAGCCTCGGATTTACACCGGGAAGGGATTGCAGAGAGAACTGTGCCCGCTTAGGTATACGGCTGTCTCAAGACATGATACTGGGCACGTTAATTAGAGACCTGGGTTGAAGAATATATTTATTGGGGAACTGGTACATCTAGGGCAGCGAGACGCTGAGATTTACTCTTTATATTGCTTGGGGGTACTCTGGTAATACACAAGGGAAGATGCGCGCGATTGGGTGATCGTCGCTACCAGCATAACCACCGATACCACCATCCGTCCCTTCCTCCCCCCTAATCCGATGCCGCCGTATCCCTTTCCTCGCCGGGCGGGTTGGTAGGCCCCCCCCCCTTTTTTTATTTACATATCCTCCGAGGCAGTGGCACCGGTAATAATCTCGACCAGTTCGCCGGTGATGACGGCTTGACGGGTTCGGTTGAACAGGATCTGGTACTTGCTGATCATCTCGCCAGCGTTCTTGGACGCGTTCTACGCACAGGGGTCGTTAGAAAAAAAGAAGGGGGTTGACATAGAGGGTTGGGTGCAGTGGTTTTTAGGACTTACATCCATGGCATTCCGTCGGGCCGAGATCTCGCAGGCGTGACCCTCGGCCAAAGCCCAGAAGAGGGAGTTGGACAGGGCATACTCGCGCAGGTTGGGGAGCAGCTCCTCGTCGACCTCGAAGGTGGAGAAGTTGGGCGAGTTGGCGATAGCCTCCTCCGAGAAGGCCTCGACGACGGCGGGCTCGTAGCTGGTGGCGTTGATGAACTTGTTGTAGACGATCTTGATATCGGAGTAGTCGGTGGGGAGCTGGACGACCTGATCGGCGATGGCCTGGGCGTCGGCGAAGGTGGGGATGTCCTTCCCGATGCCGGCGAAGGTGAGGACGATGTTCTTGGGGTTGGTACGGCTCAGCTGGGCCCTCGACTTCTCGCCGATGAGGACGAGGTCGGCGGGTTGGCTGTCGGGGCCGAGCTGCCGGCGCATGAAGCGCGAGAGACCGGAGTGGATACCGCCGCATAGGCCCTTGTCGGAGCTGCAGACGATGTAGAGGGTCTTCTTGCCCTCGGCCTCGAGGGGCTTGGTCTCGGCGGACTCGAAGACGGTGTTGGAGGTCTTACCGTAGCTCCGAGACTCGTTCATGGCCCGCTGGGCGCGGGTCAACTTGGTAGAAGCGACGATCTTCATGGTGTTGGTGATTTTCTCGATGTTGCGGATGGACTTCAGACGACCCTCGATTTCCCGCAGGGTAGCGTAGGTGGCGGCTCCATTGGCGACGGCGGTGCTGCGTATACGGGTTGGACGGGTTAGCAGATAACGCAATTGCGCCTCACTCGGGTATGCTCAACACGGGACGAGTGAGCGGTTGCGAATTGCCTCATAGCACGACCACCCGCACCACCAGCACTTGCTACTACCGCCTCGCTAGGCCAGACCCGACGTACCGAGCAGGAATAGCCGCAGCCCCGGCTCTCAGAGCCGGTCGTGCTGCCCTCGAAAGCATGGCGAAGAATTGACCAGACGGGGCGGCGTCCCGAACCTCAGAATAGAAAGGGGGTCTCGTTGATGGCGATGCGATGCGCAATCGATCGGGCGGTTGAGGTTAGGACAATGATTTTGATGCTCGATTGGCACAGGCCGGGACGGATCGAGGATTCTTCGTGCCCCATCCGTCCCTCCGTCGCTCGTTTCGCACCATACCCGACCACTACTCGTGGTACCCAGGTACCTAGGTAAGTACCTAATCTTCTCCAGCCACACAGGCGGCGGACCTATCGGCACACCTGGCGGCCAGCTGACGATGTATCCTGGCACCGGAACCCTGGCCAATTCTCGGGTAGGACTAAGAGAGCCAACGAACCGACGCAAGCGGCAGCATCTGAATCCACCGTGCCGACAAAATTTTCGATCCGAGCTAATGCACAGAGAGGAGGAGACAGCCAAGTGGTTTGTGCGCCCGCTTCCTCCTACTCTCCAGGCGGTTGTTACCTAATGATAATATCCGGCAGACTTGCCTACCTAGTAGGTACCTAAGCAAAGTGCTATATACCCTGGGTGCCTAGGTACCTAGGTAGGTAGGAAGGTACCTACCTTTGCGAAACTGCTCGCCATCACGGCACGAATCGGCAATCGGGCTTCCCTCCCTCCTTTTCCGCCCTGCCGCGACGCATATATTATATATATATATATGTGCATACACGCACATGTATAGACAAATATATGTACGTACGAGGGATGTATATTGATATAAATACGCACAGCTACACATAAATACCTACACACGTGGTATGTGTAAGGTAGGTATGCGTGCGCATGTCCGTGTACACAGTACATGCGACGCCCCCCGGACATATACATATTCGGGCTCGGCCCGCATGCCCCCGTTTACGTAACGATCATAATAATAACAACACGCAAAAACGCAGATGACACCCTCTATAACGTTATAGGGTGCGCCTTTTAGTGGGCACTTGCCCACTGGCCCGGACATGATACGCGCGCACGCGCTGACACACCACGCACTCAGCCAAACCCTAGAGACCGCCAGCCAGCGCGCACCACGGGCTCGCCAGCTGCCAGCAGAAATTGCGAGGCGGCCGTACACATTCTACACATTTGGCCATTCATTCACTAACTTCCATAGCTAAATTTTTTTCAATTTCACTTTTTCCCTTTCCACCTCCTTGTGTCGATCTATCTCTTCTAGAGGCTATGGCCTTGGCTTTTACGCTGGCGTAGTCTTCGCTACCTCGCAGGAACCTGCCTCGCCTCGTTGTCACGTCTGCCCAACCAACACGACCACGCCGCCGCTCGCACCTCCAGCTAAAGTGCGGATGAGGGAAACGTGCCGGGGGGAGGCGACGGGACGCTGGGCGAGGCAAAGCTGGGACGGACGGGACGGGATAACCAGGCGGGTGGCCAACTGGAGGGCCGTGGGCTGTCGTCGGTCCGGCGCTGGGTGGCCAGCCGGCAGGACGCCAGGACGACGGACGACGGGCGGACGACGGGGGAGACTCCCTTTGCTGGGCTTTGCTAGGTACAGGGCGGGCTATACAGGGCGTGCAGGCGTCTGGCGTACCCTAAGCTGCCCGTCGGCACCGGTGCCTGTAGGCATTCCTGGCCCATTCCTACCTGCTGCGGACGCTCCACTCCTCAGCAACCTCACCAGCCAATCAGGTCCGCCACAGTCGCAACAGTGGCTAGCGGGCTAGACTTCCAATGAAGCCTTCTTTTCTTTCCGCCGCCCTTCACCCTCGCCGTCTCTCTGAGTTTCTCTCTCCCTCTCTCCCTTTCCCTCTCGCCTTTCCCTCCTCCTTCTTCCGCAGCTCTCGCAATCCCGACGCCCGAAATCCCTCGTCTTGCCTGAACGTCCCTCCGTCCTCGTCCATCAGGGTGGTGCACTCCGGTGTAGTCCACCCTTCCAACCTCTGCAGCATCGCATCCTCTCCCCCCAACCCTGCTCTGCGCTCTTCTCGCTCGCGCACCTCTTCCCTCAACACCCAACAACTGCCTCGGAATCTGGCCCCAAGCCCGCCTGCTCCCGTACCACGCCCGCACAGGATGGCGTCCGATTCCTCCGACGATGATATGCCTCTGGCTCGCTCCAACGGCCACCGTAAGTCGTCAAATTCGCTCTACCCCCGTCGCTTCGGCTCGTCTTCCTCTCCTCCCCCCCCCGTACGGTTTGTCCTAACATCTCGACGTTTGACACGCCCAATCCACACACCCTTCCTTCCCTCACACACCCAACACCCAACGTGTTCGGTCCTGCATATCGCGCACCCGCACACACGCACACACCCGTACGCATACACGCAACACTAGACACAATTCCCCTCTCTCTTTGTGCTCACGTCGTTTGAGTTTTTTCTCCAGCTCCGATCAACACTAACGCAACGTCTTACGCCAGTCTCGGCCTCGACGGTTACGAAAGCCGAAGACAAAGCCATGAATAAGCTCAACTCCGCCAAAGCCAAACCCGCCGCCGTTTCCATCCGCAACGGCCCCATCAATGGCGATGCCTCTCCGCAGGCAAATGGCACCGGTAAGCGGAAGTCGCGATCTTCTACCGGCAAGGTGAACTACAAGGACGATTCCGCTAGTGAGGACGGTCGGCTGGTATGTTTCTATCTCGCCTCCACACCGGGCTGCTAGCGACGCAGAAAGAGCGGGAACCCCCAACGACTAACATGCAGGTCCAGGCAAAACGCCCGAAGAAAGTCAAAGTCGACGACTCCGATGACGAGGTTCTCAGCAAGAGGAACGGCAAGTTGCCTCCTGCCGCCAGCGAGACGGCCTTGCTTGATGACTCTGACGATGACCTGCCCTTGAATGCTAAGCTCGCTGCGAAGAAGAAGTCCATCGAGAAGAATGCCGAGAAGGAGGCCAAGGCTATCCGCATAAGCGAATCCAAACTCCAGAAGCCGACTCCGAAGAAGGCAGTCAAGGATGATTCCGATGACGACGTGCCCTTGGCAGGCGCGAAGGGGAAAAAAAGGGCATCCAACGGTATCAACGGCAAGGCGAAGACGAACGGTGTGAAGCAGGCCGATTCCGACTCTGACGCGCCCGTTCGCAAGAAGGCGAAGACCGTCGCTAGCAAGACCAAGGTAAAAGAGGAGAAGTCTACCCCTGTCAAAAAGGCCGCGGCCAAGAAGGTCAAGAAGGAGGTCAGCGAGGAGCCGGCCGAGGGCGACGAGGATGGCGAAGAATACCGTTGGTGGGACGCCCCCAAGAAGGAGGACAATAGCATCAAGTGGACCACCCTCGAGCATAACGGCGTTCTGTTTCCTCCGCCCTACGAGCCCCTTCCCAAGAATGTAAAGCTCCTCTACAACGGCACCCCGGTCGACCTCCACATCGAGGCCGAAGAGGTCGCTGGCTTCTTCGGATCGATGCTCCACTCGACTCACAACGTGGAGAATCCCACCTTCCAGAAGAACTTCTTCGCCGACTTCAAGGAAATCCTTGACCAAACTGGCGGCGCAAGAGACCGGCACGGCAAGAAGGTTGACATCAAGGAATTTGCCAAACTAGACTTCAAAGCAATCTTTGAGTATTACAACTCGAAGAACGAGGCGAAGAAGGCCCGTCCAGCCGCCGAGAAGAAGGCAGAGAAGGCAGAGAGGGACGTGGTTGAAGCCCCGTTCATGTACTGCAAGTGGGATGGTCGTAAGGAGAAGGTGGGCAACTTTAGAGTTGAACCTCCCGGGCTCTTTCGCGGCCGTGGCGAGCACCCGAAGACCGGTAAAGTCAAGAAACGAGTGCTACCCGAGCAGATCACAATCAATATCGGGAAGGAAGCACAAGCCCCGGCGCCCCCCGACGGTCACAAGTGGAAGGCTATCCAACACGACAACAAGGCTACGTGGCTAGCGATGTGGCAGGAAAACATCAACGGCTCATATAAGTATGTCATGCTTGGCGCGAACAGCGCCATCAAGGGCCAGAGCGACTACAACAAGTTTGAGAAGGCCCGAGAGCTCAAGAAGTACATCACACGAATCCGCAAGGACTACACGAAGGATCTGAAGGCAGAATCCATGGCCGACCGGCAGCGCGCTACGGCTGTCTACCTGATAGATAAGTTCGCCCTAAGAGCAGGCAACGAGAAGGATACGGAGAACGAGGCCGAAACCGTCGGTTGCTGCTCGCTCAAATACGAGCACGTCACCCTACGAGAGCCCAATACTGTCATTTTTGACTTCTTGGGTAAAGACAGTATCCGGTTCTACGACGAGGTCACCGTCGACCGGCAGGTTTTCAAGAACCTCCGGGTATTCAAGAAGCCTCCGAAGAAGGAAGGGGACGATATCTTCGACCGCCTCACCACCACTCAGCTAAATAAGCATCTGTCTTCCTACATGCAGGGGTTAACCGCGAAGGTCTTCCGTACTTACAACGCTTCCTGGACGATGGCGAACTTGCTCCGGGACCTCAAAGTGTCGAGCGCCACCATGCCAGAGAAGATCAAGCTATATAACGACTGCAATCGGGAGGTTGCCATCCTCTGCAACCACAAGCGGACCGTCGGCGCCGGCCACGAGGCACAGATGGAGAAGCTCGGCGATCGCATCAAGGGCCTCAAGTACCAGAAGTGGCGAAATAAGATGATGCTCTTGGATGTCGACCCGAAGCAGAAGAAGCGGAAGGGGGCCGAGTTTTTCGAACTAGACCCGGAGCTTGACGACGCCTGGATCCAGGAGCATCAGAACTTCCTTGTCGAGGAGCAGCGGACCAAGATTCAAAGGAAGTTTGACAAAGACAATCAAAAGCGCGAAGACGACGGCAAGAAGCCGATGCCCGATAAGGAGCTCAAGGAACGCCTCCAGGCGGCGGACGAACTCGCGAAGAAGTTCAAGAAGGAGAACAAGACCAAGAAGGTCGTGGCCGAGGGCAGAGGGCCGACCGTGGAAAAGATCGAGGGTAATATCCAGAAGATCGAAGAGCGGATTCGCACGCTCGAGCTCCAGGCGGCCGACCGCGACGGCAACAAGGAGGTTGCTCTCGGCACCTCCAAGATCGTGAGTCCCCGACGGTTCCCCCTTCGGTTGTTTCGCCAGGATACTAACCCGCGACCTAGAATTACATTGACCCCCGCCTCACCGTAGTGTTTTCCAAGAAGTTTGACGTTCCTATTGAGAAGTTCTTCTCTAAAACCCTACGTGAGAAATTCAACTGGGCCATCAAGTCGGTGGAGGACGACCACCAGTGGGAGTTCTAGAGTGACCGGGACAGGTCCGATCACGATACTCGTACTTGTTCTATATCATGTAATAACATTTATACACCCCGATAATTGCGCGCGATCACTAGAGAGGTCTTGATAGACAGACGCATCAGCAGGCTCCCCTTTTTTTTTTCTTCTACCCTCACTACCTCGTTGTTTTTATTTATCTGTTTACTGTTGTCCCAGGGCGATGAGGCGAGATTTCGGAGACACGACGGGACATTATGACGGCCCACGATTGGAATGGTCGCGTGGCCGGATATTTCAGCACGGATTGGTACATCCGTAGGCATTGGTTTGCCGGTTACAGAGGGGGAGAAGGGGGGAAGCAGAGACGTTAGGGGTGCGTCTGCTTTCTAGCGACGGGGGAAAAATAACGGTGTTCCAACTTTGATCCGCGCCGTCGCCTGTATATATTTATGTAAAAGCAGAATCTGGAGGGGCTTGGCCTCGTCGTGCAAGTACAGACTCCTGGTGGCTTGACCGCATTCGCTAGGTTTGGCGGTTGCTCATATCGTAGGCCTTCACCAGAGTGCCGCGAAATAGGTACACTACGCAGCGACTCCAAATCGTGCGAGTGTAAAACCACCGAGATTGGGTGGTTAGGTTCCTCTAGATTAGTTGCTAGCAACGATCGACTCGCCGGCCTTGTTTGTCTGCCTACCTACCTACCTACTCGCTACTTGTCCAGCCTGTCCGACCGATGTCGAAAGGGCCCTTCTCTTCCGACCCGACTGACTGACTCATGAGGCGGAGGCTTTCATCGCGGACGAGACGGACCCACGCCCAGGCGCATCCCAGCGAGAAGAAAGCCGGCGCGATCGGGGGAAAGGGGGGCGGGGGGGGGGGGGAGGTGTGGGCTCGACCGATCCATCTCGCCGTCTCTGAACCGGTTCGTCCAATCTACGCTCGCCACTCTCGCCGCGAGCATCGATAGGTCGAGCCCGGTCCCCCTCCACCGCACCGCACCGTGCCTCGCCCCCCCCCCCCCCCCCCCCTCCCCCCTCCTTATCTCCACTCGCACACACGTCGGACGTAACTGGCGATTGCATGCGTGTAAGCCGGCATATGTGTGTGTGTGTGTGTGTGTGTGTGTGTCTCGTCTGTCGCCTGGCCTGGCCTAGGCCTAAAGCCCACGCCTGTCCTGCACGCGCGCCAGCCGGCGCAAGTTCGGTGGGTGGCAGCACCTCGTCCGCGGGGGCAGGTTTTGCCTATCTGTCTAATCTGTCTGTCTATCTGTCTACCTAGGTAGGTAGGTAGGTAGGTATCTTATCTAGACTTGCCACTCGCCGATCTCGAGCCTCTCTGCCTGTGCCCCCTCTCCCCCCCCTCCCCCGGAGCGCCCGCCGCCGCCTCGAGCCAGGCTGAGGCTGCTGCTGCTGCTGCTGCTTGGTCCTGGCCGCCCGTCCCGTCCTGTCGGGCCGTCCGTGGCTTGGCGACGACGTGGTGCGCTTTTGTGTCAGGTAAAAGGAGACCCGAGCGGCTCGCTCGCCCTCTCCAAGTCTCGTCCGTCCCGTGCGGCCGCGTCTATTTGCCTGTCTGTCTGTCTGTCTGTCTGTCTGTCTGCGCGCGCGGAAATAGACGCCACGGCGACAGACACGTACCTACGGGAACACACGAGGCACGCCAGAGACGGCGGCCGGGCGGCCGGGTAGGCGAGCGAACCGACGGACCGGGCGAGCGAGTAAGCGAGGGCAGGTAGCGTGCGTGCTGGCTCGACAGACAGCGCCGGCGCCGTCTTCAACCCCCCCCCCCCCCCCCCCAACGCACCCTCGCCTGATTCCCCTTTCCCCCCGCCCCGCCCCGGCCAGGAGCGCAACGAAGACCTAGGCAGGCAGGCAGGCAGGCAGCAGCAGTTTGGGTAGGGAGTTCGCAGCCGCAGGGCACGCCGGCAAGGCGTGCTGCGGAGGCGTGTAGGCACACGGTGGGCAGGCGGGCGGGCAGGCAGACCGCAAGGCCAAAGCAGGATGGTGAGACTCGCTTCGCACCCTGCGTCTGCAGCTGCGCGTGCATCGCATGTGCGCCACCGTGCTCCGACATACGAGCAGGCCAATGGCACGCTGCCTCCCGCACCTCGCGCGTTGCTCCCCCTCTCCCCTCTCCTCCTCCTCCCTAATAAAAGAAAAGCCAATCTCACGATAGATAAGCCGCTCCCCGCGAGCGAAGGAGGGTCGAAGTTCGCGACGTCTAGATGCTCGTATTCGTTGTCCTAGTCTTCGGTCCCGTTTTCGCCTCCGCCTTGTCCTCGCTGCCCGCGAAGAAGCAGGGAGAAGTGCAGCCCCGGGACGCACAAGAAACGCTGTCTACGAATCTAAGATATAAAGGCTAAAGAAAAGAGGGCAAGTAATAGGACGTGCGGGCACACTTTGTGTAGAGCCTCGAGTCTCGCCGGCAGAAGGACGCTGCGTACCGGTTCTCCCACCCTCCTTCGTCTCTCCTGCTGTCGACCAATGCAACCGACCGCTCGAGCCGTCTTAAAAATCATCCCCATCGCCTCACCTCCCCCCCCTCTTGTTTCCCTTGTCCCCTCGCCATAACCCGCGCGCCTATGCGGAGAGTCTAACTAGGAATTTCTACGCTACAGATGCCAAAAAAGAAAGAATAAAAAAAGAGAGAATAAAATTTTAGAATCGTGGGCGGCGTTAACATACTGGAGCATCCGAAACATGACCTGGCTCCTTCTGACACTGAGCTGACCAGATATGCACGTAAGACAGCAAGGCAGGCGGGCAGGCGGGCAGACAGACGCTAGGCTGGGCTGTGTGGGCTGTGCGCTAGCTCGGCATCGAGAGACGGCAACCCGCCAGGACGAGCAGGCAGATACGTAGATAAGAGCACGGGAGTTGCCGCGAGAGGAGGCTGACCGACCTAGGAGCCGACCTAGGACCTGCCAAAGACCTCGCGCACGGCGGCGCCGAAGCGCTCGACGGCGGCGGCGATGTTGGACTCCGAGGCCGCCGCGAAAGTGGTCCGGAAGAAGAGGCCGCTGAGAGGCCGGTCGGGCTCGGCCCGGAACCAGGACCCGCGCGTGGCGAGCACGCCCTTGGCGATGCATGTGAAGAACAGCTGCTCCTCGATTTCGAGGAGGCTGACCGCTCCCGCCCGCGGGTGCTGCGCGGGGTCGATCTGGAGCCAGAGCTAACGAGAGAAGAGGGAGGGAAGAGGGTTAGCTTAGCCGAATACGTTGCGTTTCGTCACCCTACGTTGCGTCACATTGGAGGGGGGGGAGGCAGGGAATTCACGAAGCAGCTTACTTACAAACATGCCCGCCGCCGGCGGGACCCAGCTCACGAGGTCGCGGGGGAGGTACTTCTCGCAGGCGGCCAGTATGGTGTCGCGGCGGCGGGTGTACTCGCGCCGCAGGTGCATGAGCCAGCGCAGGTAGCCCTCGTGGCCCCAGGTCTCGTCGACGAGCTTGTGCATGACCAGCTGCGAGATCCCGCTTGGGCCCTGGTTGCAGCACTCGGCGTGCCGGATGAACCGGTCCACCACCTCCTCGCTCGCCGTGATCCACCCGACCCGCGATCCGGGAACCACAACCTTGCTGAACGAATCCATCCGCAGCACCCGCCCGTCCGTATCGATGCTAAGCAGGCTCGGCACCAAACTCTCGAGGAATTCCTCGATAGTTTCTGCCGGGAGGGCGACCGCGCCGTTGGCATGCCCGTTAGTGTGCCCGTTGGTGTGCCCATTGGCGTGCCCGTTGCTGCTGTTGTACGCCGGCATCTGCAGGTAATAGTACGGCTCGTCTTCAAAGATGTAGACGTCGTGCTTCTGGCAGACCTTGTACACCTCCCGCCTCCTCTGCAGGCTCTGCGTTGCGCCGGTGGGATTCTGGCCTGACGGCACCGTGTACAGGACGGTAGGCTTCCGCGCGCCGCCCCTCGCAGCCGGGTCCCAGTTCGACAGGACCTCGTCCAGCCTCTCGGGGACTAGGCCCTCGCCGTCCATCCCGACACCGAAGACCCGGATGCCGAGCGGCAACGCCGTCTCGAGGGCGGTCGAGAAGCTGAACTCCTCGGTCAAGATGCTGTCGCCGCGTGCGCGGTCGCAGAAGATGCGCAGAGCCTGCTCGAGGGCGCCCGTGCTCCCGACAGTAAGCGCGCATCGCCAATCGCTGTACGGCGGCGCGTTAACGAGCTCCGTGTGCTCCGTGACCCAGCGCACGAGCGGCGCCGCGCCGACGGACTGCCCGTAGTTCATACCGATGGAGAGGTCGAACACGCTCTCGCCGTCGGGGTTGCGGGCGTCGTACTTGCCTATCGTGATGTCTTGCCCCAGCGGTCCGTGGGTCTCGGCCTCAGTGAAGTACGGCGGCGTGGGGACCCGCAAGGAGAGCGAATCGATAGGGAAGTTTTCGGGCGCTGGCAGTCCGCCGCCGAGCGAGATCATCCCCGGCTGCTTGAGGTACTTGGCCGCCTGCTTTAGCACGCAGGGTCCGCGCGCAAGCGACTCCTGGCTAAAGAGATCTACGAGGGAGGACGACTTAGCAAGCAAATAAAATTACGCCCTCAGCTTTTATGTTTATCGACCGCATGCTTGCGGGAGGAGCTGGCAGCGGGAGGGGGGGGTAAAGAGGGGTGGTAACGTGTGCACGTTAGTGAGCGGGCAGGTGGGCATCGTGACTTACGCTCCCATCTTTTCGCCTTGGGCTTGCCGTACGCGTACTACAAGCATGCATAACAATATACACATTAGCAAGACTGCGTTGGGAGGGGAGCGGAGCGGAGGGGACTCGTACGGGAGACTTGAACATGTCGCTGTCCGAGTAAGACGCCGTGGAGGCAACTAGTCGGCCCGCCTTGGCACGCCGTGCCCCGATGCCGTCGAGCGTCAACCGCTTGGGCGTGATCGCCGCGGCGTGCGTGCCATTTTGTTCTACCACCACCACCATATCTGTAGTGGCTACGAGCGGGCGAGGACGGTGGTTCTGTAGCGAGGAGGCAGTAGTAGAAGGAGAGGAAAGGGAAGAGAGGGAGAGAGGGAACCGTCGCGGCCGTCGTCGTCTCGAAGAGGTAGGCCAACGGGCAGCAGTAGCGCGGCTAGGGGGGGATTGTCACTGCCCACCGCCTCGAGCCCGTACGTAGGTTTGGTGTGTGTGTGTGCAGCCGGTCGGTGTTATTGCGTGCGTGTGCAAGGTGCGTATGCGTGTATGTTGGGGGAGCTAGGTAAGTCGGCGGGTATGTCTGTAGGTGTGGTGCAGCGTACGGGGTGTTGAGTGAGGTATGATGGGTGGCCGTGTGGTTGACGGACAATGTATAGATGTATATATACCTAGATGGAATGGATGTAGGGTATAGCGATGGGCGGTCCCTCCTCCCTCTTTGTCCCCCTCTTCACCTCAACAACCCCACGGCCCTATTTATATCCAGGTCGCGGCATCGGCCAACCTGTGAGGCCGTGTCCCATATTGCCCAACCCCAGACCGAATCCGAAGTCGACAGCTGTGCAGATCCGACGTCAATTCAAACGTCGCCTTTGTTCCACTCGACAGCAATCCGCGTCACGGGGCCTCGGTGCGATAACGGGGCACGATAGTGGAGAACTGCGTCCCCCGGCCGATTGTAGCCGGCCGTAGCCAATACAGACCGCGCCTGGTCACGCCTTTCTGTCACTACGCTTCCTCTCGCCTCGCCTTGCTTCTTTAGGCTGTTCGGTATGTTTCTATCTCGTAACCCTCACTAAATCGCTGCGCGCCCTCGTCGGCAAGATTCGATCGAGACAAGTCAACAGAAATACCCATCATCTATCGACTGCCTATGCAAGGTGTAGTCTATGCCGCCCGAGCCTTTCCTCTATCTATGCGCCGTGCCATGCTGTTTCCCATCTCGTAATGACAATATCATTGCTTTCTCTATGCCATGCCCAATGCTGATGAGTGAACCCTCGTGTCCTCGCCGGATTCGTTCCCATCGTGGCCCATAAAACACCCGCCTATTGCCTGCCCGAACCCTCGGTTCCACGTTATAACATGTCCTCATCTATCTCCGATCTTACCAATGCGATTTTTCTTGGTTTTTCGTCACGTGTCCCCACCACTACCTAGCGCGGCGCAGCCGAGCTGAGGTAGCACTCACCACACCGATACGTTCGACTCCCGCCGTACCAGGTGGGTAGGTACGTTCCTAGCGACGCCTAAGCTCATCATCGGTCCTTGCAGTTTACCGACACGCCGGTCTTTACGCAGGTTATCGACACGTCTCTTACCTCCCGCGGACCGGGTGTCAGTAGCTACCGAGGTCGTCGTCTCATCGCCGGAATATCCGACTACCTGCGAGAATGGCGAAGAGAGAGAAGAGGAAGACGGCGGGATAAGCGGGGCCTGGATAATGCACAGGTCAGCTTCGCATCTACGCACACATCGCTTCTTCCGATAGCCACCTGGGGGAAACGGGTTGTGAACATACGCATGACGGTTGAGCTCGAAGGCACAATCTTCCCCTCTGAGGTCATAACCCAGCCGTCGGGTAGGGGTGGGGCGCTAGCGGTCTGGTTGTTCGAGCCACCGATGCCACCGGCGGGGACGTTAGCCGTCCCGGTCGCGGTCGAACCGCCGGCAACCGCAGTCGTGGTAAGAGTGCCGGCGTTGCCTAGGTTGCCGTTTACCTGGCCACCCTCCGACCGTATGGACTGCCACGTACCCGAGGTGTCGCCATAGCTGTAAGAGTCGCCGGTGCTGTAGTCCGTCACCTTGAGCGTCTTCACGCTCATGCTAAACGGTCCCAGAGAGTAGTCGGTGGGACCACGTGCCCACTGTATGGTACCGTCCGGGTTGCTGGGGTCACCGCCCGACCAAGCGCCGAACTTGACCTGCATGGGAGTCTGGGGGTATTGGTTCGGCTCCGCCTCGGAAGCCTGCAGCGTTCGCACCACCGTCCCATCGATAGTCCATACGATTCGGTCGCTCGTCCAATCTACCACATAGGTAACGAAATTATTCTGGTTATCGCCCATCTTGTGAAACTGGCCACGGTTGTAGGAGGCGGTTATGCCTTTGCCAAAATAATTCGATTGGACCTCGCTCGAGTCGGCGCCCAGCCATTCCCAGTCTATCTCGTCGAGGCAGTCGGATTGCAACACGACCGAGGATACGATGCCGGCACCGGGCGCCGCCCTCAGGTTGACCTCGACACGACCAAACATGATGTAGAAGACCGAGGTTAGCTGCGGGGAGTTGCCACTCTGGCTGACGGTGAAGGTTACACCATCCGGTCCGTAGGTCGGCTCACCACCCGACTTCACAAACGAGTTTACCTCGCCTCGCGTGAAGTCGACGTCGATGGCCATACCAAGGGCGGTGTCCGCCGGGCAAGCTGCAACCCGTTAGTATTGGGGGTGGTGGTGTTCGGACTAGCGCCGGATACGGCACGCTTCGCTCGCTTACTTGAACTGAGAGGATTGCAGGATGTGTACGTCTGGGCCGCTGTTCGGTAGGCAAGCAAGGCCGCAGCCGCTGTGGCCCATCTCGCCGCCCAGAGCACCATGGTTGCTGCGGATCAGGAATGCGGGTGGGGGATAAGACAGCAGCTTCGGGGCAACGAGGGTCCAAAGACACGGTATATGGCCTGTCAAACGGAGTATGGTAATACGCGCGCACCAACTGCTATGATGGAGGGCAACGAGAAAAAGAATTCCCAAAAGGGTAGCAGTTTTTATCAGGTTGCAGAAGATATGCACGGAGCAGCCGGAAGAAGAAGAAAAGAAAGTGAGACTCGGGAAGAGCCGCGAGCTCAGAGAACCCAACCACCCGATATATAGGTAGGTAGATATCATCGCTAACGTAGCCGGTGGTCACGTCCGCGGAGCGAGAGTGGGACGACATGGTCCAGGTGTGGGATACGAGTGGTTTCTCGCTCGAGGTACCTCCCCGTTTAGGTAGTTTAGGTGGCCCAGGATCAAGTAGGCATTCAAGAACGTGCGGACAGCCGTCATCTCGTCCACTAGGCACCTGGTAGTTGTTGTTGTTCCCCGTTCGTTAGCAGCACGGCATGCGAGCAGAGCCAGGACAGAGTCGACGGAGATGCTGTCCGTGGTGTGATGTATAGCGGTATCTGTGCATGGGGGCGCGGCCCGCGAGACAGGTAGGTCTCCTCGGCGGAACTTGGAAGAGGAGGCTGCCAAGCTGGCTATTCGTGCCGGTGTGGTGGTGACGCTGATGTTGGGACCGGCCAATTGGAAGAGGTTATACCTAGCTAGGTAGGTAGGTGGTTGGAGACAGGGCTTAGCGGTCGCGAATCACGCCAAGCCATGTGGCTGGACCAGCGCAGGTGGCTGGGGACGTTACCTGGGCACTGCGTGTATAGACGTACCTTACCTGGTTCCAACCCCCCTTCCAAGAGATGAGCTAAATGACGAAGACTATTAAGAGGTAGTGCTGGTAGGAATCGAACCTATCCTCCATTAAATAACCCATTGATCTCCAAGAGGTTAGGTGGATACCTCTAGGTAAGTACCTGGTAGACAAGTATAACAAGTGGACCTTAGTATATTAGATACCTTAGGTACCTCCTAGGGTAACCTCTCTATAGGCTATTACGAGGGACCTGCCTGTTACATAGGTAGGTAGGTAAGTACCCGGAGTACCAGGCACCTCTGACCCCTAACTCTCCGCGTCAAGTACCAGGTAAATTCCCTGACCTCCTCGTGAGCAGCCCACCGCCTCATTACCTGGTATTATCTATCGTCCTACCTAACCCCCACAGAGTCCTCGGACCTCCGGCTCGACTCGTGCCTCTGCCACTTCAGCTACCCGTCAAACGCCGAATCCCCAAGTCGACCAGTATGTGCTATCTAAGTCTATCCTAGTGTAGGTACATTGATTGATAGGTGCCCGCAAACAAGCTGTCCCTGACGGGCTGCGGGGTAAGACTAACCTCCTTCAATATTCGCCATGTAGTAGGACACCCGTGCCTTTCCGAGGCTTCTAATCCGTAGGCCTGCTTACCATCCGGTCCACAGATGGCAGCTTGCCCGTAAAATTTTTTATTAACAGTGAATACCAGCAGCAACTCCGGGTTGGTACCGAGTTCTCGTTTCGCCACTTTCGCCTCTTCCGTGGCTTCTCCCGGGGCCGAGAATCAGCATGCTAGAAGTCGCTCATTTTTGTCGGCTGCCAGGCTATCATCTCGCCTTTAGCGCCCTTCTGGAACTATCTGAAGATCAAAAGTGACGACGATGTAACTTACCCTTTATCGATTGGCGTCGCAGAAGATGCACGCCTTCAATGTGATGGCACATTGTGCTTATCACATTATATTCCTCTTCCTCTTCTCCCCCCCTCTCTCCGTTTCTTCTCTGGGAATATAGTCGCTGCAGGCTCGTTTCCGCCTGGAAATTGCGGCCCTCTCGTTCGAGGTAAGAGCTTCGGTGAAAACCCAAATGCGAAAGCACTCTATCCAAATACAGACAAAAAGAACGCCGATTCCAAGCTTCATTAGTATAGGTCGAGAGAGGTTAAAAGTAAGACTTCGTTTGGTGGAACTTCTTACTTCTAGCCCTCTTGCTAGCTTAGTGGGTTAGATAATAGAGGACAGGTTCGATTTCTGACAGCGCTACTTGGTAGTCTCTATTGTTTAGTCTATCTTTGCTCATGCTCATATCTTCGGTTCGAGTAGCCCGGGAAGAAGCTGCGAGTCATCGTATCGCACGATGAAGGTAGACTTCCGAATTCTCCTGGTAGCGAGAGATCTTCCGAAGATCCTTGACTGGGCGGGGTGTATCGTGCTCTATGCCCGCCATTCATGTGGGCCAATAACGCGTCTCGATCTTGATCATACGTATAGAAACTGCCCGGGGAGGGCATTCGCCTCGGTTCCGGGTTTCTTTGTCGGGGGCCGGCATCGCGTGGGATGTGCCTGTGTTCAAGCATTTGATATTAGATCGTTGCGCCAGAAGCTGTCTCCGTTCCCAGGGCATTTCACGAACCTGGAGCACTCTTCGATGAAGACACTCATCATTGCCACCAAGAAGGGAACGCGTCCGAGAAGAACAGATATTGAAGTGCCAGAGTACGGCACCAAGACGATGGCCGGCACTACGACCGCGAATAGGGCCAAGAAAAAGTGTCTGCAACTGATTAGCTCCGGATCCGTTAGTGCGAGACGGTCGCCTGCCTAGCTACGGCCCTCCTGTTGAGGGAGTAGTATATCAACGCGGAGATGCAGAAAACGCATATGGCACTAGTCTTGTCAGCAAGGGCTGCTATCCACCTAGGGAGGTTCCGCGCGTACATGTATCGGTAAAAGACGCCGTCCTGGCGAATGGCTGGGTAGACCGCGGCCCCAAACATAGTGCCTTGCGATAACACCTTGCCAGCATGTCCGAACCGGGCCTCGTAGGCTTCGAGATGATCGGATATCGTCATCTTGATGAGACGTATTGCGTTAGCAGTATCGAGCCTAAGAAATGTTATGTTAACTCTCGAAAAACGGACCGTCGGAAACCCCGCGCCGAGAGAGGGAGAGAGGGGCAAAAATAAAACGGCGAAGTGAAGAAGAGTATATCTGCCTGGCTCTCCCACGTAATTCCTAGTTAGGTGGGTAGGGTTCAGCCGTGCTTTCCTCTCCCTCTCTTGGTGACCTGGCACGACAGGAAAAGCGATAGAAAGGAGGCCCAGCCGCCAGCATGGGAGAAGCCAGAGAGGGAGTTTAACAGGGCTACCCTAAGTAGATACGTAACGGGAGGCAGACTAGGTCGCGGACCGTCCGGCGTCCCCAAATCTTCCACTGCTACGCTCTCCCCGAAAGGCGACCAGGCAGCATATGCCTATCTCCAGTCATAACACCACGCCAAGGTCTGCCTTGGACGCCGTCTCGTCACTCTAGTTGGCCTTACATTCGGTAGGTCTTCACCGAAATCGTCAGATAGTGGCCGTGACGTATTAGGGACCTGCTATTGGGAGAGGGGGTTCGCGTCTTGCCTCGTAGGCAGCCTGGGGTAGTGCATGACGCATGCTGATGGCTGCATGGTGTTGCTGCACCTGTGGTCTGCCTGGTTACGCAACGTCCTAGGACATCATCTCGATCCACGCGGGATCTCATATGCCACCAGCAACTCCGAGTATGCTCACGCTCGACGCTTCCGGTCCTCGACAAACGGCCTAATGCTCCGTTATCATTGACCAGCCCGAAAGGACTCTGTACTGACGGCAGCTGCCAAAGTGAAAAGGCCTCGAAGCGCAAGTCGCTGAATATAAGGACCGGCAGGGTAAGCCGTTCGCGGACGGTACTTCTCTCAGCTGAAACTAGAACGCGCTCTGGTAGTTGTTTTTATGTCTCTCGCTGGTTCTAGCGTCTCCATGTTAACGTTTTCAGATGCACTCACTATCAGGTCTTTCACTCAATGCTCCAGGAGGTCCTGTCCGCCCCCGTCCAGATAGATGGCTACCGGAAGAACTATCGCTGCCAGAATTGACCGAGTTAATCCCCGCCATTGCCTGTAGTTCTATTACAACCTCCTACATCGCACGGATAGAGTCCGTGCTGGATAATTCCGCAGATGCGAATGTTCGTTTCCGGGAACTCCCCTCCCCCTCCCCCCTTCTCTTCATCAGTTGGCTCCCATGCTGATGCTCTAGATTGACGGCCCAGTCCCATCCTTCTCCTGGGCAGGTTTTAATCCGTGTAATGTCGTCCGAGGTGCTGTGGCACGCCTCGCCGGGACTCGCGCTCGGGTCCTGCTTGGTGCTGGGGTGCTGTTTATCCTCCTACGCGCATCGGCGCCGGGACCAAGACCAGTACCAAACCATCGTCTTCGCGATCTGGATCGTCTGGGCTGTCTGGGTCGGCTGGGGGATAGGGACCAGCGCTGATGTGGTCACGCTCGGAATCGTGCCATGGGCCTTGTGTGCGGCCATGCTCAGCAGCTTCGTCGGGCACCTAGGGGCGCGCTGGCTAGCGACGAGGGCGAGGGGCGGGTACGGGCATGTCGTTCTTGACGCCACCCAGGAGAAAAACGCGCCCCTCGAGTCGTAGCTTCGGGTCGTGCCCTGGAAGAGAGTTCGATCTGGCAACGAGGTTGCCGTTTTCCGTAAAATGTCGAGTTTGGGGGGACATTGGGGTGTAAGCTGAATGGGGGAAATTTTGACTAACCATACGGAGCGGATGGGGGTCTATGGAGACTATATCATGTGTTATCGCTCTCCTTAGAAAGAATCACGACGGCTAATAGTGTTTCCATAGGAGTTCATTTTCATAGTCAGGTACTACGTCATTCTTAAGTACCCAAGTAATAGATTGCACCTACGCCTATATGCCTATCTAATATCCTCTTGCCGAGTCCTCTCTTCTAGGGCGATGTGTAGTAACATGTAGTTACTAGCCTATAGAGGAGATAAAGGAAGAGAAACCGTAGCAGGTGGGCAGGTTGTACGGGTACCTATACAGTCTTCACACATGACTTCGTCGGATTGAAGGAAGGGCGTTCGTCAACTCAATTTCTGACACAAAGCTCAGGCCACGCTATCAACACCACAACTTCTTCGAATATCACGCAAAATGGACCCTACCGTGCCCCAGGAATATCCCATTTCGGCAACGGCATCTAGTCTCTAACTAGGCTCCAGTCTCCGGCCTGCAACCCCGTGGCCCTCGCCCGAATGTTGCTGTGGAGAGGTGTGTACCCCGCACTCGACTCCCCGCACAGTCGAGTATGCAGGACCCCCCGCGGGGACCAGGCCCTGTTATAGCCTCTCCTCAGGCTACGTGGCTTGCGAAAGCGGTGGACGTCGCCGTGGCCAGGTGAGGGATCGAGGAGTGGAAAGCAAAGGCTGCGGCGACGGAAAGCATGCATGCGTCTCATAGGCCGATTCCGACGGGTTGATGTCGACCGTGGCCACCACCGAGAGGAACGACTGGGTCAGCCGGCCACGGTGGCTGCCGGCGTCGCGCAGCGTAATTGGCTCGCCCGCTCATGGAATTCAGGCTCGACGCGTACACTGCATCCCGCTCTCCGGGATCGAATTATGCCACTCGGGTAACACATACTGACTCCCTTATCTATCGGCAACTCGTTGTTTACGCCCTCGTCGGCGAGGGAGAGGGCGAAGGAAAGGGGGTGGCGGGAGGCGAGGGGAGGCTTATCGGAGCTACTACGTACTGAGTTAGGCAGTTATAGGCGCTACCCCGCTAGCACGGTGCTACGGAAGGACGGCCGAGACGGGGCAGCTCTACTAACCTGTGGGCAGCTCTTAGGGGGTACCTAACGTCCTCTAGAGGCATATACCTAAGGTGCCTAGGTAGGTAGGTACCCAGATAGGTACCCAGGTAGGTACCTAGGTAGGTATCCGGGTGCCTCACATGCCCATCACAGGCAGGGTTTGGCAGAGGCACCCAAGGCGGTAGGGTTAGGTAGGAGGGGCGGGGCAGCCGCGCGAAGAAGGCAAGTCCAGCCAGCAGACCTACGTATTCCCGCACCTCCTCCAGCAAGCCTGCTAGCCCAGTCCAGTAGCCGACCAGTCGCCAACCCAGGTCGCCTATCTACGGCCTCGTCTCCATTGCGTTATCGCTGTCTCATCGGCCATATTAGGATCCGATAACGAGCGCCCATGCGGGGAAGAAGATCCCGACACTACGGTTGCCAGTCGTTTGCGTACAGCCGCTCGGGAGGGGGGCCAAAGAGGGAAACGATACCTACCCGTGGCATATATACCTGCCTATCGACCGACTGCCCTTCCCCGGCCATGTTCCGGTCCATCTTTGTCTGGACCACTTCCCCTTCGACACTTCGACGGCTAAACCCGACCAGTCTGTCCCGGGCCTTTCTCTCTACCATGGCCGATCTCAAGGTTGATCTTACCGCCCCGAACGGCAAGAAGTTCGCCCTCCCTACTGGTCTGTTTATCGGGAACGAGTTCGTCAAGTCGGCCTCCGGGGCCAAGATCACTAGTATCAACCCAACGTAAGCGCGGGCAAGTACACACCGTGGGCGCCGACGTCGAGCTGACCCTGTCCACCATGCTAGCAACGAGGAGGAGATATGCTCGGTGGAAGCGGCCAGCCCGGAAGACATCGACAAGGCCGTAGCCGTCGCCAGAGCTGCGCTGAACCACGAGTCGTGGCGGGACATCTCTGCTACCGAGCGCGGCAGGCTGCTGTACAAGCTGGCCGACCTCGCCGAGCAGGAGAGAGAAGTGCTGGCGACCATAGAGACCTGGGATAACGGCAAGCCGTTCGGCGATGCGACGGGCGACCTGCAGGAGGTCATAGACGTCCTCCGCTATTACGCCGGGTATGCCGACAAGATCCACGGCCAGACGATCCCGACCACGAGCCAGAAGTTCGCCTACACCCTGAAGCAGCCCATCGGCGTCTGCGCTCAGATCATTCCGGTAAGCGTGCCCCCCCCCACCGCGCATCCGTTAACTTGAGAAAGCAGGCGCTGATACCCGGGCTGTGCAGTGGAACTACCCGCTGGCGATGGCGGCGTGGAAGTTGGGGCCGGCGCTGGCATGCGGGAATACCGTCGTCCTGAAGCCCGCCGAACAAACCCCTCTATCTATCCTATACTTCGCGGACCTCATACGCAAGGCCGGATTCCCTCCCGGCGTGGTTAACATCACGAACGGGTACGGCAAGGACGCCGGGCAGGCACTCGCGAGCCACGCGGACGTCGACAAGGTCGCCTTCACCGGCTCGACCGCCACGGGCAAGCACATCATGAAGACGGCCAGCAGCAACATGAAGAACATCACGCTCGAAACGGGTGGGAAGTCACCGCTGCTCGTCTTCGAGGACGCCGATATCGACCAGGCGGCGAAGTGGGCCCACGCCGGGATCATGAGCAACATGGGCCAGATCTGCACGGCAACGTCTCGCGTGCTCGTGCAGGCGTCGGTGTACGACCAGTTCGTCGAGGCGTTCGTCGCGGTGGTCCGGACGACGAGCAAGGTCGGCGACCCGTTCGCCGAGGACACGTTCCAGGGCCCGCAGGTAACCAAGACGCAGTACCAGCGGGTGCTGAGCTACGTCGAGTCCGGGAAGGCGGAAGGGGCGACGCTGGCGACGGGGGGCAAGCCGAGCCCGATCGGCGGGAAGGGGTACTTCATCGAGCCGACGGTGTTCACGAACGTGAAGCCGGGGATGCGGATCTACCGCGAGGAGGTGTTCGGGCCGTTCGTGGCCATCGCGGTGTTCGGCGACGAGGCGGAGGCGGTGGCGATGGCGAACGACACGACGTACGGGCTGGGCGCGGCGGTGTTCAGCCGCGACGTGGAGCGGGCGCACCGGGTGGCGGGGCGCATCGATGCCGGCATGGTCTGGATCAACTCGTCGAACGACTCGGACTTCCGCGTGCCGTTCGGCGGCGTGAAGCAGAGCGGCATCGGGCGCGAGCTCGGCGAGGCGGGCCTCGCCGCCTACTCGCAGATCAAGGCCGTGCACGTGAACCTCGGCCAGAAGCTGTGAGCCCCGGAGGAAAGGGGGGCGGACTAGATAGGCTTAGGACCTAATTGACTTGATCGCTAGTTGTTGTACTTAGCTGCCATATCCTCCCCCCCCCTTACCCCCGTACCCCCCTCTCTGCGTCGCGCATAAGGATCTTTTCGTCTCGACCTCGGCTGGCCTAGCGTTGCCAAGGTAGGTACTTACACACGGTAGCGGTAGGTAGCGATTATATGGCCGTAAGCTGGTCGGGATTATTGACGTCGCCGAGCAGCAATAACTACGACTTGCCTACAATATATTGCGCGTAATCATTGGGATATATATACCTATATATTGATGATGATCACGTTACATAGGACGATCTGATTCCCGTGCTACGGCGGATGTCTCCGGTATCCTACTCTTTTTTCTTTTTCTTTTTTCTGTCAACGCGAATTGGCCTTAGGACGGGGAGGGGGGGGGCAATTCCTCACGCATGGTCGACCGGCGGGCACAGATGCGGGAGAGGGGTGGCGGAATGGGCGGTGGTGATACCGTGGTGCGGGAACAAGTCAAGTCTAGCTCGCGGCGGTGGCAGGCCGGTAGAGACGGCGATGGCAATGTGAGGAGGGGGAGAGAGGGAAAGGGGAAGGTCCTCTGCTACGTACGGGTAGACACGAACGGGCTCAGGCCTGGCCTTGCTTGGCCTCGCTTGGCCTCGCTTGAAGGGGCGCGACTGGACTGGACTGGAGCGGCGATGGCGGCCCCTAGCGCGTCGATATTCCTGATTTATCTAGGTTGCATGCTACGTAGTAGCGGGAGTGGTATCAGTAGTAATAGTAGGGAGGTAGGCATTCGTAGTAGTGGGCGCATACGCGTAGAAACCTGGAGGTTAGGTAGATAGGTATTATAGGAAGGGGTGGGCGCCGGTGGCAGAGGTTGTCTTAGGTATCTGACCTCTTATCATCGCCGCCTTCGTGTGGTTATCCACCGAATGTACTACGAGTAATCAGCGACCTTCTTCTGCCTGCGAGGCGCCTACGAAGGGGCACGCAGCAGCGCGACCTCGGGCGGCACATCCCCCTCTCTCCCTCTCTGTCTCTCTCCTCTCTCTCTCTCTGCCCGCGTAATTGGGAACGGCAGGTCACGTAAGCGTAGGAGCCGGACGGTTATTGTGATCGATCGCCGTGATTGCTGGATGGGTGGCTGGCGCTGGCGCTATGCCGAAGCCAGCCTAGCCTAGCCGGCATGTTTATTTGGCCCGAGCGCATTTCGGCCCTGTTCCTGACACCCCGGCCACCCTGGGCTACGGACAACGGCTTCTTGTCTGCCTTCGCATGTGCACGTGTATACATTACCTAGATAGGTACCTACCCAGATAGGTATCTACCTATCCACCACACTGATACCCTCCGATGAGGCACAGCACACGCGAGATGGCACTTGAGGCCCCCCCCCGGGCGACTCCGAACTGCCGGGAGTGGTGCAGGTCCCTACTGTACGTGTATGTGGGTGTGCTTGACATAGGTGCCTCGTATACGCACTTGCCCTTGTGCATTCACACATACACACCTGGCAAAGCATAGAGGAGGAGTATCACACCAATCGGTGGCCCTAGCGTGTGGGGGGAGGCTGGCTATGCCGTTCCCGCCGGGGAAATGCCGTGCCTCTCGATCGCTGGCATCGAGGTCAGAGGCCAGCTGCCACGCCTGAGGTACGTAGAGTAGGTTGCCGGGCACGCATGCCATCTCGCCGCATGGCCGGCACGAAGCGTGCGCGTCGAACCCCAGGAGGCAGGCAGGCAGGTTAACTTCGCTAAGCCGTGGCCGGGTAGGAGAAGACGTGCGCAGGAGCAAAAAAGGGGGCCAGGAAGGTTTGGCGACGGGGTTGGGCGTGCGGCCAACCTTCAGCGAGGCAAAGGTGAGCGAAGTAGTAGCTCCCGGGAAGCCCGCCAGCTAAGTCGAATGCGGCCGAGCCTAAACGGCTGCATTAAAGTGTTTAGGTGAGCAATGGAACGGAACGTCCTGACTCCCTGGCTGGGGCATGGAGGTGAAGCGGCAGGCGGCAGGCGGCATGCTATGCTTGACGGGACTGGGGCGCGCGCGGGCTCATATAAACAGCCGGATAGGCATGTGTTATCCACATACATAGTGTGACGAGCTTGGATGTGCTGCCCAGTACCTGCGTGCCCTCTTCCTCCATACACATACTACCTAGCGGGTGACGGGCAGGGATGCCGATTTATTATACGACATGCTCTCCTTACCTCCCTGCTGTATCTATCCACGGTATGCCGTCTTCCGTCTGTCGGGCACGAGCCAGCACAGACCCGGATCTGGCACTGCTGTACGGATGGCCCGTCTTAGTTCTCGCCTCTCCCCTCACAGGGTGCCTTGACGCGCACACTTACACACACGCACACACCTCGACGCATACGATATGCGGCGTACCGCAGAACAGCGTGAAGACGCTGGCGTAGCACTCGGAAACGTTACCGATATCTGTTAACGTCGACATGGATAGGCGGCATAGACAGGGGGGTGCTCGTGATGCTTTCTTCCTGTCCGGTTCCTGCGCCCAAGACCACACCTACCTACCTACAAACATACACACATAATACATCCGTGACTACCCATATATGCATCGTGTGCATATACATCCTCGTGGCTCGGTATGAAAGGTAGCGTCACCGTGTGTCGATACTGTCTTGTCTGTGTCCGCCAATCGGCTTAGCTCGCCACCTTGTGCACACCATACACAGATGCCGTACCTACATACAGACAATTCATTTGGGCGGTGACGATCCCTTCCTCATTGTCACGCGTAATCCTATGTAGGGGGAATGGTAACACCATTTGCCGGGAGAGGTCCCTCCCCAAAAGGGATCAACTGGCCTGGTTCACCTGGGAGATTGACTCGTATCTTGTGAGGAACCGACCTAGGGCGTGTCTTATTTCAACCCCTCCCCGTTCGCCCCCTGGTCACCTAGCCTAGATCATTGTGACAGCGGGAAGGCAGAAACAGACAGAGGAACAATTGAGAGAGGGACGAAAAAAAAAACCGATTAGCCGGACGGAGTTGGTTGTCTTTCTCGATCCTTTCCTCTCTCGATGGGGTTTCATTGTTTGCGGGCCCATTCACCGAGTCCGTCTGATTTGACCACGCGAGATCTCTCGACTATCACTCCCTGTCGGGTCTCCTGTAAAGGCAAAATAACTGATAAAGCTTTCCTTCCCCGACCGATTCCCTCGCGCGACGGTCGCTGTCTGCTGCCTACCCACCTGCCCGTCCTAGTGGTAGCTAATACCTATCGCCTTATCTCGCAGCCGGCGCGGACGACGACGACGTGGTCCGAAAGAACGTAACGTTGCGGTGTATGCTCCTACGTCACAGATAGAGGGGAGTACCTGGATTCTGGACGCCACCCTTCAGCTCCCGTCTGCCCATCCACACGATCGTTTGGCTCTAAAAAAGCAAAAGTCTATACTGCTCCCCTAGCTACCCTGATAGAGTAGCTGTGCGTCGGCCTAGGCGGAAGCTCTCCAACTTGGGACCGCGCCGCGGGAAGGGTTGTGGCCGTGGCCGTGTGCTTCCCCTGCCGTCGGATGCTGCAGTTGGGATTCGTCGGAGACACGCGCACACACCTACCTCATCGACGCCGCCGAGCCTTGTAGTCTGCCAGCCCATAGGCGTGTGCGACCAGAGCGACCTGCCAGAGACGGCCTAGAGACAAATCAACGTTTTCTCTTCTCAAAATTCCAAAGCATTTAATCGGTCGCCTTGCCTCCTTTGTGTCGACCGTCGCTGTATTGACGCCTTGGGATTCCCTACCTGATCGCCATCATGTTGAAGAATCTCGTCCTCTCCTTTTTGCTGCTGACCGTCGCGTCTGTGCAGGCGATCTGGCCGATTCCTGAAACCCTCAGTACGGGAAACCAGACTTTGTGGATAGGGGACGTCCTGCTGGTTACATATAATGGAGAAAAAGTATGCCGCTCTTCTACCTAAGGCGCGCCCTTGCCGTGCACTTGCGTCACGAGAAATTGGCCAGAAGCTTACCTCTACTGCAGCTCCCCTGGGTCCGGAACTACAGACCGTTTGGCGGTCCCACGTTCTCCAGCAAGGAGATCGTCAAGGGTGGCGTGTCGCGGACGTTCGGAAATATCCTGGACAACAACTTCGTCCCGTGGAAGCTGTATCCTCGATTGGAGCTCGAGAAGTCGGAGCCCAGCCTGCGACAGAAGGTTTACATCACTCGCCTCGACCTCGTTCAGACCGCAGCGGACAAGCCGTCAGCGTTCAAACCCCTCGATGACGAGCTTGACGAGTCCTACAGCCTGTCGGTAGGGGCCAACGGCACAGTCAAGATCGTGGCGGTCTCTTCCATCGGCATCTTGCGGGGTCTCGAGACCTTTTCCCAGCTTTTCTACAAGCATTCCAAGGGCCCGATATACACGAAACTAGCGCCCGTCGAGGTTAAGGATTGTCCTCAATACGCTCATCGTGGTGTTCTCTTCGATGTATCGCGTACCTTCTTCCCCGTCGATGCCATTTACCGAACCATCGATGCGCTTTCATGGAATAAGATGAACCGTCTGCACATTCACGCGACCGACTCCCAGTCCTGGCCGCTGGAAATCCCCTCGCTGCCAGAGCTCCACCTCAAAGGCTCGTATGGCAATGGGCTCACGTACTCGCCGGCAACTGTGACCGCCATCCAGACCTACGCGGTCCAGCGGGGAGTCGAGGTCATCTTCGAGATCGACACCCCGGGACACTTTGGCGTGGTAGCCCTGTCGCACCCGGATATCATCACGGGGTGGGGTGCGTCGCCGTGGTCAACTTATTGTGCGGAACCGCCTTGCGGCCAACTCAGGTTAAACGAACCCAAGGTGGACCCCTTCCTCGACACGCTCATGGATGATCTCCTGCCGAGACTGGCCCCGTATTCGGCCTATTTCCACACGGGCGGTGACGAGGTCAACTTCAACGAGTACAACCTGGACCCCTCGGTTGGTACCAACGATTCGGCGGTGATCCTGCCGCTTATCCAGAGGTTCATCGACAAGCACCACGCGCGAGTACGAAAGGCCGGCTTCGCCCCGATAGTCTGGGAAGAGATCCCGGCGAATTATAACGTGACCATCGGGAAGGACGTGGTGGTTCAATCCTGGCTCGGCGACGCGGCTATCGAGAGCCTAACGGCCCAGGGCCACAAGGTTATCTCGAGCAATTACAATTTCTGGGTATGTGATCCTACAGGCGCCTAGCTGCCTGCCCGCCCGCGTGCCCCCGTACGAATAGATAGGGGAGCTAACAGAAACACTCGGATTAGTACCTAGACTGCGGGCGTGGCCAATGGCTCAACTTCGCCGAGGGTGCGGTGTACGCAGAACGCTACCCGTTCAACGACTGGTGTAGCCCGTACAAGAACTGGCGCCTGGTATATTCGTACGACCCGAGGGGAGGTCTTTCGGCCGAGGCGGCCAAGCTGGTGATCGGTGGCGAAGTGGCTGCTTGGTCGGAAGCGATCGACGACGCCAACATCGACCTGATCTTGTGGCCACGCAGCAGCGCGGCCGGCGAGGTGCTTTGGTCGGGGCGGCACGACGCTCTGGGCCGGAATCGCACACAACACGACGCGGCGCCGCGGTTGGCGGAGTTCCGGGAGCGCATGCTCGCGAGGGGTGTGAAGAGCGAACCCGTCCACATGATCTACTGCACGCAGGGCCTGGACCCTACCTTGTGTCAATTTGAATAAGCAAGAGAGTTGTCGATCTTGCCCTTCTCCGAATGCTGAATCTCTGCCGGGTATGGGATGTGACAGGCGACGAACGGCTCGGAGACGCAAAAGGATGGAAATAATAATAAGAACCCAACCGGACCCGCCGTCCACATCTTGTAGTAACACTCTTCCCGCTACGCCGCCATGTCATTTGCTTGATCACTGCAGCCAAGCCCGGGGGCACTCGCTCGTCAGCGCCATGAGTGGTCGATGCTGGTAGTGTACACGCTCGGGACCTTTTTTCCCCGTCGTATCCAGCGACCCAGAAATGGCTAAGAAGGAAGACGAGGGAAGACGAGAGATAGAAGGGAGATAGGGGGAAGGGACTAGGACCCGATATTGTGCGGGAGAAGCTTGACGGATGCTGACGCGCGTATCGCTAGGACTACTAAGCAATGTTATAAACCCATATCCGACCGACGTCACTGGTCCTGCATTACACTGGTCCTGCGTTACTCATACATACAGGTACCTGGATATGTACTGTACATATGCACCATAGGGGGGGGAGGGAAAGGAGGGTTCTGTCGACACTACAGCTAATGCCAGGGACCGTTTCTATACTTAGAAATAGCCATTATGAGTATACGTTGAAAGATTTTCTATTATTGTGGATGGTAAATCGTATGTTAGGTAATATGTCCCTAGCTTCTACTGAGTAGCTTCGGAGGACCAACGGTCACAGTAAGAGGCATCGGAAGGTTTTTCATTGGCCCGTAACCTGGTGGGGTGATGTCGGAAGGTTTTCCTCCTTTGGTGCTAGGACGTGGACGGGGGGAGGAGGAGGGGAGCATACCGGCGATGGCGGCGATGGCAGCGATGGGAATACGCCCGGATCAACAACTTTGACGGGCCGGGACTCGTATGGCGCAACCGAACTGTAACATCATCCTCAACTTGAGGAGCGGCGCTTCGGTGCTGCGGCCGTACCCGAGAGCGGGCGCCAGGACCGTAAACTTGGGCGACGACACCGTCAAGTCAGGAAACTCTCCTCCTCCCTCTGCTGCTGAGTTAATACGACATCCTCGCCCTTGGCCTCCTTGGCGACTCCCTCGTACTCCCCGCACGGATGCCCTGACGTACCTATAGGGGCTTTCGTAGCAGTTTTGTCCTCGGCAGGCATCTCGCCAGATGCTGGAATCGGCCGACCAGTCTGTCTGCGCTTCCAGCCCTCGGGGTCTTCGCACTCCCCGATCGACGACTCCACGCGTTCCTTGCCTGATCTGCGTTTCTTGGCTGATAGGCTACTCCGGGGGATCGCCCGCCGCAGATTGTCGAGTGCCCTTATAGGTAGGAACCTACAGCACATGTGACAGTTACTGCGTCCTCCGACCCAAATCCATCCGAGCCCGTCGGCGGACGGAGTTCATCAAGTATCCGGCGTGTAAGAGACGTGCGTATGGGCATATACTGTGAAGTAGTACCTAGGTAGGTAGGTAGCCAAGAATGCTCTGCGTTCACCTGATATACACCGGCCCAATTGATCCCCTATAGCTCACCTTGAAGCGGGCCACGGCTTCTTTCAAGATCCTGTCAGCTGAGGTCATTTTAAAATACCCCAACTACGTGTAGAACTCCATCAATAGACTAAGGTGAGTGCTGTTCGATTACTTAGGTAAGTTACCACCATTATCGCCACCATCACTACCACGGCTATTAGAGGTTGGGGCAAGTTATAGGTAAGGGATCATCAGTAGGCTGGCCTATAACCTGCGCTGGCCGGCTTTAGGTAGGTACCTACCTAGCCTTCTCGGGCAACAGGCCGATCCCGTCACATCCGTCCGTAGCGCTGCTTCAGTACCGAAGGTACGTACGTTACCTGCATCCTAGCCAGCTGAGATGCATCGAGACTTGTTAGTCACGAATCGTCCTCCTTACCGACCTACATAGCCAAATAAATAGCTCGCTATCCGCGGGCCCCATAGCTTTGACGGCCTCCGCCCCCTCGAAACTTGGCCTCGGCCCGCCCATTATAAACTACCTAGAGTCCATTGGTGATCCTCTGCACCGATGGGCTGACATACTCCCTCTATACCTAGATAAAAGCGTGCCTCACCCGATTCCATTTCCGTACTTCACCATCACCCTTCTAACTCCCCTTCTCCCGACTACTATCGACTTAGCGTAACGAAGACGGCGATAGTGATTCCTGCCTGTTGATATCTAGGACTGCTGCTGACCGCCGCCCGCCCTCGCGCTACCATGGGCTTTGTCGAGGCTGCGCTGGATCATGCGTCCGCCAAGTCCGCCCTCATCCTCGTTGGCCTCGTCTTCGTGGCATGGAGGGTCTACGTCACGGTCGATCGGCGCACTCGACTGAGGCGTCTGGGTGTGCCCGGCTTCCGGGCCAAGTCTACGCTGCCATTTGGTAAGCCTACGTGCACTGCGTAGCCGAAAAAAAAAACAGAAGTGGTTCTCTAACAGAGAGGGGCGGTTAGGTGTGGATTTGATTCAGAGGCAGGTTACTGCCACCATGAAACACAAGAACTACGAGATGTTCCTCGAGTTGATGCATGGTTCTCCCGACTACACGGTCGAGAGTCACATTATGGGGATCCGTGCCATCATGACGGCCGACCCCGAGAACATCAAGGCCATCCTAGCCACTCAGTTCCAAGATTTCGGTAAGGGCGAGCAGTTCCACGAGGACTGGTCCGAGTTCCTCGGCGACAGCATATTCACCACCGACGGCCAGCGCTGGCACGCCAGCCGGCAGCTCCTCAGGCCCCAGTTCTCGAGGGAGCGCATCAGCGACCTGCACTGCTTCGAGTCTCACCTTGAAACCTTCTTCAAAGCCATCGCCAACGGCGGCGTCCTCGACGGCGAGACGCAGCAGGTCGACATCGAAGCCGGCAACGGCAAGCCTTTCGACATCAGCGAGCTCTTGTTCAGATATACTCTCGACGTTGCCACCGACTTCTTGCTAGGCATGGACGTGCAGTCACTCACGTGAGCCAACCCCTTTTCTCCGTCCCCTTCTCCCCCTCCCCCTCTACCACACGTGCCTCTCCTCCCCACATTCAAATGATTTGGGTGTTACCCAGAAGAAGAAAACGTGGACACACATGGCTTACGCGCGATATGAACTTGTCGCATCTGCAGCACCCCTCGCCAACCCTTCGCCGACGCGTTCAACGAGGTACAGCGAGTGCAGAACATCATCGCGCGAAGCCGGCCGTTGACGGCCCTCGTGCCGAAGCGGACGTTCCGACAGGGGCTGAAGCTGGTGAACGAGTTCTGCGGGATCTACATCGACCGGGCGCTGCGGCTGAGCGCGGAGGAGCTAGCGACCAAGACGAAATCGGACAGCGACTACACGTTCTTGCACGAACTCGCCTCGTTTACACGCGACCGCAAGGTGCTGCGGGATCAACTGATCGCCGTGCTGCTTGCGGGGCGCGACACGACGGCGGCGACGCTGTCGTGGACCTTCTACGAGCTCGGGCGCCACCCCGAGGTCGTGCAGAAGCTGCGCCGCGAGATCATCGAACGCCTCGGGCCGGACCCGAACCACACGCCGACCTACGAGGATCTCAAGGCGATGAAGTACCTCCAGAACGTCATCAACGAGACGCTGCGCCTCTACCCGGCCGTGCCGTTTAACGTGCGCACCGCCCTCAGGGACACGACGCTACCGCGCGGCGGGGGGCCGGACGGCACCCTGCCGCTGCCCGTGCTCGCCGGCGACCCCATCGGGTACTCGACGCTCGTGATGCAGCGGCGGGCCGACTTCTACCCTCCGCCGTCGGGCGAGAAGGGCCGGTACATCGACCCGGCGGTGTTCAGCCCGGACCGGTGGTTCGAGTGGCAGCCGAAGCCGTGGCACTACATCCCGTTCAACGGGGGGCCCCGGATCTGCATCGGGCAGCAGTTCGCGCTCACGGAGATGGCGTACGTGCTGACGCGCGTGTTCCAGCGGTACGAGCGCGTCGAGAACCTCATGTACGAGATCGACGGCGGCAAGCCCAAGATGAAGGCCGAGATCGTGATCCAGCCCGGCGACGGCGTCAAGGTCGCGCTGTGGGAGGCGGCGAAGACCGGCTGAGTGCGTAGCGAAGATGTACCTAGGTAAGGGTCGGGTGAGAGACCTCGGCTCCGTTGGGATGCAGGAGAGGAGGACGGGGAAGAGAAGGGGAGCATACTCACACGCAGAGGAGGCAAAGGTTGTTGCAGGTAACCACTCCTTACTTTTGGAAAACTGTGGTTGCGATTATTTTTGGGAGTTGGGCCGGATGCCGGTTGGATATAGCAAGGGAGGGGCCCGAAGCTAGCAGCAAATGCCGGATCTTTGTACCTACACGTTAGTTTGGCTTTTCTCAAATACCTCGAATTATAGGATACCAGATCTCGTCTTCTCCTCCTCGCCGTCTCCGCCTCGGTGGTGGGAGTAGTGTGCATATGCCCACCTAGCTCCCTCCTTTCCTCTCGGGAGATGAGGAGAGAGAGGGGGAAAGGGGAAGGGGGAGGTTGCTATTAGGTGAGTACGGTGTCTCGGGCCGGAAGGCTATCTGGCACATTTCAGAGGGAGGCAAGAAGCTGTGTGTGTGTGCACGTCATGCGCTACTAATATTGCTCTGAGGCCTGGAGAAAAAAAGCAACCCCCAGAGACTACAAGGAATTGGCCGTACTTCTTCTACTTTCTTCTCTGTACCATCTTCTCGTATAACAACTCTGCTAGGACATTGTCTAGCTGTCCGACAGCTTTGAAAGTGCTTGAGATCAGTAGGCGGGTACCTAAGGCGCCGACGACAATACTGAGATTCTTGCTGCGTCTATCTAAAATCTGGGGCATTAGAAGACGAAGGCATTTCCTTCTTTAGGATGGAGCTTCTCACACGAGATTTTGATGGTCTTTCCTTGCTAATTTTTGCCCATCTACTCATGTGTACCTACCTCCCTCTTAGGTACCTACCTCCTTCTGATGTGCACAGGTGCAAGCCACAAGCTTAGGTACCAGGTACCTACCTAGGCATCTGATACAGTCACACTGGGAGCCGCCTTAGAGGTGCTCAATTACCAGCGTAATCTTTAGGTTAGGTACTTACGCTGCCGAGTGTACCTCTTATACACATGTATGAGTAGGTATGTACCTATTTTTATTGCAAGTCTGGCAGGTGTAACCCGCCAGTGGGTACCGAGGTGCCCGCTGCCAATCAGGTGCATGGTGAATGAGGTTATGTACATCGCCATGTACTGTGTGGCGGTGCGTCAAACCCTGTTCTAGCCATGGGAAATTGCTCTCCCAGATTCCGCCCGGCCTCCTCCAGATCTCTCTCTTACATCTACGACAACGTCATTCCCGCATCTCAACATCTTCTCCTACCTCGTCCCAGCCCTCCACCAAGCCTCGTTCCTTATCGCGTTTCTCCCCCTCGCTGCGGCCCTCAGGTAGAGCAGAAGTTGTTGTCAAGCATCCGCAATCCTCAGCACCGGCTTCTGTTCGTCGCCACCGCGCTCATCTTCCAGGTCATATCCACGACACGCCGCACGCCACGCGAACCTGTTCCTTTCGAACTCTCGCATTTCAACCGACTCTTGCCATTCGTTTCCACCCCCTCCCAGAACCCACGCCAGACGTCGCCACCAGCTGTTCCCCAAGATGGCTATCGAGGTAGCCATGAACACGCCCTTGGCGGATGCCTTGAACGTGGTTATCCAGCCAAAGCTGGTGGAGGTGGGCTGGGCGACAGGTGGCGCCGATGACTCGGCGCTCTCGGAGTACATTATCCTCATGCTTGTCAACGGCAAGACCCAAGATCAGATCGCTGCAGAGCTCGCTGGGGACCTCCTCAGTCTCGGACCTGACGATCCGGGCGCACGCGACTTTGCGAAGTGGTTGTTCGACCAGATTGCCCTTCTCAACACCCAGCTCAACGGCGCTTCAGCTCAATTGGAGAATGCCGCCGGCCCTTCTCAGAATGCTGCCTCTTCCGCAGACCAGGACATGGAAATGAGCATATCTACCGATGGCCCGGAACTGGTTGCGTATGCTGCCACTCCCCTCCCAGTTGATGCACCACCTGTACTTACATTCCCTAGTCCTACAGGCCCCAAGTCCATGCGAAATTCTAGTCAGAGGGGTGGCCGAGAGAGGAGATTTCTCGGTCAGATGGCAAAGGCCATGGACCGCACCCACGACTCGGTCCTGCATCGTGTCCGAGCGAACGGTAACGAGCGCATCAATTCCCACCGGCCGCCTCCTACCGGACCGAGGGGTGCGTTTGGCCGTCCGAATCGCATGGTGAACAACCGCGCCGCTGGTTTCACCGCACACGTGAATCAGGTGCCCGGCCGTATGCCTCCCGTCCCCGGAGCACCAGGGATGAATGGTGTAAACGACATGAATTGGATGATGCCTGGGGGCCAGGAGCAGATTTACAGTCTCCTCCAACAGCAGAATCAGATGATGATGCAGCTGCAGCAGCAGCTTGCTCAGCAAAGCCAGGCCGGTCGACCCCACCAAGGACGGTCGCTTTTCGATCGCGTCCAGGAGCCGCGAGGCGGCAGACGGGGCGGCCATGGCCATGGTCCCGTGAACGGTCATAGGCCACACCAGGCAGCTCAGGCCAATACCAACGAGACTGGGGCCGCAGGCGAGGACGTCGACATGATCCAGAGACACGAACCACCTAATCCCGACACCACTGTCTGCAAATACAACTTGGCCTGTACCAACCGAGAGTGCAAATTCGCCCACCAATCTCCGGCGGCGCCACCGAACACTACGATCGACGTTAACGATACGTGTATGTACGGCGCGGCATGCAAGAATCGGAAGTGTGTGGGTCGTCACCCTTCCCCGGCAAACAAGCGCGCACACCAGAATGAGCAAGAGTGCAAGTTCTTCCCCAATTGCACCAACCCGAGCTGCCCCTTCAAGCATCCAGACATGCCTCCCTGCCGGAATGGCGGCGACTGCGCAGTAGAAGGATGCAAATTCGCTCACGTTACGACCATGTGCAAATTCAAACCCTGCACCAACCGATTCTGTCCCTATAAGCATGAGGAAGGCCAGCGCGGCACGTTCCACGATAAGGTGTGGACGGCTGATGGCGCGAGGGAACACGTTAGTGAGAGGAAGTTCGTAAACCAGAGCGGACCCGAGGAGTTTGTCATGCCTGGAACGGAAGGTCTCGGGACGGAGGGTAGCGTATCCCAGGAGCCGGCCGCGGCGGGCGAGAATGTGATGTGAGCTTGAGCGAGGGGGGGGAGGGGGACTCAAGTAATGACATGATATTTGTAATGGTTAGTCAGGCTGAGGACCGGATGAAATGATGGGTCTGAGATCCGGGCGGAGACATGACGCGGCGTAGCAGATGAGTGGCACGATGGTTCGTCGTATAGATTTCATACAGGAGTTGCTAGGCTGGTCATAGGAAAAGCTAAGGGAGTTGAGAGCATCGCAATATACCCAATGCATTTTGTGATTTGTAACAAGATGGTGTTTGTCAGTTAATTTCTTCATTTTCTACGGTGACTGACTGTTTCTTGGAGGGCCAATGTTTCCTGCCTGCCTACACATGAAGGCGATATATAAGTATATTAGGGTGAGGTGGAGGTAGGGAACTCCTCGGGCGTGTCTTATATACGCATCGAGGGGCCCCGCCTATAGGTGTTCTCGTGCGAGACACGAGCATCTCTAGCTCGGTATCAACGGGACTGTACTGTAGTGTTTACGACTTCGCATACTGGTATGAGGACATCGCACAATCTCGTACCTACATATTTCTGCTATAACATTCGAACGTATTGCGTAGTACTAGACATGTATGCAGTATAGAGGTCATATCTGCCTAAGCCAAGAACCTCAATCCATGGGTATATCTATACCCGTTATTTGCATCACCTACATACACCTTTACGTTAGGTACCTAGCATACCTGACGTCCCCCGACGTAACCTGAACCACCCCAGCGTTCTCTCGCTCGACCCGTTCGTTCTCTTGCCCGACCCATCGTGCCACTCGACCTCGCGCACATTTCCGCAGCGGATTCAACATGCAACGGCCGCCGCCACGGCCGGCTGACGCACGCAGACAATGAATCCCAAACGCACAGAGGGTGCGATTATAACCGCTCCCAGGCACGCGTATCGCAATGCCACCCGTACCCTCCGCCGATCGACCCCGCCGACGACGACGTCGGGGAAGCTCCCCGGGGGCTCCCCGGCGCGCCCGCTGAGCCTGCTAGCAGCTTGCCGACGGCCAATCAGGCTGCAGGCGGCTTACGCCCGGCTCGAGAAGCTTGCACAAGCCCCGGGGCGGGCCTATGCGACAGTTAGTACCAAGGGCGGCCGTGAGGGCAAACCCCGCGAGGTCGCCATCATCGGCGGCGGCATTACCGGACTGACCGCCGCTCACTACCTGTCCCGCTACGCACCGCCGAACGTGAGGATCACGCTGTACGAGAGTTCGAAACGGCTCGGCGGCTGGATAGAGGGAAGCATACAATCGGTTGGCGAGGGCCGGTTCGAGAAGGTCCTGTTCCAACACGGTCCTCGGGTGCTTCAGACTGGTCCTACGTCTCCCAAGTACAACGAACTAGTTTTATATGACGTGGTCGGTCTATATAGATACTCACCTCCCTCCGTATTCTTTCCAGCTGGTCCCCGCCCTGCTAACGTGCGTGTCCTCGCTGCCCGCAGATAGCCGGCTTGGGGACGAATCTAGAAATCAGGGTTAGCAACGCAGCCCACGGGCGTCGCTTCATATACTACCCAGATCGCCTTATAGGGGTACCAAGTACCACAGCCACATGGCCCCAAACCATCACCTCCTATCTCCGCCTTCTGAGGGAGCCCGTATCTCGTGGAGTTTGGAAGTCTTTCGTGAATTTCTACTTGACACAGCGTTACCACAAAGAGCTCCTCCGTGCAGATCCCAAAGAGGTCTTGGATCGGGACGAGTCCATAGGCGAATTCTGGAGCAAGGTGTTTGGGGACGATCGTATCGTCAATAACGTAATCTCTGCTTCCATCCACGGTATTTACGGTGGGGACATCAACAAACTGAGCACGAAACATTCCTTTTTCGACAGCGTGTGGCGGACGCTGAGAGCCCGGACCGCGGATTCCGAGGTGCTAGTGGAGAAGAAGGATTGGGTCCTCCTACACGACATCATGGATGGGGACAATCGTTTCAAGGTTATTGCCATGGCGGAACACGCAGCACAGTTTGGTACTATGACCCTCGGCGACGGAGTGCTAGGCCTCGTCAATAGCATGGCTCAAGACTTGGCAAAGCGCAAGAACGTGACAGTGAAGCTTAATAGCCCTGTCATATCCGTGGCTCATAAGAACGGTCGGGTGTTGGTAAATTGTTTGAGCCCGTCCTGAGGGGGCAGGTCGAAATGCTAACGGCATCTCTCTCTCTCAGGTAACCACTGACGGCACCCCGGAGGAGACGAAGCCTTACGATCAAGTTATTTCCACTCTTTTCTCTGGACATCTTGCCAAGATAGTCGAGCCTAAAGGCATACTACCTTCGCTAGCCGGTACCCATGCCGTGACCATCATGGTTGTCAACTTGTGGTTCAAGAACCATAAGCTCCTCGAGGGGAGGGAGGGCTTCGGTTACCTCATCCCTACCACGACACCTAATAACGAGGAGTGTGTTCTGGGCGTAATCTTCGATTCGTGTATAGAGTGGCGCGACGAAATTCCCGGCACAAAGCTCACGGTCATGCTCGGCGGCCACTATTGGGATGGCTGGGATTTCCTCCCCAGCGAGAAGATGGCCAAGCAGATGGCCATCCAAGCCGTACAGCGACACCTCGGGATCGACCCCAGCGAAACGGTGGTCGCCAATGCCCGCCTCTGCCGCGAATGCATACCGCAGCACTACGTCGGCCACCGCGAGCGCATGAGCAAAGCTCACTACGAGCTCCTCGCCGCCTTCCAGGGGCAGCTCACGGTCGCGGGGCCGAGCTACACGGCGGTAGGCGTGGTGCCGGCGATGCGCGCGGGCTTCGACGCGGGGATGCGCGTGGCGCGGGGCCGCGGCCCGCCGTTCTTCCGGCGGCCGGACCGGCTCGACACGTGGTTCACCGACTTCGCGCTCGAGGAGGAGGAGGAGGAGGAGGAGGGGGGGGGGTTTGGGGGCTCGCCCGCGGACGCGCCCTCGGTGCCGGACCACGTCGGGCAGACGGGGCTCGAGGGCTTCACCGAGAGGGTCAGCGACACGCTGATCGCGGTCCCGATGGACGAGATGTACTTCAAGAAGACGGCCGACGCGTTCCACCGCTTCACCGCCGGCCACCTCACCGACTGGATCGCGCCCTCGGACCTCACCGGCCGCCCGTACGGGCTCCTCGGCGCCAGCACGAAGCCCGGCTACGGCGGCCCCACCTCCTGGCCCGCCTTCCTCGAGAAACTGCACCAGGAAGCCCGGCGCCAGGCCGAGAAGGCCGACGGGAAGGGGGAGAGGTCGTGAGTCCTCGAGAGCCGCGGGTCGGGTGGCGGTAGGACGGAAGGGAAAAGGGGGGGAGTAGAGGAAGAGGCGACGGTAGAGAAGAGTTCCTAAGGGTGTTTGTTCGTTGGTCGCGCAAATGTATATAGGTATGTTGGTGGATGCTAGAGTGCGCCTACTGGGCGTGCGCATAAATTAAGAGCTGTTCGGCGTGGGGGCCAGGTTCACGACAATGTCGAGGGTTTTTTTTTTCTTCTCCTAAGTACGTTACATTGCCACCACTATCCTTCTCCCTCTGCCTGTATGTAGGTCGGGTCCGGCGGGTATGCCTACACGTAGCACACGAGATAGTCACACAGTCACTTCGATACGACACGGACGTTGTCGCTCTCTACGAACGGCCCTATTTTTGGGAAAAGCAAATGGTATCATTTCTCTACCTGGCGAGCCAGAGAACTGACTCTTCTTCTTCTATGTTCTATTCCTCTAGCGTTGTTTTACTCTGCCGTGCTCCCATTCGCTATTACGTGTCCGGGATCCCCGTCTGCCTTTTTGACAATATATTATTGCGTTGGGGGGTGGGGAGGGGGCGCGGTCTATGGGCGTCTAAAGGATCTATAGCCTCCCATGTGTGATGCTAGCAGTGGTTATCGCGTCGAAGTGCTTCTGTCCCGCTCGACCTGTCTCGGGGCAGACGTCCGTCCCTCCGGGGGACGTGCGAGAGACGAGAGGTGGTGGAGGGAGAAGGGGGGCTCTGGTGGAGCGAGTGTGCCTCTCGACCGTGAATAGTGGCGATATGGGGTGAAGAGATGATGATGGAAGGGTGGACGGTTATTTCGGGGAGGGATTAAGGGTTGTGCGGGCGTGTTTCGGTGTGTATATATCGCATGGATGTATGTATTCATCTATCGTCCGTCTACGCCAAGTTGCTCGTGAAGACATACGTGACGGCTTGCTTGCTGCCACTCAGCAGCACGATTGTCGGTTGGGCGACAATGGAGAGTCTATTTCTCTTCTAAGAGATCGAGGTATTTCGTATGAGAAAAAGGGGCTTTGGACGGGAGCATTCTCCGCATCTGTCAAAGCGTGTTTAGGTTGGATGTTCGTATAGACTGTTGTACATGTAACGGTTTTGCGAGCTCTGTCTCCGTCAAAAAGTATCTGCGGTGATGATAGAGAGGATAGGGGTTCTGATTTTGGTATAGGTGATGTCGCATTAAGTATATATTGCCCTGATCAGCTTCTCGTGAAGCTGCCTGGCTCGCATGAGTCCGAGCTGAGCTACAGACTAAGCTTCCTGGGACGGGGCAACCGCCTCTACGTCGGTGCCGGCATGATCCTCCTCTTCGAGAAGCATGAGCTTGCGACATTGCTCCTCGACTGACTCCTCGTCATCTTCGGCTCCGTGGTCTCGCTCCACGCGAGCGGCCAGCATGAGTTTCTTGACACAGGAATTGTAGATGAACCGCTCGACAGAGTTACGAGTGATGATGCGGACGACTTCGACGTCGCGAGTCTGCCCGATTCGGTGTGCCCGGTTCGAGGCCTGTACGTCGTCCTGGGGGTTGTCGGATTGGTCGAAAAGAATGATCTTGTTGGCGGCGGTTAGGTTGAGGCCTGTGCCTCCAGCGCCGGTGGTCAGCAAGAACACTGGTATATCCGTATTTTCTGTGAATCGCTGGCACTCGGGGAATCGTTCAGCTGTCTCCATGGCTCCAGTAAGCTCACAATAAGGAATATTCGCAGAATGCAGTGTCTCCCGTAGTATATCAATGACCATCTCGAATCGGCTGAATACGAGAGCTCTGTCTCCTGTCTTTATATAGCCTCTAATGAGTTCGAGGAACTTCTGTACCTTCGGACTCTCCTCCCAAGAACGGTCTGGGATATCCAAGTGGCTGATATACTTGGGGAAATCTTTGCACCAAAGGTGCAGTTGGAAGTCCGACTTGGTCATCATCTCTTGTAGTAGGAGGGCTTTATGACGATCCTCTTTGCTTTGAACGCCAAGTTCTTCCTCAGAACAGTTCTTCCATAGAATATTCACCATATCCCGGACTTTTTCATCCGTAAAATGATGTCGGAACAGCTGGTGATGGATCGCAGCTTTTCGGAGTTGCATGTATGGGTGTGCTTCTCTAGTCGGTTTGGCAGCTTTAGTACCCTTGGTATCCTTCGGTAGAAGATATCTGTCCTTGTATTGGTCGTATGTGACCTTTTGCAGAGGGTGCATGTCGACTATCTCAATACGCTCGACCTTCTTGGCCAGGTCCAGAACATCGTCCTTGCGTCTCTGGAGGATGAAAGGTGCCATGACTGTTCGCGCACGACCGACCCGTCCTTCGGCGAGGGCCGCAAAATTATGGACATCCTTGTTCGCAACCTTCGTCTCGAAAATTGTGCTTAATCTCTCGAAGTATTGTTCCTCAAATAGACTCGGCTCGATGAAATGGAGCAGTGTGAGGAGCTCCTTCAAATTGTTCTGCACCGGTGTGCCGCTGAGGATAAGGCGCCACTTGGTAGGGACTTGCATCATCTGCTGGTAAACCAAGGCCTTTTGGTTCTTCAATTTATGGCCTTCGTCGAAGATGGCCGCGTAGGGCTTCAGTTTCTGCAGCCACTCCAAATCCTCTTCTCGCTTGTCGATCTGGGAGTATGTCGTCAGAACGACGTGGTATTCACGAGACGCCCTGGGGTCGATGTCTCGGCGATGTGCGCCATAGTATGCAAGGACGTCTATGCCGGGAGCGAATTTCTCAAACTCTGAGAGCCAGTTCTCATAAGTGCTGGAGGGCACAACGACCAGGTTTGGCCAGGGGGCTCTAGTATCAGGTTCGCGCTTCGACGTAACCAGATGAGCGATGAATGCTATGACTTGGCATGTCTTGCCGAGACCCATGTCGTCGGCGAGGATTCCGCTGTAGCCCTTCGAGTGTAGAAGGCTCATCCAATTGACGCCAACTAGCTGGTATGATTTCAACTCGATAGATTGGCTCATCAGCTCGGGCTTCTTGGAGATGGGAAGCTCGGGAAGCGTCTCGGAGTCTGATTCAGAGTTGCGCTTCGGCTCACCGTTTCTGTCCAGCGGCCAGGTAGACATAGCCTCCCGTAAGGCGACTCCTCGCTTTTCACACTCCGTGATCACCGCCGTAGCTGCGTCACAGGCTTGGAACCAGGAAGTCAACTTTTCCACAATGACTTCTCCGACAGGGGAGGGTCGGCGCTTGGTCTTAGACTTAGATTTGTCCTTCCGGTAGACCTTCTCGGCGTCGATGAGGCTCTTGAATGGTCGCGAAGACACCATGAGCTTGGCATCGGCAACCATACCGGTCATGCGTCCAAGTTCCTCAGCGGTGCAGGAGTTGAGATAATTGAGGACGCCATTATCCTCCTCCACCCCATCGACCAGATCCTCCGGGGTCTCATCGTTGTCAGAGTCCAACGAATTATAAATAGGCTCAAGTCCCTCATATGCCTTCTGGTTACGGGATAGAGATTGAGGGTTTGAGTTGCTCTTCGCCTTTTTCTGACGCGGGATACTGTCAGATTCGGCTAGGGCGGCTAGGTCCTCCTCGCTCTTCCTCTTGCGAGAGCGGGCGCCAGAGTCGGTCTGCTGCCTCTTGGCACGCTTCTCGGGACGCGCGGGGGCGTCAGATTGAGCTTGGACGTCATTCCCCAAAGCAGCAGCAGCTCGCTTGAGAGAACGAGTTGTTACCAAGATGTCGGTATCGGTGTCCGGGTCCGAGTCTGAGTCAACCGCTGGAATAGAAGGGGTTACGTTCCGGCGGCCGCGGACGAGTCGTCGCCGAGGTTTTTGGACCGCATCCGAATCGGGAGATAAACCAGAACCCGACATCAAAGCAGGCGAGTCAAACTCTGAGCGGATGGGGGTTGTGATGGAAGAAGGGGGCGATGAGGGGAGTGAGAAAACTTCGGGTGGCGTAGGTGATTTTCTGCGTCCCTGGACGAGGCGTTTACGCCGCAGCTTGTTATTCGACTTTAGGCCCCGAGTAGAGGCAGACGAAAGAGTTGATTGAGTTGACTGAATGGATGGAACAGAGGGAGGGTGGTTTGAAGTTGATGATGAGTTATTCGTGTGGGAAAATGAATTTTGCGAGGAGGATCTGCTCGAGTTTGTGGAGGCGGGAACGTGAAGAAAACTCCTGAGCGTGTTCTGAGAGCGGCCAGGCCCTGTCGATGACTTTGAACGACTGCTGGGTTTGGAGCCATTGCCGGTCATATAGTCGAGCTTAATGGGCAGTTGACTTTTTGCAGGTCTCCCGGTCAACACGTCGACGGCCTTGGAGACACGCCAACTCACGTCCTTCTGCAGCGCATCTTTGCACGCCTGGATCGTGATTTCAGGTTTGATTTCCTGCACGATCTTGTACACCTGATGGGTTAGATGCCGCAGCCTTATATCACGTATATCAGTTAACGCAATATCCGCCTTCAACGGCCACAAAGTCTCTCGTTTCGATGTCGATTTTGCCGTCTTATCCTTGATAAAAGAAGGTCGTATGTCTCCCCTTGTGGGTATATCACCATCATCTGAACTGTCATGCTTCTTATAGTCCTCAGATAGGTCGTCATCAGAGATCTCCAAGTAATTCTTCTTATTGGTGGAGGGCCCGTTGGCTCTGCGCAATAACGACTTTACCGCGGGTGGTCTAAAGGAAGTTCCCGCCGGAGCTATGAGCGAGCCAATCGTCCTTGCTAGTTCGGGCTGCTTCTGCGACTCTATCAAATGCTTCGCTTGACCCTTGGGCTGGAATGGCGACGAGGCTGGCACTTCGATTGCGGTACTTGGCGTACTAGGCGCCGGAGGTGACGACGGCGCCTTTAGCGTCTTCCGGTTTATGATCTGGGTAGGCTGAGTAGCTCTATCGACGATTTGTGTCGGCTGGGTAAAGTACGGCGAGGAGCACGGGACGTCGTTGGAGAGCTCGTCGAAGTCATCGTCGTCTATCTCGGTGACCGGCGCCTTAGAGCTTTGCGGTCGGCCACCGAATTGGGCCCTACGGGGGTCCATATTGGGGAGGTGGTTGGAATGGCTATGCAACCTCTATCGGCGGATTGATAACAAACAGTACCAGGTGAGGGACACCGCCACGTTCGCGCGACCGTCAATTGTGAAGGGTACTAGTAAGTTAGGCCTTCCAGGATATGCTCCTATTCTGGAGAGGCCTGCGCCGGTCCCGTTCGTCAACCCTACGTAGAAGCGATACCCAGAACTTCCCGAAAAGGCGGCGAACCGGGTGAGCGAATGGCCCGATAACGAGTACGGCAATGCTTATACGAAGGAGTGGTGCTCGAAGAGGCGTTTAAGGAGGCATTCGGATTTGCATCGGTTAACAGAATAGCGAGGGTGAGGCAAACAGTAGAGAGAGGACTGTTCACGCGAAGAATCGAGACGTAGTGAGAGGAGTGTGGGAGTTGGTTGTGTGCCGCCTTGTCGCCTCGAATTTTTAGGCGTTGGGCGGGAAAAGTGGACACGCGCGTTGACGCGGAAAAATCGGGGGCTAAAGGGGCTTGCACCACGGCGCGCTATCAGCTGACGTGGGGAATGTTTAATTGATGGCCAAGCGCGTCGACGGGACGCGCCGGGGTACACGAGGTAACAGTTGAAATGGTCGATCAGGTATCTGGCAGAAAAGACCCTGTCTGGTAAGCTGCTGGATGGCACTCTCAAATCCGGAGTGAGAGGGCATGAAAAAACGAAGCTCAAGGATCGAACCAGACCCATTGGAAAACCCGTCGAAGAGCGTGGCGGTCGCGATGCCCTCAAATATATCTTGCCGACAGTAGCCAACTCAAAGATGCCGTTTCTTCGGCTGGCATTGTCACGCTGCTTTGAAGCCACCTGCACCTTAAGGAGGTAGACAAGGTAGACAAGGTAGACGTGAAAGAAGAAATAGACGGAACAACTGGTATATGTGCCTGTATATAGGAGGTACCTACGTGGGCCCGAATACATTAGATCAAGTACCAACCCCAGACTTAGGATAGGTACCTGAGGTACCTACTTTAAGGTAGGTACATTAGGTAATATTATGGCTGTACAAGCTCAAAGGAACTTCAGCCAATTGATTTTAGACTTGGTGGGTACTGCAGATTTAACTATATCACTAAGTCCATGTAGAACGTACCTATACCTCCATAGTTGTTCGTGGCAGCAGCCGTGGAAGTCAAAGCTCCTTCGTACTCAATTGTCGCTAGCAGCACAGCACCTGCCTCACCTCCCAGAACCTATCCACCGTAGCCTCCGGTTCATAAGGCTGTTCTATCCTCACCTCAAATCCGTACCTGGGTAAGCCACCTTTCAATCCCCCGAGACTCATCGGGTCGCGCCAGCTTCGCCAACGAACCGCAACACAAGGCCTCGCTGCCCCCGGCTACCCCAGCTTCGAGTCAAGTCCTCCGCCGACCACACACTCGCCGCCTCCGGAGCTCCTAAATACCCGAGATCCAGAACGACAGAATGACTGACGAGTGAACAGTGAAGAGAGAGAGAGAGAGAGAGACCAGGCTACGAGAAAGCAAAAGGCGAAACAACAATGGCAACCCGTCGTATCATCTCCACGGAGAAGACCATCCTCGACCGGGACGACGATGACGTCGCCAGCACTCCCGCGAGTAACACTGCGCCGGCGGTTCCTACGTAAGCAGGCCGCGTCGAGGGGCGGGATGGGGGAGTTGCTATCATTACTAGCCCCCGTCCTCCCTAGCCCATACTTCCTCATTACCGCGACAGAGAGAGATAGGTGGCTAATGATGTCCCCGTCACCAGCGACGTCATCATGAAGCTCCTTATCTTCACCATCGGCATGGTGGTGATACCCATCGGGTCCTACTTCCTGACGGTGAACAACCTCTTCAACGGTACGACGAGACGAAAGCTCCCTATGCGACCCCGCTACCCCCCAGCTACGTAGCTAAACACCCAACCCGCCCCGTCCCGTCCTTTTTAACTCTCTCCTCTCCCCCATCGTCTCCCTCCTCCTGTGGTCGGACATCCATCCATCCAACCCACCCTCTCCGCCAAAGCGCTAACGCCGCCACCACGTGATACCAAGGCAACTCCACGTACGCGGGCGGCCTCGCGGCCATCATGGCGAACGTCGTCCTCGTCGGCTACGTCATCGTGGCCATGAACGAGGACCAGTCGGACCAGCTCGAGGCAGAGAGGAAGAAGAAGATCGGCAAGAAAGAGTAGGCGTATGCCTGCGCGCTCGGCGGTCTTCGTCCTCCCCCTCTCCCCGGCCCGCTCCACCCGTGTATATCGTCCGTTCAAATACGCTAGCAACCTCGCCTCGCCTCATCCGCCGCAATTTATCCTAACTAGTCGGATACTTTCCGATAAACGCCCGCGCGCTCGTCGTGAACAAAGGAGAAAAACGGGGAGGAAAAAGAAAAAAAAAAAGAAAAAAGGAGGCAGTGGCACTGGACGCCCTAATCCGCCCAACCTACTCGCCTAGTCCAGTACCACTAGTCCTTGATGCCCGGCTAGGAGCTGGCTAAGCCGCGACCGCGCGCACGACAGGAAATGAGCGATACTGCCAATGTTTGGAAAGCCGGCCGGCTCAGCTAGCTAGCTAGGTAGGTTAGCTACTACGCGCACGCCGCCGTCATGCCTACGTATATAGTAGGATACCGTTTATGTCAAACCCGAACCCCTGGCTAGGTCCCTCTAGATGAGGCGTGGCGACGCCATACAGCGTCCGTGCAGCAGGTGGTATGGTATATATATGCACACAGACCAAACCACGCAGGCGTTGCGGCTGCGTTAAATTTGCATTTGCCCTGAAACCGTTTTATGTGCTGGAAAAAATGAGAGAGCGGGATAACAAATGCCTAGAGCGACGGAGACCCAAGGAGAGGAGGCACATTCGCTTATTTATCCCTTGCGATGCGATACGATACGGCTCGCGAGTTATCCGGTACAAATTCCCCTCCGGGAAAAAAGGGGGGGGGGGGGTTTCGCATGGTCAGACGTCACATCAAACCGCCACATATACAGGCAGAAGACACCCTCAGATTTCAACGTCGAGAGTGAACTGTGAAGTTCCTATTCTAGAGAACAACAACACCCTCCGCAGGGCTATTATTAATATCAAGCCACCCCCATTACCCGTCTGAGTGCCTGTGTGCCTATCCGGTCTTTCGTTTTTTTTTTCCTGCATACACCACCCCCCACCAGAGAGAAGGGGGGAAGCGCATGTCCCGCATGCTTGGGGGTCTGTGAGAAGAGTAAACAAATAAAAAAAGGGGGGGTATTAAGGATGGAACAACGGGATTGCTTGACCGAAAAAAGCTCGCCTGAACCCTCCATATATTCCTAGCTTTCGTGACTATATCATTCCCTTCCCCGTCGATGCTATCTTCCCGGTGTAACGCCGCCTTTACCATGGTCCGTAGAATGCATGTTCGCGAACTGAGATGCCGAGTAGCCAACTGAATTGCTTGGCTGCGTAAACAATTAGCCCGATTGGGCTTAACCTTCCCAAGTAGAAATTTCGCTCGGGGGGCCTGAGCGTCGTCGCCATTGGTCATCTCGGATAGGAAGACAACAACCTCCGTCCGTTGTCGTGATTTGTTATCGTCCGAGATGCCGTCGCGGCCGAGGGTGTGTGTAGAGTAGTTGTTTGGAGGGGGATCACGTCGTGAGGCTACCGGCCATACTTTTGTACAGACGAGGGTATCTCGGGAAATTAATAACGAGAAACATTTTCGTCGTCGCACAGATGCAGTCAACCCTAAGATCTGCTAAATCGTTTGAACCAACTCTTCCGCTTCTCCGCCTTGGAACCATCTTGCGAGCCCCCGTTAGGAGCTGAAGCTTTCGACGATTTCCTCAATAGACCGCCGTTATCCCTGCGAAGAGCGGATGGCGGCGGCGCCGGCGGCGGCGCCGAGCCGTTACCGGCAATTAAACTCGGAGCCTGCGACGGCTGTCCGAAATCAATACCGTAGTCGTTGGCAGGTTCTTGACGTTTCGGTGGCAGACGGCGATCAATGGAGCTGTTGTCGCTGCTAGTCGGATCAGTCTGATATCCTGCCGGCTCGCCCGTGCTTCCGCTGCCAGAGCCAGATGCGACCGTCTCGTATGATCGATGGTTATTCGGCATAGGGTAGACGTTCCTATCGACAGGCCCACGGCCGTTCATGTACGGATCCGACTGCATTCGTGCATACCTATTTCTTCCGTTCTGGTTGTTACCGTCACGATATCCCTCTCGCGGGCCACTCATCACCACCGACTGTCTAGTATCGTACATCGCACTCTCCGGTCGGGGGGCAGAGTTCGATCGGGCTCCGTAGTAGCTGTCTTGAGGGAAGCGGGGTGTAGTAGTGGCTGGTAAAATCCTATGTTAGGGCATGTCCACGCATTTAGGGCAGAGGCAAAACGAGAGGGACTGCCTACTTCCGTAATAACTAGCTCGCCGATCCCAATTCAGTACCGATTCCGACTCCGATCTCAACATTGATTTGCGGTTGTATCCGCCGTCAATGGCCGCCTCGAACGCTCGAATTGTATCCAACGGTCGCTCCGATCGGCTTCGTGTAGGATTTGATCGGTCGGGGTCGGCTTGAGCGATAGTTAGCAAAAGGGGGAAGGGGGTCATCGACATGCGAAGAAGAGTAGCGCGTACTGATTGGGTTACCGTAGACGTCCTTGTGTTGGATAGACCGCAGAGGAGCCGGGTTGATCCCGCCCCCGTCCTGAGCGTCCATGGCTATAATAAATCCGCGTCAGCACTATTAGATATCGCTCTCGGTCGTGAAGGTCCAGACGTACCCGGCTCTGATTCAGTTAGTGCCATCAAGGGATCGGATTTGCCGTGCAGTCTCCTTGCGTGCTTTTCAGCAGACGTCTCATGGAGGTCAACCTTGTGGTGCGAAGCACTGCCCTCGCTCTTGTGCGATCTGTCGGAGTGAAAACTAAACGCCCTCGACTTCCGATGTGGTTTCTGCGGGTCTGCCGACTGCGACGGCTGAGATGTTGGGGGTGCTGGCCGTACCGGCCGCGCTGACTGCTCGGGCCGTGCTGACTGTGCGGGTTGTTGCCGGTATTGCTGTCGCTGGTATTGCTGATGCGGAGGAGCTGGCGACTGGTAGGAGTCAGCGTAGTAAGGCCCTTGCTGCGGCGGCGCAGGCAATGAGCGACTGTAGTCGCCGGACGCCATTGTCTTAGACGGGCGGGTAGAAACCGTGTTTTATCACTCTGAATCCCTGGAGATGATGGGCGTCGCCGGTGGGGTCGGGAGAAGTGGACCAAGACGGAATTGCGATATGCAAGGAAACGATCGTAGGTGTAATCTCGTTGGGAAATCGCTCTGTTGCGCGGACGGTGCGGACGGGCTGGATACCTTCGCCTCTCTCCGAGTCGCCGGGATGTGTGCGTGGGTACGTGGATACGTATGTATGTATGTATGTACCCCCTTCGATCTATGCGATAACGAGCAGTAAACCCCTGCCAGGTCCAGGTACGAACAGCAGAGATAGCTCCGCGTAAGTAGATACCTACGCGCCGGCCGGGAATCCGTCAGCACCGTGCTGGCTCAGGCTGGTCGGCTGGAGGCGCCAAAACGCAGATGTATCGGAAGAGCTACCCCTGCCGGTGGCTTGACGCTAAGAAATCCGTGTTATCTTTCTTGTTGTCGGTGTCGACGATCCTGTTCCAGGTCGCGACCTGCGTAGTCGAGCTGCTGTGCGTAGTACGTACGCGCTACCCTGGGAGCGTGCGAGCTGGTTGGATCGTGGGAGAATCCGGCGCGGTTGCTATCTTCTTTGGATGTGGGTTTGTGGATTGCTAGGTATCAGCGGGCGATCGGCGGATTAGGTAGGACACCCCCCGAGCCTTATTAGTCGTCTCAGGGTGAGCCGAATACAAGGATGTGAGGTTTCGCGTGGCTGGGGGATATACCACTTAGCCAGGAAAACAAAAAACAAAAAAAAAAAGAGGGCGAGACAGGGGACAAAGAGAGAGCCCCCCCTCTGAGCAGCACCACACGGTCTGCAGTTACGTTGCCTCGTCAGACGCCCCCGTCTGTCTGTCTGCGCCTGTCTGCAGACCTCCAATTAAATCAGAGAATCCGACTAGGCCACCGAACACCAACCAGATCTGGTCCGTCTGTCGCAGGTATTGCACAATACGTATCAACTCCGACGCCTTGGCGATCCTCTCTACAGCACTTAGATAAATAAAAACTTCACGCAACCACACGATATGCGGTGTAAGTGAATTTAAGGTGACGCAGCAAGCCACGCGACGGCCTTGTGCTCTGGTTGGTTTGGCTCTGAATATAGCAAGACTAAAGGGCACTTGGGGTGTGGGTTGGTAATTAAGGCCGCGGAGCTGAATTTAACTGAATGGGGCAGGATAATTCGATTGGTCGACTGGCCGGGTTTGTCTGGTGTCTCGAGGCGGTTGCTGGCACAGCCTACACGTGTAACGGGAAGCTGGCGATGGGAGATTAGTAGCGTTGAATTTGGGGATTTCTTCCGGGACGATTTCGCGAACACGCTCGTTGCGTAGGTCAAGTAAGGAGCAGTCTGGAAACGACGATCACGGAGCTGGCCCCGTCCCTGCGTTGCGTTGTCCCGTTCTTCGGCCGGGGGAGGACGGCGAAGAGAAAAGCAAATGGACAGCAAAGTGGAGGATGGCTGTCAAAAGCTGCAACTCTCGACGCTGCCGGTAGCTCTGCAGGGCCTCTTGCGAAGAGCGGAATGGGATCGCCGATTTCGACGGGTCCCGTGTGACATATATTGTCCCGAGGAATGTAGGATGGCTACCAGGTGGCATCAAGGCCGGTGGGGAGATACGATTAGAGAAGCACTCGGCAGAGGTCGGGATGATTCAGGAAACCGAGCTTGATCTGGTACGACGGAAGGAGAGCCGTAGAAAACGAGAGACATCAGCTTGCCAGTGACAGCCGGGAGACGAGACGAGGAAGGGGGAGGGGGAAGAGATCACAGAACCATTTTACAGCGAGTGCTTATGGTGGTGGTGGTAGTAGTGGTGAGGACAAAGGATGAGGGTGAGTGTAGAGGAGGGAGAGGCAAGAGGCGGGGGATTGGAAGAATCGCATTCAACGGTCGATCTCGGTCTCTTCCAAGAATCGGCGCGACTTTCGAGAATGGGGTTTAGGGATAGGCGTCGATAGGTGTTCCTCTGCGGCGTACTGCGGTATGGCGGGTGGGCGGCGACTCGCAAGATGCATGCATTATCAGCTTGTGTGGCCTGACAAGGGACAGTGAAGAGGTGACGAATGTCGAGTGCGCCATGTAACGATACGTACCTCGTACGTGGTTCGTTTAAGTACGTACCCCCTGCCGTGTCGATCGAGAAAGCGGCAGGGGTCATGGCTGGGCAGATATCATCGTTCGGCCAACCCCTCGATCCGTCGGGAAAGGAATCGCGCTCACTCGCGGCCAGGGGACATACCGTAGCTTAGGTACCTCCCTAAGGCATCTAAGGTAGGTTATACACCCTAGACAGATAGAATAAGTACCTACTTAACTCCCCCCCCCGCCGCCGCCTGACATGGGATAGCGACCTCGCAGTACGCCACCACATACCCGGGCACCTACCTACCCACCTTGGGTACCTACCCACCTACCTACCTACCTACCTACCTACCTACCCACCTACCCACCCACCTACCTACCTAACTAACCTATACTTGATGCATGCATTACGCACACACTCACTGGCACTTGATGTTTGTGTGTGCGTGTGTACGTGTATTTGTGGGTGGGCGTCCAGCCCCCCCACCTGGGAGCTTTCGCGTTTCCATGCTTTCCACACTGCTGGATTAGGTACCTACTCCACGCCCACCTTCTAGCCTACAGCACTACCTTAGGTAGGTCGGCCACCTCCTAGCTGAGGTCCCCTTGAGTAGGTAGGTACCTCTTATTATCTGTCTAACCTACCTACCTACATACCTAAGGAGGTACCCGTACGGCAGAGCTAAGGCCCTAAGTGGAGCAAAGACGCAGGCGTCATTTGTCCAGCATTCGCTAGTCGGGACCGTGGCTCAGCTGTGCGCGGCGGAGTTCGCGCCAAGTCAGAGATCAGCGCGCTCTCTTGTCTCTTCAAGCGTCTTCCGCTCAATTGCTGTCGTGGCAGCATACAACCTAACGTAGACGGTTCCAGGCTGCCTACTAGTAATCGACAATCCACGGGTCGCCCCAGACCGTCTGCCTCCGTAGGTATGTGGGTATGGACGTACCTAGGGAGGGCGCCCACCCAGGTACCTCCCCGTATGCACGCTGCATGTGCTTTCGACAGATAATGGAGGGTGACGGCACCATCGTGTTTTTTTCTTTCCCTATCCTACTACCTAATATAGACGCACCCATGCCTCCTATGTGCATACTGGTATGTATTAGTAGGTAGAAACGGGGCGGTAACCTCAAGATACAATAGGTCACGTCTCTCGGCGGTCACAGGTACCTACCGCAGAAGAGCTCGACAGCCAACAGAACGACAACAAGAGGGCGAATCACACAATCGACAGGCCTTCTTGCCGTGATCGACCGATCTTGAACTGCCCCTTGCCTAAAAGCGGAAGTGGAGAAGGGCAGCATGGGGAATACGAATTCCATCCGGCGCCATCCATCCACACGTGCTAACCGATGTTGGAGGGGTACCGTGCCTTAAGGTAGAGAAGAACGACGAAAAACAGAGAGGCGGGATCCTAGGAGAGAGGGGGGGGGGGAAACTACAGGCGAAACTTCTTCCGCAACGAGAACCTGTAGAAAACATCCCGGCTGAGGTTGTCATTTCTACGCTTTGCTGACAAGGTTCGATATTTGACCGCGCCGGGAGACAAAGGACTCGAGCGGGCAGGGGGAGGGTGAGAGAAGGAGAGATAAGAATAGTAGCACGTAGTAAGAGAGCAGGAGGTTTGTCTCGCTGCGTTCGAACAAAAGCCGGTCAGGCGTTGCGAAGTAACCTCGTATTAGAGTTGAGCGACGATGGAGGCGGACCTCGCGGGTCCAGACCACCGCAATTCGGCGCCGAGACACAAGGCTATGCCCACGACTGGATCTGCCCCTGCTACCATACCTACGTCTCTACGTCTCTCCTCTCCCGCCAGCCTATTCCATCCGCACACGACTTCCCATGACATACGAATGCGCAGCTGGTTGTCGCAGTGGTTGTTACATAGGTACCTCTAAAGTATCTCCAGAGTGACGAGGGCTGCTTACTGGCTTCGATCGTCGACCGACCAGGGGGGCGGGTTACGGAGGAATACTATCACAGAGCCGTCATCAGTCTCGGGTCAGAACTTGGCAGAGGGAGAGGGAGGGAGCAGAGGCAGAGGCAGAGAGGGGTGGAGGGGAGAGAACGAAACGAGAACGAGAAGAAAATGGTAGGCCACGCTGACATGTAAACAAGCCCTAGACCCCATGGAGATATCGGCTGGCCAAAGCGGGTTGGGGCGACCGCATTTGCCAATCGAGTTCCATCCCCGTCATACCCGCACACTGCGATGCACTCCCTACGTATGAGCAGGGACAGCTTTACCTCATCCAGGACCCGGCGGACGTACTAGGCGATATCTACCTAGAGCGTGCATACACACATACACATATTATACGCATAGAATTGATCCATTTCTTGTTGCATCCGTCGCTCCCGGCCACAAGGGCTTCTTGTCAAGCGCTGCCGCCCTTGCTTTGGCTTGGCTAGCCTAGCCAACCGGAGCTAGCCAGGTAGAAGAGGATGGAGGCTAGAGAAAGTAGAAGACAGAGAGCAGAAGCAAAAGAAGGAAGAAACATCACGGCAGGTCTACGACGAGAATATGTATGAGTTCCCACAATACATACCTACCTTACCTATGAGTACATTACCTACATAAATCGGCAGGAAACCAAGCTCCCTCGGACGCCGCGCGCTACGGGGCAGATCTACAACGTAGGTACCTATAAAACTACCTACCGTGCTTACATCACAGGTGGGGGAGGTATCGAGGGAATCAAATACCGACCGGCCGTACATAGCTCGCCTCTACCGCGCACGACTGCACGCAGATACGCGCCTATATACCGCCTTACCTATATACGCGCAAATTGCCCTACTCCTGCAGGCACCTTAGGAACCTAGACAACTACGACCATACGCCAGCGAGACGCAGCGGTGATGCATCTTCTCACGTCGCACCCGCTACTCGCAGTGCCGCAGTTCGGTAGGCCCCCTAGCCTTCACCTACCAACGGCGCTCGCCCGACCTCCGCAGCCTGGCTCGCGCCCACGCTCTACCGCTGCGTCATACTGCCGACATCGAGGGATAAGAAGGGGAGAAACCGGCGGGCGGCCGACGCTGATGAGAGCCACCGTTGCGCCTCGACCTCCCCGGCGACGCGGTGGCGGTGATCTGCGCCGATCATCCCAGACGAAGAAGAGAGAGAGAGAGAGAGAGAGAGACGGCTCTAACCAGCGAGCGACGCGGCACATGCAAGCGAGGTGTGTAAGTGTGTGCGTGTGTGTGGGCGTGCCGTGTAAGCCACTTACACACCACATACGAAGTTCTGTCACAATAAGCCGGACCAGGCGTCGTCACCGCCTACCCCTCTCCCTCCCCTCGCCGGATGGGGGCGAGGGGAGGGCAGAAGAGGAACCAGAAGAAAAAAAACAAGCTTATTTGCTCTTTTCTGACGATCGGCACTGCGTAACTGGGTGTGATCGACCCCATATTCTTTCTGGGTGGCAAGGTACCTACGCGTATTGGCCGAGAGAGATGTGGATGTGTATAGGTACCTCTCATAGGAAGGTAGGTATGCGCCCGGGCTCGATGGAGGGCCGATATTTCTGCACCCATATCCGCCTACAGCTGCGCCCGACACCTCTAGCTGGTGGCGTCCCGTATTTGATATGCACGAGCACAGGACGAAGACATGCTCTCTGCTCGTAGTTGGGCGACGAAGACGATAGATAAGTGATGTGCGGAAATTGCCGCCAGGTACCTACGCCGCTACCCCGGCGGCTGTCCTCCTATCCGCACCATCGGGTGCCAGCGAATCCTTCGGCGCCCCTCCATTGGTCGCGCGCGAGGAGCCCTCCGCTGCACGTCGACGGCTTGCCTCTCTCGCCCTCCAACAGTTCGACTTGGAACCGGGATGGGGGCAAGGCGGCCACCGACAACTCTGCAGCTGGGATACCCATCTACCTAAGTATATGTAGGCACATTAGGTGCGCGCCCCAATCCTTGGTGCCGAAGTCCTGCTCTGCCCTCCATCCTATAAGGGCTCGAAGCAGGCAAAGCACTCTACGGCGAGGGGGCGCCGTGGCGTCCGGAGTTTCTACGCGTATAGATTACCTGCGTATTCGAGAGACGTAGGTACGCGCATCCTCGCCAACTCCGTACGTCCAACGGTGACCGCCTTTCCCTCCCTTCCCCCTGGCTCCAAACGTAGCAATCGGGAGACCGAGATATCCAAAGTCGGGAAGCGCATCGTCATCCACCCTCGCCGCCCCCTAGACAACATGGCACCGGCACGGGCAGAGGTGGGCAAGTAGACAACCCGGCTAATGGCCTACCTAGCTGGCTGGCAACCAGTCGTCCGGAACGGTAAGCACGTGCAGGTCTATACCTACGTAGGTATCTGCCCGTGGTCTGTCACCGTCGCACATGAACCACCAGCTTTCCGCCGTTAGCGTAACCTAGTCCCCTCGAACTCCGGACTGTGTGTGGCAGTGCGGCGCGGCGCGGCGGCGGCTATCTACATGCATGGCCAACTTCGTCGACCTTGTCCTCCCCCCCCAAGGCGTTCGGTGAAGCGCACGCAGAACGGCGTGGGCCGTTTTATCCCTTCCCCTACGGGCCGCCTGCCTGCTGCACGTAGCCGGCTCAGCCAGGCAGCCAGGCGTGCCGCTGTTCGCGCCGTGCGGCCGTCCGAGACTAAACCCCCTTTCTCATCGCCGCCATCCAAGCTCGGGAATCTGTGCTGTCGTGTTAGGTATGCACATACGTCGCAATTCGCTGGCTAGCGCAGAGGGGAGTTGCGTATTACCGTCGGCATAACCGGAAAAACGTAAATGAGTACTTAAGAAACGAAACCGAAGGGTCCGGGCCTCGACCGATGGTATCCCGGACGTCAGGAGCGGCCGAGGCGTCGGGACCTGCGAGATACGGGCCGAGGCCGAAGTCGATTTTCGCTCCACCCCGGCCCGCTCCGCTCCTCGTAGCCGCGTCTGATCATGTCGCGTTTGAATTTCTCCCTCGAATTCGCGACGGCTCCTCAACCAAGACGTCGCCGAAAGGCACCCGGCGAGTAATGTAATGACTAGAAGTACGTCTCTGGGCGAATTCAGTACCATTTGCGCTGATATACCTAGGTAGGTAAGTATCCGGCTTGCTTTCGTATGCCTATCATACCTAGGTACCACGCTCGCTCTTGGCCATTGGTTGGAAAGATTGTGCAGTTGCGATTCATTGAATGCGCCGCTGGTTCTCCGGCCTAACCTAAAGGCTCGGCGTCCCTTATATTCAGCCCGCAAGAACCTTTCTGCCTTCCCACGGCGCCTGCAGGGAACCTCGGTCGTATTCTATCCCGTTCCGCATTCCAAGCCGGCGCGCGGACCAAGCTGACAGTCTCTCCTCTAACGAAAATCGGGGTTGGAACAACAGTTCACCTGGGACACTGCTCACAGTTTATATTTTTTTTGTATTCTTCCTTTATTTGTTGATGCTAGACGCAAGGCTGAAGCCGTGATCCTTGCCTAACCCAGATGCAGCCAATCATGAGAACCGTTCACACTACCAACTCCGGCCCAAACCCATCTTATATCGATGAAGGGTACAGCATGATACGAACAGAGGCGCCGAAAGACTTAGAGGGAAGGGGGTGAGCGAACTTTGCTCGGACGACGCCAGAATTGCCTGGAACGAGGGGTGCCTGTCAGCTAGCCATTCGACTCTGTCCTTGGGATGACCCTCAGGGCTGTCGCTGAAGTTGCGGGTGTAGAAACACTGTATGCGTACCGTGGGGTCGGGTGACCTTGCCCCAGATCACTCGGATTTTGGTTCCTCGGATCTCCTTCTGGCCCTTGTAGACATACGCGACCTTCTTGCCTAGGTAGAAGCTGTATCCACGCGGTTAGAATCTTGCGGGATCACAATCGGCATCCGAAAACACATACTTGGCAGCGTTGGTGTCGTCGACGCCCTCGATCTTGATTAGGCTTGTTCGGGGGTGGGTGTTGTGTCGGCTCCGCTGGTAGCTCAAGTGACGACCCCTAAAATGTAGACCTCTGGTTAGCCCCTGCTCCGTCCTCGAAAGCAGCCCGGCTGTTTAATCGTCTGCTCCCGTTGCTAGTGTCGGTAAAGGGGCGCGTAGGCATATCCCTTCGGAGCGATTTGGTGCATTATAACGACTGGCCGGGTTCGGATGTTCGTGGTTTGAGGGCTTGCTTACTTGACGTATACTAAAAACGGGAGGGTCAGTAAGAGCTTGGGAGAGGCCGCGAAAATACAGCTATGCCAAACAGTACGGGGTATGGAAGAGACCAGACGCGGACGATGATGCAGAACGCGAACACGGTGAAATTGGACTCACATCTGTGACCAGATTCGGAAGGCATCTTGACTATATGTTTCCAAGGTTCTCAGGAATGAGGAGGGGTGCTGGAAACCCGGAGTCGTCTTGTGATGAAGAAGGCCTTTGTGCACTGGGCAGGTTGTGTCGTCGATTGTTGGTGATGGGCCAAATCGAGGTGGATTCAGCTTGGTGATGAGGTTAGTTGAATGATGGAGGTGGATTGGTGTGAAGGTGCTAAGCGAGCCCTGCTGCTGGACCACAGAAAAAAACCTGGGATTTTTTTTTTTCCTTTCACATTGCGGTACAGTGGCGGATGCAAACCCAGCCACATGTGGCTTTCCATGGGTATATCGCTGAGTGGGGCAGCTTAAGGTACCTGGTGTACCCTACCTTGTACGTATAGAGTAAGCTTATCTATGAGCTCCTATCAGGCATTAGAATCCCCACCTCTTTATGTACCTACCTCCCAAGGGTTTTCTCGTCATGATTAGGCACTTACTCTGCAATGCTGGAAAGCTGGTTGAAAATGGATATCGCGGAGAAAGAATACCTACATGTGTCCGTCCAAAGCCCGTTCTCAATTGCCTGTCCTATAGATGCCTACCTAGAGGATGTCTAACATCCCCTTAAATAAGCATCATGTGTTGACAAGGTACCCTGTTAAAGTACCTTTCCGCTTGGCTTGCCCGATTGTTGAATCCGGAGCTGACTTAGATACCTGACTAACTCTTAGCTTTGTCTTCAGTGCGATCTCTATAGACCTTAGGTACTTTCCCACAAACCGGGCCGCAAGCAGAAACTATTACGTGCAGACAACAGGTAGGTAGGTATACAGAACATGAGAGAACAACGTAAGTATTTGATCTTTGTTGGGCACATATTGTCCGTGTTCCCTGTAGGTATAGGTAGGAAATTCTAACTCACAAGCTTCTCGTTAGTGTGCAGGCTACCAGCACGGAGTGGCTTCGAACCGGACTTTACTCATAATTATAAATCAACTTTCTTCGTCCACCTTATCTCTACCACAATCTTGGTAGGTAAGCCGGGTGGTGGTTAGATCCATGTGACGCCTAAATACCTCGCTCCCTGGTCGTGGGAAAATCACTCTCTTATTCCGATAACCGGGCGAGGAGTGTGTCGGTACGGTGCAGAGGCAGCGCTTGCAGTCGGCTTTTAGCTACCTCCGAACATGGAGCTATTTCCGTATGGCTACAGTGCCGCCGCAGCATTATGGAGATTGGTATGGTTACCTTGCAGCGGGCGTAAGCCGCTCCGGCCAAGTGCTGATGCCGCTCAGGAAACGACGCCAACACCAATGCCAGATATAACCTCGTAGCCTCATTTCCTGTTGCTTCACAGACAACTATGCCGCTGCCACTTGGCGGGGTAGTTTCGCCAGCCAGGACACGTAGGCACCTCAGAACCCCGAGACAAGCACCTACGGCATTAGCAAACGCAAACACGACGTGGACTTTGAGGCCCTTACAGTGTCAGTGAATGACCAGGTAAACTTGGCGCTGCGGCCATGTCGTGCGATGTACCTGTCTAATGACACTCCGATCCTTCTAGTCATTCTCATTACTAGTCTATCAATAATCCCTCAGGCATCATGAAAATTGGTGTAGTAGCGTGGCGAGGGACACATCCTCCTACGTAGCAGGCATACACCAACCAACGTTGTAACCGTACCTAGACTCCGTGACTTCACATCCTCGCCTCTGGCCGGTAATAAGAAAAAAAAAATTAAAAAGAGCCTGCAGAACAACATAGCGGTAAGAGTGAGGTTTCCCTGTGTTTTAAAGTGAGAATGTAGCCTGTTTACCTGACAATTTCTACGACCACCTGGGCGGGTAGGTAGGTAGGTAACCATGTGAACTGCAGGGCACGGGATTCCGTGAGAAGCGAGCGCGCGTTTGGCTTGGCTAAGCACCCCGCGGTCGGCACAACATGGAGGCAACTTGCCCGAGCTATACACTCTTAGGTACCTCTATAAGGCGGCTGTGAGGGGGACCCCTGAGTAAGCTGGGATCCCACCGAGGAATGCGTGGTAATCACGACAGGGTCGCTATGAAAACAGTCGGCCCCTCCATACCTAGTCGCATAGGTCACAGGGGGCCCTCAGGCACCGTAACGGCGTTACCCACTGGGACGAGTTCGGATTGAGCACACCACACGCTCGCTCTGCTTTCCTAGCTCCTTCGACGGACCACATACAAATCGGCGATAGATTGGCGGTCTCTTACCAAATTAGGTACTAATCAGTTCAACCCGGCCTGGCGCGAAACAGGCACTGTGGGCAGTTCCGGGAGCGCCCTTACGTGGATGACCGTAAGGAGGCACTGGGTATTTGAAGAGAATGCAGAAACAGGCTCTCCTCTTCCCACCACGCTGATGGAATCTGGCCTAGCACAGCTTGCTCCTCCTGGTAAGGGATCGTGAAGTTCAGCTTTGCCTCCGTGCGTTTGACGCAGTAAAGTAGAAGTGTGGATGAATTGGGCAAAGAAAACAGAGAAATAATCTAGTGTTCAACCTCAACAGCAGCCAAAACGGGCTATCGGCGCTGTGGTGAATAAAAGGCATAGGAATGGAGAGGGAGTATATCTGTGCTTGCCTACACGTACGTAGGTAAATATTAATTAATACTTAAGAACGTGTAGTAAACCTATCGCACTGCAGAGGAACACCAAGAAAAAACACGTCCCAAAGCCAACCCGACTTTACCTACCACCTCCTACGTCCAGCTCCAGCCTTCAATGGCAGCTCAGCCACTCCGCCGCATTCTGCATGGCGGGCTACGGAGGGTGTGCTCGACGGCAAGATGCATGTACCCAAGTACCTCCTGGTTAGGAGAGAATTTTCCCCCGCCAAACATCCCACCTTTCGCATCGCTAAGTATGACTCTTATCGACCCCTCTACGACCTCCGACTTCCAATAACCTCTGGTTTCCTTTTGGGTCTCTCGAGGGCGCCCTCTAGTCACACTTGCTTCTCTGTAGATATTTACGGCGGGGACTAACAGTAAACAAGCATACACGATGCCTACAGTCATTCACCTGAGGGCTGAGACGAAGCCTTTGGAGCGTCGTTCGCCGCGTATGTTACGTCGAAGGAAGAGAGAGCTGTGTGTCCCCGAGCTGCTAACGGTTCGGTATAGTATCACCGGAGTCGGCCAAGGCTCTCCTTCAGGCCGGGTATGTCGTCCGCGTCGAGCGGTCTTCTGACCGCATCTACAAAGATGCCGAGTTCGAGGCTGTCGGCGCAGAGCTAGTTCCTGGCGGGTCGTGGTTGAAGGCTCCGCAGCAGGACATCATCCTAGGCTTGAAGGAGCTTCCTGACGACGATATTCCCTTCCCCCACGCGTACATCCATTTCCAGCATGTTTTCAAAAAACAGCAAGGGTGGGCTGCGTCGCTCTCGCGCTTTTCGCGGGGTGGTGGCACCTTGTACGATCTCGAGTTCTTAACCGATCCAGACGGGCGCCGAGTGGCTGCGTTCGGCTACTGGGCCGGGTATGCTGGAACCGCCATCGCCCTCTTGTCCTGGGCTCATCAGTTCTCCAACCCAGGAACTCCACAGGGTCCAGTGCCGGTCTTCGACTCGGCGCCTGCTCTGACCGACTATGTTAAATCGGCGATCGAGGCTCCGGTGCGCGCCAACGGCGGCCAGCTCCCTCGCGTCATCGTCATCGGCGCCCTCGGCCGCTGCGGGAAAGGCGCAGTAGACTTCTGCACTGCTGCCGGCATCCCTGACGAATCTGTACTCAAATGGGATCTCGCCGAGACCGCTCGCGGTGGCCCATTCTCAGAGTGTGCCGAGTCTGACATACTTGTCAACTGCGTTTATCTCGGGCCGAAGAAAATTCCCCCCTTCGTCACCTTCGAATCTCTTTCCGTACCCGGGAGGCGGCTGCGCGTGATCTGCGACGTTAGTTGCGATCCCAACAGCGAAAACAACCCGATTCCCATATATTCCACTCACAGCTCATTCAACAATCCTACCACGTTTCCCTCGCAGAAGATTGACGCACCGGAACTCCGGATCATCGCCATTGATCATCTTCCGACCTTGGTAGCTCGCGAATCCAGCGATGAATATTCCCGCTTGCTTCTGCCGAGCTTGCTCACTCTGGACCGCCGAGAGAGCGAAGGTGTCTGGACGAGGGCAGAACAGACCTACAAGGAAAGGGTTGCGGAATTGCCCTAACCGTGTATCAAGTGCGGCGCAAGGGCGGACGTAATGGGCAGTTAGCAGGAGCCGTGGCCGTTCCACAACCTACCCGCCCGCGTTTCTACTGTTGATGGAGAACATCTGGCGGTCAACGATAACTGCTGCAGGCAGACCGTAATATTAGTGATGGCCGAATAGGGGGAGGGGGCCCAAGGCAATAGAGAAAAGTCAAGTGTGACGTGAAGACAAGACTGATGCATATTGGCCGATTTAAATACCGAAATTGCGCGCTGCTCTACCTGCCTAGCTGACATATCGGTGCGTAGTACGCCGCCCACAGACACGTGCGCCCCTTGCGCCTCGTTTAGGGGGGCGGATGAACCCCCTAGCTTCCACCGCTGCCCTAGCCGTGAAAACCTCCCACTAGCCGCACCAGTTCTGAGGTAGCCTAGGAGAAAGTAACCGCGGCAGTCTGTTGACCAGGTTAATGTTAAGGTAGTAAGGAGGTGTAAAGTCGAGGGAGCGGCCTTTGAGCCTCCTCTACGCGCGTTGCCTCGGCTTTCGCGTTGGCAGGGCGTGGAAATATCATCAAGCACGCGCGGCACATGCGCGAAATAAGAAGTAGGGTATACGTTGCTGACTGCAAGGATCGACGACAGGTTGGGATCTCCAATTTATACTACCTCTGGGAAATTGGTGTCGGGTTATAAAAGCAGCGTGGCCTAGGTACGTAGGTACCTATACTATAGATACCTAATCGACAGGTATGGTGATTCACTAGGGGGCACTTTACGTGTAGAGTAATACGGGAAGTGAGAAATGCATTTTCGGTAGGTATCTGGCCGAGGCACATGAGCTGGGCTGGAGAGGTACCTAAGGTAGCGAGTGCTACTGTACTAGTAATACCTACCACCTACCGACCTGTAGGCTGTACCTAAGGTAATAGAGTACCTAAAGTAGGTACCTAGGTAAGTCATATTGTAGGCTGGATGGAGTAGGTAACAGCTTCACTCACTGACTGTACGGATAACGCGTTACCGGCGTTACCGGCGATATCCCCACTACCCTCGATCTCCCCCCCCACTCCCCAGGTCCAGGTCTAGCACGCCCCCGGCCAATGGTAGCTCGCGGGCAAGGTACCTAGGGCATTTCGCCGTCGGCCTTTACGTTATTACCTCCTACCGCGACAGCAACTGTCACCGCAACTGCAACTGCCAGCCAGATCCTGCCCGCCCGTCCCGCCTGGTCAGACCCCCCCCAGGACGTCCAAATCCATCCACCATCCCTCCCGTCTCGCTCTCACACCCTCATCCCTCGGCCTCTCCCATATCCACCGCATCTCCCGAGTCTTGCTCTCCTCCATCGTCGACATCTTTCTTTCCTTTCTCTCTTCATCCCCCACCTAATCCTTCCTCCGCCAGTTCATCAGCAAGCTTGATACAATGGAGTCCATAAGGTGAGCTCCCGGATACCCCGCGCCCCGCCCCGCTATTGCTATCGCCCGTTGCTGCGAACCTCGCAGCTCGTCCTTCTTCGTTCGGCGTATTTTCCGATATGCATTCACCTACTTTGCCCTTTTGGGAGAGGCGCGGAGCTCCTCGGGGAAATTTGCCGCAGTGTCCTCTTTGGCCTTGGTGCGCGATGCTGACGAAACCCGCCCTGGCAGTTCCATGGAGCTGAAGGACAACACGGTCATCGTGGTCCTGGGAGCTTCGGGAGATCTTGCAAAGAAGAAGACAGTACGTGTTCACCGGTGCCACCTCGGAAGGTTTCGCAACTAACCATCGGCTCGCAGTTCCCCGCCCTCTTCGGCCTCGTGAGTTTCCCGTTGAATGCCGGTACGTTGAGCCGACCAAATTAACCTGCTTGGGCAGTACCGCAACCAATTCCTGCCGAAGGATGTCAAGATTGTTGGATATGCGCGAACGAAGATGGACCATGAGGAGTACCTCAAACGGGTCAAGTCCTACATCAAGACTCCTACCAAGGATATGGAGAAGCAGCTGGCAGAGTTCTGTGAGCACTGTAGCTACGTCTCTGGCCAATACGACCAAGACGAGTCGTTCCTCAACCTCAACGCGCATCTAGAGCAGCTAGAGGATGGCCGGAGAGAAACGCACCGTCTCTTCTACATGGCCCTGCCCCCTAGCGTCTTTACTATTGTCTCCCAGCGCCTCAAGAAATGCTGCTACCCACCCAAGGGCATCGCGCGTGTTATTGTAAGGATGCCTGTGATCGGCAACGTTGCGGATGTGGATACTGATCTTGGTTTCTTTTCCCGCAGGTCGAGAAACCGTTTGGCAAGGATCTGGCTAGCTCGCGCGAGCTTCAGAAATCGCTAGAACCCGACTGGAAGGAGGACGAGCTTTTCCGCATCGACCACTACCTTGGAAAGGAGATGGTGAAGAATATTCTTATCCTCCGATTCGGTAATGAGTTCTTCGGCGCTACCTGGAATCGACACCACATAGATAACGTCCAGATTACCTTTAAAGAGCCGTTTGGTACCGAGGGTCGGGGCGGATACTTCGACGAATTCGGAATTATTCGAGACGTCATGCAAAACCATCTGCTCCAAGTCTTGACCCTGTTGGCTATGGAGCGGCCGATCTCCTTCTCGGCGGAAGATATTCGTGACGAGAAGGTGCGAGTTTTGCGAGGTATCCCGGCTATCGAGCCGAAGAACGTTATCATCGGCCAGTACGGCAAGTCCCTCGATGGTAGCAAACCTTCCTACAAAGAGGATGACACCGTCCCGAAGGACTCGCGCTGCCCGACATTTTGCGCCCTAGTCGCATACATAAAAAATGAGCGGTGGGATGGCGTTCCTTTCATTATGAAGGCCGGCAAGGCCCTGAACGAGCAGAAGACGGAGATTCGAATCCAATTTAAGGACGTTACTAGTGGTATCTTCAAGGACATTCCCCGGAACGAGCTTGTCATGCGAATCCAGCCGAACGAGAGCGTGTACATCAAGATGAACTCCAAGTTGCCCGGATTGAGCATGCAGACAGTCGTGACTGAACTCGACCTAACCTACCGGCGACGATTCTCCGACCTGAAGATTCCGGAGGCGTACGAATCGCTGATCCTAGATGCGCTCAAGGGCGACCACTCCAACTTCGTTAGAGACGACGAGCTCGACGCCAGTTGGAGGATCTTCACGCCCCTGCTGCACTACCTTGACGACAACAAGGAGATCGTCCCGATGGAGTACCCGTACGGTGAGTGAAGGAAATTCCCTCGAGCCAGTCGCGATGGAATACGCGCTAATATAATTCTTGTAGGTTCTCGAGGGCCTGCCGTCCTGGACGACTTCACGTCGTCGTATGGGTACAAGTTCAGCGACGCCGCGGGCTACCAGTGGCCCATGACGTCAGCGGCACCCCCCAACAAGTTGTAAGTAGAAGTCGACGCAGTGTTTCGGCTATAGATGTCAGGCAGCCTTTGCAGATCTATCGTCATGGGTAACCACTGATTCCGCGGGGCGTAGTTAATTTTTTGATGCTACATCGACGGTCTCGGTCGCGTTAAAACTTCTTAGACTAAGTATCGACGAAGGCCCCGGGAGGACGTCGGGCTACTTCTATTAGGCAAATGGAATGGAAAACATGAGACGCGTTGGTTTTTCCTTTGTCTCTTTCATGCTCCTCGTTGCTGGCGGGACGAGGGTAAGGTGGTGCGTAGATCTATTGTCTCGAGTTCTGTGGTGCCGAGACGATAGAAAAGCAATAGGGATTTTTGCTTAACCAAACCCGATGGCGACGACATATTCCCGGCCTGAGGTGGTAGGGAGCTATGCCTATATACCTGCCTATACCTGCCTACCTTACAGATACCGTGGTCCGTTATGTAGTAGTAGTAGGTTGCGCCCGGAACACCTCGTCCGGCACTCCGTATCTCCACACGCATAGCTGTGCTTATATAGGTAGGTACCTACCTCGATATAGGTAACATATATGGTGGTTGCCTGGATTTGCGATGTGTATCGTGATCATGATAGGTATCGGTGTAGGGCACCAGCCAGCAGGTAGGCGGGCCAACGGTTAGGTGGCATAGCGGCAACCCGTCGGATTCTTGGCAGATCTACTGGCACTTACCCACGACGGTAGGAGGTAGCACGCTGCTATGATTACTCTGTTGCCTTGCCTACGTGTATATACCTTTGGCAGCTCACCTCCTCACCATGTCTAGCCTCATCTACGTAGGTAGATACCTTAGGCTGGTTAAATAGTCTCCTCAACTCATCCTACCAACCACGCAGGCATCGCTCAGCCCCCATTCTGCAAGCCCGGGGACTTCATCCCGAGGGAAGAGAGAGCCTAGATCTCTATACGGCGTATTCCGGTCGGTGCGATGCGGAAGGGTGGGGTGACTAGGTACTGGGAGGCGGCTGCGGTGAAGGCCGGTCGTAGGACTGGGCACAGGGCTGGCTCGAAGTGGTGACGATAGCTCACCAGTCCAGGATGAAATGAAATGAGAGGAATGCAGACTTAAATGAGTCATGTCGTGTATAATATAACGCGGTAGTTACATCGATTCGTGGTCGGGTCAACCGACACACCGATCTGGCCAGCCTTACGGGGCTAGAGATGGCTGCTAGGGACGATCTAACGACGAACGGGATGCTGCTCGCTCACGATAGTGCTGCCTCTATATTTACAAGTTATTATTTTGCCTACGTGATTTGCCTCGTGGGTGGGCGAATGGTAGGCTCGTCTTGTTTCGTTTTAATTTATTTTAAAAATCTCCAAAAATTACAGGGTTAAGTCAAATGCCGAGGACGGGAGGGAAGAGAAACAGGGAAGGATAAATAGAGCTACGTACATGGGATATATGTAGTACGTAGTATATTCTTAACGGAATCCTCTTCTCCGCCCGATGGGAGAAATAATGAATCGGCGTATTACATATTAACGATGGATGATTGTACGAGGGAGTACGATGCTGATGGCATCTCTCGGCAGGTTCTCTCCCCCCTGCGCCCCCATCCTGGCCTTGTCCACTAACATCCATCGCGACTAGGTTGCCTGGACCGGGTCCACGGCACCCGAGTCTTTCCCAGACCCCGAACGATGAGTCGGGTGTCTTCCCGTCCCTGTCGTATTCGAGAATTTGTATACGAGCGGCCGCTGATTGGCCCAGCTGCAGCTATCGGGCTGGCCCTGGTCGTGTATGCAATACATGCCTAGGTATAGTAGATCGTGGATCACACTCCACCAGTTGGCCGGCTCTGGTGTAGGCCAGCGTCTCTCCACACATAGGCCGTAAGCGGCAGCGCTGCTGTGCTCTGTGTTGCAAGGATGGATATTTGTGTAGGTATATGTGGGCAAAGTTGCACGCGTGGATACTACGTAGTAGCCACACACGAACACATGTACGAGCCGACATACGAGGCCCAGTAAGGAGGCGAGATGAGATCTACCCTCCTGTAGGATGGCGACCAACCCATTTACGGCTTCTATCATCGTCAGTTCACCGGTGTCGTGACTCGAACGCGTAGCAGCCTGCGTCCGACGAGCTGAAGAAGAGATAATCAGACAAAGAAAGAAGGCGGCCGAGCCAGGTAAGGCGAGAGGCAACTGGATACTTACCTATGCTATAGGCCTGATGTTGGCCTCGCTGGGCAACACGTTTCATCGCGTCTAGGGGTTGCATGCCAAGTATTGGCTCCCTTTCCATCTATAGTATATTCGTTATACAGACCTGCCTTTGTAGGTATTTAAACTCCTGAGCTCCCTCCCCGTCGAGGAACCGGGCCTGATCTCTATATGGCAGGCTATTCGCTATGGAGTCGGAATCGATAGAAAAGAAGGCGGCGCCCGCTTCAGCCGGTGCCGCCACCAGCGAGCGGCTACCTACGTCCGCTCCTGACGCGCCCACCGGCGGAGAGGAGGACCAGGCGCATCTCGACGCCAAACTGCGCCCGGAGAGGGAAGCAGCTTTTGGCGACTACCTCGTTAGTATATATCCTCGACTTTCATTAGGCCCTGCCATCTGGACTCGTCGCGGATGTCGGGAACGCGAAACTAAAAACAAATCTAGAGAATCTTTTCGTATGCCCAGAAATGGGATTTCGTCCTCCTAGTCGCTGCCGTACTGGCGTCGGGGGGATCTGGTGTCGTATGTCTAAATCCCTTGTACCTAGCCCTCGTGAGCGACGTAAAGAAACTGATAGTGCGTCTTGATTCTAGACTCTCCCGTTGATGAACGTAGTTTTCGGTAAGGGGCACCTATAAGGCGGCGGTTGGGTCGCTACCGTCGAAGGCTTATCCGTCCCAACAGGCGCACTGGTCGGCGACTTCAGTGGTTACTTTCTTCCCGTCCCGACTCAGACAGAAGCTCAGTTCAGGGCTTCTTTCAACAGGAATGCGTAAGCCCCGTGTCCATTGCTCTCGCGCCGGCAGCGTGCTGATGGTCCCGACCCAAGGCTGTACATCTTCATCCTCTTCCTTGGAAGATTCATCCTGACCTACATCAATAAGGTAGGTGTCCCCCCCCCCCCCCCCAAATCCTCCCGTCAGCCACTATCAGCACGCGTGGAGAGAAATAAGAATGCTGAAGTACAGTAGTTTTGCTATCGGTTGATCGGCATTCGAATGTCTGCCGCCATCAGACTCGACTACCTTCGCTGTCTTTTCGGCCAGACGATCCACGTCCTGGATTCGATGCCCCCCGGCGCCGCCGCGGGGACGATCACGGCAACGGCAAACACGTTACAGCTGGGAATCTCGGAGAAGCTTGGTGTCTTTGTCGAGTTTGTGGTTACCATCATCGCCGCCACCGTCATCGCTTTCGTCTACAGCTGGTCTCTGGCCCTTGTCACCTGTTCCGTCCTCCTCTTCACCGTTCTCACCGTGTCCATCATCATCCCGTTTTACGTCAAGGGTACGACCAGGGTGACCCGGGCCGAGGCCAAATCATCCTCGGTGGCTAGCGAAGCCTTCTCCGCCATTCGCATGGTAACCGCGTGCGGCGCCGAATCCCAAATTTCCAAACGATTCAACGTCTGGGTTGAGTCGGCCAGGAGACACGGCCAGAGGACATCGCCTCTGATCGCTCTCCAGTTCGGCCTGATCTTCTTCGCCTTCAACGGTGCATTTGGGCTGGCATTCTGGTTTGGGGCCAAGTCGTTCCTCGACGGCACTCTCAACGGCAATGTGGGCACTATCGTCGTCGTGCTTATGTCGGTCATGATGATGGTTATATCTCTCGAACGAATCTCGACACCGCTCATTGCAGTCGGCAAGGCGACGGTAGCTGCTTGCGAGTTCTTCACTGTTATCGACGCACCCCGACCAGAAACCGGCGAGCTCAAGGAGCCTGAAGTCTCGGCGACCAGCGACATTATATTCAAGGGTGTCGACTTTGCCTACCCTAGCCGACCGCATGTCAAGGTCTTGGATCAACTGGACCTTCGGATCGAGACGGGGAAAATCACTGCGATCGTTGGACCTTCGGGATCGGGTAAGAGCACGATAGTCGGCCTTGTCGAGCGGTGGTATACCCTTCATGATCAATACATAATCGCAAAGGCTATCGAAAAGGACGTCGCCAAGGAGAAAAACGCGAAGAAGAAGGGTAAGGGAAAGAAGAAAGATGGCGATTCGGACGACGAGAAACCAGTCCCTGACCTTGAAGAAACCGGGCCGCCTGTCGAGCTGAAAGGTTCTATATCCACGTGCGGGCACGAGCTGAACGAGATCGACTTGAATTGGTGGCGGTCTCAGATTGGGCTCGTGCAGCAGGAACCATTCCTGTTCAACGATACTGTTTACAATAATGTTGCGCACGGATTGGTGGGCTCAGCCTTCGAGAACGAGAGCGAAGAGCGGAAGAGGGAGCTTGTAAAAGAGGCTTGCAAGGAGGCCTTTGCGGACGAATTCATCGACCGTCTCCCCGACGGCTACGAAACCCTCGTCGGCGACAGCGGCACGAAACTCTCGGGCGGACAGCGACAGCGGCTCTGCATCGCCCGCGCCGTCATCAAGCGGCCGAAGATTCTGATCCTCGACGAGGCCACGTCGGCGATCGACGTGCGCGGCGAGCGTATCGTCCAGGCCGCACTCGACAAGGTATCGCAGGGACGGACCACCATCACCATTGCGCACCGGCTCTCGACAATCAAGAAGGCCGACACGATAGTAGTCCTGAAGAAGGGCCGGGTGGTCGAGCAGGGGACGCACGAATCCCTCCTGCGGGATGAGGCCGGCATCTACTATGGCCTTGTTCACGCCCAGCAGCTCTCGCTCGGCGAGTCTGGTGACGATGACTCCGACGGCCACGAGGAGGAGGATCTGGGCTCGGGCCTCGACCATAAGAAGAGCGCCGCGCTGTCCGACACCGCGAATCTGCCGCAGTCGGCCGGATGGGAGAACAAGGGCTTGTTCGGGAGCTTCGGGCGGCTGCTGCACGAGCAACGATCCCGCTTCCCGCTCTACGCGATCACGATAGCTTCCGCCATGGCTAGTGCTGGTACGTATCAATCTCTCCTGCTACCTCGTCTTGGGGACCGATTCGGGTATGTCATGAAGGAGAGCTAACCGGTCGCGACACGTCATCAGCCTCGACCCCTCTTCAAGCGTTCCTCTTCTCGAAGATCATCGTGGTCTTCTTGTTTGTGGACGACCCGCCCAGGTTCACGTCCGAGGCGAACTTCTGGTCCTTGATGTGGCTCGTCCTCGCCATCTGCACCGGCTTCGCGTACTTCGTCCTCGGCTTCGCGTCGAACCATCTCGCTCACGTAAGTGGTATTCCCTCGCCCGTCGCACTAAATGGGTGGACAGATAGAGAGTCCTAAGAAGTGCGACATGACTAACTCCACGATGCGCCCCAGTTCATCTCCGCGACGTACCGACAGCAGTACTTCGAGGGCATGCTGCACCAGCGGATCGCCTTCTTCGACAACGAGGAGAATTCGCCGGGCTCTCTGACGGCGCGCGTCGGCGGTGACCCCAAGCAGCTGGAGGAACTTCTCGGCATGAACATGGCCATGGCCTATAATGCGTGCGTATACACCCATCCGTCTATCCCTCCCTTGCCTTCTCTTAAGCCACGATGGGACTGTCCTTCGCCACACCCTCCCCTGCCCCGCCGACACTAACGAATATGTCTCGGATAGACTCTTCACGGTTATCGGCGCGCTTATAATCGCGTTCATATTTGGGTGGAAGCTTGCGCTCGTGGCGATGTGCGTGACGATGCCGTTGGGTTTGCTGGCGGGGTATCTGCGGCTGCAGTACGAGCTGGAGTTCGAGGCGATGAACGCGGCCGTGTTCGCCGAGTCGTCCAAGTTCGCGGCCGAGTCGATCTCCGCGTTCCGCACCGTCGCGTCGCTGACGCTCGAGGGCGCCATCGGCGCCCGCTACGCCGCCCTCCTCCAGGGCCACGTCGCCTCCGCGGGCCGCAAGGCCCGCCTCCGCACCCTCGTCTTTGCCTTCTCCGAGAGCATCGGCCTCGGCTGCCAGGCCCTCATCTTCTGGTATGGCGGCATCCTCCTCGCCACCCGCGAGTACGACGCGTATCGCTTCTTCCTCTGCTACATGGCGGGTAAGTTTCCCAGCGCTCTGTTGCTTTTGCCAGCCCCTTGCCGCTCAGGTTTCCTACCTACCAAGATTGGGGCCGGGGAGGGGGACGGGGCTCGTGTCGAAACCTCGGAATAACGGTGTTGCTAACTGGCATTTCCCGCGCGCATCTAGTCATCCAAGGCGCCGAGTCCGCGGGCCAGGGCTTCGCGTTCGGGCCCAACGCGGCGCAGGCGGCGGCGGCGGCGAACCGGATCCTGAGCATCCGGGAGTCGCGCGAGAAGGGGCGGCGGCAGGACGGAGCGGCGCCGGACCGGATCCCGGACACGGAGGGCGGGGTGCGGATCGAGCTGCGGGACGTGCACTTCCGGTACCCGACGCGCGACGTGCCGATCTTCCGGGGGCTCAGCCTGACAATCGAGAAGGGCCAGTTCGCGGCGCTGGTGGGGGCGTCGGGGTGCGGCAAGACGAGCATCGTGTCGCTGCTGGAGCGCTTCTATGACGTGCAGCGGGGCCAGATCCTGGCCAACGGGCGGGACATCGCGACGCTGGACGTGCGCGACTACCGGCGGCACCTGTCGCTGGTGGCGCAGGAGCCGAACCTGTTCTCGGGCACGCTGCGCGAGAACATCCTGCTCGGCGCCGCGGTCAGCGACGACGCGCTGCACGCCGCCTGCCGCGACGCCAGCATCCACGACTTCGTCGCGTCGCTGCCCGACGGCTACGACACCGAGGTCGGCAGCCGCGGCGTGTCGCTGTCCGGCGGCCAGAAGCAGCGCGTCGCCATCGCCCGCGCCCTCGTCCGCCGCCCCGACGTGCTCCTCCTCGACGAGGCCACCAGCAGCCTCGACTCCGAGAGCGAGCGCCTCGTCCAGCGCGCGTTCGAGCGCGCCGCCCGCGGCCGCACCATGGTCGTCGTCGCGCACCGCCTCGCCACCGTGCAGAACGCCGACGTCATCTTCGTCCTCGGCGAGGGCCGCGTGCTCGAGAAGGGCTCCCACGCCGAGCTGCTGCGCCGCAAGGGCGTGTACTGGAATATGGTGAGTTGGGCACCCTTCCCCACCCCCTTTTGTCGGACTTACGAGTCACCCGCTAATCACCTCACGTTGCCCTGCAGTGCCAGAGCCAGGCCCTCGACAGGTGAGAGAGAGCGTCGGCGTGTAGTAAGCACCTACTTGTCACGTACGGGGCACGGAGTGCCTATATACGAATCGAGGCTAGAAATAGAGGCTGGGAGAGCGGAGCCGGGAAACGGGAGACGGCTGTGCATAAACAATATAGGGATAGGACGTGGGTTAATTTGACGTGATTTCTTTCGGCGTTCTGGTGGAATACCCATCCAGCTCTGATTACTATTAGCCAGCTCTAGTCTTGATGTACCATAGAGACTCATCACTCTAAAAATACTAGAAGACCCCTACGAAATCCAGTGGCCAAATTTTGGAAGGAAAAAAAAAAACCCCTTCCGGTTGCAAAGTCCCATCGCGGTTTGTCCTGATTCGCCCAGTTCGCCCAGTTCGCCCTGTGCTGGATAGAATCCCGCCAGCACGGTTATGTGTCCATGCATCCATTCTCTAGGTCTAGGCCGGGGACAAGTGGTGACCACGTCCTGCCTCCCATTCTAGGTATTTTAAGAGACCATGTTCCTACTCCCTACTCATTCTATTAATTATCCCTTCGCGTAGCCGATGCGTTTGGCCTCAGACCACGCGGGGGCGGGCTCCCTCTCTGTCGACGTACGGGCCCAAACGGTCGAGGGCGGCCAAGGCGGAAACCCCGTCTGAAATAGAAATAGCATCCCGGGAGATTCGTTCCTTGCAGCGGTCTCGTCCTCAGCCGAGCCTGTTCCCGCTCGCGCGCTGGCCCCTCCCCAGCCCTCTCTCCACGAAGGCCGCTGTCCCTCTAGACGCCGCCGGCCACGCTCTCGGACTTGAGCAAGCGATGACGGCGTTTCCTGGCCTTCTTCTGGCGGCGGGGGCGGGCGGCGAGCGGGTTGCGGCACGGCTCCGGCGGGCCGGCGGCGGCGACCGCGAAGTTCTGCAGGACCTTCTGCTTCGCGTCCTCAGCGAGACGCGCGGCCTCGAGGGTCGCGGCGGCGGCACGGTTCGCGGCGGCGGCGACGAGGCGCGCGCGCGTGGCGACCGCGGCTGCCTTGTCCGCTGCCTGGCTCGCGGCCCTGGCCTCCCGTTCAGCCCGGTCCGCCGCCTCCCGGATCAGCCCCAGGTACTTGGAGGCCTGCTCCTCGGGCGGTAGGGTGCCCCAACGCCTGCTCACGCTGCGCAAGGGCGAGGGAGAAGGCGAGGACGAGGACGAGGACGAGAGGCTGCTGGAGTCGGCGTCACTACTAATAATGTACGGCTGGTACGGGATCCCGGCCCGAGACATGTTGGGACGAAAAGGAGACATGAGAAGAGGATTCTTGCTGATGTCTTCGAGGAAAGGGGAACGATAGATGCTAGCGTGGAGGGGAGGATACGCGATCGAGAGTGGCACCGCGAGTAGCTAAGCATCCAGGCTCACGTCGGTTGCGTCAATAAAACATTTGTTCGTGTTTGCAGGCAGCTTGGGTGAGCGGGGGAGAAATGGAAAGGTGCTTCCTTGCTGGTAGGGAAACGAAAAAAAAAAAGACAATGGGTTGCAGGTGGTAGGTGTGGACGGGGCAACGCGCTATGATACCTCTTATTCTGGTGCAGGTTGGCCTTAAGGCGGACGCTGACTGAAGCTGAGATTCTGGGTTGGAGTTGAGCTCCCTGTAGAAGTGTGCTTAGGTACCTTAAGGACCCCTGGCATTAATGGGACATGGTTGGTGGCGGTAGTGGGCGTTATAGGGGTCAAGTACCTGTCAAACAGAAGGGTAGGCCAGTCGCCTCAAAACAGGTAGCAATGCTGGCGATTTGAATTGAGGATCGGCATAATATTCATAGCTATTACCCACCTGTTTTGTCTAGCAACCAACCTAGTCCCCGTTAACCCTCTTACATACTAACCACGATGTCCCATGCTCAAGTTGAAGAGAAGAGGGACGAAATGTTGACATGCATACCCCTCTTCACAGAGCAGCGAATTACAAGCTAAATCGAGTTTCCTCTCGTAGGTATATCCTCGCCAGCCGGCATGGCTATGGTTCGTTGGCTTTACGTGAGCCTCCGCTGGCAGCTCTGGCGACCTGAACAGCAGCTTCTTTGCGCCCGACGTAGACTGCATCGACCAGCATGGCTATGTGAGCACAGTCATCCCGGAGAGTGTCTATGCGCTTGCTGATCTTCTCTTCGCAATCTATGCGCTTTTCCACCGCTGCCACCAGTCGCTCGAGCTGTTGCTTGTTGTGGTCGGATCTGAAAAATCCGATGTTAGGCCTGGCCGTCGCTGCGGCTGGAGACGACGGGAAAATCGAGTCGCCAACTTACACCTTCCGCATCTCTTCCTCGTGGTGCGCGTTTATCTTGTCTTTGAGAGCCGCCAGCGTGTTCGCGTAGTCCTCGCCGATGCTTTTTCGGACCTCAGTTCGCTTCCCCTTCCATTTTTCCTGTGCGAGCAACGAGAAGAGACGTCAGTCTGGCACGTAGAATGTGTCAAATTTTCACCTGTGAGCAGGGTAACATGAGTAGGTAACGGATGAGCATACGATGCTTGCCATAGCCTGTCCTATGCTGGCCCCTGGCTTACGGTCCGGGTCCGAGGCCAGCTCTATATCGGCTGCACTAATGGTGGCTGGATCGACGTCTGCTGGGGCGCGTTTGTTGCGGCGAGGCGGCATGACTAAACACGGTTGTCGGGATCCAGCAGTCGTAGGGTGAGACCACCGCACATCTAGCCCGAGACAAAGAACTGTTCTCTCGGGGTGATATATGGGTATAGATAGTACTCATATGCTTCGCGACGGGTTGCGACTACGCGATACCGGAGATCGAGCAGCAGGTTGCCTAGATAGCGGACTGGGGACGAGGATAGAGAGATTCCTGGCTTCAGTCCCTACTTGATGAGACATGGCTGCAAGTGTCTTAGGTACCTTGGCAATTTATACACATGGGCAATCGCGTCTCGATCGACACGTTGGTTTGCACAGGATCCAAGGTCGGGCTGCACTTGCCATGATAATATTCTCATAATTCCTGCCCGTTAACTTGAAGTAGAATGATCCTTCCTCAAGGTAGGTACCTAGATACCTAAGTACCTAAGGTACCTAACAGAGTGGAAGGCAAGGTTCTAACAAGGTTATTAGGTGGTGCTCCGGACTTTCGTTTGCCCGTGTCCCCAGGTTCTGCTTACTCATACTGATAGGTATCTGGCCTGCCCTTCTCAGGGCCCCAGTCTTATCAACCAACTGAAAAATACAAAAAATAAAAATAAAAAAGAACAAAAACGACACAGGACCCCCCACAGGGGTCAAGTCGAAATGCAACTTTTTTTCATGACTTTCTGGCCGTCGCGACACCGGCCGGCTCAATTACAATGGGTCTCGCAGGACGAAAGAAGTACGGCTACTCAATTCACAATACTGTAGTGAATCGTTGCTAACATGCCCTTTTTTACAGCCGCCGGAAGCTTGAGTACGATCCTAACAATCTGAGATGGAGTCGCGACGAGACCACCTTCGGGCACAAGATCATGCGAACCCAGGGCTGGGAACCGGGGAAGCTGCTAGGGGTACAGGATTCAGCGCATGCTCATCTGCACACAGCAGCAAGCTCTGCCCCCATCAAAGTCTTCGTGAAGGACGATACCTCGGGCCTAGGGGCAAAACCCCGTCAAAAACAGAGCGATGAGTGCACCGGCCTCGACAGTTTTAAGGATCTTATCGGGAGGCTGAACGGGAAGTCCGAGGAGACCATTCAGAAGGAGCAGCAAGTCCGATTGGATTTCAAGACGAGCTTGTTTGTAGAACGGAGATACGGGCCCATGCGATTTGTTAGCGGTGGACTTCTGGTCGGGGAGCAGATCAAGGAGCTGGCGATCACCGTTTCGAACCCGACAATCCCCCGAAAGACGAGTGAAGAGGAACCAGCCACCACGCCGGAGGGGGATACCGCCTTCTGCATAAAAAAAGAGAAGAGAGAAAAGAAATCGAAGAAGCGGAAGGCGGAGGAGGGTGGTCTTACCGACGAAGCCGATGTTACTCGCGAGAAGAGGAGGAAGAAGCGCTCCACAAGTGACGGCACTCCGGATGGCTTCTCTGGCGATTTGGGCGTGGAGAAGTCCAGTAAGAAGAAGTCTAAGAAGCTGAAGCAGGAAGAGGGAGAGGAAGAGGAAAAGGAGCTAGGCGATAATCTGGAGACAACGCGAAGAAGGAAGAAGTCCAGGGGCGAGTCAAAAGAGGGCCCCAAGCAAGATACCGAAGCCGGCGCCTCTATATTACTTGGAGATATGGAGGTCGAGGTCAAGAAAGCAAAGTCGAAGAAGGCGAAGAAGGAAAAGGGAAGGAAGGGGAAGGAAGAAAGACAAACGAGCGTGTCAGGCCTGTTAGCAGAAAACCTTGTATCAACCGAGTCGTCGACCCCCTCTCAGACTGGCACCCCCCAGGAAAGCGGCGTGGCAACACCAACACCAACCGGGACCGGCACATCAACCCCCCAATCGCTTTCTACGAGGCATTACGTCCGATCACGCAACATCGCGTCAAAACGGATGGCCATGGCCGACCTGCAGGCGTTGAACCAGGTGAGAACTATCCGAGGTCGGAAATCCTTGTAAGCTGCGCCGATGCTGATTCTGAACAGATCTTCATGGTGAAGTCAGTTGCCTAGAAATACGCAAATGGCTCTGTAACTTATACGAGTTTTGTGAAACGATGTCCTTTTGGTAGATCTTGGCCTGCTTAATCGCTTGATACCCGATAAATGAAACAATGCGGTTTGCACATGGATGGCCACATTCTTCGCATTTTCGCTTTCTTGGTATGTCGGCGTAACGACTTGGGGTTAAGAAGTAGGAGCCATGGCTGCTTTTTTATCATCGGTTAAACCCTCGCCTTATACCTAGGTAGTCTCACGTTCAGATGGCCGTCGGCCATCATGGGCACATTGCGGAAAGGAGGGATTAGTACGCAGCAAACATCAAGAGGGGGATCTGGGGAGAGCTACGATAGATAAAGCCATGACTCTGGACGGCAAAAAAAAAAAGGGATACTTAACGATAACTGCGAAAGGATGTGCCCGTGCTCCGTTGAGTCTGGGCGGCATCTAGGTATGGGAAATCGTTATTAGAATGGGCAAGGTTGAAATTGGAGGCTAGGCTATTTACAACTATTCCCAGCGACCTTACTCCCTGTGCCCCCTCCCCCTTCCAATTAATACGTGTAAGGGCAGTTCCCAGTCTTGTTTCGTTGTTTTGCCGTTTCTCATCCAGTGGCGTGTGTCTCCCCCTCCGGCCTCGCCATCTGGCTCAACCCCTGTATCTCGCGGAGCATGTCTGTCTCGGCGCCACACAGGAAAGGTACTTAGATGAGGCGTTAGGTGGTAATAAAGGCATCCGCTACACCCCTTGGAAGCCCTCCGAACTGCTGAACTCCTACATAAAAATTTTTTTAAATGCAGTGTGTAACCTCTTTTGTTTTAATAACGTATGTAACCTCGTTTTCTAATAAAGGACTGAAAGTGATGGGAAACTTCTAGGAGTAGACAAAACGGAACATTTACTCATACATGATATGTGCTAAATGAGGGTTCCTCCTAATGTGGCTATGCGACTCTGTAGCCTGGCCGGGTACCTATAAAATGCCACCGGTGAGAGTTTAGATGTCAGCATAGACTTCCTCATCACAACCTCAGCCGAAAATAAGAGTTGGTAGTAATTGCATTGACAACATATTAATGCCTGCGGCTCTGGCAGTCTCGAAAACGGGTCGGAATTCTCACGGCAGTGAAGCATGGAGGATGTGCCATCAACCCCGTTGCACCTGGCCGGTTCAGGCCCGCGTCAAGGTCAATCTTCACCGCCACAACCGCCTCCCCGAGGTGTACAAGATCACCCATCAGAGCGTGGCAATGTACAATTTGTGATGGAGCCCGAAGAACTTGACCCAGTATGTTTTCTTTCCCTCCACCCAACCTTGGCTGGAGCGTTTTCAGCTTAACATGAGTTAGTATGAGGATATACCATCTCCCCTCCAACTACCGGGTGCGCCAGTAGATAGCCGTCAGCATGAGGCGTATCGCCCCCTTCACCCTAGATATTCTGTACCCGGTCCCCGGTATCAAGATCCCGAGATAACAACACCTTCGTGGGAGCGGAGACCCTACCGGCGCTCTACCACAGACTCGTCTGAGTCAAATCGCAGCCAGCTCGGGGGTGGCCCAGGCCGGGTCCGGTTCACCGAACCGGAGCGCCGCCCAAAGCCCCCATATAGGGGTCCTACCGAGGATGACTGGCTGCCTTCTAGCTTAGAAGGTATGAGCGATAGACGCTATAGGTCTATACCGACCTCGTATCGGAGCCGATCCCGCTCAAGATCGAGGCCGGTGCATCGTCCGCAAATCATTCGGGGCCCATATGGCGGTGACCTCGACGACGACGTCGATGGCTACAGCGAGGACGGCTTCGACGAGCTAATAGGAGGAAGAGTGTTCCAATTTGTCCCTTCGAGAAATTCAGGAGCACTTTCCAACAAAGGTTATAGTGTCGATACCGATGCTTCTTCCGAGAAGCCCGATGATGGAATATCAAATGCGAACGATGGCCAAAGCATCTCCCGTGCTGGTAAAATCCTTCACGTCTTCGAGTCTCGGTATACTGGAGACGCAGTCCCAGATGGAATTCACACTACGGAGTTAACCGTGGTTCACGACCCTAAAAAGCAAAGGCAACCCCTTTTCAGGTGGATGTAAGAGTTACGACAATTCGAATTGATAATCAACCTTGCTATATTAATATCTACTAACGTGGCCCAAGGCACCTGGAACAGCCGATGATGAACCTGGAGGAGCTCTCGGTAGGTTAATTAATGGTTTCGCGTCTCTCTCTTCTTCTTCTTCAGAGGTCTCACCAAAGGAATCATAACAGGCCGAGGTCTCGCAAATCCCAGCTATCACCGACTCCGAAAGGAATGGCTTCGCACGGCTCCTCTCAGGTGTGAAAAAAAGCTGTGTCAAGTCCCGACCGACTTCTAAAGGGAGCAGCGCACGCCATATGGATCCACGCCAAATTTGCATGATGATCCCGCCTGACGGGCGGTCCAAAAATCAAGCTCCGAACTCATTTACGTGGCTGTGCATTCCATACTTCTCTCTAGAGAAGTACTCAGGGCTCCTCTCCGCAAGCACGGCTTCCTCCTTTCCGATCGAGACCCTACTGCAATCGGAATATTCTCGCACAACGCGAGAGCGCGAGATGCAGCAAGTAGTATGTCAGAATGGGGAAGCGCCCTCGGGCACATGCTTCCATATTGCACAGCTATGGTGTATCGTGCTGAACAATTGTAAGCATATATCTGGCGTCTGATATAAAAGTCGGCTTCAAACTTACCACTATTAAACTAGCCTTACTCATCACATGCGGTCGAATGTCAGCTTCAACATTACGGAGCGATCTCGTGCGTGTCGTCACGGTACCTCCCAAGGAGCCACAGGGAAGATGGAAAACGATATACGTGAAATATTCCGATGCCGTCCTGTGGGCATTTCCTCTAGAGGCTTGTTCAACCTGGTTTGTGAGTGAGCCTAATAACATTGACGGTAAATTGTTAATAACTTTAGGATTTCATCATGCATTTCCGTGAGTTTTGGCCGCGTCCAGTAAAGATATACCACCGTGATCACATCCTTGTTGCAAGCGATTGGCCACGTATCGCCAACCTGGTGAAAACTGTGAACAGTAAGGTTACGCTTGAGCTACGGTTATGGTGTGCTCCCTCACAACTCCATAAGTAATAACATCACTAATGTTGTGGCAAGCCCCTATCCACGTCCGCCAGCTGCTGGTATATTGCGGTCGCTTGAGCGAGACGCAGAGGTACCAGAAAACCAAAAGCCTAACGACAACGAACCTAGGACCCGGGACCCGGGACCCGGCTTCGTCCTCGACGACAGCTTTCACGTCTTCTCGTGGCTCGAAATGGCCCAAGCTGAATCCAATAATAGGAAATTAGACACTGAAGCTCTAGTAGCACATCTACGAGAAGCGGAGGAATTTTTACTGAGCTCAATACCGAAGAGAGATAGGAACGCGTACCGCACTTGCGACCCCTCTTCTCAGAGACTTGTCTACATGTGTTTGAGGGAGGAAGAACCGAGTTTTGATGACATGGAAGAAGAGACACGAGAAAAGAGCGAGTATGAGGGCAAGGTCGAGATATACAATGCAGCCGACATCATCCACTCTTTCTTCCTGCCACGATCATCGAGTAAACATATCCCGACTGTAGGGAAGTTCTGGGGCGCGATTCGGGGTTTAGTAGAGGTAAATAGGCATCTTACATGGGGCCTAACTACTCGGGATGACAGATGCTTATTTACAATGGGAACTGATAGGTATCGAATTCGGATGCCGATTATGCGGACGACATCCGCTCTCAGCGGTCGAGGCTGTCTCGCCGAGTTATTACTATGCGCCGTGATGTTTTTCTCCTTGGACAACACCTCAGATATATTGCGAGAGAAACGCAGTATTTTCAGGACATCATGTTGCATGCATCAGATGCAATCCGAAGTCGGGCTGAGATTCCTGACAGCCTCGTACGCGCATGGCTCCACCTAGTCATGGGTCTTGTCCAGGCGTCGCTCGCCGACGAGGCCTGGACCGAGAACCTAAACATCGCAGGAGCTCTAATACGAAGAGGAATGGATGATATAAGTAAGTTGAAATAATGTCTATCTTATTTGTACCCCGTTTGTTGGCTCTGAAAACCCCTAAGACGGATATTCGTTCTTAGGATTCTACTAATGCATATGTTGATAATAGTGAACGGGCTGTCTTCAGAGAATTTATTGTATAGCTCGGTTGTTCAACCAATGGATCTCGTATCCCTAGTTAGTTTCAGCTTGCTTCGAGACTCTACAGAGAGATATTCGAGCATTAACGACACATACTCTGACTATCTAAAAGGCTTAGTAAGTTCGCTAACCCTCTTCCCCTTCACTTAAACGGGAGGTTCTGAGAAGACAAAACTTAGGAGAACGAGATTACGGCGAACAACTCGGACCGTTCGCACCAGTTCCGCCTCGCGCTTTTTAAACAAGAAGTCGTAGTCATCCAGCGGGTAGTCTCAGCGCAGCTGGCTATGGTCGAGGGGATGAGTCTCCCGTCGAGATCCGGTTACCGCTATCAGACCTGGTGGGATAAGGAAATTCTAGAGAGGGAGATGGGAAAACCGAAAGTCGACGCTACGGTGACGCGGTCCTACGAAAGGCAAGGCGCTGTATACGTGGACGGGCGTAATGCGCACGAGAGCCATAACCTTCAGTACCGCAGGAGCGCCAGCGAGAATAAGGTCATTAGCTATGCTGCCAACCACAACGTGGCTCCGCTCTGGAATGTGGAATCGTTCTCTAGGTTATCCTCGACGGACCGCGGCGGCTTTCGCGAGCTCCTGAGCCGCGAATGTAGGGCCTTGTTGGAGCGTCGGGATTTCGAATTCAATGAACTCCAACGCAAGGCCTCGGGGCTCGAGGAAATGGTATGTTTCTTCTTCCCTTCGACAACCCCCCCCCCCCCTTGCATGATACGTGTGGCGAACGCCAAGCAGCTGGCTCGCTAGGTAATACCTGATGAGCGAGTTCTAGGGCTAACTCACTTTACCCCCCTTCGTGTCCAGAACGCCAACATGATCGAATTCAGGAAAGATCGGCAAGAGGCGGCCGTGTACGCCTTCACGATGGTGACCATCATATTTTTGCCACTCAGCACGATTAGCTCCATCTTCGGGATGAACTCGAGCGATCTGCGCGACATGGAGCTGGGCCAGTGGGCGTACTGGGCGGTTGCTCTGCCCACGACCGTCGCCGTGATCGTCACGGGTCTGTGGTGGATGGGGGAGCTACACAACATCGTGAGCTGGGTGGGTAGGCTGCTGCTATACCGCCAGCCGAGGAATTTTACGGGCGGTGGTTATTATGCGGAAGCGGGTGGGAGTGCGAACGAAAGAGCAGCGCCGCGCCGCGCCCGCCATCTATAGAGAGTGGCGACAGCACCGTCTACCTCCGAGACGACATAAATCTAAGGGCAGACCTTAGGCCGCCGCGGATAATACATTGCATGTCTCGACGAACTCGCTCATCCCCCCGCCCTCACTTGGCCTCTCTTTTTTTGTCGGATCAGACTCTGTACATCCTGGACCACCTCCCTAACCTGGATGAGAGATCCCAATCTGCGACATGCTGCGCCAGCCACGTCGCTCACCGGGCATCCTCGCCAGCGAACTATGCCACGGTAGCCTCACTGTACGTAACCACGGGCGGGTTATGTACGTAATTTAGCGTTTCGTGAGCTACCTCACGCTCCCCCCTCTCCTCTACGGTGGGTGGCGGACGGCGGCGGCAACTTGGGGTCGTTTCCGCCATTACACAGCGCCAGACACCTACATGGTACGGGAGATGTGTGCACGCGTCCTCCCTGCACGCCATGCAGATAATCCTACCCTGGTGGTGCGCGCCCTCGCATGCCGTGGCCCTGGCCCTATCGAATTGTGCCACTGGTCCTCCGTCCGCGACGCTGGACCCTTAATTCGTCAATGGTCGCCTGGCTTGATTAGCTCGGAAGCGGTCAAAGACCCCAAACGCCCGCGGCGCACGGTTGGGCAGACAGCCCACACTCCTTGGCAAGTTCCGGGCCTATGGTGCCTACAGCTCGAGCTCGGTTTGGGGGAGGGAGGTTCTCCGGCCATGATTTGTCCAACTCACTTGCATAACCATGTAACGAGCATTCAGGTAATCCCCCCTTCCTCTTTGTCCCTGTTCTCCGCCCTTCTCTCGTGCTGTCCTTGGCTGGGACGCAAATCAAGTTAGGGAAAAGGGAGGGGAGGGGGAGGGGGAGGGGGAGGGGGGGTTGTTGGGGCATCCTTCAGCCTTGAGAAGCTGTGGAACTTGCTGCCTACTTCCGGAGGGAGGGAGACCGTCCATATGCAGAAAGGGTCGGCGAATTGAGTTGTGAGCATCTGCGAGACCGATGTCCGTAAGGGGGTCTGGGGTTGGGACGGTGCTCCAAGGTCCCTAATACCACTGTGGACTCCCTCACACCCAACGCGACGTCATCGGATCTCGACTCTCGCGACCGAGAGAGTCTGAGATATTATCTCATTACCGACTGTCGTCATGTATCGACTTCTAATTACGGAAGGCATCTCGATGGCAGCGTTTCATTGATAGATTAAGCTGCGGTCGGACGGTCTTTCATGTGATGCCCCTCTCCCGATGCGCGATGTTCATAGGTTGATTATACAGAGATGCCGCTGAAAGTGCAGAGTCGAATGATGATATCGCTTCGGGCTCCAGGTGCCCCCCCAAATTCTAGCTCCACGCATCGGCGCAGTTTGTGGCGAGTTGCGGCTGGCCAGTATTAACACCGGGCTCTTATACCTCACCTCGGTGACGTAGCATGGCTATTCTTTGCCCAGCAACTATAATACAAGGCAAATACCCGAACAGGTGGGCTTATTGTCGTATTATACCAATAAAACCCATGTAGGGAGTATTTATCGTCTACCGACCTATAGAATGAGGTAAGTAGTGACGAGACGTTGTGAAATGACGTAATATCGTTACCGCACCGAAGGATCAGTGTTATACTGTTTTTGGCAGTCGTCTCTACCCCAAACTCCTGAGCAACTTTGTCTTGCACGCCTATCAGGTAGCAAAACATGGTATATGAATGATACTAGGATCAAAGTGAGATGAGTATACCCATCTGACGCCGCCGGATTCATTTGACTAGGGTGTAGTTACATCTTTGGCGGTGTTATAGTAACTCGGCGAGTATTAATGGGCCATGGGCGTCGAAGGAAAACTCGGGCTTATCTCTTCCTCAGCTAACCGGACGTGTCGTCGACCTGCCCCTTGGTCCGGGACAATTAGGACCGTACTGTGATTGATTGATTATGCCGTGATTTCCAACGAACCGTTTAGATCGTCTCCTTGAATAGTTGGTAAACGGGATGATCGCGTAAACCTTTCGCCGAATGATTGTTGGCCAACGTTCTTCCAAGTGTAATAATCCGCCAAGCCTAAGCTTCTCCTGTACGTCTTTGTCGCCTAAGCGTTTTCTTTCCTCGGCATTCCCTGGAGCTATACTTATGCCATCCAGATGGACATGGACATCTTTGAATTCGCAGTGTGGGTATACAGTATGCCTCAAGACCTTGGTGTCCTTCTCTCCTACAAGAGGTAGCGGGAGGGAAATTTCAGGTTTCTTAACATCGTGACCGGTAACGAGAAGCGCCCTAACCCCCAGGCTCATAACCCGTTGTAGTTGCTGCTGCGCAAGAGGTGAAAAAGTTATCGTATGGGGTCCAACCGGATCAACTACCGCGGGTGAGGTTATTCTCTTATATGCTGGCTATTCATAGGTGTATCTTTTGGTGAATAGGCCATGAGTAACGAAGGGTTCTGCTATTTTCTTGCGCTTATCCTGGCTGCGCAACGGCAATTTAACACCACAAAGCCCAATTCTATGCTTGAGTAACTGACTTCTTGCCGGACCTTGAGACATTAAGGAGTATTGTAGCCATCCACTTCTACAGTATTGCAGTGGCCCCCCTACCTTTATTGGCCAATGCGACACCCCACGAACATGATACAAGCAGCGCTTCACACCTTGTGTTTAAGCATCTGTCGGGTTACCTTACACCGGGAAGGGTGGAGATAAAATTAAACACCCGGAACCCGATCGGCAACTTGCTGGTTGACACGGGAGTAAGCAGCCTGGGTGTTTCAAGCTGCAACAATGCCCGACAAGCAACGCGCTTTAGCCAGCGAGACAACACCCAAGGGAGGGTAAAATCGACCGCGCCGACCCCGAAGGAGCGGCAAAATGGAGCGGCGAATGAGGAATTCTTCTTGATCATGCTTCGGCTTCCGGCTCTCCCTTACCCCTGGACAGCTCCTGATCACCCGTAGCCGGACACATTTAGGGGTCGGGGATGCCAGCCCCTATTAGCCCAACGCAAGCGCGGCGACGAATCCTCCTCTTTGGCGGCGGCTCGCTCTGGCCCATCGCTGTGGCCCCAACGGGTATGTCTTGCTGGCGCGAACGGCGGGTACGATGTAGAGCGGATACTCGCCGCCTGCCAGTTCTGACGGGGCGAGTCACCCGCCCGCTGTCCGTACTAAGCCGAGGGGGAAACTTTGAGGAGGCGTGCGTTGGCCGCTCCCCCTTCGAGAGCGCTGCAGAACCCACCCGCCTCACCACGGCGCTGCGTGCTATCAGGAGAGGAGGGGAGGCGCTCGGCCCAAGGGGGGGGGGGAACATACACGTAGGGTAGTCTTGCGTAGGTGGAGGCGAAGGCCGATGTAGGCAGGTAGGAGGTAAGTTATGTAGGCAGAAGGTGGGAATACATACAGACATACGCGTACCTATAGCTCGCCCCTCCTTTGGCAGATGCAAGCCCCCGCCCGCTTCCCCCTCTCGAAGTTCCCCTCTCGAAGCCCGAAATGGAGTCGGGTTGCGTGTTATTCACGGCAGCTAGGTCTTGTCGTCTCCCGATTCAGCCTCGATCCGCCCACGGGCCTAGGGAGGGGAGGGGGCCCCGAAGAAACCTACGGCACAGCATGGCATGGAAGAGAATGGCACAGGGCGCGGGGGCCGTCGTTCGGGGTATCTACATGCGTACGACCAGCGTGTGCGCGCAGGAGACAGCAACGACATCGTGTGTTTCTTTTTTTTTTTTCTCACGAGCCGGAGAACGTTGGGTAGGTGGGTAGGGAGGCAGACAGTGGCATCGGCTTGGATACCCACCTACCTCATGGTTGGGAGGGATCAGCGCTGCCGGGGAGTAAGCCGGTAGTATGTACCGATTGGGTGGTGTGCGTGCGCATATGTGTGTGGCGTAGGAGTTTGGAGTTAGCGCGAGCGACAGCTGTACGTAAATATGGAGGCTAATATCGAGAAGCGGTGGATTGGGCGTGTGTGTATGTGTCGGCGTTGTTGTTGTTGTCGTGGCTGCTGTATCCGTGATCCGCGACGGTGATGCTAGGTAGGTATATTGCTATACCCGGTGTACCCGTCGGCTGCATTCGCAGCACATACTTGCATACGCGTACGTGTATGTGCATACGTGTATGGGCATATCCGTGTATGCATGCACGCATGTACTAGGTATATTGTACACACCCACAGAGAAAGCCACTCCATCCCCTACTTCTGCAATAGGTAATAACAGGCGGGCATTTGTAGGCGGAACATACTACGGACGTGAATGCAAGGACACGAATGTACGTTCGCCCTGGCCGGCCTCTAGGGCTTATCGACGGAGGCAACGCGAGAACGGGCGCCGGCCTAGGTACGCCAGCAGAGCCCTACCGAAGAGCAGATGCGTACCGAAGCAGGTTGTGCGCAGGTGTGCAGGGCTTACCCGTGATACCGTCAGGGTGGTTGTGCGACACGAGCCAACTCGGCTTTATGACCACGGTCTCACAGCAGGCGGGAATATCTGATTGTGGCAAAGGGTGTGGGAACTCGGGTTGATCATGATGATGCTGTCACGGGTGTGGGCTGCTGGACTTGGGCTCGTGTTTACGGCTAGTGTTGTTGTTGTATGTAGCGCCGGTGTTTGGAAGGTAGGCATTGGCGTCGTATCGGGCCTTGTATTGGCGTGCCGAGGTGGTAGATGGGTGGTATAATGGGTGGAAGTGGGCGTTGCAGACACGACAAGTGCCGGAATGGCCTCGAATACTTAACACCGCGCCCCTTTCCCACCCCGTCAGCAGCCGGCTCCCCCAAGCTCTCTCTCTCTCCTCCTACCTACCTAGGTAACGAAGACGATTCTCTCGAAGCCCAGCTTGCCGGAAGTTCTAGAACCGCCCGTTCGACTGCGTGGTGGAACACAGCATTTGTCCCGGCCCCGCTCTCATCCACAGCGTCAGTTGTGTATTGCGTGTGGTGTCTGTCCTATCGACCACTACCTCGAGCGAATCCAGTCGGCGTCGTCTTCTCATGCCTATTGTCTGAATTGCTGTTGTTGTTGTCACTAGTATTTGGATATTAATTGTTTTTTCTTGATGTTTATTGTTATTATTCACCCCCCCCCCCCCCCCCAATAGTTAATAGGTAACGCAACACACACAATTACTATATATCCACCTGTCGAATCAAAAGGACCGGGACCGACCCCTCGCGTTGCTGCTGGCCTCTGACGCGCGCGCCTCAGCCACTGTTCCGCCTCTCTTCTCTTCCGAAATTCCCCATCGCCTACATCGACCCGTTCAGAATCCGGTTTATGCCAATCTCTCGCTCGCTCGCGTGAGTGACGTAAGAGCCGACGCCATCGCGGGTATCGTGACACCTCAAGCGTTCATAAAGCACCCATTCCCCGCAATGTGGTTTTACGCATCGACAGGTTAGCCTTTATCTTTTTCTTGAACTTCACGCTCAAGTTGTCACCACATTGATTAATTACTACCTACTATCCCCGGCACCGCCGCCACTACCACTACCACTACTACTGCCACCACCACAGCCAGAAATCACCATCACCATCACACCAACGACTGCCATAAGCTGACAACATGCCCTCTTACCACTTAGCGCCCCGCGAGAAGCGCTACCACAAATACAAAAAGGTCCTCTACCTCGAGCCGCCTACCAACGGCTGCAAGACCGTCCGCACGCGGATCACCACCATCGTGCCTCCTCCTGCCCCAGCTCCTGCGCCGTGCCCGTACCCGGAGGTGACACCAGCGCCGTGTCTCCCCGAGCCCGTCCCTCAGCCGCCGCCACCCCCTGTCATCGTCGAGCCGGTGCCTCCTCCGCCACCGCCGCCGCCGCCGGTCGTCGACTACCCGGAGCCGCGGCCGGAGCGGGAGCAGACGGAGATCGAGGTGATCGCCGTGGACGTGGACCCGGACCAGTCGTCGCCGTCACGGGGCTCCAGGTCGTCGGGCTCGTCCTCGAGCTCGTCCTCGTCCTCGTCGCGGAGCGACCGCCGCGGGCACGGGCACGGCCGCTCGCGCGAGCGCGAGCGCGAGGTCTACGTCGAGCGCGAGCGGCTCGTCCCCGTGCGCGTCCCGGTGCCCTACCACGTGCACCACGTCGAGCAGGCAGCGCCGCCGCCGCCCGCCCAGGACTCGTTCCGGTACATCGAGGCCCCGCGCCGCTACGAGGCGCCCCGCCGCCGGAGCACCCCCGACCACGAGATCGTCATCGAGGACCGCAGGCATCGCAAGTACATCCGCGACGGCTGAGCGCTGCCCGCGAGCCTACGCACCTCCTTAGCGGGGCGGGCGGCGCCTCCTGAACAATACAAACTTGCCTACCCGACACCCGCTTACGCTTCGTACCTTGTGTTTTCCCCAAAAATACCTTATTTATTTTTCATACTGCTCCTATCATTGGTGTTCCTTTCACGGGGCTGCATCGGCCTTTCGCTACGATGATTGCTATTACTATTACCTTCCTATTATTTTCCCCTTGCTGTCGCCGAGACTGATGACGCTGCCTACGTCTACGACTACGAATTTCCTACGTAACGATATAAACACGATAACGCCGGCCGATGATGTACTACCACGTACTGTAATGACATAATAAACAGGTCTAGGGGAGAGGGTGTGGTTAAGGGTCTCTTTTGATTATCATATGTAAAGGGAACTACCGGGTACTTACTACGCTGTCTGAGTTAAGACTGTCACGAGATGCATGGAGTCATGGGCGAAAGCGCACGGAGATCACGCGCATCATGACGGAGAGTGGCGAGTATATAGAATGTATTGTCACGGGCATGAAGTTAGGAAGCTGGAAGGGACTGGTATAGGTCGACGATAGGGACGTGGAGATGGAGAAGCGTCCGAGAGATAGGTACATAATAGCACCTCGGAGAGACTTCAATCTACTTCATACGTACCCACGCCGACTTTTTTGGTATTATTACCCGGTGCGAGATTTGCCTCCGGATTTGCGTGAATCCCATGATCGTCTCCACGATCGTCTCCTAATATGTCCTTTTCTGGTAATTTCAATACTATAGCTGCTGATAACTTGGAGCCGCATAGATGCTATTACACGCTGCAACTGCTCTGCCCTGCTCTTCGACGAAGAGAAGAATCTCTTTCTTTCTCTCCCTCTATCTCATTAACCACCTGACGTCATTCCGGCTGGGCAGCTTACCATTATCGTCGATGGCAAGTCTTGGTATACGCGCTAGTCAGCCTTGCCGGTAGGCAAGTATTGAACTTGAGCCTGACGGCGGTGATAGGATGAGACGGGCAGGCTAGGTATAGCTTCTGCTCCACTAGATGTCGTCATCTCCTGGCCTGGAGAGAGTCGGCTGTAAGGAGCGTGTGGCGGCGGGATCTGTCCTAGAGGGAGAACAGGATCACTACGACGCTAAGCACGCAAACGAGGCAGGCTGGCGCCCTCTGCCTCGCTAACCCATGTCCGTTTCTTCCGGCTTCATTTTACGACGCCCGCGGGGCTAGGGACGTTGCGCTAACGTTCCGGGAGGACACCTTGGATGGAGCGAGCCGGTTGTGGAAACACCGAGAACAAACGAGCGAGTGAATGGAGAACCACACCCTCCATCGCCCGTCTCGCCTCAAATCGCCAGAACAGGGGCCCGCGTTGTCCTTGCCTAGCTTGCTGCCCGACACAGGTCCCGCCGAGCCCCGTCTCGCCCTTCTCGGGCTACGCGTCAACGTCATAGTGCCATCTACCAAGTCCAGGTAACCGTCACTTCGGCACTACCGCATTCCCCGAAGCAGGACGAGCTGGCCGGGGGGGGGGGAGCGCAACGGTAGATTCGACAGCCTCGTCTGCGATCACGTCATCGGTGCCGTAGCCGTAAACTAGGGCTGCGATTACGAGCGGCTGGTCGGACCACGCGGACACGACAGATTCCCGCAAGGGGATAGCTTCGTTGACACGTGCGACCATGTATCGGTTGGATGCCTTTCGGAACAGCTCGCTTTCGCGGAAGCCGTTCCTAGCGGTGTCGCCGTAGGGCCTTAGCAGGGTCGTGGACATTGCGCAAGAGAAATAGTTGGCGAGAGGTTTTAAAGGGGGGAGTGCCGAATAAAGGAGCCGAGGGGCCTGCCCAGATACGCACCTCCACGTACCGAGGGGTGCCTTGGTACTAGTGCTAGTACCCTGGGTACCTATAGACAGGTGCCCAAGGTAGGTAGTAATACATACAGGTGCTGTTGACCCCCCTACCGATATCCTATCTTCTGGTAGTAATGATAAACCATCCCCTTGACATCCACAAGAAACCAACTCGACTCCATGTTTACGAATACCAAAACGTGTATCTAGATTTTAGTTGACTCAGCCCGACATCAACCGAACCAGCCCAACTTGGATCCAGTCATAACAAGCTAGTTACTAGCAACGTTTCTCCCTGATTCGAGAAAATCCCACAAAGACTCCCCGAGAACAACACGCCGATGACTCTAGAATGAAGCTGCGTCGAAAATCAGTAAATATTTACCTATAAACAGCCGGCCGTGGTTGTGCTGGTATAAGAGCTGCATAGCTTACCTCGGTGAATCCCCCTGGTTTCTCCGTAAAGATAAATACATAGCTACACCATAGACAGAAATTTCTTTTTACTATATATTATCGTTAATAAGGGCATCTAGATGTGACCGCTAGTACTAACACTCCACTTACAAAGAGGGACTTGCGTGAGCTCCAGCAAGATTGATGAGTGAGAACTAACCTAGGCACGTATACACTTGGACGGTTTCGTATCTAAGCAACATGCCTAAGCTATTATCTACGGAAATTGAAAAAGCCCAAAGTGAAGGAATAGTAATGCTTGTCTAATTTAAAACAACGCAAGCTCAAGGTCGTTTCAAGCGGAGCCTCGTGCGTTCCTTTTTTCGATATACTACATACCCTCCCCATCTTTCGATTATAGAGAGCCTGAGATAAGCTAAGTATCATTATGTAGTCAGCAGTACCGGAAGTGGCAAAAAATCATACTGTTGCAACCGGAAACCACGATCCCTACAGTCCGGACTATGAGGCAGCATCGATACGAGACAGTTACATTAAGAGGCCGCTCCGGTTGAAGACTTCCGGTTGGCCCTCTGATGCGAAGAATGTCTGTCTCTATAGTCAGAGTAGCGGGTTAGCTCACCGTGCAACTCGGTCACAACAAAGGTGGCTGTGCTGAGTGGTAATGTTATATAGGGATTTATTTGGAGACTAGTCGGCTCATTGTATGTTGCGCAAATGAACAGTGGTTGTAGTACAAGTTGAGTTTAGAACTAGCCAGAAGAGAAACGAGTAAATCCCCACTGGAATATCAGGTTTCGTCTATTATTATTAGACGCACTTCACATAATTGCCAATTTTTCCCCCTCTCTACGTTCTGATCGTAAGGTCATTGCCTTCTCCCACTTTCCTACGCTTTCGGCATGTTACTCTCCATGGCGGCGATATTGTGGGAGTGGCTGCAGTTATCCAATCCCGCCGGCACGCGGGATCTCTTCTTCTGCATAATATCCCGGACGGTGCTTGCTCTAAAGGCTGCCTTCTGCATCCCGTCGATCTTCATCGTCAACTTATCTTGCGGGCCGGCCAAGAAGCATTAGACACCTCGAATAGAACACTTGTCAGCTGTCCCGTACTCGCCCTAGCAGTGAAGTCCTTCTGGGTCAGTTCGTGTATTAAATAGGATTTTAGGCGGACGGAGCGAGGCTTGGATGTGTATGTGTATGACGAAATAAGGGTCGGCTGAGGGCTAACGGGCTAAATACGCTGTCATCGAGCCACAAGGTTAACCGTCCGCTTTCCAGACATAACACGCCAGATGGCAGCTATACGACAAGTAGCTTCAAGAGATTGAGTAAAATTGCTATAAAACTGCCAGGTCAATCATAAAAGTCTTGCCTCTATGGACTTCCTCGTAGGGTCTTCATACTACGGCTGTATCTCTTTCTCGATAGGATTATGAGACGCTGGCATACCTAAATCCCCAGTTAGATGGGCAATGCCGCTTTCCTAGGTACATTTTCCATAGAAATCTAACCCTCTGCAATTGGTCATCTAGAAGAATATCTATTTCCATTCATGGTGGAGAAGGGGGGCGACCGATTATTAATAATATCTCCCTAGAATGTGTCTCTATAGCGCTATGTGTCACGACGTTAGTGCGGACCCGCAAAGGCCGCATCTTTAATTCCAACGTCAACCGCAGTTGCGGGATCAGTTAACAGTCCCGGTCCAGATAGCCATCCAGAGACACGCGTCGTCTTAGTTGACAAGGAGGGGGAACACTGTCAACCGATGACCAGGGGGGCATCCCGTTCAACATTTAAGAGGAACGCATTTACTCACGTGTTACATTCCGTATCTCGACCCTTCGAATGTCAAATCCCGGTATGTCACCTCTCACGGACCTACCCGTCACCGCCTACCATTCCCCAGGGGGTTCCCCCCAGGTCCGATATCGTTGTCAACACTCTGTCAGCAGCAAGCCCCGGTTGATAATCGATAGCATCAATAGACTAGCCCTAGGTACCTATATTCCGCTGACCACTAATGCCTCCCAAATCCCCTCCCACCCAACGGCAAAGACAGCGCTTACGCAAGCATAGTTATTTACGCCGGGCGTACTGCGGAAACGACGCTTTATCATCTCGCATGCCTGACTTCGAATCCGACTCTGCAGCAAGTTCCAAAAACCAAACCAACGCCTACCCTAACGCTATCTAACCAAGCAGACCGCAAGGCGGCTCCGCCAGGGGACGCGCCAGACGCGTATGCGACTCGTCTATGCCAACTCTGCCCATTCCTACTCAGGGGAGAGCGAAATAACTGCTGAGGTGGCACAAGTTCGTGTCTTGGCGCCCCGTGCGATGGTTTGAAGGTAATCCCGTGATGGAATGCGTGGGCTTGCATTCTGAACCTGCCAGACGCCGAGAACTCCAGTGAAGGAGGGGAAGAGCGAATCTACACATTGACGCAAAACCCGTCCCTATGCAACCGGCCCGTTAACGATACCAATATCTCCTGTTCCCTCCCCCTCTGTCTTTGTTTTCTTTTTGCCCCTTTTCCGTGCGCCGTGCGGCTTCGTCTCCCTGGAGCCTCCTAGGAACGGCAAAAGCCACCAGTGCTTGTCGAGGAATGGGGGCGTGGCGAGGGAGGAAAGAAACTACAAAAGAGAGCCGCCGGTGTAAGTGTAGGATTACGACGCATAACGTAAATTTAGACCCTGGCCGGAATTTCTCACCCATTCCTTGCCCCCATTCTCCTCGACCACATTCCCAACCGCGGCCCTGCGCTCCCTTCGAAATCAACATCCTCACTCACTCCTTGGCGCCCGCGTCTGGGCTCATCTGCAGGAAGATCTGCCAGTTCTCGCTTCCGGGGTCCTCGTGGTGCTGGTCTTCGGCGCCGTCGCTCTTGAGCTGGTGCTGGTGCAGGACCTGCTGGGGCTGCGCCGCGCCCTGCGGGCTCGTCGCCGCCGCGGCGGGGTGTCCGACCGGCAGGGCGGCGAAGGGGGGGCCGCCGCCCTGCGCCTGGGCCGGGAACGGGAAGGGCGCGGGGCCGGCGAAGCGCTGGCGCTGGGGCAGGGGGCGCTGGGGCAGGTGCTGGTGCTGGTGCTGGTGCTGGTGCTGGTGGTGGCTCTCGGCGTCGGCGACGCGCGCGCCGAGGGCGGCGTTGCGCGCGCGCAGGTCGACGTAGGCGCGGCGCAGCTGCGCGTTCTCCGCGACGAGCTGGCGGCCGACGGCGCGGAGCTGGGAGCCGTGGGCGCGCAGCGCCCCGACGTCGGCCTCGGCCGCGTCCAGCCGGTCCTGCTTCGCCCGCCGGCTGCGCCGCGCCGACAGCCGGTTCAGGTGCCGGTTGCGCTCCCGCTTCTCCCGCGCCACCCCGTTGTTGTACTCCACCACCGCCGCCCGCTCCGCCTCCGTCATGTCCGCCATGATCGGCCGCGGCTTGAACGGCGGCCCGAACTCGGACCGAGGCGGCGCCGCCGCAGGCGAACACTTCGAGCTGCCGCCTACCGAGAAGGACCGCGCCTGGCGCTTCTGGTCGCAGTCCTCTCCGTCGTCGTCGGCATCGTCGTGGTCGGGGTTTCCCGCGTCCGATTGGTCGGTGCCCTTCTTCTTGTTGCCGGTATTGACGCCTGCCGCTGAAGGGCTCGACAGCTTCGGCGAGTGGCTGAATAGGTTCGCCGCGTACGCTATCGATCCTGGGTGCATCAGGCCGGGTATGTTAAACGGTTCGCGGAATGGGTTGTGGTCGGCCCCGCCCAACAGCGCCGGGTCCTGGAAGTTTAGCGGGACGGCCGCGACGTTCAAAGCTGAATGGATTGGTTAACAGCCAACGAGTCAGTCACTACGATTCCCGTCGGGATCTTAAAAGGGCTGTTTTATACACGCACGATGCTGTTGCTGGTGGCCGAAGCTGGTTGGTATTGAGAACGTGAATGCCTCCGGGCCGAGATCGCCTGTCCAGTCGCTATAATCGGGAAACAAGGGCTGGAATCCCGGAGATCCCGTCGTCGACATGGGCGCGATAGAACTTGGTGGAACAACCGTGGACGGCGTACGAATAATGTCGTTCTGGTCTCTAGCAGGCTGGCCGCGATGGGGGTTCGGAGGAGCCATGGCGATCGGCTGATACGAGCCCCGGTTGGCGGATTGGGACGGCTGAGGCACTCTGTGGTGTGTTAAAACTTCTCCAGCACAACATATCTTCGTTGAGGTATATTTACTGACTTTCCCTCCTTCTGGTAAACCTGGGTCATAGTAACGCGAGTGCTTATGATAGCTGGTTCGCCGTCTCTTATGTGTAAGCCGGTGCTCACGATGCTTGCTTGAAAGGCATGTCTAGTTTGGATCGTTTCGTGAGGCGAGCGGATGCTGTCGATGATGGGGAAAGGAGAAGAATGGGAGGCGCTCCAATCCGTTTATATGAATGAAGCGAAGTCTAGACGTTCCGATTAAAGGATCGTTTCTCTCCGAATTGCTGAATAGCACAGCGCGTGCGCAAACAGGCCAAGTCCAGAACACTAAAAAATCGGATATGACTCTAGCAGGTTACGAGGAGATTCAGCCACTGCTCGGACGAACAATATGGATCAGAGCGGGACAATATATTATCATCCTTCTAAAAGCGTCCCCTAAAACTGCCGAACCGCACCTAGAGTCAGATGTTCTTGACGAATATACAGCAAACATTTTAGGGCATAGCGCCGAGTAGCGGCGACTATTCTAAACTGAACGTGTTTGAGTCCCGTCGTTGCGAAGCGGGCATACATCACGCATGGAGGGGGCCTACCTTGCGATATGGTTAATATTGGTATCAAGATTCGTAGAATGGACACCTGTCTTCGAAGAGGCTTGTTTATCGAATCTAAAAATGTCGCTGTGTCCGAAGTAGCCGAATCTGGAGTCTTATCGGTGTCATGTGCCAAATCCAGGGTGTGTAGCCGCCCCGTTGACGAGATCTCATAATACTAGGAGGCTCTAGTCTTTGGGGGTTAGCTAAGGGACACAGGATCACGAGAGGTTCATATACATTCAATCCATTCCGTAGTCAGAGATCTTTGTAGCTTCTTTCCTCAGGTTCCACGGGTTGGGTAGGACATGGAGTCAGAGACACGAACTACTAAGTGCAATCGACTTGGTCATTCAAATGGCGAGTAGATATCGAGTCAATCCTTGACTAACGGTCCTTTGCCCTCTGGTTAATCCAAATCCCGTGACTTTCCTGGGATGATTGCTTAACAACTCCTTGACGGAGCTTGAGTTGATCACAGCAGTAGAAGTGATAGCATCATGCGTTATCATCACTTTGTAAGACACGCACAGGAGGGGTGGTACCTTATTTTTATGCAGTATTACTGAATTACCGCTCATATGATGCCTCTTATGACCATGACTTTGGATGGTTAGTGACAAGCTATCCAATTAATGTTACATGGTTGTAGGGCTCATGGTGTACGGGAAGCTTGCTCACTACCGGCTTATGTCCGTGTGACCACTGCTCCGTCTCTTCATCCCCGGGCCATCCCGTAAAACAGGTACCTGCGTAAACCTTCCGATTTCTCATTGTCCTCTCATTCACGTTCCCATAGCTTACCCACACTACGAGAGAGCATCGAAGTTTGGCGAAGGAAGAATAGAAGACATACTATCGCCCATAATACCCATTGATACTTTCTCCGAAATGACATTGGAAGACCCGGGCTAGCCGCTGTAGTGGATCTCTGACACCAATATACCTCATAATAACCCTGGACGGTAGTCCTTGTGTAAGCGGTCGACGCGCCTCTTCTCCACTGGCAGGCTTCCAACTTCCAATTTCGAACTCCGGCCGGATTAGGTGTAAGTAAGTTGAGAGCAAGACGAAGTTACGGCGTTGTGGGAATACCATACAGATATCTGTAGGCTGATATTTTCACATGCCTTTTCATGCTTTTACACACGATAAGGCTCGTTAGAATCTCCGCGATAAGAAGACTGTTAAGATGTATGGATTGCATCTAACTCATAACAAACTTAGTCGAGACTGCGGTATCAGAGTTGATGGGCGTTGAAAAGTGGTGGCCTCTCAGCCTCTTTTACTCTTCATCTTTAGATGTCTTTTTTTGGTTTACCGATCTCACGCACACATCGCATACATCCTGCAGGTAGTGTTACTATATTATGGTAAATCGAGGCTCACATGATTCATTCAGCTCACAATATTCGTCGTAGGTAAATACGTCCCGAAAAAAAAGAACGCCTGCTTGCATCTCTCTTCGTCCGCGTTGCCTCCTCTTAGGTGTAATTGCTGCCGTTGATAGACGCCACAGTCTCCTTCCTTAAGAGGCCTTCATTATTGGCAGGGGTGTATTTGAAGGAAATATCCGTCAAGTGCCACGGGCGACGAAACCTCCAAAACCGCGGAGAGAAACGCGGCATGGCTTGTGACTAGGTTTTATCTTTTTTGTCCCTGCTCTCGGTGAAGCGAGGAGGGGAGAATAATATAGGGGTGCGCTAATGACCTTTAAAATGTCGTGACGGCGATGGCGATAGACTGCGTCTCTGAATGCGAGATGGAGACGCTGATCTCTTTCACACCTGCCTTTTTCGCGGCATCTTGCGCGTCACCGTGAAGCTACGATCCGTCAGCAACCGTCCGAGGGGGGAGTCTCGGTAATGTGTAACTTACAGTAACGATAGGAGCGCCGTTCTCGTTAGGAAGAATCTCAATCTCCTTCAAGGCTGCGCCGGCGCCCTTACTTTGGACGCCAAGGCTCTTGAAGATGGCCTCTTTCGCGCTCCAGCGCCCGGCAAAGGAACTCTGCGGGCTGGGAGTCCTTTGGCAATATGCAATCTCCTTCTCCGTGAAATTACGTTCGATAAAGGTCGGATTGTCGATGTTGATGGCGGCTATGTCCTCGACGTCGACTCCAATCTTATTATTCTTGCCGGTCTGTAGACTTTGGGCTAAGCTTTCCACCATTTCCTTCGTGGATCTGGCCTTCTTCGCATGGGGCTCAGCAGCTTGGGCCGCGAAGTCGGCAGCGTAGGTTAGCGCGGCAGTCTTGTCCTCCGTTACTCTGGCATCCGGGTTCAACAGCACCGAAGAGAGCTGATCTTCAGAGTATGGCGCGTGGTCCTTCGCTCGGAAGATGGTATTGTTGATCATACCATTGTGCATGTAGCGGTAAGCCTTCTTCTGACGGGCAGTCACCTTGGTGCAATATGCGGCATATGTCTCCTTATCGAGCACAGCATACAGGTATCTAGGATGAACACCAACGACCTGGACGCCCTTTTGACCAAACCCGAAAGAGGTGACCGAGAAAGCCTTCACACCGTCGGTCTGGATGCTTCGGCTAGGGTATACGATTAGGTCGAACTTCTCCATATCTTGGTCAACGTTGTCGGCGTTGCGGTTACCGGGGACGAGACCACTGTTCAGGACTTGCAAGCAGCCGTTAAACATCCAAGCGCCGGCAGCGCCCTTAGGGTGGCCTGTGAGATATTTTTGGAAGATACCCATAAGAGCGTTGCCCTTCTTTCGGCCAAGGTGCCGTAGCTGCTGGCAGACGACCGAGGATTCATTCTTGTCGTTGGCCTTGGTGGAGGTGCCGTGGAAGGAAGCGACATCGAGGTCGTCGATTGTGAGGCCCCACGTCGCAAGGGAGCCCCGGAGGGGGGCGATGGAGTTGTCTTGCTTCCAGAAGTTGTTCCCGAGGCTTCGCAAGGCCTCCTTCTCCTGTCGTGCAGCCTCCTTCTCAATATGGATAGCACGAGCTTGGGTGTATTCCTCCTCGTTAAATTTGTGGCCTTGGGCTTGCATAGCTGCTGCCTCCTCGTATAGATATTCTAGTTCGGATTCTTTCCAATTGCGAATCTGTCTCTTCCGTAGCTCAATCTGTCGGCGGCGGTATTTGAGGTCAAGCAGAGGCGATGGGAATTTGCTGGGCGCCTCCCGAGCAGTAGTTAACAAGCCCTGGCCAGGTGCTGGTACCGATCGTCCGATCTTGTCACTAGCAGTAGTAGTGAGAGCGACAACGCCATAGATCGGCACACCCATATCGAGCGCTAGCCTAGCGGTCATGATGATCTGTATACCGCAACCCTGTGATTCCACGAATCCGCTTCTCGTCGTCGTCGTCGGGCGCGACATCTCTTGAGGTGTACGACCGTGGGCAAATTCATCTGCGCTGTTGCTCGTTGCCTTCATGTTGGCAAACTCGTACGAACCCTCCTCGCCGAAATCGTCGAAGCCGCCCACGAGGCATATGCGTGCCTTGCCTTCCATGATGGCCTCATAACCACTATCGATAGATTCTACGGCCGTGGCACAGGCCCCGACAGGAGTTTTGATAGGGCCAGAGGAGGACAACAAGAGCATGTTAACCCAGGCAGACATGGTATTGATGAAAGACTCCTGTAAAATGTCTTTCTGGATATCATGGTCCATCTTACGCTTGGTATACATCCCGTTTAGCGCATTCATACCACCCTGGCCAGAACCGATACAGTTGCCCACTTCGGATACGTGAACGTACTTGTAAAACTCGTACGGGTCGGTGATGCCGGAGGCCAGGAGAGCTTCGGCAACGGCAACGAGGACATAGAGCGTGACGCGATCGACTTGAGAAATGATGTCGTCGGGAACACCGTACTTCTTGGCATCCCAACCGGTGGGGATCTGTCCGGCGACGAGACGGTCGAACCGGAGGGCCTTGGGAATCCATAGAGTCGCACCTCTACGGAGGCGGATGGTGTACTCGCCGGTCTCTGGAATCTCGAAGATTTCGCATTTATCGCCGTGCTGTCTCTTGAACTCTTCGGCCGTCTCCTTCGATCCCTCAAAGGGCTCGAGATCTTCCTCGAGCTGAATCTCGTGCAACATCATCTTCTTGTTGGGGTCGTACCCGTCAAAGAGCTCCGGCTCGATGAGACGAATGCCCGAGTGTTCCAGGATATGCTTTTCATACCTATGCTTGATATCCTTATCCTCGACCGGCTCCTCGGTCTTAGCGTCGACCCAACCTGAGTAGGGTTGCCCTTTGAGAGGGCCATTGTGGTTCTTGATAAGCCCCATGATCCACGCCATCTCGACGCACCCTTCGATTGAGAACTCGCCGTACGCTTCCATCTCCCAACGCGTCCTCGAATTTCCCCAGGGTCCTATTTCGGCAAACCCGGTGACCACCACCACCTTCTCCAAATCAACCATGCCTTTAAGGCCGTCGTTAAGCGGTTCGACCTCTTTCTGCCAGTCTGGAAGAGGGGGGAAGTCAAATTTGATGTTGGCGCGCGGCTCAATGAGCTTCTTCCTGTATAGGGCTTCCGAGTTCTCGCCGTTGATTATCTTGTTCTCGATTGCGGTCTCTTTGGTGACAGCTCGGCGGACTTCGCTAGTCTCCATGATGTCCTTGCGCAATCGCGTCATGGTATCGTTCAGGTTGGGGATGAGCTGCAGACCGCCGTTCAGGTCGGCAAATACGGGCTCAGTCTGGCAGAGATCCACGATCGCAGGCGACATCAACCCAAGAAGGTTGAAAGCCATCTCTTGCTGAGAGAATGTGCGTACTCCAAATTGCTCGACACCTTCGGCGACAATGTTGTTGCCAGACATGAGACCAGTGCCGCGGGTCCAGCCGATGACGGCGCCACAGATGGTGAGATAGTTGGCCCAATCCTCGGAGTGCCAGCGGTTGAAAAGGGTCTCGAGGCCGAGCTTCGACTCCGAATAGAGGCCATCGCTACCGAATGTGCCGTGGTTGGGAGACAACGGCAACACAACTTGAGCAGGGCGAGTCTCGAAGCCGCGGCTCGACTTCTGTGCCTTGACATAGCCCAAAAGACGGACTAGATTTGTCAACATGATGCGGTGAGCGAGTTCAGACTTCGAATCAATGCCATCGATCTGCCGGCCAGTCTCAGAAATGGCCGCAAACGGCACAATATAGTCTAGATCCCACCCCAATCCACTCTTAGGGTCGTAGATGTAAGATACGAGGTCTTCCACGTCTTTCTTACTGCCTTGGTTGAAGGGGACGACGATAAGCTGGGACCCGCGGGCACCGTATCTTGCGTACATGGACTGATAATATTCGGTCACCTGCCGCGAGAATCGACTGGTGGTTACGATGACCCTGGCACCTCCGCTAATTAACCCTTGGAGAACTTCGGCACCGATAGAACCGGCGCCGGCACCGGTCATGAGCACATATTTGTCCTGGTAAGTGACACCAGACTTTGCGGCCTCTTCTAGGCAGTCTAGATAAATACCGGTGAGTCGTTTGCTGTACTCCCATCCGTGTAAGTTGTGACGTTTGAGATGCAAGAACGGGATGGTTTCCATCTTGCCCTTGTTGCTCTGGCCGTTGGCCTTCAAGGAAGGTTTCTTGGCGAAGCCATTCGCTTTCCCGCCGTCTTTGGGTACTATCTGGCTCTCATTCATGGCGAGGGAACGAAGTACGTTTCCGTAGAGGTTTTTAAATTCAAGCTTTGCGGTTTTAGACATCTTGTGTTGCTCCTTGATAAGCTTCACAAGGCGTCCGAGGTCGTTTTGTACCTTCGTCCTGTTGCCGTACTCGGATATCTTGCCGCCCTCCGCCATCTGCTGGACATAATGCTCAAGTTTTCGACAGCTCTGCCGCGGAACCTCTTGGTAATTCAGATTACCACGAACATCGATTGAAGTATGGGGCCCCGTCGGAATAGCCACATCCTTGTAGACTGGAGGAACGTTCAGGACATCTTTGCAATTCTCGATCAGCTGTTGACCCAGCTCCTTAGCGAGCTTATATGTCTCCCCGCGCTCCGTCGGGCAGTTGTCGATATGATACTGCATGAACTCGAGCAGCAGCGGATTCGATTTGCTCATAATGCGGATGCACTGGCTGACGATTTCTCGATCGACAGCTTGTAGTCGCCCGAAGATGACGTCGTAAAACATGCTAAGGGCATCTTGACGTGCCCAGTTCCACGAAGAGTCGTACGTGCGAGCTTTTAACGGGCTAAAAATCGGCTCAATTCCGGCCGCGTAGAAATCACCGTGCTCGGAGGTCCAAAGATCAAGCTGCGCCTGCAGCACTTGTTGAGACTCTTGTGATGTCTGGGCAGCTTTGTCGCCGGCTCGGAGGTCCATTTTCAGGTATCTCGCTAACAGCTCCAGCTGCTGCTTAAATAGAGCACGTTGGTCCTTCGTGAGGGCATCGATAGCGGCAGGGTCCATCATCATACCGCCAGACCCGCCGGCGGCCGGGCCGGCGGTGGTAGCGGTAGACAGGCTGATTCCGGCGTTGGAAGCGTACTTCCGCGTAACATCGTCTAGGTATGCCTTGGCGTCGTTCTCGGAGCCCAGGCGAGACGGAGGCTCCATAGTGAGGGCTAGTATGAGAGCCCCGTCCTGTCTCCCAGGGCCGAGGCCCCATCTGGTCTCCAGATACTTGCGTGCTGATGTCATGTTGAATCCGCCAGGCATTTTCGAGGAGATCAAACGCGCGATGAGCGACTGTGACTGCTTCCCGAGCTGGCCGTTAAATGTAGTTTGCATTAACGCCGAGAGCTCGTCGATGGGAGTATCCTCAGGCTTCTCGGGGGTTGAGCCAAACTCCTTCCCCAAATCACCGAGTATCTCGTTCTGAAGAGTAGATTTTCCTGTAAGTCTGTTAGCTTCCAAGGCACGACGTTTGCTGGACGACTTTTACTAGCCTCCGACGAGGTCCTTGATCGCCTTGCTTAGAGGGACTTCCAAGAACGGCTTCTTCAGCTTCTGCGCAATTAAGGCCCTGACAATCTCGAGCGCAGACACGGGAGCATCGTCGACGGCGGCAGCGGGGCCGGCACTAGGCGCGGGTGCGGAAGCAACAGCAGCGGGAGCAGCGGCTACTGCTGGTGCTGCCGACGAGCCTGACGGAGGTTCCGGAGCATTGGCGGTGGGTTCTGGCTCGTCCTCGGCGGGGTCTACGTCGTAGTAGATTTCTTTCGCATCCTTGTTATAGCATAAAATCTGCCGTTGAATCGATTTGGCAGCGTCAAAGGCTTCGTATTTAGATGCCAACGTCTTTTTTGCCATCCCACCCAGGGTATCTGCCGGGCCGACTTCGACAATGCGCTCGGCTGTTTTCTCGCCAAGAAAGACGTCTTGTGTTTCGATCCATCGTACCGGAGAGGCAAATTGGTACGCGAGAAGCTCGACGAGCAAGGTGTGGGCAAGTTCCTGCTCGACTTCGGGACGCATCTTGGCGGCAGTGTCGGGATAAGGGGGGAGGGAGGCAGGATGGACCGAGATTGAGGAGCGAGGCGTCGATAGAACCAACGGGTATCTCCAGCTTGTCTGTGCGGCGGGGGTTCTCGACTATGGAGAAGAAATGAGCGTAGTCGATCGTTCGTGATGCACTCTTCCTCTTCGTGTCAGTCGACCTTCAGCTTGACCTCACCAAGTAGAGACCAAAAGAAAAAGGGGAGGCGAGGACGTAGAACAGGTAGGTGGGAAATGGGCGTGTTACCGACAGCGTGTGCACCCAACCCAAGCTCGATTAGCAGCCGGTCCAGCGTTGAACTCGGCGGAGGGAAAGGGTCAAGAGTAGGCACGAAGGACTGCTACTGAGCCAGCAGAGAGTATTGAGGACTCGGTTCATTAAATCAAGCCTCCTAAAGGTTGTAGAGTCGCCGCTGTTGCTGTGAGGTTGACGACCACTTTCGACCCAAGGTTTTTGTCCTTTTTGGAACTTTTTCTTTCGGTTTTTTTTCCGTCGTCCTGGGGTTTTACGCTGCAAGAGCGGATCCGGACGAATCGCAGGCCAGGTAGATAGAAAGGGCCTCGAGAGGTAGGGTATGAGACACCGATCTGGTTAGACTGATGATGTATGCAATATAGGTCTGCAGGATGGAGGTGGTCTGTAAGGTCTGTCGGATTGATGTGGGTGGGAGTGCAGGGTGCAGGTAGGGGAGGGCAGCGGGATGGAACAGAGCCTTTCCCAAATGTTGAACTGGCCAGGCCTGCGAGTGGCGGGACTATGGAATTTTGGCGGGCGCAAGAGGGTGTAGCAGTTCCCGGGTTTCCGGACCAACGGCTTATGTAGGTACATGAGGTACCCAGGTGCCTCCTTAGGTACCTGACCTAGCCTAGGTGCCTCGTACGGTCCTAACAACAACAGTAATATGTACCTACCGCTGCCACAGGTAGCCGCTGTATTGGCATGGCATCGGCGCCCCCCCAAGATGGGTGCTTCTGCGCGCCTCGACCGATATGCGCGGCTGGTCGGATGGGGAGCTAAAGGCGCCCAGCTTATTTATTGCCCAAGCTTTAGGACCGACCGAAGGGTCCTGTGGTGCCGTCCTAGCTTGCTGTAGCTCGTGGGATAGGGTACATTAGGGAAATCATGTCCGTTAGAGAGAGGTACCTGGTACATGCACGGCTGTGCTGGGAGAGGTGTCCAGCAATTTTGAAATCCCTTGGGGGCGCTAACATATCGATCTGTGAGGACGTATCAAGGCCGACCAGGCTGCCACCCCCTTACGAACGTAGGTAGGTAGTTAGGGATACCCCTCCGGCAAGTGGTTCTACCAAGAGGTGCCTGCCTAGTAGTACTGCACGAGTTATGGCACCGGATATTGTGCAATATCTCATGTATCGTGATTTGCTCCGGAAAATCCAATCTTGTTTTTAAAGGTCCTTAACCACGTCTCTGACATCCTGACGTTGGCATCCTCCACCATAACCTTGGGTGCCGTAGGTAGTCTTCTACGAGGTGCTGTATCTGTCCTGATAGAGACTGCTGGCCGAAAATGCGCGGGTTAGGGGGTCGTCCACACTTAGTAACCTACCTACCTAGGTACCCTAAGGCAGCCCAGCGGATATTGTATTGTACGAGCCTGCCTCAGCTATACACATATACCCAACGTGCGTAGGGCCGCGAGACACCTTAGCGATAGGTATTGCATTGGATAGCACCTGCATCAGGCACACAGCGTCACCAAGAGCCTTTAATATTGTAACGGCGGGCGCCAATGGCAAGGTAGGTATACTCATACAATCCTGTTTCGTGATGCCCCAGTTCCCCCCCATACACCCCACCACCAGGTCTGGTCGGGATCGCTGACCCAGGTAGGTACCCGCTACCCTGTGGTTGCTACTGGCTGGCCTTGGCGGGAATTTACATGGGGTCCACGGGTCCCGTGGGGTGGCATTGCCGCAGCACAAGTACCGATACCTCCTAGGGTTGCAGAAGAGGTGGCTGACGAACTGAGCATGCACATTGTCTGTCGTGCTTTGTAGTATGCGGGCAGCACGCGTTGCATGCACGCATATCCATACCTACATCCAGACATTCGAAGATGACCGGCCGACAATAGACGGCTGTGAAAACGCAGCTATGCAGATCTGCACACCCGGTCTTCGTCCGATCGCAATACGATCATCTCGGCGAACGACATGCCTCGGTATATATGTACTCAGTAGGCATTTCCTATTGCATGACGCACTTGATAATGATGAGACCTGGCGACGGGTCACTGCGCAGACGGCTAGCTTACTACTATTGGTCACCCCGTCATCTCAATCTTCTACGTACATCGCCTGCCTCCACATTGCATCATCTCCCCGAGAGGGCGAGACCCATCGGCGACGACATCGACTGAGACATGGCACAAGGGGAACCCTATCCTCCTTTCGAGGCCGCCGAGCCGAGGCCGAATCCGTTAATATTTTCCCATCAGCTTCACTGCACAGCTCCTGTCTGTCCTTTGCCGCTCTTACTATGCAGCATTACTCGACCTGCGAACCAGCTGACGATGGCGACGAGGAAATAAGACACCAGTCCAGAAGCCTGCTTTGAGACACTCTTACTGGTCGGGGTCGCGAAGCTCATTTCCGCGAGACAACGAGAGCTACTGCCTCAGCCACACATATGCACGTAGACGCGAAGGAGACGCGTAGTTCATATAAGAGGTAATATCTAACGTACGTAGAGAGCAAGGCGACCTGAGACAGCTACTACACGGATACGAGCCGGAGGCCACACAGTAATGTATGCACGAGTTGGTAGGCGAGCACCAAATGCGCCCTAGTATGGCAAGTACCGGTACTTTTTCAGGCTTATCACAACATCGTCTCTACGGGCTTGAATTCTCGTGGATTCGTGGATTGGTGGGATGGAATGGTGAGGACCGGCGTGCGTATGCATTTACATTGATGATACACAGGTTGGCTAGAGGGAGCTGTCACCCCTCCTCCACGGTAGATGGGTGCAACACCTTAACGTGCCTAGCGTAAAACAACTCCCAACAAGATGTTGACTAATTTTTTTTTTCCTTCTTTCATTCCTTCGCACCCCCCCCCTTTTTTTTTTTTTGTTGGCGAGCGCCGTTGTGGCCGCAACATGGCAAGGTACCCAGGTACCGTGCAGTACGTAGGTACCTAACCTGATGCTTTGAGCGTGTGCGTTGGGTGGAACTCGCTCTCGAGTCCCGCCCCGACAGGGGGTAGGTGCACACAACGAGCCGTGAGTGGCAGCAGCAACTTCTTGCATGTCGGCGATGCCACCGGGAGGAAATTTGTCTAGAATTCAGACCCGCTCTGCCCAACCCAAAATCAGACCTACTCTCACCCTCCTCCATCGTGAAGCTGTGAAATAGAACGTCTTCTCGAGGGTCCTACACTCCTCTAAATCCGTCTCCCCGTACTGTCATTACCGCGGCAGAGGACTCCTCGGTCTTCGCCCGCCCAGCCCGTCTTGTTGTCTGCGAGGTTCCTCGTCCTGATCCTGAATTAGGATCCTCCCTGCCGCCCTCCTGCGAGCTCTCTCTCTCTCCTCGAGAAAAAAAGGCGTCCCGCATCCCCTCGAAGAAACTAGACAGCAAAACCGCTGCCTTGGCTACGAAATCGACATCTTCTGCTCTTCATTGAGTTTACGGAGGTAATCATAAGTAGGTGGGAACGATATCTACTTCCCACGGCGTGCTCGAATGCCTCTTCTCGTGGCTAATATATCGCGGGGGCCTCGCTGCTCTAGGTATACCTGTCCCTCACCCGCGCTCGTGGGGCGCGCCGAATTATGTACGGTACTGGCACCGCCGGCACAGGCCCCCAGACGGGGGTCTCGACTCCCCGATCTTCGTCATCCCTCCGACCTCTTACGCTCGGGCATGGATCCCTCGATGCCTCGTTTCTCGTCCCTACTGGCCTCCATTTTCATGCGTCGCAGCTCAGAGACCGATTCACCGCCGGCCTGCCAGCGCCGACGGACGAATTGGCCCTAGACGACGAGCCCTCCTCGGTGCCCGAGCTGGTCGCGAGATACATGGGGTTTGTCGCCAACGAGGTTGAGGAAGGGGAGGATGACGCTCAGGGTTCGTACGAAGAGGTCTTGAAGCTCGTTCTCAACGAGTTCGAGCGCATGTTCCTTCGCGGGAATGATGTCCACACTCTAGCAAAGAACCTACCCGGCATCCTCGCGAAACAAGTCAACGTTGTCCGGTGCTATTTTGCGGCTCGCTCGGTGGCGAACCGTGCCATCAGACCGCATGAATCCGCACTCTTGAGAGCGGCCGATGAGGGGAATGCTACACTATACAGCATATTTGGTGGCCAGGGAAACATCATTGAGTATTTCGACGAGCTCCGCGAGGTGTACCGGACCTATCCTTCGTTCGTCGGCGAGCTTGTCGTAGCGTCCGCGGATCTGCTTCACAACCTCGCCATGGACCCCCGAGCAGACAAGTTGTACGCCAAGGGGCTCGATGTGATGGAATGGTTGCGCTCACCAGACACCACTCCCGACCCCCAGTATCTCATATCTGCCCCCGTGAGCCTGCCTCTCATCGGATTGGTGCAGCTATGCCACTACCAAGTTCTCGGGAAGGGCCTTGGCGTCCATCCGGGTATACTACGAGAGCGCATACGCGGCGCGACTGGCCATTCCCAGGGCATCATCGTCGCAGCAGCTACCGCTGCCGCAGATTCGTGGGAGTCCTACGACAAGCTGGCAAAGGATGCCCTTACCATTCTCTTCTGGATCGGCGCCCGTAGTCAGCAAGTGTTCCCTAGGACATCCCTAACTCCCGTTATGCTGCAAGACTCGATCGATAATGGCGAAGGTGATCCGACACCCATGTTAAGCATTCGAGACTTGGCACAAAGCGAGGTCCAGAAACATGTAGATGCGACGAACCAATACCTCCCCGAAGATCGTCACATCGCCATATCCCTTGTCAACAGCCCTAGAAATATGGTTGTTACCGGGCCGCCCATTTCTCTGTATGGGCTGAACCTGCAGCTGCGAAAGGTTAAAGCGCCTACTGGCCTCGATCAGACTAGAATTCCTTACACGGAGCGTAAAGTACGATTTGTCAACCGCTTCTTGCCTATCACCGCGCCCTTCCACAGCCAATATCTTACCGACGCAACAACACTCATCGACGAGGACCTCAAGGATATCAACATTGACTCGTCGTCCCTGGGAGTGGCCGTGTACAACACTTGTACTGGCGCGGACCTCAGGGATGAAGTTACTGGCAATATCGTCCCCTCCTTGGTTCGCATGATCACCCGAGATCCCGTCAACTGGGAAAAGGCAACCATATTCCCGGGGGCGACCCACGTGCTAGATTTTGGACCCGGTGGCATATCGGGTCTTGGAATTTTGACGAGTCGCAACAAGGAGGGAACCGGTGTGCGTGTCATTCTAGCTGGAACCATCGACGGGGCAGTCCAGGAAGTAGGCTACAAGTCCGAGCTCTTCGACAGGGACGAGGAGCATGCAGTGGTGTACGCCAATGACTGGGTTAAAGAATACGGCCCGCGGCTAGTTAAGACGTCAAGCGGTCAAACCTATGTCGACACGAAGATGAGCAGATTACTTGGCGTACCGCCGATCATGGTTGCTGGTATGACACCATCTACCGTGGCGTGGGATTTTGTCGCCGCAACAATGAACGCCGGATATCACATCGAATTAGCTGGTGGCGGTTATTATAACGGCAAGACGTTAACCAATGCCTTATCCAAGATTGAGAAGGAAATCCCTGCTGGACGAGGAATTACCATTAACCTGATCTATGTCAACCCTAGGGCCATGGCGTGGCAGATTCCCCTTCTCGGCCGTCTTCGAGCCGAGGGCGTCCCTATTGAGGGCCTCACTATCGGCGCCGGCGTGCCCTCTATTGAGGTCGCTCAGGAATACATAGAGACCCTCGGCCTGAAGCACATTGCCTTCAAGCCAGGCTCTATAGAAGCAATTCAAGCTGTTATTAATATCGCCAAGGCGAACCCGACATTCCCCGTAATATTACAGTGGACTGGTGGTCGAGGAGGTGGCCACCACTCATTCGAGGACTTCCACCAACCGATCCTGCAAATGTATGCACGCATCCGACGGTCGGATAACATCATATTGGTTGCCGGTAGCGGTTTCGGCGGCGCCGAAGACACGTATCCGTACCTCACGGGCGAGTGGTCTAAGAAGTACGGCTATCCGCCTATGCCCTACGACGGCTGCCTGTTCGGCAGTCGCATGATGGTCGCCAAGGAAGCGCACACAAGCAGAGCTGCTAAACAGGCCATCGTAGACGCCGAGGGGCTCGGCGATGATCAATGGGAGAGGACATACAAGGGGCCGGCCGGTGGAGTTATCACCGTCCGATCGGAGATGGGTGAGCCCATCCACAAACTCGCAACGCGAGGCGTCCGCTTCTGGGCAGAAATGGACCAAAAAATATTCAGCTTGCCAAAGGAGAAACGCGTCGCCGAGCTCAAGAAAAACCGTGACTATATCATCACGAAGTTGAACGACGACTTCCAGAAAGTCTGGTTTGGTCGAAACAAAGCTGGGCAGACCGTCGACCTTGAGGATATGACTTACGGAGAGGTCATAAGGAGAATGGTTGATCTTCTCTACGTCAAACATGAGGCACGATGGATCGATCCGTCATTCGCGAGGCTAACGGGAGACCTCATTCACCGTGTCGAAGAACGCTTCACCTCCAGCGCCGGCCAGGCGTCCCATCTACAGAGTTATTCCGAGCTCAACGAGCCGTTTTCTACCGTGGAAAGAGTGCTTTCTCAGTATCCCGAGGCCGAGACCCAGATCATCAATGCACAGGACGTTCAGCACTTTCTGCTTCTCTGCCGGCGCCGCGGCCAGAAGCCAGTAACTTTTGTCCCGTCTCTGGACGAAAACTTCGAGTTCTTTTTCAAGAAAGATTCGCTATGGCAATCTGAGGATCTCGCAGCAGTCATCGGTCAAGACGTCGGCCGTACTTGTATTCTACAGGGCCCCACCGCAGTCAAATACTCAACCGTCCTTGACGAGCCCATTAAAGACATACTGGATGGCATACACAACACCCACATAGCCAACCTGACACGGGATGTCTATGCAGATAAACCTGAATCGATCCCGACCATTGAGTACTTTGGCGGCAAACTTATCGATACCGAGATGCCGTTGGATATCGATAGCCTCACGGTATCGTACGACCAACACAAGAACACATACCGCCTCTCGTCATCTCCCGGTGTCGCGCTTCCCTCCCTCGACAGTTGGCTGGCGCTTCTAGCGGGACCTAACCGCAATTGGCGCCACGCCTTGTTCACCTCGGAGGTCTTTGTGCAGGGCAATAAGTACCAGACAAACCCGATGAAGAGGATCTTCGCGCCTGTTCGTGGCCTGTTTGTCGAAATTCTGTATCCTAATGATCCAACCAAAACGTCGATCGTTGTTCGTGAACAGCCGCGACATAATCATTACGTCGACGTAATTGAGGTCAAGCTAGACGGCCAGAGCGAGATAGTCGTCAGTATGATCAAGGACACGTCGGCTCTGGGGAAGCCAGTATCGCTGCCACTCCGATTTACCTACCACCCTGAAGCAGGATACGCGCCAATCCACGAGGTAATGGAAGGTCGAAATGACCGGATCAAGGAATTCTACTGGCGGGCGTGGTTTGGGGAGGAGGAACTCGACCTCGATGCTCCTGTCACCAGCAAATTTGACGGGGGCCGGACTACTATCACCAAGGAAGACATAAACGATTTCGTGCACGCCGTCGGCAACACTGGCGAAGCGTTCGTCGATCGCCCTGGTAAGGTAACGTTTGCCCCAATGGACTTCGCTATCGTTGTCGGATGGAAAGCCATTACCAAACCCATATTCCCCCGGAAGATCGACGGCGACCTCCTGAAGCTCGTGCACCTCTCCAACGGCTTCCGAATGATGCCGGGCGCCGACCCCCTAAAGAAAGGAGACGAAGTTAAGACGACAGCTCAAATCAACGCCGTAATCAACCAGGATTCCGGCAAGATGGTTGAAGTTTGTGGCACGATCTACAGAGATGGCAAGGCCGTCATGGAGGTCACATCTCAGTTCTTATACCGTGGCGTCTACACTGACTACGAGAATACTTTCCAACGAAAACTGGAAACGCCGATGCAAATCCACCTTGAAACCTCGAAGGACGTAGCCGTGTTGAAGTCTAAGGACTGGATCCAATTCGACAGAAACGACATCGAACTACTTGGTCAGACGTTGACGTTCCGTCTGCAAAGTTTCTACAAGTTCAAGAACAAGACGGTCTTCAGCAGCGTCGAGACCCGCGGCCAAGTTCTTCTCGAGCTTCCCACCAAGGAGGTCATTCAAGTCGCGAGCGTCGACTACGAAGCTGGCTCGTCTCACGGCAACCCTGTTGTCGATTACCTCGAACGTCATGGTTCCTCTATCGAGCAGCCCATCAACTTCGAGAATCCCATCCCTCTTAGTGGAAAGACCCCCTTGCAGCTTAAGGCGCCGGCGTCGAACGAGACTTACGCGAAGGTATCCGGCGACTTCAATCCCATACACGTGTCTCGTGTTTTCTCCAGTTACGCCAACCTTCCTGGCACCATTACCCATGGCATGTACACCAGCGCCGCGGTGCGTAGCCTAGTAGAAACGTGGGCTGCCGAGAACAACATCGGCCGTGTCCGCAGCTACCACGCTTCCCTAGTCGGCATGGTTCTTCCCAACGACGACATTCAAGTCAAGCTTCAGCACGTCGGCATGGTTGGCGGCCGCAAAATCATCAAGGTCGAGGCCATCAATGAGGAGACTGAGGAAAATGTGCTCTTGGGAGAAGCTGAAGTCGAGCAGCCCGTCACAGCATATGTATTCACTGGTCAGGGTTCTCAAGAACAGGGCATGGGTATGGATCTGTACAATACCAGCCCTGTAGCCAAGGAGGTGTGGGACAGGGCAGATAAGTATCTCTTAGATACATATGGTAAGTTGGATCCGCCATTCCTCGTGATATCCACTAACGATTCGTCAGGTTTCTCCATCTTAAACATCGTGAAAAATAACCCGAAGGAGCTGACTATTCACTTCGGCGGCCCGCGCGGGAAAATCATCCGCGAGAACTATATGCAGATGAACTTCGAAACTGTCGCTGCAGACGGCACCATCAAGTCGGAACGCATTTTCAAGGAGATCGATGAGAAGACAACGATGTACACGTATCGATCGCCTACGGGCCTGCTTTCGGCAACACAGTTCACGCAGCCTTCCCTTACTCTCATGGAGAAGGCTAGTTTCGAGGATATGAACGCCAAGGGTCTTGTGCCGCGAGATAGTACCTTTGCTGGCCATTCTCTTGGCGAGTACTCTGCCTTGGCAGCCTTGGCAGATGTATTGCCTATCGAATCTCTGGTTTCGGTCGTTTTCTACCGCGGACTAACCATGCAAGTTGCAGTCGAACGAGACGTCCAAGGCCGTTCAAACTATTCGATGTGTGCCGTTAACCCTAGCCGAATTTCTAATACCTTTGGTGAAGGGGCCCTCCGTTTCGTCGTCAGTAACATTGCCGAAGAGACCGGTTGGCTTCTGGAGATTGTCAACTACAACATCGCTAATTTACAGTATGTTTGCGCTGGCGATCTGCGCGCACTGGACACGCTCACCGGTGTGACGAATTTCTTGAAGATCCAGAAGGTGGATATCAACCAGTTCCGCCAGGACCTGAGCATCGACGAGGTGAAGGCCCACCTTGTAGAGATCATCAAGAACTGTGCCCAGAAAACGTTGGAGAAACCCAAACCGCTCGAACTACAGAGGGGGTTTGCCACGATCCCTCTCAAAGGCATCGACGTGCCATTCCACTCCACCTTCTTGCGGTCAGGTGTAAAGCCTTTCAGAAACATCCTCCTGAAGAAGATCCACAAGACCTCGATCGATCCGGCCAAACTGGTCGGAAAGTATATTCCTAACGTGACTGCTCGGCCCTTCGAGCTCACGAAGGAGTACTTCCAGAACGTGTACGATCTGACGGGCTCTCCCAAGATCGCACAGATCCTACAAGATTGGGACAGCTACCAAGACGATAGTAACGGTGTCAATGGCATCAGCACGCCCCCCGTTCAGGTCAACGGCAGCTCATGAGTGCGCTCAGTCAACCGCCCAAGTGTCTAGATGGCGGGAGGTGCGTGTATTTAGCTCGAGATTTCGTCCCGTACTTTCCTAGGACCCTAATGCGCTATGTTGTTAATAACGGCGGAAGAGCGGCGGGGGGGAGCAGCGGTTGTCTTGGGGCATCTTTTTTGTACTTAAGTCTCGATATAAACCAAAGGCATACTCGATGGATCTGGCCCCCCCGAGCAGATAATGGACTTTCAAAACAAGGGTTTCTCGATTTTTTTCATCACTCGGGACTTCTATGCCGAATAATGATCAACGTAGAGAAAGATGTCACGTCAGGCACGGGGAGATTTAGGTGAAGCTGTGCCAACATATCGGGCATTCTACAACAAGTCTAAACCGAGGTGTGAGGTGTGAGCCCCCTCACCCCGTGCTCCGTATGTGCGTGTGTGTATGTGTATGTGTATGTGCACGTGTAGCGAAAGGCCTGCAAAGGCTCTTCGTCGAACAGTACCTACATATATGTACCTAAGGTACGTGAATAATCCCTCGTATCGGACGAGCCTGTCTGTGTACGTGTTGTGCGCGTAGCGCATGTGTATAGGTATGTATGGCGCGTATTGTATCCGGTGCCTCACGTGGGGGGGGGGGAGGGGAGGGGGGGACGGACACGAGGAGCAGTGGTATGTATCCTTCCCAGCACACGCCCCGTCTCACCTCACGACGGCGACCGCGAGTGCACCAGCCGTCCGCGCACCCAGACCTTGCGGACGTTGCGGTCGTCGCCGCCGAACACCCACTTGGCCACGCGGTCCTCCCACGTCTCCCAGCCGAAGACGTCGACATTTCCCTCGTCCGCCGCCCCCGCCCCCGCTCGGCCCCCGTCCTCCTCGCCGCCGCCGTCGGGCACCGCCGCGAGGCCGATCAGCTGCGCGTCCCACTCCTTGCCCGCCTCGAACCCGCCGACCCGGTCGCTCAGCCCGACCACCTCGGCGCCGCCCCGCGTCGCCAGGTGCAGCACCTCTTCGACGCTAAGCTTAGCCCTCGCACGCTCGTTATCGTCGGGCGGCTGGCGGTGGCTGTCCGGCGCTCTCTCGACTCCGGCGGCGGCGGCCGGCATGGCGAGGTGGTTCGACACGAGGACGGTCTGCCGCGCGGCCTCGAGCACGCTGGGGCTGTAGCCGCCGCTCATGTCGGTGCCGAGGCCGACGGCGATGCCCTTGTCCAGCAGCCAGCGCACGGGGGCCTCGCCGCTCGTCAGGGCCGTGTTGCTGCAGGGGCAGTGGGCGACGCCGGCGCGGCGGCGCGCGACGAGGTCGGCCTCGGCGTCGGTGAGGTGGACGGCGTGGGCGAGGATAGTGCGGCCGCCCTCGAGCAGGCCGTGGGCGTCGTACACCTCCGCGTAGGACGCGTGCCCGGGGAACAGGCGCGCCACGAGCGCGACCTCGTCCGCGTTCTCCGAGACGTGCGTCTGGACGGGCAGGCCGGTCTCGCGGCGGAGCGCGCCGAGCTCCGCAAGCGCGGCCGCGCTGCAGGCGGGCGCGAACCGCGGCGTCAGCACGGGGCTGACGAGCGCGAACCCCGGGTCGATGGTGCGGATGTGGTCGATGCTGGCGCGCGCGGCGGCGGCCGCCGCCGCCGGCGACGCGTCGAGGTAGTACTCCGGCCCGAGGCGGTCCATGCACACGCGGCCGACGAAGGCGCGCTGTCCCGCGGCGAGGCACAGGTCCGCGAGCAGGTTCGTCGCGGCCACGTCTATGGTCGCGAAGTAGGCGGCCGTCGTGGTCCCGTGGGCCAGCGTGCGCCGGACGCAGCGCGCGTACACCCGCCGCGCGCGAGGCAGCTCCGCCATCGAGGCCTCCATCGGGAAGGTGTAGGTGTTCAGCCAGTCGAGCAGCGTCGACTTGCCGAATATGCCTACGTTCGGGTACTGCGGCGCATGGAGGTGCGTGTCTAGTTGCCGGTTAGCAGGGTTGGCAAAGGGGGGAGGTGGCGGCCGAGGTATTAGGAGGACGAGGTCGCGGAGTCGGTCGATCTCGATTGCGTACCTACGAAGCCGGGGAAGAAGAACTGGCCGTCCTTTGCGGCGGTGACGAGCACGTCGCCAGGCGTCCAGCCTAGCGAGGGATACAGCTTATCCTCGGCTTTCTCCTGATCGCACGGAAGCTCGACGGCAACGATCTTGCCACCCTTGTCGACGCAGACCGCAGCATCGTGCAGGTATTGCAGCTCGCCGAGCCTGATACTGTGTATGAACAGGCCCAGGAACAGCTGGTTCTTCTGACTCGGCGAAGCAGCCATGGTGGGCCTGGTAGTCCCGCTGCGCCCCCTCGGTCCTCTTCAGACAAGCCCGGATGCAGAAGAGACGAGGTCTCTCATAAGGCCTCGAGTGTAGGTCTCCCGACTTCACCGCCGACCCCTCAGGTGCGGATTTGGTGAGACGTCACCAACGCGAGGCGAAAGCAAGCTGCTCGAGTCCAATGGCTTGGTCTCGCACCCTCCTGCTTCGGGCCCAGCTGCCACAAGGTTCCCGCACCCGACGGCGGTGCGAAGGAGGTGTTTCCACGCAGAGTTGCCGGCTACCGGGAGAGATGTCTGGGTAGTCGATGGGGACCACCGGCTTTGGTGGCGAGAGCGAGGTTAGTGGGAGATTGCAGGAAGAGGGGAGCGGGAGGAAGCGATATAGAGAGGGTAGATAGACGCGAGTTGCTGGGAGGTTGTATAGAGATACGGATACGTAGGAGGTATGTACGCATCTATGGGATACCTCAGGTACCTCTAGTTATAGAATAAATACACAGGACATACAATGAGGTACGATGCTAGAACTACTTTAGGTAGGTACCTCCTAGCAACGGCGGTGGAGTCCTACACCGTTTTGCATGCAGGTACCCACTAACCTGCGCAGTCTGCAGGTGACAGATAAGACAAACGGACGCTTTCCAAGGTACCTCGGGAGTTGTTACTTGAAGGTATCTGCTACGTAGCTGACCCGTATGTACCTACCCCTCTACCTACCGTAGGCTAGGGGGCCCAGATGCCCGTATCGGCCCCTATTTCCTTGCTGGAGAGACGTGAGGATACTGATATTCGTGCCTAAGTAGGTACCTACCTACCTAGGTGGGGACCGCTGGGCCGTGGCCAAGTCCGTACGTGGCGCTCAGGCGGGGAGGCGCCAGGATCCCACCGGCAGCGCGGTGATAAGGCCGTCGGACGGCAACCGGCCAGCGCCGGCGCCCGACGCAGAGGCGTCCCCCTCCAAGCTGGACGATGTATACCTACATATACATGGACTTGCCTGTGCGGCGGGAGGTACAGAGGTAGCACGTGCGCTGGCGGGGTACCTAGGGTTTCCCCCTCGGGGCATTCCAATCGGTGGTCTCCCCAGCCAGGCTACAGACCAGGGCCCTCAACCTCTCTGCTACATGCCACACTGCCTACTTCTCCAGCTTATATAATAGGTAGGTATACAAGATACTAGGCAGATAGCGCACGGGATATCACCGCCGTAGACTCTCCAACCGTGTAGACAGGCCAGTATAACGTAGGTATGCGTTCGCCAGCGAGGAAACAGTCGCATACAGGATGCTTGCCACGTCACCCGCCTGCTGTTTGCATCTCATACCACCGTAGCGAGACCATACCCTCTAGGTATAATACGCACGCCCTCTCACATGCCCTCCCAGCTACACTGGTCGACCCTGAGCGATTTCGACGCGTTGCTCCGTGCCATGCTTGTGGTGCGAGCGGCTCAGAATCCGTTGATTGCTTCTCGACATTTGCCACAACCAACATCGTACGCTTGTCAGAGTCGGACACCCCAGTTTCGACTTCGTTAAACGTACCTAGGTCTACTAATACCTGCTACCTACCTACGCATGCGTGTGGCAGCAGGAAGCTTGGTTACTCAGGAAGGCTGGAGAGCCACGAGATGCTCAACCCATAGGTAAAGGCACGACCGACGAAACATCAAAAGCCCTCTTCCCCCGCCCCGAATCCCTTCTAAACTAACAGCTAGGGGGCAATTCGCTTGCTTGTACGCTTCTGGCAACTACTACAGTCTTATATTCGGTTCCAGTCCACATGAAAGATGTGAAGAATCACTCAGTCCCTTGCTGCCACCAGAGTTACCGTCCCACGCGCAAGATCAAAAGCCTTACCTGGCACGTGTATTCTGTTTTTTTCCCCCCATTATTCTACTACGAGATCATACGGAGTATGCAAATAGAAGGGTGGCGTAGGTAAGTGACCGGATGCATGCACTCTGGGGATCAAGACCGACATTTATGCCCCCCTCCGTCTGAGGGAAGTTGCCGCGTAACCGAGCACATTGCTAATAGATACCTATGATTCCCTAGTCCATCTCTGCACCATTGAGCCCGGCGGCACGAAGACGAACTACAGGATCTCGTCTCTGAGATACATGTGTTATTATAGAGTTGCCCTCTTCCCGCGCAACTAGCCAGACAAGGCTTTATTATACGCATGATGAGAACAACGGATCGATAATAGGCCGGTAGTGAAATCATAAGGCTGACCGACTGGCTGCCCGGGCAGTCATTTACAAGGCTACGACCCGACGGGAACCTGATGTGATAAACTCTGCGTTTTGCTGCATCGCCAGCCGGTACCATCTCATGACCGCTCGCCAAAAGCCGCACAACCTCCGCCAAGACCGGGCGCTCGCACGCAGGTAGGCAATTGCACGCAATTCCGCGCTCACGAGACGTCCGGTCTCTCTCTGCCTCGGATCAGCCTTGGCCGGATACGAGATAAGCGTTCCGCATCACGCGTAGGTCCTGGCGCAATTGCAGAGCGAGGCTGGGAGCAATCTCGTCTCTCTCTCGGGCTATGACCGCGTCTGCTGGATGGGCGCCGAGAACAAAGGCAGAGGAAGCGTGCGTAGAAAGGGCAGGTCTCGCCATCTTCCTACGTGGGACCTGTTTTACCCTTGGTCCCGCTGGCCCTCCCGCGCTGAGCCCAAGCCTTCGTTAAGAGGGCTTGGAAACAACCTCTCGTGACAGCTGTCTTCAACCGCATCCCGTGGGCACCATTACGCTGGCAAGCAATTCTGCTAACGCCTACGCCTCGTAGCGGTGTGTGGGCCTTGGGTGGCTTGCGAAGTCGACGCCGCGTTTCCTCCGATTGGCCCTGGCTCGGGACGCGGCAATCCAACCGAGGGGTTGGGAATGGGGTCTAGGCTTCGAAGAGGAGGGGGGGCACGCGAGTGATGGTGGATATCAGAGACTAAGTAACACTTCACCACATGCGGCAACCGACCACAATTAAAAAAAAAACCCCCGAAACCCGACCTCGTCTGCCGTCAGCAGCCCGGCAGCTATAAGTTGCCGGGGATCGTCGTCTCAATCCTACGTGTAAGCCGCTGCTGGTCCTACCTACTACCACTACTACCGCCTCTCTTATATATCGAAACCGATCATTCTTTTATATCGAAATCGAGCAATAGAGAAATACAAGACAGAAGATAAGAAAGGGGTTTTTCCTTTTATTCCTTTTTTTTTGGTTCTGCCGCGGCTGTAGTCGAGGAGAAGAAACGGCCGAGGTAGAAAACCCTGGTCTGGTCTATGCGCCTTTGTAAACCGCTTCTCCTTCTCCCGTCCCTCGCCGGCACCGGATCCTGCGCGCCAGGCGCATCCCGTCTCCTGCGGACGCACACCTCTCCTCCGCCTTCCCCTCCCGCCCGCCGCGCCGCCGCGCTCGCCGCCATGTCGACCCCGCGGCGCCTGCACATCGCGAGCATGGGCTCGTCGTTCGCGGCGGGGCCCAGCATCGCGCCGGTCGAGAACGAGGCGGCGGGGCGGTCGGCCGCGAACTACGCGCACCTGGTGGCGCAGCGCATCGGGGCCGCGTCGGCTGCCGCCGCCGCCGCCGCCGCCGCCGTCGACGTGCAGCTGACCGACATCGCCGTCTCGGGCGCGACGCTGCCCAACCTGATGACCGAGCCGCAGGACCGCGGCGGCGGCCACGTGTTCCCGCCGCAGATGGAGTCGCTGCCGCCCGACGCCGACGTCGTGCTCGTGCTCGGCGGCGGCAACGACATCGGGTACATCGGGGGGCTGTTCGCCGACACGCTGGACGCGTCGTGGGTCGGCGCGCTGGTGCGGCGCTTCTGGGGCACCGGCGGCGCGCCGCTCGCCGACCCGCCCGCTACCCCCGCCGCCCGCGCCGCCCAGGACGACTGGCTCGCGGCGCGCTACGCCGACGTGCTCGACCGCGTGCGCGCGCGCGCGCCCCGCGCCCGCGTCCTCGTCGTCGAGTACCTCACCATGCTCGGCCCCGACGTCCGCCCCGGCGCCGACGTCCCCTTCGCCGCCGACCGCGTCGCCCACCACCGCGACGTCGCCGCCCGCCTCCTCGCCGCCACCGCCCGCGCCGTCGAGGGCCGCCAGGACTGGTGCCACCTCGTCCCCGCCGCCGCCGCCAGCGAGCCCCACGCCATCGGCTCCCCCCGCCCCTGGGTCTCCGCCTTCACCTGGCAGCTCTACCGCGCCGGCGGCGCCTACCACCCCCGCGCGGAGGGCATGGCCGCCGTCGCCGACCTCGTCTACCGCAAGCTCGTAGAGCTCGGCATCGTCGAGGACGACGGCAACGGCGACAGCGAGCTGTGAGCGTGGGGATAGATAGATGGAGATGAGAAGGCGGGAGGGATGCGGTTTCTGTTTTCTTGGGTTGTTGACTTGGAGTTATGGCGTCCCGCGGGTAGTTTTTGGTTCCCACCACCCTCGTTGTTAGTGACGACGGTGTTCTCCTGTTTTGGTGTTCTGTTTTGCATAGAAGCACACGTTTTCTTGGCCTTTGGCGCAGCGAGGACTCGCGCTCGTGAGGGAGGGAGAGACGGCGGGGAACGGTGAGAGACGACGAAATCGAACCCCAATGCTAAGCTTAGTTCGCGACCATGTACGTATAGTAAATACGCATTTACGTACCCCGACGAATAAATGACCAAAGCGAGTATTATATAAGTGATACACATATCATACACACTTCGGCGATGAATCGGCGGTTTGAAAAAGCAGACCAGCGCCGCAACGCAGTCATCGCCGTGCCCTTGACCCTTTCCTCTATGCGCCGCCACTTACTCAGACAGGGGAGTAAGAAACATCCTGAATTCATAAACGACGCCACCGAAACCCCTGTTCACAATAATCCTATTGCAGTTCCCTCACTGTACACGTAGACGTTGTCGTGCGCGCGCATGGTTACTACTTGACCGAACAAATCCGGGATCGGCCTTAGTGTGTAGAGCCGCTGGCCCTGAGGAGATCGTAAAGAGACTGATCATCGGAGCCGGCGCTGTACCCTTGGTTTGGGTATCCGGACACATTGGACCTGTGGCCGCTGTACGACGTGGCGTGGTTCGAGTTTGCCGTACCGCTGTAACCGCTGTTCCGGCTATTACTATAGTTGCTCTGGGTTCCGTTGGCATTGTTATTGGAAGGGTTGAAACCATACCAGTTTTGTTGGGCTTGCTGATTGGTAGTTTGCTGCTGTGTTGAGTAGGACCCGTAGGACTGGGCCGGGTGCTGACTGTAGGCAGTGCCCTGATGCGAGGTTCGCGCGTCGGCAGGGCTGGCCACGTAGCTGTGGGAGGCGGAAGAGGTAGTCGGTGGCATAGAGTAATGATTCGTGGTTTGCGGTTGGGCGTGTGGTTGAGAGCCTCGAGTCTGCGAAGTCGACCATTGGCCGGTGCTAGGGTTGTTATTGGTAGTGCCATATCCGGACGGTTTCAGGGCTTGCGTGAGGGGGTTAGCCGTACTAGTGCTCCGCGAGTAGTCATATGCTGGCACCGACGAGTAGGAGGCCGACGTTGTGGTGGCTGCATTCGGATAGGAGCCAGGTTCATACGCGATCCGAGTTGTAGCATGATCTGTGCTCGCATTGGAGTACTGATCGTGAGCAGGGTTGTTGTAACGGGCGTAAGGATCGTAGCTTGGAATCGAAGAGGACGGGGTGCCGTCATAGGACGTAGCGGCGGCGGTTTGGGGCGTCTGCGACGAGGGTCGCGGAGCAGATGCGACAGGGGTGCTCGTCTGCGATCTACGACCTTGTTGAGACATTGTCTGGGCCGTAGCTTGGTATGCTGATCCCATTACCGGTGACGGCTGGCCTTGAGGTTGAGTGGCAGCTTGCGACAGCGCGGCAGCTTGTGCGATACCATCGTGTGTTTTCAGGCTCGACTCTGTAGCAGACTTACGCGACTTTGACCACCTTGATGCGGGCGTCTGAGATAGGGTTGGCGACGCGGTGGCGGCGTGTCTTGCCGTAGGCGAACCGTTCCAATTGGGCGTGTTGGCTGGCGCGACTGATGACGCGGGCGTGTGCTTATTCTGACCGGTCGGGAGACTGCGGCGGCTAGAAGTTGAGTTGCTTTTCGTTTTCTGTGTGGTTGTTGCCGAGCTCGGTTGTGCGACGGCCAGCCCAGGGGAATGCTCTGGTGCAGTTGACGTCGAGGAGAACGTGGCGGCGGGAGAGGCTTCGGGTTGGGTTACGTAGGCTTGAGGTTGCGAGAACGTCAGCGCGGATGTTGCCATATGCTCGGACGATGGCTGCGGGTTCTGTGGGTATGTGAACACGGTGTTATTCGGGTGATAGTAGTCGGTCGCTGGAGATTGCGTCGCCGAAGGCTGGCTCTCGACGGACCCTGTCAGAATGTTGGGATCGGGGAGGAAATCTTCATGGCTATCAGGACTCGTGTGCGCCGGAGCAGCAGCATCGTCTGTCGGTTGTGGTGCTGGAGCTGAGACAGGGACTGTGCCTTGATTCTGGGCTTGGTAATCCCCCTCTCCAGCCGCTTCAGGCACGTCCGAGTCTTGATCGACCACCACTTCATCTGCTTTTTTCGACTTCCTCCGCGGCTTTGGGGGCAAGTATACGCATTGCACAGCGGCATCTATGCAGACCTTACAACTAGGGTGTTCCTTCGTACACTGTATGATAATATTAGCATGAGCATCGTGGCCGATAACCAGCGCACACGTATGCTTACCTGGACTTTCCTCTCCTTGCAAGTCTTGCAATTACCCCGCGTTTTCCTACTCTTCGGTGCCAGAGTGGAGGACGCTGTTCCAATCTCGCTATCCCGTTGCAAAGAAGCTGCCGCGCCATCACCGCCTAAGATTTGGCTCGGTGTCGCCTCGGATTTCTTCCTGGAACGCTTCTTCTTGGGTGTCTCGGTTGGTCCAGAGTTGGCCGTATGGCCTAGCCCATGGGCAGGATCACCGTCGGTAGGTTGTCCATCAGCAGACGGGGAATCCGAAGACCGCGTGTTACCTGGATGGACGATCCGTAGCCGTTCCGCGCCGTACTTAGCCAACATGTCAAGAGAAACGGTCTGCAGACTCGGGGCCTGATTCGCAAATATATTAAATTGCTCCACCGACAGTGTGGCCGGGTCAATACCCCTTCCGGTGAGTAGTCCGATCGCCGTCTGTCTGCGTCGTTCGGCTTCGGCCGGGGGTACGTTGAGCACCGACACATTCGGAGCGCCACTCGAATCCACATTCTCAGATGCGACCTCGTTTTGGACCGCCTGATCAACCGCGGCCGGCGCATCCCCCAGAGGTGCACCCCCAATGGACGCGTCTCCCGTAGGCGCTTCTCCTGTAGGCGCGCCTGCTCCTGCCTTGTCCTTCTTCCTCGAACGCTTCTTCTTGCTTCCTTCTTCACCCTCGGTCGGCGGTGGTCTCTTGGCCCTTGGCGTTCTCTGGCTAACACCATTGCTCGTGCTCACCGGCTCTGGAGGCGGAGACGGCACGAGGAGCTCAATCAGTTGGGCAACGGTCCTGTGCAGGGATGTGTGATTATATTTCACAACGATGCCTCGAGCCGCTTTCGAGAAGGCGATGGAGAGGGTTCCTCGGCAATCAAACGCGGGACGAGCTACAGAGTGGTCAGAGTCTTCTGTTGTAGCAGTATGGCAGAGTGCGATCGGGCTTACAGGTATTGGCCGGATCATCCAAACCGCCCGGGCCGCTGTAGCTACCGATGGCTGATTTATCCTTGCTTGGGTTTGCGCGATTCCAGGCCTGGAGGGAGTCCTTGCAGATGTACTTAAATGTCCACCCCTGCGAGTCGTTGGAAACCTGTCCAGCCACCCAAGAGCTGTTATCAACTGCGCCGATCGCGTCGACTATATGCTTGGCGACAGCTTGCTGGACCACAGGGTCACGGTTAGGCTGGTCGTGTACGGCGTCGAAGGAATTCACTTCTTGCGCAACGGGTTGATGTGGCTGCAGCGCGGGATCGACGACGCCATCAGCAGGGGGATTTGGGGCATCGTTAGCGAGATGGAATATAGTGTTATACGGAAACTCGAAGGCGGAGGAGGCATGTTCGGCGCGCGTCTCGGACGACTTGGATGCGAGAAGGCCGTGCAGTCTATCCTGGAGATCCTGGACTGAGTTGCATGCTAGGTTGCCCCTGTGCGAGTCCAGGAGGTCCATGAACCCATCCATCTCTGCGACCACTCGAGCGCGCTGTCGGCAGCTCTTCGTGTTGTCGACGTTATGCAGGGCGGCAGTCCCGGTCGCGTAATGCGGAGGGGTGCTGGTCCGGAGAGGAGGAGATGGAGGTGGATGGACGGAGATAGGAAACGCGTTGTAGAAAGATCAAGGAATAGTTCAGTCGGAAGCGCGGCTACTGGACTCAATGGAAAGAAAAACCCAAGCCTGGGGCTGCCTTTGCCCAGTTGGGAGGGGGGGAGAAACTGGTGTGGCTGGGGCCGGCTGCACGCGGTTGCGGGTCTCGCCTGTAGGTACCCTACCTAAGGTTGGGTACCTACCGGTACCTCCCTACCTCTCGGTACCTAGGGTGCCCTATCTACCTCCCAGGTACCTACACCGGGGTCACTTGCAACCGGGTACGTAGCAGGCAAGGGAAGCATTAGGTAGGTTAGGTACCTAGGTACCTACCTATCATCATTTCAATGCGATTTTCGAATCCTGCCAGGCTACTGTGCACCACCGAAAAGCGTGAAAATGTGAATACCGGCCCTGTGAATGACAGTTGATAGATTGCGATGCAACGTAGGTAAGTCTGTGTATGTAGTAGATACCTAGGTACCTACCTCCTCACGCATTCCCCGCGAATCGGACCTCGAGATCCCTTGCTGCCAGGCACTATACCTTAGGTACCTTAGGTACATTACGTGCATACCGTAAGCAAGCAGGCAACTCTTACTGGCTGTCTTTGATAGGCACCTAATGTCAATTACCAAGTGCCTAGGGTACCTTGGGTAGGGGCTACGACGTAGGTAGGTACAATACCGTAGAAGGCAACACCAGCACCGTGTAAAGTCTCCGTAACGCACTGGAGATATTCGTGGAAGCATCTCACAACTTAGGTCCTCGTTCCCCTCCCCCAGTCTCTCACACATTCTCTTCTATCCACTCGTCGAGCCTCTCGAGAAGCGCCTTTTTCAACCCCTTGGCATCGATCCCGCGTTCTTCAAGAATCGGTCTCAGTTCGGCTACCGTCAGCTTCGACAGGCTACCCGCGTTACTTCTCCTCTTTAGCTCGGCATTGCTCAATTTGGCACTGGATGACGGCCCCGTTGTTGGCACCACAATCCTCGACCTCTTTATCGGCGGTCTCGACTCCTCGTTTCCGCTGCTATCTTGCATTTCTCGTTTGATGACCTTCGTATCTCTGACCAAGCCCAAGACCTCGTCTGCCGCTTTTGACCACTCCTGGAGATACCCCCCGCATCGGTTATGGATGGCCTTGTATTTGGGCGTGGTCGCGTCGTGGGGTCGCGTAGGTACCTCTTCATCTAACGCTAGCGCTTGGAGAATCTTGTAATGCCACTGAAGCGCCGGGTTGGGATATTTGAATGGGTTGTACGTAGCGCCCGGCAGCTGCAGCTGTCCGACGATCTTGTTCATACGGTCCGTGAGTTCACCCGTCGTCCGGATCACGTTGCCCTTCTCCGGACCCTCGCGCACGTCGTCGGCGTACGGGATCGGGTAGAGCCACAAGCCGGCAGGTACGAAATCCGCACCGGACTTGTGGTCCGACTGGGCCTCGGAGGGGATGATGGCGACTAGGATGGGGTTGCCATTCGCCCGAGCGACGTGCCATGCGATGCCGATCTTCTTAGATCTCAGCAACTTCTGCCACAATGCCGCATACACGCGTGTGGATCCGACGTAGCCCTCTTCGCTCGGGAAGATGAAGGTGGATTTCTTGATAGACGCCCAAAACGCTAGGTGCGACCTATCCTTGAAACCGATGACCCTGATGACCGGTCCCCCAAACTGCTTGATCGACTTCCGCCCCTCTTCGCTGAAATATACGTATTCGCCGCCGAACTTGTAGGCTTTCTTCACCTCGCCCACCTGGACCGCTCGGGCACTGTCTTCGGCGACGTGAGCAGTCTCGCCCACGGCAATTTGTGCCCTCTCGTCATCCAACCAAATGTAACAACTGCGCGCAGGAGTTTGCTTCTGGATGACGTTGTACCCCTTGACCGAAATCTGGAATCCGGGACCCAGCTCGAACGACATGTTGCTAAAATATGCTCGCTTTGGCGTCTGCCTTGAGTTGATGTTGGAAATCAGCGAGTTGAGCAGCGTTAAGCCGTCGCCGGACTTAGATGTGGAGACCCTCCCCAGCTGTGCCTCCTCAACCGCCGGGTCTCGGTAGATGATATCCTATACACAAAGTCATTACTCGGTCTAGATAGACAGTCGGGTGCGGTCGGAATTTACGTCGTAGAATTTGCTGAAGTCAAAGGTTTTATCGCCGCGAGCAATCGCAAAGAGCTCGATGGTGACGCCCAGATCGTACAGGTCTTTCGCACGACACGCTGCGTTTTCTTTGAGCTGCTTATTATCGCTATGGGGGTCATCATTGTCGGTAATAATGAACAATCTTCGGGACCCGAAGTTCGGCGCCTTGGTAGTGAGCAAGATGTTTGCGAGGAAGAGCAAGTTAGACATCTGGACCTCCTCGCTAGATGGCACGAGCAATTCATCGGCGCCCTCGCCCTCTTCGACGAGGAGCTTCAAGTCCTTCACATCCTCGGCCGCAGGAATGTCGAGGTCGGTATAGACGTAGCAATGCGGATAGGGCGACTTCTGGTCGTCACGATACTTGGTCTTCTCGGTGCCGAAGAGGATGATTCCCATCATGTCCTTCGGGCTGGATATAATCCGCTGTTGCATCACTTGGTAGGCACACTTGAGAGCGGCATAGGCAGGGGGGTCCTTATCGGCCTTCCTATCATCCGACTCAGGAGGCAGCTGGAGCATGGACTTGCTGACATCAATAGCAAATATGACAGCATCCTTCTGGGCTTTGAAGTCCTGAGCGAGAGTCAGCTCGGGGAGAGGTCGCTAGAGAAGCGGATCAAAGTACCTGTTCGCCGATCTCATCCTCCTCCTCCTCTGCTTCCCTGCTGTCGTAGTAATCTCCCATCGCGGATTCTGGGCCTCCGTTCAGATCGCCTTGGAAGAAAAACAGGGCGACAAGCGGTGGTTTGAGAAAGCTGAGGGTGTGCCCATCAGACGGTTTGGCTTTTATCAGAAGGTGCCGGGTGTTTGTTGCGCTCTCGCATTTAGTAGTGGTTTGCGTTCGGCGCACCGTCACTGCTGCTAGGCAGCCCTACCGAACTACCTCTTTACTACGGTAGGCGTTTAGGCAGATATCGCGGTCGAGCGCGCAGCGCAAGGTCCAGCGGGTCCACTCGACTCCGACCAGCCTCACGGTCTCAGATGACTCTGGTAAGAGGTACCTAGGTACCTAAGGTACCCCACAACCAGGAGGTAGGTACGGTAGGTACCCACGAGAAGATACCTGTGGGTACTTCCATGCAGTACATTAGGTGCTGTAGGCATCGCACCTAGAGGAGATGTACCTTGCCCGCGACCTGTTGGAATCCATGTCTGCCTGTCTAATGGTACCTAGGTACCTACTTGATGCAGCTTCTGATCGACCTGCTAGTCAATTGAGTGCCCTTCATTGGTTCTCTCATATTTGTTGGGGTTAGGGAGCGCAGCTTCCAGAGATAGCGCGGATGTAGTAATCGGACCCGACACTCCGATAACTGAGTCGGATGGGAGAGAGCCTTGGCACGTGTAGCTATACCTGCCTACCTGCATTATATCGCCTCTAAATCGCAATGGACGGGCGCCGTTAGCAACCCCGTCCAGAAAACATCTCTCGGATTTTCTTCTTCATCTTCTTACCTCACCCACGCTTACTCTTTTTTAACATATTAGCACCCTACGATCAGGGGGGGGGCAATGGCGGCGCGGCACTCCGTCGTCCAACTCTCGCGCAGAGCAGCTGGGACTGCTGCCGCTAATCCTATATACCTCGGGGCCCGGCTATCGAAGAACAACGCAACGCAGAAAAGGCCTCTGGCCACTCTGGTGCCGCCAGTTACGCAGGATGCGACTGGATCGAAAGGCCCGACCGCCATGGTCTTCTTGAACATGGGCGGCCCCTCGACGGTGGATGAGGTTGGCGACTTTCTCAGCCGTCTCTTTGTAAGTGCTATGCGCTTTTCACCCATGCATGCTCTCCCCTAGTTCTGACGGACAAGTAGGCAGACAGCGATCTGATACCACTAGGTCGCCTGCAAAATTACCTCGGGCCCCTTATCTCGCACCGAAGAACGCCGAAGATCCAGAAACAATACGCCGAGATTGGGGGCGGCTCCCCCATTCGAAAATGGTCCGAGTATCAGAATAGAGAGATGTGCAAGATTCTGGACCGTATATCGCCCGAGACGGCGCCCCATAAGCCTTACGTCGCGTTCCGCTACGCCAATCCCCTGACGGAAGATACGTACAAGGAGATGCTCGCCGACGGCTTCGGCAACGGCAGAGGGGGAAGGGCAGTAGCATTCACGCAATACCCGCAATACTCCTGCTCCACGACGGGCAGCAGTCTAAACGAGCTGTGGAAGTGGCGGCAGCGATTAGAAGGAAAAGCCGGGCCTGGCGCCATCCAATGGAGCGTCATCGACAGGTGGCCGGTTCATCCGGGCCTAGTTAACGCATTTGCTAGCAACATCGAGAAGACCCTCGCCGAGTACCCGCAGGACCGACGCGGCCAGGTTGTCCTACTCTTCTCCGCTCACAGCCTGCCCATGTCGGTTGTAAACCGAGGTAAGAACCAGCTATCAAAATCCCAGGCGAGCTGTCAGACTCGGGAGCTAATACTATGGCAAGGGGACCCCTATCCGGCCGAAGTTGCCGCGACAGTATACGCTGTCATGCAACGGCTGAAATTCTGCAACCCGTATAGACTATGCTGGCAATCGCAGGTCGGGCCGCAGCCGTGGCTCGGGCCCCAAACCCAGATGTCTGTGGAGGAATACATCGCGAAGGGACAGAAAGACCTCATACTCATCCCCGTAGCATTTACCTCGGACCACATCGAGACGCTTTTCGAGCTTGACAAGGAGGTGATTGGGGAGTCGGGCCACGGAGACACAATCAAGCGGGTGGAGAGCCTCAACGGCAGCCCGATCTTTATAGATGGCCTTGCGGATATTGCCAAAGCCCACCTGGACAGCGGCATCGCATGCTCGTACCAGATGGGCCTGAGATGCCCCGGCTGCAAGAGCCAGCGGTGCGTCGAGTCGAAGAAATTCTTTATCGGACAGGAGAACGCGCTTGTGATGTAGGATGGGGGGGATTTTTTATTAGGCTTTCCTCTCCACTAGACTTAGGTTCTACAGCACGGGCCTGAGAGGTCGTCTACACGCACAGTGTATATATGGTTACGAGATTAAAAAAATGGACACGCGATTAGGGGGGGTAGGGGACTGGGAAGGAGTGTCGTACGGGAATTACATGTTTTGGTATTTAATATCTCTACCAACTTCACTCCTGTGATTGACGGGCTCGACCGTAAGCTTGCCGATCACATTTCGATGATCAACCTTGTCTACAATCTGTCCCTCATCCACACTCGATCGGCTCATACGACCGACTGGGATGGGCCTGGTGACAACCCAGGCGGGGCTTGCAGGTAGGTCTCGGAAGGCAGCTAGAAAGCAAGGAGAAAGCTTCCGGGCGCATGATGTTATACCGATCTAGAGACTAGGAAGTAATTTGCGTAGAGGGCCCATGACCTAGGATGGTTCTGCGGTCCCGAAGCCTTGGGCCGTGAATCGAGGCGCACAGCATGTACAAGATGCCAAGGGGCGGGCGTGTATATAAATGGCACGAGGGTAGATATCGAGGTGGCAGGCAAATGGCGTTGGGTGGAATGGAAGCCAGGTGAAGGTATCGAGGTTCGGAAGGCCGTCAACGCCGGCTACAGAATGTAGGTAGAACTTCTCCCGTCCTTCCCCGGTCCCATCCCACGCTGCCGGCCCAACCGTTCCTAAGTACCGGTGCCTATCCCCCACCTTCCACAGCAGGCCTGGATAGGGGGATGCGTCATGGGCGATGCGCTGGCGACGGCTGCGACAGTCCCAGCCTGTCTCTCATCGCAGCACAATTCCACCGTGTGGGAGTACTTGCTCGCAGGTCTGTCTCAGGGCGGTCCATCCGAGATGTCCGTATTCCTTGATCCTTGCCAAATGCCGAGGGGCTTTCCGTTCCTTTCCTTCCTCCCATTTTATTTTTTTCTTCTTTTTCAAAGGCTAATAGGAGGTTTCCGTCGCTTCATCCTCGCCCCGCCGTCCTTATCTTCTCGCATCGTGGCAAAGATCCGATACGCGCTGGAAGAAGTGGCGTGCGTGTGTGCGGACGGGGAATATCTACCTACCTAGGTAGTTATCCTACTTGCATCCTAGGTGCGTACCTAATACGAGCTTGCGTGCCGAGGGAAGACTTGAGACGCGCGACGGAAAATGGTAAGATTACCAATGACGGGCATCTAGGTACCTAGGCGAGGCCAGGCACGATGCCGACGCGGCCTGATTAGATCGCACCCCAGTCATCTTTACGTACACGCCCAACCTGGCCGGGTTCTACAGGTGCGTGGGTGGCAGAGGTAGGGGGTGCGCGCTCGTGTGAGTGTGTTGTGTGAGAGTATGGTGTGTTGTGTGAGCCTGGGGATGTTCCGGGTCGGATACAACTAAAGCTAGATGATCTCCAGTGACACATTGATTCCATCTAGAGAGCTGAGCAGGCGTTGACGTCTCCCTTCCAGGTCCCATACGTGATAATGCAGAAGATGACACAATGTATTGGACCCGTAGCTGTCGTGCTTCGGCGTCTACCTACCTCGGGCACATCTTAGGTGTCGAATCTACCTAGCATATCCTCCACTACCTACCTACATCCTATAGTAGACGCAGTAGACCACCGTACCCGGCACATCTGATTCCGGAATCGTGGATGGGAATACCTGTATGCACGCAGTTACCCGATGGAGCAAGTGGATGGACGGGCAGGATAAGATGGCATGGCATAGCATCTAGCATGGGTGCGACGCGACCGGATTCGACGATCAACCCCAGTACATCCATACTTCTCCCCTCACTTTTTCGTTCCCAATCACCCCCAGTCGGGCCAGCCAACAATTTGCCTGCTACGTTGCTAATTGCTTCATAGTCGCAGCATCTGGTTAGCACTGTCGGCAGCTCGCCCAATGTCGGGTCCGCCTGGGCAAAGTGAAGCACAATCCAACGCACCACAACTGCTACCGCCACTGCTACGGCATTATCACTTGCAACGCCTCGCCGGACGCTATCGGCCATTAAACACCCCCCGCCCTGCGCCAATGGCTCGTGTCTCAAGACTGCTATAAACATTGAGCTTCGGGTATGTAGCGAGCCCTCTTCTTTCCGCCCTACATTCGGTGTTTTTCCTCATCTTCGTCTTCGGCATCCCTTCTCTCCAAGTCACACCTAGGTATATTTTAACCCGCTGTAGGATTTTCTCGTCGGCCCGGGCGACGGAACCCACGCCGGAGCATCCGGTTGCCAATATCCACAACTTGTAAGCTACCGTGATATGCCTATATACCGCCACAAGCGCCGTCGCTCGAGAACTGACCAAAAAAAAAGGACTCGACTAAGCGCATCGGCGTGTTCCACCTGGGATTTATGCTCTGGCCCTCGCTTTCCTCTTGGAGAACGCGGGTGGCGGCATTAGCCGAAGCGTTGTAAGCAATTCTTAGATAAAACGCCGGGTGACTTCGCCGATTCGGCGCCGCGTCAGAATGGCGAGCAACACGCAGCCGTCCACCAAGAATGGTAGCCAGGTCACCGTCGTCGACGCCGGCAGCGACCGATGGGACGGCGCGACAGAGACCAGCCCGCTAGTCAGCGACAGGATCGCGAGACGTGCCGCCGCAGGTGACGGTGGGAGCGGCGAGATAAGACAAGATACCTGGTTAGGCTATGTGTATTTCGCCGACCTCTCCTGGTGGCGGAAGCCCTCCGTACGTTCTATGCCACCAAGTACCCAAATCAGCAACCTAATAGCTGACTCCTTACCACCACCAAGGTCTATTGGCTTCTCCCTCCGTATTGCCTATTCACGCTCGCGTTCGGCGGCATCATCGTGCCGAAGCTGAATTTGTAAGTGCTCATCCCAAGCCCGGCGCCTTCGCACGCGGAAGCTCGTCGCTTATTCGCTGACGCGGCCGTCCCTAGAATCCTCGACCTAGTATGTCGCAATTACTTCGCAGAGTGCCAGCTGCTCGATCCGAATTTCACTTTTGACCCGGTCATCATGGGCGCCGAGAACCGCCAATGCAACATCCCCCCTGTCCACAAGATCGTCGCCGCCTTCACCCTCATCATGAGCGCCCTCACCGGCGCCCTGAGCGCGCTCACGGCCCCGAGGCTAGGCGCGCTGTCCGATCGCTACGGCCGGAAGCGCCTGATGGTGATCTCGTCGTGCGGCGGCCTCGTCAGCGAGGTCATCACCATCCTGGCCGCCAAGTTCCCTGACACCGTCGACTACCGCTGGCTGATCCTCGGGTGCTTCTTCGACGGCGTCACGGGCTCGTTCACCGCCGGCACCGTCCTGGCCAACTCGTACACGAGCGACTGCACGCCTCCCTCGAAGCGCGGCGTGCACATCGCCTACCTCCACTCGTGCCTGTTCATCGGGCTCGCGTTCGGCCCCCTGCTGGCCGGCTACTTCGTCGAGTGGACCGGGACCCTGGTAACGCTGTTCTACGTCGTCCTCGGCTGCCACACCGTCGTCATCCTGTGGTTCCGGTTCGTGCTGCCCGAGTCGATGCCCGCGGGGCGCCAGGCGGCCGCGCGCGCGAAGCACCGCGCCCAGCGCGAGGCCGCCGGCTCGCTGCTCCTCGACGACGACCCGGCCGCGCGCTGGCTGCCGGCGCTGCTGCGCGCGAACCCGCTCGCGCCGCTCCGGATCCTCGTCCCGAGGGGGCGCGCGAACGGCGCGCTGCGGCGGAACCTGGTCGTGCTCGCGCTCATCGACACGCTGTTCCTGTCGGCCGCGATCGGCGCCGGCACCGTCGTCGTGCTGTACTCCGAGTACACGTTCGGCTGGGACACGGCCCAGGCGTCGCGCTTCGTTTCCGTCGTCAGCATGCTGCGAGTCGTCATCCTGCTCGTCCTGCTGCCCGCCGTCAACTACGTCGTGCGCGTGCGGCCGCAGCGCCGGCGCGAGCGGCTCGGCGGCTCCGCCGCCCCCGTCATCGTCGAGAAGAACGCCGGCTCCGACGCCCTCGACGTCTGGATGCTGCGCCTCGCGCTCGCCATGGACGCCGCCGGCACCGCCGGCTATGTCTTCGTGCGCCGCGAGGGCCTGTTCGTCGCCTGCGGCCTCGCCACCGCCTTCGGCGGCCTCGCCAGCGCCACCACCCAGAGCGCCCTCACCAAGCACGTCCCCGCCGAGCGCGTCGGCGCCCTGCTCGGCGCCATCGGCCTGCTGCACTCGCTCGGCCGCGTCGTCGCCCCGGCCCTCTTCAACGGCATCTACGCCGCCACCATCGAGTCCTTCCCGCAAGCCTTCTTCGTCGTCCTGGCCTCCCTCTTCGGCCTCGCCGTCCTCGGCAGCTTCTTCGTCAGGCCCCACGGTACGTGTCCCCCCCCGCCTTTTATAATAAATATGCGTCTTGCCGGATGATGGTGGCAGACAGGGCTAACTGGTTCCCCGTTTCTAGTCCACATCGGTGATGACGACGACGCCGGCGCCGGCTACGACCGGGTCCCCGCGCTGAGCACCCCCGACGACGACGAGACGGCGAGGGCCCGCGATATTTTAGCCGACGAGGAGATCCCCGGCGAGACGCTGCCGCGGCTCTGAGGCGGTGCCCCGTGGCAAAGACTGACGTCTGCGCGTAGGAAATACCTGCGACGCGGCCACGGTACCGTCGGCATACTGACGTCAGCGTCATTGCCTTGAAGGAGTTCGCTAATCGTTTTAGGACCTCGAGACATCGTATAAGCTTTGCATTTCAAGGGTGCGTCTATACCATCCTCTATCCGGCGGGAAGGAAATACGTATACGTGGATGCGCACCTGGGTGTATTTTACGGTTATTGTTCTGCACATAAGGAGATACGGTGTCTGAGCACTCGCGTCGACGCCAAGGGGGGAGAGCAAGTCAACCGGCGACATGGATTTTTTTGGTTACGACATAGATTACCTGCCTTTGTATTGGGGGAGCGGCACAAGCTACATGGCGGATATGTTCGATTAGGAGAGGGTTCGTATTTATGATTATAGAGAGGTGCTGGTGTTGGGTATAGAAATGGACGCGCGAGTGCCGGCACCTCTCTGCCTGTGACGATATATGAGACGTACCTACTGGTCGCACTGGACTTGGGAATAAGACAGGCAGACCTGAGGAGACATGAGCGGAGCGGTCGATTGGATATACGCTAGGGATACGGAGTGTTGTCTGGTCTGACGAGACACTCGTTCACGTGCGGAATTTATCTTCGCTTTCCTGTCTTCTTCTGTTCTCGTCGTCCATCACCTCATCATTGCATACACGTTTAAATCGGTCGATAATAATATGTAAACGTCCAAGATCACATTCCGTGGCAAGACCGAGGTGAGAACAAAACCCCCAGAAGCGGACATCCCTCCTCCCGGTTTTCCCCCATGCCGTCCATATCTGCCTCACTACCCCTAGACGTGACAAACTATCCGGGTACATTCCGTCCTTCGTCCTTCGTCCCACGCCCCCGTCCCTGCCTCTCTCACGTACGCCTGGCCTATCAGTAGACCTCCTTGACCCTCCAGCTGACGGCGAGGACGCGCACGCCGAGGAAGCAGCTCATGGCGATGGCGTACGAGAGGGCGGCGAAGAGGATGAGGGCGAGCCAGCCCTGGTCGCTGGCGGCCCCGCCGCCGATGCCGAGCAGGGCGCCGGCGATGGGCAGGCTGGTGAGGGTGCCGAAGCTGCCGACCATGAGCGTGGTGGAGTAGAAGCGGCCGTAGTCGCGCGAGTCGCACAGCTGGCCGACGCAGACGGGGTACAGGCCGAGGTTGCTGCCGCTGGCGAAGCCGAACGCGACGGCGAACGCGATCAGCATCGCGCGCGAGTCGCCCGCCGGCAGCCACAGGCACAGGATCGCCGCCACGCACAGGCCGTTCGTCAGCGTGATCACGTTGAACCGGCCGAGCCGGTCGGCGAGGAAGCCCGGCAGGAACCGCCCGAAGAAGGACCCGGCGTTGAGCAGCGCGAGCAGCGTGTACGCGTCCGTGGCCGCGCTGGCGCCCTCGCCGCCCTGCCCGTGGGCCACCGCGTACGATACGATGTACGTCAGCGGGGTGAAGATGCCCCACTCCATGAACCACACGCCGACGCAGCACAGCAAGAACTTGAGGTCGCGGAACAGCGACCAGTCGGGCAGCACCGTCACCGGCCGCGGGCTCGGCGGGAGCCGCGCGCGGACGAGCAGCGTGGCGATGGCCGAAAGCAGGAGCAGGACGAAGCCGACGGCCCGTGTGCTCCAGCCGAAGCCGAGGCGCGGCAGCGCCCACTGCAGGTAGACGGGCAGCACGATGCCGCCGATCGAGCCGGCAGTGGAGGCGATCCCCGTGGCGAGGCCCCGGCGGACGCGGAAGAAGTGCGCGATCACGCCGTAGGCTGGCACGTTGAGCAAGGCGCCGCCGAGGCCGCCAAGGATGGAGTAGGTAAGGAGGATTTGGTAGTACTCTGCGTTGCGTTGAGGTTTCGTCCACTGTTAGTAATTCACCCCAAGATACCATACAAAGGGACATTGGCTTTACAGATAGGTGAAGCTCTAACAAGGGGCGGTGCGACAGGGGAGGGGAAAGAAAGAAAAGAGCCCGAGAGGACAGGCAGGACACAACTCACCTTTGCACAATCCGAGCAGCAGCTGGCTCGCGACTACAAGCACGCCGCCAACCGTGACGAGGACGCGGGGCCCGTGGCGGTCGAAGATGGGGCCGACCTGGACGCCGGCGAAGAAGACGACGAACAGGTAGACGCTGAAAATCCAGCCGATGGCGGAGGGGTTGTAGCCGGCGAGCTGGTGCGTCGAGAAGTAGGATTCGAAGACGGCCGCGCTGTTGATCAGCCCGTACACCGACAGCATCGCGCAGAAGGAGCCCAGCACGACGAGCCAGGCTCGCAGGCCGCCCTCGGGGAAGTCGTCGTCGTCGTCGTCGTCGTCGTACTCATTGTCACCACCGCCGCCGCCGCCAGCGTTGGCATCGGCATCGGCATCGGCACGGGCGTGAACGCTGTCGCCGGCTACGACACTCTCCCTGGACGAGGTCGGCGCGGCTTCGGCTGCTGCCGTAGATTTGTCGGCGACGTGGTCGCCATGCTTCTCGTCTTCCTCCGCGGAGGGACACGAGACGGGCGCGCCCGGCTCGGGATGAGGCGGGTTGGCGCCGGCGGGATGGGGATTGGGAAGTTGACTCTTCTCGTCGTGTACCGACGGAGACGACGCTACGCCGACCGCCGGGACAGTTTGATTTATGAGGCAGCTGTCATCTGCATTGTGGAGCGCGAGGGTCATTAACGGCAAATGTGCCCTCTATTTAGAACTGCATATGAGTATCGTATCGGGACGACGGGATGAGAGAGATGAACGCCCTCCTCCTCTTCTCTTCTTCTCCCTTCTCGATTCTTCTCCTCTGCCACTCTCTCGGCCGTGCTATTGTACTACTACACACTGGGCAAGTAATACGTTGCGATGCTCGCTGCCATACGAGGAGAGAGATGGAGAAAGAAAAAAAAGTTGAGAGTTTTACGGGAGGGACTGAGAGGAGCCTAGTCGGCAATTTTAAATACCTATGAAATAATACCTGCCTACTTTTTCTCGTCTCGGGCTGTTTCCCTGCCGCTGGCTTTCACGACAAGCCCGGCTAACCGGGTTACCATATCATTACCTAACGGATTTCCCGGTTAGGCGTTAGAGGCAACGTCGGAGGATGCCGGCAACCTCCTGGAGGGTTCGCAGCTCACCGACAGAGCGGTACGGACCAGGTCAAGTCCGTAGGCGGTAGGTGGGCGGCGGGACGCCTGCGTATGGCGTGCGAGGCGCGTGGGGCGGGTATTTTTTACCTGGTAGCCGGCCCCTAACCACAGCACGGTGACGAGCCGTCATGCATCGCATCGGCCTGTACTCATATATATATATACCTTGGGCATTCAGCTAGGTAACCCACCTACCTAGGTAGTCAGTTGCGGCAAGGCGATCGAGCAACCAGCGATCAAGCGACGAGGCAAGCGACGAAGCAAGCGAGGAAGCAAGCAGCTGAGTCCCGTCTGGGAAGCAACAGGAATCCATCTACCGAACACCCCCGACACCCTTCGTCGGTGCCAAGACAGGCTACCTAGTATACTAGGCATGCTGGGATGCGCGTATAGACCCGGCAGCGAACCCTACATAGAGAAACCGATGATCCCCGGAATTACCTGGCAGGGGAATATGCACACCGCCGGTTATGCGCCTGATGAATATATATCCTCCGGGGCAGAGCGAAGTAGCGGTTCCTTTAGAGCTATCTACCCCACCGGGGGCACCGGGGTTGATCCGTAGATTCATGTTGTCGCATTTTCCTATAGTACGAGGCAGCAAATAGCATTTGTTATGTTGACCTAATAGCAACAAGTCAACAAACAATCCCCCCCAACCGACAGCCATATAACCCAATCACTGCGTTCTTGAACTGACAGCTTACCTGCAGCACGCCACCATGCACTCCCCGGATTGCCTCATTCGTTCTCGCAGCCTGATACCATTGGCCCCCGTGGTCTCTCTTAAGGTGTCGTGTTGAGTAGTCATTGCTGCTGTTTTGCCTGCCTGCCATGCGGATTGCCGTTCTGTACTTACAGGTGTGCGATCGAACCACCGCCGCGCAGTTTCGTCCTAGCAACAACCCTACCTCGGATACAGCGGCCTTGCCTTCGTCTGTGCCTGATGAGCATATCGAATTCCCTAAACCTACTCATCCGACAGTACGACGGAGCACGGCGCGGTGCCGGCGTCGGCTCATCGGAATTTAGCGTCTCGTCCTCCGACTGTGCGTTGTTGATCCATCCCCCCACGGACCCCCCGAAGATACCCGCCATCCGGCGTCGGTTGCTAACGGTCGTCGCCCTTTCGTGTTGGACGACAGAGGTGAAAGGAGGACCAGGATTGGGGGTGGGAAATGCAGATAGGCCTAGTCGCTGGCCCCATATAGGCTAAAGTTAGCTAATGAGATCAACTCTCTGTAATGAGACTGGGTGATAGAGCTATGGTGGCGTACGTCGTTCACTGGGGGTTGCCGCGGATATGCGTGCGAATGGAGGCCAACCTTGGACGAGACACAGCTGTTGGGCCTGGGAAAGACAGAAGGTTTTCTCACCGAGAACAGCACGTCGGGGATCTCGTGGCATCAAGCTTCTTCGTGACGTGTTGGCTGGCCATACAAGGTGTTCGAACAGAGCTTATAGCAGAGTTGACGGCCGTTTTTCTGCGTACGGTTTGGATATGGGACGTAGAGTTCTTTTGGGCGGCAGGCATGCGGTTTCGGCCCACGGCGTCACCATCAATAGGGGTTGCCGCCGACTTAGGGCGACACGGCCCGTGAGCACCTCCCGTACTCCCGCTTACTAGATTGACGTCATCGAGCTAGGTACCTTGGGTGCCTCCCCTCCCTCCCTCTGCGGGACGCAGGCGTGGAGTTAGGCCACGAAGAGGTACCCGTTAAGGCGTGCTGCTCAGCAAATTATACCTACCTGCGTACTTATGCAGGAGAATTACAGTAATTACGAGGTACCTCTCGAACCGGACAGCCTTGCCCCCTTTGCTATAGGCAGGTACTTATGGATGCTACCTAAGGTGCTTAAGGTACCTATAGGTACCTGGCCTCCCAACGATCTTTCAACCGCCACGTTCGTGAATGCGCGAGGAGATGGCGAGGTACCCCCACTTGCCGCCGAGCCCTCACTTGACGTCGAAGTAGGCACCTAATCTACTTTATTATACCTACCCACCTCGAGCAGAGTGCATACATCCCGTGTTCCTCATCGTAGGCGAGCGCGTGGACGACATCTTCCGGTGATGATACGAAGCCGTCGTTCCTCCACGATACCCTCTCTATCTGCTTCCGCCGCGGCTGCGAAGCGCGTCATGAGTTCCCAGCCGGCTGGGCGCGTCTACTTCGGGCCCTTCGAGGTCACGTCTCATGTGAGCCCGCGCGGCCGCCGGTCCAGTCCAGCCTTCTATATCGATAGCTAGGCTAATTCGAGGCTAGGTCTTCCTCAGGACCCCGCACTCCTTCGCCCTCGTTAACCTGAAGCCCTTGCTGCCGGGACACGTCCTCGTGTGTCCGCTGAAGCCGCACCTGCGGCTGACCGACCTGACCGCCCCCGAGCTGACGGACCTCTTCCAGGCCGTCCAGCGCGTCCAGCGCATGTTGGCGCGCTACTACTTCACCGCGCCTGGCCCCGCAAGCCCCGACACGTCGGAGCCCAACCCCCGCTTCCGAGCCCCGCGCCCTGGGAGCACCGACGCTGGCGCCTTCAACATCGCCATCCAGGACGGCGCCGACGCCGGCCAGACCGTCTCCCACGTCCACGTCCACATCATCCCCCGCATACGCGGCGCCACCGCCAAGGCCGCCGGTCCCGGCGACCAGATCTACGAGTCCATGGCTTCTGAGGAAGGGAACATCGGCGGCTCCCTGTAGGTTTTGTCCCCCCTCCCCCGACCCCTCCCCCTTCTCCTTTCGTCTTTTCTCGTCGTTTCCCCTTCCCCGTTCCCGAGGCAGGGGTTGGTGGTTTTTGGAGGCTAGGTGGGTGTGGCAGCATGTTAATTGCGACGTGCTGAGCGTTTAGGTGGGATCGTGAGTTCAAGAAGCTTCGGGAGCAGATCGGCGACCGACCCGTGCCTGGTGGCGGATTCCCTATGATCGAGGACGCCGAGCGACACCCCCGATCGGCGGAGGCGATGGAGACCGAGGCGAAGATGTTCCGGAGCGTCCTGGAGCAGATGGGGGAGGGTGACGAGTCGATATGACGACAGAAATAAGTAACAACGCCCTCGGTAAAGCGAAGATAGCCCCGGCTGACGGGGTCCGAGACACTAATATGTAAGACGTAAATTAATCTTCATTATATCATGGGAAACGATGGGTCTGCGTTATTATCGCCCGTGGGCAGATACTGTTGCGCCTGCGTCGACCTAGGACGCCGTGGACATGATAAGTACAATGTGCTCCCCCATCCCTTACTCTACAACCATGCGTCGGTTGATCACCCGCACCCACGCTATCGACGTAGGTGGGCAGTCGAGTCAACGTAAAAGACATCCTGCGCGGCCCTTACGCGCACGCCCGCCCCGATTCACAATCCTCTCAGGAGCTCGTCGAGCGTGATCGGCTTCCGGACCGCATTGTTCAAGCCCTCGTGGAACGTGACCCATACCTTGGCCCCGGCCTTTCCCTCGTCGGCGCGGGCGCTGCTCCCGGGCCTGCCGTTCCCGTCAGTCTCGCGGAGCGCCACGTTCGTCGGGATGATGCGCCCGAAGAAGTCCTTCTTGACCCCGCTGAGCGCCGGCAGCACCGGCAGCCCCTTCGCCGGCGTCGCGACCGCGTTCTTCTTGTCCCTGAGGGCGAGCGCCGCATCGTCGCCGGCGTGGAACCGCGCCTGCGCCGCCTGCCGCTCGCGCTGGAGCTTCGTCTTTTGCAGCTCCTGGTCGAGTACCTGGCGCACGGCGTACCGCGTCGGCGCCAGCGTCCCGTGGGCGACGGCCGCCAGGGTGTCGAACGTGGCGAGGATGTCGAGGTCGCTGCGCGATCGTTAGTTAGTTTCGCAGGCGCGAGCACGGCAGAGTGCCAACGGGAGAGGAGGAGAGAGAAGAAAAGAGAGACGGATCCTGGGGGAATAGTCATAGGCACAATACATGTGAGTTCGGGCGAAACTTACGGTTCCATGCGGTACACCCACTGCGACCCCCTGCTGAACGGGGACTCGCTCTCGATCTTGCCGCGCTGGAGCTCGATGCCGACCTCGGCGAGGATGTCGGCGGCGCGGCGCACCATAGCCTTCTCGGTGTCGCGACGAACGCTCGCTGTTCCCCACTGGTCCCCACTGCCTCCGACGACGACCGGCTTCACGTCCGGCGACACGAGGCGCACGAGGAATGGTAGGAACTCGGCCGAGATGTCCTCGGGGCTGCGCAGGGACCGCATCAGCGTCGGTGGCAGCTGCGCCTGCATCGCCTGCAGCACTGCTCGGTTCTCTTTCTCGGTCTCGCGCGCCAGGAAGTCCGCCCGCGGTCCCGAGAAGGGTAAAGGCGGCGCGGCGTCCTCGGCGTCACCGCCGCCCCATCTCCTGTCGTAGCCCGCGTTGGCGCGCCGGACGGGCGACGCGAACAGGTGGTGGCAGGCGAGCACGGGCAGGCAGAGATAGGGCGCCAGCTCCCACGCCTGGCTGCCGAACAGCCGCGCCGAGCACGCGTCGTGGAAGTGCATCCACTCGTACGCGCTGTCGGGCTTGGTGAGGAAGGAGTCGTCGTTGAACTCGTGATTCGGGTACTGGAGGAAGACCTCGGTCAGCACCCGGTCCGCGTCGCCGCTGGTCTCGATCATCTCCCGCAGCCGCTCCGTGCCGTATTTCTTCTGCTGCTCCGAGAACCCTAGTTGCGCCTGCGGCTGCTCGTTCCGGAAAATCGTAGTCGACGGCGCCGCGATGTGCAGGTTATCCTTCGGAAATCCGGCGCCGTCCTGGAAGACCCGCGTGACGATGTCCTTGACGTTGCCCCGTCCCACGCCCCTGGCGCCACCGCCGCCGTGCGACAGATCACGGACGACGTTCTTTTCAACCCATTGCCGGGTTAGACAGGGCGTGCCTCGAGGGGTTGCGGATCGGATGCGGCCGGCGACCCATTCGCCGACGACCATGACGCCTCGCAAGTCTCCCTCCGCCGTGCTCTCGGCGCCCTTCTTCGCGTCGATCCCGCTGCTCATACCCCACGCCGCTTCACACAGCTTCCGGGCCGCGTCCATTTCGCAGGGAATCCCTTCCTTCTCGAAAACGGTCTTGAGGCGGGTCACGACCGCGTCGATGGTGGGCTTACCGACGTGGATGATCTCGGCCAGGTTCGACTGGCGGAGTGGTCGCAGCGACGGGTGGTAAAGGTCGTTGCAGATTAAGATGAGCGGCCGCATCTGGCGGAAGTCGTCAGACTTCCGCTTACGCCGCCCGGCGCTTTGAGCCGCTGCCTCTTGCCCTGACGCGTTCTTTTCTCCGATCGTAATTAGGTCTACTAGCGCTTTGATAAAGCCGCCCTCTCCGGTTCCGCCAGAGCCGGTCACGACGCCGTCAACCTCATCTACGACCACGCACACCGGGCGTGCGACTTTCTGCCGATGTTCTCCCTGGGTCTTCTGGTGCTGCTGCACTGTCTTGACGTTCTCCGTGCCCAAGCTGGTACGGATCCGGTTGTGTACGACGTCTCGGCCCCGGTCGTCGCTGGCGTTGATCTCCATCACCTCGTAGCCGGCTTGCCTCGCGCAGACGTGCGCGAGCGTGGTCTTCCCCAACCCAGGCGGGCCGGCGAGCATTAATATCTTCCGGTGCGGCTTCTCCTCTTCGTTCGGGCCCGTGTGCCTTGCCATTGACCTGGACTTCGCCTGTCCTGGGAAGACGACCGGGTCCCATCTCTTCAGCCACCGCAACACCTGGCGATTTGTGAGGTCGTCGCCGACGAGGTCGACGAAATTCTTGGCTCGGTACTTCTCGGTCCACAGGAGCGTCTTCTTCGGCTTCTTCCCTACTTCTACGGAAGGCATCGGCTCGTCGGGCACAGGGTCGGGATTTTGGGGTGGATTGGCGAGCTCCTTGGAAGCACCCTGGATTAGTTGGTGGATGTCGATGCCGTAGTAGCTTTTCCTCGCCCGACCTTCCTTCGTCTTCGACCTGGCCGCAATCATCTGCTCGTAGGGGACATGGGTGGTCGCCTTCCGTTGTCTTATGTCAATGGTCTTGCCTGAACATGTCGTAATCTTTAAGTTGTTTGGCCCATGGCGACAAGGCAGCTTGTCGAATATTGACGCCGCGTTGCTGGAACTAAACAGAAAATCCAATGCAGATGACTGGGTTTCATTCCCTTCACCCGTACTCCGGGTGGCATCGTTAAGCAAGATCGAGCTTATCTTTTGTGGTGATGTCGGTCGGGCAGGTTCTACGGCGGCATGTTCCTCGGGGGTGCTGAGCATTCGCCTCTTGGCCGCAGGCTCTTCTACTACCTCCTCATCTTCAGAGTCGTCGTCGAGAAGAAAGCCAGATTTTGTACGAGGCCGGGGATTCGGATTGACGTGTGGCTTTGCGCGTTTTGCTGGTCCCGGCGGGGGAGAGGAGCTGGCTGGGTAGAGCACAGGGGACGAAGCGGACAGCATCGTGGCAGCGCCAATTGTGGTGTTCAAGGGGATACGGACTCTAAAACGCGAGAACACTTGATTTCTCGAGTGTAGTGTGCGATAAGTATGGCTCTTGGCGGAGAATTACATGACATCGCTCTGTGTAATAAGTGACAGATGCGAAGACGCGCCTGGATGAATGCGAAGCGCGTTTCGCGGGGCGGAGGAGGACCCATTTTAAATGAAGGGCTCTTAAGTGGTGGGTACCTAGGTACATGTGTATGCCCACCGTGGTGGAGGTACCGAGGTACATGAGTCAGGGTTTTCCCGGCATTTTCCCGGCTCCGACAGCTTAAGTAAGATTCCATCCAGCAACTTTCGCGCTCCATACCTTCTTATCTTTTTATCGCAGCTCTTGTTCGATTGTCTCCGAACAACAAGACAAAAAGTCCAGCGTCTTGGCAATTTGCTACTTCAGCGGATGCTACTGTCAACAATTTCCCACCGAAGCGCGTGACCGCAGACGCAGACGCAGCCAACATGCCCGTCGTAAAGGGAGGAGTGTGGACCAACATCGAGGATGAAATCCTCAAGGCTTCCGTCTCCAAGTATGGCCTGAACCAGTGGGCGCGTGTCTCGTCGCTGCTACCGCGAAAGACGCCGAAGCAATGCAAGGCGAGATGGAACGAATGGCTGGATCCGAGCATCAAGAAGATAGAATGGAGCAAGGAAGAGGACGAGAAGCTGCTGCACCTAGCCAAGTTGATGCCTACTCAGTGGCGAACGATAGCTCCCATCGTCGGTCGCACCGCGAATCAGTGCCTCGAACGCTACCAGAAGCTCCTCGACGAAGCCGAGCAGCGCGAAGCCGCGGGGCTCGGGTTGACCGGCCCTGAGGGAGGCGAGACCCAAGCGCCCACCGCCGACGATGTGCGAAGACTGCGCCCCGGCGAGGTCGACCCAGATCCCGAGAGCAAGCCGGCGAAGCCTGATACCATCGACCTCGATGAAGACGAGAAGGAAATGCTAAGCGAAGCGCGTGCTCGCTTGGCGAATACACAGGGAAAGAAGGCGAAGCGGAAAGCTCGAGAACGTCAGCAAGAGGAATCGCGCCGACTCGCTGCTCTCCAGAAACGTCGGGAGCTGAAAACTGCCGGTATTAATATTAAGGTGGTAACACGTAAGAAGGGACAGATGGATTACAATGCCGACATCCCCTTCGAAAAAGCACCCGCTCTGGGTTTCTACGATACTACCGAGGAACAGACGCGGAACGAAAAGCAACGAGCGGCGTTCGACCCTCGAAAACAACAACTTGCGAGCAAGCGTAAAGGAGAGCCTGATGACGATGCGGACAGGAAGAGGCGGAAGAATGACAAAGATGCGCCGTCAACCTCTATGCAGGCTGCCCTCAAGGCTGGCCAGATGCAGAGGATCCGGGAGGCAGAGCAAAGTAGCAAGAGGCGATCCCTTGTCCTCCCGGCTCCGCAAGTCAGCGATGGAGAACTCGAGGATATTGTGAAAATGGGAATGATGGGCGAGCGGGCGAACAGGCTTGCCCAGGCGAGCGAGAACGACGCCACCCGTGGCCTGGTAAACACATACTCAACCCTCAATGCGCAAACCCCAATTAGGACACCAATGGCTCCTCCCCAGGAAGATCGGGTTGCGAATGAGATTAGAAACATCCGGGCACTCACAGAAAACCAATCCGCCCTTCTTGGAGGCGAAAATGCCGACTTACAGGAAGGTACCGGGTCAACAGGTTTCGAAGGGGCAACTCCTCGTCAGAAAGTCATGTCAACCCCTAACCCCCTGGCCACGCCCCTGCGGAGTGGCATGAACGGGGCTGGCGCGACACCGCTACGACCGGGTCAGACGCCGCTACGGACGCCTCGAGACAGTTTCGCGCTCAACACGGGTGACAAGGAGATGTCTCTGGTGGGTGGGACGCCTAACGATGCGCGACTTCGGGAATTATCCATACGGCACCAGCTCAAGCAGAATCTGGCTTCCCTGCCGAAACCAAAAGAGACGGAATGGGAGCTCGAGATACCCGAGGACCAGCAGGAAAGCATGGTTACGAGCGAACTCGAAGAAGACGCAGAAGTGCGGGATAGGCGAGAGCGAGCGCTGAGAGAGGCTCAGGAGCAGCTAGAAAGAAAGAGGCGGACCCAGGTCATGCAGAAAGGGCTGCCCCGACCAGCGTCCGTTAATATCGAAGCCCTCGTGCGGCAAGCTTCTGAGATCTCGGACCCGATAGAGGCGCAAATTGCCAAGGAGGCGGCCTTGCTCATCGCCAACGACGCGGCCAGGTTTCCGGTTCCCGGAACCGCAGCTCGCGGCAAGCCTATCCAGCTGCAGCAGATCGACGACGCGTCGCTAGCCGAAGCGCGCCTGCAGATCCTCGTGGAAGCCAAGGACAAACCGACTCGAGAAGAAGCCCTGGCACTCTGGGAGCCAGAGGGCACCAGCTCGCTCCTGCTGGGCCTGGGCTGCTACGAGGACGAGGACGAGGACGAGAAGCTGGCCGCCATGAAGGCAGCGTTCGAGGTAAGTAACCAACCCACTCTCCCCCCCCTCCCCCCCCCTCCCCTTTCCCTCCCTCTTAGGCCTTGCAACCCATGCTCACAACCGCATTCAACAGGCCGTCCAAGCGTCGACCGCGGCCACGGTGGAGCAGTGCGCGAAGCTGGAGAAGAAGCTGGCGCTGCACCTGGGGGGCTACCAGCAGCGGGCGAAGGCGCTGCGGGCGAAGGCGGGCGAGGCGCACGAGGCGCTCGAGAAGGCGGCCTTCGCGCGCGGCGCGTTCGCGACGCTGGCCGCGTCCGAGGAGATCGCCGTCGCGAGCCGCCTCGCGGCCCTGCGCGACGAGGTCGGCCTCGTCACGCGCCGCGAGCGCGAGGCCCAGGAGGCCTACCGCCAGGCCCGCGACGAGCTCGACGCCCTGGCCGGCGGCGCCGACGGGTACCGCTGAGGTTGGAGGTGGCAGAGGCCGGAAAGGAGGGCGCGCCGATGCGGACAGAGATTGTACATGTACACTACCGGTGCTCTTTTTTTTTGTTTTAGAGAGAGATTAATTACGACTACTCCCCGCGCCCGCGTGTACTGCAAAAAAGATATACTTACTATTAGAGAACGAGGGAGAGGGGGAGGGCAGGGCAGGGGAGGGGAGGGAAACGGAATCAACCGAAGACAGCAGCAACCAACAAGTTTTTTTTCTTTTTCGCTGCTCCTACTATGAGATGCCAACCTAGCCTACCGCGCTGTGGTGTGGAGAAAAAAAAGTGTCACAAAGATAACAGGAAAAGCTACTCTGGGAAGAGGGGAGGGGAGAGGAGGAAGAGAGACGAACGGCCCGAGTAGAGCTCCATCTAAGATCCAAAAACAGCTGTCGGGTTGAGCAATGCGATACAACCCCCTCTAGCTAAATCATATATCATATTCCATACACCGTGATACTAGACGTAAAACCCTAAGCCATCGACTAACCATGTGCGCTCTCTGGGTTGCACCCCACGGCAGCACTTCTTACCCCATCCCTTTTTATTTTTATTTTTATTTTTTATAACCTACTCCCCTTTCCCCCCGTTGTTTCCCTACCGCTCCCCCCTCCTCTTTTCTCCTCCTGGCTCCCCTGCTCGCTCGCTCAGTCGGGCCGGCGGCTCACGTGCGGCTTCCGAGGCGGGGGAGGCGTATGGGGAGGACGAGGAGGACGTTGACGGCGGCGAAGGCGACGCAGCAGAGGAAGGTGAGGCGGATGGCGGCCTCGTAGCTGGCGACGACCTGGGCGCGGAGGGGGCTGGCGGGGGGCAGGGCGGCGACGGCCTCGACGCTCTGGCGGACGCGGGCGATGAGGCGGGCCTTGGCGGCCGGGTCGGGCGCGTCGACGACGAGGCGCTCGAGGTAGCGCAGCAGCGCGTTCTGCAGCACCAGGCTCGACCCGGACACGCCCAGCACCGACCCCAGCGCCCGCCACAGCACCAGCGTGCTCGTCACCACCGCCTGCTCCCGGTGCGCCGACACCGCCAGCACCGCCATGAACGTCCCCGGGAACTGGAACCCCTGCCCCACGCTCGCCGGCGCCAGGCACGCCAGGTACACCCACGTCGGCCCCGTCCCCCGCCGCAGCGCCCCCGCCAGCACCCCCGTCCCCACCAGGTACCCCGTCGCCCCCAGCGTCAGCGGCCACTTGAGCCGCCGCGTCCGCGAGATCAGGAACCCCGTCAGCGTCCCCGTCGCGCTCGCCGCCATCGTCGGCACCACCAGGTACAGGCCCGACTTCGTCGCGCTCGTCAGCAGCACGGCTTGGAAGAAGAGTGGCCTGTTTGTTGTCGTCACGTTAGAAACAGAGTAAGTACTGGGCTCCTAAGTCTTCTTGACTGCATGTGTGTTTGTATGTGGCCGGGGGGGAAGGGGGTGTAGTTGATTGGTTGTCACATGCTATTCTTTTCATTGATTTGTCTACTCCCGGCATTTCTAAACGGGAGTTTTCCCTGTCCCCGCAGATGGATAGACACTATAGGTGTGATGGATACCGAGAGGGGAAAAAAGGGGGGGTAGGGTCAGGGGAGGTACAGGGAAGAAGAATAGCGGACGACTTACGTATTGAAGAGAATAGCATTGAGCAGAAACGAGGCGATAAAGTTGGAGAAGATGAGGTTGGCCCGCGGCGCATTGTGCAGCAGGGCCAGGGGCATGATGGGCCGCTCGTGTCGCGACTCGACGTATAGGAACAGCGGGAAGCAGACGGCGAAAGTGACGAGAGCACCTATGACAAACGGATGCGACCCTGTGATGTGTGAACAGTTTAGTCTGCATGAACTCCCTAAACCGAACCTATAGGGAGAAGGGCGGAGGGGCCAGTAGTAGTCACTTACACGACAGCACATTTCCTCCCAGGTTCTGGAGCACGACTTCAGTTAGCAAGCATGTTTCTTCTGCCGTGTATAAGACAGTGTCCAACGCACCAAGCCTAGGATAAGGAACGCCGTCGACGTGGTCAGGAGCGCGGAGCCGCCGAAGTCGAAGCCCTTCATGGCCTGGACGAAACTTCGGTGCTTGTCGTGCTTGCCCAGGTCGCCCGGGATGCAAAGAGACGCGATGAAGAAACAGAGGATGAGCGGCGGCACCTGCACACCAAACTCCCAGCGCCAGCCGAGGGTGTCTGCCATCAGTCCGCCTAGGGCCGCGCCCGCTGCCGCGGCGAGCCCATAGACGATGTTGATGTAGCTCTGGTACGCACCTCGGCGTCTTTTTTGGTATTGGGATCTTTGTTAGCATCAAAAAGTCTTTTTGAAAAAAAAAAAAAAAAAAAGGAAAACGAGATCAGAGGGGAAGGAAGAGGGGGAGAGAGGGACAGAACATACTCAATGGGAACCAGGTCACTGACGATGATGTTCCCGAGCCCCATCGTCCCCCCTGCCCCGAGCCCGCAGGCGGCCCGAGCGAGGATGAAGGAGGTCATGCTGTTAGCGAGGGCGCACCAGAGCGTAGCGAGACTAAATATGACGATGGTGACGAGGTACGGCACTTTGCGGCCGAGAGTGTCGGACAGGCGGCCGACGATGGGCTGGAAGGCGGTGCTGGTCAACAGGAAGGCGGTCGAGAGCCAGGAGGCGCTGTTGGAACTGCGGAAGTAGGACGTGATGACCGGGTGGCTCGAAGCCATGATGGTGCCGTCGAAGCAGGCGATGAAGTGCGTGAGCATGATGCTGAGGAAGACGATCCAGAACTGTCGGTTGTCTGTCTCGATCAGGAATGACGGTACCTTGGCGCCGTTCTCGCCGTTGACCTCCAAATCGACGTCGACATCGACATCGATGGGGTGCTCCCCGTCGCTAGCGAGCGTCGACGAGGACGACGTGTCGGGATGTTGGCGCCCCTCCCGCGTTATGGGCCGCGGCGACACGGAAGCGATACTGCGTACGCCTAGCGACGGCTGCCGCATCGTGCTTCGCGACCGGCGACGACCCCTGAGCATGGCCGACTGAAATGACTCGGGCGCGAGGCCGGAGGCCCCGGAGGTGAAACTGCGCGCGACTAGCATGTCTGACTCGTTCGGGTCGAGGTCGGCGTCGCTCGAATACCCGTCATCATATTCGTCTCCGTCCCCGCGACGAATCGCGATAGGAGCCAAGCCATCATTCTCGCTACGCTGTCCGGCCTGGCGGGTGGCAGAGGGACCCCGCAGCAGCGCCGTCCACTCGGTCACGGACTCACCATCGTGACGCCGCACTTGGTCGCCGCCGCCGCCGAAACTCGCCATATACGGCGTATTATATATAATATATGCGAAGATGTGCTAGAGGGCCTCTTCGATATTTATATACACCCATCAGCAGCCGTAAAGGAGAGGATTCAGAATAAAGGGGAACGAGATCTCCCAGTTTTTATAGAGGCAAGGAGCAGATGCCTCCGGTGCGAGGAAGGAAGAAGAGGGTCGATTTCTCTCCCACCCTCCGTTTCTCTTTTTTTCTACCGCCGTGGGCCTGCTGGACAACCCATCATCTGGGTCCCGATGGGGATGAGCACGTCCCGCGTGTTACTGCATACATACACACACAGAATCTGTAGGGTTTCACCGCTACGAACGACGAGAGGATTGGACGGATCACAGCGAGATAGGAAGGGTAGGAAAAGGAGCAAAGGAAATGGTAATTACCCACTGCACGCTCGGCTGGGGTTGGAGAAGGCAAGGTTCTGGTTTCCTTTCTCGTCAGAGACTTGCTGGCTCGCATGTGTGTATATGTATGTCATGCTCGAACGTGCCGCGAGAGGAGGGGGCGAGGATAAATAAATGGTGGGCTGAGGGAAAACACAGACAGCGGCCCATAGCTTAGCTGGCGGGCGGGCGGGGAGCGGTCACGGAGGCGACGGATGGAGGAGCGATGGGAGCGAAATAGGAGGAGGGACGGCGTGCACGGAGATAACGACGGCAGCCAGCGACGGCAGCAAGCGACGGCAGTACCAGCGACGGCAGCGAGTAAGGACGTAGGTAGCGCACCGTAACGCTCTGGACTGCGCTGCGCTGCGCGATGCGCGTGTGGTGGCGTCGACGGCGTGCAGACAACCAACCCGCCAACCAGCTGACCTCTCGTTCCCTCGCACACATGCTGGCTCTCTCGCCCTTCTCCCCTCTCCCCTCTGCTGGGTGCTACCCACGATCGAGCCCGAGTTAGTTAGCACCACGTACGCGCTTGTGTCGGTCATACCTCGTTACCAGGTTGCTCCGTAGCTCTACACCTAGTACCCATCTTTGCCACGGCTGTGCTCGTCCTCGCGCTTGACTAGGTAGGGAGGGAGGCGAGGCCATAGGTCCCACTTCGTATCGGTAGAGCAGGGCCCAAGTTGCTGTGCGGACGCAATCTCGCTGTATGCGTAGACGTACGTTACTACGCTGTAGGAGGTGAAGGAGTCATGCGGGGAACCGCTAAGCGCCCGAGAAGAGGGAAAAGAAGGGGTCGGTTAGGCAGGTTTCGGTGTAAGCATTGCAAGGGTGCCTGCGCCCTGATGCCTAAGGTACTCTCTCCCCCGTCGACGGTCCGAAGAGGACCGCCGCATTCGGAACAGCTCGATGGGGTGGAGGTTGCTGGCGTTGGCGTGTGGGCGGGTCAGCGTACGAAGGTGTATAGTAGTAAGTAGGGGTATGTGGTGAGTGGGGAGGGAGGCGGAGACCTGTATAGGTAGGTAGGTAGGTAGGTAGGTATAGGTAGGGGTCGAGTGTGTAGGTACCCTACCTACCTATAGAGACCACCCCACCCGTCTCCGCCGCACACCGACGACGCAGGGGAGAGGGAACGGCCCCCGCACTAGCAACTGACAGGAAATCCGTCTTCTTCCCTGCGTATTCTCGGTGCATCGTGAGGATGACAGTAACAATAAACACAGCGGTCGATGGTTGCAGTCGCAGTAGCAGCACCCGCCAGCAGCCGAGGGTGGTTAGAGTGAGCAGAATGCGGATAACACCACTCGTTAGCGCTCGATGGGTGCTCGCTGCCCATGTGCGTGATCTCGATGTCAGGGAGGGGGATCGATTTCACTAGAGAAAATCTTCGTGATACATCGTATGACGGGTTATCGATGCTGAATTGCGTTACCCGATCCGACACGTTTTCCAGCCGGGCTGTGCTTGGGCGAGAACGCGAATTAATTTCTCTGCGCCGAGGCCAGCGGCTGTCAACCTCGAAGAGCCCTCCCGATTCCCGCAGCGACCCCAATCTACTCACACCCCCCCCAGTATCTTCTCTGCGCCCCCTCGGGTGCGTGCACGCATATTAATAAGCCAAGGTGTTGCTGCGAGTACAAAACAGGAAACGGCTTCAGCATTAGATATATAAGGGTCATGTTTCACCGCGCCAAACCTGCCCCTATCATCATAGAGCAGATGCAGGAGAGACCGCCACCATGTTCTCTCTCTCCTCTTCCTCTGCGTCCCTCTACCTATAATCCTGACATGGCCATATACATCCCGCTCTGAAACTCCGGAACCGCCCGTATCCTGTCTATTCCCTACTCTCCGCGGCGAAGGCTGCTCATCCCCCGACTGTCTAGACTCGCGTGATCACGTCTCTAGACTTGGCCTGCGAGGAACCGCACAGCACACCTGCGCCGGTGATGCCCCCGTCGTGGCACGGGCTCAGCACCACCCTCACGGGGGCGTCGTCGCCGAACTCGGCTCGGATTATCGCGTCGAGCAGGTTCTGGCAGTCGGCCAGGTAGTCCTGGAAGTGGACGATGCAACCGCCTGTATACCCAACGATCAAGTCCACCTTGGGCCGCCGTTCCGCCCCCTTAGCCGCGGCGCCGACGTCGGCCACCTCTGACGCCGGCACTCGGAAGGGGATGTCGCCGGCGCATGCGAGCAGCCCGACGGTGGCTGCCGCGATGATCCCGGCCGCCCTTACTTCGATGGCTTTGGCTATCCCATATAAAACCGCTGCCATATCCTCCGTCCACCGAAATGCCCCTCGCGCGGTCGACTGAGGAAACTCGGCCTCCAGCTTTTCTCGAAGTGACACCACGTTCGGGGGCCGGAAATGGCTGAGAAAGGTGGTGGTGAGGCCGAATCGTGTTAGGAGCTGCGGGGGTACAGAGTCCGCGGGTATATGTAAGTAGCGTTCGAGGTAGTCCAATAGCATCAACCGTCCTAGTTCGCCTAGATACCTGCCCGCCGTCATGTACTCGAGCGGCTGAAACCCGGGCGCCTCACCTTGGGCGTCGAGCTTGGCATCCCACTCGCTGATCAGGCCGAACTTGCGCAAGGCTGGTGCGGTCCCGTTAATGCTCCACTCGGTGTTGACGGCTATCTTCATGTCGTCGGTCGAGTCGTCGTCTAGAACCTTGACTTTTCCGGGTTGTTTATTTTTGTGGAGCGTACTTTTCCTCAGTGGTATCGTCGCGTTGCTACCGGTACCGCAGATCAGTCCCATCGCCGCTTTACGGCAGCTATCCTCCTTGGATTGGTATATAAACGATACCAATGTCGCAACGGCGTCGTTTAAGATGGCCGTGATTTTGATCGGGGGCAAGTCTGGACCCTTGGACCTCTCATACCCGTTGATTAAATGGGTTCCCAGATCGAGGCGCGACGTGATCGCGAAGCCCTTTCCCATCGCCATCAGGGTCGCGTCGGCTAAAGTCTCCTGCACCATGGGGAAGCTGAATGTAACCCCCATGGGAAGCTCGCGGTCTCGAGGGAGGCCGAATTCTTCGCAACCTTGCCGCACAACTTCGGCGATGCATTTTCCGATCCACTTGAAGAGCGAATCGGCGTTCTCAATTTTGAGAACATCTGAGATGGGCCACTCTCTCTCGAGAACTCGACGTAGGTTCGGTGGCGATTCCGGCTGAGAGAGCTCGCCGCCGCCACCGACCCCGTTGACAAGTACGGCATTCGCACCTTGCTCGTTCCCCAGGAGCTCGATAAAGCCGACCCTCAAGTTGGTACCACCGCTGTCGGGTGTTAGCTTCGAGCGACACTAGCGATAGTTTCTGTTTACTTAGGTGGGCGCGTACATGTCGATGGCTAGATACCTTTATATGCGTAAACGCAACCGTGACGAAGTTAGCTCTCCGGCGGCTTAAACAGGGGTAACGATCCCAACAAGGCAGAGTCGCTGACGAGGGTCGAATAAGCAGTAGCAGTAAGAAATTGGAAAAACCATACCGTCCCTTTTCCTTGCCTTCGGTCGGCCGTAATATTGATTCAGAGATTGGAGTTGGGAGGAACTGGTTCAAGGAGTGGGCAGACAGCTGCCGAAATGTCTCGTACAGCTCGCGGGACAACGCGTGCGCCTTGGCCGCGTCCATGTAAAGGGGTCGGAGGAATTCTTCGAGGTTGGACCCCATGGTCGCGTCTGCAGTATCCGGCCTGCCGACCAGTAGTTCAAGAGGGCTCACCGGGCGATGTCAGAGGCTTATTATGTCAGCAACGAAGTGCGGATCATGTCGACCCCGAGTGCTAGAATGCGTAAGATGGGGCAACGAGATAGGGGGAGAGGCGAGGTTCTCTATGAAGGCTGGGAAGTCCGGTCATAGGTATACCTAGGTTAGGCAAGATCCATGAAGGCGCAATTCTGACGGGAGCAGGCGAGGGTTCTGCCGCGTGGGTAGGTAGGTATAGTAGGCGTCTGCAAGAGATAGGTTAGGTACCTGTGTAAGAGGTGTATATGCTGGCGAGGTATGTGATAATCCAGATCTACAGGTGTGCGATCGGGTCAGGGCGAACTGCCGAATCTAGAAACGTTACAACGACAGGGATGCCGACATTGCTACTGCTGGGGTTTGCATGTACGCACGCGCGTGTGTGCGTGTGTGTGTGTGTGGTGTGTGTGTGTGTGCGTGTGCGTGTGTGCGCGCATGTGTATATAGCCTGGGCGTATTGTACCTACATCACATGCGGAAGCGTGTGCTTGCGTGAATGTCACGCTTCCCGGGCCTGTCGAGTCTAGATGCGTAGACGGGCAGGTTGACAGGATGGCAGGAAAGCCTTGTTCTGTCTATCAACGGCGAGAGGGTCGGGTGTGGGAGCGGAGCGGGAGTTGGGATGTAGACGGTAGCGAAGTGGTGGCATGTATGGGTAGGGTTGTTCCCGTCAGGTACGTGTGCAAGTATTAATACTTACCCGCTCGTCGACACCTCAGGTATCCGCGAGACAACCACACGTCGATGCGCGTCTCTATGCTGATATTTATAGACGGCTTAGGCCATCCCGCGTCGGCACGTCAGGCAATTGCCCTCGACTTATATACGGCTGGGTTCTCACTTATAACAACGTTGAACCACTCGTCCGCCCCGACTCGGATTCTCGACAATGTGGGCTCATGGTGCAATGCGTAATAGCAACCTGTTTCGATTCCGCGTCCAGTCAGCGTGCGTGCTCTTCCCTCTCTCCGCCGCGGAGGTTCTGCGTGCCAATGCCTTTCCCGGAGGTGCATATGTAAGGTAGGTATGCACCTCTACCTCTCTGACGTCGGCAGCCTGGACGCCCGTTTCCATGCTTGCAAGCCTAGCCAGGTCGTATCGTACGTGCCCCAGCCCCTGTAGCCCTACGTATGTACCTACCGACTTACCTACTTAGGTACCTCCTCCTAGCCCTGCACCGACCTGGGGGGGGCCGGCTTTACACACCTCGGCACCCCCAGACTGTACCCCCACTCCTCGCATTGTAGGTCTGGGGCGCCTGCGCGACGTCTCCTGGAGAGGGCCATAGGGAGGTTTCTACCTGGTTAACGCAGGCACTTTGGATAGCGCTCGACATAATTAGGTACAGGTAGGTAGATATATATATCCGTGCGGTTCGAATGATGGGGGGACTGGCTGTGCGAGGGCTCACCGACCTGCGGTACCTACGGAGGCAACCCTGGGACCACCAGGTACCTGATAGGAGGGAGGTAGGTATCGGCCTTGTGGTAATGGTAAGGCAGGGCGCATCCATCCATCCTCCTTCGTCCTCATGTTGTAGATACCACACACCTGCCAGCCGTCACGTCGATGTCTCTGAAGCCGGATTCGAAGGCAACTGGGACGCTAAAGGGCGGTGCACCTGATCTTCAAGTACCTGCTACGTACGTGTGTACATACCGAAGGTAGGTACCTCTTCTCAATCCAGGCGGCACCCCGGCGCCCAGCAGCAGCGCCTGGCCTGCCATCACGTATCAATGGATCAAATTGTCTGTCTCTCTCTCTTACGGTATAGCACCTGCGAGAGGGTGGAGAGCAAGGTGCGTTACCGTACGTAGGTAGTTAACGTAGCCGGACAGGGGATCGCTCTCTGTCGTATCGCGGTGGATATACTACGTAGCATGAATACATGTACACCGGGGTCGGGCACGTAGCGTCCAACATTCATGGCAGCGTATCTTTACCCATATATCCGACAGTATGTAGGTATTAGGGTTATGCTTGAAAAGTATGCGGCTATGTAAGTGGAAGTTGTTGCGTTTAGCCCATGCCAGATCCGCTTGGCGACCTCCTATGATTAGGTACGTGCCTACCTACATACAAACAACACCCTTCCCCCCCCCCTTCTCGGTATCCCATGTCGTGATCGCCTCTCCTTCTGTGTTTCATTTACACCACGCTCCTCGCTTTCCTCCGTCTTGCATCTTCTTCCAAGGCGACTTTAGTTTCTAGAATTCGCTACTTCTTCGTACATATTCTTGGTTATATATGTAGACTCGACATGCGTCAGTGAGCCAACTCGATCCCGACACCGAACAACCACCCTCGGAGCCCTAGGCCGATAAGGAGCTCGCGCGCGCAAACGACAACATGGCTGCTAAGATCAGCCTCCCGGCAGATGAAACACGCGCGCTGCGGACGCGTGCTCGGCGTCGATTTCGGCCGCTGCTTACGATCTCCCTCGTCGCCCTAGCTCTGTACGCGCTCTGTGCCGTCCTGCCCTTCTCACCATCCTATGGCCCATTCTTCGGCCGCGAGGGACAGCAATCGTCCCTATCCTCGGAGAACTCCGACGTGCTCGCCTCCCCCGCTGGCAAGCTCGTACCTCTCGAGGCCCATATCATGAGCAAGTGTCCCGACGCCAAGGACTGCCTCAAGGACCTTGTTCTCCCGACTATGATGCGCATCAGCGATAAGGTTAACTTCACGCTGTCGTACATCGGCAGGCCGACCGAGAACGACGGCATAGAGTGCCGGCACGGCCCGAACGAGTGCATGGGCAATATTATCGAGCTATGCGCCCACCACCTATACCCGGACCCCAAGATCTATCTCGGCTTCACCATGTGCCTGACGAGGGACTATAAGCTGATCCCGCAGCGGGAGCTGGTCGAGGATTGCGCGCTAGAACACGCCATCGATTTCGACAAGATAAACGAGTGCGCTACGAGGGACGACGGTGCCTTCGGTCTAGCCTTGCTGCGGGACAGCGTGAAACGAACCGAGGACGTATGTCCTACTATGCGATGCCCTTCACGAAGCTATTGGCTAAGCTAACTCGTCCTGCAGGCCGGGGTTACCAAGAGTTGCACAGTCCGACTTGACGAAAATATTTATTGCATTCGAGACGGCGGGGAGTGGGTGAACTGCCCTAGCGGACCCGCTGTCAACGACCTCGTCATTGCGATTGAGAAGCTATTTCGTAGTTCTTAAGGGTTCAAATACTTCAGTCCACAGGTCTGACGCTTCTCCCAGCGTATAACTTAGCGAAATTGAATCCATGCCAGTCTCATCGTCGCCCGACATGGACTGAAGCTGCTCAATGATGCTGTCTAAACCGATCGCTTTCCCGATCGATTGAGTTGCGGTCACTTCTAGCATGACGTGCACGACGTGGATGTGGAAATGATAGTAGGTCGGATGATAATGACAGAACAGCTTGAGCTGGTCTTTGTCGATCTGCGGATACGTCTCGACCGTAGCGTCTACCAGCTTGTCTCTCATGTGTCTAAGCCAGGGGATGTGCTTCTTCCTCAGGTCTCTCAGGCTCCATATGTCCCGCCGCTCGACTATTCCAAGCAGGTGTAGCGCTTCAATCGTCTTGCGGTCCCAGTGGAGGTTGGGAAGCATCAAGAAGCCCTCGTCGCCGTCCCGTCCTAGTGGTGTTCTGTAGATAACATCCTCCACCTCCTTCCTCCCCTCGATGATGTTGTAGACCCAGTTGAGACGACCCTCTTCCCGGTTCGCCTGCATGAATGGCCGGATGTTGTCGCGGTATATTTCAGGTGTCTCCACCACGAAGCGTAGCCCCTGCTTGCTGTGCTTCTTCACGTGTTTGTCCGTGCAGGGCCATATCATGGACATCTTAATGTCGGCAAACTTGTCGCCCTCGTTTTCGTGCGGAATCGGCCCGCCGGTGGCCAAGAACCAGGAGTATATGTCGTTGTTTCCAAGGTTCGTAACGCTCCGCAGGCTGGTCGGTAGGACGGAGAGATACCGTTCGGAATCGGGGAAGGGCGCACGCTCCAGTATCAAGAGTGCGGGTTCCGAGTCGACATGTCCGTACAGCGTAAGGCGTCGCCCTGCGTCGTCTTCACTCGCACGCTCCATCAGCTACCGTACGACCCCGACCTACCTCAAAGAAGACACTCGTTCCCTGCACAGTCAACTCCAGCAAGGCGGTTCTACATCGTATCGTACCTTGATTAAGCACACGTTCGAACTTGAACTTGGGGACTAGCGCCTCGGCGCGGCGCTTGCCTTCTTCAGTCGTCATAGCTCGAGGTCCGAGGCGAGGGAGGGGACGGTATTGAGGGGATTGCTTGCTTCGGAGAGATGCCTATTTGACGGTATTTGCTAAATTCCGGGAGACAAGGCTGGGAAAACGAAGAGGATGGAGGGAAATGTTTGGACGTCGGTGGTTTCCACTAGACACCGATAATCGGTACGAGAGCAACACCTTGATAACGCCCTTATCGGAGCTACCCCTCAGTCGGAGTAATACTCTCCCTGGGATGTTGTCCTCCTGCTCGACGTGTGGTAAAAATAACTCTTATAGGTATCTTATAGGCTCATCCAGACAAGTAGCTTTGGAGATGGTGTTCCTCGCGAAGTTTGGTTGGGATCGCGATAATGAGGATACTCAAGTTGTCATGCCAACAGCGAAAGCGAAATCTATAGGTCTTCTTCCCCTTCCGGTCTCGGTATGGATGCAACCTTGAGGGGGATACGTCTGAGATACAGCGTCTCGAAAGAAAACAATAACGTCACGTGCTTTTAACAATGGGAAAGCCGGCGGAAACACCATCTACCTATGTCCTGGAGGCCGCGTGAACCGCACTGTCGTGGCCTTGATTATCCCGAGATCCGGGATGAAACACGATAGGAGGAAGCGCAGAAGCAGAGTAGCAACTAGGAGAGGGAGGGTTATGTCAACTTGATAGGTACCTAGGTAGGTATATGGTAGCGTATACAGACGTACCTACAAATGTATGTAGTTCGCTGCCTATCTGAATGGACACCAGACGTCGCCGTCGTTGTTTACATTGTGGATCAAGCTAAGGTGCTTGTCGTCGCCGGTTCGCAACATCGTGGCACGTAGAACAGCATACTGTGGCGTACGTTAATATGCATTTACCTGGCTCACCTCGCTAACTTACCGTCTGGTCATCATCGCCGTCGCCCACACCACCTCACGACGTCCCTACGTGCAGGTCCGGGGAATGCCCACCATACCCATCAATTTAGGTTCTGACAGTTTCCGACCAGATACACGTAAGATGTAAGTCTATGCCGGGAACGATCAAGGGGGGCGGCTCGAGGACGGGCGCGGTAGTATATACGGACTCGAATCAAGTTATCTCGGCAACTACCACATTTATATACACCTGTACATACATCCCGCCCCCCGTATCGCCGCGCACCAACCCTTCCCCCTTAGAACTCCACGCTTCCGTACGGCCTTCGCCCTCGTGCAAATGGAAAGAAAGTATATATATATATAAGCAAGAGACCTCGACACGCTACTAAAAGAGAGGAAGGGATAAGCAAGCCCAAAACCCCTCGAAAGGGGGAAAAAACGCAAGGAGAATGGAAAAGGGGCTAACAAAGAGTACCGCCTTACTCGAAACAACTGTGTCGGGCACTCGCTGTGTGCCAGAGAGGGGGGGAGCTGATCCGCGCTCTCTCAAAACTCCCTTGTCGATCCTTGATAACAGTTCGACGGCACGACTACTCGAGTCTCAAAAAGAAAATGAAAACGCTGGTCCTTTTTTTCGTTCATCCCATTGCCGCCCAGAGGAAGGAAGGAAAACCGAAACAGGAAAAGTTGCGACAGAAGGCCGTCCCAAAGCCGCCTCATTAATTCCTTTTTGTACCGCTCCGAAATCAGAATCGCAGAAACGCCCGACGTTACCACCTCCCCCGGTGTCTACAGAACAGCCGAAATAATGATAATGGTAATGAGAATAAACGTCAAATTTGGTGGGGCATCTTTCGTCACAAGGCCAGCCCGGTGCCGTCGCCGGTCCACCGGTACAGCGCGAGGAGCTCTCGGCGGCGCTGATGCTGCTCGCCGATGTCTTCTGGCACCCGCCCGCGCACCTGTGCGAGAGCACTGCGCATAACCTTGCTGAAATTCCGCTGAGAAGCAAGTTAGCACGCGCGGTCCGGCACGTCAGTTTTTTCTGGGGGGGAGGGGGGAGGGGGCGGGGTTATCACTTGCTGACTTACCTGGTACTCGGTGTTGAGCGTAACCACGCACGCCTCGTGGGCGCGGATGATGGTCTCGCAGGCCCGGACGACGCTAGCCGAGGCCTCTAATTGTAGCTTGTCGGCGATGAGCAGGAGCAGGAAAGACCCCTGCAGCAGGTAGATCCCAAAGAAGAAGGGCATGAACTCGAGACCCGGGTCGTACTCGAGGATATTGCTGATAGCCTCCGCCGCCGACACGGCATGCCCGGTAGCGGTGATGAAGCCCTGGGACGAGATCCACAAGTCGTTGTCGTCGAGGAGGTTTATGGGATCCCATTTTCCCGTGAGGAGGATGTGCAGTACGTGCATGACGTGTGTGCCGTATGACATGACGATGCGGGTTTGGATATCGGACTCGGTCATGCGCGAAGAGCTCGTGTGCACTGATCGCCCCGACGGCGAGCCGATCTGATCTAGCTCGCTCGGCATTTCCAAGGTAGCAGATTGCTCATTCTTATCCTCCGAGCTAGCGTTGAAGTGCCGCTGTTCGAACTTCTTCAAGCTCTGCTCGTACGCCTCCAAGTGCCGAACGATTTCAGCTTGCTGGTCGTCCCATTCCCTAGCCGAGCGGAACCCGATGCCGAACCGCGGGTGATTGCGTGCGTGGTGAAGGTCAACGATCTCTCCCAGGACTGTCATAAGCGGCAAGAAGTAACCGAATATACTGTGGCCGGTGCATTCGAAGTGCGGACCGCGCACCCGCCTTCCGTCGGGTCCCGATTGCTCCGCTAAGGCTGGATCCGTCGTGTGGGAATTGAAATTCCCGTTCTGCCATTCGGTGTCGTCCATGGGTTGGAGAAGACCCTCGCATTCGATATCTAGCAAGAAGAGTGGCCGATTGTAGCAGAGCGCTAGATGACGGTCAACAATGTATGTGAGCCACCATATACGTCTCCGCTCTTCGCGTTCCTCTTCACTAGCGGCTCCAGGGGCTGTGTTGTGACCGAGCCCATCCTCGATTTCGCCTTCAGCATCAACATCGCTGGTATTATTTCCTTGCACCATCGAAGAGGCGCTCGGGGGAAGTTCTCGTCCGAGCTTTAACTCTCTCGCGAGCGACCATGCTGCGTTCCACCATCTGAGACTAGCACCTTTGTACTCGCTTGCAGAGACCACTGTAGCTAGATGGATATAGGTTACTACATCATCCAGCGTCCCGGCAGCACCAAATGCCCCTGATTCTCCCGTCATATTTTCCATATTCATCGAGCCAGGGAGGGCAACACCCAACCCGCCCAAGGCAACGCCGTCGATCACTGGGCTGGAAACAGGCGAGGCTTCCCCGGATGGCGTATGGATCAGCGGCTTTAGGAGGCTGACCGTAAGTTCGAGCAGCTTCTGACAGATTTTCCCTCGTGCGGACGGAACTCCGGTCAAGAAGGGAGCATCGCTTGTCTGCGCCGCCACCCATAATATACTCGCTAATAGAGCTGGCTGGCACTGGCGAGGCTTGCTCGGATGAAGGAATGATCGTTTCCGAAAGACGAAGCCGAGGACATAGGGCGACATGGGATGAGCATGAGCAGAAGACGAACTAGCAAAGTACAAATCAACCAGGTCACATGCGAGAGAAACCGGGATGATATTTCCTAAATGGGGTATCAGTGGGTTGAGGACCGGGTACCGCAATTGGTGGTGGTAGTTGTTTTGGGGAATATGCGACTGGAACTGTGGAGGCGGCGATGACATTGACATCCATCCCGGCGAGGTAGGCTCTCCACCCATTGGGTATGCGCTGAGAGGGCTGGTACCTATACGGAATGTCGTCTGGGGGTTGGCTGAGTAGTTGGTAGGACTTTGAGTCTGCAGTGCGTAAGGAATCTCTGGATAGTTTGAGGAGAGGTTTCCCTGGTTCGAGCCGTACGTGGCATGCGCCGTCCCACCCATCAGGTGGCCCATTCCTTGTCTATCATATGGATTCTGAACATTGCCATACCCATTGAGGTCTAGAGAGGGAGGACTGTCAAGTTGGTCCCTGTCCAAAGCTCCGGGGTGGCCGGCCAGGTGAGCCTGATGAGGGTTCAGGTCTGCCAAACTATCGAGGCTTCCTGTCCTTTGACTGCGCTGTATAGATTCCTCGCTGATTTCGTTAAGCGCTTTTTCGCTAGAGCTCGACTGTTGTTCTGGCTTGCCGGAGGATGCGTTTTCCACTTGCTGTTCCGCAGAGGGCTCGCTGTCGTCATTATGGTTCGGGGATTTCTGGCCGCCCTGGGCCGCCTGAGCCGCGGCCTGGGCCGCAGCCTGTTGAGCGAGGTCCTTCCGGGAGGCTTTACCTCGCTTCTTTCGTTCTCGAATATACTCACAACCCAAGCCAAATTCTGCATCTATTAGCCCGTCGCTTCTACCCTGGAGTAACTCAGTACAATCTACCAACCTATACAATGGGCGCAAGGGTGTTGACCATCACACTTGGTCCTAAGCTGGTTGCATTGATCGCAGGCCCTGCTTATTCTCCTCCTGATAGGACCAGCTGCGCCTGCGGCCCTCGTGCTTGGCCCTCCATAAGGGTGTTGTCGATGTTTCGGTTGCGGTGCTCGAGCTAGATGAGGGGCATGAACTCCTACATGCTGCTGGAGATGCTGAAGAGCATATTGCGACCCGTGGCCGAAAGTATCGAGGCCAGAGGCGTGGAGGTGGCCCCCGGGAATGTGAGCATTTGAGAGCAGTGTGTTAGACGGTAACGCGTGGTACGGCGAGAACCGTTGGAGTGGGTTAGACAACATGTTTGAGTAATCCGTGATGGCGAACTTCACTCGTGATGTCTAAAATCCGTCGACGATCTGGTATAGCCTTGAGGTGTCATGAACGATAGGCGACTTCGAACGAGTGCAGGTAGTTGGGTGAAGCATGAATGCGTCTAAACTGGAGGGAAGTTGGACTTGGACCGAGAAGAGCGAGACAGCTTAAGCTATATGCTTGTCGAGTAGCGGTTGTATTTCGCAGCTCTTGGCAGAGAGTAACCTTTCTTGACAGCGGCACTTGGACGGACCGAAAACCTTTCTACTGTGGGGATCTAGAGGCATGAGCATGATGCTATTATGTTCGACAGCATTAATAGACCCCAAAACAAGACAGAACAGATCGTCGCGGTACTATGGTGGTATGAGGACGGCACTGATTTGCAGGGCACGGGTACTAATGAAGCATGTGGCGGGGTTGGGTTGCGTACAGGGGTGTGAATACATACATAATTGAGCGTGGATATACGGGATATGAGAGCGTTCGACAACTCGAAACGAACTGGTAGACCGCCTACCGCTCTGCCCGAGTCCTTAACGACGCTGGTAGTCCACGTTAAGGGGCCGCTGGAGAGGGCGGAAGGACGGTGGACCAAAGGAAGCGTAGAAAAGGTCTGGTCTAACCAAGGTAACCTCTCTTTGGGCCTGGAGTACTCTCCTGGATGAGGGCAAATAAAGTCTGCGTCCTTGGCATGCAGAGGGGGAGAGGGTTCCTGCTTTCGACTGTGAACACGATTGGAGAATGGCCACTCCTTTTCATCGGAGCAATATATACAAGCGCAGGTAGATTGACGATGTAATATACAGCGGCGGAATAGGTTCAAGAGGATGGGGTAACGAGATGCGGATATGAGATGTGATTTTTTTTTTCCCTCGACGATTTTTGAGCCGTACCACACGTACCATCCCAGACTAGACAAGACCAGATGAGTCTTCCCTCGGCGCTTTCTGCTATACGACCCGCTTCCTTGAGTGAGAGGACAGGGGGTTTGGTTGGCTTGTACAGGATAGGTGCAGGGGTTAGAACCGACGTACAGACGACGGTACTTAACATACAGGTAGATTCGGTTGACGAGGTCGACGTAGGACCGAGTTGAGGTAGCGGGCTCGTGAGCAGGCTTGTGGAGGGTAGACTCGAGTTGGGGAGGCCAACACACAACACCTCTAGGACACACCCCAATTCAGAATGGCCCACCTCGGTGAAATCCTCGTGAAGAGTCTTTTGGGAGAAAGATGGGCGTAGCAGGGGTATAGCGGTAATATCACGGCGGCCAGCCAGCCAGCCCATCGCGCATATTGCACAGAGGGTCTAGTCGCGCCGTTTGTCATGACAGGTTTGGCGAGCAGCACATCCAGCAACATCACCTCCACGTAGCGAGGTGGATTCGTTGCGTTTACCGATGGGTTCCTCGCTTGCGAGCAGAGGTAAAGGCCGGCTCGTTCCCATTGCCCAAGCACGATTCACACTCGAGGATCGAGAGGCACTGGAGGAGGGACGTGGAGTGCGAGCAGCAACCCAGGATGTGGCATGACTGGACGAATGCTCTCCCCTGATACCCGGCAGGCCCAGTCACGGTTGGTCTTGGCGAACATGGAGGCCCGCAAAGTTCCCCAAGGTGGATAGAATGCAGTCTCGTTCGGCCAGCATGTCGCCGAGGCATCACTATCGATTTTCGGCGCGATTCTGTTAGCAATTGGGGAGGCAAATCCTCCAATGTGCCATCCACTTCCCGCATCCCTTTGCTCGTCTAAGGTTCCCTGGGTCGCCTAGCGGCCAGATATATTCCCACCTCCCCATCTGCCATAGCGCGACGTCTTCCTTCCCTCCAGTTCATTCCCAGGTCAAGCTAAATGCATTTGCCAGATGGTGCAGAACTTGTGCGTGCCTGGAAGACCGCTGGTGATGTTATCCCACGGATGTCTATGTCTGGGGCTGCAAATCCTGAGGACGCCCGCCCCCAACCCTCCCGGGCAGATCAGTGGTTCTGGCCCTGTCTTCCCCGCGATCTCTCTGATATTGAGGACGGGTGATCATACAGGGAATGATACGACGGGCTTTCGGTCTGCCACTGTCTCGTAGATTGGCCCACCACATTACGGCCCGCGATCAGTAGCCGGCACTATAACCAACAGGTAGTTGCCAGACTCGACCACCAGATTAAGGGTCTGGAGTGGCAGCCGTGTGCGTTCGATGCTTTAAACGATGCTTGCCTAGGGCGTTAGATGTTGTTGCTAACGACGATGTAGGGTTGCAACGGCGTTATGGCGCTTCATGTCCATCCTGGCTGGGGCGTGGTCGCTCGCTGGTGGGTGTTCCGAGAACTGCCACGAGCTCGGGATGAATGAGGAAGAAGGGCACGGACGTGGGCGGAGGGGGATGCGGTCTCAAGACCTGGGGTAATCAACCCACGGGGAGTACCTTAGGTACCTAGGTCCTTACCTAATGTACCTAATACAGTCCCCGGCGGGCCGTTACCGATTAGGTACTTCCCTATGTACCTTAGGTACCGCTCTGCAAGCGCCAACTTTTACCGAGAAACGACACAATAAATGAATATTGGCGTGGCGGACTATTCGTATATCGGCATCTTCACCACACTGGCGAGGCTTTCTCCCCAGATCACCACCCAGCGCTCGAAGGCCGTCGTCACCCCTAGGTATTCCCGCTACGTCCGTCTGCGACGACACCGACACACAGCCTGCCTACTACATTGCCTATGCCGCGAGGTCGCATCCAATCTTTGCCTAGGACAAGGTCGAGGATGCGAGTTGGCGCAGATTGGACCAAGGTCGTAGGACCAAGCTCTCTCCAGCTTCCCGCGCAAGGTCAGGTCCCGAGGGCCGTGAGTCTCCTCCCCGGCCGCGTCTAGAGGCCATCTATGACGCGAAAGCGGCTCGGTACGCGTAGGTGCCGTACTTTGTTACGCGATTGTGCAAATCAGGGTTCATGGTACCCCAGAACTAGGGGTCTCCCGCAACCGACTTTGACGACTTCACACCACTCTGCCGTACCCGCGGCCCACACGGCAAACTAGACACGGCAGACCGCCCAAGCCCCCAAATCGCGGCCCGTCGTCGTCCTGTCATGCGATGGCGGCTTTAGTTGCTCTTCAAGCGCCACTATAGACAGGTACACGAGCACCCAGGTAGTGCGGCCTCGTCGTGTGTGCACCATTCTTAGTCGACCTGTGTTAACGGCCGAGATAGGAACGAACCCGTGCCGAGGCCGGGTCTTATAACTAGACATCCAGCGAGACCTTCGAGAAACAAAACGCCCCCCTCTCATTTTCCCCAGAATCGGCGCCGTTGATTCTGGATCGGACTTGTTTCGCATAACAATCTATGTCTACATCAGACGACGAACTATCCGCCCCCCAGGAAATTCCCCCAGAAAGTTTCCCTGCGATTCATCGTCGTGAGAGCCATACTCTAGAGGGCTGCCAAGCCACCCTGCCGCGTGTAGACGGGGATGTCAGTCACTCACTACCTCTTGTAACGGTCCTTTTATAGGGCCAAGCTCGAGGCACATCTTATTAGGTCTCCTACAAGGCCAGTACCGGGAAGAGTGAGCAGTATGTGGGTAGCATGCTGTATACCTACCTTTATTTTCACTCTGACATCAAATCACTCAGTAGTCTCACTGGGTTGACGAGGTCCCCTATTTGCTGATGACTGCAGTCCCTGCCGCGTCCGGCATTTAGACATAGGCAGTAGGTGCTGGGTGGGATGTCGTCGTAGCGCACCGATGACCACACCCCCCTCCAAGCCCTGTCACCTATTAGGTGAATAAGCGCCACTGTCGGCGTATTCGGATAGGCGTATGGATAGGGAGGGATCTTGGGTGTGTGCTGATTCGGCACGCCCTGCGCGTAGACAGGCTCTCGCTTGTCCCGACGGCGCTGTCTACCACGCATCGTGTAGGACTTTACACGCGCACACGCAGACACTATATGCATATTTACTTGGTGCTTGTTGCTGCAGGACACATTTAAGGTATCATTCTCCGCATTTGGTATTTGACTGGGGCGTTTTTCGGGGTATACAGGCCGGTGCTAGATACCAACTCAGAGAAGACCAAACCTGACTCCCAGCGGCCACAGTATTCGATACGACTGATTTCCTGGCGCTGCTGCTACTCATCAATATCACCTACCTACCACAACGTGCTCTAGGTCGTATCGTCGAAGGTCGCCTTGATGAGAGCACTGATACCTAGAGGGGGTCGATGGACTCCTGGCTGTAGATTCGACCCGAATCTCGGCCCCTGTTCACCAAGGGTGGCCGGACCGAATTTCCCATTCGCGCAATAAAACTGCATGAAGCGGTCGCAAGAGCTTCCTATTGGCGGTTTTCGGTCGAGGCCCGGATGTCTCTGTGTTCGAATCCCGTTTTTATTCCACGAACCAATCGAAGCGGCGAATTCTCTGTAAAAACCATATGTAGAGAAGCGATGCTCCTACTTAACTCTGCCAGGAAGATGGTTTTGTAGAGCTCAGCATTCGACTTACTTGCCAGAGAGCCGGGGGACGAAGTGATGAAGTCGAGAGCCGGAAATACGACACGCCCAATAGCTTGGTCCATCCGGGCTGCACGATCGTCAGCGAAGTGAGAAGCCTCGTGAAGCTCTTCCGGAGAGGATGCCACTCATCAGCAGCACGGAAGACACGACAACGGCAGATACGCCTTACTATACCCCTAAAATTCCTAAACGGGTATGGAAGGATATGCGTCCCACGTATTCCTAGGACTCCGTCGCAGACAACATGTAGACGCAGCCCGCGGTTGGCGCAGCAGCAGCACACCTACTACCGCCAGTACCACGCGACGAAGGGTGATCGGTCGGCTATTCCCATAAGACTAAAACCCGCTCCGAATTCCCCCAGGACGTAACGAGCGCCTACGAGTACAACGAAACGAGGAAAAGGAAATAAAGAAGAAAAGCCACCAGAAAAGGTCACCGTGTTCAAAGTACCGTGTCGTCAGTCGTGTTTAAGCTGGACAGTCGAGCTAGCATCGAGGAGGATCGGAGTAGTGCCGGGGCTAAGGGGTAAAAATATCCGACTGGCTTACAGGGAATAGTATGGACAACACCGTAGTAGGAACCTCACTCGACATACCGCGACCACGAGTGGGAGCTCGAGAGGCTCTCCTGCAGCACCAATCTACAACCATGTGTTGCTCTGCAGCTCCAGCCATTTGGGCCGATTCCACTGGTCGGTGGCTGCGAACTTATTACGTTCGTACCCCCCCTAGCTGGGGAATGGTTGTGCGGATTCCGTGCCAAGATAGTCGGGGTACGATCCAATGGACGCCGCAATTTGCGGCCCTGGGACTCGAAGCGGAACGAGGACCGACTTTCCACTGGAGTCGAACGAGGACCTGGTAGCTCCCGCATACGGAATTCCGCTTGGGCTCCCAGCGGGCTCCTTTTTTTTTTTTTTTTCTCTTCCTTCTTTTTACTGAAGGAGGGGAAGTGATTTTTTGGTATTTCGAGTGCAACACAAGACGCGACCGGAGAGAACGAACACGACAGATAGCGTAATACATTCCCAGTAGCTATCGATGCCCTCTCGGTCAAGTCAGGCCTGGACTTCTTCATCGGGAGCGGCCCCTGGCCTACAGCATTCTAGTTATGGCCCCGATGCCGTCGGGTTATATTACTGGGCTTCCCATATCAGTAACAAATCCCCCTCCAAAGCTCCCCAGGTAGATTGTACTACGATATACGTGCCTTACAGAACGCCGCGAGTTCCTGGGCAATTTCAGGCACGTCTAATGGAAACCGGGGTGGTGAGACTGCGGAAGCCGTATCGACAAGATTAGATTACCTCGACGATTAAGGGCCGCCCTCTGTTATGTGACCGACACGCCGCAGTCTCAGATGTTGTTGCCTCCCTCAATGCCCTTGCGGCATCTCTCCCGTGACGATCAAGTCGGGGGAAAGGAACAAAATAGATTGATACCACGTGTCGGTCTCCTTTTTGGGGTTGGTTGGGGTGTGCGTCCATGCTGGCACGGACTGGTGCTGATGGACCGGACCGTCAGCGCTCAGGGGTCTCTATTCGCACGACTTCGTCCCAATAGGGACGGATTCGTCAAAGACGTCTCCCGAAGGCTTCGGTGGTTGCTCGCGCCCTCCCCCCTTCAGACCCAGCACCTCCAAATAACTGAAAGTCTATAGCCCAGGCTTTAAGTACTGAAACTACACAAGTAAAGGCTCGTGTAGGAAGTGATCTGCGGCCTCTGGGTGATCTAGGTTAATGGCAAGCACCCAATATGTATGATTGACGGCCGCATGTGCTGTCAACTCGGCGGTACCGCATCTAAAAGATGCAGCGGAAGAGCAGACTGGCGCATGGGAGCTCCATCAGAACTTGAGACACGCCCAGGATACGTAGATGGGACGGCATCTCGACGTACATGCTAGCTAGCACTCGTGCCTGCAGCCATGTACGGCGTTTGTTAGGCCACGTCCAAAGCCTCCCCAGATTGTACGAGTGCGACGTGGTGTGGTATGCTCGCAGACCCTCCACAGGGCTTCACGTTCCCGATGTTCCGTTCGGTATTTCGTAGGATGGGCGGGCTCAGAGGCACGCCAGCCCTTCGCAGAAGCCGATCTACAAACGGAATGTTACCCTAGGAATGGTTGGCCTGCTCCCAAATCGGACTGTCCCTCCGAGGTGATCCATGCTGGTGCCATTCGATAGGCAGCGATCCAGGGCGGAACATGCAAGAAAGAAGAAGCGATTTGCATTGCAATATACCAAATGCCGTAGGCGTACAGCGGCCTTCCCCAGATTGCAATCGAGCTCGACGAGAGATTGAGGCTATCCGGCCTATTAGTTGTACGAGAGCGCGGCCTTTGCCAATCCGGAGCGGTCCTCCACCCTTCGATCCGGGGTCGCCCTTTATAAGACGCCCCGACAACCGACCCCTTTCGAGAAAAGATTGCCGTTGGATGATTGCACCCTGGTGGCTGGCAGGATCTTGGCCGCCCTCATTTGGTGAAACTCGGAGCTTTCCAGGCCCCGAACCGTAGAAAAAAGAAGAGATGATGAAAATAAAGAGTTCTCTTCAACGTGTTTACCTGCCTAACCTAGGTACTCTAGACGAAATAAGCGCCCCCGCAGCTAGGGTCCCTTCCTCCATAACGTAATGCCCCGGATACAGACGATACCGTGATGCGTTCCCTCCCATTCCCTTCTCCAGAGGTTGAGCTTGGCGGTCATGTGGCGATGTGCTGAAGCGCGCGGTGGAGAACGGTGCGTGCCACATCCACCGCAACCGACCCGGCGGCGGCGTGCCTCCGCGTCTGAATCCTAGATCATCGGCAATCACTATCTCTCGACTATCGTGGCGACTCACCTGCCCCTCCCCCCTCCTTTCTTTTCTTTCCCTAAACACTCTCTTCTGGGTGCCCCGGTCAGTATCGACAGCGGTCTATCGCTTGCCGCTGTCATGCCCTCGATGGGGTGGCCTAGGTATTAGTCTCCACAAGCGTATTAAGCCAGTCAGTCGATTGATGGATGAGCCAGGGAAAGCCGAAGTAGTGAAACTTCTTCCGTCCCCTCCTCCTGTCCCAGTCTCCCCTCCCGGTTTTCTGCCTCCCTCCCAGGCTCTGACTCACGGAGTCCCCCCCCCCCCTAAAAAGAGCATTGGTAGATGCCATCATAAGATAGACGCGGCCCGGTCCAGACCTGTCGTGATAGTCGAGCATCGCGCCACCCGCTACCCCCAAGTCCGCGCCTACGTCTGTCGGTAACACGTAGGCAGACAGGCCATATCTTTCCCGCCTTCTGCCTACCCGCTCGGAAAATTCCAGGTTGGAGAAACCTAGTCCCTCTTTGTCATGTGGCCGTGTTCCTCCGTGAGTAGTACTAATACCGTACGACCGAGAGTAAATCTGACTACGCCAACTATCCCCTGAATCCGTCCGTCCGTCCGTCCGTCCCTCCCAGTATTCACATCCCCTCCCCATATATCAAGCCGTTCAAAGAAGCTTTCGTCTCCTTAGCCCTTGACCTCTTTCCGCATGTCGAGACCCACCGCGTTCCTTTGCTTAACCCCCGCCCCCCCCCCCGGGTGTTCATGGATTGCCGAAAATCCGGGGGTGGAGCTCGGTTGTATTGGGCGCTCTTATGCCGCTCCTGGGCGGTCTTGGACTTCTTGGTTGTCACGACTCTTTTTTTCCACCTTCATATGCGACTGAAGCAGATGCACTCGGACGCCGCCATCGCCTTGGCGCTAGAGCGATGGCCGTGGTTTGCAGAATCTCAGATGTTGACCTGTTGGTCAACACGAGGATGAAATGCAGGTGCTTCTATCAGTGTATCTATGCATTGGCTGTTCTTTATATAATATGTAAGACTTGGGTTAACTATCTTATTACGCTTCTTAAAGCTGTTATGATATGTAATCGCTGTACCTACATATTTTGGTTAGAGCACTGCTTGGCCTGTTTCACTAGCATAAAACTTCACGTCGCTGCCGTGAATTAAGGCTCATTAAAAATTACTTTTTCCTTTTCTGCTGCTATTTTACTTTTTGGTATCTATACTGACGGGAATCATTTCGAGCATGGCCTCTGTTTGATGGACACATTGGAGTCAATTGTTACGAACTATACGAAATGACTCGCTTTATGCAAAGCACCAATGGTCTGGCGTAGCGATAAACCTCGCACTTTCGTCCCGTATCGCAACTACAGGCCTCTTCCCTGATCTCGGTATCTGATCTGTCACTTAGCATACCACGGGAGTGGTCTATGAAGTCTGGGGTAGCCGTTACCACATGCAACGGCGGAAAACGTGGCTTTATGCCTGTGCTTCTTGTAGGTCGATGTTCTGATTTAGCCGCATCCTCACTCGTGGTAACTGCCCTGCACGGTTCCGCGACTCCGTGTCTGATCTACAACGCACGCAACAGGATACGAGTAGTAACTCCATAGCTCTTCTGAGAATCCGCGTATCCACCACTGAGGTTGTTCGGACGAAACGTGGACGATTATATAAAGCGGCAACTACGACGATCCACACTACATCGAGCCTAGCCATAACCTGGAGTTCTACGATGGTAAATAGGGGTCAGGGGTAACGGGTTCGAGAACCGAGTCGATTTCTAACTACTGCTGGAGACTGTGTCGGGATTGTGTAATACTTGGTTAGAAATCAGCTCGATACAAGCCCGGGGATAGCTGTTTCATAGGTATCCAAGGTGGTCATTCACTCTACTTGTGACGCTTAAATATTATAATGTACGAATGGAATCCAGGATTCATTCTATCATCAACCATCTTGGCCTACTCTGGGTACCGGGTAAAGAAGGTAGGACTTCGCAGAGAGTCATTCGAACTACGAGCATGGCTTTCTCGTCGATCGAAGGGGATGGTAGCTGACACAATATCGTGAAGTAAGCGTCAGTTATAGCTGTACTAGACGTGGTCAAACTGAGGCGCGGTGAGAATGATAATCGTTGGTGGTGAGTGAAGCAGTGTAGAAATGGGTAAAGGTGCTCCTCTCGACAATACCATAGTATCGTTCTTCTATAGTGTATCGTAATGGCCGAGCCAACTACTCGGCTTCATCTTCTCGGCTACTTCCACCAAAAAATAGGACGGGCAGCATCCCTACTCCACTCAATACACGCATATCAATGTCACGTATCACGTATGGCTCTAGCGAGTCCGTAAGGCTAACCATTTATGGGAGCAGAGAGGGAGGCATATCAGGCGTCCAGAAAATAATGTCTAATAAATCATGGTGATTTAGATGCTCAAACGAGGCCGGTAATACGCACCAGAGCCGTTATATACGCCGTATTTTCCCATGACTCTAATTCCTACGCATGCCAACCTTCCTTACCCTTAGTGTCCCTAGAGCTGACTGTAAATGGTCCTGCGCACAGTCGATAGCGCTGTCGAAGAAAAGAGCCTGTAGAGCGTAGAATGGGCGATTCGGTATACATAGAACATCGATCCGTTGGGGCTACTACTCCAAATGAGGTAGGTCCCATCCGTCCACGGAGGTGTTCAGGTTGCCCAGAGACTCGAAGTTAAAGTCCATGGGAGCAGGTAGAGGGCGTCCAGCATTGTTTGGCTGCGCGTTGGACGTGAATATGAACATAGATGGGTCGGATACGTTTATCCCGGAAGCACCGTTTCCCATATTCCACGCGTCAAAACTCGACTGCCAGTTGACGCCGTCTTTGAGGTACCAGTCTTGGCCGTCTACCGCATAGGTCGTCGGGTTAGACCCTCGGCTTCGCCCGACGTTATGTGGCGAGCGGTTAGGCCTCGTGGCGGGTGTCGAGGCGTAACTCCGGGGATAGTTGAGGATCGTTGGGGTTCTCTGAGGCTGCTGCCACTCGGGGGTAGTGAGCCCAGAGTCCGTGTCCAGTGGTATTGTATTGCTCATGATGGTTACGTTGTCGATTAACGATTGTGTGTCAGGCTGGAAATCGGAGGGGGATGGGGCGACGCTATCGATTATGCAAGAAGAAACGATTGACGCCGAAGCAGCCATCGAGGGCGCAGTGGGGGCAGTACTTTCAGTAGCGAGGGCAGCATTGCTGGGCTGTTCAGTGTTCGTATGCGGCGGTGTTGATGTGATATTGGTTAGGGGTGACGAGGATGCAGTTGTATGAGACCGGGGAGAGGGGACATCAGATGTCTTGAAAGTGCCCCATTTCTCATCCGTACGTCGTAGAACATGGGAAGCTTCGTCTGGAAGCTCGACGTTCCACTTGCGGGCGAGGACGCTGATGATGCTGAGGGTCCGCCGCCCACAGAGCCAATCTTCGGCGATCTCTTCAAGGTGTTTCACGCCGTGGATGATGTCCCGCCTCGCCGTTTTCTCGGGGAGGTTTAAGATATGTATGGTACATGCGGAATGTAGCATGTATACCGCAATATTGCAAATCTGGCGCAAGTTATACAACTTCTTATACAGACGCATCAGTTTAGAGATGGCGCCCGCGTTTGCGGTGCATATTCTCCGCGGAGACACATGAAGTGGTAAGGGCGACGTCGTGGGGGAGTATTTGAGGAAAGGCCGGAACAGATGGATGTATTGAAGATGGAAGAACATACTATAGCAGTTAGTCGGCCTATTAGTAACGGGTTATACATGAGAAGAAACGAGACAACGCACTGCACGAGGATGACATTGGGTAATTGTCCCTCCTTGGGCTCGAGCTCCTTGGGCAACTCTTTCCGCCAGTCCTCGAGGCGTCTGTGTAGTTCGCTAAGCTTCTTCAGCTCGACCGACTTGCCGCTTGACCGGCCTATGTGGTTTGGGTGGTAAAAGAACAGCAGGAGATCGCTGCTGATCTCACACAGCTTAGACAGCTGGAGGCCAACAGTGCGAGTCCGTGATGGCTGCCTCGCAGACTCGTCGAAGCCAGCGTCGGTGTACGGACACCAGGCCTCGGAATCCTCGTCTGGGAAGACGTCGTACTTGGGGACGCTATAGGAATTCTTCGGTATCTGCGGAAGTCGACCAAGGTAATTCGACCAGCACTTGTCGAACAGGAAGCAACCCCAGAACGTGACTCTGCGCGCGTCGATCTCTTGCTCATCCAGGTTCTCATTGTCGCTCCTGATGCCACCGATATCGAGGTTGAGCCCCAGGTCCTGCGCCATCCTGAAGCTCATCCCGCTATAAACCCATCCCTTGGCCTCCCGACCGCAGCCGGCCTCTCGAACGGACATCAGAGCCAAGGCCTGGACCGTCGCCAGTCGCGGCTTTTCGTACTCGTCGTTGTCGACGATCAGCCTCTTGGCTTCCGCGAAGAAGTGGTCGCCCTTGGTCCAGCTGTCTCCGACAGTGGCGTAGGCGCAAGGGGCGTCACTGAAATGACACCCCAGGGCAAGCATGGCGTTGACCAGCAACGGCGAGCAATACGCGGTCTTGTTGGGCCCGATGTTAGATCGCCCGCTGAGGAAATCTCGATAGAACAGCTTCCGGGACAGGGTCGTAAAGTAAGGGTAGTGCCAGTTGAAGTACATAGTGAGGAGATGCTTCACATCTTCCGCGCTTGTTGTTACTCCAGACCAACTGGTTACAGGGTCAGCATCGGCGGCGGAGGGACTTTGGGGCACAAATTCCGGATTGGGAGCACCGTGAATGTCCCAATGTATGAGGTGCGACGTGCCGCCGATGAAGCGCGTCGACCCGTTCTCGACGCGCAGTTCGCCCATCTTCCGAGCGAGATCCCTCTCGCCTTCGACGGGCATATCGGTGGTGTAGTCGCCGTCTACCTGGTCCCCATCCTCGGCCGCCTCGTCGGCGAAGTCTTGTTTGAGTATCGACTCCGCTACGGCGTCCAAGCTATCACACGTCCGTATCCGCCTGACGATATCGGGGACATCGTCCTCTTCCGCGTTGAGTATGGCTTCGATGAGGATTTGGAGGGTGGAGGTTCGCGCCTTCATGCTGTCGATCTTCTCTCGGTAGACGCCCTTTCGCCGATGGTCCGAATTGGGGTCGTAGACGCACTCGGTGCCGTAGACGCTCGCGCACGCAGCGCAACTCGGGAGGGCGCCGTCGCATTTCGATTTCCGCCGCCGGCAGGCTATACAGGCACTGGAGAAACCGTATCAGCCTCGGTCCTCTCTCCACCGGCAAACAGACAGAGAGACTGGCGGGGGAAGATTTGCACATACGTACTAACGCACCGACGCTTCTGAATGGAGGCGTCTCCGCCCCTCCTTTGTTTCTTCTTGACAGGGGGCAGAGGAGCGGCGCGATCTGATTTCTGGGACTGCAAGTCGGATAGATCGGACCCGTCCATAGCAATTTATCTGTTGCGGCGCCCGCCCAGGTGGCACAGGCTCTAGAATAGATGTGTATAGTGGAAAGGCGAGCGTAATAAAAACAAGCGAGAGGGCGGGACTTTTTAAGGCGCATGCAGGCTAAGGATTCGTGAACATGGATCTGACCTAAGAACAGCGATCCCCGGGAACTGCCGCGGAGTGGACCGACCCTACCGATCTCTAGGAATTTAGATCAGTCCAGGTAGACGCAGAATCGACCAATTGGCAGGTCGAAGGGCGTTGACGAGGGTGCTAAGTTACGTAGGGGCGTAGACACGCACGGATGGAGGCGTGTAGACGACGTAGATGGCGATATAAGTTGACGGTTGGCATGCTGTGGAGAGAGAGAGAGATGGAGGGAGAGAGGTCGCAAGCCGGTTCCCCCTTATTAGTGGCTCCATGAATCACGACGCCTCCTCTTGGTAAAAGCGACGTGATGGCGCACACATGGCAATGACCTAGCGCTCATTGGCCCGCCACAGGGCCGACGAGCTCGATAACATCCTGGGAATGGGTCCATGATCCCGTCGTGGGGCTCAAGCGAAAATCTGGGGCTTGCAGGCTCGAGATAAGCATCGTTCGCTGCGCCGTCAGGGGTCGGGGACTGCGCGCCAACTGCGTATGGCTCTGAGGCACTCTTATCTACTATATCCACTCACACCAGACGGCTACTTTCGAAGAACGAACCAACGCCCAGACGCTCTTATAAACGCCTACTTAGATGGGTCTGCATGCGCACGGATAGGCGTGCGCGGATTATAAGCCGCACGGGAAGAGAGAAGAGGGAGCAGAACCCGAAGGGACTCGAGGTTGGTTGCTCAACTGCTCTAGTCAGCTTACCGCAGAAGACGACAGAAGAGAGATGAGACGTCCTGGTGAAACCCGAAGCTGCTCCCGCCTATCACGCAACAACAACTCTCGAGACATGGAGGATGAGTGCATATACATACGCGGGATGAGAAACGATAGGTATACAAGGCAGATAGTTGAGAAATTGAAGCGCTGAGCTAGGAGTGTGTAATGCGGAATTGCCGGGCTCTTCTTCTACCAGTCCATAAATATCCCAAAACGGCCGTCCATCTAAGTATTCGAAAACACAACACGCCGTGAGTGTGGAACTTGCCAAACCGCCCCCTGAGGATGCCAAGTGTGAGAACCCGCGCTACTGATACAGAGACCTTACAAATTCATACACGATCATACAAATACGACGAGCCCGCCCTGGGGAAAAGAAGAGGGCCAAACTGCGAGGTAAAACAAACAGGGAAAAAAGATGCACGATCCACGTCCGCTCATGCTTGCGCCTGCATGCCAGACACAGGTGCATAAGCGCGCGCCACGATGCTTATCATCTCAGCTCGGGGCAGTTCCTCGAGATGTCGCAAGCGATCTTTTCCGCCAAGGCATCTGAACGAGCGGTCCCGTTAGCACAGATCTAAGGAAGCAATCGTGGCTTATGTGACGATACGAAAAAGAATTTTCCAAAAAAAAAGGAAAAGAAAAAAAAAAGCACTTACAGACCGTGGCCAACGGGTGGCCGGGCGGCAAGAACGGGAAGGCCGATGCGTCGACGACGCGCAGGCCCTCGACGCCGTACACGCGGGCGCGGGGGTCGACGACGGCCATGGGGTCGGTGGGCTTGCCCATGGCGCAGGTGCTGGCGCCGTGGAAGATGGTGTTGAAGTTCTTGCGGATGGCGTCCTCGATCTGGCGGTCGGTCGCGACGCGGGGGCCGGGGAAGGCCTCGTCGGCGGCGCCGGGGCGGCGGCCGACGGCGAGGCGGCGCATGGCGTCGGTCTGCCAGAACTCGCGGGCGCGCTTGAAGCCGGCGACGGCGACGTCGACGTCGGCGCGGTCGACGAGGAAGTTGGGGTTGATGGCGGGCGCGACGGCGGTGTCGCGCGAGGTGATGGCGACGGACCCGCGCGAGCGCGGCGCCCCCAGCACCACCGCCAGCGACGCGTAGTTGAACCCGTCGTGCGGGTCCGCGCCCCGCGAGTGGTTGCCCTCGCCCAGGTAGCTCCCCAGCGTCACGTACTCGACGTCGGGCCAGTCGGCCGGGTGCGCGTCGAGCGCGCGCACCGTCGCCGGCGCCATCCCCCGCCGCAGCCGCTCCGGCAGCTTCTCGAACCCGAGCATGTCCGTGTTCGGGTTCGTCAGCATCCCCGCCGCCCCGTTCACGAACAGCTCCGTCTGCGCCGCGTAGAACCCCGGGTCCAGCAGCGACGACGTCGTCAGCACGTTGACCCGGTGCGTCACCCCGAAGTAGATGTGGTCCTGCATGTTCTGCCCAACGCCGGGTCGGTCCGCGACGACGGGGATCTGCGAGAGTCATCGTTAGTACCCAGCGCCAGGTGGGAGATAAGTACTTCTCTTCGCGAACGAGCGTATATAGGTATAGATAGCTGCGTCGTGGAAGTACGCTTTGTACTTACTGTCGGAAGGTTAGCACAAACGGGTTACTTTCGTGTAGGCAGAGACTTCAGACCGAGCTGGGTGCAGTGCCTTCTGGGGAGGGGTATGAATGCGAACCTTTTAACCCCTTGAGTAGTTTTGCTGGGCCAACACCAGAAGCTTGCAGTAATTGTGGCGATCCGAAGACTCCGCTTGATACGATGACCTCCTTGCGTGCAGATAGCGTGTATTGCGTCCCCATAGTATCAACCCGAACGCCAGCAGCCTTTTTTCCTTTGAATAGAATTTGCTTGCCCTGAGTTAGGTGGTAGACGGTCAATTCAGGGTATTCGAGGCCCTTTTGAAGAAAGGACGTCTCCGAGGAGTCTCGCAGCATAGTATCGGCGTTGATCGTGAATATGTTGTAAGAGTGCCCCAGAAGCTCGCCGCTCTGGAACCCATCTCGCGGGTTAATACCGATTTGTTTAAGTCCTTGGCTCGCCCACGTAGCGAACGCATGCACGTAGTTGGCAAACGATAGAGAAAGGGGACCGTTTCGGTTGTTCTCGGCTAACACCTGGGCGTCGTACTGGAGTGTTACGTTGTCGAATTGTAGGCGGTTCCTGGGAGGAGTGAAGTTCCCGCTCTTCCGGTAATAAGGGAGGAACTTTTGGAACTCGTAGCTACTGTCGCCAACAGCATCCGCCCACATCTTGCTAGCCTGTTTATTGGGGCGTTGGTACACCATATAGTTGCGACCTGAACACCCGCCGAGCATCTTGCCTCTACCGTAGTGTATAGAGACACCGTAGGCACCCTATGTGACAACCCGAACAGTTAGATTCGTCACGGCTTGTGTGTGTGTTAGACAACTGCCACTTACAGCTTGAGGAGTTGTCACGTATCCCCAGTCGGCCAACGGCTGCCAGTCGTCGGGACTCTTGCCAACATACACATAGTCGGTAGCCGGCACCTGGCTGAGATTTCCGTTGCCGAGTTCGTAGAATGTGCCCGCTTCGACGACGGCGACACTGCCGGCCTTTTGCTCGACTAGCCGTGTGGCTATAGTGAGACCAGCGGTTCCGCCACCAACAACGACGTAGTCGTAGGTGGCGTCGTCTCCAGGAATGCCAAAGGATGATCCGGTAAGTCCTTGTGTATCGAATTTTATCGGGCCGCCGAGCGCCCAGCTCACGAAGAGAGCCGTAAGAAAGGCGGGTTTGAGCATGATGCCGACTCAAAGCTTCGCAAACGAGTGAAGATATTGGCTATGGGTACAAATGAAATGGGTAGCAAGGAAATAAACGGGAAAGCAGAAGAGTACAAATGAATGACTATTCTGTGATGACGGTGGTTCCCTGACTCTAGAATGATGATTAGAACGTCTGAAAGCCTCCTTTTATAATCTTTCTACTGAAGCTTAATAGGGGGCGATCACGATTCCATACATAATAGTCCGAAGTGGTAATCACACCCAACTACTATTGGGAAGCCTCCAACTCTTCGCCTCGTTTCGATAATGGGAGGGATCGTTAACTGAGGGAGACACGCCAGCTCTCTCGTCCTATGTTTCCTCAACTCGGCCTTGCCTTAGACTAGCAATAGCTTCCGTAAACGTAAGACTCTAGGGCCTCTGTTGACTCACCTGGCCCCTAGGTGGCTGTAAAAACCATAGCCGACCTGCTCGCACCCGCGGAGACGCAATCCCGCCGCGTCAACAAGGGGTGTGAAGGACGATGATGTGACTTCATAATTCTGAGAACGCGATGCCCTATCCGCTGCTGAACGTCGAGAGGATTGTCGTATAGACCGGGCCGTGTCTGACTTCTTCTCAGCTGGGGCTTAACGTCGTTTAGCTGAGGCTGTCGCGAATCATGCGCAGCGTTCAGCCCTATTTCGGAGGCTGAATATGGAGGGCACCAGACTTTTTGGCGTTGGCATGGCAGGATTCCTCGTCCATCACGCGAGGAGGCGAGACACGAAAAAATCAACTATGCTGCCCCCTAGGTCACGCATGTAATACACGCCGACGGTAGATCCCGTGGTACAGCAACTGGGCCATGTTCAAAGCCATCGTTGATGGCGCATTCCTGACAACGAAGATTACTAGGATGTATCTTGTAAAGTGCAAACGCAAGTCCTCGATAGCAGGTTGGGCTATGGAAGGAAGGATAATCGTGCCATGTTAAGTCTAGAGGCCAATAGTTGGTGGTGATGGCCTCCTACTATTCATAGAACTACTACCAGCCCTCAGGAACAGACTATTTATGCGGCGCGTGCTTTCTACGCCATGCGGGATGGGCATGGGGTAAGATAGGCGAGGTGTCAAATAGGAGAAGCAAGAACTCGGACTACCGCATTCAGTATAGATTTGAGCTATTTGACATATTATTGCGCCCCGAATCCTCCTTGGGATAACATGAGCGGCGTAGTTAACACCCTTTTCCTTGGAGCACGGCATCTAGGACTACTCGTCCGTCCCCGGGGCCGAATCTCAACTACTAATACTTCAACTACTAATACTTACCCTTGGTGGATCCCTCCCCGGCAGGCAGCGTGGCAGGGTCAGGGCTATATACACCCGGCAAGCTGGTAATACGGATAATTGCGAGCCGATAGGACGGGGACCGGCACTAGATTCCCGAATTCATGGTCCTCGAATCTAGACTCCCACTCTCCCTCTCTCTCTGGCCTTCATCTCGTCAGCGCACCCAATGGGAAGCCAGAGAGGTAGACGCGGGCTGGGCAAAAAGGGTAAGCATATCGAGACTCGACGTGCAGCTGCGCTTCTAGAAGCACTCCCATCCCTGACTGCCATGCGCCCAGCATTACCAATCCAGGGGTCCGGGAAAGGGGGGAGAGGGCGCCCAGCCGATCGCAAGCGAGGTAGGTTACCTCTGTTGCACGACGCATGCGGCGCTGGCGAACGACAGGCTTAACCCCATGGCGTTGCCGCCTTCATCTTACATGCGTCGGGTAGATTCTCGTAGTGACAATCGCGTGGGTTCTGCGTCGCGTGCCTTGCACACACAGGTCTCGAAACAGCCGTGAAAACCCGAGAGGAGACTAGGAATAACAATGGGGCATGTTCGTCCGTAACAAGGTTGACGTGGTGGAAGATATATATACAGGGCTTGAAATGCAATACATATACACATATATATACAGTTTATCCCTTTCCTTCTATATACCCAACCCTCCCTGTAGTGTCATCCGGCTCGTGATAGTAAAAATAAGTCGTACAAGAAACGGCGACCCGCCCGTTCCACCAGCGAGAGCACTCTATGCCTCGGATACGTATGACCTTAGACTCGTCCGCCTGGGACCTCTACGCCTTGGGCCTCTACGCCTTAGGCTTCTTGGTCTTGGGCTTCTTAGTCTTGGGCTTGGTGGGTTGGGGCTTAGCCGGCTTGGGGGCTGGCTTCGGCTTCGGCTTGGACTTGGCCGGGCTCTTGGTCTTAAACTCGCAGTTGTGCGGGTTGCCGAGACCCTCGCGGGTGGGCTTGCTGCCGATGCCGCAGAACTTGAGGTCCTTAGTGTAGTAGACGCGCAGGGGCCCGGGGCGGTTGCCCGCCTTCTTCGAGTTGAAGGCGTAGGGCTTGTTGGTTGAGAGCAGGGGAAGCTCCCAGACGTCCTTGGTGCAGCCCTTGGCGAACTTCATGACCTTGCCTTTGTTGTCGAACTCCTTAGGGTAGCCGCTGGCGCCGGTATTGGTCTTCGCATTGCGGAAGAAGCCGATGGCGCGGTCCTGGCTGACTTCGCCAAAGAGCTCGCCCTTGTTGGTGAGGCCACCACGGCAGATATAGGACTAGGCGTCGGCGCACGTTAGTACGGAGACCGGAAGGGGCGTCGCCGCCGAGGGGAGCCTCGGGCGGTTGAGGCGGCACCGTACCTGACCAGCGCGGGCTTCGAGGGAGAACTCCTCGTTAGGCACGGGGGTGGCGATGACGGCGGTAGCCGCCAGGAGGGTGAGGATGTTAGTAACGCCGACCATGGTGACTCAAGTTCTTGGGTTGAGAAGCGAGGGTATGCTGTCTAGCAGTATAAACGAAAGTAAGAAGTGACTATGCACTTGGATAAAGGAGTGTGAGGTCAAGAGGAAAGGACTGTAGATTGACTCGAAGGTCAAGTTGGTTTGTGAGTTGTGCTTGGTCGTTCTCCGGGTCTCATATGAAGGCGATCGGGATGGATAGATATATACCTGTCGCCGGGCCCTCGAAGCCCCTTCAAGGACCGACCGGTCGTTCCTAGGTTTTCCATCCTAGCAATGAGTACGGAGAGTAGCGATGTTTCGTCTCTGTATGGACTTGCAGTCAGCGTGGCCGTGTAGGCTACCCGAGATGGTCAATGAAGGGAATCTCCTATCCATCTATCGGCGACCGGAGACCCTGTTTCTACAAAGCCGTCACGAGAGAGACGGGGGTTCCGGCCGAGCAAAGAGAGTGCACATAGAACGTCGGGGCGGATACCTCTAGGCTCCAAGGGGTGGCGGGCGAGGTGAAGGATCCGATGATCTCGAGGCCTGAAACGGGCGTGCGGCCGCAAACCGACGCTAGCAGGATTCGAGGGCAAGAGAGAGGGCGAGAGATGGATTCCGTGCCACCACGCCGCCTGTGTCCTGGGCGTACCTATTTGCATCAGCTGTTAGTCCCTGAGGTGGGCGTAGGTGAGATCTATCGACAAGAGCACGCAAGCAGGCAGACATAAACTGACAATCAGTTATCAATACCTACCAACCTACCACCCCTTACCGACAAGGCCGTAAATTATCGTGCATCTCCCTCGTCATCTCGCCGTCCCTCCTTAGGTACATACCTACCTACCTGCGGGAGGTACCTCTTCTTAACATGTCCGCTGCCTGGAGCTACGATATCTGCGTCCCGAATCCATGAGAGACGTGTGAACTCGGAGTGAGCAGGGAGGTATGTCTAGGTAGGTAGGTACGCAGAGGTTTGCCGTGTCGAGGAAGAGGTACCTAACCAGACCTAGGTTACAGACCTGATAGCGCCAAGCAACAGGTAGATTAGGTCCCTCTTCCTACCTGTAGGCACCGAGGTTAGGCGCCTCCTTTTAACGTCTTGCAACGAATACGTTGGTAGGTATTTAGGCGCGTACCTTAGGTACTTAGGTAGGTAGTCGACTCCAAGTAGCCCCTCGAGATACCTACCTATGTACCTACCGTACCTTGGAATGAGGACTTCAGGTAGGTGAGTAATCCGAGGGGCAAAGGCCCAGGGGTTCGGTACTGAACCCTACCTGTAACTGGGAATTTAGGCAACGAAATTCGACGGTTCGCGTTCGTGGCACCGCCCGGGATGCGAAGCTCGAAATACAACGGGTAGGTATAAGCATAAGAGATACTCATAAGGCTCGTATGGTGGCGCGGTTTCGAAGTGGCACCCTGGGCTTTTAATAGACAACCCGCTCACCTTCGCCTCGTGTCTTCGGGGCAGGCCAGGAAATTGTGCGCCTCAGGTAGGTGGACGGCACGGCGAGCTGTTGTTTTGCCCATATTGAATAGCGTCCGCCAGCACCCAACTGGTCGGCGCACCACGTCATTGGCGCGGCCGGGAATGGAGGATATTTTTAGACGTTGGCCTCTTTCTTTACTCCCATGCATGCCGCCCATTAACCATTGCACTTCTGCTAGGTCTCCTTGATCGTGTGTGACATTGGATTCAACGGGAGATGAGAGCGAAAGGGAGACAGCAACTCTTTTCTTCTTCATCTCTTTCTCTTTTTTTCTCATCATCTTTTTGCCTGTGTTGCAACGATCTTCTCCCACATCCGCCCCAGGCCGAATCCCAATCCAGCCCACGAGAGCATTCGTCTTCGAAGTGGCCGACAGAGGGTCATCGCCTTTCTGCTTCTCTTGCTTACCGTATCCGCCCCGTAGTGCTAGGGAGCAGAGAGAAGAAAGGACGAGAGAATAGAATAGAACGCAGAACAGATTGATCAAACCATGCCGCACGTGCAACTCAAGATCGAAGACGAAGCCGCACCAGACTTCGCGCCTGGCGTGGTTGAGATTCTCAACTCAGCCTTCGCACCGGAGAATCCGACACCGGCCCGCGAAGCCGCCCAGGCCATCGACGCTCTCTGCATCGAGGATTATGAGAAGAACGGCACGGCAAGCTCGACCCTGTGGTGGTTCTGGGATCTCATTCACGACCTGGCTCGCCAGGTCCCCTACGACAGCCCCGAGCAGGACCGGCTAGCGGCGGTCATCCAGGCGCTGCACGACCTGCCGCCGAAGACGGTGAACCTGGGCGAGGACTGGGGCCTCGGCAGCCAGAACCCCGTCGAGATATGGACCAAATTCCCCATGTTCGGCAACACGCTCTACGACAAGCTCAACGGCGACAACGACTCGCGGGCGCCCGGGGAGGTGCAGAAGAAAGAGCGCCGCGTCAACATGCAGGCGTACGCGGCGAGGGTCGCGGGCCTGGGTCTCGTCCCCTTCGAAACGTATGCGATCTGGGCGCTCGTCGACGCTCTCGAGGGCACCATGACGCCGATCCGGGGCGCGCCGGATGAGGTGAACGAGGACCCCGCCGCGGTCGAGGACATCTCGTACAAGGTCAAGGCGGCCGCGATGTGGATCATCCACGGCGGGCACTTGTTGTACGGGCGCGACGAGGAGGTGACTGGCGCGACGGCCGGCCCGCTGTGGAGGCTCCCCAAGAAGGAAGCGAACAAGCTGCGCCGCAAGTTCAGAGGGACCGACGGACTATGCCCGCTGCGATGGCAGCTGTGGAAGGAGAGGTTCGCCGTCATCCGGGACACGGACGCGCTGGACGCGGTGACGCGAAAGCAGGCCGGCGATGCGTACGCGGCGATGGACAAGGTCGAGAAGAGCCAGGGGGCATGAAGCATGGACGCGAAGAGGAGGATGGTGCTTTTTAGCAATTGTTCTTCATTTAGATCTGGTAACGATAACGAGTAACAGGCCGAACCCGCTAATTCCGCCATCACGTACCTGTTGTGTATGTACGGGTGTTGGAGACGAGAGCCCTGGTCAGCTGCTCGATTTTTTGCACAGGTATCGCTTATAGGTACCTGGTGTAGGCGTATATGCGCTATCCCTAGTCCCGTCCGGTCGAGATACCGTAGGCAGGTAAACACGTAAAAGACAGGGGATGCGAGGGAACCCAGCACCGACCTAGGTGCTAGGTATGTACCTAGCAGTAGGCAGTAAGACACGTAGTGAGGTGCGTGGTGGGTTGCTGGGACCGGGGAACGATCCCGACAGGGAGCACATCCTCCAAAACTACCCAACCCCGCTGCCCTCATTCCTCCCGCAAAACATACCAGGGGATTGCTGCTGTCGGTTCTGCAATATCGCGGTATCTGGTAGGTGCGAAAATCCGGGGAAGATTAACGGGACAGTATTATGTGCCGGGGCCTAGCAGTAGCAGGTAGGGGACTTACACACGGTCGTCTTGGAGTTGGGCGGGAGGGTTGTCACTTGGGTACGAGTAACACATCTGCTCTCGTTCTGGTTTTAGCGAACAGATAACTTTTATTTGGATTCTTTTTACACTTGGTATCTGCAAACGAGCCGTTATCTGGGGGGACATTCGTCTAGTAACTGCGAGATCAAGGGAGCTTGTGCTCGTTGGCCGAGCTCGCCCAACACGAAAACAAAAATAGGTGGACACACGATAACACCCACATCCATACTCTACATCTCACCAACACACTTCACCCATACACTACCCCCGTACACCGACACACACAAACACACAAACCTCTACATCTCTCAACTCCTATCGCCATATCATGCCGTACTTATTTTCACAACTGTATGCAGTGTCTTCTTTTGTCGTAGGCCCCCTTAGATGGTAATGACGGCTCGGAAGCGAACGTTGCCGCTCAACATGGCATCTTTCGGAGAAACTCGAGTCAGCAGGGGGGGGATTCGTATGTAGAGACAGTGCGGACGTATGCTTACCGTAGGCTTCTTGGGCCTTGTCTAGAGGGAATTCCTGCACGACGGTCTCGATGTTGTGGCTGTTGGCAAAGGCGATGGCCTCGGCCGAGTCGCCCGAGTGACCGCCGGGCCAGCACTGGACCGAGACGCCGTACTTGAGCATGACGAAGGTGTCGACGGGGACCTCGCCGGGGACGCTGAGGATGAGCAGCTTGCCGAGGATGCCCGCGCCCTTGAGCAGCGGCGTGATGGCCTCGGCCGTCCGGGCCGTGCTCACGATGAGCGACGCGCCGCCCAGGTTCTTGAGCGCCTCGCCCGGGTCGCCCTTGGACGCGTCGATGTACTCGGCCGCTCCCAGCTCGCGCGCCGCCCTCTCCTTGTCCGCCCCGCGCGAGATTGCGATGACGTGGTAGCCCATCTGCCTCGCGTACTGGATCGCGAGATGGCCGAGCCCACCTAGGCCCTGCACCGCTACCGTCGCGCCCGGCTTGAGGCCCATGTTGCGTATCGAGTTGAACACGGTGACGCCGGCGCAGACGAGGGGCGCCGTCTTCGCCGCGTCAACGTTGGCGGGAATCGGGATGGCCGACTCGGACCGGATCAGACAGTACTCTGCGTCTGCGATGCGCGCCAGCCGAGTTAGTCTTCCGCGGATACGCGCGACGGGTTAGGTAGAGGAGTGGTTCACACAGGAAGCACGGTCACTTACAGCCGCCGTTCTTGTTCTCCCCGTTGATGATAGGCGCGTCGCACATCTGGAAATACCCTTGCTTGCAAGCCCTGCAGGTGCCGTCGTGGCCGCCATGCCAGCCGGAACCGATGCGGTCACCCTCTTTCCAGCCGGTCACGCCCTCGCCAACGGCGGCGACCTTTCCGATGATCTCGTGGCCAGGAACAAGAGGGAATCCTCCGCCCATCCCATTGTATTGAGCGTACACTGTAAAAGGCCGAGTTAGTAATAGATCTGCCGAAGGACATGTCCAGTGACCGCGTGCTGGCTCCTGCGTGATCCTAGGACTACATGGCGAACAAGGAGGAGCGAGAGGAATAGGAGGAGCGGGAGGAATAGGCAAACGGCTAACTCGTAAGCCGAACCCCGAGTCCGAATATACGAGACGGAAGGCCACGTACTATCGGAGTAGCACACGCCACAAGCGTCAACCTTCACGAGGATCTCCCCCTTGCTCGGAAGCTTTAATTCGGTCTGCTCGATGGTCAAAGGCTGACCCTGAGCCTTGAACACAGCCTGCTTGTAGGTCTTGGGGAGAGACATGTTGTCTGTCTTGATCTCGGGCTTGGTACTGCTAAGGTTGGTGCTGCCGTTGGTTGTGGGTGTTTTTGGGGATGGTGCTTCGGTCTTGGGAGAATTCGAAGAATGACTTAGGAGGCGCTTAAGCTTTCCCCTGAGTTTGGATTCTGGCATTGGCGACTTGCTGCGGGATAGGGTACAACAGGACGACTCTTATCAACGGAAGAACGGAAGAACAGAGGTGATATATATATATATATGTGTATGTATGTATGTGTGTATATACTATACAATATCAAGACATCTAGACAGGAGACAAAATCGGGAAGTTGTACAAGGGCGGAGCGGAGGAGTTTCGCGATGCCTACCATCATGGAGCATTGCTTTGCAATCTCGCATCCGGAGCTGCTTAGTGATTTGATTTGATTTTTCCAATTCTTTTCCTGTTACGAGCAAACACATGCAGGAAACGCGGAGCGCGGCATAGATGGAAGAAGCATTAACAAAGAGCTGAGTCCTAGAGTTGTACAACACTATCTGCAGTCATATTTGATCCAACATATCAGCCTACTGGCCTGGTCCAAGTAAGGGGGGGTAAGGGAGAGCGGGAGTTACCGAAACAGGCTGGAACATAACATCATGGTAAGGATCGCTCTCTTTGTGTCGCGCATACCGCATCCCCAAAGCAAGACATGGAGGAGAAGCAGGTGATCCAGCCGGAGCTCTGGAGTCTTAGTAATTGGTTCCCTGACCAATTCTCGTCACGGGAGATGCTTGATTGGTGCAGGGCAACTCCGGGGATACTGGGAGGGGAGGGGAATCCAAAGGAGTTTTCAGCTCCTCCTCCTCTCACCCCGGGCGGCCTGGCCCAGGATCGTATGGCGTGCAAAGTAGAAGGATTCAGCGGTTGCGGTCATAATAGGCGGAGTTGGTTAGCCGGCTGCTTCAAGGATATAATATGGAGGAAGCGGCCCCTCCCCGTCAGCAACAAGTACCGTCGCGATCTACAAGGGGCCCTCGTTGGATCACAATGCTGAATCAACCCGAAGGCAGACGCATTTGCCTGCACATAAGCGAAGGCCTGGGCCATGTACAAAATCCTAAGGAAAGCCGGGAACGCCCCACTGGAAGGTATTTCATGAGAGGGGGGTGGGTAGGACGTACGAATGGCGGGAGAGGAGATGGAGGTCGTATTGGCCCGGCCGAGTCGTCGAATGGTGGGCAGAGGACCTGGTGAGGCTGATCGGCAACCCAAGGGACGGAAAGAATTCTTTGTGTCTGGGGCGATTCGCTTATTAATTGTGCTTCTTACAGCCAAATTTCTGTCTCGTCACCGTAGAGAGAGAGCGCGCGCGATCGAGAGAGAGAAGGAAGAGAGACACGGAAGAGAGTGCGCGCGATAGAGAGAAGATATCCAATTCTAAACAACACGCACTCACACACACACACACCACTGACAGGCGCGCCACACACCCAAACGCGCGTACACACATACACACACACTTACACAGTCTCTCTCATTCTCTCTCAGAGCGAAGAGCGGCAGGAAGAACAAGATGTTTATCACTCTCAAAAACCCCAACCGCCCGAATGACACGGCGATGGAGCAGGTCGCCGCCAGGAATGCGAGCAGCGCATCGGTCCCATCTCGATCGATCCGCAAGGCGGCCTGTATTGCCTGTCAAGCTAAGAAGGTAGTCCTCTCCGCATCACCACATCTGCGAACGCCCGCGCATTAATAAGCGCCTCTATCTATCCCTCTTCTTCTTCCCTCCATCGCTTCCTCTTCCTGGATTCCCCTATCTATCTGCCCGTCTACCTACCTTGCTTGCCCGTCCCTCTCTCCCGCACGCGCTCATACCTTACCCGCACTCTCCTTTTACGGCATGACAGCCTCCGCTTGCAACCCTCCCCGTCGAGCCGACATATTCCTATCTCGGCCGAGCTGAGCAGTAGTATCTAATCATCCATTCTTCCCCAGCTTCGGTGCACTGGCCGCGGACGTTCATGCGACCGATGCAAGAGTAGGTTGATAGCATGCATCTTCCCAGACAGCCCGGCGAAACCCCGTGCCAGCGCAGCAGCAGCAGCAGCAGCACCGCCATCAGCGCAAGGGCCGCCCACACGAACCAATGGCGGCGGCGGTGAGACCCTCGAACCGAGCAACCATCCCCTGGAGACGGAGGATGAAGGGGGTAGGGATAGGTCACCGAGCTTCGCACAACTACACCAGACCGTCATGTCGGCTCTGGACGTGACGACGGAGGGCGGCTTTATGGCTGGGGACTTTACCGACTGTGCGTCACTATCGCTACTCCCTCCTGGCCCCTCGGGGTAACTTACCTCGCGAGCGTCACCCTAACGTCGTGATACAGTAAACAAGGGAATGGACTTTGACTTCGACCTCCTGAGCCAAGACCAAGGCAATACTCCCTCGCACGCCAGTGCCCTGATGTCGATATCCGCGAACGGCGCAGGAGTTGACACCAACCAGGACAGCGCGTCGCATTGTAAGTCTGCAACACTACCTGTATCTACTACTACCCTCGACAGGCATATCTATATATACGATCCCTCTTACCCTTCTCGCCCCTCTCCGCCTCTCCCCCCCCTCCCCCTTCTCAGCCCACCGCGATGCTCTACATCGGCGTATCTATCTATCTATATATCCCCACCTTCTAACGCGAGCACACGCAGTCCTCAGCATACAGAGCCAGGCGCTGATAACCCCGCCCCGGAGCGATCCGGGGCGGGACGTCGGCGACGACGCGGTCTCGCTGCACAACAACAACAACAACAACAGCGTCGGCCACCAGCACCGCGGCAGCGGCAGCGGCAGCTCCAGCTCGCCGCCGGCGTGCGCCTGCATCCACGAGACGGTGCGCGTGGTGCAGCAGCTGGACGACGACGAGTTCCACATCACGACGCTGTCGCTGGACCAGGTGCTGCAGCTGCAGAAGTGGCTGATCGCGCAGTGCTGCAAGCCGCTCGACTGCGGGGGCTGCGCGACGCAGCCGTCGGTGCACACGGTGCTGCTCATCATCTGCGACCGGCTGACGGAGATGTTCGAGTGCATCCACAAGCGCATCCGGCGGGTCAGCAGCAGCGGCGGCGCGGGCGCGGCCCCGGGCCTCGTCGCCTCGCCGCCGCCGCCGCCGCCGCGGCGCCCCCAGCCCCAGAGCCTGACGCCGCCGTCGGACGGCGACGACCCGCTGCTGCTGCTGCGGCCGGGGCGCGCGCGCTCGCGCTCCCAGCCGGCGGCCGACGCGCGCGCGCAGCTCTTCGACAGCTCGTCGGGCCGCGCCGCCGGCGCCGCGCTCTGCAACCCCGACCTCTTCTCCCTCGACTTCCGCAACCAGTACTCCGACGAGGAGCAGGTCCACATGATCCGCGTGCTGCTGCGCCTCCAGGTGCGCAACTTCCGCCAGCTCCTCGCCCGCGTCGACGGCGGCGGCGCCATCCGCCACGTCGCCGGCAGCCAGGCCCGCCGCTCCAAGCTCGGCGCCATGGCCGCCCGCCTCGAGGCCGCCGCCTCCGACATCGAGGACGCGCTGCAGGACGTGCTGAAGATGCTCATCGGTTCGTGAGCTTTTTTTTCTTTCTTTTTTTGCTGTTGTTGGCGCTGTCTGTTTATAGGTACGTGTATATGGCGACGACGAGGTTGGCGATGCGTGGTCGACATGTTGCTGTTACCCAAATGTTAACCACTTTCCTGTTTTTTTTTGTTATCACTCTCCGCGTAGGCAATGTTATTTTTATTTATCCCCGTTTCTATCGTTGTTGGCCTCGTCCTGGGCTTCATGTTTCCGTGCATCTGCGTACCGATTTTCCACCCACACTCTCTCTGTCTATAGCATTGTCGGGTCTTACAACCGTAGCCCCCCTCCAAAAATAAAATACAGCGGGATGCATCAAGGGAAATAGATAACCCATGCTACACACAGGTCGTATCCGTGTCGGCAGAAAGAAAATATACGAAGAGTTACACGCAGCGGATTTCTCTATGCATGTTATATGTATTTTCCTCTCTGGGCTCGTCCATCCTTCGCCCCCACCTGCGCCCCTTCATCCCTTCGGTCCCCTTGCATGTCGCACATGTATTATCTCACAAGGCCCCGCTCGCGATGTCCCTCTGGGCCTGCAGGGTCAGGTTGACGATCTCGATGACCATGTGGCGGCGCTCCTGGTCGAGGTAGACGTCCTGGGCGCCGTCGGGGTACCAGACGGTGGCGTAGATCTCGAAGCCGACGCCGGGCTGGCCGTAGTCGGGGCCGGGGACGGGGCGGAGGGAGATGTGCAGGATGCCGAAGGTGGTGCCGTCGCGCAGGACCTTGGCGCCGGCCTGCTGGACGGGGAACTCGGGGAGGTCGCGGAGGAAGGGGTACTTGGCGCGGTCGGGGGGGCCGAAGCTGGGGATCGAGAAGTTGGTCGTGACGCCGCCCCAGCCCTCGAGGATGCGCGACGACAGCCCGCCGTCGGCGTTCTGCACCGTCTCCTTCGAGTAGTGCTCCGGGTTCGCCGCCAGGTTCGCCGCGTCCGCCAGCGGCGACGCGTACCACCGCGCGAACCCGTCGAACGTCACGTTCGGCAGGAACACGACGCCCCGCGCGTCCGCCGACACCCACGCCTCCGACGAGTTGCTCACCACCTCGTGCCACACCCGGTCCGCCGCGTCCTCGTCCGGCGCGAGGAGCTCCTTCAGCGCGTCGACGCCGAGGTACTGTTTCAGCTGCAGCACGGCCTCGACGTTGTCGTCTGGCAGGGACGGGATAGGCCTGTATCCGAGCCGCTCCCGGAGGAGCGACAACGCCGTGATCGCGGCCGCGTGCTCGTACTCGGATTTTGTCTGCTCCAGCCTGGGGCCCAATAGGAAGTAGCTGTACCCGTCGATGGTTTCGTTCAGAGCTGCGGCCCCGAGGGCGAGCACAGACAGCGGGATGATTTGCTTCAACATGGTGACTGTGCAGGAGGAAGGGATATAGGTAGTGGCAGCGATCTCGATTGTCTATGTCTCTCGCTCTCTCTCGGTTCGCGAGGGGTGCGTCGCTGAATTTCTCCGAATTGGTGGCGAAAGGGGGTGAGGAGTGAAGATATTATTAGCACTGCGTTTCTAGGAAATCCCGCACCTTTTATACTACGGACGTGCGCACACGGGACTCGGTCGTACTGGCCACAATAAGACCAGCATACGATCTACCTACGGGATACGAGTAGAAGTGAAAACAATATAGAGCAAGCGCGGCCCCTGAGAGAGCCGGGTTGTCGACGCCATTTACCGGGAAGGGCGACGACGGGGTTCGCGAAAGGGTCTCGCACGGGGGCAGCATGAAAATCAATCTCCACCCAGCAAACATCACCGTATGTTGGCGAATCGGTTGTCGCCGTTGGCGGCCGCGAAGGATCTTTAGCACGGTGTTCTAGAGCCGATCCCAGCACGGTCCAATTTCAACATTCGAGCGCCCCTCGCCCTTGGCGCCGTCGTGACAACAATTAAGACAACAGCACCTAGGCATGTTGGAGCGAGCGAGCATATAGGCAGGTATATATTTTTAACGATTCCAGTTTCACTAACCCGATGGCTGACCGTTGCTGCTGCGTTTGCTCTTCTCCCTAGCCTCAACGCCCTCGCTCCCGCTCCCTCTTCTGGCCCTGCCGGCGACGGGGCCCAGGGTTCATAGTTCGGCAGGGTTCTTTTGCCATCGTGTATCGCCGGTCCGGATTGCGCGGCCTGCGTCCGTCCTCTCTGTTGAAGCCCAAGAACGACGAGGTAGGGGTTGACCAGGAACCAACCCCTTACGCGCCCCCCCCAACCCTCCTCCCATCTCGATCTCGCCCACGTGTTAATTCCTCGGCTTCAGCAGCACCTTGACGTTCGACTGGGGCGTGAACCAATGGCCGAGCACCTTCCATTCGTCGTCGCTGGCCAGCACGATGTCGAAGTTGCGGTACAGCTCGAACACGACTTTCCACATCTCCAGGATCGAGATGTTCTTGCCGATGCAGCTGCGCGGGCCGTGGCCGAACTAGACAGCGACGGATTCTCTCAGTTAGCTTTCTCCCTCCTTCGTGAACCCCCTTGACTTCTGCCCGGCCCCTTCTTTTTGATTTTATGCTGCCTTCTTCCCCCTTTTCCGTGCAATCGTGTAGGGGCTTGGATGCACTCACCGAGAATAGGTTGCGCCGCATCTCCTTGATCTTCTCCGGGTCGCCTTCGGTCCATCGCTCGGGACGGAAGGTGTGGGCGTCCTCGCCGAATACCTCCTTGTTGCGGTGCAAGACCCATCCGTTCACCCCCACGATCGTGTTCTCGGGGAGGTAGACGCCGTGCAGCGTGATGCCGTTCTTGGGGACGACGCGCTCGAGGATGAAGCCCGTGGCGGAATGCATGCGCATCGCTTCGTCGATCACGGCCGATCTTGCAAGGTTGCCCGAAAGGTTACTCGTTTGTCCCTGCATCCGCGCGCATGCAAGGGGAGAGAGAGAAAAGTTGACTTACAGGTACGGTAGCTTGATTGCTTCGGCGTACGTAATGGGATTCGAGGCGAGGCCTTCGCGCTCTGCGTGTTCAATCTCCTGCACCAGCTTCTTCTTGGTCTCCGGATACTTGCTCAGGTGGTACATAACCGAAGACAGAGAGACGGCCGTGGTGTCGGATCCAGCGATGCTGTAAGCGCGATAGGAGGTGGTCAGTCGGCGTCGGCTCTCTGGCTCTCCCCGTTCTCCTATCGCACAACAGGGAGGGGAAGAGGGGTAGGGGAGGAGGGGAGTAGGGGAGGGAGGGGAGGGAGGGGGGGGGGGGGGGGGACAGAGCCTATGCACATACACGTTTGTCGTCGTGATGGCGATGATCTCGCTCATAGTTAAGCTCTCCGGGTCATTCTTGTGCGTCTCGAGGAGCTGGCTGAGGATGTCCTTTCGATCCACGGGATTCCGTTGCCGCTCTTCCACCTGCTGCAGGGAGAACTGCAAGACTTGGTTCGTCTTCTCAATACCGGGGAAGAACTTGGCGAGAAGAGGATTCCCGAGAAGAAACTTGTGAAGTCGCGGTATCTGCCCAATCTGATGCGAGGTGTTAACAGGGTAAAGGGGGGCGGGGCGGATGTTGTCGTCGTTACCGTTGTTGCGGATAAAGGGGGAAGGGTGGGGGATGAGGACTACTAACCAGAGAGACGTAAACAAGGATGCCGCCGATGGCAGCGATGATGTTGTCGACATCTTTGCCGTTCTCCAGAAACCCCAGGTCTTTGGAGAAGTTGATCTCGCCGAGGACGTCGAAAGCGAAGTATTGCATCCACTCGACGGGGTTGATGCCCTGCTTGCCGTTCTGCGAAACCTCCCGGAGGCGCTCGAGTAGCAGGGAGATGCACTTATCAACAAACGGCTCCAGCCCAACGACGGTGTCCATGGCAAAGGCCCGCGTGGACCCGCGCTTGAGCCTCATATGGTATTCATTGCTCTCGGTGGTGAACAAGGTGGGCAAGAACTTGCCCTGGTAGATGGCCTCTGCAAGGGGGTAGAAGGCCGACTACAGAAAGGGTGAGCCGAGTTAGGCACCCGGCGCACGATCGATTAGTCAACCGGGTCCGTCTCTCTCTCTCTCTCGGTACGAGACATATACGGGCGTGCCGTACCTTGCGAAAGACGTTCTGTACGCCGTATATCAACTTCATGCTCTGGGGGTCTGCCACTGAGACATGGTTGGGCCCAATGCGGACAATCGGACCGTAATCTTCGTGAACCCGCACGTTTTCGCGATGCATGTTCTTGTTCCATACGGCGCGCAGCTTCCACAGGTTCGAGAAGCTCGCGAGGAACGGGCCGGGTATCTCCCGCAGTCCCTTGCGGTTCCGCGTCAGTACCAGGTTAACAAGTAGAATCGCGCCGCAAATCCCCCAAGGGTGAGACCGCACCCAGGCCAGACCGAGGGCGACGGCCGCACCAACGACGCTGCTGTTGGTTGCGTCGGCCATGATGGTCGCGGCTGTAGTTGGTTTCGGCGGCGCAGTGTTGTTGCTTTCGGCGGCGCAGTAGTGTTGGTAACGGGTTTTCTCAGACCTAATCGGATTCCGAGCAGGGCAGGCCGAGTATAGCGACTGTATTCTCTCACTATCTACGTTTATATCTATACCTATCTCTCTCATATTCTTACCCGAAGAGGTCCCCCAGCATCGACCTGGCAAGCCCGTCATGCGATACCTCTCTCCAGCTATGGAGGTGCCATCGCACATGAATCCTTTAGCAGCCTGCCCGCACCAGGCTAGCAGGACTCTGTAGAGAGCTATGTCCGGGTGGCCAAGGGTGTAGCCGGTACACCGCCCGTAATGCTGAGGTTGCAACTCGACCCAGTGGGACAGTTCCTCCGGGATACCGTAATCTTTCGCTCCCGGATGTCAGAAGATTTTCCGTTAGTAGATCGCGCCCCTACCGGACCTGGGATCGCGAGGTTAGGTTCCTGTTGCGGCGTAGGCGCTAGATAGATACCATCGGAAGTACCCGGCTACGCTGCCCTCGTGGCGCAAGTCTAGCACCATTGCCTCATATGGTTATGGGCTTACCTAGAGCCGTTGGATTTACGATGCCCTCTCAACTTACTACTGATAGTGTGTAACCGTAAGACGGCCTCCATAGACATCCTACAAGCAGACATTATATGAAACTTCAGCTTAAGGTTCCCATATAGGGAACGGAACACCAAAGTGGTCTTCGAGGAGGCACTGTGCCCGAAACCTGCCCTCCTTTCAGTCATCTCCACTGCTAAAATTCCCAGACGGGATTGTACCCTATTTGGAAGCCTGTGTGCCCTACCGGGAAAGAATGAGACTGATGACATTGTCTCAGTCCATTAGTCATTTTCCACTTCCGCATAGAGGTTGCCAGCGTCGACGACAACTGCAAAGAGGGAGAAGACTTCGAGGCACCCCAAGTGAGACAGACGGCGGGTTGGTAAGCAGAATTCGGGCACTTCCTAAAATGGAAGGTGGGGTTTCCGTATTAGGGATATTCCTCGGGGAACCGAAAAAGGGAAAAGAGACACAATGAACAACGCGTCTCTCCAACATGCCGCAATCGAATGTCTGTCTCGACCTCCTATTGCGGTAACCCTCGCCAGAAGATGACAATTCTCACCAGCAGACTTACTATCCAACCTAGTCCTAGCACACTCCGGGTACACGACTTAGACCATTCCTGTGTCTACGTAAGCGTAAGCCAGGGGCCCCCAGGCCGGGCCTACATGGCCACCGCCGCTACATCCACCTACTTACCTACGCGGCGATGCTGCAGATCGATCCTGCTCTGTAGATCGAATAACCCTATCCCCGCCTGAGGGTTCGTAGACTCGTGAAGAAGACGCGCATGGGCAGACAGGAAGGATTCCGAGAACTCGTAGCTGGGAAGCCGGCTTATGGGAGCACCGACGCGCTACAAAAAGTACTGGTCCACGCTTCTTAGTCGTTCGGTAGGTGTAGATGCCACCTCGTAGCCGTCCGTACGTTGTTCTTCTCGATTTTGGAACCGTCGCGCGCCCGTCATGGCCAAAGAACAGAACTGCCTGGTGCCGTACCTCGAGTTGGAGGATGCCCCTCCCGAGGTCGCGGCCGCCATCACGCACCTCCCCTATCGACGCAACATCTTCCATCTCCTGGGTCATTCCCATGGGTCCTTCCCGCGCCTGATGGGCGTCTACGCCTCCTTCTTCGACGGCAGCAGACGCATCCTGCCCCTTCTCGAGTGGCAGCTGGTCGTCCTCCGCATCTCCGCCGTCTTGGACGCCGAGTACGAATGGGATGTCAACGCGCCGGTCGCCCGGATCAACGGCATGCCCGAAGAGAAGCTGACGGCGCTCAAGCGCACGGCTGGCAAGGGACCGGCGGCTGTCGAGGCGGAGCCGCTGTTCTCGGCCCGCGACCGGGCCATCCTCGGGATCGTGGACGAGCAGCTCGCGACGTATAACAACACCGTGGAGACGGTCAACCAGGCCAAGGCCGTGCTCAGCGTGGAGGACATCGTCGAGGTTTACGTCGTGCTGGGGGTGTATGTGCTGATCGCGCGCATCACGAAAGGGCTACGGATTGACTTGGACGGCGAGATAGCGGGCTTGGACGGGCACCTCAAGGGGGTGGTTACTGGAAACTGACGCCGGCATGTCGGGTGTATCTCTTGGCTGTATAGGATTCATAATCTAACTCTATGCATCGGCCGACGATCCTAAACCTGCTAATTTCATGTGACACGAGAGGCCAGAGAAGGAAAGAAAATAAAACAGAGGAAAGGGATGACATAAAAAGAAGTATCATGGGAGAAACACATGTTATAGGATCTGCCATCATAATCACGGTCTAGCGTGTAGCCCGTCGGCCGGCGTTGGGACGGAGGGGTCGAGAGCGGGAAGACAGAGGATGAGAACCTCCCAACACGTCTCCGTCATCCCGTCGAGCGGAGGCGAGGAGCAGGAACAGGAGAGAAGGAAACCCCTTCATCGAACGTTAGTAATTGGCTCTTGGCCCCAAGGCGTTGGTATAGGCAATTGCATTCTCCGTTATACACAAAGGGAAGAAGAGAAGCGGGGAGAATCTACAGACGCAACCGGGTGGGACGGTGATATCTAATAAAACAAATAAAGTGGTGAAATAAGCAGCCCAGAACTGGCGGCTTTGTGAGACCCTGTCTTGCTCCCCCATCCGACCCAGAACGTATGTCCTTACCAATTTGCTGCATTTCCCTTTTCGGAATTAGCCAGGCACCTGGGATGGAACAGTAGGGATAAGTGCCGGTCAGTGCATTCTCCATTATTCATGGGCGAGTTTCTGATGCTGTGCCCGCCCGAGCCTACCCCTAGGGCATACAGAGAGCAGATAGCCCACACTGAATAACCCATCCCTGGCAAGACCAGATGGCAAACGGACGGGACGCCCGATTTCTAAGCGGTAATTGTCTAGCGTCTAGAGGCTATCTACGTGCCTCGATAGCAAGGGGTTTTGCAGCCGACCTACATGGGTTTCATAAGTATTGGGCCTCACTGCGTTTGACACTAGAGACTTCTCCCCCTACACGCCACACAGTAGTCGTCTATCAACGACTATTTCTTGAGCTATAGGAAGTGCCGCATCCTTTGCTTCCTTTTTTTCTTTCTTTTTTTCTCTTTCGTGTCTTCTTCCCATTATCCTAGTCGGCTGCCCAACCTAGCATCTCTGGTGCCTCGAGAGCCTCGAGCGACGCTGCGAACACACCAAAACAACACGCGCGCACGTCGTCCCCCCGAGAAACGGCAATGTCTTCAGCGACTTCGACCATAGAAAAGGCCGTAGAGGCGGGCGTCTCGGACCGGACGCCCACCGGCAGCGGCCTCTTCGATTCGAAAGCAGAAGCAGGCGTGCCCGCCGGCACCACCGTGGCCGAGACCGAGGCTGATCCGTCTCCGCGCAAAATCCACGGCATCATCGTAAGTCAGACTAGCGCTTCGCGACGGAAAAGATTACCCTCTGACAACGCCGATAGTGGGCTCTAGTCGTCATCTCGATCCTATCCAGTATCTTCCTCTACTCTCTCGACAACACCATCGTCGCCGATGTAACACCGGTTAGTTCCCCACGGGCGGCGACATGCCAACCCCGACTTGAGTAATGCTTACCCGTACGCTAGGCCGTCGTCAACACGTTCGCGGACAGCTTCAAGCTGCCGTGGCTCTCCGTCGGGTAAGTACACACGCGCCTAGTCTGCGTCCGCGCGCCCGCCACGTAAACGGCTCCCTGACAGTGCGATACGCTACTAGCTTCCAACTCGGCGGCACGGCCTTCGTGTTCCCCTTCGGCAAGCTCTACGGCCTGTATGACGCGAAATGGCTCTACATCCTCTCCTCGATCATCTTCAACGTCGGGTCCGCCGTGTGCGGCGCCGCCCCCAACATGGACGCCCTCATCGTCGGCCGAGTCCTCGCCGGCATGGGCGGCAACGGCATGTACCTGGGCGTCATGACCCTCCTCTCAGTCAATACGTCCGACCGTGAGCGGCCCGGATATCTAAGCTTCGTGTAGGCGTCTTCCTCCCCCCTCCCCTCTCCGTTCTGAGGCATCGACGTGTGCTGACGTGGTATCGCAGCGGTCTGGTTTGGGGTATCGGCACGGTCCTGGGCCCCGTCGTGGGCGGCGCCTTCGTCGAGAGCCCGGCTACGTGGCGTTGGGCATTCTACATCAACCTCTGCGTCGCGGGGCTCTTCGCGCCGGTCTACCTGTTCTGGATCCCGTCCTTCAAGCCCCGGCCCGAGACCAAGTTCCTGCCGCTGCTCCGAGAGTTCGACGTGGTCGGCGCCGTGCTCGTCGTCGCCCTCCTGATGACGCTCATCATGGGCATCAATTTCGGCGGGACCCTGTACGCGTGGAACAGCGGCTCGATCATCGCCCTCTTCGTCGTCTTCGCCGTCATCGCCATCTCGTTCGCGGTCCAGCAGACCTTCAGCATCTTCACCAGCGAGAAGAACCGCATGTTCCCCGTCCATTTCCTGCGCAACTGGAACGCCGTCCTCCTCTTTCTCTGCGCCGCAGCCATCAACACCGCCGGTTTCATCCCGATCTATTATATCCCCCTCTACTTCCAGCTGACCCGGGGCGACTCGGCCATCGAAGCGGCCGTCCGGCTGCTCCCGCTAATCATTATCCTCAGCGCAGCCATTCTCGCCAACGGGCATCTTATGTCCCGTCTTAGCTACTTCCAGCCCTGGTACATTATAGGGAGCGCATTGGCTTTGGTTGGTGGTGTCTTGCTATGTAAGCTATCACTTCTGCCGGAGTAGCGCCGTTTTTGTGTGGTATTAACGTTAAGAACAGCGCTCATCGAGGCCGACACGCCCCAAGCTCAGATTTACGGTTTTGAGGTATTGGTCGGGATCGGCTCGGGTTGTCTCATTCAGGCCGGTTATGCCGTTATCCAGGCCGTGGTTGATCCAGCCGACATGGCATACGCCATCAGCTACATGATGATGGGTACGTGGTCAGCTCTCGTGAAAATGTCTCGGCCTAGCCACTAACGAAGGTCCAGGGCAACTCAGTGGTATCGGAATCGGCTTGTCCATTTCCGGCGCCGTCTTCCTCAACGAGGCGATTCAAAACTTGCGCGCTCTGTTCCCCGACGCTCCGTACGAACAGATCCAGCTTGTCCTGGCCGGAACCAGCAGTGGCTACTTCAGCTCGCTCACCCCCGAACTTCAGGGACTGGCCACGAATATCATCGTCGTCGCGCTGCGAAAAGTCTTTATCCCGGTCTATGTGGGCGGAGCTCTCGCGTTGGTATTGTCTGTCTGCTTCACGGTACGTCCCTTGTCCGATTTCTGAATTAGATATATCCTGAACAACCCGCTGATTGAATTTGCCATGCTTAGCAACGGAAAATGTTCGGAGATATAGTCGCCATCGCTGCTTGAATGAATGTAAGATGCTACCACTTCGAAGGACGGTGCTAGTCGCATGGCGGGGGTGGCTTGATTGATTTCCCTCCCAGGATCCTGCATATCGAGCACGGAGTTAGGTGGTCTATTATCACTGCGCATACATGTGAGGATATCAATCAAAAGTCGTGCCGTATTTCGAAACTTCATGGTTACTTTTATTACAATTTAATTCCCTTGTGGCTTCTGCTCGTTCTGTCTTTCGTGTCACTGCGATCGCAGACTCGCGAGGAAAGCAGTGCTATTTTGGAGGAAACATCCCTATACAAATCTCCCACTTCTTTCTCTGGCCAGTGGCTCGGCTGGTCTAATCATCAGATGCTGAGCCGGCTGGAAAGTAACCGACAACTTATTTAAATGTATATAATATCACTCAGAATGGTTGCGAACCTCGTCGTGGTTACCGTGGAGATTCCCAGTGAGAATGTGCGGCTGGCGTGGATGGTAAGTCAAGTGGGCCGTGTGTTGAAGCCTCCCCGCACGTTGTAAGCAAGTAGGCATGGTCTGGTTCTGTAAAGAGTAGGTAGTTAGTTGTCTCCACGCCTCGGGGTAAGTCTCTCTAGCTCTCTAGTGGGGCCACAGGGGCTCAGTTCCAGCAGGAGTGTTGTGTGTCTTTATAGAATGATAACCAAATAGCGAGCGTGAACCCGAATCAGTTCACACGGCATACTAATTCAGAACGTATTATTATGTACCAGCTAACCGGCAATAATAAACATTCGTTGCGTACTGTAGGCGACATGCCTTTGAGTTATGTCTATCTTCATGTGTGCTTGGATTGAGGTTAAGGTAAAGAATAGCTCAGCCGAACGAACTTGCCAATAGCACGAAAATGTTGCGTATAATAGAGGAATACATGAAACTGTTACACGTAATGGAAGAATATATGTAGAAAAGGGTCGTTGAAATAGGGCAGGTGGTCCTATAGACCCTAATGAACCGTACACTCCGGTGTCTGTTGGACGGTGTCAAAACAAGATGCGGAACCCTTAACTTCTCAGGACTGTGATGTATGCCCATAGTATGATGCGACAGGGATCTACAGAAGCCACACTGTCTTCTTATATCCCGCTTGCTTGCTTTGCGCCATTTCGGTAGCTTGCCTTAAAGCCTCTTCGATTTCATCCTTCCCACGATCGTCCCAAGACACGGCACGGAGTTCGGGAGTTTTCAAGCTTCCATCAATAAAGAAACCAGCAATCTTTGCCACCAACCGTTCTACCTCGTCACCACCCATGCTTTTCAGGATCTCGGAGCTCCGGAACGGGACAAAGGATAACTGCTTATAGAACAGGTGCGTCGTATCGACCGTAATACTAGCCGCTGGCCCCGCTAACATGCCAACCAATGCATATTTTCCCCCGGGTGAGAGCGAGTGAGCTAGGTGCTGGCCGACCGTGCCAAACACAGAATCCAGAGCCAGCACCACCTTGCCTGGGAAGCGAGCGTTTCCCTCGGTTGCCAGCTCAGTCTCGGTCAGCACTAGAGCGGCGCCGAGATTCAGCAGTTTGGTCTTGACCGCGTCGATATCCTCGCGATCCCTGATGACGAGTATCACGTTGACACCCTTGCGAGTCGCCAACTGAACTAGGAATTGGGCTACGCAGCTCGTCCCTGCCGACACAATGACAGAATCTCCCCGTGATAAGGGTGCAACTTCTTCCAGCAGCAACCAAGAGACAAGCGCCCCTGAACGCAGCAACGCGGCGTCCAGGGGCCGTACGCCGCGAGGAAGTTTCATGAGCGTTGTGTCGGGTAAGACAGCATGGGTTCGCCATGTACCGATGCCTAGTTCCCGAGGGAGCACCAGATCTCCTTCCCCGAATTTAGACGACCTAGACTCCAACACAATCCCACAACCGTCAAAACCAGGCACCAGTTTGCCTTCGACGGCATAGCGGGGTTTCACTGGGTATTTCCCAGACAGGACTAGGTGGTCTACCCGGTTGACAGGAGCTGAGAGGAATCGGATAAGAACTTGGCCGTCTTCAGCAGGTAAGGACGGGATGTCGTGATCGACTAACTGTGCTGGAAGGTGGTGTGAGAAGGGGTCGTGTACGAAGCTTCGTGCCATGGCTTACGCGTCTTATCCGAGATCGCGTATGCGGCGTGCTGTGGGGGTGGCAGGTAGGTATTTGGAAGAATCGACGCTAGGAGGGACGACAACGGCAGCTTTAAGCACATATGGCGAGGCCAGTAAAGAATACGAGCAACCCTTACCCTTCCATGCACGTCTTATAAGCCACGGGTACGAAGTCTGCATGCAGGAAGGCCAAAACGGACATCGATTCTCCAGCCTCAATCAGTCCGGTAAACGGCGTGTATAAGCGGCATATGCACGGAGGGTCTAGAAGTGAGCGGGCTGCACAAATCTGATTACTAAAGCTACCCGAATGTGTCTACAGACAAGACTGAGGTATATAGCGGCTGGAATGACCTGCATGGAGGTGGTCAGTTCGGGGTGCGACTATTTGGGGGCGTCCCGAGAGTTGGGATCCTTCCATTTGATGTAGGTGATGCCATCGAAGACGGGCATAATGAGAACGTCGACGCGGGGATCCTTCACGATATTACTGTTGAAGATATCGAGGGCCTGGCCACACCCGGCCCAGTACGGCCGCACATGGTCGTTGAGCCACGGCGCGCAATCTAACCCCACAGACAGTCCGCGGGCGAAAACTGTCTAGTGTTAGCATTGCTTCGGCACGAACGTGACGAGAGCAGGGACCGGGATATTACCATTATCACAGAGAATAACACCATTGGGCGAGAGGAGCTTGCGGTCCAGGATTGTCTTGACGTAAGCCGCATAGCCATCCTTGTTCGCGTCGACGAAAATCAGATCGAATTCCCCCTCGAGAGTTTGCAGGCTACGCGGCGTAAGTGAGTGTCAATCCTAACCGAGTCTGAGAGGGTTATGCCCGAGGAAGGAAGGAAAACGGCTACTCACGACTGATCTGCAGGACCTTCTACCAACTTGATGCGGTCTTCAACCCCGTACTTCTTAAAGGCCTTTCGCGAAGCGGCAATCATCTTCGGGCTTAGCTCCAGGGTGACGATCTCGGCCTGAGTGTCCTTCGTCCCCTCATACCAGGCAAGGGCGCTATAGCCGCTGTAGCATCCGATCTCCAGAACTGATATTGGGGCGTGGCAGTTAGTCACCGAGCACGCTACGCGGACAGACATCTTCCTTACTTCGCTTGGGCTTGCGGTCCTTGGCCGTGAAGATCATCCAGGAGCCCTGAAGGCGGCTCGACATCTTGTCGGCGTCGGTGAAACTGGACTGCGTCTCCAACCAATGCTCCTTCAGGCCATCGGGAATGGCAGTGGAGCGGAGCTCGCAGTACTCGCTAACGCGGTCTGCGGTGTCCTCGCTGAACGGAAGTACGCTGCCGAGCATGATTATTATTGTCACAGATGAACCGGTTAAAACGATGGTGGCGTGAACTGTTCACGGACAACGATGATGATGATGGTGGTGATGGTGATGATGATGATTGATCGATCCTACACCAAGCCACGATACTTATACACAAGAATCAGACATTGACGGCCGGCGCACTTCTCGCGATGCTATAGGAAGTCGTAGATTCCATAGGCTTTCCCGAGAGTGTATAGCATGCAAATGCCGAACGAGTCCTTTGCTATGCAGGCTGCCCTGCCGAAATCTCCCGTTCTCGAATCCTGACGGCACGGTCCGCCACGGCCGGGAGAATAGGGCAATTCATTCGGTTTGCCAAAACAAGACAACTTTTATTCCCTTCGAGTTGTCTTCGCTAGGAAGATTCAGCTGCAATACAGGGCTCAGCCGATCCTGCAGGATTATAGGCCAGTTCTTCATCTAAATGACATGTTGGCCTGCCTTTGGGTTGGTGGCATGGATGCACAAAGCTGCAGGGCAGAATCCCCTCGTGATCCCTGAGATGACTGTGTTGCGTATTTTCACTGTCTAGAGCTTACAGACCCAGCCACGGGATTTCACCAATAGCGGAGAGCGCGTCTCACCGCTTTTTAATTCCCTGGTGTTGTGGTAAATATTATCTAGGCATAGTGTCAAGTTACACCAAGTTGAGGCGGCGGCACCGTCGCCGATCCTCCGCTGGGCCGGAAGGGGGCAGAGACCCTTTCGAGACCCAGACCCTCGTTTGCCCGCCCGTGGCATTTCCAGATATACAGGGGATGGCAGCCATGTTTCTCTTCTAACCGCGGAGCTGGGCTTTTCTCAACCCCCAAGGTCTTAAGAAAATTCTGCTAGTGGGATTCGGACCACGGTCACGCTACAAGTCATACGGGTGACGAAATTCATCCTCTACCTCACGTATGGATCAGAAGATCGTATAACCGTTGGCATAGCCGGTCGGCCAGTTAGTAATCATTAGAGCATCGAAACCTATGTTTAGAACACCGTCGTATATTGTTGCGTGGAATCAGAATCCCCCGAGTAGAGAATTTATTGCAATAGGATCGTTGGTTAGTAAAAGTGGTTTAGCTTTTACTATGTCTTTAAGCGCCCCCAAACTGGCAACCGAGGGAATTCGTCCGTCTGACACCAACAATTACTTCTTTTGGGCTTCTCTGAATGTTACGGAAATCGACTATGACTGTTGCTCGGTAATCCTCGTTACGGACTTTGAAGAGAGATCGCGGGCGGGCATACTTTGTTGGTGGATGAGAGTTTTTAGAGTGGTATATAGTCCGAACAGAACTTCAAAACAATTACGTACAATACATTGTACGTGGGGATCAACTATTGTCTGTGCAGATGCTGCGATAGCGAGCAAATCATCCTCGTCGTTTCCAGCGACCATCGTCACAGAAACTAGAAGAGACAATACCAAGCTTCGACTAAGTTTTATTTCCGTCTCTCACGATGCGCATCCAACCGTTATGGCAGGAGCCTTTCATAGCCGAACAGCACTCAACTAAATCTTTCAAAGACTCTGTGTCTATACACATCACCCAGAAGGAGATAACAACCGCCCTCCTATCTCTGGACGAGCCAGAAGTTGAATATGAGGCAGATTGTCCTCCGGTGCAGCAAGAGGCTTTCCGACGTGAGCCGGGGACGTTACAGCCTTGGATTATACGTCTAGACTTGCTGCCTGAAATAGCCAAGAGCCCCAGCAAACTCACCCGGGCATGGAATGCCCTTTGTATTCGTCACCATGTTCTCAGGACAGTCATCATCAAGGATGACTCTGGCGAACAAGTCAAGTTCAGACAGAGGGTCCTAAAGCACCCGAAGTATATCTCCCATGCTTCTGTCGAAGAGCTCGAGCTTCTCCGGGAGGAGAACGAGCCCGCGTGCTTGGTAGTTGAGTGGGTGGAGGAGGTACCGGTTGTCTATCTCTACCTCCCATATGCAATTACCGATCGGGCGTCTCTCGGCCACATATGGAAAGATTTCCTGAGCCTACTTACTGGCGTTACCCCTATACCAAGGCTATCCTGGTCTGAATACTGTGAGAATATCCGCGGACGCAGTGTAGTGAAGGCCAGGGAGTTCTGGTCCAATACGCTGGATGGGATACCAGCCCCCACGATCCATTCTGTCCCCCTCGAGCGCAGTAATACGATGCGTACGATCGAATTAGACAGTTCCGTGGCCATTAGCGGTCCGTCAATCAGAAGATTAGCCAAGGCTCTCGGTGTATCAACAAACGCCTTACTGTACACGGCATTCGGTATAACATTGGGTCGACACTCACAAGCCTCAAATGAAGTTGCTGTCTTCGCGGTAGAAGGTAGAAACAGAACGATTGAGAATCACGAAACTGTTGTCGGCTTTGTGGACCAGGAATATCCCCTGAGAGTGCGACTGGACTTGGGAAAAGCCACGGCCCAAGTAATTCAGGAGACGGAGCAATTCAACAATGTATCATCATCACATGCCTTTATCGGCTATGGGGAATTGAAGTCATCTTACGAAGCGGCGGGAAACGACTTCAAAGTCTGTATCTCCGAAAATGATTCTCTCCCCTATATGGATAACCGCTTCGCCATATCAATCGGCGTACATCTAGGCCGATCAATCTCGGTTGCAGCCCGTCACGATACTGCCATACCTTCGGGGAAGGTCAAGGTTCTCCTCGACCATTTCATGGCTGCGCTCATTAGTATTGTGAGCGATCCAACGATCCCTGTGGACAAGGTCAACATTATTTCTCCCGATGAGCGCTCCCTTATCCACGAGATGGGCAAGCCCCTAACCCGCCCCGTCTATGACAATGTCCACAAACTATTCGAACGCCAAGTCAAACTGACGCCGAATGAGCCAGCCGTGCAATTTGAAGGAGACAGGCCCTTATCATATGATGAACTGAACCGGCTAGCGAATCGCGTTGCACGACAGCTTCCCGTAGGCCGGGGATCGTTCGTGCCCGTATGTCTACAAAGATCTGTCAACCTCATCGTTTCTCTCGTCGCTATTCTCAAGACGGGAGCGGCCTACGTGACGTTGGATCCAGACACTCCTCACGAGAGAAACAAATTCATTGTTGAGGATGTCAGCGCAAGTGTCGTGATTGTGGACAAAACAACGGCTGGCCGCTTTTCTAACGAGGTTATCATCGAAGACATAATCGAAAAGTCACAATTCGTTGATGACGCCAACCTGTTCCGAGATTATGAACCCTCGGATCCAGTATACGTTATTTACACATCAGGGTCGACCGGAAAGCCCAAAGGTGTCCTTCATGTACGCTGAACCGACCGATGATTAAAAAACTTGTGCAGAGCGCTAACAGTAAACAGAGGCACTCTTCTGCCACGTCTGGGTTGGCTGCGTTTCCAACCTTGCCGGACCTCCGCCAGCTCCTGTTCCACAACCCGGTGTTCTCAGCTGCTCAGCGTTCGGTATGGTCGACTCTCAAGCAAGGTGGCTGTCTATGCTTAGCCAGCAAGGAGAACCTGACAGTCCACATCGGACGTACTATCAACCAAATGCAGATCAATGTTATCGACGTAACACCCTCGACCGCTCTACTCCTGACCCCTGGCACTGTCCCGTGCTTGCGAAGAATGACTGTGGCGGGCGAGCTGATCAACCCGGCATTAATACCCATGTGGGTGAACGAGCTCGAACTTCTTAACGCGTACGGCTTAAGCGAAAACACCCAGGTGAATTGGCGCCGAGAAATGGTGTTGGGCCAGAATCCGCAGAACATTGGCCGCCCGAGTGATACCACGACCTCGTTCGTGTTAAACCCGGGAACGACCGAGCTGAGCCCATTACTCATCCCGGGAGAGTTATGCCTCGGAGGAGACCAGCTTGCCGTCCACTACATTAACCGCCCGGAAAAGACGGCCGAGGCATTCATGGACAACCCGTTCGGCCCGGGTCGTCTTTATAGAACCGGGGACATGGTTATCGCTCACGAAGACGGGTCCATTGAGATGGTCGGCAGAATCGACTTCCAAGTCAAGATCAACGACCAGAGAGTCGAACCTGGAGACTCCAACACAATCATTCAGACTCACTCTAGCGTGCTGAATTCCAGCGTTGTTGCCGCATCTCTAGATGGGAAGAAGGCTCTCGTGGCTGTCATCATCACCAAGTCAAACGAGCTTGAGTGGTCCGATCTGAGGAATCAGCTCAAGGAACTCCTGAAGAAGCATATACCCAGTTACATGGTGCCGACATACTGGTTGCGGCAAGAGGGCCTTCCTCTGAACGTGAATGGAAAAGTAGACATCCCACGCCTAGTGAGGCATGTTCAGGACCTTGGGCGAGATTATCTCCTCAACTTCTCCACGGGCAGCTCCACCCACCAGTCCCTCCCGAACGGACAGTTAAACGGTCATTCAATCCCCAGCGAGACAGAATACCGCGGTAGTAAACTCCGGGATATACTGGCCGAAGTTCTCTCCCTTCCTCCCTCGCGCATTTCCTCCGATGACACATTTCAAGAGCTGGGGGGTTCGTCGTTAGATGCGATCCGGGTGTCTTCGAAAGCCCACGAGCACAATCTAGAAATCAGCGTCGCGGACATCCTCAAACTCTCGCTACGTGACCTTCTCAATCAGACGAAGCCTCGAGAGACGGCTCTCTCGGGACTGAGCACGGAGCCATTTTCATTGTTACCGCCAACCGCCAAACTTGACCGGACAGGAGTGGAAGACGCATACCCGACAACACCGTTGCAAGACACATTCCTGGCAAATACACTGCAGGGTAATACCACGTATATCTATCGCCGATACTATCGTGTCAAGGGCCACCACATTAACGTCGTCAAAAATGGCTTAGAGAATCTCTTAGAACAGCACCCAATTCTCCGGACCACTTTCGTGTTAAACAAGACGTCTTTCCTGCAGGTAGTTAAGAAGGACGTCCCGCTTTCTTGGGAGACTCTCGATATAACTGTGGAGGAGTTTTCCTCTGCTAAAAAACGGCCGATGGAACTTGGAGGCCCCTTTGTCCATTTCACCAGTCTCCGAGACGGAGTCCTTGCGGTTACCATGCATCACGCCTTGTTTGATTACTGGTCCAACAGCTTTTACCTCGACGACCTGGCGGCCGTACTCGCCGGCAAGTCGTTGCAGGAGAGGCCCAGCCACGCGCACTTCGTGCAACACTTGCTGCGACAGAACAAGGATGAGTTGCAAAGCTTCTGGAAGAGCAGGCTGGAAGGCTCTTACCCTTGTATATTGGGCCACATGACCGAGGATAACACACTGGTCTCTGCTGAACTCCATGAGGACGTCCAAACGTTCGCCTCCGCCAACAAAGTGTCTCTCGGATCTCTGATATACGCGGCGTGGGCGATCGTTCTCTCTCTTCACACAAACCAGAGCGATGTCGTCTTCGCCGCCACCTTCTCCGGAAGGGACACACCGGTTCCTGGGATTCTGAAGATGGCCGGCCCGACTATTACGACTGTGCCATTCCAGGCGCGAGTTGACCCGGACATTTCTTTGCTCGACTTAGCGCGCTCAATCCAGGGCGACATGTGGGAATGTGCACCGCATGCTCAACTCGGACTGCGAAACATTCTTAAGTCCTCGGGTCATAGCTCTGCGCCATTCGACACTATGGTCAACGTCCTGATTAAAGATAGCGAAGGTGGCGCTGCCAAGAGTATCGACATCCTGGAGCAATGTGCCCCTTTCGAGCCGAATCATGTAGAGTACACCATGCTCGAAGCAGAGCCCACTGAAGGAGTGTTGAAGCTGCGCCTCTTGGGATCTCTAACCCGGATAAAGGCGAACCTGTTACTCGGGAACGTGTTAGAAACCATCAAGGCCATTCTAGAGAAACCCTCTTCATTCGTAGGACAACTTTCTCCTACGTCCGCGGAAGAAGAAGTCTTTCTCAACTCCATATCCATCGAGCATCCCACTACGCCTAACCTATTTGCTTATTCTCTGACTGAGCACATGATCGCTAGATACCCAGAGAAGACAGCTCTCGAGGACATTTCGGGTGCGAAGCTGAGTTATAGAGACTTTGGGATTGCGACAAACCAATTGGCGCGCTATCTGGGGGCAAGGGGCGTCGGAAAGGGGGATATTATCCCGATATGTATGAGGAAGTCGATCAGCACCCTCGTCGCCGTATTCGGTATCCTCAAATCTGGTGCGGCATTCACCCCCTTGGATCCGCAGAATCCGAAGGATCGCAACGAATTTATCACCAAAGACGTCGGAGCAAAAGTGACCATCACCGACAGTATCCATTCGGGCGTCTTTGACGCCTTCTCTGGCGAAGTCATTAACTTCGATACTCTCGACACGAGCAGCCTAGACAACAGTAAGGTTGTCCTCCACAATCACTCCCCTCAAGACCTCGCTTATGTCATTTATACGAGCGGGTCGACCGGTCTGCCGAAGGGCGTCCAGGTATCGCACGGGGCCGTAGCAGCGTCAACGGAAGGCATGATCGAGGCGTGCAGAGTTGACCATCAATGGCACGTCCTCTGGTTCCTGAACTATGTATTCGATGCCTCCTATTTCGACGTGTTTACCGTGCTCAGTTCGGGCGGCACCATCTCTGTTGCCGACCAGGATACGCTGATTGCAGACCTGGCTTCGTGCGTCAACAGATTCGGCGTCACGCAAATGATGCTGACCCCGACCATCTCGAAGCTGATAGCTCCCGATGATGTCCCAACCCTGAAGACCCTTCTTGTCTGTGGTGAGCCGATCACGCCCGAGGTCGTGGAAACGTGGGCCACTCGGATGGACGTGTATAACGGATATGGTATGTGTCACTCCCTGAGTTCTTCCATTTTTAAGCGTGCCATTTAGAACAATACCCTGCTTACACACACGTGAACTATAGGTCCAACTGAGGCAACCATCCTCATGACTGTTTCAAAGGTTGTCCCCGGTGGCAATCTTAAAAGTGTGGGCTATCCGCTTAAAGCCGTCAAGGCCTCCATCCTCCATCCTAATGGGATGAAGCCTGTACCATACGGAGCTGTTGGCGAGCTCTGCGTCAGCGGTGCCCAAGTGGCCATCGGCTACTTAAACCGTCCAGAGATCACAGCAGCCGCCTTCCAAACCGCAGAGGATGGCTCCGTAGTGTACAGGACGGGCGATTACGCACGCTGGCTTCCGAATGGTGAGATCGAATGTCTGGGACGCAAAGATAACCAGGTCAAGATCAACGGCTTCCGCATCGAACTCGGCGAGATCGAAAACGCAGTGCTGTCGCATGCTGGAGACTTAATCCATAGCTGCGTCGTGGGTGTCGCGCAAGTCCAGCGCAAGAAGCAGATCGTGGTTTATTACGTGCCTCAAGACAATCAGCCGACGGAGGATATGAACGAGGGCGACTTATTGTACCCCGCGGCCGTGGTCGACCCGGCAGCTATACTCGAGCGCCTCACGTCGCTTGCTCATTACATGGCTCCCAAGGTATTCCTGCCATTCTTGAAGTTCCCGCTGCTTCCGTCAGGGAAAATCAACAGAAAGGTGCTGGGTGCATTGGCCGAGCAATTAAGCCCGAGCAGTCTCGCCCAATATTCTGGGATGGTGAATACACAGCCGGCAGATTATTCAGAAGTGCTCTCAGATACAGAGAAGATTCTCCGGGACGCATGGGCGGACCTCTTCGATGTCGTTCCCGAAAGCATTATCCCCTCTGACCTCTTCTACACGTACGGTGGTGACTCTATCGCGGCCATCAACCTCGTCAGCATGCTTAGACGTCAGAACTTTTCTCTTTCTGTGAACGACGCCGTCACGTACCCTACACTAAGGGAGCAAGCGACTCGGCTGAAGCCTATCAAGGCGGCCGCTACGCAAACCGTCGAGTTCGTGGTCCGCCCTTCGGTCCACCAGAGGCTGCGAGACGCCGGCGTCGCGCCCGAGGATGTAGAGGAAATTTACCAATGCGCTCCGGGACAGGTAGAGTTCCTCACCCAGGGCCACACAGAAAGCCAGTTCTGGCAGCTCATGACGGTGCGGCCACTACCGCACGGCTTCGACTTCGACAGGTGGGTGGGTCTCACAACGAAACTCACCGAGATCAACCAGATCCTGCGAGCCATGTACCTGAAGCAGGATGAGTCGGACCCGCTCAGCTGGGTTCAGGTTATCCTGAAGAAGCCGGTCCTCGATCTGGCCATCGTTGAGTGCGCGGACGAGAGCCAGAAGACGACGCTGGTCAAGCAGCACTGGGACCGCATGTTCGAGCTCGGCCGGCCCTTCGTCCGGTATCTGCTCCTCAAGCATCCGGACGGCAGCATGGACCTATGCACGAAGCTCGACCACGCCATGTACGACGGGACGCTGCTACGCATCTTCGACGACCAGTTCGCGGCGCTGCGCGACGGCCGGCCCGTGCCGAAGCCGACGCCGTTCAAGACCTTTGTCCAGTACACGCACCAGAACCGGGAGGAAGTGCTGTCGTTCTGGAGGGAGTACCTCGACGGCTGCAGCTTCACGTTCCCGACGCAGCTGTCGGAGCCGCGCGTCAGCAGCGTGGTGGGTGCGACGATCGACGTGCCGGTCAACGGGTTCGCGCAGCGGGCGGGCGTGACGGCGTCGATCGCATTCCAGACGGCGTACAGCGTGCTGCTATCGCGACTCAGCGGCGGCGGGGCCGATGTCGCGTACGACTACCTGCTGACAGGGCGCAACGTGGACCTCGACGAGCCGCAGCTGATCAACGGCACGTGCGCCAACTTCCTGCCGTTCCGGTCGCGGCACGAGCCCGGCGTCACGACGGTGGCGGCGCTGCTCCGCGACACGCAATCGCGCTTCTGGCAGATCACGGAGAACGGCGTTGCCGGGCTCGGCGACATCTACCACGCGCTCGGCGCGGACCGGCAGGCGCGCGCGGCCAAGACCCTCTTCCTCTTCCAGCCGTTCGAGCCGGCCGTCGGCAAGCAGGACACGATGCGCTGGATCGTCATGGCGATGAGCAAGGTCACCATGTTCGTCAACTACGCCATCATGCTCGAGGTCTTCAAGGACGTCTCGGGCGGCCACAGGCTCAAGATGGGATACGACGACCGCGTCTTCAGCAAGGAGCAGGCGGCCGAGGTCCTCGACCTCTACATCCGCATCGTCAAGACCATGGTGGCCGGCCAGGCGGAGAAGGTGAGCGAGCTCTTGTAAACAGGAGGGGATACAGCTGCGCTGCGAAACGCGGGTACATAGTGTCTAGATTCCCGGGGTGTCGGTCGGTGTTTTTGGTATGTTTCTCATCGTATATTTCATTGATTTTTTTTGTAGATGTGAGCCACACATGAACAAACACCTACCTACCTTACAGGTAAACACGTATAGGTACATATAAGGGGAGAGTATTCGATTTTTTCCTCGGCAGGGAGTCGTCGGCGCAGGCAGGTGAATATGATTTGATTACCTGGCAGCAGATCTATGGCAAGGATTTGTGACCATTTGCTGTTCTTTGGTTTCGGGACGGGTGATGTTGCTGCGGACTTGGCATGCTGTACTTCTTAGTCTTTTAACGACCTGTAGAGATAGCCGGGGCTTCTGTGTGGTATTGAACTCGGTGTCGAAAAAGGAATAAAAACGACCTCGCTCCCAGGCATCTGGTGTTGTTGTTTGTGGAAAAAAAAGTGTAGCGTTCTGAAATGCTGCCGTTCCATTACGCGCCCCTTATTTGAACCCACCCGCGTTGGTATATACCATTAGGTACCGAAGGTAACATGCCCGTCACCAGGGTATTATTTCGGCGTGATCCAACCCTAGGAGGTTCCCCCCTGGAATACCCACCTAGGTACCTCTGTATAGAGCCCAAATTGCCCTACCGAATAGTGGTGAAGTACCTACTAGGTTGATAAGTTGGACCCTGCCACATAGCTTGCCTACCTCCGCGATGCCGCCGTGTAGCAACATCAACACCTCAGCATCTCGTGACCGAGTACGCGTCCTATTTATCCTATTTACTACGTGCCGTGTGCTGTTCCGTTCGATCCCACGAGTTCCATCGAATTCAATTTCGTATACCCATCTATTATACCGGGGCAGTGCACCCATCCACATATAATACAGACCTTAACCAGGCGGGTATGCCTCGGCTGCCCTACCGAGGCTCATGCGCGAATCCGAATCCCGTCTCTTTTCTCGTTTCCCTTGCGGCGCTCCCGGACGACCGTCTCGTTCCTAGAACGCCCGCCGCACCCGTCTGGGCAGGCATGTTACCTCACGATAGGCAAGTAAGGGGAAGGGGTGCGTCGGGCTTCGGGCGTCGGCGTCCAACGCGCGTTTCTTGCCTCGGACGCGAGGATGGGCAGAGCGGGGGGCGACAGCTGGATGCAACCCGCTGTGCCTAGGCTGGCCACCGCGAGACCAGCCTGTAACCTGGCCTGGGGTATGCTCTTGCACCTGGTCGACATCCAATAGCGGCAGGCGGTGAAGAGCATTCTGCCATCATCCTGCGTCATCCTTCTTCAAGCTGTGTGTGCGCTGGGCCTGCTTTGCTCGGTGCCACAGCCTTTTTGCTCCTCTCTCAAGTGGCCTCGGCCAGCCCGGTTGGATCTTGTATCGTCAGTCTTTCTGCATCCTCGCCTATCACATGAACGCCAGGCGAGACATCCGTCACTGGGCCACGGCAAGGTTGTTGAGCGGCTATAAATTGACTGAGATACGTCCCGCACCCCTCGCCTACTCCCCAATTCATGCCAATTTTGTGTCGTTTGAGATACCCTCGTGCTGCCTCTTCCCGATTCTCCGCGCCCGCTCGGATCCCCGTGACGTTGCTATTGTATCGCAACCCCCTTAGCTGTGCTAGACGGACGTATTCTCGAATTTCTACCATGGCTCCGGCACTGCTCGGCGTGCAAGGCAGGAAGCACAAGGTCACCGTCATTGGTTCCGGCAATTGGTGGGTGGTCCAATCTCTGTCTCGTGACTTGGCGGGCTAATTGCAACGTAACCCAGGGGATCGACCATATCCAAGATCATTGCCGAGAATACCCTGGAACACCCCGACCTGTTCGAGCCCGATGTTCACATGTGGGTGTACGAGGAGGAGGTGACGTACGAGGGGCAGCCGCGAAAACTCACCTCCATCATCAACCAACACCACGAGAATGTCAAGTACCTCCCCAATATCAAGCTACCCACCAACATCATCGCGAACCCCTCACTTGAAGATGCCGTGCGCGACTCCTCCATCCTCATCTTCAACTTGCCCCACCAGTTCATCCACAGGATCTGCAGCCAGCTGAAGGGCAAGATCGTGCCCTTCGCCCGAGGAATTTCCTGCATCAAGGGCGTTAACGTCACCGATGAGGGCATCTCGCTGTTCTCGGAATGGATTGGCGAGGGCCTCGGCATCTACTGTGGCGCCTTGTCGGGCGCCAACATTGCGTCGGAGATCGCGGCCGAGAAGTGGTCTGAGACCACGATCGCCTACGACCCCCCGTTGATGGACAACTCGCGTAACCCGTCCCAGACCGCGACGCCCCGGTCCGCGACACCGAACCGCCAGTCGCCGCGAGCCACGGCGGCCGAGCTTAGCATCACGCCGCTAGCGAATCTGCCGCACCGAGACGTCCGAGGTCGCATTAGCAAGACCAAGCTGACGCCCGTGCCGCCCGAGTACCCGCCGCTCGACCATGAAACCTTCAAGGCGCTCTTCCACCGTCACTACTTCCACGTGCGCATGGTGTCAGACGTCGCGGGCGTCTCGCTCGGCGGCGCGCTGAAGAACATCGTCGCGCTCGCCGCCGGCTTCGTCGACGGGCGGGGCTGGGGCGACAATGCGAAGGCGGCCATCATGCGTGTCGGACTGCTCGAGATGGTCAAGTTCGGGCACGAATTCTTCGGCGAGACAATCTTGACGGGCACCTTCACCGAAGAGAGTGCCGGGGTGGCTGATCTCATCACGAGCTGCAGCGGCGGCCGTAACTTCCGCTGCGCTAAGAAGGCCATCGAGAAAGGTATTACGGTCCAAGAGGTCGAGCGCACCGAGCTCAATGGCCAGAAGCTCCAGGGTACCAGCACTGCCGCCGAGGTCAATTCCTTCCTCAAGCGCCGCGGCCTCGAACACGAGTACCCCCTCTTCACCGCCGTCCACGACATCCTCGAGGGTCGCAACACCGTTGACGAGATCCCTGATCTCGTCGCGAGGACCGAGTCCTAAGTGTCGACGTGCCAATAGAGACAAAAGAAAGTCTACGAAAGAACTCAAAGGGCCGTCTACACCATAAGATTTAATGGATCCGAAAGCCCGTATACGATGCAAGGGTTAACCGTGATAGCCGCCTGAGCGATTGACACGGAATTTCCACAGCCTAATCTAGGGGGCGGAAAGGGGGTGGGAGGACCAGAAGCGGTAAAGTAATAGGCTACGTAAACAGACAAAGTGAACATGATGTGATATCCTATGCCCGAAAAAGAGATACTCGTGAATTTACCTCCCTGCTGTTATCTGAATTCCCGCGTAAACATTGCTGCTCTCGTAGTGATTCCGTATAATTCTACCAATCGGCCAGCAGCGCGCTCTTCTCGCTGCCCCTCGCACTCCCAGCACCCACGATATCGCTCCGTCTCCAGGCCCTCGTCCCCCGCTGCCCCGCGCCGTCGCCGCCGCCGTCTTCGTCGTCTATCGTGTGCTCCCCGTCGCCAAATGACTGCTTGAAAAGCCGGTCGTACACGATCCACACGAGGTTGAGCAGGACGGTCTCGGCGGCGGCGAGCCAGCGGGGCACGGTGCCGGCGCCGTCGGCCAGCAGGGCGCCGAGCGCGAGCAGCAGGGCGACGGGCGGGGCGACGGCGAGCAGCAGCAGCCAGCGCCCGAGCCGCTGGCGGCGCGTCGTGGCGGCGTAGGCGGCCAGCCGCGCGAGGTGCGCCTGGTAGTCGTCGGGGAGGCAGTGCTCGCGGGCGCCGTCGCGGATGTGGCCGAGGTATCGCGGGCTAGGCTGCGCGTAGTCCGGGTCGGGGCGCCGGATGGGGAGCAGGAGCCGGGTCCACCAGCTGCGGCGAGAGGCGCCGCGGCCGTCGTCGTCGTCGTCGTCGGGTGGCGCGGGCAGACGCGGCGCGAGGAGCGTGTGCGCGACGAAGGGCGGCGCCGGCGGCTCCGGGATCGGCGGCTTCTCGGGAATGCGGAGCGCCGGCGGCAGCGCGATGCACGGCGTCAGCACGTCGAGGTACGCGGCCCCGCCGCCCTCCGTGCGCATGATGGTCGCGTAATCGGCCGCCGTGACCTCGTACACGACGCCGTACAGGCCCTTGTGCCACACCGGGGGCGCCGGCGGGAGCGCCGGGAGCAGTGTCGATGGGGGCTGTCTTCCGCCCTGGACCTCCCCCCCGTCTCCAGCCCAGCCGACGCCTGTGTGCGGGAGCGGCGGATGTACGTGCGGCAGGTTGCCGGGAAGAGAAGGGGGAGAGGGGCGAGCAGGGGGAGCGGGGGGGAGGGGCAGCTTCGGCGGGTCGCCCGGGATCGGGAGCGGCGGCTTGGGCAGCTTGCGCGGGACGACGTTGGCGAAGCACGGCTCCCAATACGGCAGGCCCGGCAGGTCGAAGGACAGGTCGAGGCCGGGCGCCGACACGTTGACCTGGCTGATGGGCCGGATGCCGCGGAAGCGGAGGAAGGTCGAGGACGACAGGTTTGAGCCGTACGCCAAGTACAGGACAGTGAGCTCGGAGTTGCTGTCGGGCGTGCCGACGGCCGCGCGCGCGAGCCGCTCGGGGGAGGTTCGTGGGACGTCTGAGAGAAAAGAGTTAGGGGCAGAGTGCGGCTGGGCGGAACCGTGATGGTTCCATCGACCGATGAAGCTGCGGGCGATGTGTCGAAGTAAATTGTGCGTTTGCTGGTACGGGTCGAGGCTCTCCGAGGCCGCGCGGCCCTCCTCGACGTCTTCTAGATTCATACTTAAGGCGTTTGTGCTTAATATTCGGACTGGGAGCGTTTAGGTAGATAGGTGAGGCGACGAGAGAAGGTTACCGATGGGGTTTCTTGCCCATCTTCCGAATATCTTCTGACACTCATCGACGGGTTTTTCGGTGTTGGCATAGATGACTTCACGTATCATCGAACCCGGAGTGATGAATATCTCGCCAAGCACCTCCTTCCCGCAGCTCCTGTCAGGTGCTTCCTCCACACTAGCCGGATCACGGAACTCAATTCGCCCCGGTTGCCGACATCTGTTAGTCAGCGTGTTATTCCTTGCATTGACTTCATATATATGGCTAGCATTATGACTTGTTCCGGACATCACCTTACCTTCACCACCTGTTCCTCCTATCCTTCATGAATTAATGAAGCACAACGGATGCGTACCCAGGGTACCCAGCCAAGATATCCTTGTTCGGTTCGTTATTACTGATGAGGTTATGAGTTTGATTTCACATACCAAGTCCGCACCGTCAGATCCATCGCGGACAATACATTTCTCCCGAGTCAGGTCGACATGGCCTGTATCCAAATCGGCGATCGCACGAGGCACGTCAGATGTCCGAAGCTCATATCCATTCTCCCTATCGTCCGAGATATACGGCTACGCCTAGAGTCTATCAAACAGAGAGAGATGGTTGGGTTGGGCTCATGAAATTAATAGTATATTACCCCTCTGAACCCGCAACCCAGAAACGACTCAGCATTTAGATTTCCCGCTCACAACATGATGATCCCCTTCTGTGCTGGACAGCGAGCCCATTTACGCAGGCGACGTCTGTGCTGGTGATTTACGAGCCATGGGGCAGTCGCCCAATAAGAGGCCGGGTGGTTGGGGCCAATGCCACGTCCACCAAACCGTGGTGCTCCTCCATACGGCTCTCCTCTCTCGAACGGACGCCTCGGTACGGTCCAATACTCACGAGGCATCGAACGAGGTGTTGAGGGCCTTGGTGGTGACATCCTACGCTGAAGGCCCATATCCAGGCTGCATATATACCTCACCAGTAAATCCGAGAATGAGCCCGGGTAGGATACCTCATTTTGGTAATACACGCACCCCCGTCCATCGCGTTGTGCGGCATCGTGGCGGTGCCCATGCCTAACAGACTAACCGTCTCAAGAGCATTGCCAGGGCATGCTAGTCGACAAGCCGACGTTGACGTCGTTGAAGGCGTAGTTTTCGTCGATCTGACAACTGCACGGCGCTGTACGTTGGTGTCAAGAATGCATGCAGCGGTGGCGGCCCGCGCCGAAATGCCACGCCAGCTCAACCCATACCGGAGGCACCGTGACCCCTTTTCACAAGGAATGCCTTTGATGCCTTGGCGTCCCAAGTAAAAGCCGGACGGCTCAACCCATGTGCAGAACACCCATATACTAACCATGTACGTCAGTAGCCAATTCTCGGAATAGCCTGCATACAACATCGCCAGTCACACACCAAAAGAGCACTTCGAGGTGATTACGCGGAGAGCCATTATAGATTCCCAGAACGGAATGTGGATTCTCCATTCCCCCCTCGTGATTTGCTCATGCCCAGCGAGAGCCTTCATGAGGCATTCATAACAGTGTAGACAGCAGGTGTTCCCAACCGGGGTCGCCTCGATCAACGTCAGACTGCCATCGAAATGCCTACAGCCAAGTGGGCCAATAAACCTCAACTTTGCCAAAGGATGGGCTCTAACCAAAGCCTCCCCGAGTGGGACGCCAGGCTCCAAACCATCTTTCAATACAGCCAGGCTATGTCCACCGGTTTTTCGTCATGCAGTTTCTCGTCTCCATTCGCGTCCTGGCCTGTGACATAGCTGCCCAATGCCCCTCAGAGGCATATTTCGCTTTTATGCAGCATGGGCTCCTAAAGGGGGTGCAGATTTTCGTACCGTCCCACGCGAAAAGGGGGGTCTTGGCAACAGCAACTCGGGTTCGCTCGTAGTCGGTGGTGTAGCCGGCATTGGCGACTGGGCAGTGTCCACTGGCATATCTCCAAGTAGCGCTACGACGTACGAATATACGGGATACCACCAACCCGTCACCTTTCACATTCACTTGGCCATTCTTTCGTTGAATCCCCTACTCCTCCTCTTGCATTTCGTATAGCCCCATCAGCCGCATCGCCGAGAAGGGCTCCACGATCCATAGCGAGGAATAGGCAGGGTGTTCCGGCGCCTCTGCATTGGCTACTTGGTGACTCCATATATCCCCTTTACCACGATGTATAGGTTTAGACAGGAATGCAAGTCACAGGGCATCGAATCAAATTGCGCTCGCAAAATCCGCAGACAGCAAAGACCATACCGTACCGTTCATTCGCATTTCCTGGACTCCCGCACCCTCATCACTTGGCACGTAACTTCGCAGGTACCCAGTTCGTTGTCTGCTCAAGCGACGGTCAATAGCTCCTTCGCTGCGAGGACGACTGGTGCAGCGTTAAAGCGGCTGGTGACGCCGATCAGCAACAACTCGGCTGCCCGTTATACAACTCTTTGAGGCTTCCACTAAGATGGGCTAAAATTGAAATCACGACAACAAGCATCGTGCGGTACGTATGTTGTGCTTAAAACACATCCCGTATTGCCGGCTTCCGTACTGCCGACTAGCCTGTTCCAATCCGCGGTTCGTGATCCTGGCGTTATATTGTGTTTATCGTGTGGTTCGGCTCAGCCAGCGGGGAGAGGAACGATACCATGGGGTCCTTCATCCGCTCGGCTTCCCGGCTAATCATCAGACGGGTGCCTCGAGAAGGTCGCATAGACGAAGAACAATTTCTAGGGCACGGGGCCGAGACGGCAGCTCCGGACCCGGCAACCACGGCACAGTCGGCACAGTCGACACAGGGAACACCAGCGGTGGAAGTGCCAGAGGCTGTCACACATGCACCACCCCTTCACAACTGGACCTACCGCGTTCCCGAAGATGATCCGTTAACGCTCTACCGCCTTATGGTGGGCATCAGCACGTCACCATACCTAGGCTACAGCGTAAAAAGCCCGGTGGGGACACGCCCAGCGGCCAATATCGGTATATACACGCGCGTCGTCTCGTCGGAGCAGAAAGCGAAGGACAGCTTCAAGGTCTACTCGGTAGTCATCAACGCGTGCTACTTCTTCCAGATCGTGGTAGCGGCGTCGCTGACGGCCATGGGCGCGGCGGGGGCCAACAACGGCGTGATCACGGCGTTCGGAGCCATCAACACCATAATCGCAGGCTTCCTGACCTTCCTCAAAGGGTCGGGGCTGCCGTCGCGGCTCAAGTACTACGGCGACGAGTGGAAGAAGATCCGCGAGTATATTGAGCAGCGGGAGCGCGACTTCTCACGCGCCGGCTGCTCGCTCGACGTTCACGAGGTCGTCGCCACCATCGACCGCATGTACAACAACACGAAGCGGGAGATCGAGATGAACACACCCGACAGCTACACCTCGGTCACGGGCAACGTGCGCACCCACCTCCACCGCCACCACCAACACGTGCACAAGGACGCAAGCCTAGACGACAGCGACGACGGGAACATCACCGACCGCGCTCCCGGCGCCGACGCCGCGCGGCTCGAGAGCGTGGCCGCGAAGCTGCGCGGCATCGACGAGCGCATCGCGGCCGGCTTCGCGCGCGAGATCGACGAGGAGATCCGCAGGATCGAGCACGCCATCGCGCGCGGCGTCGAGGACCGTGCCGCCCTCCTCGAGCGCGAAGCCCGCGAGCTCCGCGCCCAGGCCGCCGCCGGCTGTGCACGCGAGGAGGCGCCGCACACTGACGGCGTGCCGGCCGCCGACGGCGAGGAGGAGGCGCCGCGTAGTCGAGATCCGGGAGAAGAAATGCGACGGGCCCAGCCACAGGGGCAACAACGACATCAGCAGCAGTAGCAGTAGGCGCGAGGATAGATGCTACCGCGGCAGGGCGCTCCAAGGGGAGGGGAATAGGGTAGAAGCTCGAAGTCGGGCTCCGGGATCGCTTGGTGTGCGCGAGGTCACACGGCCGTCAGCGCTTGATTTATTGGGTTGTTTATTAGACATTGCGACGGATGCAGCGTTCAGAGATACCAGGGGGGGGAAGACTGGGGGGAAGGGGGGGGGGAGGGGTTCCCGGTTATGGGAAGACTCGGCCACACACATGCGGACGGACGAGAAATGGCATGTAACCTACCTACCTACCTACCTAGGTACCTACCTACTTGCATCTACACACACCACCGCCGCCACCACTGCATTTACACACGTGAACATACACATGCTGTGTAGTAGCAGTCGGCTCGTGGCGCCCGGGCAATGCACACGCGCCTCGCCTACCTGATCGGCCGTCTGGCTCGTCACAATAGGCCGAAAAGGGGGAGGGAGGGGAGGGGAGTGGAGGGTAGCATGCGTCCGCTGCATCCGTGAGAGGGCGCGTGGCACGGACCGCCACCGAGAAATATAGGTAGGTAATACCTAGGGGAGGGGGGGTCATGGTGGTGGTGGTGAGCTTGTTTGACCTTGGGTAACGCCGACCTGCCGTGCGAATTAACAGGTTCGAGCACATCGCGAGCCACGCATACCTCTGCTAGCACAGCTCCGAATCCCACGCGGCACCTACCTACCTACCTTACCTATAGAACAATGCCTGTCCTTGCAGGAACCGAGCGTGCTGCTCGACGGCCGAACGAACGAAGGATTCACTAGCAGCATCTCGGCGCAGCGTCCCAGCGTAAATAAACAATTAATACCGCAGTTGAGCTCTGCGAAACGCGCAAGACCGATCCGATCTCAACATCTACACGTAAAATCTGCGGGCTGGCGAGTCGCACAAGCTACCGCTTCTCAATACATAACATGCGCCGTTAGACCCCAGGGGTATCAGAGAGCGTTTGGGCCCTTCCTTCCCGCCGCGCCTTTGCCTTTCCGTGATCGTGAGACTCTCGTGTGTTTATACTCCGTTTTTTTTTTTCTTTTACCCTTCCCCCCTCACCCTTTCCTCGACACCTTATACTTGAAACCACGTTACCCCCTTGTATGCTGAGACATCTACTACCTCCCTCCGTGAATGAGACAACTATGCCGCGTGTACCAAGGTGTCGATGAGCGTCTGTGCGTCGGAGCGAAGCTTCCCTAGGATCGCCGTCTGCTTCGGCGAAGACCTTTCCGGAATGACTGATTGGGTCGTCTTTTTGGTGTACGCTGCGAAAACTATGCCTCGATTTGTCGACACGTCTGGCGTCACATTTCCGCCGGTTCGCTTCGTTGGCACCCGGTCGCCGTAGAACGAACAAGTCCACCCACGCGCTATCATCCCCGGCGACGCGAGGTCGTCACGATACTCTTGCCACCCTTGAAACCCGAGCATCTTTGCGTGGAATTCGGTGTGTATGCGGAACGGTGACCCGAATTCGTTGAGCCCGTAGGCAGCAAGCAAGCGACCTGCCATCCCCGATTTTGGATTGGCAACAATGGCGCACCGAGAAGCGGCGTAGTCCGCGTTCCAGCATTTGCCTTGACGGTCCTCCGGAGGCGAGCGAAGTGAGGGGTCGAAGCTTTCGCCCTTCATCTCGGGCCAGAGGCTGATGACGTAAATGAGGTCGAATTGGTACTTGTTGGCAATGTTCGCTGCCCATATCGCACCCAGTGCTCCCGATGCAAAAGTAGGCGAGTAACTCAAGGAGAGGAACTGAGAGTCCGTTGGTGTGCAGGGCGGAGTGAACTCTCCAGAAGTGGGGTTGATCGCAGTCGTCGGCACAATCGGCTTCACAGATTTATATCGAATAGACGCGACTCGGTCAACAGCCTTCGGCCAGTCCTTCGGAGGTGGCGTCGGAGGCTCGTCGGAATCTGTTTCGGGTTCAGTTGGCAGGCTTTCGGCCAGATCGTCGTCACGAAGCGCATAAAAGTCGCCAATCGTAGGCTCTGTGATACTGCCGCAGATTGCGCTGTGTTTTATGACGGTCGAAAAGGATGCTATACTGGCCGCCACTCGTATCGCTTGTGACTGGAAACTGTGTGCAGTTTCGTTGGGTGGAACTTCATCCGACGCAATGCCTGTTGTTGCGGGATCTTGTACTCTAACGCCCCAAGACTCCCGATAGGACAGCTTACGAGCTAGGCCTTCTACTGCAATTTGAGAAGCACAGTCGAGCGATGTGCGTGGTGTGATCTCGCCCAGGGGAGGCAGACCGTCGAGTGATATTGACCGGGCCAGCGAGCTGCGTGAATGCTCTTCCTCCCCATCTGATATCGGCGGTGAATCCGGGTGTGGTCCCGAGAGCGGAGACGGCGATTGATACCTGGGGGATAATGGCGGCCCCTGGCTCGGGTGATTTCTTGATTCCATGTGCGACCAGCTGGGAGACGTGAAAACGGCGTCCGTTTTCATAGCAGGCGATGAAGGGTCAGGTGAGGTAGAGGGCGATGTCGGTGATGCCATGACATCTCCCGGTAATATGGCACCGAGATCACTAGTGAGGGTGTCCAATCCGAGAGTATCCAGCAGTGATGAAACGCGCTTTGGAGACCAATCTAGAAAGTTCACTGCCTCCTGTCCACGAGTGAGGAATTCGTACGCCGACTCTTCTATAATACTTGCTCTCGAAGGGGCCCCGCCCGTGGGCCCCTCCGAGTGAATATTCTCAGGAAAATTGTATTTGGATAGTTGTATGGTGTCGAGAGAATCCCTGGCGCGATTGATGGACAATGATATCGGTCGCTTAGGACTACCCGGGTAAAATTGCTCGTTGACGACAGTGCTCGAGCCGGTCGAGGATCGCCTTTTTAGCGCCGCTTGCGATTCAGGTAAACTTTGAGAGCGTTCCTTTACGGCTTTGGTCCGTCGATTCGGCTCTTCACGAGGTCTCATGGGCGTTGACGTTGGCCGCATGAAGGGAGGTGACGGGAAATAGGCGCCATCTTTAGGCTGCGAGGATCGGGGTAAATCAGAAGCGTCTCGGCGTCCGGCCTCTCTTCCTTTTTCCTTCTTCCTAGGGCCACCGAAGAGCCTCTCTAACCTTTCTAACCCACCGACCATTTTTTTTTTCTTCTCTAACAAATCTCGAGATCTTAAGTAGGTCTCCTGGAAATTGTGTCAGTGATCTCCTCGTATCGCGAGGTTAGAGGTGAGGTCAAGTCAAAAAAAATTGCACACCTCAAAAAACTACAATGTCACAGACGACGGGTACACCCTTAGCAAGCTGGCAACGACAACAACGCGTACCAAGTCTTCTATCGAATAGCTGTGCTGAGAGAGATCAAGTTAGCAAGAGAATACTTGTCCGGGAATACAATTTGTGTAGGAGACAATACCGGCTTGAGACCTGCAGGACAACTCCAGCGAACGGACAATGTTCACGAGGAATCCGTGACAGGCACGAGGAGAAGATGGGATAGGTTTGGGCGTCACAAGACACAAGGGGTGGGCGATGCAGTGCGGATCATCTCCGGGTTGACCACATCGAAATTACACAATGGTCAGGCTCGATTCTCGGTGCTAGATGGCACAACAGGCAAATTAGCGCGCTGTCAAACAGACTCGAGATTGAAGGGAAGCAGGTGAAGATATCACAAACCCCTGTGGTGCTGCCAGAGTGTCTTCAGTATCGAGCACTCCTCCTCTTGACTGGCCTACACGGGGCCGGATGTACGAGAGAGGGGGATGTCTCAATTATAGGTCGGGGGGCTTGACACACAGCTCGACACCAATCTACACAGGGATGACGAGGGAAGATAATGGCGAACTCGGCCAACACGGACCGCGGTGGCGTCTGGGGCCGCCTAATGATCGTATAAGCCAGCCTCGATGCGGGAGCGGGTCGAATCGCAGAGCGAATCGAACACAGTGACTGGAGACAGTGCGTGGTCGAAGTAGATGGTATCCTCGGTCAGAGAGTACTGGACGCCGTAGCTGAACACGGGAAAATGGTGAAGGTGATGTGTATCTTGGTGGCTGGACAAGGGAATGGTTGGTATTCGGACTTGCAGTGTGTGTGTATTTGTCGGGTACCCGCAAGCAGGCGGATAGATGGGATGGAGGAGGCGGTAGATGGAGAGCGTGGGCGATGCTTGTTTTGGGGGTGGATACGCTTGGTGGCTCAGTGGGTGATGAACCGTAGAATCATGGCCAGCCCGACATGCGATGGACATGAATGCCGACTCCTGGAATTCCCCTTCATCTCAACCCTGTGACATGTGGTTGACCGGGAGGGTGGGCAAGCTTCGGCCACTTGTCTCCTCAGGTAGGCTTGGTATCGTTGGCCCGAACGTCTGGTAGAGCACGACCAAGTTAGGAATGCGGATTTGTTGGCAGGAGAGTCGTATTCGAGCTCTTTGCTACAGGCGTCGTCGAGGGCAGGGTGTGGGAGAAGGGAGGGACAGGGAGGCCGGTGAAGTACCTAGGTCGGTAAGGTAGGATGCACCTAATCGTGTAGACGGCTTAGGTACCCCAGGTACCGCGTACCTTAGGTGCCTGTGCCACTGCCAGGTACCTCCCTGCCCCCCCCCTCCCCCTCCCCCCCACGGGCACCCACGACAACCGTTCAACCTTGCTTGTCCCCTTACCTTGGGTACATACCTACCTCCGCCCTCCAGGCCATCCCAGTGTTGAGCCACCCGGTTCCCGCAACGCAGGCACGTAGCCACCTCGAGATCCATTCCCGGCGGCCGCTGCGCGCAGATAGCCGACACACCCATGGCCGGTATATCTTCCCGGCCCTGTTCTTTCTCCGAGCGGAAAGGTCTGAGAGGTCGTCGAGCCGGAGCCAGGGACATACAGGCCCTCAGCGAGTGTGAGGCGGGTAACTAGGAAGCTAGGTGCCGAGCTGTGGGAGGCATCTGAGGTTGGCTGTCGCAGAACGAACGACCTAGCTACGAGGAGGTAGCACGGAGCTGTCCGCTACCCGTTTGGACTAGTAGCCAATAGACCGAGGGCCTATATTTCGCGCGATGGCGACCCGTCCACCCGCCACGGCACCGTGACATTCTCTCGTCGTGAAAAGGAATGGTGGGTTGCGCAAGCCACGGAAGCCGCCCGAAGCAGAGGATAGGCCGACCCTGTCCCAATCGCGGAAACACTGGAAAGGGGAAATGAAGACACACGCCCGGCTGTGCCGTATGGCGAAAGCCACGCCACATTTCAAGCTGCCCTCTTTCCCTTCTCCTGTCGGTTGTGGGTCGGCCGAGGCGTCCTACGCCTGCGCCATAGCGACCATTGGAGGCGGATTGTGGGCGTCGGGGCCTGATTCTCTCACGTCTGAAACTAGAGGGAGAGGTTGTGCTAAGGGGGATTTCACTCGTGATGCGTGATAAGGGGTCAGGGCTGTTATCGGGCAAACGACGACGTTGGCTGTGGAGGCTGACATGGTGGACGCCGTCACCACAAGGTGCGAATAGCTGCCGGGGAGAAGACCTACCTAGGTAGGTACCTAGTTAAGCTCCGATCAGGGACCGGCTCTTCCCTCGGCCCCTGGGCTTAGCGGGCGGCCTGCCCTAAGATAGCTCGGTCTCAGCTACGGCCCTTCAGGCTTAACTCAATCTAGCGGGCTAACCTCCACTCGCTATTCACGGCAACGGACGCCAGTGCCAGGATCTCCCCTCCCTGCGTTGCGCGATGCCCAATGCTCCAAGCTTCGACTGGTGCGTAGCCTAATAGGGAGAAGTGCGGCCTCAAGAAGCTTCAGTCAACATCCCTTCTCTCGCTCCCTGGCAAATGCCTACCTCTATCTTGCTCTTTAGTACCTCCTACCTAAGGTGCCCGATGGCTCCTCATGCTTTCTGTGGCGAGCGTAGAGCTTCACATGCTAGGCAAGTCTCCGACCGAGATCGAGAACGAAATGGGCTCGTCGTCACCTCGGGCCTCCCGGCGCTATAAAGTAGGGGTTTACGTGGACATAGGTACATACGTGCGGCCGACCTTGCCTCGTTGCTCGCTCGACGCACCGCTCCAAGGGAGGCGAGCACGGCATCCAAGTCTCGACTGTTGTCTTAAACCAGAGCCTGCTTCTCCCCCATATCCACCTTCACTACCTCCTAGATACCCTTAGAGGTAGGTATTACCGGCGCTGTCTTTTATTTCTTTTTCGCTTTTCCTCCGCTCAGACCCCAAAAGCGCCAGACTTCGATTGGTCTCTGAACGAAACGCGCGCATTTAGTCAGACATGGCCCCGTACCAAGCCAGGCAAGACTTCGTGATGGTCCTACGCCCATTTTAAGATCCGCCGCCTGCCGCCCGCCGCCGCCGCCCGTCGCCCGTCCGTCGCGTACGTAGGCGGACAAGTCCTGTCTCCCAACTCCGCATCCACTGCGTCAACCACATAGCGGGTGCGGATGGCAAGGGTTCCCACAGATGCTGTTAGTGTACCCGCGCTATCATCTTTCCCTTCACCGTAACGTGCCGTGTCTAGTGCGACAAGCCGATATCGATGCCATATGTTCATAAATGCTATAGGAGCCAGACCCGGGTGCTTGAAATCACCCAACTGAATGGTCCGTTGCGACTATTCCTGCCTTCGCAAACTATCAGTTCGATTATCCGTCCTGCCCGCAACATCGAGAGTCAGAATCGGCCAGTAATATCATGGGCTCCCATCCCAACGTGAGTCCTGCATATGCAGGTCTCGCTTGTGCCCGCTTAGCGACTCTAGGTTCGCAATAGCTCGGGGCCCTGGGAACCGCATCACGAGAACCCATTGCTACTATTCCGGACTTTTGATCCAAGTGACGTGAGCAATGCAGTTAATCCGACGGCGCATCCTTCATTGTCTCCACTGATCATCCCTTTAGTTACAGTTGACATATCATACTACGCGCGAAACAAGTCGCAGTTAGGTGGCGTTGATTTCCGTCTGTCAAGAAGACGTCCAGATGCTTATCTATCCTAGCTATCCCGCGCAGCTAGGTTGCGTTGAGCGCGAGAACCGCCCTCGGCAGAGCGTCTTCCGCAGTGCTGGTGCCGATTAGATCAAGTTGGTGATCGGCCGTCGGCAAATGGTAAACTATCTCCTACTATTGATGGCATTTTATTTCGGCAACTCTTTTGGAAGTACAAGCTAAGAATTGCGAGTAGGATTTCGTGTTCAGGGAATGGCGTAGGACGTCGCTAACGTTGCAAACTATGCCCTTTCCCCTCTCCTCGTCCTCTTGCCCAGTTGAAGCAATTCTGTCTCCCGTGGCGTCTGCAGTGCAGCCTTCTGCTATGCATCTTCCAGATCGTATTCCGGTATTTTTGTGGCAATTCAGTGCCCGTACCGCAAGTCATGAGTGATGAGTCTTGTTGCATGGAAGCGAGAGAGGGTCGGCCCGGCAGGCACCGTGGCGTTACGCCCTTCGACTTCGAGGCTTCGACTTTCTATGCAGCGCCCCGTCGCATTCGCGCCGAGATCGTGTAGCTTAAATATCAGCCCACAGGCGCCATCCTCGCCTCGACCGGGATAGGGGCTACCTTATTCTCGGAACTGGGTTTCGGCCCCAGGCGGAGCTTTTCCAGCTGTTCCTGGGTTGATGTCTTGCAAGATACTGCTCGTTAGTTCCAGGACTTCGCTCGGATTCCTACAGGGGGGCAGGTCTTCCTGCGGCTTCGTCGATCCACTCGCTCAATTGTCCTTAATATCGACTTTGTGCAGGCGAGTCGGCATGTGCAGGAAGGTCTTCCGGCCGGGCTTGCGTTTTCTTCTTCCGCATTCCATGAAGGGGCATGGGAAACTGTTACTAGATAGGACGAGTAACCAAATTCTGCAGAAACGCCAACAGCAATTGGCATGCTACTATACAGTCGACCCTCAGGTTTTCAACCTTAGACGCCACCAGCCGATGTAGGTAGGTATTTGCGACAACGTCTCACACGCAGAGTAGTCATCCCACAGAGGTTTATCTGCACTGGACCCTTCTTAGTAGATATGCATATTACCTGTTATAGTCGTCCCTTTTGAGATCTAGATAGGCACCGTGATTCTTACGGGTGAGATGCAAAAGAGGTATTTGTCCGTGTTCGATCTGTGTTCGATGCTCCCGTGAATGCGCATTTTTCGAGATAATACCACATCCGCCTAATGTTCCTGATGTTTGTAACGATTCCCTCCCCTCACGGATGCGAACAAATTAATCACACCCTTATTATTGTCTCGATCGTGTGTATTTCCATTGTCCGTTGTCAGTCAGGCTCTACCTAGCGCACCCAATCCGCAGGACCCGTCAGTCGATAATCGCATTGTTGATTCTAAAGGTAGGCAATACAATCGTAATACGGGGGGATATTACTTTCCGTGATTGCGCGAGTAAGCGGGCCGAAGTTGGATCCTAGACACTATTAACGGCCCCGAAGCTGCCTTCTACAGCCTTGAGTGTGTCATCTCGGGGCTACGAATTTCACTAGCTGAGATGTATAGTAAGTATCATGACTATTATAGTAAGACTCTGACAGACATAACGGATTTGCAGAGACTGCCATTGCGGTAGACCCACGGGCGGAGGAAAAAAAAACGTAAGGGGAGGGAGATGACACCCATCTCGCACGCACGCACCGTTCGCTCTCAGGTTCTCCTATTAGATTGAGGAACGCGATATGGACTTCGTCCGTCAGGTCGCTGGCTTGCAGGCTCCTGCCCTTTTTCTTGAAGGCGAGCCGCGAGCATTCCTATCGTTTTAAGCAGCGCAGTCGTCGTCGTTAGCACGCCTCCCGCCTTATCTTATCCCACCAATGCCAGAGAATATCTCACCGGGCCAGGTTAGACTCACCCGAGTGATAGCGGCGCCCCCGAACACGGCAAGCCCTAATGTCTCCGCCTCCTGTAGGCCTCCCCCGTGGTCCCACAGGCCGTCGTGGTAGGCCTTGCGCCAGGCAAGGAAGGTCGCGATACTCCCCGTCAGGGTATCGCCCTGGCCGCCGCTGCGCTTGAGCCCCCCTGGCTGATCCACCGTCAGTGTCGTCTTGCCGTTGCTGATCAAGTCCTGCTCCCCTTTCTGAACGATCGTAACCCCTCCGAGCGCCCGCGCCAACTCTTCCACTTCGGCCGAGGAGTCCGCACCACTGCCAACGGCGGCGGAATCGTCGCCTCTTATGCCCTTCCATAGGCGCCCGAACTCGACGACGTTAGGTGTGAGAACGACCTCGTGCCAGCCCTTAACAAGCTCGGGAGTATTGGTGACCAGGGCCAGCGCGTCAGCATCCAGGACGACGGGCATCCGACGCTCGCGGGCGGCGGTCAGCACCTTCGCGCAGGTCTCCTGCATGAGCGGATCGCGGCCAAGCCCCGGCCCGATAACGAGGACGTGCAGACGCGGTAGCATGTCGATGATGCGGTTCGCTACATGCGCTAGATCCTCGGCATCGGGGGGATTACGGCCCGTCGGCGATTGTCGCATCAACGGGTGTACCATCAGGTTCGGGCTGTAGGTCTTGATTACGGCGGCGGCGTTGGGTGTACATATAACGTGGGACTATGTTTGACGCCAAGAGAAGAGAGAAGTTGTTAGCGGGCTGTTGTGAATGTCCCTCTTACTCTTTCATATCGACTCTCATCGCCACCAACGACGCGCCGGGGGAAAGGGGATGGAAGGCCGAACCATATCGCATCCTAGACGCGCGCTCGCCATTGCGGAGAAGTACGGTGCGCCCGTATAGTCTTCGCTACCGCCGATGACGGCGACGCGGCCTAATTGACCTGTGACGAGTGAGGGTGCACGCAGCTGGTTAGCTCGTAGCTTCAACTACGGTAGGTGTGCGCTGTTCCGGTCCTCGATCTTCCCTTTTTCTCTCCGGCTCCAGCTCAAATCCGATCCTGCTTCTCTTTCCCCTTTCTTTCTTACTACTCAAAGCATACCGAACACAGAGCGCTGGTGTGTAGACAGGCAGACGAACCCAGTGTTTACCAACCTTTGTGGAATTTTTCAAGCATCGGCGGCACTATCTGGCGCACCTTGGCTAGGATCTCGCGGGTGGTCGGCGACATATGGGCTTCGAGGGCTGCGGGGCCCATTCTCTTCTCTCTCTCCCTTTCTCTCTGTCTTCCTGTTCTCCTTCCTCTTTCCTTTGCCACCCCTTACTGTACGCTCTTCCCTCTTCGATCGCCCGAGGAGAGAGAGAATCAACGGCCTTAATCGGTCGGTCGGTCGGGTGGTTGGCGGAGATCTTTTTTCAGGTCGGCACCCCGCGGACAATTCGAGTTCGAGTCGGTAGGCGATCAATTGGAGACGCCAAAAGAATCAACGTTTGCCGTGTCTCGCATAAAGATCGATGGAGAAGGTTTTATCGTTGCGAGATATGGGGGATGAGTAGAAGGCGGGTTTTTCCAACATGGGTTCTAGTGATTTGAAGAAATTCGCGGTTTATCGGAGCTATGGGATGATGGGAGGGGCACCACCTGGAACTCGCCACCCTAGCCTACTCCTAGCATTGTGATGTCATCATCTAGCAGATCCACGGTGCCTCCCGAATAGCTTCTCTTAACCACCTGGGTATCCGTGCCGTTTTCCAATAGTTGGATGATTCTGTAGTCCAGCAATCCCACATGTTCCTTTTATCATGCCGAACCCAGTCAAGGCGGCAATAAATATTACTCGAAAAAGAAAAAAAACCAAGATCACGGCTAGTTTTCTGGACAACGGAACCGAGTGCTCTTGAGTTTTTGGCTCTATTTTTACAAGGGTCAATGGGAACAGAATGCTTTCGCTCCCAACCCGTTTCCTTACTTAGTTAAGCACCCTTTTAAGTGCACCCTCTCACCCTCTCTAACAAGATCCGCCATCACGGGCCCCTTAGGTATAGACAGTCCCCGTCTCCTCTCTGCGGTTTTAAGCTTTCTAGTCGCCTATTTAGGCAATAAAGCTCTTGGTGAAGGTCGTGATGACGTCTCGCAACCTTTGCTCGAGGTCCTTGCTGAGAGCGCCCTCCTTGTCGATCGTGGCTAGGAGGTCCGACTCGTTCGTCTTCAGGTGGGCGAGGAAGTCCGACTCCCATTGTAGAACCTTGGCGACGGGTACTTGGTCGAGGAAACCGTTGACGCCAGCAAAGATGAGCGGAACCATCTCGTTGACAGCCATGGGGGAGTATTGCTTCTGCTTCAGGAGCTCGGTCAACTGTAGAGATATCATGTCAGTCTAGGGCTACACTAATAAAAAAAGACCACTGAATACTTACACGTTCACCACGGTTAAGAGTCTGCTTGGTAGCGGCATCCAAATCGGAACCAAACTGAGCGAAGGCGGCGACTTCACGGTACTGGGCCAAGAAGAGCTTGAGCGAACCGGCAACTTGCTTCATGGCCTTGAGCTGAGCGGCGGAGCCGACACGGGACACGGACAGACCGACGTTGATGGCAGGTCGGACACCCTTGTAAAACAGTTCGGCCTCCAAGAAGATCTGGCCGTCGGTGATGGAGATGACGTTGGTGGGAATGTAAGCAGACACATCGCCGCCCTGGGTCTCGATGATGGGCAGTGCAGTCATGGAGCCGCCACCGTGCTTGTCGTTCATCTTGGCGGCACGCTCCAGCAGACGCGAGTGCAGGTAGAAGACGTCACCGGGGTAAGCCTCACGACCGGGGGGGCGGCGGAGCAGTAGAGACATTTGACGGTAGGCGACGGCCTGCTTGGACAGATCGTCATAGATAACGAGGGAATGCTTGCCGTTGTCACGGAACCACTCGCCAATCGAGGCGCCGGTGAAGGGGGCGATGTACTGCAGGGGTGCGGCCTCAGAAGCAGTGGCAGCGACCACGATGGAGTACTTCATGGCATCGTTCTCCTCAAGAGTCTTAACGAGCTGGGCAACAGTTGATCGCTTCTGGCCAACGGCAACATAGATGCAGTAAAGCTTCTTGGTCTCGTCGTTGGTGTTGTTCCATCGCTTCTGGTTCAGGATAGCATCGAGGGCGACGGCAGTCTTTCCAGTCTGGCGATCACCGATGATCAACTCACGCTGGCCACGGCCGATGGGAACCATGGCGTCGACGGACTTAAGACCGGTCTGGACGGGTTGGTTGACGGATCGTCGCGGCAAAATACCAGGAGCCTTGAGCTGCGCTCGGCGCTTCTCCTTAGTCTTGATGGGGCCCTTACCATCGATGGGGTTACCGAGAGCGTCGACAACGCGGCCGAGCAGCTCCGGGCCAACGGGGACATCGACCTGACGGCAGTTAGTAGTGTTGATCATCCAAGGGCACTATGGCAAAAGCAAACTCACAATTTCTCCGGTACGCTTGACGGTCTCGCCCTCCTTGACGAGACGGTCAGAACCAAAAAGCACAACACCAACCTGGCCAGCTTCCAAGTTCATGCACATCCCCTTCACACCAGAAGCGAACCTGTACATAAAAATCAATGGCGCGTCCCGTCCCGAGCATCCGAAAAATTGTGCACGTACTCGACAAGCTCCTCGGCCTGGACATTGGCCATACCGTGCACGCGGGCGATACCATCACTACGCGAACCGCGGGTTAGCAAACAGAAACCAATTGATCAAAAGTCGCATTCGCCTGAAGCAACAGCCGCAGCGATAGGGCGATCGAGCGACAACGAGAATGGAATTTTAGGCATAATGAAGATTGCATGCGTAGGACGGCAGATGGATTGCGGATAGGCTGGCAGCGGATTGAAAAATCTCTCGCTTTGACGGGGTCCACACACGTACCCGACGGAGAGGACACGGCCAGTCTCGGCCAGGCTGGATTCTTCGGATACGCCTCGGATTCGCTGCTCGAGGATGGAAGAGACCTCGGTGGGAGAAGCCTTCGCATCGGAGGCGTAGGCTCGGGCGTGGACGTTGAGGGCGGCGGGTGCGGCATTTCGCGCCTGGGAACATCCAGTCAGTTACGGGTTAACGGAGAGTCCCAAAATAGCCTGGGTATTTTGTGGTGTTGACAGTCCGGTAGGAGCTCCCGCAAGCTCGGCCAGCTCTGCAAGCTCTCCCGGCTACCCCGACCGAAATCGTACAAGAAACAGGCTCGGATCGAGGCTCGCGGGCGCTCCGGGGATGCATTGGAGCGGACGGCACGCATCCTCGGTTCGAAGTGGGATGGGTATCCGGACGGGTCAAGTGGTGGTAGGACCTACTGCAACGACTCTGCCCGAAGCAGAGATTGCGCTCACGGCGCGGGTGGACTGTCTGAGGGCGTTGCGGAACATATTAGAGAGGTCTGTCTAGTCCTCCGAACTAAATAGGAAGAAAGAGAGAGGTCAATTGCAATCAGATGCAGATTGCAATCGAGGGGAGGGGAGATTGCAGAGGGTGGGTTGTATTTTTTTTCTCTCGATTTTTGGTGGATGAGGCTTGCAAAACGGGGACAAGATGGAGGAGGCTTTTTCCTGGGAGGAGTGCGAAAGGGCTACACACAGTTGGGCGGGAGAGGAAAAGAACGCTGGCGCTAGACGAAGTACCTTGGCTGATGCTCTACTCACTGTTGTGTGCTCTCATGGGAAATCGTACCCGGCGATACCTGTCCGCGCTAGCCCACCAGATGTAGCCCGGCATCGAGGTACATGCAGAGGTGTTGACCCGAAAGGTCCCGACCGCGGGAATCGTGTGGTCCGTGCACAATCTTCTCCCCTCCCTCCGGCGGCCGTGGCCTTGCTTCGACTACGTACGTACCTAACTAGCGTAAGCAGTAGGTAGCAGTACATCGATGTATGCTCATAACTCCCAATCCACCACAGAACATCGACAACCTGCTTAGCTAACCCCCACGCTTGGCTTCAACGAGTTCATCCAAGTATCCCGTAAACTCTTCTCCACCAAAGGCAGGGCGAATCAATCAATGTGATTAACTAGGTACAACTACTCGTTTTATGTCTCGCCGGCCGTTTAAATCCGAAAACCTGAACGGATTTGCCTAGAGAACCCAATTTTGCGCATGGCCCTTTGGTAAATCCGCCCGAGCTGCCCAGGCAGGCTTTCCGACGTCGGCGTAACCCTAGCGGAGACGTTACGGACAGAAAACATAGACAGGGAGACATGTGTAAGTGTTGTTACACTTTCTTGCACTCGACAACCCCCATGGTCTGCCCCTCCACCTTGTGGACCTTAACCACATCAAGGCCAGCCCGACGGACCACCGTCGCGAACTGCTCCTCCGTCCGCTCGAGGGAGGACCAGGCGAGCATCGTGATGTCCATGGTCGCGACCCACCGATCGGGGGGGTCCGTCATGATCTGGTCGTTGATCAAGATCCGCGCCCGGGGCTCGTCCTCCGGGAGCGCGGCCGCCAGGATCTTCAGCATGCCGACGCAGTCGTCGTCGTCGTAGTCGTGGAGGCAACGCCTGATGAAGTAGATGAGAGCTCCTACACAGGCATTGTTAGCAGGTACACCTGTCTCAGGCCGCGCAACCGGGGCCTGAGATGCCCTCGATAGTAGGCAGGTTGGGAGGGGGGCGCTGCTTGCCCTTGACCGACTGCTCCGCGTGGAAGTCGCACGCGATCTTCTGCACGTCCCGCATCACCGGATCGTCCGCGTGCGCCTTTTCGATGCTCGCGATCATCTCGGGCCGGTCCTCGACCACGCACCGGGCCGGCGGAATGCCGGGGTACTTAACAAGGTTGGCGCGCAGCGCGTGTCCGTAACTGCCGCCGACATCGACAATGAGCGGGCGCTCGGCGGCGCCTGCTGCGTACTCCTCGACCCACGCGAAGTCGTAGACGCCTGTGTACGGCCACGCGAAGTCGATCATGCCCTGCATTGAGAGACCGAACTGTTCCAGGTGAGTTGGGCCCCGCTGTTCGAGGACCTCCCAGTGCGTGAGGCGGCCATCGACGCCGGCGGCGAAGGTTACGGGGGTGTAAGTCTTGCCCCGCGGCAGCCGTGGCTCGTACTTGTTAAAGAAGCCCGGTAGGCTCACGAGCGCCGGTTGAAGGGTATCGTAGGCCGTGAAGAACAAGGCGCCGTTGCAGTCGCCACTCCGGTACGCCAGTGATAGGCGCGAGTGCGCGACTCGTCCCGGCGCCGGCTGCCTGAGCCCACCGGTTGATACTAGCATGCGACCGAGCCGGGCTGTAGCCAAGCCGGTAAGCTGGGGTAGCTATAGGGAGGGCCATGTAGTTTGCGGGCTTACACACGAGTTCTTCCTGGACGCCCACTGAGGCTGCGAGTTCTCTCCACGATACATTCCCGTCTAAGGGGATCAAGTCAAAGATTTTCCACTCTATAAACATACGTATGCTTGCCCACTCGCTCATCTGTTCGAATTACGGTCAGACACTTGCGAGAGGAGCATATTTTGGGCACGAACGTACAGTAACCATCTGTTCAGCAGCCACTTCGTCAGGGTGAACCAACTCGGTGTACAACTTTCTCGCAACAGCCGTAGCCTTGCGCCTCGCTGAGAGATCATTGTTTTCGTCAGCATTGTTAAGTTCCTGGATCTTGGCCGAGAGCTCTTGGCAAAGCAGCTCTAAGTCGCCAACAGATGAAGTTTTCATTTCTTGGTAGGTATATTTTCGCTTTCCAATATAATTTGATCGCATCATTTATGATTTATGTGAGTCGGTGGACGTAAACCAAGACCTTGCTACTTTTGTAGACATGTCAGGAGTAATATCCACGCATCAGGTATCGTGGTATAGCAGGCCACAAAACGCGCAGGTCAACAGTTTCCTACACCATCGGTTAGCACCACACATAGACCAGGCGCACAACTCTGCTCGCGATGACATCACACACTACTTCGTTCCGTTATGACACTGGTCAGAATGCAATCATAACTGGTAAAGGGTGCGCGATCAGTTACCTGATCTGGCTTGAGTAATATTAAATCCAAGCAACCATTCCCACTCCGGCAATCCGAGCGGAATCTTAGGAAAGGTGAGAGAAGATCATAGTAAGGAAGGTATTGGGGCATTCTTAAGAACAGGACAGAGTGAGACATAGGCATTATCAGCCGGAGTCTGCGTGTATTCATTGGATATTACCTATCTAACGTTACGGCCGGGCTCATGTGGACATTGACCATAATATCGCAGAATCTTGCCCGCAGAGAGAGCACCGATATCCGAATCGGGTTTCGAGGATACAACCCCGCCAAGAGCGGTAGAAGGGAGGTGACGCCAACTGATCTTGATACAAGTTGGTGGTTTCTTACCGACGATATGATCGATTTGGTTTCTACTCTTCTCCCCCCTAAGGGATAACAGCCGCGTGCTCTATATAAATGATGCGTGGCTGAATCGTGCAAGAAAACGTAGGCGCTTACACTTCCTAGTCCGCTTTCTAGGCTTGTGTGTTAGGCGAAAACGTATTAGACGTCTTACCTCTCCCTCGTGGGTTATGGGGGCTTATTGTAGGTAAGGTAGCGTTCGTTACATGACAACCGTAGGTAGCATTACCTATGTATTTTGCTACGCAGCATATTAATTGAAGTTGCTGGGATATCAATTTCGCCTTTTACCCAGTTAAGCTTTGGGTGGGACATTCATTTTGTTCTCATCAAACGAGATTTTCCTGTTACCACTCTCTCAACTCGTTGCCTGGGCCTATGAAGACTGGGCTCACCCAAGCCTTCGAGTCCTTCGAAAGGGCCCGCACCTGGACCTCGTCGACGTCGATCCCGAGGCCAGGCCCGCGGAACAGGTCAATGTACCCATCCGTGACCTTCCACACCTCTGGGTTTGTCGTGTAGTTGGTCAGATCCTGCCCGCCAACGTTGTAGTGGATGCCGAGGCTCATCTCCTGGATGACGAAGTTGGGGCTCGCGGCGTCGACCTGGACGTTAGCGGCGAGGGCGATCGGGCCGAGAGGGCAGTGCGGTGCGAGCGCGACGTCGTACGTCTCGCAGGCCGACGCGATCCGGCGCATCTCCGAGATGCCCCCGACGTGGGCGATGTCCGGCTGAAGGATGTCGACGCACCCGCTTTCGAGGAACGGCCGCACGTCCCACCTGCTGTGCAGGCGCTCGCCGAGCGCGATCGGCACGTGCGTGCGGGCGGCGATGTCCTTGATGCCGCCGATGTTCTCGCTCAGCAGCGGCTCCTCGACGAACAGCGGGTCATACGGCTCCAGCTTGGCGACGAGCTGCTTGGCCATCGGCTTATGCACGCGCCCGTGAAAATCGACGCCGGCGTCGAGGCCCAGCGACTTCACGGCCTTGACGCGCTCGACGCATTCGTCGAGCTTGCGCGGGGTGTCGAGCCATCCGAGGTCTTCAGTGGCGTTCATCTTCACCGCATTGAATCCCTGGGCCTTTCGAGCATTCCTGTTCGCCGTGAGTATACCAATATGGCTACCTATACCTATGGCAAGGGCAGGGCGAGAATACTGACGCTTGCGCTACGACGTCGCTTGGTCGGTCACCCCCTATCCACGCATACACGCGCAGCTTATCCCGGACCTTTCCGCCGAGCAACTGATAAATTGGGACATTCAGTTTCCTAGCTGGCGGTATTATCAGTCTCATCGTCGGTCCGAACCTGTAGCCACGGTCTACACACCTTTCAGGTCCCATAATGCTATATCTATCCCGCTCAGCGCGCTCATCAGGACCGGCCCCCCTCGATAAAAGTTGCCTCGATATGACAACTGCCATATGTGCTCGATATCGCTATTCTCATAATTAGCAGGTATTATTACCAACGGGCACGAAATTAATCACGTATCCTTACTCAGCTTCGAACCCCAAGTATTTCTCCGCCCACGCATCCAGGCATCCCTCCACCGATTGCGTATGGCCCTCGAGCGATGCCTCGCCCCACCCTACGTTGCCGGTGTCGTCAGTGATCTTCACGAACAACCAACGCGGTGGCACGCGGAAGTACTCTATCTTTGCTATCTTGCCCATGGTTTGTTTTGTCGCCGGCCCGGCTCGCGCTTTTGTTCTTCAGAGCCGGGTCCATCGTAACCTAGTGCTAATATCGAGTCGTCGTCTTCCTTTTCTGGGCCGGGCCTTAGCCAACCTGGCTCGCGTCTACGAGGGACCGAAGAGGGGCGCCGCCGAAGGGGTTTATGAGGGGATTGCGGGGTTACCGGCCAATCGCTCGCCTGCCCATCCTGGATCGTCGCTGAATCCGTCGGAATTTGGTCTCATTGGTCGCTTTCTTCGGCATGATGTTGTGTCGGATTCGGGACTCCCTCACCCGCTTTGATGGTATCATCCCACGCTTATTACGTTTCTTCTCTCGGAATTCAAGAGGGAACGAGAATCGTCGTGATTGCCTACAGGACTTTGCACGGCACGCGAGGGCAGCTAGAGGAATGGCCAGATCGAATATACCTCCCTGTGTTAGGCATGTTTTCAGATGACTCGCCTTCCTCCGAATAGGTTTATTTTGTATGTGTTTTGAGCCCTCGTAAAATCCGTTCGTATATTCTATAAAATCCCGAGCGTGTTTTCCAGTCTAGGGAATACCGTTAATGTCGAGTATGCATGCCTCCAACTCAGTGACGAGACTTTATTGCTTTTGCGCCGACGCTTTCAATTTGCGCTGTGCTTCCACCCAATCCTGCACACTCTTGCGTAACTCCTCCTCCGTCTTCTCGCCGAATATGTTTACCCCCAATCTTGCCGGGAAGTTGTAACGGTGATTCTTGTCGAGGGAGTTAATCGCCGCAACGGCGTCGTCGGGGAGCACAAAGGCTATGAGGTGAATGATTAGCAATTGGACAGTCCGCTATAAGGGGCTCGGATTCTTGTCCCACTCTCAAAGTTCGCAACGACCCGCTCGGGGGTGACGCTCTTCGGCAGCACAACGAGGCCATTCTGCACGACCCAGTTGATGATAACTTGGGCGGGCTGCTTGCCTAGGCGGGAGGCAACTTCATGGACCTTGGGATCGTCAACGGCTCTACAGACGCCTTGTTAGCCATCTGGCTAAAACGAGACAATACTACTGCATGACGGAGCTTTGTACCTCGGTAGGTCGTAGATGTTGTTGCCCAAGGGGCTGTATGCTTCTACCACGATGTCCTAGCTCCTTTATTAGCAGCCGGTACGATAATCTGAGGGCCTATTACCACCCACATTATTCTTCATCCACTCGATGAAAGTGGGTTGCTGAAAGTAGGGATGAATCTCTATCTGGTTGACTGCCGGCTTGATGGTTGCCCTAGAAACGGGCCGTTAGCAGCGCACGACATCTGTCATCGGAAACGACTCGCTCACGTCTTCCATAACTCTTCGATCCTCTCCTGGGTGAAATTGCTGACTCCTATCGTCCGAACTTTGCCTTTTTTAACTAAGCCTTCCATGGCTCTCCAGGTGTTCTCGATCGGCACGTCGATTACGTGCACCTGCTCATTCTCCGGGTTGATCGGGAACCGCTCTCTCTCGTCCGCGCTCTTCTGGAACGAGACAGGCCAGTGGATCTGAGGAGATATATCAGGATATGATGTAGCAAAATAGCATCGTTGATAGATCCAGAGCAGTGTCTTACTAGGTACAGGTCAAGGTAATCTAATTGAAGATCCTTTAACGTGGTATCCACGGCAGCCTCTACATCTTCGGGCTTGTGATGCGTATTCCAGAGCTTGGATGTAACCTTGAGGTATTACAGCCATTAGGACGACAGCAGGTTCATCGAGTGAGGGGGGGTAGCACCCACGAATATTTCGGAACGGTCAACTCCGGATGCTTTGATACCCCTTCCCACTTCGTCCTCATTGTCGTAAATGGCGGCGGCGTCGATATGTCTGTAGCCTGCCTTGAGAGCGCTCTCGACGGCAAGGGCTACTTCATTGGGTTTCGATAGCTTATATATTAATATACCGGTTCAAGATTAGCCAGGGGCTGACCTCCATTCGTGCACGTTCGAGGCTATTCGTGTAGGGCTAGAACGGGAACATCAAGGCGTTTGCTTACCCATGTGCCCAAGCCAACAGCTGGGATTGAATAGCCCGTATTTAGTTTGTACGTCTTGCTCGCCATCTTATGGGATATCGAGGGCTATAGTCCTGTGTACGTCTACTAGGAGGCGTTGAGGTTAGCACAGACTATGCCTCGATGATATAGACTATTAGAGATTATTATAGGCCCTCTTCTACACGCTTCGGGTTGAATTACCGAGCTTGCGTCGGTGCTGGCGACGAATAACTCCACAAACCCCAAATGTCGGGGTATAATTGTCTGTATGACCCCCACGCCAGCTGATAGTCCCCTCCTTAGCGGCCCCGAGCTCGGCTGTCGTCCGAAGGCCCCTTAAACGGTGTTATTTCTCGACCACAAAGGAATCCGAGAAACCCTTATTTGTTCCTTTCTCATTGCCTTGCCCGTACCCGTTCGAGAAGGAGACATCCAGCACTCGAAAATCCTGTCACCATGGCCCTAATCCCTCCTCCTGGCGTCTACGTCCCGTCGCCGACCTTTTTCAAACCCATCGCTCCCGGAGCTCACCAGGCCGAGGTCGACGTCGAGACTCAGTCCGAGCACAGCGTATTCTTAGCGAAGAATGGAATCCACGGTCTTGTCTTGCTCGGTTCGACGGGAGAGGCCGTCCACCTTTCTCGCGCCGAGCGGATAGCTCTCCTCGGCGGGGTTCGTAAATCACTCGACGCTGCCGGTTTTCCCGACTACCCGATCATGGCCGGCGTCCTCGTCAACGCTGTAGATGAGGCTCTAGAATGGATCCAAGATTCGAAGGATGCCGGGTGCCAGTGGGGATTGGTCCTGGCGCCCGGGTACTTCGGCGGCGCCGCATCGCAGCAGGGTCTGATAGAGTGGTACACGACCGTTGCGGATAAGAGCCCGCTTCCTATCTTGATGTGAGTAGCATGCGAGCATTGAGCTCTCATATTGGCTACACACTGCGATTGACAATATTCGAGGCATCTCTTACATCGCCTTGCATCGATGGACTAAAACTAATATTGCACCAGTTACAACTACCCCGGAGTGACCAACGGTCTCACCGTGACACCGGAGACGTACGAGAAACTTGCGCAGCACCCAAATATCGTGGGCTGCAAGATGTAAGTCGGCCTACGCGCGGATGGAACTGGGGAGATCGGCTAATAGAAATAGGTCTCACGGTAACGTATCATACCACGTTCAGGTATCGACATCGCCCGTGATCGATCACGATACCTTCCGCGTCTATAGCGGCTTTGGCCAACAGCTCGGACCCATTGTCACGTTTAATGCTGCCGGCGTGATCGACGGGCTATCAGCGATCTTCCCTAAGACGGTAGTGCGCTTGTTTGAGCTATCTAGTAAACGGCCTATCGACGATGCAGCTGTTAAGGAGGCCAGGGTCCTCCAGTACCGAGTCAGTCGCGCAGAGGAATTCATTGGCCGCTGGGGTATCCTGGGAATCCGGGAAGCAATCTACCGTGTCGTCGGCCTGGGCAATCTCGAGGGTGGACGCGCACCCCTAAGAGGGAAGATCCCCGATGGTGCGTGGGAAGAGTGGACTGAGGTCATGACGGCTGTGGCAGAACCATGATCGATATACAGTTGATTCGAGGCTATCGCATGCATTTGTTAAAGAACAAGAAACAGCCCATGTATTTCATTTACGCATAGAATTGACAGCCCTACGAAGCTAGCATCTGACAAGGAGTCGCTTTTGTTATTGTCCTATCCGCATCTCTAGGATCGTTGTAATATTATCCCTGTGCAACTAGAGCGGGGACCTAAAATCACATCCTGAATATCGAAGCCGTCCCGGGTTAGAAAAGAAAGAAGAGATGAAACACATTCATTCCGGCATTCAAGTCGTCGTCTCGTTGTCTCGTCGTAAATCCAATCAGGCGACAAATTAGTGGACGTAGAAGTTCGATGCCGCCGGGTCATCTCGGCGGATTCTGTTATTCAATCTGATCAGCGCGATCTTCAGACACCAAGCGCAGATGATGACTCCCGCCGAGAAGCCGATCGACCCCGACATGGCCTTGACAAACTGGGGCGCGTCAGTGTCGGGCCACAGGTACGGCGTATAAACCGACGCCAAGTTGCCGAAGGTGTTGCACATCGCAATCGCGACAGCTTTCTTCTCGTCCGACTGGCCCAGAACACTGGAAGTCCAACCGAGGATGATATTGTGAACACCATGTGTAGCGCCTACAAGTAGCATAATTCCTACGTAGCGGGCGGCCGTGTTGAGCGTCGCCAAGCTGATGGCAAATCCAACGATGGCAACCGCTTTGGATAGAGTAATATGCCAAGTTCGCTCATTGAATCTTCCACTGGACCATGAGAGGATGATGGCAACAAAGGCCGCAAAGATGTAGGGCGGACAAGTGAGAACCAGAGCCGTGGTGGTGTCTAACCCGAGGCTCTTAACGACAGTCGGCAAGAAATTCTTGAAGCCGCTCGCACTGATATGAAGGTTGTCCATCAGACAGAATATCCACGTTCGATAGTCGACGACGGCCTCTTTCAACCCCTTCATCACGCTTGTTCCTCCCTCTCGTCTTCCGGTAGTATCCCTGGCAATACGATCGTGTGCAAGATGCCGTTCCTCGGGAGTAAGCCACTGAGTTTTCAGGGGTGCATCGGGCAAGAGGAAGAAGCCAGCGATTGCTACCACCATGGACAGCGCCCCCTGGATTATAAACATCCTGCCAAAGTACTTGGTTAGTATCACAAAATACTCTTCCGCGTGTAAGTCGTTGTTGGGATTTGCCCACCATTTCCAACCCGGGAGGCCCCGCGCACCCCCTAACCCCGAGAAAATGGGAGCGGATATCAATCCAGAGAATGCACTTGCAGCCAAATTTCCAGTATAGAAAATGGACATCCGTGTAGCGATCTCCTTTCGTGTGTAGAACAAGCTCAGCATGTACAACGCACCAGGATAGAACTAGTATTAATAAATAGTAAGCCTACGTCCAACCAAGCATTCGGGCTATCGGATCATCTCACCGGGGACTCAACAATACCCAAGATCAATCGGGCGATCAACATCGAAGTATAATCATGTACGAGAAAAGTGCACAGCGTCGTAATAGACCAAGCTGTCATGAACCCTGCAAAGACGAATGTCAGTTAGAGTCTAATATACTATAAGTTATTGATGCACGGGTGCTTATTCGGGTTATGTGACGCACCAGCCATGAAGAGCGACGGGCGTACGCGGTTGAGGAGCATGTTAGATGGAACCTGTCCCGTTAGATAGCCCACGAACAAAATAGACACGCAAGTGTTATATTCGTATCCCTTCATATTAAGGTCCCTGTCTAGGCCATCGAGTTTTCCGTTTATCATGGCATTTCGGTCCAGGAAGTTGAAGAAGTACATTAACCATAACGTGGGCTGTCGAAGGAGCAACCGTTAGTCAACGGACATAGATATATAGAAGGGAGAGAATTTCTATGAGATACTCACTAAGATGTACAGGTCCAGCTTTCTCACCAGTTTGATCTCAACTGGGTCGGTTTTCGCATGGGCTCCAAACTGGTCTACCTTTTCGTTGAGGAGAACGTCATCAGCGACTTGTTCGATGTGTTCGGGCTTTCCGCTCTTCTGGCGATCAAGGTCCAGGACGGCCGCCATTTTCTCACAGGTCAGAGCGACAAGAGAAGTCAACTATCCACACCAATGGGCGTGGGTGAAGAAGACAAATGATGCTTTTAAGAGCCGGCCCTCACGTATTTCAACGGCATCCGCTGTCTTAAGTAAACTACGAAACGGTTCACCCAGCTTGCATCTGAGTATGTCCATCGACTCACCTTGCGGGGACCCCGCAAAAGCCGAGTCTCGTGCCCCTACTATTAAGTCGCTACCGGGCAGAGAATCACAATCATCTTGGATCACGAGTCTTGAAGCAAAGGTTATCGAGTTGCTTCTAATGCTTCCTGCCGCCCGTCGCTTGACGTACCGGCCTAATGATCCCCGGACTCCACTTTCCCCTCTCCAACTTGCCCGCCCGTGTACGAACAATACATATTTTCCCACCAGCCTTTGGCTTGATAGAACGCCCTAGATCCCATCACATCATCCCTGTGATTCCAAATAAAGGCGATAAGGTCCTGCAGAACAAGGATCATAAACCCCAAGCCGAAGTGTGCTTTCGCTACCAGAATAGGAGTCGGTGGTGTGTGCTTCGGCGCGCCTCCCCGGTTCGAATAATAGGCCCTTCTCGGGAAACAGACGCGGGAATACACCGAAAATAACAGAGTCGTTTCATTGCGGAGAATTCCGTGGAGACATAATGGCCATTTATCTTAACGACCTGCTCAAGAGAGAGACATGAGCCCATAAACACAACTCTCTACGTTGTGCGTAACTAGCAGAGCCACGATGTCCCTTATTACAGCAACACCACAGGCGCCGCCTGGTATCGGTAGCCAAGAGTCTGCTCCCAAAACAGAGATCAACTCGGTTGACAGCATTGATGGCTTAATCGTCAACCGCGCCGTTGCCGCCCCATTCAAGCCCTTACTTGCATATCCCGGGACAGACGGCAAGTATGTCTACTACACCGCTAGAGAGTTGGACCTCTTCGTGGACCAAGTTGCAAAGTATTATGCGCAATCTGGCTTTGTCCCACAGGTATGTGATTCACCAACGGCCAAGCGAGCAATCCTCCCGCACCGGGACATATCACCCCTGACTAGAGAGACCCGTAGTCCGGCCGAGGCGAATCGGAAGTAGTAGCTCTTCTTGGCCCGTCGGACCTCGACTACATCATTACGATGCTAGCTCTGACCCGAATCGGGTTTTCCGTCCTCCTCCTCTCAATTCGATTGTCTATAGACGCCCACACGGCTCTCCTCGACCAGACGGGATGTCGCAGGATCATACCCGCCTCGAGCTTCGCAGAGACTGTTGGCGAAATTGCCGAAAGATATAGCATTACGCAGGTCCCCATGATAGACAGCTCCGTCTATAGCAAAACAGACACAGCAGGTGGTCGCTTTCAACGACCCGTTGAAATTGAAGATGAGTCGCAAAAAATTGCATTCATCGTCCATTCGTCCGGCTCTACCGGACTTCCGAAACCGATATATCATAACCACCGATGCTGTCTCACGAACTTCTCCGTCGGCAGCGGCATGAGAGCATTTGTCACATTGCCCCTGTACCACAATCACGGACTGGCGACGTTCTTTCGGGGCGTCACATACTCTGTTCCGACCGCATTCTTTAACGCAAATCTGCCGATGACACACGATCATCTCGTAGCCGCCATAGAGCAATTCGGCCCCCAGAGCCTCCACTGCGTCCCGTATGCGATCAAGCTTCTCGCAGAGAGCGAGCGCGGCATCGGCCTGATGAAGCGATGCAAGCTTGTCTCGTTCGGCGGAAGCGGGTGTCCCGACGAGCTCGGGGACAGGCTAGTCAAGGCTGGAGTCTACCTAGTCAGTCATTACGGCGCGTAAGTCAAGCAGAGACACTCAGAACGAACTAGAAAACCAAAGGCTTATCAATGGAAGTACCGAGATGGGGCAACTCATGATATCTTTCCGAAACGAAGACGACAAGGAGTGGAATTATTTGCGACCCCTCCCCAAGGTTGCACCATATCTCCGCTTCGTCCCTACGGGCGAGGGCCTATATGAGTGCGTCGTTCTCGACGGCCTGCCGACGAAAGTCTGCTCGAACTCGGACGAACCACCGAACTCGTTCCATACGAGAGACACGTTCATCCCTCACCCGACAATCCCCAACGCCTGGAAGTACATCGGCCGCTTGGACGACCGCGTCACGCTCGTCAACGGCGAGAAGGTCCTGCCGATTCCGTTCGAACACCGGCTCCGACAGAACGAGCTCGTCGAGGAGGCGCTCATCTTCGGCGTGGGGAAGGCGTTTCCCGGCCTGCTGATATTCCCGAGCGAGAGGGCCCGGGCCATGAGCCGCGGCGAGCTCCTGGACGCGCTCCAGCCTGCGCTCGCGGCGGGCAACGAGGCCGCGGAGAAATTCGGGCGGATCCCGCGGGACATGGTGGAGGTTCTGCCGTGCGGCACGGCGTACCCGCGCACGGATAAGGGCACAATCATCCGAGCAGCGGCGTACAAGGCCTTCGAGGCCATCATCGAGGCCGTCTACGTGCGGTTCGAGACGCACGACGACGCCCGCGACGGCGCCCGCAAGGCTCTCGATCACCCTGCGCTCGTTGCGTACCTGCTCGATATCTTCTCCCGCGAGATCGGCGTCAAGGGGCTGGCTGAGGATACCGACTTCTTCGAGCGCGGCACTGATAGCCTCATGGCCGTAGCGGCCCGGGCTAGGATCATGCGCGAGATCGATATCGGCGGCTCGACCTTGAGCAACAACGTCGTCTTTGAACATCCGTCCGTGAGGAAGCTCGCGTCTCATCTATATTCGCTGAGGACAGGAAAGGAGTTGGCTCAAGTTGACGAGATCTCGTTGATGTCCCGCTTAATCGCTAAATACTCGGGCTTCCCCCAGTTTGCTCCTAGTAATTCGAAGCCTGACGGCGAGGTCGTGGTACGTGGTTTAATACATTCCTCCAGCATACATTGGCGGTCACTGACAACAGTCACTTTTAGTTGCTCACCGGAGCAACCGGATCACTTGGGGCGCATATCCTATCACAGGTTGTATCGCTGCAGCATGTTAGAAAGGTATACTGCTTGGTCCGGTCGAGAACACCAGAGGAGGCCCAGTCCCGTGTCGTGTCAAGCCTCGAATCTCGAGGGGTTTTCGTCCCCACTATCCTGGATAAAGCTGTCTGTCTACCTAGCGATTTCAGTCAGGAGTCTCTCGGCCTCGATCCGTCAGCCTTAGAGGACATCCGGTCCACTTTGACGACTGTGATCCACAGCGCATGGATGGTAAACTTCAACGTCAGCCTTGGTAGCTTCGAGCGTTCGTGCATAGCTGGCGTGCACAACATAATCAGACTCTGCCTCCAAGTCCCTTTTGAGAAACCAGCCCGGTTCTTCTTCGTCTCCTCTATATCGGCTGCCGCGGGCACGCCTCTCCCAGCCACTATCCGTGAAGCTCACATAGAGGACGTACGCCATGCTCAGAATATGGGATATGCGAGGTCAAAATTGGTCACGGAGCATATTATCCGAGCAGCGACAAAGAGTACAGGCATACACGCAAGGGTCCTGCGGACCGGTCAGTTGATGGGAGACGCGCAGAATGGCCTTTGGAACCAGACCGAGGCAATCCCTCTCATGATTCAAAGTGCTACGACGATGGGGGTTCTTCCGACCCTAGACGAGGCAAGAATACTCCAAGTGATGAACTATCGTGTATCCGTTGGCTGATGAACTCCGTAGACTCCTTCCTGGCTACCAGTAGACAAGTGCGCTTCGGCGATCCTCGAGCTCTCTGGCCTTAGCATCACAGCGAGGGACGAGCTGTCCGAGAACTTCGATGAGGTCTACCACGTGCTGAACCCGACACTGTTCTCATGGAGCAGCGAGCTACTGCCCGCGCTGAGGGCCGCCGGGCTCAAGTTCGAGATCGTACCACAGCGCGAATGGGTCCGGCGGCTGCGCGAGGACGATCAGGGCCCCCAGAAGAATCCGACCGTCAAGCTGCTCGACTACTACGTGGAAAAGTACGACAACGACGCGGCGGGCCGGAGCGCCCTTGCGTTTGAGACGCAGACTACCGCCAAGTACTCTGAGACCATTAAACAGGGGTTCGATATCATCGGCAGCGGTATCTTGCAGAAGTGCTTGGATAATTGGCAACTGTCATGGGGCAAACAGTAGGCAAGTTGCCGTACAGCGGGCACCTGAGTCCGTCTTTCATACCTTTTATGATGTGCACCCAAGCGGCCGCAACTACGATGGGTATGTAAGCTTGAAATAGGAGAGTGCGAACTTTTCAAGAGGTATGAGAAGTCTTTGTGAACACGTGCAATTTAAATCAACCGGCTCTTACACCTCGTGCGTGCTCTTATAGTGAGCACTGAACTTGATATATCCATTGCCGAGAGCCATGACGGGCCACGATACTCTAGGGAAACCGACCAAGGCTTGAGGACCGCCCACGTCGATCCAGACATTGATGGACTCCTAGCTAGGCATCGTATCGAGATCTGCCTATTATTACGGTAGCTTTGGGGGTCTCGCGTGGCCCCATACAGGGCCCCCCAAATTTTCTGATATGTTTGTTTTGCAACATCAGCAAGACAGACGACACGAGATATTACAGCAAACCAAGACATCACAAACTGTGCCGTTTGTCGGGGAGCAGGGCATTGGCAGAGCCATATCACACCATCACAGCCTGCATTGCAACGCTCCCGGCCAATCTCGTTTCCGACCCATGCTTAACCTTGCCGCCTAACAGTGCTCCAATGTCCCGATATATATAGCTCTTGCCCGACCAACTCTACGTCCCATACGCATCTTCTCTATTATCTTGCAGGATCGAAATAGCAATGGCCTCAGTCGACTCATCGCGCGAGCTCGTGTGCGCAAATAACGCCGTGGACAACCCGGAATGCACCCGGGTCGGGAAGTTCTCGTGCACGTATTGCCTCTTAGTGCTAGTAAGCAGGCAGTTAATATGATCCAACTCTGCCAACTACGGCCACTTGCTGACGGTTAGCTCCTGGTTCGCCAATAGTACTGCGGTCCAGCCTGTCAGAAAAGTCATTGGAAGAGGCACAGAGCGGAGTGCCGCGATAACCCGCTATTGAAGGCAAACTGGAGGCCGCAATGGGAAGCGCAGAAGGATTATGTGCCAAGGTTCATAGGAGGAGAGCATGTCCAACCCTTTAACCACCGTATGAAGTTTCTGTGGGGAAACATGCCGGCGTTCGACTTGCTGAAGCTTGCGTCAAACGAAGGTGTTGAGTATAACAAGAAGCTGGATCTCCTATTCGCAGGTAAGCCTCGCATGCCATCGTATTTCAGCCTGCCTCCGATTCTATAAGCTCATCATTCTGTCTTGTAGCTTCTGGAGATATCCGAAATGTTGCTCTATCCGTGGTTTCCATCCCAGATAGTTTCAAAAGCCCTGTTCATATTTGCATGAACGATAGGGATATGGACGTCGTCGGTAGAAACGTCATCATGCTCCTCCTAGCACTGACGGAGGATGACGCCGCCGTGGCAGCTGACAATATCCTTCATCTGTGGTACTCGTCATTTATCACCCAGCCCCTCCACGACACGCTCAGGGGAAAGATCCTCCCGCTAGTACAAGCTGTCTGCGCAAAGATAAACAACCGGGATTCCGAAGCCCCGCTTGGAAAAACCTGGACTTTCGGCAGATTATCATTGCGGCTCGTATTGCTCAAGAAGAGCTGGTTCGAGCTGCGGGCAAGCCTAGAAGTCCCCGCTGGCCTCACGCTCGAGGGGGCGCAGAAGATTCGCCAGAGCGTCACGATCGCCCCCGAGAGGGTAGACTATAGAGAACGCGTTTACTTTGGCCTGTCACCTGGTCACCGCTCCGGGGCTCAGAAGTTCCGAGAGAGCGGAGTTCTGCTCTCATTCGGTGCGCCGCGAGATCTATACACGATACCTAACCCGTATGTATCCCCTTTTACTATTTACCATGTTTCGATATTTGTTTGACATCTACTGAGGGCCTCACATTGTGATCTAGGACCATTTTCCGAGATACGACGATTTGGCCGATGAAGGACGACGCTGATCCGATCAGCGGTTGGGATATAGCGGAGGTGATGAAAGTCCGATACGGCCCAGCAACTAACGATATCTACGGAAAGATATGTTCCTTCATTAGAGACGTTCTTCTCCGTTTCCATCAGCGGTTGAAGAATCTGGACCTCTCATTTGAACTATTTAACGTCGATGCCAGGGATCTATCTAACTATACAGGGTCACGCTTATTCGATCGTATAGAGGTGCGTTATATCAGCCCTACCGTCCTCTTTCTGGGTCAAGACTAACATTCCTTCCGATTGGCAGGTGTCGAATATATCCGACAAGGGTTACCTGGGGACAGCCCAAACCCTCTATTACATTGGGCGTCTCCTCAAGCATCCCTCGGAAAATCCCCACGCCACTCTCGTCACCCTCTTCCTCAACGCGGTGGACGAGATCTTCGACGATGACGAGAAGCGTAAGGTTCTCGTGTCGGAGATGCGCGAGGTGTGCAAGTACATTACACCGTCGACGCCGAGGGCGAAGTACGACGCCAATCTAATATTGTGCGACTTTGCATTGCCGCAAATCCGCGACGTCGACAAGTACTTCGACAGGTTTGTTCGCCAGAAATCTTTCGTTTTTGACCCTAACAAGTAGCACAGATACATGAAGACCAGTAATTTCGACTCCATTTGTCAACTTTCCGGCATGAGTTTCAAGAAGAAACACACTATCATTGATCCCTGGCCGTTGAGGTTGAAGAAGAAGCATTACCAGAAAGGCGCCAAGGAAGACTTTTTCAATCTCCTTGCGTCAACCCATTCAGGTTGCGAAAGGTATATGGAGTGGACGTTCAACGTGTAATTGCTTATACATTATGAAACCCATGCAGGATAAGGGCCGGGGGAGAGGACGGTGCACTCGTTCTTGATGCGTGAGTATGTAAAAAAGGAGTGAACCAACCTGGGTTACAACGTTTCCTTTCTAGCTAGAACTACCTATCACAAGGCCGAGTAAACCAAGCAGATACGTCCCGTCTAGCTGCTCGCTCTACCACCTCAGTAATTACACTGATGATTGTTCCAGAGCTAAGCCGAACGGCCCTGCTCGCGAAGAAGGCACCTTAAATAGCGCATTGTCCAAGTTCGTATGCTCTAAAGTTGTTTTGTGTATAACCAGGGGGCAGTATTGTCAAGCCATCTGGTTACGATACAGATCCGATCAGTATCTATCTAGTTGGCTCTCTAAGCAAGCCCACATCAGAATCCGGTATGGAGGGCCAACGAACAGATGAGCGTCACGTCTTAGACAAGGCTAGGCACGCCTGGATTCGAATAGTCTAGCTTATCAAAAGAAACGCCGTGATACTACATTGAGTATGTAGAAAATATATACCTTGATCGCTCATATACCGTGAGGGAGAACTACCCAACTAGTCTCGAAGGCGAAAGAAGGACCATGAGAGCTTGGCGTACGAGGACGGTAGCGAGGTCAACAGCCACCGCAGCCCGCACTCATCGAATGCCTATTATATCATGGAAGTAAGGCGATAGTACAGTGTACGCACGCATGTAGTCGACGCATATACGCCTCGTCGATCCCGCCATGCCCCTATCCCCCTATTCACCCCGCAGATCCTACCGAACCTTACAACCAACCCAGAAGACAAACAAAAAAAAGACACTTCCAGCGCGGCCTTCAATACCGCCAGTACCGCCTCTGCCGTCGTTGCGACCACAACATCGCGGCTGGCCGACAAAATCACGCGTTCTCGGGCTTCCGCGCGTAGACGACACGCTGCGGCAGGTAGGCGTGGATCGAGCGCGAGCGGAGCTCCTTGCGGTACGCCGCGAGGAATACCTGCATCTCCTCGAGCGAGCGGTTGAGCACCTTGTTCCACATGAACATGACGTAGCCTGCAGAGGCGGTGGGAAAAGAACAGCGCCCCCAAATCGTCAGCCCATCGTTTTGGACGTGAAGGAAGAGAAGGGGGTTGGAAGACGCAAAAAGCGGGGGACAGGGAGAGAGGCGTGGGAATATGAGAACGAATCACCTTCGAGGTCCTGCTCGAAAATGTACTGGGCCCACTGCCCAAGCTCCTTGAGCTTCGGATTCGCGGGCCAGGGGCCCATGGGGACCTGCGACGACAGTCAGATAAGATAGATCTACGACCAGGAGCCACAGCAGGTAGGGCCCCGACGAAGGCGGGTGGGCAACGTAGGTACTTTAAGGTCGCGGACGCTGATGTCGACGAAGCCGGCGTCCTGCATCCCTTTGCGCTGGAGGTCGTCGGTGATGACGTTGAAGGGGCAGCCGAGCTTGGCGCCGCCCTCGTTGAAGAGGTCGCGCCAGGCGTACATGGCGGAGTCGGCGGCGAGGGTGCCGTCGTCGGAGCGGTAGTCGGCCTCGACCTCGAAGCTCTCGACCCAGCCGCCCGGCTTGAGCGCGGCGTACGCCTGCCGGAAGAACCGCGGCCAGTCCGAGATGCCCCCGATCATGTACCGCGCGTGCACGAAGTCGAAGCTCCCCGCCGCGAACGTCCACGTCTGCTCCGCGTCGTCGATCTCGAACCGCACGTTCGGCGGGCACCACGACGGCTGGATCGGCGACAGGTCCGTCCCGATCACCTCGCAGTTCGGGTACGCGTCTCCCATGTCTCTATTCCCCCGTCGCCGTGGTGCACAGGCGCGCTCGTTAGCAGGCTGCTCTTGGTGGCCTTAGAAAAAAGGGGGAGGGGGGGAGAGGGAGAGCGAGAAACGGGCCTATATGATTATTACATTGGCCATAAGCCTAGTTTGGGAGCGGTTAGCGAACCGACACAAAGGTATATATCGTTACGGGCTTATCACCTGTTCCAGTGCCGATGTCGAGCACTTTCTAGGGAGCACCGTTAGTCTGCGGTTCTTTTCATCGTAGGGGCGGCTGAAAATTTCGGGTGTGGCATACTTGTATATCATCCTTCAGCGGCGAGAGAAAAAGCTTGCCGTTGAGGCAGAGAGTCAAGAAGTGGTGGCTGGCGCAAGAAGAAGAAAAGACGTTAGAGGATCCAAGAGAAAAAATGCACGAGCTCTTCAAGATGTACGCATCGCTCACTTCATGTCCATGGCCTCGTTCTGCCGCTCGTCGTTAGGCCCCCAGTACTTGTCTGTCCCAAGTCTACTGCTGTGATACGTGCGGCCGTTCAGCGTGCGGTACTGCATTATGCTCTCGGTCAAGGATGCCGTCGAGCTCGCGCTGAAGAAATACCCGGCCTTGCGTTAGATTTCCCAGTTCTAGCAAGCCAGGGAGAAGACGAGAGAAGTAACGGAATGAGTCGACTCGAGGTAGCTTGTCGTGGCTTCGAGTCTGTCAATGAAATGGCGGCAACCCGTACTTATCGCCGTCCCCAAGAGCAGAATCTACGTCGTCACCGTACCCGTCGCCTTCCTTCGTCGAACGGCCATCGTCAGTTACGTGGGGCAATTTAATACGTTACGGTGTTGCGTCCCTTTCTATCTCAATCTTCTCGTACTGGGACGCAGCACAGGTCGTGGACTCCTTACTTCGAGCGGCGCCGCCTCGATTGCGGCATCTATATCACCGGGACCAACCGCCGCGGAGGTAACATATTCTGCGGCTGAGGCGGTTGCTGGCGCTGTCAGCGTCCCCACAACTGGTTGGCCCGAGGTTTCGGGTGCTCCGGCGGCGGTGGTGGTACCTCGTTCTTCGTGGCTCGCCATGCTTAGGGGCTAGTCGGTGACGATGGGTGAGGACGTCAGACGATATTTCCGTAGGATGCTTTACGGCGAGCAGAATGAGGAGGCGAGGTGGAGGGAGAAGTCGGTCGAGAAGGCAATAGCTTCTAAGGTAGCATCGAGTGCTGGTTGTCAGTTAGCTGAACGAGGGATTCGGGTAGCCGGCCGACTCCACAATATTAGGAGAAGACCGGATCGAATTAATGCAACCGGCTAAGCCAGGTCTGGAATGGTATTTCTCTTTCATTTTATCATTTTTTTTGCCTCTGTTTGTTCTCCTCTTCAGTATCAGTTTACCTTGCAATGATCGTGAACCGTCGTACTAATAGTATGAAGAGTGAGACAGTCTGGGAGTTGCCGTGGTTTTATTGTACCGATATTTTTTTAACTCAGCCCTTAATGTCACTTAGGACTATGCAGAGCCGTGTACAAACAACTCCAACAAGCCTGTCCCGTAGTGACGGAGGTGATGACGACGACAATTACGATGACATCGGATTTTCTTGCTGGGGGGGAAAAAAATAAGCGAATTGAAATCTCGTTGTTAAATCGGAGACGGGTTGCTTATGCCTCTAGCGCACCCCTTAACGAATGATAATCAGGAGAATGGCACTCAGAACAAGCCTCGAACAAGTAGGCAGGCTATGAATCTTGTCCCATCCTTCCCCGGAATCCCTCTTCGCAAAAGGCCGTTAACCGAATCGTCACCAAACAAGAATCAAAATAGAGAGCTATCAAGCGGTCTAGTTAGATTGCACGCCGACCCTCTCGGCCTGATGGCCATAGCACGAAAACCTTCCCGGCTCGGTGTACTCAAGAGGGCTTTTTAAATCGCCGCTCGTGTCTGTTATAAGCATGTTAGCAGATAAATCCCATGTTCTGTTGTATGCTAGTTGTGTCGACATACAATACCAGCCGGAAGATGTCTTCGAGCCCCCTTTGCCGTCCCCGCAATCACAAGTGAACTGGTTCGGAACGTGGCTCTGGCCGCAGTCTGAGCAAGAGGCAGCGAACCATCCATCCTTCCTGCCGATGATGCGGCCTCCGTCGTTCGTGAAACAGCTACGCAAGCCAATTTGTCAGTATCACCTCTCGTGCTGCTGCTCAGGCAGGCTCGCGAACATCACTCGACTTACTGGTTGAGGTCAAGCTGGTAAGTATACGACGGGGTGCAGGGATCGCCTCCCGGGATGCACACGACGCCGTTCTTGTCGAAGTCCGCATTCAGGTTGAAAGTCTTATCCCCTTTCGTGAAGTAGTATGGGTATTGCTCGAAAGGAGAGCAGATAGCCAATGGCAGGAAGGCAAGTGCCACGACAGGGAAGAGCATGATTGCAGAAGTAGGGTGGTCGAATTCTGCGTTCTAATACCAGTTGCATTCTCGCCTCCATCACCGCCGTCGAGCAGCAGGGCGAGTGTATTTGTATTCGAGGCCATAGACTTGAGAATTCGTCAGCATCGACCGAGAGTTCCTTGGGTAGAAAGTGTTAACCAACGTTGGCCCTTATTCTAAGGGCGAAAAGCGACAGAACGCAAGTCATGTTTGCTGGGTAAGATTAGATGGCTGAATAGGGCAGTATCACTCTATGAGGCAATAAATTAAGGAGTCAGTATATTTCTAGCCCTTGCTCCCTTGGAGACGAGGGTACGGCCGTGTGTTGGTGCAGGTTGTCTACGTGTTAGTGGTGAAGGCTGAAGTATCTAACCGCGACGGAAACTGACAGATCAGGTATGAAAATGTGTAGTAACATACACTCAATTCCGGTTGTCTCCTTCAACTCGACCAACTGCATACAGAGGTAACCATCATTAATCGCATAATATTAATTGGAAGCAATATGCCACCGGGAGAGCCCCGTTCCTAGTCTATACATTTCTACTGTTATCGAACTCGGCATCAGAGCTAGGTTTACCGTCTAGGATAACCGCGGAATGCTAAGATGGTGGCAATTATGGCGACTGTCATATTGCTCCCCCGTGCTATTACCCCTTAGTAACCAGTGATAGACCTGCATCCAAGCTGGTCCGGCGTACCCGAGAGACTGTCATAGGCGCCGGTAGACAGGGGCAATCTTGATCTACCGGTTCCCTTCGTATAGTATGGAGAGGGAGAGTCAAGGCAACCGGGGACATGAATAGATTGTAAGCGGGGTTCCCAATCGAAGCCGATGAGCCATGTATGAACAAGGGTGCAACAGCCTCGGAGTTCAATATTGACAAACCTGCATAGCCTTGTTGCTCTGTCGCTCACGTTGCTTGAGGGGGGTTGGGAGCACCTCGTAGCAAAATTTGTTCGACTCGTCCCAAGTAATCAGTCGTTCCGCCAACAGAACATATGAGACATCCAGTCTCGACTTACACTAATACTGTCTAGCATCGTATACAACCTAGGAATGCACCGGAAGCCATCCCTGGGAAGAGTTTCGGCACAAGTGGCTTCATAGATAGCTTGCCGCCAGAAAGCAGAGACTCTAGGGATCATAGACTCTCTCTTCAAACCCAGAAGTCCGGCGGTCTGACTTTGCAGTTAGCCACTAGGTATTATAACCTTGAGACTGTCGTATCTTATGTTGGTATCAGGATCACTCTTCGGAAACTTTCTGGAAGGCGACTGGAAATGTCAGCCTAGGAATTGCTAAATGCCGCTTCTCGTTGCCCTGTTGATTCTCCGTTCTTCCCTCGGAACCCGGGACAGTAAGGAAGAGGTACGCGCCTATAGGCAGTTAGCATCCTACATTTCTCTTACGAGCTCGCCCTTCCACCTTTCGTCGTCCGTTCTCTTGTTAGAAGTCCTATGGCGGTTGGCTGAGTAGCTCCGCGATCGACGCGGTCCCATAGATGGGCAAGAGTGGGAAGGACGCCATGTGAGAGCACCTTGGCCTAGTTCAGGCGTCGCCAGTGGAGGGGTATTTTTGGGGGGGTTGGGGCTAGAGTCGATTCGAAAACCGGACTGACGAGCATCCTATTACTCTACGCCCAGAGATTCCACTGCCCTACGATCCGTATGCCCTGTGACGATGGAGATAGCCTTGCGTGCCTACTGGGCTTAGATATGCTAAAGGAGTGTAATAGTTATACGTCACCGGCATGACCTCCATACATGTATACATATGTATACGCGCGAAATAAGGGAGAGAATGGGTTCTAAGCCCGGAAATCCGATCCCGTCGTGGTAGGTCGCTACGCTTAATAAGTCACATCGACGCCAAACCTTTCAGATTGACAACAGTACCTTCCATAATGACGTGGCTAGAACGCTTCTCATCTGATAGTTTCGTAGGTGTTGTCCCTAGCATATATATCCCGCAAGAGGGCTCTGCGTGGTCGTCAATCTCTTCCTGCCCGTCCGTCAACCTGCCTTTCCCTTCAGGCATCAGCCTGGGCGACCAGCCTCCCGACCACGAGGTACTTGCTCTCAAACCTCTCCTCCCAGCCCTGGAGATTGTCCATCTCTTCGTGGCCGAGGCCGTCGAGCTTGTCGAGGGGCCCGTCGAGGTCCTTTGTGAGCATCTCCTCGTCGAAGCTCTGGCAGGCGAGGCCGCGGGAGGCATCGCGGCCAGCGAAGTTCTCGTAGGGCCCTCCGGGGCCGTAGAAGTTGCGACCGCTCGTCACGTCAAAGACGCGGCCCCGCACGGCCAGGTACACGGGCATCCCGTTGAGCCCATTGTACGGGAGTAGCGTGCGCGGCGTGAAGGTGCGGAAGACGATGGCGGGTGGCTCGCGCGGCAACGAGGCCGGGGGTGTCGGCTTGTACAGGAGGTACGTCGTGTATAGTGTGATGACGAGCAGGATCGCATTGAGCGGCGTAGCGAGGCCGACGCTGGTAGTTGGCGAGGTAGCAGTTCATTAGCCGGACGTTCCGAGGCCACGAGGATGGATAGGGGATACGCCCATTGGTAGCGGAGGCGGGTAGGGGGAACTCACTAGACTGTGGGAGCCTTTGCGGCCTCTTGGGCCACACGCTGGTTGACGTACTCCATACCTACCTGCTGCTGTCTTGTATCTTCGACTCGCCTATCCGCTAGTGTTTTAGATAATCTGCAGCGGGGTATACTCGGGAGGGTGAGTAGGAGGGTGATGGCCTGGGAGCGAGGGGGGAAGATGGGATAGAGTGTTACCTTGTCTTTTAGCCAACCTGGGCGAGAGAGCAACGGAGAGAGGTTTGGTCAGCATGGCGGGGTGTAACTATTGCGTGAGGCGGGCGAGTTGTTGGGATGGGAGGTACTTTTGTGCATACTTCCGCCTGAGCAGTCCAGGTGGCCCCCGCGCGTTGGCACCTGCGAGCCAGTCCGGACAAGTTATCCAACCATTTTAGCTGTGGGTTTTCCTGTCCTCCTTCGCAAGACTAACTGAGATTCAATCTGCAACGGCACTCTCACCCTTGGTCTTGATGCAAACGCAACTTGCTCTCCGAAATCGTGCGATATCCCCGGGTCCCTCTCGAGGCATACCTACAATGTGTACGCCTCGTCCTATCTTAGCAGGATTTTCAATTATGTCTCACAGCAGCTACCACAGTGCTCTGAGACGCTTAGGAGGGATCTGGACAGGAGGGATGTGCAGGCCGCAGATCCCGCATCCCACGTCGAAGGATGTGCCCCATTTGCGAGTCTGACATGGTGTGGGAGAAGCATGTTGCCGGCAGGTATGCGTACATACGAGTAGGGACATGGTGGGCAACTACTCATAAAATCTGGCTGTGTTCCGTTTAGGAACCTCTCTAACTCGGTATCTACACGAGTAGACGGGCAGTTGAGGTAAATATATCGTATGCGCGCAGCCGACGGATCCGCATAAGCCGGTAATCCCACCCACGGGTAGGAGGCAGGTTAGGTACTCAATATACACTTTGTTGGATTACCATCGCAACCACAACGCTTGGTTCGGTAGTGGGAGGCAGGGAGGGTGGTCAGCCTTGTCGATGTTTAAAGTAGATGCCCACATCCATCATGTATGCATGATACACACATCCTCTACGTGGCTGCAGCCGTGCCCAGCAGGATCCGGGTTGTTTCTCTCTGACCTGTTGACGTAAGTAACGCGGGCAGAGGGTAAACAGGGCAGGGTTGAGAGGGCGGTGCGGTATGTTCCATTGCGTCACAGCACGACGCAACGCAACACAACGCAACGTAAACTACCTCCCTTCGTCCCGGGACGCTGACAGCATGGCCAGGTTAATCCCCTTCAATACTGCATATCCGTAACCTACCGACGAAACCGAGCCGAGCCTCTGGCTGAAACTCTCCCGTCGACGTCCATAGGGCCGAGGTGCCAAATAGAGGAATATGAACACTAGGTAGTTACGCAAGATGATCGAAGAAAAAGACCACAGGGCGTGCTCATATACTCCGCTACAAGTGTCACCAACACTTGCGTGGTAGGTACATAATCATTACCTATAGCGGAGGTAGTTGTAGTCGGAAGGGCAGATGGCACCCTCTCAAAAACCACTCTCGAGACGAAAACATCGACCACCTCTCGTCCGCAAATCCACCTAACCCAGAATACTACCCCCGTACATCGCGAATACGTCGTGACGTCTACAAGACCATCCAGACGAGAACCAGCATCAAAGTCGTCGGCGCGCATCCCTCCATCAAGAGACGGAAACAGAAGAGGTACCAACGGAACAAAAGCAAGCACGTGCCTTACCCTCTCCACTTCGCTCTCTTTCTCTCCCCCCCCAGGCCTTCTCCCCAGTCCGACACTTCCTCACCGACAGTTTACGCTTCAAAAGTCCTGTCCAGGCTGGGATCATGGATCAGTAAGATGAGAGATTCTGGTATTCCTTTGACTCCAATCCCCACGTGTCGCGTTGCACCCCCGTTCCGTGCGGCTCAGCCCTCGACCAATTGCCTCGCAACATCGAAACCGCCTGCCAGCGTCGCCTCCCCGTCCTCTTCTCTCCTGTAGCCTGGCGATCTCTCGGGGACAAAACACATAGCCAAGCTGAGGGCCCGGCACACTTCTCACCCTCTTCGCTCCCCGTCCATTCCTTTGCTGCCTCGTTCTTTTTTTGGCCAGCGCTCTGTCTCGTCGGCAGAGTCTTATGTTCTCGTGCTCCTTCTTGCCCATTCCTCCCCCTGTCCTGCCTTTCCGAAATTCCCTGTTTCGCGTAGGCCAATCACTCGCGTGCCGGTTATCGATACCCTTCATCTTCCCGACTCTCTGTGCAGTTCGCCCGAACACAACACGCGAGATACCCTTCTATCATGTTTTGAAGAGGGCACGAGGACTGGCACACTCCCCCCTCCCTCCCTCTCCCTCCCCCTCCCCCTAATATCATGTTGCGACGGATAATACGGCCCGCGCGACGGCTGCCGGTCTGGCTCCTGCTCTCCGTCGCCTCCCCCTTTATCCTCGAAGCCGTTCTGCACGCGTGGCGGTACGCGGTGCCCCGACCCGCCAGCGAACTCGACACTCCCTTCTTCACCACGTGCCAAGAGCCCGACGTCGCTGCGAAGCGCGAGAATGCCGCCCTGGTTATGCTTGCGCGAAACCACGAGCTCACAAAAGCCAACAAGACCATCACCTCCATCGAGAAGCATTTCAACAAGTGGTTCAACTACCCCATCATCTTTCTAAACGACGATCCCTGGGATCCGAGGTTCATCGAGGTCCTCAACGAGACGTCTCGAGGACTCGCCACCTTCGAGGTCATACCGAAGCAGCAATGGACCTTTCCCGAAGGCGTCGACGTGGCGGCGGCGAAGGAGAATATCAGAGACCAGGGCCAGAGAGGGATCCCCCATGCCGGGGAGGAGGGATACCATCACATGTGCCGTTTTTATTCGGGGTAGGTTGACCGGGTTGTGCCGTCGCGGCTCAGAAGGCAGCGGCAGCTTTAGCGGCCGCCGCACCTCGTGGACAGATCAGACTAACATACGTGACAGCAAATTCTACCAGCTCGACGTCCTGAAAAAATACAAGTGGTACTGGCGGTTAGAACCTGACGTAGATTTTACCTGCGCCATCACATACGACCCCTTTGTGCAGATGGCGCGGCACAAGAAGGTGTACGGGTTTACGATCGCGCTATGGGAGGTGGGAAAGTCGTGTCCCGGCCTGTTCCGCTCCGTCTCCGACTGGAAGGAGATGATGGGCATACCCTCGACAAACCTATGGAAGGCTACGATCTCGGCCTCGTGGGTGCCGTTCCCCTTCCGACGATTTCTCAGCTGGCTACCTCACCGCGACGCCTACGGCGACGAATGGAGCCTATGCCACTATTGGAGCAACTTCGAGATTGCCGATATGGATTTCTTCCGGACCAGAGCGTACCAGGACTTGTTCGATTACCTAGACAAGAAGGGCGGTTTCTACTTTGAACGGGTAAGCCTTGGCGTCGTAAAACGATGTTCCTATCCGAGTCAGCAGCTAACGAACATTCTTATAGTGGGGTGACGCAGCGGTGCACTCGCTCGCTGTGGCGATGCTTCTGGACCCCCGGAAGGTCCACCATTTCGAGGACTTCGGATACCGACACGCCCTCCTATACCAATGTCCAGCCAACGCGCCAGGGGGCCAGCTCCCCGATTCCCCGTTGCTGGGAAGCGGTGCTTGGGCGCCGGAGATGGATCACGGAGTCGGATGCCGCTGCGAATGTGACGGTCGGACGACGTTGAATTTCCCGCCCTACTGCTTGAATAAGCTCAAGCAGCCTACCACCGTGAAGCGGCCGTGGTTCTCTTGGCTCTAGCGCCATGTTTGAACGGCCGCCGATCGGCTACACGGCGGTCAGCGCTCTCTGGCCGTCTTCCGCGTATTATCGCCTCTACTGCCTACGGCGCGCGACGCCGGCGTTGGGTAGCTGGAGCCACGAGTTGAGCCAGAACCTCAAACCCAAATTAGGGAAATAGAAGAGCATAACAGCATCGGCGCCGCCTCGCGGGGCGTTTGCGTCTTGTTTCATGCCGACGGCGTACACGTACCATGTACATACATACATATATATATAATACCCACCACCACCGTCATCGTCGTCATCGTCACCACACCTTGTCTTCATATTCAATCACATCGGGAAAAGGCGGGGGGCGGGGGCATTGGATACCCACGGGATGGCGACTTCATAGACCAGGCGAAATCAACAAGTCCGAATTATACATTTAGAGAGAGGACCAGTCCTAGCTGGTGTCTATGCGGTGCGTCGACGCGCGCAGCGCTTACACCGGGACCGTATACTACTACACACGTCTATATACCTAATCATACCCCTTTTTCGAGGAATGGGAATAGGAAACTCGATGAGTGATCATATGTCTGGTAGCCAATACCCCCGAGACGGACACGTGCAATTCTAGAATCCTACGTAAGGAAAGACCCCAATGGGATGATACAGAATCAATTCCCCCACATGCACCCGGAGACGCATGGACAGACAGGAGCTTGCATGATAGACAAGCCCGCCATCTACCCAGCGCTATCCCTGAGCCTTCTTCATGCGGCGGCCCCTAGGTGATAATGTCTATAACCGTCGCTACGTGACGCGTCCCTCTATACATAACAATAAGCCCCCCTGCCTCTCTCGGTTTGTCTTCCTCGCGCTGTTCCCCGTACGTATCCGTACGTATGTACATACACGTGTGTACGATATAAGTATATAACCGTGTTGCGCTCACGTGCGCTCAAACGCACACAATATACGCGCGCACAGCAATAGGTGTGGAGTCTAGGGGAGGAAAGGAAAGGAATGGATGTGGAAAGGAAGGGAAGAAGTGAGCATGAGAAGAAGAAATACCCGTAATGCGAATCAACGACATCGGACTATGTTGCCGAGATCGTGTTGCTGTTTTGTTTTGTGTCCGTGAATGCGCCCGAGTCTATCGCATTTATGATCCCCCCCACCCTTTTGATCCTCCATCCCCCGTTGTCGTGATTCTATCTGAGCCCATGCCCTTGCCCTTAGGCTACACACCGAGAAAAAAAACCCCCGGTTGGCTACCTGCCAATTCTCTCTTTCATATGCCTCCTAACTCCTGCTATCTTCAGTGGAGGACGTGGAGGACGGGAGGGGACGGGGCGGATGTGGAGGACGGGGGGGGAAAGGGGGGACGAGGAGGACTCTAGGAGGTAGGCACCCCCTGCCTCCTGCCTCCTAAGCGTCGTCATGATACCCCGGGGCCGGGGCATTATAATTACTATTATGATTACTGTAGTTGTCGTACTGGAAGTCGGGTAGCATGATGTCGCCGCCGGCACCCCCAGCCTCGAGCGCGCCCGTTCCTCCCCCGCCAGCGCCCGGAGACGTGCTGCGGATCCACTCGGTCTCGACGCGGAAGAAGATCCAGACCCAGCGGCGGAATACCTCGAGGACCTGGATCACGAAGATGGACCCTTCCCAGTCTGCCAAGCGCCCGAGGTGCGGGCTCAACTTCAGGCTCCACGTGCACCGCAGCGCCAGGTCCATCGCGATCACGACGTAGTATAGCCCCGCCGGCCCGACGTGTAGGCGCCGGCGTAGACCAAACGGCTTCTCTGCCCCAGCCATCGCTCGGGCCGGGCCTTCGCGCGCCGCCGCAGCGACGTCCTCGAATAGCATCAGGTCCCAGTCCTTGGCCACATCCCAGTAGAAGCTGTAGAGAGAATTGACGAGGCAAGCAACCACCCAGGCGCGGTAGTAGCCGCTGGCAACTACGGGCGGCGACAGGGATGGGTCGGCGGTGGCGGCGCTCCGCTGCTGTAGCGCGCTGAAGATGACGACGGGGAAGGCGGTCGCGTACTTGAGCGCGTTGGCGAGGTGCTGGCCGCCCCAGCCGGAGGAAGAGGGCGACGCGTCGCCGGAGCGGCCGCGACGCACGCGGACGTACTCGATGAGGCACTGGCGGAAGCGGATGAGGTAGGGCAGGGCGAGGACGCAGGGTACGGCGAGGGAGCCGCCGCAGGCGCGGTCGGGGCGGGCGGAGGCGGAGCGGCCGTCGGGGCGGAAGAACATGCAGAGCGCGACGAAGAAGTCGGCGAGGACCTTGGCGTAGCTCGTGAGCACGTCGGCGAGGAGGATGTCGCCGAACTTGCCGTCCTTGGTCTCCGCGAGGCCGCCGACGGCGATGCGGCGGAGCATCGAGCGGAGGCGCGACCGCCCCGAGTGCGAGAAGCGGCGGAGGAAGAAGGGCGCGAGGAAGAGCAGCACGGGCAGCGCGAGCAGGTACGCGATCGGCAGCCAGCCCCAAGCAAGCACGCGCCCCGAGTCGCCGTGCGTGAAGGCCCAGAAGACGAGCAGGGAGAAGGCGAACAGGGCCGAGAGGGCGGTGGCGAGGCGGTAGGTTGACAGGTGGTGCGACGGATGGTGCGCCGAGGGCCGGCCGGGGTACCGAATCAGCGCGGGCACGTCGATGCCGATGAAGTCGAGGTAGTGAAGGTTGACGCCCCAGGCCCAGACGGCTGTTGCAGAAGTAGAAGTTGGTCAGAATTTCAAACTCCATATATACATACACGGTCACCGATATGGGCGAAGGATAGACTACATACCTAGCACGACGATGAGGGCGACGCGGTACGGCAGAGGAAAAGCCAAGCTGAGGGAGTCGAGCTCCGGCTCAACAGCTGGGTCACCGTCCATGGTCTAGTAGGGGGCCCGGGATAGGCATCGAGAACTCCGTCTTGACGAGTGAAGCCGACGAGCGGCGGAATCTTGGTTGCGAATTGGGTTGTGGGTGGGCAGCCGGGAATGGCATGTGTAACTACTCTTTCATCGAGCGACAGACGGAGTGGGATAGAAGGAGGGAGCTGGATGGTGCGCGTTGCAAATTGTTGCAGGTGCAAGTTATGGTGAGGATTGTCGGGATAGAACAATTCACGAGTTGGAACAGGGGTTGCGTACATGCCAGATTATACGTGATACGCAGCACCGCATAGACAGATACTACACTCTATGCCATACAAGTGCAATATCGCAGCCAAGGATATTATTCCACTGAATCGCGTAGTGGACTAACAGATTTTGTGTATTTGGCACACCAACGACGTCACCCCGGTCACGGACACTGCAGAGGGAACAATACTGTAACCACCAGCTGGCACCACCCCCTGGGCAGCCGACATCCCCTGGCCCTCATTGGCAGGCCGGCAGAGCTGGGGTGGGGCGCATTCATCTAACCGCTAATGGCAACTGCCAGCCCGGTCGCCGAGGTCCAAGCTAGAAATGGGCGGGAACTTCTGACCCTCGTATATTTTGGTCCTTGCTCTCGTCTTCAACAACCGAGATCACGACTCCGGTACTCCATCGCGCGTGAGTTCTGCATACGATTCTGTCTCGGCAATCAAATATCCAGAAACGAAACAATAAATCTCGATACTATGGACATGTAAAGCCAGCCGAGTTCTGGCGTGCCATTCCGGCTTCGAGCAACACGACCAACCACCGACCTAGCTAACTGCCCACGCCTTAACCTACCCGTCTGCCGATCCGTCTGCTTCGCCTCGACCGCAACCATGGCGTCGTCCGACAGTCCCGCGCCCCTCCCCTCCCCCGTTGCCTCCTCCTCCCTCGCTCCATCCGCCTCGGACGCGCCGTCAACCGCCCCGACATCCTCGCCGTACCCGTACGCCTTCGCGCCGGACGTGATCCGCGCGCACCAGAAGGACGCCTATTTCCAGGGGCTCCTGACGAGCCAGCTGTCGGACCTGCACCGGCGGCTGCTCGGGGCGCGGTCGGCGCACGCCTGGGCCGCCGAGTCGCGCAGCCTCGCCGACCTGCTGTACCTGTGCCTGACGACGCTGCCGGGGAACCGCACGCTCGGCGAGGAGTACTGCGACCTGGTGCAGGTGGAGGCGCACCGCGCGCCGCGCCGCGGCCGCGACGACCGCGACGGCGACGGCCCGGCCGGCGTCGCCACCCCGCTGCCCTCGCTCCGCCGCCGCGCCGCCTACATCGCCGGCAGCATCCTCGTGCCCTACGGGCTCGCGCGCCTCCTGCCCCGCATCCGGGCCCGCATACGCGCGCGCCTGCAGCGGAACCTGGGGCTCTCGCCGGCGGGCCAGGCCGAGCCCGACGACGGGGACGCCGACGCGGCGGCGTCGCCGACGTCGTCGTCGTCCACGCTCAAGTGCCAGCCCTCGTGGCGCGTCGCCCGCGCGTCGACCTCGACCTGGTCGTACCGCGTGCAGTCGTACCTGCTGGCGAACCTGGCCTCGCTCACGTCCGAGGCGCACGTGCACGCGGCCGGGCTCGCGCTCTTCTACTTCACCGGCTCCTACTACGAGCTCGCGAAGCGGCTCACCGGCCTGCGCTACGTCTTCGCCAGCCGGCCCGACGCCGCCGCCGCCGACGCCGCCCACCCGGCCGCCGACCGCGCCGGCTACGAGCTGCTCGGCCTCCTGCTCGTCGTCCAGATGGCCGTCCAGGGCTACCTCCACGTGCGCTCGACGCTCGCCTCCTTCTCCTCCTCCTCCCTGTCCGTCCCGCCCTCGCCCACCGCCGCCGGCCGCAGCCGCGCCGGCAGCGTCGTCCAGCTCCCGCTCGACGACGCCTCCAACACCCTCCTCCTCGCTCCCTCCTCCGCCCCCGGCTCCGCCTCGGCCCGCCTCAGCCTGCCCCAGCTCACCCACACCCCGCCCTTGCCGCCGCCCCCCATGGGCTCGGGCGGCGCCGGCCGCAGCCGCGCGCGCTACGACCTCGCCGACGCCGAGGCGCTGCGCTGGATCCACGGCGCCCAGCAGCGCCGCTGCACCCTCTGCCTCGAGGACCTCCGCGACCCCGCGGCCACCCCCTGCGGCCACGTCTTCTGCTGGACCTGCATCGCCGACTGGGTCCGCGAGAAGCCCGAATGCCCCCTATGTCGTCGAGGCGCCCTCGTCCAACACGTCCTCCCGCTACGGGCCGTGCGGTAGAGTGGCGCCCCGACTGCTGTCTCATGACGAGGAGTAGATGTGGGGAGAGGAGAGGATGTCGCTTGGGACGCTGACTGGGTCGTAGGATGCTGTTTTGGTATGCTGCTATTGATATAGGAGGATGGCAGAAGTTGCGGATGAGATTAGTGTGCTACTATCCATACATCATTAGAAAGCTCGTGGAAGGGAAGGCGTGAAAGGAGTCACGACTTCCTATAAGATAGTCGGATATTGTAGAACTGTGTATGTACCTAACGAAGATAGAATGACATATAGCATCACGGCGTTGGGCGGGGGGGGGGGGGGGTTGATGAGGATTTCACCGAAGTAATTCATCTTGTTCCAGCTAAATTATCTAGATCCCATCATCCTAGATACAATTCATGTTCCGTCAGCCAAGGAAACATATTAGCAAGGAAGCCCATTACCCGCCCTCGAGCCCCCCATATCCCCCCAACCTTTCCTAAGCATACAGATAAACAAGACATAGCGTTCGGGAATGATACACATCTAAAAAGCGTACACAAGGCGGGTTAGCTAGACGAGTGCGGTAAGTGCGTGAGCGCGTAACCGACACGGCCGACAACAGAAACCCCAACCATATCCGACCAGCCGAAAAGACAAGACACTATTGGAAACACTTCGCTGCTCTATGAAGCTCCAAGTCCAGCTCAGAAGCAGCAAAATATTAGGGGGGAAACAAAAGAGAGAGAGATGAGGTAGTGAACGGAAGAAAAGTCAAAGTGTGTCCCGCCTCACGCCCCTACCACCAACAGATCAGATATCCATGTTTCTTTTTTACCTGTCTTTCTGTCCGTCCCTTCCCGCGTCCCACGCCTGAGGTATCATGTTCCCGAATGCAACCCGTTATCACGAACGCCATCCCTTTTACTACACTTGATTGGCTCCAGGACTTGATCCCATTCCAACGGCTCGAGACGCTTCGATGCTTTCCTTCGATGTGTTTGTGTGTTTCTTTTTTTGTTTTTTTTTTTTCGTGTGCCTCGGGTATTAGGCGTCGGCGTCCACATCGATAGAGAATAAGACGATCTCTCCCCGGTCGTTACGACGCATCCGCAGTGATCGCCATAACTCCTTCTCCTCCGTTACCTTACCCAAGCTAGTACCGGAAGAGGATCGCTCCCGATGGTATTTCTTCAGAGCCTTGTTGACACTGCAACCGCGTTCACTCTCCGGTCCTTTGTTGCAGAGACTCAGGAAGAGATCGGACCGAGGCCGGTAAAGGATCATCTGGCCGGATTCTCCATCCTTCTCGTCGCCGGATTTCGCTCGATACTCTATCAGTTTTGGTGCCTTCTCGGAGCTGGACCGATGGTGATGCCGGCTCTTCTTTTCTTTCTTCTCCTTATCCGACGAATGCCTTCGCTTCTTGGAGACCTTGGACTTCGATGCGCCCGACAGGAAAGCCTTTAGGCCGCCGCTCAGGGAAGTGTCTGATTCCCTAGGCTTCGGTGCTTTGGTATGTTTTGTCTTCTTAATGGGGCTCACGGGCGAGTTCTCTCGAGCGTCGCCTCCCGAATAATCAGGGGACGGAGGGAACTGAGGCGGGCGCATGAGACGGTTGAGGCCACCGGTCAAGCCCGAATGCAGGACAGCCGGCGCATCAGTCATCACTTGATCTCCGGGTGTCGCCTCAATGTTTAGCGTTCCGGGTGTCGAGATGTGTAGTCGCTTACGCTTCTTATCCTTCTTTACTTGGCGATCGGTATCGTCGGTACTTCTTCGCTGACTTTTGGGGGCCGGTGTCTTGAATCCGGCAGCGGGAAGAGGAGCGGGATCGTGGGCCATGGCCCCATTGTCCACCATATACCCAGTCGGGTCCACGTAATCGTCACCAGCATCCTCATCCTGGTCGAATCGAATAAGCCGCCGACCGCCACTAGGTGGCGGCACCGGACTGAAGTACTGTTGCACGTCGACGGTAGATGCGGCCGGTGTCTGATCCACCAAGAAGTCGAAAACATTGACATTCACATCGTCGACAGCGGGCGGAGGAGTGGGCGCTTCCGGTGGCAGATGAGCGGCCTCCTGGTCGTGGTCGTCCGAGTCATGAATCTGATACTTGTAGGCCTCGTACTCCTCGGTTACGTCCTCGACGTATGCGTTGCGTGCCATGGTGTTCGATCTAGCCGGCGGCTCAGGGTTGTTTGGTTTCTTCCTCTTCGGATTATAGAGCGAACCCTGGTATTTTTGCTCTTCTGTTATGCAGCTCTAAGTCGCGGGTGTTGTTAGATCAACGGACTTGACTTGCCACGGCGGTCAGATGGGGGTTTTTTTTGGCGACCTACAGTATGCGCGCGGTACTCTGTTCCGGGGAAGTGGACCATACAATCAATGCAGGTGAAGGTAGCGCCGCGACAACGATTTCTGTGTGGGTCAAGTTTCTTCTTGGTTAAAACATCATCGCATATCTGTGGGTGGAAAGCGGTAGAAGGTTAGATGGCCATAGTCCGATGCAAGAAGAAGGGGACCGTCGATTAAGAAATGCAAGAAGAGAGCGCGGGCGAAGGTCATTGGGTTTCAGGGGGCGTGTGTTTTATCTGGTTGGAGGGGCAGAGGGGTGAAGAGAGATCAGGAGACGAGAATTGGGGAGCATCGGGATCCAATAGCATCAATGGTATGGGAGGGGAGGGCAGATATGAACAGGGGTTCGGTCGTTGGGTGTGAAGGATGGTGGATGGTCAATGCCAAGCAGAGGTGTGTGGATTGTGGGTGGTGACCAGAGGATGGCGCAAGGAATCTGAAGGGGTAGCGCAACGCGAAGCGTCGTGTGTTGCGCCGAGTCGAGATACGACTTGCGGAAGGGAGGGTTGGGGTCGAGAGGGCGTGACGACGGGCAGCCCTGGCCGCGACGCCAGGCACATCGGAATGGACATCTCTTTTTATTTTTTAATTATAGAGGAAATTGGAACATCGCGTACCTCACACGAGAAGGAGACCATTGTCTCTGACTGGTCTAAATCGCGATGCGCTGTCGGATAGCAGGGGATGCCGATTGGCGTAACTGCACGATTACTTGCGTATCTGCCGCTATGAGTGGTCGAGTGCTATTATTGTTGATATTTGTTTTCCTTGTGTTTTTGATCTTTGGCTCGATCTTGATAGACTCCTTCGCCTCTGGGGGGTTGCAGATAGCAGTGTGTTCGCGTAAGCAGGCAGAGTCGGGATACGAATAGGATCAACAAGAGCCGATGGGAGCAAAGAGGGGGGGCGGACGGCCGGGAGTTTCTGTAGAATTGCCTAGATAAGAACGAGACAGTACCACGCAGTGCACCGTTGTATATGGTCGTATATGGTGTGGTAGGAGTAAGTAATAATAGATCGATGGGGATAGAGACGCCCTTGATTGGTGCGGCGGTATCACTATTAGCGTCTGGAATGACAGCCAGGCTCCCCGAGAGGATTTTGTCTTCGAGAGATGAACACAAAATGCGCAGTGATGGCTGTTATTGTTGTCGTAGAAACGCCCGTATGTCCTGACGCAGGTCGCCTCGTGCAGCAATGCGACTGTTGTGCAACTCGGCCACGGTCACGGTCTAGGGAGCACAGAGAGAGAGAGGGAAGCAGGTGAGCTAGGTGGTAATGGTATCGTAACGATGGATGCGTGTGTGCGTGTGTGCGTGCGTGTGCGTGTACGTATGCGGGATATGCGGTTTGTGCACGTCCGGAGAGGGTGAGGAATAAGCACCTAGTTCAAAACCCCGTCCGCCGGGGTGGCTGAGTATGGAGAGACAAGAGCAGGTCTGCTGGTTGCTCGCTGCCCCGAGTCAAGTCGAGGATGGAGAGGCCCCAAGATTCTTCAGTTTTTATTATTAGATGTGCTGGTTTCAGGAACCCGCAGAGGAGGGGGGGGTCGATAGTCGATCACACCTGGGGTAATTCGACCGTCGGCTGCGCAGGATGCCGTCAAGCTATGGGTATCCCAGCGATAGCGGGTCGGAAGGGAAGAGTCGAGGGGAGGGGCTGAGCTGAGCTGAGATGAATTGGGTCTGCCGAGGAGGAGACAAGGCACGGCCGAGTCTTTTAAGGACAGAATTGACGAGGTGGATATGGAAGAGTGACAGACCAGACAGAGTCGAGGACGGCCGACGACGGTCAGAACGAGCGCGAGTGGGAGGCTGAGAGCGGCGGAGGAGAGTGAGATGTTGAGTTGTCCAGCAGGATGAGTCAGTGCGTGATCTCGTTGCAAACGGACCGCTGAATGAGTGGTGGTGGATAGACGCCCGTGATGCTCGTCGTGCTTGAATTTTTTTTTCTTTCCTGTTATTCCATTTGAAAATAAGCGAAGCTGGATTTAAACGAGTAAGGCGCGCGCAATGTGCGACTATGCACCTGCCTTGCTGGTTGTTTTTCTTTTTCTTGCTTACTCTCTCTCTCCCTCTCTTTTTTTTCCGTCTCGGCTGGACCAGACCAATAGTGGAGGGGCAGGCTGACCTTGCTCTGGCTGCGAGGTTCGGCTTGCCCCCAACTATACCCCCAATTATGCGCGCGCGTTCAGGGCTTTACTATAGGTGTGGGGTTTCCACGCGTACCTGACGTGCCTAACTTACTACCCAAGGTACCTAGCCCGGGCCCAGGCAGCGAACCCTGCGTTATGCGCCAACAACATCGTGAGGCATTACGCATGTGGCTGATACTCATAGGCGTCAACAGCCAGTCGCCAAAAAAAGAAAAGAAATACCTGAGCAGGAGCAGCAGAAGCAGCAATAATCAAATATGTCGTCCTGGCGGATACCCGTGCAATAAAGCAGAGAACCGGTAGTAGCCTCCATATCAGTTCTAGATCCCTGCCGTACCATCATGACGCGATTTGACAAGGAGAGGAGAAAAGTCGAGTAGACTAAGCACCTGAAAGTATAGTATTCCACCGGGGAAGACAGGCCGGTATCTCTCGGACCGACAAGAACGGGCATAGCGTTGTCGTCTATTTGGCTCTCCCAACCGGGCTCAGCCACCCGGCTAGCGACTTCATCAACCTGACATGTCTAGGTTTATATAGCTGTAGAGATACCCGAAACACCCCGGCACAGAAAACTACCAGGTACCTACCTCATACGTGTTAGGGTGGCGGAAGCTACCTAAATCAACGAAACCTTTCGCTATCGGAGGTATTTAGGTACAACAGAAGGACTCAAGTATGGCCTAAGGGGGTTCAGGTACCTCTTCTTAGCCTGCCCCTCAGCTCTATGACGAGACCGCCACACGACCCAGACCGGTAAGAACAACACACGATAAACGTCGGGTACGAATGTATGTGTGCATCCATCCATCTACCTGTAGGTAGTTACCTATATGCGTAAGTACCTCCCGTGCATGCATACAGGCAGACAACCAGGTTATTAGGCGGGCAGGAATGAGGCAAGAGGCGCCCGTAGGCAGGAGATAGAAGTACCTAACATTGGGAGGTTACCTAGGTGGGTACATCCGCTAGGAGAGGTAGCTATTAGAAGGCACCTAGGTACCTTCTAAGGTAGAAGGGATGTCTACAACGGGGGGAAGGAAAAGGAAAGGGGGTGGTCAAGTCTCGGAGAGGGGCAACTGGACCTCGCGTGGGCGACTGCGGTTTCTGCCAGATCCAATCCGGGTGCGATTCGAGCTTCATCCAACCGCGATCCCAAATCCGACGCACAATCTCGTCCAGTCTCTTGCCGTCGCAAACCCTCGGCCTACCACCGCCTATATCTGTAGCCATCGTATCGTCCGCCAGCGCCCACCACAGCCTACCACCGCTATCCACCAAGACCGCCCAGAATCCACCACATCTCATAGGTGGGTAAGTCTACCCGAATCCGCCCACGGCTGGATCGCCAGGGCTGCGCAGTGTAGCGCGGTACGTAACGGTGCGTGTGTGCAGATTCCGCCTCACGGAAATAGGTGCATCCATATTTGCACACGCACCAATGCCTGTACGTGCGCGTGCGTATGTGTTAGCTACGTGTGTGTAGGCAGGCAGGTGAGAAATCCTACGACAGCTCTTCTATACCTACACATACACCATCCGACCACCGCCTATATACGCTTACATCTGTGGTGTGCTGGATGCTAGAGTCGAGACGACAGCGGAAGCGGAAGAAGAGAGAGACGGACGACCGCCTGAGAAGTACGTCTACCAATGGACGGCCTGAAGCTGCTCTCCACCCTCCTGGACGCCCATGCACGTCTCCTGACCAGCTACCAAAACAGACGAGAACTACGTGCGAATTCGAATGGAACTACCTAAACCGGTCACCTACTAGTCTCGTACTATCCTCCCTCGTCCGTACTCCTTCTCCTATCCCCCCAACTGTTTCATGTTCGTGTATGGATCTGACAGCATAACCAGTACCAATATATCCATACCCATACCCTTACCTTGTTGAGGTTGATCCCGAAGAACCCTTAGCAACACTCCGCTAGTCCACGCCCATACATATCTATCCTTTTTGCTCGCTTCCTTCCCTTCCTTTACCGAGGAGAGGGAAAAAAAAGTAATAAATAATAATCGAGACGGCAGAATTGCTCTTCTAGGCCATGTCTCCTCCCGGAGCATCATTGCCACAACCAAGCTACCTGGAGCAAACCGTCTCGCTCCTCAGCACCGTGGCCGCTTATATGCGCTTGCCTGCTCTGGCCTCCACGGTATGCCTTCGCGCTCATCCTCCTTCGGTTCTTCAGCCTCATCTGCCAGCTCGATCTTCGCTCGCGCATGTCGACACACACAAATCGCCATCTCCAAACGCTGCCGGGCCGCAGCCGAGCTAACAAATGCTACCCAGGGTGTTGCCGCCGTCTTGACCACCCTGCTCTACTTCAAGCAGAAGTGAGTGCCCAGCGCCACCCCCCCTTTACACACCTCCCCGGCCCCCATTTGAGCCATCGTCCGTTGCAACAGCTAACCACCACAACCCTCACCCCACTTTGCAGAGCCCTGATCTACCCGTCGCACATGCCCCCAAATTCTCGGACAGACGTGCCTCGACCTTCGCAATACGGCATCAAGGACTTCGAAGAGCTGGTCATACCCACCGACGATGGCGAGAAACTGTCGGCCTTCTATATTCGAGCGCCGAAACGCGGCCTCCACTCTAACTGTACCATTCTGATGTTCCACGGCAATGCCGGCAACATTGGGCACCGACTGCCGATCGCGCGTATGCTGCTCAACTACATCGGCTGCAATGTCTTCATGCTCGAGTATCGAGGCTATGGCTTGTCGACGGGCGAGCCCGACGAGAAGGGGATCACGCTTGACGCTCAGACTGCCCTGACGTACCTACGAGAGCGAGCCGAAACGAGAGACCATAAGCTTATCGTCTATGGGCAAAGCTTGGGAGGCGCCGTCAGCATCAAGTTGGTCTCTAAAAACCAGAACGCGGGGGACATCGTCGGCCTGGTCCTCGAGAACACCTTTCTCTCCATGCGATCATTAATTCCTTCGGTCATACCCCCAGCCAAGTACTTGACTATGCTGTGCCATCAAGTCTGGTCGAGCGAGACCACGCTGCCATCCATCACCGAGGTTCCCATCCTGTTCTTAAGCGGTCTCCAAGACGAGATAGTCCCGTAAGCAAACCCCACCATATCCACCACCCATCCATCCCCTCTCGAGAGACCGCGCATGTGATGATTTTAAACAACCATCCACAAAACATGAGCTCGGATTCGAGCGCGGATTTACACTGTTCCCTGATATCACGCGGCCTCTGGGGCTTGGCATGTCTTACCCGTGCACGTTCGGCCAACGTGTAAGCTAACTCGATCTTGTCTCAGACCCTCCCACATGCGAAGGCTGTTCGAATTAGCCACTACACCTACCAAGATATGGAAGCCTCTCCCCGGTGGCGATCACAATTCCAGTGTACTAGAAGAAGGATACTTCGAAGCCATATCGGATTTTGTGTCCGACGTTGCCGGAGACGAGAAACGATGAGGTTAGGAACTGCCGAAGGGTCGGCGCCACGCTCGCAACCCTCTGCCCAGGACAATACCGTCATCGCCACATCACAAGCTCCCTTAATCCTACGAGATACCCCCCATCCCCTCGCGCCGCGTTGCGTAAAGGGTTCTACTATAGACCATTAGTTAGTATAATGACGAGTGTACATATAATGAACTATTGGCTTTCTGCTGACTGTGAAACGTACCTATATTTCTGTGAGGGAAGTTAAATCATTTGTCCCCTGTCGCGCTCTAGAACCGGTTCTCCACCTCCTCTCGATCCCAGGGAGGTGGTAACGTGTTTCTAAGGTCGTGTCAATGGTGAAACTGGCGGCTAAATGCATCGGGCACGAGCGAGTTCAGGCAAGTCCTTAATCAACGAGAAGTCACCTCCGTCAGTGTGTTGGGCTCTAACGTTTATCACGGAGCTCTATTCGGACTCACACTTGTCGGGCGTTCTATTCCCTCCCACCGGAGCTCCGCTTCCGAAAAGGGTTCGTAAGTAAACTGTCACGGCAAAGGCCATCATAAGATTGGTCAAGCCAGACCAACGCGAGTGAACTTCCTTCGGAGCCCAAGTCCGATTTCCTTCCTCGGCAGTATACGCACTAACCGGCGGGTAGCTTTCGACACTAACCGCCCCGCCCCCATGCGAGTAGCCGAAATGTGATGCTTATGAGGCCAATTGCTACTGATGCGCGACAAGTTGTGAATGCTGTTGGGGCTTCGAGGGCACACCGACCCGCCCGAGTAGAGTCGTGTGGCATGGCTATGCCCCATCGCAATGTGGCCGTGCAACCCATTGCCTACGGACAAAGGCGTAGCATATTCATCACCAGTTATCCGCAAATAATTATGGCTAAGACAGTTTCCATGAGGGTGATAGCGAGATCCCGTATGTCAGCTACCAAGATTACACTGGAATGCAGTGGCCTACAATCTTCAGGCCATATCGGGTCGCCTAGAACTCCTCTACGCCGAACTTCGTTGCCATCGTCACCCCTAGCTAGCAGGAAGAGGCCCAGAACGAGCACCTTGGAAGCTCCTATATAGACAACCGCCCAACCCTGTCCCCGGACCCTCGGGTAGAACATAACAGTGTTAGTATTAGCAACTTGCGATTCTCCTCACAACGTGAAAGTGTGAGCCCTTTATAGTTCGAAATCGATCACCGTGGCGAAGACCCAAGTTACATACTTATCCGATCGTAGCAAATTAAGAAAGATAAGGAAGCTAGGCAGCGACTGTTCGAGCACATTATGCCGGCTCAGAGGGTTAAAGGCTTAGGGTTTTAAGAGATGGGGCATTTCAAGCATTGGCATTCTGCGTTGGATAAACTTGAGGCCTGCTGACATATATGACTACTGCCAGCAAGTCAGCAATCTCTTACGATTTCTTTGCCTGCCCCGTCATGTACGCCAAGCATAGCAAAAACGGCGGTATGTTCAGACCACCCACTCAGAATGTGATACCGATCAACATTAATGACTATAGTGACTATGACTGTGGATGACTACGGTCCACCGTGAAGCTCAAGTCGTGCAAGCCGTGCGAGAAGCCCGACAAGAGGAACAGTATCGTAACTACAGTGCAGTATCTGAAAGAATCGTGAACCAAGCAATCCGGCGTTTGATCTTCTGACGCCGGAGCTTGCGTTGGCGAGCCGGCTCTTGAGTAGCATCAGACGGTAGAGCGTCGAGCCTAGAACGCAGTTTTCGAGCGGAGAGTCATAAAGTTCGTCTGAGAGGGATGGTTCGGCGATTTTGACAAGTGAAATACAACCAGTCCGACATTGGTGATCAGGAAGCCAAGAGAAATTCCGTGGCCAAGACAGCACGATCTATCGTCAATGGCCACCAAGCAGTGAACCCACCTTCGAGGTAAGAACTCAGACAGCTTCTTAACAACCAACCGGAATATGGTGCCCATGGCTCGTTAGAGATCGAATGCATACGGCGCATCACGTTCGGTTCGGCCGTGAGAACCGCCCAGAGTAAATCCGAGTTTCCTTATGTACCCAGCAAAATCCTGGTGCTGACAGGGACCGGGAACTGGCCAACTAGCATTTGGTTAAGGAACAACCTGGACCGTCTCCATCCAGCCAGCCGTCCTATTCCTATAGGAGGATCTTGGCTCGTCTGATTTATCACGTACGGCACTGGGTTGGCCGAGTTAGCTGGACCGACCTACTGCGTAGTACGAATATCTAGCTCAAGAGTTAAGTGCCTATTATATTAATATCAGACTCGTCTACCCGCCACTAAGCTGAGTCTACAATGGAAACGCCCAACGTCCGATCGGTGCTCTAAGAAATCGACTGCCTCTCTCTTTGATCAACCACGTGAGCAATTGAGACAATCACATCTTGCTCCTAAAAGGCATATCCTTGAGAGGTTGGGTCAACTCCACTTGATATTCCGAAACTACCGGCACCGCCATCTTTAGCAAACTAAGTATTCCTCCCCCCCCCGGGCCGGAGCCCGCAATGACCTCTCTTTTGAGAGCCAACTTGGGTCCTTGACTAACGATAACAATAGGGGGGGCAGAAAAGAAGGAGATGACTTTCCAGCCCTTAGACGAGATTATTAGAAGCCCGGCCTTCCCAACGGCTATTTGGCAGCTAGAGCCGCACCAGAGCGGACTCCTGCCCGTCGCCGCCGGCCGGGGCGGGCCGCTCAACATCAGCTGGGAGGTGCACGGCGACGGGCCAGTCAAGCTTGTCGTAAGCTCCGTCCCCCTTTCGTTTCCTTCCCCCGGGACCCCATACATATAGATATATATCCCCTTCGTTCCTTTCTTACCCTAGCCTTATTATACCTACTTCAAGCCCTACCCCGTAGCTAACAACCGTCCTCTCCCCTACCCCCCCTCCCTTTCCTTCCCGGGGCCGGGGAAGGAAGGAGAGGGTGTGGGAGGGGAGACCACCGCTCAGGGCGCGCACAGCTCATCGGCGGCATCGGTCTGACGAAGACGGACTGGCAGTCGCAAACGCTGTACTTCGGGCACGAGCGCGGGCGGCGGTATTCGGTGCTCGTGTTCGACAACCGCGGCGCCGGCGCGTCGGGGAAGCCGCTCCTGCGCTATAGCACCTCCGAGATGGCGCGCGACCTGCTCGAGCTGCTCGACCACCTCGGCTGGACGGCGCCGCGGCAGGTCCACGTGTCGGGAGGTAGCCGTGCGTCCTCCTCTCTGTATCTCTGTCTCCTCTCCTCGTCGATGTGCACTTCCCTTTCTCCCTACTGCCCCCTCCTCCTCCTCCCTCCTCGTTCCCCTCGCACCTTATCCCGGCCCCTCCCCTCTTTTAAAAAAAAAAAAAGAAAAAAATCCGAACAGTACCGACGATGACAACGCGCTGACCGAACCGCGCCGCCCGGACGGGACTAGTGGGCGGGATGATCGCGCAAGAGCTCGCGGTGCTGGCGCCGGACCGCATCGCGAGCCTGAACCTGCACAGCACGGCGGCGCGGCTGGAGAACGCAGCGGGCAGCTCGCTGGCGGAGGTGGCGGACCGGCTGGGGGCGCTGCTGCCGCGGCCGGCGGAGGCGGCGATCCGGGCGACGGCGCGGGGGTGCTTCCCGGAGGCGTGGCTGGCGGCGGCGGACGGGGAGGAGCTGCCGCGGCGCGGGACGCCGCGGTGCGCGGTAGCAGCAGCAGGCGGGTACGGCGGCGGCGACGGCGCGGGCGAGCTCCGGTTCGGCAGCAACTACGCGCGGTTCGCGGCGCGCGAGGCGCAGATCCCGCGCGACCGCGGCGGGCTCGCGCTGCAGGCGGTGGCCGGCGCGTTCCACTGCAAGACGCCGGCGCAGCTGCGCGCGCTCGCCGACCGCGTAGGCCGCGCCCGCATCGCCGTGCTGCACGGCGCCGCCGACCGCATGATCCCCGTCGCCCACGGCCGCCGCCTCGCCGCGCTACTGCGCCCCGCCGCCGCCGTGTTCGAGGACGGCCTCGGCCACGCCCCCATCCACCAGCGCCCCCGCTGGTTCAACGAGTTCCTCGAGGCGCGCTGCGAGGCTGCTGAGAAGCTGAGCGGGCGGTGATGAGGGGATAAGGGGGGCAGGGGATGGGGGGAGAGGGGGAGGAGGCGATAGAGAGATAGAGAGAGCTTTACGTCGGGTTGGGAGAGACTTGGGCCTGTGTGAGAACATCGCATTTCTTTATTCATGGCGCGGGTTAAGGGGGACACGTGGTGCTGGTTTCGAGATGGCATCGGACGTGCTTTGTAGTATTACGAACTCGACACCACTCTGGATGGCGAAAAGCGCATCGCCCCGAACGTACGGAATATATATACATAGACATGCCGGGGGTCTCGACCGCAGCCAAATGAAGAATACTCATACAAGGGAACATCGAGATCCCGAATAGACGCAACGGGCCATGCCATGACCCGGGGTGGGATTTCCGACCAGCCCTTTTTCTCTAATGCCGCCCAAGAGCATCGGGATGCGAGGCTGAAAATGACGGCCCCCTTCTTGAACCAGTCGCTTCTTCCCAGACGTATTGTGAATGGTAACATCGCTATGTGCAAATGGGTATCTGTCTATAACGCCTGCGCCGGCCGACGCTGTATGAACCGCACCACGCGCCCGTTTCCGACCGCCTCGCTCGCGCATCACGGGTACACCCTGCCGGCGAGGGCGAACTTGGACGGGTCCGCGGCGTCGATGGTGTACTCCCAGATCTGGTCGTCGGCGATGCCGTAGAAGACGGTGTCCGCCGTGGTCGCGATGGCGGAGAAGTTGGTCGGCTTGCCGCCGGCGAACTCGATGTCCGCCACGGCGTCGTACGTCTCGCCGTCGTACCGGGTCGCCCGCAGCCCGCCGTCGGCCCCCAGCGCCAGGAACAGGTTGTCGTTCCAGTCGCCCAGCTTCGTCGCCGCGAACTGCCGCGTCTGCAGCGGGTCGAGGCCGCCCATGATCGTACCGTCTGCCCCCCCCAATCCACAAGGTTAGCGCGCGATGAAACACGACTCGCGACGCGAATGCGCGCCCGAGATGAAGAAGGCGTCTCTGCCCGCCCACTCACCGTCTCCTTCCCATTCCCAGTTGCCCTTGAACGACGACCGGCCCATCGAGTCGGGGCGCCGCTGGGTCGCGAGGATGACGCCGTCCGGGCTGCCCCGGTCGGAGGTCGCGATGAGGGCCATGCTGGCGCCGGCGGAGGCGGCGCTGGCGCTGACGATGGGCTTCGTCTCGCGCGTCCACTGGCTGCCGTTGGCGAAGCCGATGGCGCCGTCGGGGCCCTGGTACGCGAGGACGTAGAAGCCGTTGCAGCTCGGCTTCCAGCAGCGCTGCCAGACGGCCGCGAGCTGCGAGCCGTCCCACGTCGGCAGCTCGTGGTCGCCGTACGTCCAGTAGTCCGCCTGCGCCTTCGGCGCCTTCGACGACAGCCGGCTGATGCTGCTGCTGCTGCTGCTGCTGCCCGTGCCGTTGCCCCCCCGCTCCAGGAACCACACGTGCACCTCGTGCAGCCTCCGCGGCTCCTGCTCGTCCCGGTTCACCGACGTGCTCGCCAGCGACGTCCCCGGGATCGGGTCGATCGCCCCCCACGTCGACGACCGCATCAGCTGGCTCAGGTTCCGAGTCACCCACGACGTGTTCTGCGAGTCCCAGTGCCGCACGATGATGCTGTTGTACGGGTCCTGGAAGAACACGTTCCGGTGCGTGAAGCCCTCCATGTCCGTCCAGTTCGAGGCCGCGAGCTGCGAGCTGCTCAGGATGTTGACGTTCGCGTTCTCGGTCGGCGGCGCCCCTCCCGAGTCCTCCGTTTCCCCTGGGCCTTCCGTGCCAGCTGAGCCCTCTACGCTCCCTGCGCTCTGTCCGATCTCTGCTGGCGACGCTGGGGACTGTTCGGTTTTCCTGTTTGCTAACCCGCCAGCGACGCCTCCGGCGACGGCGCCGATGACGGCCAAGACTACGACGGTTAGGATGATGTAGAAGTGGCGTCTTCGCAGCCCACATATCCTGGTATCTGCTGGGCTGTCGTTATAGGCGCTTTCCCGTTCCACGCGATCCGGTTCCACGCGGTCCGCCTCCATGCGATCCGCCTCCATGCGATCCGCCTCCACGATATCCGCCTCTATGCGATACGCCTCTATGCCACATGGTATCGCCTTGGGAATATAATAGTTATGAATTGTCTGGAGATATTTTTCGCCATGATCCACCACTTCCTTGTGGGACTCTATATCGCGAACCTCGAGTGTGCTGTATGGCTCGTCGTCGTACGAAGCGCGTTCCGAAGCGCGTCCCGAAGCCATTGATACATGGCAATCCGGGTCAGGATTTCAAGTGGGAAAGAAGGTGAGAGACCTTGCTCCCTAGAAACGAAGCCATGCTCGCATACTTAGTCTGGGCTGGTTTGGTATTTAAAAGGAGTCGCCACTTAGCGGCACGGTTCCTCTTCTTCTCGCCCCCATCACAGCAAGTGGATCATGATGCCCCTGTCCTCTACTACGAATATGCATAAGGCGCGACGAGATGGGCCGGGGGGGGCTCCCTCTCGGCGATGGTTACCACGGGCTCTCATTGAGCGGCAGAGTGGGCTAGCTCATATGTAGCCCGAAATATCGTTATCGCCACTCATTGTATAGGCAATATTCAGCCAGCAGTAATATGAATACATAGGTAATCGTAGGAAAATATAGGTAAGATTATCTCTCTCTCTGTCTCTCTCTGGCTTCTTTAATGTTGTCTGGCTACTAACAGGGCTGGGTAATGGTCGGCTGGGACTCGACCTATACATAGCATTTCTCTGTGTTACGTGCCGTTTTGTACGCCGATCCTTCAGGAACAGGGAAAAAAAACCAGCAGGTGTTTTCTTGGCTCGAAGTCCTACCTATTCGAGCTTCTCCGTCCGGGATAAGGGCGCTGCGACCAAGCTTCTTCTCTTGGCAGACCCCATAACGGATCCATAGGGAGCGCGGTATCGTAGTAATATGGGGACTAGTCTTTCGCGTTCACGAGTTGTTTTACAATAGTTAATAGGAGTGCGGGTAGCAGATACACCAAGGACAGGGTATAGCTTCCTGCTTCTAAGCTTGACCTCTGTCTTTCCCCCATCGAGCTTGTCGACGGGACTGTGTCCTACTTAGGTAAGACAAGAGCGGACACTAAATCCGATATCCAGACTTATCATACGAGCAAGGTATATACCTGTATCCATACCTATGTATGTGATCCAGTTGACGCTGTAGAGTGGTGAAGAGAGTTATTAGTCCGCCTAACACGGTAAGTATAGCTGCCGGACTGGATTAGAGGCTCGAGTGACTGCATATACATACCCGTGGTAGGTGTCGCACATCTGTAGTTTCCAGCAGAGTTTTCCTCTCCATTTTCAATAGGCCGATCATATAAGGAAAATAGGTTCGGATCAGTGCGTTCGTTTCGAGTAGGGTTACTGTCAATACATGCAAGTAAAAATTCGCATGGCCATCCATTCTGGAACCGAGCCTCTTTACAGCAGAAGGGATGGATGTCCGCCACGATATACATCCGGCTCAGGCTCCCACATCAGAACTAGGTTTTGGGGATAAGATCAGAGTATAAACGTACTCTTGATGCTTCTTGATATACCTACATCGTACTCAGCGCCCACGGTAGCCTTTGCTGTACAGGGACAGAATGAATCCGCCCCTTATGACAATAAATGAACGACGTGGTGTTTGGGCGATTCAAAATAAGAGCAGAGGCCTTACAGCGCGTTGTCAAGTCTCGGAGGAAAGAAGAAAAGAGGAATTAGACGCCTACCGATATGCTGGTGCTAGCTAGTGCTAGTGCTGCTTAGAGTCGCGATTCCGTCAAGCCGTTTGTTTCTTTCTCTCCTTTTAACCTCTCCGCTAGCCGGTAAACCCCATTCAGGGTTGTCTGTGATTTATGTCCGTGCCGTGGGCTCCCCCCCCCCCTTTTTTGGCGTTTGTAGGGATGTATGGGGATATGTACATATTTGACAGTTCAGTGCGTCCCCTCGATCCTACGTAGGTGCCATCTCTCGCCTGGGCATCTGACCGGCCCGTCATACCATACCGTCCTATCTGTCCAGTTTCCGAACCCAGCCTCGAGCCCCCCCTCTCCTTATGCAGAAAGGATCGCTCGCTCACTTTCGTTTCCGTTCAGCGGCGTCTATCTTCTCCTCGAGGTTCTGAACGTGCGTGCTCAGCCGCTGGCAAGCCGTCTGTAGTGCCTGTAGTTTTGCAAGCCGCACACAGACGAAGTCAGCCACGCTGATAGAACATCTTCAGGTTTTCTCTCGTCTCGTCGGAAGGAAAGGGGACGGGGGGCGAATAGGGAGGCAGGATTCTTTACTAGGGAACAAGAAGCATCGTTGTAGCAAAGAGCAGAGGGACAGCCGCCTCCTCCTCCCCGGAACCCTCTCACAAATCGTATCAAGGGGGGACGAGACGCGGAAATCAATCAGATGCAGAAACGCACATAGATGTCCTCCGTGAGCAACTCGTTCGACGCCTTGTACTCTCTCCTGTCGATTAGGAAAAAAAAAAAGACTTTGTCAGCCAGCATTCTCACTCTCTTCTCGCCTCCATATGGCGCGTAGCGCACCGCGCGCAGAATCCTGCCGACGCGGAGGCTAGTCGGGTGGCCATGCTTAGGAGACAAGGACTAGATCGCAAGACTCACAGCACATAACTGTACACTCCGGCGCCCGCGGCCGTCGCGCCGAGCAGGAACCCGAAGAGCCTATGGAGGTCGCCCACAGCTCCCGTTAGCCCATGTATCTTTCCACGTTTGCCGTTGGCCCTTCCCCCTTTTCTCTTTCCAATACTTGGCAGGTCTGTCTCCATTCGTATGCACATCTCTTGCTGCCGCCCCTCGCTGCATCAACCGCTATTTCCCGCGTTCGCCCGCAGACATACGTAAAGGAAGGGGGGCATCTCACCCGCCGCGGAATGCGCCGATAGGCTTGCGGGCGGGTAGCGGCGCCGCAGTATCGGCGAGCGCGCGCGCCGTCGCGTGGAGGGCGCGGGGGGCCCCCGCGTGGCGGAGGAGAGGAAGGATATTTCGAGGGCCGGTCGTGAGGATGCGGGATGCCATCGTAACCTTTATTCGTCGCCTGTTCGTGGGTTCGTCTGTCTTCTTCTTTTGTCTGGCAGGTGGGGCAATCTCGGATTGCGGCTCGCGTCGTGCCTCGCACGTTCGGGTAGGTAGTATTTTTCACGACGTAGGTATCTCGGATGCCATAAAAGGAGAGGTCTCGGATAGGAGGTAGAAAGACGGCCGTGGCGGAACAGGAGAGAGATTCCCCGCTGAGGGAGAGGTAGGTAGGTAGGCAGGTAGGTTGGATTTGTTTGGATTTGTTTGGCTGGGGCTCAACTGAAGCACCTCTAACCTTCCATCAGGTACCTTGATGCTCGAGTTGCAGAGGCGGCGATATATCCAGGTACGTTACCTGACGGTGGATATAACCTTAGGGTACTACGGCCATCTCTTCCCACCACAATCATACCACTCAGGAACGACGCGGTTATTCTTCGGCTACACTTCCACTCTGCTCTCGCACCTCTCATCTCGTACCGTACAGATGCATGCGATCCACAATCCAGGTACGGGACCGAGTTGCATGCCAGTAAACAGCCGTATTTCCTGGCCTGGGAATCCTCGTCGTCAAGGTCATGTACATTTATTCAGTACCGTCTTCACGTTGGCTACAGGCATTCTATCCGCCGCTGGCAAATTTACCTCAATTGGTACCCGAGTTTGTAGTATAAGATCAAGTCAAGCAGTACGTAAATACATACTATATACCTACATACCTCTCAGCCACGTGACCGTCACCGTTATCCGTTACCTCGGCGGGACGAACTACACGTAAAGTAGGTACCGAAACAGAGCGTCGTGTGACGGGGTGCGTACGCCTGCATTCACAATAAAAAAATCATTTCACAAGGACATCGACAGAGGAATTGCGCAGACGTTTATCAAACAAGCAAAGCGAAAATTCGTGAATCTCATGCTGAACTACCTAGGCCAGCATTTATCCTAATCCCAGAGCGACCCAGTGCGATGGCTGATTCGGTGGTCCGGTCCACATGTTGAGAGAGTAACTGTACAGAGAGGTTTGGTTGACTTCGTTTTTCTTATTTTGCCTTCACGCGGCTCATAGCTCGTCGTGCGTCTCCTCGGCAGCCTCGCTGCTGCTGGATTCCGTGGCAGCGGGGGCCACAGGAGTCTCTTCTTCCTTCTTCTCCTCAACGCTGGCCTTGTACTTGCCATTCTCCTTGATGAACTTGATCAGGTCCTGGACCGATCGGGAGCCGCTGTAGGTAGCCGGCTCGCCCTTGGCGCCGGCAGGGTAGAGTTTGATGGTGGGGAAGCCTGAGATGTCATCGGGGACGTCGTTGGCAGTGGCATCAACCTTAGCAATGACAACCTTGTCCTTCCACTCGCTCTTGCTGTATAGCGAGGCTAGGTCTTCGTACTTAGGGGCCAGAGCCTTGCAGTGACCACACCACGGGGCGTAGAACTCGATCAGCACGTCCTTGGAGTCATCCAGGACGATATCTTCGTAGGTCTTGCCAACGACAACCGTCACCGGTCCCTCCTGGGCTTCGGGGATAGGCTCAGACTTGAGGCTGGGCTCGATCTTGCCGGCAACGAAGTCCTCTACGAAGGTGCTGATGGCGTCGTGCGTGATCTCCTTCTCCTGGTCATACGGGAATTTCTGGTTCTTGACCGTCTCCTGGATGGCAAAGGCTGGGAACTTGTCGGTCTTCAGGTTCAGGTTGCCAGCGTGGGCACCGAACGACTTGGCGTCAATGGTGGCAAAGTTGATCTTGCCACGGTACTTCTCAGCAACGGGCTTCAGGGCATCGCCGAGCTCCTTGCGCTCCTCGGCACTTTCAGCGAAAATGTACGCCAAGGGGATGCCGGCGGACATGTAGTCGGAGTAAGTATCGGGGCCAACCTCGCCGATCAAAGGAGTCGAGGCGACCTTGGTGAACTTCTCGATGGCCTCCTCCTCGAACTTCTCGGCGAAGGTGGCCTTGCCCTCGTCAAATTGCTTGTAGAGGACGATGGCCGGCGCAGTAACGCCCTCAGACTCGGCCAATGCTGCATCGTTGGTCGCGCCAAAGAGGTAAGAGTCTCGAAGCTTCTCGGCAATCTTGGTATAGGTTTCATTAGAGGCTTTGTCAGAGGCCTCGATGTAAGCCACGAGGACGACCTTGTCAGCAGTCTTGAAGTCCCCGATGGTCTCCGAGGTTAGGATCGACACTGCAGGTAAGGATTGTTTGATCATGTACGAGGTAATACTGTCAGGATCCATTAGCAACAAGAAGATAGCTAGGGCCCACCCACAACGGGTTGCTTACGCGGCTGCCTTCCTTTGGCCAGAGTAGGGGGTGATATTGTCCGGGCCACGGAAGATCTTCAACGTCGGGTAGCCCTCGACGCCGTATGATTGGCAGAGCTCAGACTCCTCTGTGCAATCGACCTTTGCCAACTTGATCGACTTCTCCTTCAGCGTAGTTGCCGCCTCCTCATACTCTGGGGCGAGAGCTTTGCAGTGACCACACCACGGAGCAAAGACTGTGGGCAACGAGATCAGCATCAATCAGCTCTTACACGGGGTTTGTGTGGTTGGCCGGTTGGTATCGGCCACGAGAAGGAGAACGTACACTCTGCTAGGACGAGGTCATTGCTCTTGATGAAGTCACCGAATGTGTCCTTAGTCAACTGGGTGACGTCGGAAGGGGCATCTGCTGCAGACGCAACAGTGGCGGCTGCGAACAGGCCGAAGGCAACTTTCCGAGCCGAGTACATGATGAAGCGACCACTGTGTAGACTGCTCGAAGAGAAAGACGGTTAGCTACCTCAGACACGGGAGGTTGTTGGCGGAACAGCATATGTAGAACGGCCAACGTGGAGATGGAACGGCGAGGGGGAGAGCAATAGACATATGCGATGTTAAAGGTGACGGACGCAATACAAAAGGTTGGTGTGGTTGACGAAATTCATGGACATACCTCTGCTATGGCACTGGCTGGCTGGGTGGAATGGGAGCAATGGATTAGGAGGAAAGTAGACGAGTGAGCGAAGGCGAAACCACAGATGAGGATGTTTTGTAGCCTTCCTATATGGTATATGTGTCCCCTCGAGTATTGGATTGGAGAAGATTGACAAGATGGGATCAAAGGCTGAATGGTTCCGAATATCTGGCCTTAGTAGGTAAGTACAGGTTGACTAATCCGCCTCCCACCTGTACAACCTGGTGATGTAGGTACTTGGCATTTAGCATATATAGACAACCCACCGGAGGTACCTACATCTCGATGCGAGGGCAACCTTCCTCCCTTTCCACCCTACCTAGGTACCAAAAGCCAGGCAGGTACCTACCTACCTAGGTACCTCCCTTAGGTGCATGGTACCTGAAGTAGCCTGCTTATGAAGGTACTTAACCTAAGGTACCTACCTGTAACGAAGCGGTAGAGAGAGGTACCTCTAGGCACCTACAACGGAACCGCCAGTTGCCCGCCTCTCCTCCCCTTGTAACCCGCTCATGTGGGAGGAGGTCTCAGCACGTAAATTGCCCAGCGCTGACATCCAGCTAGATGGGTAAGTACCTATGTACAGATCGGTGGGAGTCCGAAGGGGGGCGGGTACCTTTCAATGGCATGTATCTTTCAATGGCATCCTCCCCCCTCCAAATCCCAATTTAGCTCAGGCGGAAGAGAGAGGGGCGGGGAAAAGCTCCACCGCTCTATCTTAGGCAGGTTTACAAATGGCAAGGTGTTCTCTTTTTTTTTTTTTCTCGTGACCCCTCGCTCTCCCCTCCCTGCCACAGCCTACGGGTAGGTATTGTAATAGGTACATAATAATAGCAGGTTTAACCCCTCCAACCCCCTCTCTTCCGCCGCCAAGCACGGCCAAGCGCAGATGCACCGCCACCACCACCGACTAAACTATTCAATGCAGGTTCCGCATTCCAAATGCATCACACCAGGGCCAGTTCATAACACGCAGGTACATTGCCCACATAGGTAACGTTGGTATACCAGAGGCACGGAAGTGTTTCCAGGGACCCGCACAACAATCTACCGCTTGGATACACGCCTCGACAAGTGCGGTGTTGTGTTGCGTTATCGCTAGGTACTCACACCATACCTACGTGCTGCCTCTTCTCTCCCCATCCCTGCTCTCCCCGGGTGCGGAAAACTCGCACTGCATTGATATTGACGTCTCACACTCCCAGTGGTCTCGTCGTAAGCCAATATACATCTGCCAATCTAGATTTACCTACTCCATGGTTGTGCCGCCAAATTCTTGGCCGGGTACCGCCTCAATGACCACAGTTTCTTTCTGCGTCCTACCGCTAAACATCCAACAGTGTTTATACGCTACCTTGGTAATATACCTATCCACGTACACGCACCACATACCCGGCAATGGATGCTATCGGTGTCTATGCCAATATGATCGGGCAGGTATGTGAAAGTTCCCAAATGGCGGCTTTCTCACCTTCCTCCCCCAGACGACAGGAACGTGTCACATAGGTACCTATTGCGCAACTGATGCTAGCACTACTCTCCCCGTCAAGCTCCCCGGACGTGTTCCGGCATCGGTGAGCATCTTGTAGCACCTACGTAGGAGGTCCGCTGCCCAGTTGCAGGTCCCTAGATGCAGCGGATTGGTTGGTCGATGAACCAGTTAACTGCGCAATAAATCGCGGCAAATCGTACCGTCAACCTGAATCCTTGTCAGGGGGCAATGAGGCTCAAATAGACCCCTGCCAAGCCTACATCGCAGGACAGGAAGCAATATACGCAGTTTCTCCATTTTGCGACTTTTGCAATACCTACGAATCATACCTCTGGGTCTGCATATTTTAGCACGTAGAAAAACGCAACAACCATGGGAATCTAGCGTTATCGAATGCTCGCATTTGCAAATGGCATTACGTGCTGTGTCGACCCTGGCATCGCGTAACGGGATAAGAGCGGTACTCTTACTATCTAGGGTAGATTTACGATTGTTAGGCGGCAAATCGTCCTACAATGCCGTCTCGTTGGTTAGCACGTGGTCCAATCCAGTAAAGAATATCGGCATGCAAAGTGCGCCCTGGTAGGTATAAAAGGTCGTCCCAGGCATCTCTTGTTTTCTGGACGGCTAGGGACATCTTGACGTATGAACATGCTAAGGCGACTGCTTTCGGAGCTGGAGGCCCGTCGTTCGATTCAGCCTATCTCAAATCGTATAGTCGGGAACTCACTCCGGCCACAAGAACCACCAACTACAAGGACGACCGTGAGGTGGAAACTTGGGGAGGCGGAGGAAGCTAGAAATATATCACATGATTACACGTAGAGTCTAATATTCTGTTATCCAGTCTATACCAGCAGGACTCACAAGGAAATTTCACTCGCATCTAAACTTGGAGTGGTTGGAAGCAATCGAGTTGTTGGCATCGGTCTCAAGACGGCAACCGAGGACACCCTCCAAGGCATCTGTGTTATCGCATGAAACACGATACCGGGAGCAACTTTGTGTAACAGATCCTTCACATCATGCCCGGCGCGTGGAGAGGCCCACGCTTCCGAGAGCCAACACGGTCACTGTCCAGTTTATAGGTATGAGATGCATAGGTGCCCGAGAGAGGCACCTGAGGTAACATTAGGAGGTATTCGGTGGCCAGGTACCTAATCTAGTATACATCTACTATGCTCAGACGGGCCTTCCCTCTGTCGGAGAGTCGCACCAGACGCTCTCACAGGGGCAATTTCCGTTTCCGCCGTATGAGCGATGATGTATCAGGTCACCACCTCGGTGCTGTAGATATCCCCATCCCGTGGGAGCGTCTGTCCCTCGCTTTTTCCCCTCGTCAAGCCCGCCTATCCTGGGCTCATGGCCACCAGCGCCTCGCCTGTCCTGCTCCAGCCTTCGTCCGGTAGCACGACCTTACACACATCGTTTCCATCTCATAATACCACCGCCGTGTATGACTAACCCGCCATCTACCTGTTTCATTCCCTACGACAGAATTTAAAGCCTGGCCCGTCCGACGACCTGTCAGGCCGTCGGTCTCTCTCGTCCTGCTGGGCCTACCATACCGATTTGATGTCGGCCGAGGGCCAGTCAGTTAGATAGCCGCTTCTTCCCAACTCACGCGCCAAATAATACGTTTTCACTATATCATAGTTTCGTGTCGGGTGTGTTAAACCCCTGCGCCGCCGTCTCGCTTGCATCGTGTCCGCGGCCACGCCGATCCCCGATGGACTACACTCGGCCCCCTGGGTACCGTCCTTACGGTAGGCCCCCTCGCCATCATTATTTCGATGGGCGGCCGAGCCGTGACCTGTCCCCGGTACGCCCGTTCCACAAGCCTCTCCGGAATTCGAACCAGAACTCTATCCTGCTCCCTTCGCCTGGTGCTCTAGAGAGCATGCTGAAAACCACGACAGAGACGGGTGACATCGGACCTTTTACTATTAAGCCTATTCCTCCGTTACCAGACCGAATCAATTCGTTGTCAGAAATTGGCCGGTCACAGTCGCCCCTACGCCCATCCGCCCACAAGGTTCGGCGTCAAAACTATACCGGGAGGCTGTCTTTCCGCGGGAGCTCCGCTTCTGACATTGTGTCTGTGTCCGAGTCGAAGGGCTGTAAATCAACCGTAAGCACACTGTCCCCAGCGTCTACGGAAGGCCTCAGACAGCGATCGTATTCTGCGAATGCAGGGAGGCTCGGATACCCCTACAGCGCTAAACCGAGGCTCGCCTGCCTACAAAGACCCGGAGGGTCTTCCACATTGCAAGAAAACATAAATGGCCGGCGAGTTTCAAGTTACCAGGAGAGAGGGACTAGTAAGATTCAATACGTGAGTAATATTATGGACCCGCGTATGCTGTTCCTTTTACCTCTCGCTAAAGGAGTCTAGAGAGTGGCGCGTAACCTTTCTCACGTCCAGATAACGCAGAGGTCCCCTCCATTCGGCCCCCCGGGAATCTCGAGCCTAGTTCCGGCCGTGAATAAATACCGGCAGAGGCCACATAACTGTAGTGCTAATTCAAATAGACAGTCGGAAACTACTCCATATTACTACGACTATACTGAAGAATTCGAAGCCAAGGAAGGTCACGCTACAACCCCGGCTCAGCCATTGGCTCCGATTCCTACTCACTCCCAGCGCCCGCAGGTACTATTATATGAGCCTGGCGATCGCCTGGCCGATGCTCATAGTGAACGAGACTCGTCCTGTTTCGAACCCGTAATCGGGGTAGGTGGTGGTATAGAGATGGACCGAATCTCGCCAGAAAGCACGAAACCGTTTACCGGTCTTTCGAACAATCAGGAGAGCACTCCATTTCGCCAGTACACTAGCGCCAGCTGCCCCCCAAAAGGAGACAGTGGGCTTAGCATCTCGGGGACATCCAGAAAGCTTGCGCAACAGAATGATATCGATCTTCTACCGTCTCAAACGTGTAGAGACCCCATGGACACACACAAGCCAAGACACATCAACAGATCCTTGCCGAAGGCAAAGGCGTGCACAGTCCGGAGTCAGGCACACCATGGGACCGTTCCCACTCGGGCGGAGCGAGGAAGTACGTCGGAAAACTACGAGTTGGATAGGATGTCCACCTCGACGCGATTGACCCGTCCCGGCAATGTAACTGTTCTAGAAGTGCGCCAAGCTGAAGAGGCCGCTGTGACTAGCCCGAGTTACCTACGCTACGGTAGCGACGACAAGACTCTACATACCAAGAACGGAGAAACCATATCCGATAAGCGCAGCGTATCTACTATGGCAACTTCGGCAAACCGAACAACAAGGACCTGGAAAATATCGAGACTCCAGAATGCAGGAATATGCCCGCCGGTCCCTGAAATAAACAATACAATAGGGGTACAGACAAGTATTGACGCAGACTCCTCAATCACTCTCTCAATCTGTTCTACGGTAACCATTGTCGAGCCAAAGCCGATTTCTCCTGCATGCCAATTCAAGCTGAAGAATAGCATCCCTCGACTTATGAAGGCGCTGCAACCTCTCCAGGGGGATCCAGAATACATCCAGCCACCGACGCCAGGTATACCAGACATGATGAACGACGAAGACGACGTTGATCATATTTATAATTCACCCCAGGCCCTTCCTAGCCTTACACATAAACGTCACAAGAATATAGACGTCGAAGACTCGACTGCAGGCCTTCGTAGCGACCAGACTTCGACAGTACGGAGGGGTATCCTGAAATTGAAGTTAAAGCTGGGGGCAAAGATACCTAACGGCACGGGGGGAACGTCGCCTTCGGGCGTCGAGGTTCGCGACTTGAATAATGACAAGCCGTTGGCACCCAAAGTCCCGAGTCGGGAATATAAAACACGTCCCGAAAAGCGCAACCAAATGAGGCTGACACTGGGGCATTCCAGGAGGTCCACTACTGACACTCCTCCACGAAGTCCAAGCCCTGTCGCAAACATTGGAAATTGCCAGCCAAAAGATTTGACTCGATTCCCGTCTGGAATAAGTCCGCCCGTTCGTCGCGCGAGGAGGAAATCTCCATACTTAATAGGCGTTAACGGTTCTTCTACAAGTTGCGCATCCAACACAGCTACGCCCAACCAGGAGGCTTTTCACACAGGCGACCAGAGGCCGCCTGGTAATAAAGACACCCCGGGGACTCATCTAGGTAACAATACAAGACAGCCTCGCAGTTTGAAGAAAGGCCTCTCAAAATTCCGTTGCTTACTATTGCGATCACCAAATTCAGCGCTAGTTGCTTCGTATGGTAAAGGGGTAACCAAACCGGCTCAAGATGCTGGTTTTCCTATCGATCACTTCGCCACCGACGATGGGCGCCAAACTCCAGGAGAAAATGACGGAGATAAGACTAGCAAACGGCGCGTTGGGACTAAACTTACGGAATGGGCTCGAGGCGCAAGAATGGTGGTGAGAGGGTGTTCAAGAAGGAATCAGGAATACTGCGTTGAAGAAGCCAGAGTATCGCATCTCATCTGAGCATCCGACCAGAGGCGGACTTCTAGCGTGTCATCTTCGCCAAATTCTACCGGCGGCAAGCTCTGAGAGATATTCCTGGCGGAGCCAAATTTTAGAGCAAAATCTGTATCTAGGGACCTGCTCTGACGTTTCGATGGAGGCTCGCCCTGTTGCCTTGGCATATTAACTTGAAAGTAGGCTCTCTCTGGGTCGGGGTAACAAAGCTGGGACTGGTAGACAGCACATCAAATAACGTTGCCGCTTGAGAATCATGATGGGAGCAGCTCCAAGTGCCGAGGAAGCTTGGTTGCAGAACTCCATAGAACCTCCTCCTGGGAGATCGATACCACAGGGCAGCGGGCAAGCGGCAGCATTCCGCGCTCAGGAACAAAACCCCCCTTTTCAATATACGTACTTAGTAATAGGTAATGAATTGTATGATTCCGCTATAAGTATTGGTACAGGTGTCCTGTAAGTTTGGAAATAAGCTATTAAAACAGCATGTGACTCGAGTCTGGTATTGGCGGAAGGCTTGTGAAATTGATTTCAGATGCCACCGTACTGGTGTTTCGTCCACGTAACCCCTCGGCCGCTTCATCCATCCACGACAATGAGCACCACCGGTAGGCTAAACACAGTACTCGGAATGAGGAGGGGTCTCACCGTAAGCTCTGGCGGCTCGTATGTATGTATTGGTATCAAGTAAACCTACCGGGGCCCGAGTCTTCCGGCACCGGGACAGGAAGCGAAGTTAATTTCTTTTTACCTCGGGGAAGAGGGGTTTGTTCGATTCCGCCGCGTTCTCGAAGAAACACGAACGGAACTCTTTTTCTCCGAGCTAATAACTAGAAACTTGGGCTCCATTCCCATATGAGTAACCGGGTCTGCTTTCGCTCCCATTCTTCTTCCCTTTCCCTCGCTATCCCGTACCGGTATTCGAGCCCTACTGTGATCGCAATCGTTCTCACTGTCCACCTGCCGCACCAGAAGAAGCAGCAGTACACTACCGTGACCGGAGTGAAATTAAAATCCAACATTCGACACTACAGTAGGGAAGCAGAGCCAAAGGCCCTCCGTGAGAAATAGCATACCTCACAGAACGCCGGATCTCTTCCCCACTTCCTCTCTTTCACAGAACGGTAGATCCGTTTTCTAGGGCCCTCATCTAAAGCCCCCGACACTGTCATTCACAGACGACCATCATAACCTTTCGGCTTTCGAAAGACTCATCATTCTCACGTCCATTGTTTTGCGTGTCGTCACTAGCCACCGGCGAGGACACCCGGGGGACACCCAAGACACTTGTGTTCGGCATCCAAATGAACTTCCTAAACAACATCGCTCAGCCTTTAGTGGAGAAGGAGGCTGAGGCTATCGTATCTCAAGGGCAGACACGAAGGACCAAAGTCCTATACCATCGCCTAAGCTTGATCCGGCCGTGGAAGTGAGCGCAGGGAGGGCAACTATCGCCCTCGACGCGCAGAGACAGCGGAGAGATCACTGCAAACGACCTGTACGCCGAAAACCCGCTCGCTCCGGGGTTTAGCACTAACACATCGCAGAGCGGCGTACCAGAGCCCGGGCACAGCCATATACACGGAGACAAAGAACAGAGACCACCAACATGGCGGCGAGACGCAACCGCTGCAGCCAGTTCAGCCAGAGCGCCGGATGCGGAGATTCAGCATGCCGCTTTTCGACTTCCCGGGACGTTGGGGGACGGCGCGAGGAGCGCGCGTCGAGGGGAACGGGGCGGTTCGCAAGGGCGAGCCAGGAGGACGACGCGGGGGGTTGGCGGGGCCGAGGGCATGGGGCACGGCGCCGCGGCGGTCCGAGGCACATAGAGCCGTTCAGCATAGAAGCACTGTGCAGGATAGAGACCGGCGAGGACCCCGACACCCAAGAGGGGCCCAAGCAGTCGGGCTCGTGGCGCCGGCTGTGGAAGCGGGCCCGAGACGCGGCCAGGCGCCTGCTCAGCTGCGACCGAGACGCGGCCCACGACTCGACCGCCCCGCGCCCCAAAGCGGCCTAAGCGGTGCATTGGACGCCGGGAGGTAGGGGGAAGTGCCCCGTGCCCGTGCTCGCGGGGCCGCATGTGGAGGAATATGAACCCAAAGGAAAGAATCTCGGAGAATACGGCGAGGATATTTACGATTGTGTGGGGTTTTTGGGAGTGCCCGCGTGCGAAATCGCCCGATGGGCACATCGCCGGCGTGGGCTGGGATCAGCCGGCGATCTTTGCGGGGGAGACACAACTGGACGATTAGCGAAGGAAGAGCTGCTAGGGATGGAGTGCACCATGATATAGAGATGCTGAATATTGACTCCGTGGTCCTGTTGCTGCCACCACGCTTGACATACACCAATGCAGATGCCCGTATGTGATTTGCTTGCAGGAGGGCTGGGAAACATCAGGTTTCTTCGGCTTGGGTGAGATGCGTAGACTTGAAAATTGGGTTATGATTATGCTGTGTAATTTGGTAGAGGCATGTCATCGCTCAAAACACGCCTCCGCCTATAATAAAGAGCCGTTCCTCTTCCCGTTTGGCCCACTGAATGATCTTGTTTGCCCCTTGCGTGATAAAGGCCCGGGAGGCGTTGGGCCCGGCGACACAGTAGAACTCGAAGATGGGTGTGATCCACGCGAGCGAGGTTGTGTCCTCACCAACGCAGTGAAGGACCTTCACGTGGCTATGCTTCGCGTGGATAGTCGCGTGTAGATGGTGGTAGAGCGACATGAGCCTCCGACGCGCCACGAGACTGCTGAACGTCGGTTCCCAAGATGGCATGCAAAACTGGACATTCGCTCTGGACTTGAACAGAAAATGGCTGACGTGAGACCGGGGTGCGATCTCGCTCATGGTTGCGCGTCCGTGTTGCGCGGCTGACTTGATGAGGTCTAGATGTCCCTTCTTCTTCAGCTCGGCTACGACGTGGTCCCGCATTTGTTGTAGGTCGAAGAAGCTCTCCTTATCCGGACTTATCAAAATTATGGCGATCTCTTCGCCGCCGGTGCTCGGGCCCCTCTCCGGCACGACCTCATCCGGCTGCCCGTCCAAGAAGCTGACATACATGTACAGATAACCTCTATTATTGAAGGCCGGCAAGCACAGGGGGACCCAGTTCTCGCCACCGCCGGCCTTGATGCCTCCGGATTCGAAAAGCATGTTGAAAATAAGCTGTAGGTCGCTGGGGTGGAGGGAATGGCGACGCGGCCTAATCACGCTGACGAGCTTCCCACCAGCCACTATGAGGCCGTAGAGTAACTTTTCACACCTGGTCCTCAAGAACGCATTCGTGATGGCATGCCGATGAGACTTCCTGATTTTAAGGCACTCCAGCGCTCCTAGAAGCGCGGACGGAGACCCTCTCGTAAAGCTATCGGCTAGAGACGAAAGAAGCGTCTCCGTCCCTTGCAGGGGTTTGCGGAGATCGGTGGACGGCCGATTCGCGAAGATGCTGGTCAAAGTTGGGAGCGTTAAGGTGGAGAGGATTTGCATATAGAGCGCGTCAAGTTGAGCCCTCAGTTGGGCATCACTCTCCCCAAGCCGACTGATGGCCACAAAATAGAGCGGGCCCTCCGTTACGATGACGAAGCGTGTGTTCCCAGCAGTGAAGCCGAACAGGGGGTTCTTGGCGCCCTCGTAGAATGATATGATGGTCTGCACGACGCCCATGGAAGAATTGATCAAGCCCAGGTCTCCATGTCGACTGTAGATGGGCTTGCCCGCGGAGGAGAGAATCATGAAATGCTTCAGCTTGGACTTCCAAAGTCTTACTCTATCCTCGTCGCTCCAGTTCTTCTCCGACTCGTCCGGTATATCCTCGAACTCGGCCGCGAAATCAGCCAGAGCCGAAGCCTCATCGGCCCTGATGGTCTCGAACGGCAGCACTTGGGCCGACTGTGAGCGCAAGAGCGCCCAAGCAGCGCTTCTCTTACCCATGTCCCCGACAAGCAGGCTCTCCAGGTCTCCGGGCGGCCGCAGAGTGGGTGCGAAGCTCATGACGCTCATGGACTCGTCGAAATCATTCCCGGTGGGGTTGAAGCCCAGGCTGGGCGGTGTAGAGGAGGACGGCTCGATGTCGGCAACGCGATCAGCGCTGGTAGTGGAAAAGGTGCCGCGAGAGCCGTCGGGAAAGGAAAGTGTCTGTATGCTCATGGAAGAAAGCGCAGTCGTCGGTTTCGATTGCAGATGAGGGGCTCTTTCAGCGCTGGAGGTCGAGGAGGGTCTCGGGGGCAAAGGAGGAGGTCGTTCATCGGCTTGGGTAGAGGCGGCCGCGGCAGCTGATGGGTCAGGCTCTCCCGTGCCCATCTTCGCTCGGACTCGACAGCAGTCGGTCGTATCATCCTTCTCATAGGGTATCTACTGCTGTGAAGCGGCGCCTGCCATGTGGCGCACAGCATTCGCGATTTGCGACGAGGTGCAGGCGTGTAAGCCGTTTAGTCGTTGTGATCAGACAGAGTTGTTGACGGATGGAGGTGCTGTACCTCTCCTATGAGAATTCGAAGTTGCCCCGCCACATAGGTACATAGGTACCTGTAACATCCTGCAAGGACCGCGGCCAATGATAGACCAGCCGTCTTCGCAGTGGCGTTTTAGGCACGGTTATTAGCATCGTCAGGTACCCGTGAGGGAGGAATTACCTAATCTCTCTGGAAGCAGGGTCTCATTCTACACGTAATGTACCTATACAGTAGGTACCTACCTACCTGCAACGTGCTACGTAACCCATACACACCACCCACAAAGCACACTCCGGATCGCTATATATCGATAAGTTATACATAGCTCTCGCGCGCTCTCGCTCCACCATCGAGATCCACGAACCTCACAATTACATGCGCCTCGGCAAAGCGATGCGCCCCCCAACTCTTCCGACCTTCAAAGCGACCCGATGGTCCTTCGGCCAGTGCCTCCTTAGCATTACCTACCCTCCCACACCATGACTCTCGAGCCGGGGCCTCGTCGTTCCACCTCTCCAGAGAGCTCTGGCCGGAATACGCCTACGATCCAGAGACAATGGAGGAATCAACTAAGCGCAGGTATACATCCGCATCCACATATACGTATACATATACGCATACGCATATACGCGCCCGCCAGGTTCGGAGCTGTAGTTCCCTGCTGACACGATAGTGCCGTAGAGGATTCTCCGGGCAAAGACAAGCACTACCGCAAATATGCGTCGGGCGTCGAGCGAGCTCTATCGCTATTCGATACAGCGTTGGAAGAATGGGCAGATTACATATCGTTCCTCAGTAGGCTCTTGAAGGTGGGAATCACATCCAACCATATACTCGAAGCGATCCGCCTTCCCGCTCTCCCCTGTTTACTAAGAAATTCCTACTTCATAGGCATTGCAAGCACGCCAGTCGAACACGACCACCATCCCCTCCAAAGCCCTCGTCGCAAAGCGCCTTTCCCAATGTCTCAACCCTTCACTACCGTCTGGCGTCCACCAGAAAGCGCTCGAGGTTTACAATCATGTGTTTTCTATAATAGGAAGAGATGGACTATCCAGAGATCTCCCTCTATATCTCCCCGGTCTGGCCTCGACGCTGTCGTTCGCATCCCTGACCGTGAGAGCCCCGTTCCTCGGTCTCCTCGAAAGCCATGTTCTGCGTGTAGATCCTGTGGTGCTGCGGCCAGCGATGAAGAGCATCATCTTGGCCCTCCTTCCCGGGCTGGAGGAAGAATCGAGCGAGGAATTCGACCGGACATTGAGCATCCTAGAAAAATTCAAAGCTGCCATCCGACAACCAGGTTGCAGAGAACTCACAGCAACGGATTCGGCCGGCGATGACTTCTTTTGGCAATGCTTTTTCTTGGCTACAATCACCAGCCAGAGCCGGCGATCTGGCGCTCTCGCCTATCTCGTTCGCAGACTGCCGAAACTGGGGCACGATCTCACAGAGGAGGAACATCCGAATAAAGCTCGAGACGCCGAGGCCGAAACTCTCTCGTCCGAGCTTGCGGATATTGTCACTCGCCCTGAGCCAGGCCTACTCTTGAGATGTTTTGCTTCCGGGCTAGGCGATGAACAACTTCTTATACAGCGTGGCTTTCTAGATCTGTTAGTCTCGCACCTGCCGCTGCACTCCAGGGTATTGCAGAAAAAAATCAAGAGCGACGATATGGAGCTTCTCCTTCGCGCTGCGGCCGGCGTGGTCACCCGGAGGGAAATGAGTCTGAATCGGCGACTATGGACATGGTTCCTGGGCCCCGACCCCCCCGGTCAAGAGCAGGAGAACGGCCTAGAGTCGCCCTCTTCGCTATCTGAAAACCATGGGTTTTCCAAGACGAGTTATTTTGAGGAGTACGGCCTGCAATCTCTCACCCAAGCATTACTATCAATGATCAATTCTGCGCCTAGCAGCAATCCTACGGAAAGGGCTCGCCCGTATCGAATATGCCTGTCTCTCATGGATAGGTGGGAGGTAGGCGGCCTCGTGGTGCCCGAGATCTTTCTTCCGGTTATTGCTAGCGTTAAACGCTTCAAGGCCAAGGCTTCGAGCAAAGCCGAATTCGGCGAAGTGTTACGCAGTGCGAGCGTCTTCTTCGATGGCGTCGAGAGCGGTCTCATATACGGCGAGATGATGGAGCTTGTGGCCCAGGCTGTCAACCCCGGGAAGGCGACAAATACGGAGCGCATTGAAAAGCTAGAGCTCGTTCAGTTCATCATGGCTCACTTCAACATACGGGAAGAGGAAATGATCTCTACCCACGCCCCTCTGGCCGTTCTATACATTTTAGCGACGCTCGAGAACCTCAAAGAGCGCAAAGACCGGTCCAGGTCCACCAGCCAGAGCGGAGATGCTGGTATTTCATTCCGATCGTTTGAAATTGCCCAGAATCTGCTGGAGCTTGTCCCGCAACGTGCATTCCCGGCCCAAGCCGGAGAGCGAGACCTAGTTGGGCCCGTAGAAGACTCGGCAGCAGTGACCATGTCTAACAGCGAGTTACTAAAGAAGATCAAGCACTTTTACCTAACAGACCAAGGGAATCTTGACGTCACGCCGACGCCCTTTTCCGCGCGAACCGTCGGGCTTCTTCTAGTCGAAAAAGCGTGCAGCCTAACTTGCAATGCCCTCGCAACGGCCGACCAGGGGGCAGCAATGTCTGTTCGGGGCCGAGTCCTCGCGCTCCTCCTGTCGAAAATCCCTCTCGAATATTCTCTAGACACTGGAAGATTGCTCACCGCGATGCGCACGCGGCTGTCAGCGTCTGATATCGCTTTCCTCTCTTTCAAATCCATTATTTCCCTGTCAACGCAGCTTTACAATGCCGAACGGATACCGGAAGCCTATCTCTCGGACTTAGTAGAGCCAGTAGTGACCCATGTGTGGAATTTCCTGTCTCCGTCGGAACCCAAATACCATGTTGAGGCGGTGAGATGTCTCTGGCAGTTCCAGACGGCCCTCACAACCTCGAACCGCGATATCGAAGCCGTGATCGCCGCTCTAATGTTGAAGGATAGCACGACAGGTACGTTTGCCATTCGGTCAGCCGACCCGGGTCGTAGCTTTACAATCCTCTGGTCCCACACATTGCAGGACAATGCCTCACACTCTGACCGAAGAGGTCCCAAGACGCCCATAAGCGAGTCGAGGTCGAAAACCCGGCTATCGGGGATGGATTACTATGAAGTTATGCTCACCAGACCCCTATTTCTAATGCTTGACTCTCTGCTCGACGAGCGAACTCAGCTCTTTATGATGGTTAAAAACTGGCTGAACACCACGGTCGGAATCGATAAGTAGGTTCGACCCTCGTAAAACCAGCACCAGATGTCGTGGCTCTAAGATGTGAATTCTCTCTAGGCTTTTTCTGATCTTTGTAACAAAGATATCTCAACTGCAGTTCCTCGGTTCCTTTCCCCAGACGACTAACGCTGTCTCATCGAACCAATCCGTCGAGTTCTCCGCAGAAGACGACCTTGACCTCGCGTTATACTATCTTCGTACCCTGTCCAATGTATTTCGGTGGGCACCAGATGCATTCTGGGGGGTTTTGGCAACAAGGACAATCGAGGAACCAGGTCAAGTTTTGATAAACATCGGTGAGTCTTGGTATTCCCACATCTGGATTCCAACCCGTCTGCTAATCATTCTCAGCCGGCACTGAGGGCCCCTTCTCCCTACAGGAATTCTTCCTGCGCGTCTGCATGCGGTGCATTGCTGGGAACCAATTTCCAAGCGACAGCAAATTGCAGCTCCGAGCCACTCAGCTCCATCGCTGCGCCTTAAGTTTCCTTCATCAGATCCTACTCAATCCGTACGCGGAGGGGTTGTCGCGTCTAAAACTAGAAGACACCTTGGTCGACAGACTTGCCCAATCTCTTGATGGACCGGACCCGTATGTTCAAGTCTTACTTCTAGATGTCGTGTTCGCCTCACTGCGGCTGCGGAATACGTCACTCCCGGAACTGCCATCATCGCCGATCGGAGAGAAGCGGTCGCTAAACCACCCGTCCGGGACCGCGAGGCTGTCTGCTGGTTCGGTAGACCGCGCCCCGGACGCCGCGACGCCTCCAACGCTGCTCAAATGTATCCAAGCCGGCCTCAGCTCCCACAGTAGCCGGCCCGTACTGGACAGTTGGGTGGGCTTCCTTGCGGAGTGTCTGCCCCTGTATTCGGATTCCATTTTCCAAATTCTCATACCTCTGGTAGAAACCCTCTGCAGCCAAATTGCCGCCGCGTTCGGCAACCTCCAGACCACGTTCAAGGATAACGGAAAGCCGTCAGAGAAACTAAACGCCCCAGAGTCCACATTGATATCGTTGCTCAATGCCCTCGAGCAAGTTCTTGCCAAGGCGCATGACCAATTGATCATTACAGAGGCGAAGGCTCAGGTGACTAAGAGCCCCGAGCAGCCTCAGGGATTCTTCGGGAACATGGTGTCGGGAGTATTCAATTCGGACACCCCGCAATCTCGGAGCGCGACCGCAAACGACCGGCTAACTGTCCTACTCGCCTTCCAAGACGCGGTCCGCATGTGCTTCAAGATCTGGTCCTGGGGACAGGGTGGCGAAGCTAATAGTCAGGATGCCGATTCGGTTTCCTCGTTCAACTACACGTCGCTGCGTATGAGAAATCGTGCTAGGCGCCTGTTGGAGCACGTATTTGCCGCCGAAGCTCTCGAGTGTTTAGAAACGGTGGTCGACATATGGAGAGCCTCTCTTGCCGACCCGGATACGACGAAGCGCTCCGAAATATTCAATTTATTACCCGCCCTAGACGGTTCCCGGCCAAAGCACACCATCCCTGCCATCTTCAATGCCATATATAGTCGTACTAACCCTGGCGCACTAGACCCGTCTAGAAAGTCGACATTAACTATCTCGTTGCAGGACACCGACCTAGTGACTTTCCTAGTAGATTATGCCCGTTCCCTCGAGGATGATGCCATGGATGAGATTTGGCAAGATTGCATGACCTTCCTCAAAGACCTGTTGGGCAACCCCTTCCCGCACAGGCAAACGCTCCCGAGTCTCCTGGAATTCGCGGCGATTCTAGGCGAGAAGGTGGACAATACCAATTTCGGGGAGCAGAAGAGGATGCGTAGGGAGCTCGGGGTATGTATTCCGTGATTCCTGCCTGCCTCACCAATCGCTAATTCTCGGTCAGGATCTCTTTCTGCGTCTGCTCACTGCGCTCTTCACCACTCGGCCGGCGTCCTTCACGGATACGTACTCGTCGCAATCTGAGAAACCCAAATCACTGGGCAACCTCTCGTCGGCGGATAGAGCGGACGATGTCGTCGGTATTCTTGCAAACATGGCCCCTGATCTGCCCAAAATCCTCGTCGAGTCAGATCGCGTCCTAGCCGCTGCAGGGGCGATTTCGGCCAACGTCATCGGACCAGCAATCCGCTCGAAAGCCTTCCCCGAGACTTTCTCAATAAGTATGGTGACTCTCCTTCAGGAGTTAACAAGGCTTCCCAACAACCAGAAGACTTGGAAGAAGGATATCGGGGATGTCTTCAACGACTCGAGGTTCTTTAGCTCTCCTGTTGCTTTAGTGGAGAGCCACTGGTTACCTTTGTTAAAACTTTGGACGATTACGGACAAGGACCGAATGCAGGAGATCCTAAGCAGATTGACGCCGCCTACGACAGCTGGCATCGTATTTGGAGTCGGCGCCACCTCGGCAAGGCTGGAAGCAGACCGCAAAACACAGCTCAACCTCCGCCGCGTCGCGGTGCTAGTTCTCGCGTGCGACTCGGACACTTTCGTCACAGATCTCCCACCTATCCTAGAGCGCATCGTCGAGCTCTTGGCAGCGACCTCTACCTCGTCGCCGTCATCGACCACTCGCGGGGACATATATATGGTCATCCGCGCCCTAATTCTCCGCACATCGGCCATCCACCTCGCACCCCTGTGGCCGACCGTGGACGCGGAACTTCACGCGGCCATATCTTCCGTCGCCGCGCCAGACGATAGCCCCGCTGTAGATACCTTTAACAACACATCCATCCTCCAAGCCTGCAAGCTCCTAGACGTGCTAATCGCGGCAGCGCCGGACGACTTCCAGCTGCATCAGTGGCTCTTCGTGACGGACACCATCGACGCCATCTACCGATCGTCGAGCTACCAACCGATCGCTCTCGTCGACGAGCTGTCCGAGGAGCTCGGGAACGCCAGGCTCGTGTCGGACTCGGGGGCTCTCCAGACCGAGTCAGCAGCGTCCGCATCGGCGCTGGCGGCCGCCAGCGGGTCGTCGTCGCCGTCGTCGGCGGCGGCGGCGGCGCCTTCGTCGGACGCACCACCGCAGCGAAAACCCCTCCTCGGCGGCCCGGGCGGGATCGACGACGAGCTCGCGGCCGACCGCCGGGACGAGCTCGTGCGCAAAGTCCTGCGGCCCTTCTTCGGGCAGCTGAGCATCCACGCGTTCGAGTCGACGTACGCGATGGGCGCGCTCGACGCCGAGACGTGCGTCGCGGACCTGCTGAGGGACCTGTTCGACGAGCGCACCATCGTCAAGGCGCTGTAGCGGGGGGAGTAAGAGGGAGAAGGAAGAGAGAGAGAGAGAAAAAAGGGGTGGGGGAGGGGAGGGGAGGAGAGGGGGGCGATGAGAAGATAAGAAAAGGTAACGGAACGTGACGGAACGTAGACGAGGTTTTTCGCGACGGAGAAAGATAGGTCGGATGGGCGAGTACACAAGGAAGCAGGCTGGCTGGCAACCCCGGCCCGGAGACTGGGCGGGGAGGTACGAGGATAGAGCTAGCGCAGCACGGGCACGCGTGCTGACGTTCCCAGCGGGCAAATGCCGTCCGCTTGCCAAAATATAAGATGAATCCCTAGACGACGAAGCCGTCTTGTGCGTGTGTGTGATGCGGTGACGATCGGAACTCGAGGCTGGTTACGAAGGCGGTAGGGGGAGCAGACTGCTGCTCTCCGGACATACCTACCACAAACACGGCGAAACCTCGAGCGGCGAACAGGAAAGTAGGTACATATACACACATATATATACGCGTGCGGGCCCGGCGGCCTCTACCAGCCGCCGTAAGCCTCGCAGTGCTACCTCTCCGAGGCTACGCCGGTATCTTAGGGGGGCCCATCTGTCTCTACTCTACAGGTATGAACCTCCCTAGTACGTGCAGCAGCAGCCTACTGCGCCTCTCGACGCGCGCGGCGGTTCACCACCCCCCGGCGGCAGCGACGGCGGCGCCGGCGCTCTTGGGCGGCGGCCTGGGCCGGCCGAGCACGCGCAGCACGGCGTCCTCGAAGGCGGAGCGGGCGACGGCGGCGCCGAAGTGGGGGCACGTGACGCGGGGCGCGAGCTGCGCGCGCAGCGCGTCCATGCGCGCCGCGTCCGCCACCGCCGCGCCGCCGTACCGCCGCGCCACCTCGAACCACGCCTGCACCGGCGCCAGCTCCTCCTCGCCCTCCCCCCCCTCTTCCTCCGGGTCCCACACGTCCTCCATCTCTGCGTCGTCGTCGTCGTCGTCGTCGAGATCGTCGCCCGCTAGCGAGGCCGAGGCTGGCGCGCCCTGCTGCCCGTCGCTCAGGGTGTGCGCGTGTCCGAGAGGATGGCGGGGGTAGGGGTGGGGGTTGGGGTTGTCCCAGGTTTGGCTCCTGCCCCTCAGCTGCTGCTGGTGGTGCTGGTGCTGGTGGGCCTTGCTGCTGCCCCGGCGCCGCGGGTTCAGCGCCGACGCGAGCCCGTACAGGTTCGCGAGCGTGAGGCCCGGGTCGCCGGCGGGCGTCTGCCAGGAGGCGAGCACGTTTTCGCTGCCGTCGGCGTTGAGGAGCGTGTGGCCGCCGCCCGTTCGTAGCCCTTGCTTGGCCGTGTCTATGCGCGCGAACGCGGCCGGGGGCGCGCTCTGCAGCGCGATCGCGCTCGCCATGAGCGCGTGCCCGTGGGCCGGCGCCGACGCGTCGTAGTCCTGATATGCGAAGTACGAGGGCCCGAAGTGTTCCCAGCAGACGTGCTCGAGCCTGGGGATCCTATTAGTGCGGAGGCGTAGGGGGGGGCAAGCTTGCGTGTATGTGCGAATTGGGTATGCGGAGAGCGCTGGGGAAAGAGGGGGGAGAAAGGAGGTAAGAGGATAGGTAGATAGGGGAAACTGGAAGCCGCAGAAAATTGAATAGAAACTAGACTCGTACCCTAGAATGAAATTGATAGCATGGTCGACCTGCGCCTCTGACAGAGACGTTACCTCGCCTAGATCCACGCCTACATCGAACCCGGCCCCACTCCAGGACGGTGGTAACGACGACGGCGCCGGTGACGGGCCCCGCGCCGCCGCCCCCACGTGTGCGGGCGTCCTCGTCACCTTGAACGACGGCGTGACCATGCCCGGGGATACGCTGAGTCGGACGGTGTAACCTGGCGCGTGTTGAGGCGAGGCTATAGGCGCGTCCGCCGTCGGGAAACTGAAGGTTCCGCTGGCAAAAGCGCTTGTCGTCGCAGCAGCCGCGGTAGCCGCAGTGCTGGCAGAAGCAGTCGGGATGGGAGGCAGGGGCATCGACGGGGGGGGAAGTGCCGAGGGGAGGTAGGAGGATGAGGAAGGCGAAGCGCCGGCGAGCCGCGCGGTCGCGAGGCGGCGACGGATGGCGTCGTTCTCGGCCTTGAGCGCGAGGGTGTCGCGCTCGGCAACGTCGATCAGGTCGCGCAGCCTGACGACGTCCATCTCGAGCTGCTTCGTGTAGTTGGCCTTGCGCTGGCGGTGCTGGGCTTGGGCCTTGCGGACCTGGGCCCGGCGCGCCTGGACCCGGGCCTGCGCGCTGCTGCTGTTGTTGCCGCTGCTGCTGTTGCCACCGCCTGCGCTGAGGTCCGCCTCCTCGTCTTCCTCGACCGCCTCTTCGCTCTCAGCCGACTTCTGCCGGTTGCGACGGTGTCTCCGGCCGTCCTTGCTCCCAAGGCCTAGACACACGACCCAAGTATTAGTTTTTTCGCGGTTGTCTGGAGGGGAGAGAGCGGAGGGAAGAAGTGCGAAGAAAGACGCCAGTAGTTAGCTGGATAGTCAGGCGATAGGGCAGCGCACGGGGAAAAAGACGCGAGGAGGGAAGGGGAAGCGCAAGCGTATCGCGGCACGAGCGAAATGGCTGAGCTCGCGGTTGGGACTGGGCTCGACGGGACGAGCGATCATGCCCGTTCTAATGGCCGATGCCGACGGTGTCGCTAGCCACGTCCCGCGCGGGGCGCAAGGATGAGGCGTCCACAACCAACTTGTGCTCGTTTCACGTCGCCCATCTGAGCTCAATGATTCCTCATGATGCAATTTCTCGTTGCCTAACCGATACCACGGTGGCCGCTTGGCACGCCGCCCTTCAGCCCTACCCTACCCTACCACTGCGACGAGCGACTCCAGGGCGCCAGCTTCAGCCGAGGAAAGGCGAAGCGCACGGCAGGCGGGTGTCTCAATCGGGGAAGAGGTGGTGCTCCCGGTCTTGGGCATGACAGGTAGCCATCGGCATCGCATCACATACCTAGGTGTCCCTGATTGCTCGACACAAATGTGATTCGCCGCGTGGCCGCCTCCTTGGTGCGCTTCCAATAGTCGGTAAAGGAGGGCCGCGAGCTTCCGCTTCCGGCGTTGGGGTCGTCTGCAGCAGCCGAGGTGCCATTCGCCGGCTCGCCCTCCAATGAAGAGTCGGCCATGCTTGTTTTAAGTGTTCCGGTGCGAGCAACGGGCGGGCCGGGTAGGCGGGTTAAGCCAGCTAGCAGTCGGTTGGTATGCGAGCACGCCTCGAAAGAGTTGGCGACATGGTAACGACAGATGTAACGACAGATAGGCAATATTTTTTACCCGGGGTAGGGATGCGAGTTATACGATGGGGCGGTACGCTAAGGTAGCAGTGGATGAGCGAAGGAAACGGGGGGGCAGACAACAGCCCCCCGGGCCCAGGGCTTATCGACTCCTTCGTCGATGCTGGCGCAGACGCTGGGTGCCGTGCGGCTGTGAGCGAGTCAGAAGCAGAAGACGACGAGCGCGCGGTGATCCGCCGGTGCTGCAGCAGCATCGACAATTTGAAATCGCGCCGCCCCATTTTAGCGCATACCTCCTTATAGAGATTAGGAAGAGTTACCTAGGGTAAGTTAGTTACCCTCGACAAAACTTACTGCCCGCAAGTCCCTACACTAGGCACCCCCATATAATGGGTACCTCCGCCCTCTCGAAGCCGCATGTCCCCCATGTGACAATCCCTCTCGAGTTACCCACTTAACGTGGGTAGGTACCTGAGCGGAGAGAAGAGGCTGGGGACAAGAGGCCGGAGAGAGATACAGACTCGCCTACACAGCTCAATACAAGGGGCAGGGCGCCGGCGTGAGATCCCCGGTGATTATTGCGTTGGTTCTGCAAAAAGTCTTCATTCAGCAGATAAACACCTACGCCATGCCAGAATCCCCCCCCAAAACACAGCTATCCCCCCCTTCCCTTCTTCTTGCTTTTGTGCCAACCACCAAAACCTCGACGCCAGTTCCATGCAGGGATGAAGAAAGGGAGAAAAGCAAATACGTCTTCGTCCGGCTGCTCATTCATCTTCTCCGTTCTCGCTGTCCGTGGCCGTGCCCTCTTCGACATCCGCCTCCTCGTCATCTTGATCGTCTCCGCCGCTGTCCGAGTCCTGCTCGTCCTGGTTGAGGCCCGGTATCGGCCGCCACACGAGGTAGTCCTCTTCCACCCACCGCTTGCTCAGGGGGAGCTGGTACGGGTCGAATGGGAAGAAGGACCCGAGCCGCTGCCAGCTCTCGTCGTTCATGTCGAACGACAGGTCCCGCAGCGCCCCTCCGCTCGAGTACGTCCCGGCCGAGAACTGAGACAGCCGGAGGCGCTTATTCGACTCTATGAGCGGGTACACGTACATGAACCGGAACCGGTGCGCCAGCCTCGCGAACTGGTCGACGATGACGGGAGAGCACACCTTGAGTGGGTTCAGTTTCGAATAGATGTTGCGTCTCATGATGTCCTTGATTTCCGGTTCCCACTCGATCTCCTGATCCAAATACGACGCGAGGTCGTCCTCGTCAACCTCGTCCGGCACCGAGCTGATGAGGTCCTGCCACCGAAAGCAGAAGATGTACATCAGCGCCTGCATCAGCGCGTAAAACGGCGCGTATCTGCACACGTCCGGGCCGCGGCACGATGTCTCGTACAGGGACCGCATTCGGTCCAGGTGATACCCGAGCACCTCGAAAATCTTGATGACGATGTGGCCAGGCACGTGGGCTCCGCGGGCGACGAAACTCGCGAGGTAGGCGGAGGCCGCTTGCTGTAGAATCAGAGGGCGGTGCGACTCGAAAGCGATGTTGATGCAGGTACCGCAGAACGCGTCCATGAGCCGCTCAGATTTTTGGCCAAAGTGGAATATGAGGAACTGCGTGTGTCGCGACTTGATCGTGGGCAAGATGAAGTCTGAAAATTCCGATAGCAGGTCTCGGAATGCCTCGAGAGCCTCGTCCGACTGTGGGTCGGCGAATGTGGGTGTGTAGAGCTCGAAAAGGGTATCTAGAATCGAATCCATCTTCTCAATATTATCCCTGGCTAGTTTGACGCGCGTGTTCTCTTCCTCCGAGTCGCCGCTATGCACCGATTCCGTGTCGCTTTCAGACAGGTCCTCTTCATCATCGTCACCATTAGCACGAGAAGACTTCAAGGAAATCGCAACCATTGCAGTGAGTCTATCGTCCATGTCGTCGAGGTCCATCTGCATTTCCACGTCTATCTTGACCAGCCGGCTGATGATCAGATCCATTATGTCGGTCGCCAGATCGGGACAATAACTTCGTAACCTCAAGAGGTTGTCGACATAGGCCAGGTGCATCCGCTTGGACTCGTCGTGGAAAGGATATTTGGTGCCGATAAGGTGTTCGAGGACGGATTTAGCCGCAGGAAATAATTGTAATATGTATCGCAATGCAACGTGCAACCTCTCCTGCACCACTTCCCGGCTGACGTCCGGATAGCTAGGCACGGCCCAGTCGGATGGGCGAGAGTCGACGAATCTTTCAGTGATGGACGACAGAACCTGCGTGAGGCGGGCACCTTGCGCGCTGACGAGAGCGGCGAGAAACTGAACGTAAATCTTGGCGAAACTTTCGTCTCGGCCGAGCCACCGGCACTGGAGGACGCTCTTGACAAGGCCGTCGCATGACCTTCCGAGACGAGGTGAAAAGGTACCGAGCGACATCAAGGAGATCTTAAGTTCTTGGCATTGCTTCGTCGGGAGGGCAGGATCCGCGTCCTCGTCCTCGTCGTCCTCGTATGACGGTTCCTTCCCAGATAGCGTCTCTTTCAACATGTCATAATCCTCATCGTCGCCGCGGTCGTGGCGGTCCAAGGCTCTCCTAATCTCGCGCTTGATCTCCTCGACGGATCGCGTGCCGACCTCGTGAATCTCGGTGATGTTTAGATCGAACTCAACCCTCTGGCGCTTGCGCGGGCTCTGCGGGGTGCCCATATTGCCGTCGAGGTCGAGGCCAGCATCTTGACTGGATCTTGCGGTGCCGACCAAAGCCGACGATGACGACGACTTGAGGATGGGTCTGAGTGGTGTGGAGGCCTTCGCCGCGGCCCGAGAGAGTTGCGGGGTGGAGCTTGTAACTGGGGACATCGGTGTGTCGTCAGATGTCGGCAAGCGCAGATGTCTACAAGTCCGCCGTATTCCGTATCCAGGTGGAGGTTAACTTAATTAAACAATGCCGCCGCATGCTGTGATGAGCGTTGCGGTGAAGAGTCTACGAGCTACGATGACAGCCGGGCGCGAAGGAGGGACGAGGATCGAGCGGATGGAGAGGCAGAGAAGAAAAATCACAACGTGCAAAAATTCGCAACGCATCCCAATGAATGATGTCCCACGTCCCCCCTTAAAACAACAGGGGTCTCCCCACAATCCGAAAAGGCTGGCCCCAGCAACCACTCATATTACCTAATAGCCCTCGCTACGTACTTGCGTCATAGACCCGTTCTATTAATAAGCTCCCACGACCTCACCTCACCTTGCCTCACCTCACCTCACCTAATCTCACCTGGCCTAACCTAACCCAACCTGACCCAACCCAACCCCGATGCTGCAGGAGGTCATGTGCGTGACGTACCCGACCAGGAGGTGGATTAGATAAGGTCAGGTACGTCACCTATATTACCTACCCGAGGTCCTTGGGAGGCGCCTTAGCTTCGTCACATCAGGTACCTCCCACCTCGCACTCGTGATAGTTCACTTCATTTTTAAACGTGCCAGAGACACCTAAGGTATTTATCAGCAATTCCATCGCCGTACAGGTACCTACCTTGGTGGGCTTCCAAGAGGTCCCGCTCTAAGAGGTACCTACATCTACAAAAGACAGAGAGAAGACACATTCAACTCTACCTCAGCTCGGAGCTCGAAGGGATGTAGGTGGTGTAGGCACGATTCTTGGACTCGATGAGATGGTGCTGTATAATGTGTGTGCTAGACTGCTCTAGGCATTGGACTGGTCGCCGATGCTGATGAAGAGAGAACATAACTGCCGAACTGTATATAAAATTTAATAAAAAAAAACTCAACGCGTCGTCTCGGGACTGAATAAAGGGATGAACGCCTCGGGGAATCTATCAAAGGCAAAAGTGCAGAACCAATTCCCTTTTCTCAATGTTCTTAAATGTCCTCCATCGCCATCCGTCTCGGGTCTGTCATATACAGGCGCGGGCAGGGGAAAACTCAAATCAAAACAATAACCCGTGTTCATCCCTGGCCCGAAAAAGGTTTCCGTCTTTGGTCCGCCCCGCTCACTGCTTGCGTCCTCGTAATCCCAATACTTATACATACTTGAATGTAGTATGAAACACCGCATAATATCGCCACTAGCCCCCCCCCCCCCCTCTTGCGCCAGCCAGGCTGCTGTCAGTTCGGCTCTGCCATCGCGCCTACGGCCGGCGGGTGGGACACTCTCAGTAGGTCTCGCCGGCGGCGCCGTTGTGGCTGGGCTGAGAGTAAATGTAACCTTCACCTGGTTCGCTGATGCCGCCGGCCCCGTCGCCTGCTTGGAAGCCCGAGGTTCCCACGGCACCCGATCCGCCAGGCGCGCCAGCTCCGTACCCCTGGCTATTGGGTCGGTTCTGCTGGTTTTCACCCCGGTTCGACTGGGACTGCTGTGACTAGTTAGCACGGCCCGTGTGCGAGACGAGGACCCGGCCGGCCAGAGAGCAGACGATATACGGGTCTAGGGGGGAGCAAGCAAGAGGTGGGGGGAGGGGGGGTTGTGACGAGAGAGTTATGCGAATACGCAAAAAGATTAAAAATTAATAAAAGATAAATAAAACCCGTACTTCTCGGTACTTGGACAAGTAGATCTTGAGGGCTTCGGCGTAGTTCTCGAACCCCAGGGACGTCATCGCGAACAGGATGTCCTCGCCATTAACAGTCTTCCTCTTCTCTTGGTGGCATTTCTCCGACGCTGTGCACGGTGTCAGCCTTCGCCTATCCTCGGGGAACCGGAGGATCAGCAGCTGGCGGAATTACCGGCTGGGGAGGGGGGATCGTCTCTCACCTTCGCTCGTGATAAAGGAGATGAACTCGCTCACGCATTCCTGCATGCACTCCTTGGCCTCCTTTGCGATCTTCGCATTCTCGGGCAAGGCCGTCTTCATGATCCGGGCAACTGGAGCAAAGTTCCGTATGTTAGCATCATAGAGATCAAACTTGTCAGCCTTGGAGGCGCGAGGCGCTCCCGGCGACCGGGACGACGAATCGTGGGACATGGGCGCCTTCGGCCGATGCGCGGCTGACTCGAGCTAGGAGGGCATCAAGCACCAATTGACGGACGCGCGGCGCGCTCAGCAGCAGCAGCAGCAGCAGCAGCAGCAGCAGCAGCAGCAGCAGCAGCTCCGCCGAGCCGATGCCCTCTCTCTCTCGCTCTGGCTCCGGCTCTGGCTCTCGCTCTCTCTCGCTGTCTCTCTCGACCGATCGAAGCTTGCGGCGCAGGACCCAGAAGCGGACTTGGGGCGCACCAAATCAGAGACAAGAGCCTGGAGAGGGTCTCTACTCACCATTGGCTATGGGCAACCACCGGTCCTGCTCTTTTACCTCGAATTCATAGGCGAGGCCAGAGGCGTGTGGGTCCTGAGGGTCGTTCATTTGTGCTTCATCGTCGGGTGACTGTACACCTGGCTCGACGTCCTTTGGAGGGGATTGGGGGGAATCCGACATATTTGGCTACCTGCAGCGGGTGGTAGCTTCTTGTAAAATTTTCTTGGACTGCCAGCTCGCACAGCTGGTTACAAGGTAGAGAGATGATGTGTCCCTGCCTCTGACACGTTGCAAGTGGTAGGGCTTGCAAGTGAGCGCGGCTTAGCTGCAGACGGATGCGTCAATCCTGCCCTATCGCGCGGGTCCCGGAATTACGACCTGGAGCTATTTACTACGCGCGGGTCGAGCGTCCCGTCGGTAAGCCCTGTCGAGACGGCCGGGCTATGACGGAATCTGCAGCGGTGGCAGCGATAGCGTGTGAGCGAGCGAGAGAGCGTGTGCGTGTGTGTGCGTGTGTGAGTGTGAGTGTGCGAGTGTGCGAGGATGTGTGTGTGTATGCGTGTGCGTGGGCGTGTGTGCGTGTGTGCGTGCGTGGGCGTGGGCGTGTCCTGGGATGGGATGGGATGGGATGGGATGGGATGACACGGGATAGGATAGGACGGGATGCGTATGCAGCGAGCCCTGGGTTCTGGGTAGAGTGCAGAGCAACCGTAGCGGGGTGCACAGTAGTAGCAGCGCGCGTAGTGTTGCGTGTGTGCGCGAAGTTGTAGTTCGGCTGGGTTGTTGGTGTTGACCGTGTTATTGGGTGGTGTATGCTATTCCCGAATATGGCGGACGGTACAAGGCGGACGTGACTTGGGTGTGGAGGGAGACGAGTGGACGGATGGGAGGTGGGAGGATTGGGACAGGATGGGAACAGCGAGAGTGGATTCCGCGATCTGGGTAGACATGTACAGAGGTACCCCTGCCTGGGTACCTACAGGCAGGTACCTACCTGGTACTTCAGGTACCTCTCACTGATCTGTCCCGGGTCCAGAGTACGAGGGTACGTACGGCTGACGCTGGATGTCGGTCGAGGCTAAGAGCGGGCATTTTTCTACGGGGGCCCTCGCTTGACTTTCTCTTTCTCTTTCTCCTTTTTATTTATTTATCTTTTCAATTTTAAATTTGTAATATTTAAATAATTTTATAAATTCAAGGTATCTTATTAGTTAGCTTTCTATTAACTCATAACTGCCGTAATACTTGTTTATTTACTTATCATAATATATATTTTTTTATACTTATTATAACGTTTACCTTTTTACCTATTAGATAACCTGTTTATTTACCTATAAAAGAACTATATAAAAGCTTGTTATTTCGCAGTTCTAGAACCTAGACCTCCTCATAATTAATCAGAAGTTTAAGTTTAGTTTTTAATACTTTATATACCTTTAAATAACTAATTATAAAGCAACAGAAGTGAGCTTTACTAAAACGCATAACCTTTTAAAAAATTAACTGTTTTTTATAAGTCCTTTTCTATTTTTTTTTCCGTTAAAAATTTTTTTTTCAACGAAGAATGTGAAGAGGCTGTAAATCCTGAACGCCATCAAGGATTGTGTTATCAGGGATGGCAGGGGGAGAACCGCTGCCTCCTCCTCGATTCCTCTCCTCTGTCTCTATGTACCTTCTAGTAAGAGGTAATCGGCAACCCCCCCGTCTCGTCCTCGTCCCCTCTAGCGCACCGGACGGCGGCTACGCTGCCAGTCTACAGCGAGATCGCCTTGCTGCAGTGTGATTTAAGCCATGTAGGTACCTGTACGAGACCGGATGGGATAAGATGAGACGCCGGTACTGTATAGCATTCCCACAGGGAGGTAGCATCGGTACGTGGGGAGCGGGAGGATGGCATCTCCTCCCCGTCCGCAATTCGGGATACCTGAGATATGTGCCCAGCCGGCGACGGCAATGGACAACTGCAGCCGCCCTATCGACTCTGCTACTTGTTGCTTGTTCGAGGGTCTGTCGTGTGGATGGCCCGTACGAGGGAGGGCGTGTGCCTAGCGACCAGCACCGGGTTACACCGGCGGATTCGACTGCACCGGCAGCGCTGTTGTCTCGATGTGGCTGAACCGATGGGGGAGTTGGCGACTCGGAGAGCTCGACTTGCCATCGACGAACAACAATTCAGACACCGACTGGGGGCCGTTTTCTGGAAAAATCCAGCTCGATGCACGAAAGTGGGTATCGTCTGGCTGGCTGCATAACGTGTTATCAGCACGGCATGCAAATTTGATGGCATTCACATCACGAGCCTCTTAGGCCGAGTCCCTGCGGTGCCCGGGCCTGCTATAACCAGCCAAGCTATACTGCCATTCTTGCCATGACCGCGCCGCTTCCCAGATCTTCGGCCCGTTGGAGAAGTCGATACGTAGCTACCTCCCACCCAACGTCTGCAGGAGGTAGATGAAGGATGAAGAGTACGCGTTTGGTCTTTTCCCGGTACCTATCCGAGGGTTGCTGCAATAGTAGGTATTTACCTGCCAGGAGTGAGGTTAACTCCCGCGCTGTCTCGAGTATGTGGCGAGTTGAAATACGCACCAACAAAGCATCCACGGTTGAGCTGGTACGCAGCATCGATTCGACAACTTGCCACGGAAAATCTGTAAAATTTGCTCTAGGTACCTTCTTCTCTTCCCGGGTCGAGACAGCGGAAGGCCTACTACAGGGGACAAGAATAAGCACACGTCTCGGTATGCAGGGTCTCTGCAACCCAAGTCAGGCGGCCACCCAGAAATAGGCAGAGCCGATGAATCGACATGCTGGCTAGATGACATGTAAGTATCTGGTTAGGGAGGCATGGATGGAGGTAGTGCGGTAGGGCAGTAGGGCGACAGGCAACCCATGCAGAGTGACGGGCAGACTGGGAAGACGGGAGAGAAGCAGAGACAGGCCAGGTAGGGAGAGAGGCGGCCAACTGCCCCTTCATCGAGCCTGCAGTCCCGACTTGCCGCCTACCTCGCAGTCACGTGAGGGGTAACGGGCAAATCGCCTACGTAAATGAAGACCGGTCAGGATAGCATGGCAGAATATTGGCTGTTTAATAATAGATTGAAATTTGGGTTATTTCCTGCGTTAATGAGAGCTGGCTGGGCATGGATCTATGCCTGTCGATTCGAGGTAACCATATTGGTGGCAGCAACCTCCACGAGCAACCGGCCCCCTTTACGACATTACCTGCGTAACAACCTCCATCCCCGACGTCCTTAGGCGCCGGGCCTGTTTAGGTCGACTCGGTACGGGGGAAAGGCAGCACGCAGGGTGTCTCCCTCTCTAATACACACCCTACCTGCAACCGTAGACACCCTGGCTCTACATACCTTCTAACCTACCCACCTACGTACGCACGTCACTCCTTCTCGAGGCCGTTATTAAATGAACATCCGCGGATAATCTTAAAATTGGGAGTTGGGTTAGGTGAAATAGGCGTCGCGATATACAAGTGCTGTTAGTTATTCGTATTCCCGCGCTTCCGGACCCCCTTGCCCGCGAGTTAGGCCCCGAAATGCCAAAATGGAGGTCCAGTCATCTATAACAGTGAAGAGAACAGGATAGACGCCCCTCGCCCCTCTTAGATTCACATACGGGGATCGCTACCGCCCGCCAGATTGCTAGAGTCATGCCCCGTTGGTATCTAATTACACGGTCATCTTCTGCTCTCTTGTATCGTGGCCGTGAAAGCGGAGAGTGATACGACGTTGGGTATGAGTACACTCTTCTTGTAAGGCATTGGTCCGTCTAGAGAGGTGGGCTACGATAACGCCAGCTGGTCGAACCCGCTCCCCAAGCACGACAAAGCATCCTGCGGCGCCTCCTTTCACCGGTATGTTATAAAACTACACACCGACTAGGCTGAACTGCGTGCCCGAGCCAAGTGCCCAAAGACGGGGATTCCGCAGTTACTGCCACTCGCTCGTGTCCTCGTCCGTTCGGCCCCAACACCCTCGGCAACCACCACATCTTCATCACTGCCCAAGCCTTCCCACCGCCGTGGTCGGCACGGCAGGCACCCGTGGAAGTATGCTCACCTACCACAGAAGAACGACTCTGGATGGAGGGGGACGGAGTGGAAGGGGGTTGACAGATAATCTGACAAGTCTTGGATAAGATAACCGGCTAGCGTCTGTGTCTACCCGTAAGGAACAGGGAGAGCAGCCTAGTCAATGGTTCCCGCTGTAGGAAAACTACGGCGTACGTTTGGGTGACGACCAAGGCATATACGACAGCCTAGGTGATGACTGGTCCCCAGACCTCGCACTAGGTTCGTATTAACATGCTAGATCGGCCAATTGTGGAATTCAGTTGGCGGTTGCGGCCGTGATTGGAACTCGGGTCTAGAATTCTACTCAAAGGGCTCTTCTCCCTTCACCCCCCTCCCTCCCGTGGGTGGAGAAGAAATCGAAAGATTTCCAGTGACTCTCGCCCCTATATCGCTGCCATCCTTCCTCCTATCCTAGTCAGCTGTCGAGCCGAGCTCTTTATTTTTGCTTGGCTGGCCAATCCTTCAATGTCTGGCGTGACATATGACTTTACGACCGCGGCCGCAACCCGTACACCTGAGGCCTCTCGTACCAAACTCGCATTGAGACCTGCCGGCATGCATGTTGTATGCGGCCCAACTATGTCCCACGAACCTACGTACATGGATCATGATACATTCAGACCCCGTGGGTGCCCAATCGTCGGAAGCATACCGGAAGCTTTAGCCGTCACATCTGCTACTCTCGATGATATCTCGCCCCTTGCCTCTCCAAAGCTCACTCTAGGAGGCACTAGTATGAGAGTTACCACTACCGTGGGAAAGCAATCCATTGGCGATCTACACGTACCTCAACTGTTAGCTCTAAAGCTTGCCATACTGTCCGGCTCAGAACGGGAGAGAGAGGGGGGGGATACTTCCCCTCCCTACGTGATCCCAGATCAATGCTCCTGCGGACACTTTTGGGCAGAAGTGCAGCCGCGGAGGCCTACAAGTACTGGTAGGAAGCCCCCAAGACCGGTCGCTTCAAGATCTACCCCCTTTCGCTTTACTAGGCCGCCCAGGAATCCTGTACACACCATACTAACGCATCATGGAGCCTGCTGCAGACGGCGAGGAGCCGGCCTAGATTTGTGACTGGGATCGCAATACATAGTCTATCCTCACTCCCCTCCATGAACCGATGATATGCATGCCCCGGTTGTATGAATGGCAGTCTACTTATCAGTTGAGCAGGTCGGCCGATGCTCCTGTTTCAGGCAGGCTGATCGCTGTCATCAAAGACACGTTGTCACTCAACCCCGAACATCGCCGGCTGCTCCATGAAGGTCGTCATGTGGCAGGTGGAGCTAGAAACGCGCGCTCGAGACCCCGCCCTCCCTTCGGAACAACTGCCGACAAACGAAGTTGACGGTCGCTCACGATCCTTTCTCCATTTTGGGCTGTTTAGCACGGTGCGAGGAGGCGATGCCAACAGAAAGATTTTCTTTTCATCAAAGAGCGCCTCACGGGCACATAGACAACGTAAGCCGCCCTACTCGATCGGATCACCGACAGCCAGTCAGACCAGCCACTCGCTTCCGCGGGTCGTCCTCGAATGAGTACCGCCGGCAGGTCGTGGACTCTGACGACCTCGATGAAAGTCTGCCGTTGGGCACTGAGACGCCCTTGACGACGCTGGGCTCCACTGCCTGCAGCTGCGATTTTGTACAACGCATCAATAGCATCATCCCCCCCCTTTCCCTTTCTCTCTTGATATTGTTCTGCCTTGCCAGCAGCAGGAGGCGAGGGCCATATGGTACCATCTCGTCATCTTGATGCCGTGCAACAAAGTGATTTCGGTCTGATCTCGATCGTGTGTCTCTAAACAAGAATCACGACGTCCAAACGCAAATTCCCGCAGACAAGCCGTACTCGGATACCTTCTAACACGAAAATCATCAAACGGGCTACCTTGAGATATCTGTTCTTCGAGAGCATCGAGGGCCCTTGCCCGCTGTGCTGTAAATATAACGAAAATCCCAGGATCCACATCCCTTTGGGCTTCGGGCGTTCGAGTTGCGTCATGACTGAACCACCTGAATATTGTTCTTCTTCTGCATGGGCGATAGTATGTAAGTTGCCCATTTTTGTGATCGGAGATGGGTGGGGTAAGTAAAGGGGAGAGGGGTTGTGAGGTTCGAATTTCTCTCTCGGCAACCACAACCTACCTTCCACTTTTCTAGATCGTCTTGTTTCATTTTATACTGCTTGACCAGGTCGTCGAGGACTTTTTTCAAGCCCTCGGCGTTCGTCCGCAAAGCAGGAATCACGTCCTGGACGGTCCGCTCCACCAACACGCCGTTGACCATGCGGAAGCACTTGCGGTCCCCTGGGAGTGGTTCCAGGGTGTCGAGGACAAGCCTAGCATGACGAACTTGTCAGTGCATGGGCGGTGAGGGTTACAAAGCGAAGCGGTGAGGTTTGAGAGCAGATCTAGCCTATCCGCTAGAGAAGAAAGCCCCAGCACGGCTGAGGTACTCGGGGTGGGATGTCCGTTGCAGGGGTAATGTAAGGAGCACGAGACGATGCGACGGGAGAGGGTTGACGGACTTGTGCTCTTCAGCTTCTTGCTCGACATCGCCGATTTTCTGCGCCAGCTGCTGGAGCGTATTCTTGTAGTTCGAATACGTCGTCTGCAGCTCTAGGCCGGACATACCCAGACGGCCAGGTCAGTTGACGCTCTCCTTAGTGCCAAGGGGTGGTGGCGGGGGATCATCTCGATCGAGGACTCGCTCACCTTGTTGTTTCTTGGCCGATACGGTCTTAGACGCCATGGCGAGGGCGGGGGAGCGGGACGGCTAAGGAGGCAGGAGGTGAGATAGGACGAGGCCTTCAATCGAGACGGCCCAAAATTTGTGCGGCTTCGATGAGATGGACGTTGACTGGCGGTTTTCTGAAAAGCGACCAGATGTCAAGTCGGGGGCAGTAGGAAACTGGCGAATCCACCTACTACGTAGTGTGAATTCATTTAGTGGGGCCTCGCAGGGAGGCGGGAGCAACAAGGTGGTCCATGCGTCAGAAGTACCTCCCTCGCATAAATTGCCGGGGAAACTAGGACGAGGAACCTTTCGGCTGGGCTCGTCCCAAGTCGCCGCCGAGAGTGGGCCTGGGTCTTGTACATGTCGATTTTCCATGCGATAGGCGAAAAAGATCGTCAGTTCATCTTCCGCACCCGGTTGAACGCGGACTCGTTACCCATTGCTCGGATAGCGAACGCAGTTTCGTTTCGGCAACGTTCAATATGCATCCGCACTTACATACCAAGGACAACATCGGTACACATTCTCCCATTGCACGCCCGCCTACCTGCCCGTTTATCCCGCGTCCCTCGTATGCTAACGGATGCGATGGTTTGTAGCCTGCGAGGAGGTCATGACCGCCCTCGAAGAATGCCACGCCAGGGGTTTTCTTTGGAAGTCGCTGGGCATGTGCAGCGACGCCAAAAACCAAGTTACGCTATGCCTACGAGCGGAGCGACTGAAGCGCATTGCGCTGAACCGAGAGGCCGCCAAGGCCAAGCGCGAAAAGATCAAGAAGACTTGGGCGGATATTGACGAGAACTCGTGAGCAGGCCAAGGCATCTGCCGTTGGCCGGCGGCGGCGGCCTTCCTACCTATCTCCGATCTCTGGTAGTATAACGGCAAGGACCCGAGGAGCGCACGATATCGCATGGTATGGCGTTTCGAGAAGCATCAAAGTCTTCGGGGGGTTCGGGTTGGTCTGCAATGACGAGTACTTTCCAGAGCACACAGTCTGGTAACATTGACTTCATATTTCTATTCCTCTCCGACCACAACCCTGAGCTCAGCGTTACGAGACTTGCTCTGATCAGCGGCGGTGAGCCGCCAAGGAGTTTTGAGAGAAGTTTGCGACACCCATCCAAGCGATCTCGCCTACCACAAATAGGTCCCAAGTCGTCTTCATCTACGCCCTCCAGCCGGCTGGTCCCCCGCCGTCCTACGCCGAAAAACTCTTCCTGAACGCGTTGCCGAATGTGATCAGACCGAAGATGGAAACCAGGCTCAGTATGGTAGGAACCGGCTTTCCGCTGCGGAGGGCACGGGGGATCGACGCGCCGCCGAGCACGACTGAGGCGAGAAGGGCAAACTCTATGCCGTAGGGTTGGCGCGATTGCAGGCGGTATCCCCCGAGGCCGTCTGGCAAGCATCAGAATTAGCGCATAGACGGCACAAGACGCGAGCTGGGTAATAGTCTGCTGCAAGAAAGCCGTTACTTACATAGGACACCAACTGTCAACCCGGCCGCGATGGACGGCACCGAACCCGTCCTGACGTAGCCTATGGTCCCGCCGCTGGCGGTCAGGGCACCGAGGACATACGCGATTATTTCCAGAGACTGGGCGAAAGGGGGAGGTTAGCTGCGGATGCTATGACCGAACGCGCTGAGCGGATGACCTACCATTCTTTCTTGCTTTGGGAGGGGGCCAATTGGCTTTCTTTTATAAGACGTCGAGGGCTGCTGGCACTAGATTGAATCAAATCTCTATGGGCTTTCTCCGAGGTGATGTAGAGCGACAGGTGCAATAATTGAGAAGATGCCAGCCGCATGTCCTAGATATGTAGACGAATTCGGAGCACCGGTGGTCTCAAGCCGCGAGAAGGCCGAGGTGGGGCCTCAGGCAGTCCATGGCGATGACGCTAGACGTCTGTGCGGTGCAACCTCTTGGAAGCTGATTTGGTAAGCGCCTGGCTTTCGTTGCTGGAGTTGCTACGCGAATTTGTAATGTGGCTGAGGTACCATTTTCACGCCACAGAGGTACTCCAAAGTTCCTCCGTAGCTCTGTAGCTCCCGTCTGTAGCGTACCCCAGATGCTGTGAGCCTTCTGATTGGCCACGGCGTCGCAGCGATTAATTGGGCTTTTTGAAGCTTTCGTGTCCCTTTTTGCATACGCAATTCAGAGGGGAGAGAGAGAGAGAGCTCCCCAAACCTGCAACAACCCACCAGTCATTCTCGCGACGACTCCAGACCCAACCACCAGCAGCCCTCATCTTCTCCAATTCGCTGGCTGTGGCGCCAGACTATATATTGTGACGATGCCGCCCAAGAAGCCTGCTTCTGCCGCCGCCACTGCTTCTGCTTCTGCAGCTAGCACGACTGCTTCAACACCTACGTCTGCAGCAGCTCCTACTGCACCTCCTACCACCGGCAGTTCAGGGAAGGAGAAGTGGCTCTACACCGACCTTTACAACACTTACAGAGACAATACACCGCAGCGCACAAAGCTCGTTGACTTATTCATGATCTTCCTCGTTATTGTGGGCGCCTTGCAGTTTGTGTACTGCTTTGTCGGAGGCAATTATGTAGGTGGACCTGCCCGCTGACCCCAGGGGGTGAAGGACTGCCGCCCCAGATGGAATGCGCCATAAGCACCTGCTAACCTTTGTTCCTTCGGTCGATATCTACAGCCGTTCAATGCTTTCCTCTCAGGCTTCTCAGCTACCGTCGGCCAATTCGTCCTCACTGGTGTGTACCATATCTCATGTCCACCTCCGCTTTCCGTCCACTCTATCCACTACCTGTATGCGTGCGCAAGCGAGTATGGCGGAAGAGAGCCGGGCGTACCGCCAGGCAAATTACAGATCGCTGACTGTGGAGGGGAATAGCATCCCTGCGCGTCCAGACTGCCGAATCGAATAAGGACCAATTCCCATCTGTGTCACCAGAGAGGTAACGTCCCTACGCACCCTGCGAGGCCATGCCATATACAACGACACGACAAGACAGAACGGGCTGACAGATATCCATAGAGCTTTTGCCGATTATGTCGTCGGCAGCTTGATCCTGCACTTCTTCTGCGTCAACTTCATAAACTAGGCGAGCAAGGGGTATGTGGAGGGATCGAGATTTCCTAGGAGGAGAGGCAAAAGGCGCCCAGTCTGTGTATTTAGGAAGAAAAAAGGAATTCACGGCAAAATAGAGCCGGTACAAGGTAGCAAAAAGGCGTTCTCAGCCCCGGTGGTATATTGACGTAAAATCTATGCCCTCTCCAATGTGATGAACTCCAACTAGTCTACTTCGTCCTCTTCGTCGTCGTCGTCGTCATCCTCCTCATCGCTGACAGCTTTCTGCTCCTGAGCCTTCGGGGGGGGCGGCCCTGATGGTGGTGCCTTCGGAGGACCGCCGGTAGCCTTAGGGGGAGGCGGCGGTGGCGTCTTGGCAGTGGTTATATTCCCGTCTAGCTCCCTGCTCTTCTTCTCCTCTTCCGCCAAGTAATCGTCCATGAGCCTGTTAGGGGTGTGGCCGTGCCTATCTTTCTTCCTGCTGCGCGCCGGCGCGCCGGTCGGTGGAGGGGGGGTGTTGACCATCTGCGCGGGGACAAGGAACGGGGACCCGGATCGAGCGGCGCTGCTAGCCGCCTCAGCGGGGACGAACATGTGGGAAGGGTCGCTGGGGGATTGGGGAGCGACAGTGGTGAAGTGATCGGGTGAGGCGCCGAGGGCGTCCCCACCGTCGAACATGGTCTCGCCGGGGGCGTGGACGGGCTCGCTGAGGGGCGGGGGAAGGCGGTGGAGGGCGCCGTAGCCGAGGACGCAGCCGAGGGCCCCCTCGCCGCCCCAGTCGCGGCTGGGGACGATCTCGACCTCGCGGGTGACGTCGTACTCGTGGTTGTAGACCCAGAGCTTGAGGGGGCGGCCGATGTAGTCGTCGACGAGCTCGCCAAGGCCGGCCTCGCCGTGCAGCGTGCCGTCCGGGGTGCCCAGTATGTAGTCGCTGTACGGCAGCAGCCCCGCGCGGTCCGCCGGCGAGTTCGCCGCCACGTCCAGCACATGCCACACGTTCGACGCGACGCCCAGCGTCGTCCACTGCAGCGATAGCCCCAGCGACCGTGTGTCCGCCGGCACCGCCACGCGTATCAGCCGCGTTCGCTGGCCCTGTGAGGAGAGCGGATCAGGTTAGGGCCTCTTCTCTCTCCCTCTTCTCCCCCTCCCCCTCCCCTCTCTTTTGCACACCCCTCGGAGAAAGGGCGCCTCCAGATTAAGAAGCCGCAGGTTGGGCAGGGTCAGGTAAAGCAAGGCGGTACGACGTACCTTTGCGCTCCAAATTCCTAGGGCGACGCTCCCGCCGGCGCAATTGCGCACCTCCTGTGCGAAGAGTCGCGGGTCTGGGTTGTCCTAGCGATCACCAAATTCGTATCAGCTCTTCGCTCCCTTGTCCCGCTGGTCTCGCTTGCCCTGCCTCCGTGCGGGGATAGCTGATCGTACAATGACGCGCCCATTGATGCCGACGACGAAGTCGAACCAGGGCTCGACGCCGAGCTCGAGGTTCGTATTGCGCAGGACCTGAAAGCCGTGTCCGGGGCCGTCCCGCTGCTGCGGCCGTGCGTCGCCGTCGAGGCGGGACAGGTAGCGGTTCAGAGCGTTGAACATTATCTACCTCTCTGTCGCTCGGTCGGGGGGGGAGGCATGCAGGTAGTCTAATGCAAGGAGTAGGTTCTTTAGTTGTCAGCTCAAGATCGTGGACGCCTACGTGGAGGGGAAAGCTTGCGATGGCCTCCGGCGTCACCTAGCGTTTATGTACATATCCACGGGTATCGAGGTACAGGTACCTCCTATACTTCGTTGGGAGGTACCTCTACCTTTAGGTAGCCCAATCTACAGTACATACATCCCTCTTTCTATACGCGTTAATTCGCCCAACTTCGCGCTAATCACGTCCTATAGTCCAAGCTTTCACAAGGTGCCTCAGAGGTGGCCCACAAGCTTAAAGTACGTACCGTGGACATGGGTGCAGAAATCATGTTTACCTAAGAGAGGCTAGGTACCTAAGTATCTAAGGTGGGATTAGGGGATTGACAGCGACCTGCTCTTCCCTGCCATTCAAGAAATCTCCCTCGAAGCCTCCGAGTCTCAACTACCTATCCACACACCTACAGTCGGGCATATGCCGCGGAGCCGTTCGTCTCTATTCAACTTTGTTCTTCAATCCGACGCTCCGTCTTACTAGATACTGATCTGCCTCTGCTGTTGGCTCATGGAGCCGTTGGATTGATCAATCCTTCGCCTCTGCTAAGTCCAAATTTCCGGCCATGCACGTCGATTTCGTCCTCTGAAGATTGAAGATGAAACAGGCGAAGAAGCTCCCTCTGACCAGCCAATGTCACCACTGGACTCGCCTGGCTGAGGTGCCATGGGATCTGCAGAAGTGAGTCGCGCTAGCATTCCCATTGCTACTCAATGTTCGATCTTGCTCATCCTATTCTCTCTAGGTACTGGCAACAGAGATATACCATATTCCCCTATTACAACGATGGCATCTACATGACCGAAGCCGCATGGTATGGTGTCACACCCGAGCCAGTTGCCACGTAAGTTCCTCTTCCCAGCATCCTTCGAGCCACCGTTGCCATTCCCCGCTAGGGCTAACTTTCCCCCAGCCGGATTGCACACGACCTGGCTTCTGTCGTTAGTCCGTCTAAGGCTACTGTCGTCGATCTATTCGGTGGTGTGGGAGCGAACGCCATAAGCCTAGCGTTGGCGACATGTGAAGATGGTGAAACTCCTCGATGGAGTAAGGTGATTGCCATCGAGTTAGACGCGCCTACGCTTGCCTGTGCGCAACATAATGCTTCACTATACGGTGTGGCCGAGGACATCGTATGGGTTCTAGGTGATAGCTTCAAATATCTACAGCTTCTACTCAACGATCCGGACAAACTCGGTCCCGAGTTGCGGGTCGATACAGCATCCACTGTCCTGTTTGCATCACCACCCTGGGGCGGTCCCGGATACAAGACTGACGAGATATTTGATCTGAACACCATGGAGCCCTACAATTTGACCCAATTGCACAGAGCCTACAGAGCTATGGATCACGCGCTTTACCTGCCGCGTACCAGCGACCTGAGGCAAATCGCCAAGCTTGCACCAGCCGGGACGAAGATCGAAGTCGTGCAATATTGCGTCGAGGGCGCGAGCAAAGCGATGGTTGCGTATATTCCTGCCGCCAAAGACGAAGATGATAACCAGGACACGTAGCCCATGCCAGCGCTATAAGGCTGGATTTCCCCGTCAATTGGGTGCGCTTAATTCGACTGGGCAATCAGGTCTACATAACGAGACACAGACCTCACGGGAGTTCTGCGAATAGCGGATCACAAAAGCCTGTCAAGTCCATATTGCCAAAGCCGTGAAGAGAGATTCATACGGAACTGGGCGGCGTTTGCCTTGGGCCAGTGCTTTGTTCGTCGGCTGAGGGAGAACAATAACCCTCTATCCTATACGGACTCGTCCTCTCCTTCGCAAGATCCGGATCGCTACCACTGCCTAACTTTTTTTCTATTCCGTTCCGTAGGAATATCACGGGATGCGCAATCATCAATCCGATGGCGGCCTCCGCGACAAGGAAGCCGTCGAAACCTGCGAAGAGCGCCTGGTTCTTTGCATTCCAGCTCTTCAGCCCAGAAGCCAGTATTAACGTCTGATAGATAGCCCTTGCAAATAAGCACATGACAGAAATCAGGAGCATCGTGACGAAAAACTTGAACCTATGCGCCATAGGTACGAATCCATGCACCGAATGGAATGTCGTGTGCCCGAACTTGGCTTGAGCCACGGCAGCTCGAAACAATACAATGCCAAAAAGGGCTATAAAGCTGATCAAGGAGAGGGCTTGCAATGCGAGGCCGCCGGCGATAATGGGGTTGCCGATCAGGGCCCTAGGCCCGAGACCAGTGTGCGCGGAAATATCCGAGAAGGAGACGACGATACCACCAGCTTGGATGATGAACCCCACCGCGTCGATCCAGATCAGACGAGGATAGTGTTTAGTGTCTATGGGCGAATGTTCGACACCCAGGATGGCAATAGTTTCGGGGACGGTGAGGTAGACGCTTTCGGATCTGTCAGCACCTTGCTCAAGAAGGGGAATGGGAAATCGGGACTTCAAATAGGAGATAACATCACACTAACCCTACTGAGACAAAGGCCGGGGCAACAATTATAAATGAGGTTGAGGTCGCGTATAAAAAAACATTCCACGGATCAGACACGCTCGCTAACCGGACGCCGTATCCTGCGATTTCGAAGAGGCAAGCTATCGAAACGGATGTGCTGAAACGTAACCATCTCCTCGTTTGAAGCGTGTAGGACAGGCAGGCGATCAAGGCCCCAATGTGGATGATGAGGAATAGAGCGCTCGCCGCCGAGCTTGGTGGATAACCGTAGGGCGACGCTGCCACCGGGCACGTATCCCAGTCGCACGAAGCAATCGACTTCATCGTAGGCGATATTAGTCCGATGGTTAGCCCCTATAATGGCAGCGATGATACCGGTGATATTCGGGTAAACGACGAAAGACATGAAAAAGCGAGGCGTCTCGTGCAGATCGAGTAGACGAGGAGCTCGATCATATATCCTCCTTACCAGTACCGTTCGTCCCGATACCAACTACGTCGGGCGATGTATCCATCTTGTTGCCAGGCCGATTCGCCGATGCAGCGTTGGAACGATATCTTGATCATGCAAAACCTCCGAAACCCAACGTCACAGGGCGGCTCCCCGAGTGGGAAAGGTCGAAATGTGCCCGTCTATCCGAAACAGCCCCCCTTATCGAGCCCCAGACCGTGATCCCACCTACATACTGCAACGCGGTCGAACGAGCGGGAACTAGACCTGCGAGTCATGTTCGCGGCGCCGCTGCGACCTGTCAACCCCCCTACCCCTGTCGCCCACGAGGCGGCTGCGCACGCCGCTGAAAACGGCACCCGTGAGAATTAGATTGGCTCGCCTACATAGCGGTGCCTTTATCTTACAAATATCATCCTCACATAGACTTGCTTTCTAAACTTAGAGTCCATCGTGCGATAGGTCTGCGCAATAAGTGATCGGCTAGACTCGCCCAGGAGCAGGATATCCGAGGACACTACCGAAAGCTCGATCTAGTCAAGCACTTACATATCTTCTTGACCTTCTTGGGTTGGGTCTGGCGGCGGCCATCTTGAAGAAGAAGCTTGGCGACCCTCACCAACCCCCAACTTCGCGTCTACTTGGGGGCACGCGCTTAACATCTGCAAGTGTCGGAGGGTTCCATCGCAGCTGGTCGCAGGAACATAAGACCATGGTTGGTATGTTCTCTCGCCTCGCCCTAACCAATTTCGGCGCCGCCTCGCATGCTCCAGTGAGGCGTTTCGTCAAGTGGTTAATTGGTGTCTGGTATGTGGACGTAAGAGTGGCCGAGAAAGCAGAGAGAAAGCGGAGGAAGAAGAGAGAGCCACCGCCCAAAGGATCGTCTCAGATTGCTACCGCGTACACTCCCCTGCTTCAATAAGGCTCTAACTTGCGACCGCACCCGATCGACTCCAGGGTTTCCTTGGGTGCAAGCCCGATGGAGTCGACTTGTTAACAGTCTCTCCGGATCTTCCGATACTGAGGCTAGTCTGTGTAAGTTCTATACCTATATCCACGAGCGACAAGCCCATCATCTATAAACATGGTCTCTCGAGTGGTGTTGTTGACTAGAATACTTTTTAGCCAAAGCGAATTTACTCAACTACAAGGAGGACGCATTGAAGTCGAGGTTAAACTACCTACCAACTAAGCACTAAGGGAGGCAAAAGAGAATAATAAAGGGCCAGATGATGTTGTACAAGGCCATGCCTACGAATCTGACGGAACACAGAGACTTTGGAATCGTCAGCAGGAGTCAGATGTAAGTGAATGTGTGCAGTCGCATAGCCTACATGGGCAACTCGACTGAAAGCCACTCCGGCACAGTCCTACAACCTAAATCTAGCAGTCTCTTCACCCCTTGCCCACCAAGTTCGACGCTTCATACCCGCCAAGCACATTTATCTCATAAAATGGTGCACATGTTAGTAGGAAGGCAAGTTGGTCAGACGCCACACACCTACCAACCCTTTCCAATATACCGAGACCGTTATTGGGAGATGGTTATCACGTCCACGAATCTCATCTGAGGCGCCCAAAAAAGTTAGCTGAAAGGCACGTAATGCGAGGCATCGTATGACGAAAGGGGCCGCGCCTCCGGTGGAGACGCATTTTGCAACCCACTTCATACCCCATGGACGAAGATCTTAGATTGTCTAGCCCAGTAAGTTGGCCGCGATGAAGTGTGTTGTCTGTATGGATTTCCGGGCTCCGGCACGCTGGGTGGGGCAAGAGGCTACGAGGCGATACTCCCGCTCTCAGACGCTGGACGCCGAGGAGGTAGGCGAGGTATCATGATACGTCCCCATGGGCTCGCCGCAACGACACGGTCGCCAACTACGCAAAGCCCTCGATTTTGCTTCAGAGATCCATAACGTATGATTGTTGTAATGACGGGAGTCCCGCCTGGCTAAACTTGCTGCCCCCAATCAACCTCACCCAATCCTCTCCGCCGCCCCCTTTCTCCCGCGGTCAGGCATATCCCCAAATCGCCCGTCAGCCCTGGGGGCCGCAACGGCACTTTTTTTTTTTTTCACTCGGGCCCCGTGACCTCATATCGTGAACCGTGACTGGTCCGTATTGCGTACGTATCCGGCGCAGTCATCCTTGGCTGATAGCGCTCCGCGGACCTGCGTTCCGGAAGCGGCCCGAGACGACGTAACCAAAAACTGAGGCCGCCGTACCGGTCGCATTCAGATACTAACCTAGGCGCCCTCCGAGTAAGACGAGAGGCTGAGTTTCTCGGGGCATGTGCCTCTTCGTAACCAGTAGAGTCTCCAGGTGCTATTTCTTTCGTCTACACTACGTCCCTGGAGCGAATACAATACCGTTGAGTGACAGGCGTGGTACTCGGCAGTCCCCCCTTTCCCGATTCTACCTGGACGTAGACGGCGTAGCAACATCCAAGAGTCTGCCCATCCATCTACCCCTATGTTAATCCTTTCCGAGTACGACTTCTCAAAGCACTGCACGAAGTAACCGGAGTCCTCTACACACGAGATTGGTACACGTTACGCAAACGCGGTCTTCTTTTCCTGCACAGAAACACTCGTAGAAGGTACTGCTGTCGTGGCATTAATCTATTCATGCCTCGCAGCTGGGCGAGAGTTCGTCATTCATTGCATCCCTTCTTTCTCCCTCGAGAACAGCCACCCGGCCAACCGGGCTCAGCTAGGTCAGCTGACATCGTAGCATGTTTCCGGCGCTTGTTGTGCGGTCCGCGTTGGTTCTCCCCCCTCTGTCCGGGACACCAGTATTATTTGTTCGCCCGTCTCCACGGGGGGCCATCACCCCCCCTCGCTTTCTTCCTCCTCGTTTCGAGATGCCTCGAGCCGAGGCACCATTACCAATACTACTACTAACATTATGTAGGACGTAAGGAATACAAACTATCTCATATTCAGGTATTTTTAACTTTTTTTCTTCTTTTTTTTGTGTCTGTGGGGGGTTCCAGCGATCGGAGCAGCAGCTGAATGTGGCGAGTGGTCGACCGGAGAAGCACCTGGGTGACGGGCGGCTCTCGCCCTCTGTCCTTGTCGGCCTCGGTCCTAGACGCCAGGCGGCGAGAAGCCGGCGCCCTGCGGCCAGTTGCCGAGGTTGGCGGGGTCGCCGCCGATGCGGACGTAGGTGCCGACGGCGGGGATGCCGTCCTGCACCACGAACATCTGGTACCAGCCGGGCGGGCAGATGTAGACGCTCGGGGGCGCGACGACGACGCACGCGGTGCCGGCGCACGACACCTCGGGGAACAGCGTGCGCGCGCCCATCGAGTTCCCGTGCGTGCTCGACACGGAGCCGAGCAGCGACACCTCGATCTTGGCCCCCGCCGGCGGCGCGCCGCCGAGCTGGAAGGTCACGCTGTCGCCGTACGCCCAGTCCTTGTCCGCGATCGTGAACGAGGGCCGCGGCTTGTCGCTGTACAGGTACGGCGGCGTGAAGACCTCGACCCGGATCTCCTGCGGGTGCTTGCCGTCCTGCGGGTCCGAGCCGGTGATGAGGACACGGCCGTCGAGCAGCGTGATCGCCTCGCTATGGTACAGGCGCGCGACGGTGGTGTTGGCCATGACGGACATGCGCGAGCCCACCGGCTTGAACGGGTCGTAGAGGACCGCGTTGTAGTTGGGATCGTCGGCGAGGCCGAACCCGGCAATGCCCTGGTGGGCGCCGTTCGCGATGAGGTAGGTGCCGTCCGGCAGAGGCGACATGCAGCTCATCACGCGCTTCGAAGGCAAGCGCTCCAGCGTCCACGTCGGGTTTTCGGCGTCGGGGTATATCGAAACGCAGTTGTCGAGGGCGGAGTGGCCGATCGTGGAGCCGCCGCAGAGGAGTACGCCGAGAGGGTCGGTATAAGGGGCTATCTGGGGCAAGAGGACGGAGGCTCCCTCGAGGGGATAGGTCCGGCCACCGAGGTCATCGTTGACGGCACCGGGCATGTTGGGTAGAATCTTCGTTGTGTCGAACGTGACCTCGTCTAGGATCCTGGCCTCATTCCAGTACGCGATGAAAATCCCTCCTCCGGGCAGGACCGCCATGAACGGGTATAGGTTGTTCGGGTCCGTACGCTCGAGCCAGTCCATATAGAGGGCGGGGCCCGCGTAAGGGAGGATCTCGAGGGTGGGTTCGGGTCTATCGTTCGACCCGATCTCACCACCCACGACCAGGATCGACCCGTTCGTCATGACCATGGCCGTCGGGTACCATCTGCCCTTCTGAAGCTTGAGCACATTGACGTTCTCCTCCCAGTCGTTGGTCCCTTTGACGCCGTCCGATCCGTCGGGCGCATATAGGCGAACACCGTACGTCGAGTCGAGAGACCACCCACCTACGGTGAGTTGTCGACCCGCCTTGTCCGGGAGGATGACGCCCGCGGAGCAGAAGATGTCTGTCTTTACATTCATGGTCCTCCAGGCGGCATCGAAGTCATCTAGTCGGCTAAGGTCAAGTTCGTACGCGCCCGTGCTATTTGCTAGGCCTGTCCCCCACTTCTCCAAGAAGGTGACCTTGCCGGTAATCGACTGCATGGTCATCAAGGGGGTGACGACGCCGCCTACCAAGTTGGAGTACGTGCCAGCAGCATTGCCTTGAGGATAGTGGAACACGTAGAGAGGCTGTTCCCCAGTCCAATAATACACCGACAGTCTGGCACCGCCGCCGCATATCGAACCGGGATCGCCAGCACATACGACGTTGCATTCGCTCTCTGGCCTCTGGGTAGCGCCAGAGGCATCGACATCCAGCGGGTCTCCACAGTAGCATTCGTTACCGTATTCCAGACCGCCGGCGGCGTAGCCGAAAGACGCGCACTTGTCTAAGCATATCTCAGGGGTCATGGTACCGGGGAAGGAAAGTGCCCAGAACAAAGTCCGCTTCTCGTTGACGTTGTCTTCATAGCATCCCTGATACGTCCAGGTACCGCCGACTTCTTCTTTTGGAGTAGCCGGCTGGAAGGCCGTTGGTGTGCCCTTCGAATAAATCGACAAGTATCCGGGGCCGCCGCACATGGTCGCACTATCGCCTCCGCAGGGGGTCGAGCATCCAGACTCGTCTTCGGACCGCTTTCCGCCATTGTAAATCGCATTGCTGCAGAAGCACTCCGTATAGTACTCGGCGCCCGAGATGATGTATCCATTATCGGCACAAACGTGAGCGCACTTCTGGCGTGTCAGCTCCGGATCATTCGGAGGTTGATACCCTTGCATGATCCGGCCGTTAGGTCCATCCTGCCAACAGCCTTTATCAGTCCAGCCCTCGGGGAATTCGGTAGCCGCAGGTTCGCCCGGGTTGGTGCCCGTTGGTTCGGTGCCGGGGCTGCTGGAAGTGCTCGTGACGACAGTTCCGTTCTTGATATAAACGGACAGGCGGTTGCCGCTCCCGCAATACTCTGCCGGATTGCCAGCGCAGAGCATGTTACAATCGCTGTCGGGGGCCTTGGTGGAACCGCGTTCGAACTTGTTGCCGCAATAGCACTCGCGAGCATACTCGACGCCGAAGTATGCTGTCCCTTTTTCACTACAGAAGGCCTGGCAGCTGTCTAGTGTCATCGTATCGTCGGCGTAGGTGAACAAGCTGAGAGCACGGATGCCGGTCGCCTCTGTTTGGCAGCCATACCAGTTGTAGTTGCCTACGACCAAGGGCTGAACGGGCGCAGCAGGGTCGACGTCTCTACCGGTGATACGTGAGCCGAGGGGAGGAGTCGTCTTTGAATGCCCCGAGCCTTGAACGACGGAGGGGGTGACAATAGTCGTGAGGCTCGCGATAGTAGACATTACACCGGCAGGGCTAACACTCGCAGAGGTGGGATACCCCATATTGAAGCTATACACATTCAGCTGGCTGCGGCCGCCGCATGTCTCTGAGCTGTCGGCCTGTGGCGTTCGCAGTTAGTTTATATAGTATATAATTGTTCGCGGGAAATTCCAAGGTACAAGAGGAGCAGAGTCGAGGAGGTGTTGAAGTTGGTAGGAGGGGATTTAGATAGAGACCAAGAAACCGAGCGGCTGAGTGAACTTGAAGACGCGAGAGGCAGGGCAGAGACAGGACAGAGAAGAGTGCTGGCCCGTAGACCCAGACCTAGGATGGGAAGCCAGACCCTTGACAATGTCGAAGTGAAAAGGGGGGAAAGAATGGATAACGAAAATAACACTTACTTTACAAGGCACATTGCAACTACCATTGCCATCGGTTCGTTTGGCGCTGTTCGCAAGAGCGTTGTCGCAGTCTACCACGGATCAGCCACTCTATCCTGCATTCCCTACACGAGAGAAGCATCATGAGAGTTGGGGGGGGAGGGGTCCACCAACAGCATTCGCCCCCATTCTTGGTACCGGCCAGGATATATCCGGCTGCCCGGCATGCGGCCGTGCAGGCTTTCGTGTTCATCCGCGAGCTGGGAACCGGCGCGCTGATCTTCAAGGCCTGGCCATCGCCCCTATCGCTACGAGTCTTGTTAGTCCCGAGGCGCAATTCCGTGCCGGTAAAGCCTGGGAGACTGGTCGCTACGCCTAAAGCGAAGGACGCGAACTCACGTGTAGCAGCCAATATGTGTCCATTTTCCGATGCCGCCAGTTGGCCGAGGCCGACTACGGTACAAGTTAGAGAACAATAATACCCGGTCTGGACCTGAGCATCCCGTCGAGTGCCCGACTTCCGTAGCGCCGGCGAGAAGTTCTTTGACGCAGTCTAATTGTTGTTGATAAGCACAAGACGTAACACACCGACCCAAACAGGGGGTAGGAAAACTCACAGCACTCGTTGAGGGATCCTACTGCCGCGTGGACAAGCCCCTTCCCATCACAGAAAATGGTGCATTCCCGTGGCGTACCGAGGCCGAGAACGGTCGTATTTATGCTGATCGCATGGCTGACATCGCTGGGGGTCCCTTAGCAACGCTGTCCATACTCTGGGGCGGGTGATGTGCAACCTACGCGTAACAACCCCTATACTCCCACGGATCGTTGAGTTGATCGGCAGCCGGGACTATCACCACCTGAGCTGGAGGAGAAGGGTTGGCCGAAGTGAGGAATAGGAGAGAGGAAAAAACGGGAAAAGCCTGAGTAGCCCGCATAGTGAAAAGCCACCCAAGGCAGCCCTGCGCTCTATGCTAGAAACTCGGGAGAGACCTTTAGAAAAAGAAGGAAAAAAAGGTTGGCGATCAGGAACGCGTAAACCTCCTCGCTATCCGAAGACAGACACGACGGGATATATAGCCCTACTCTTAATACATAACGCTAGCGCGCATCCTTTATTACGGTGACAGAGGCGGCTGGACCTCATTGCAACCCACATCGCGATGCAGCAGCAGCAAGGGTCCATCCAATCAAACCGGACAACAGTGCCAATAGCCGCAACGTTCATTTGATGAGCAGCAGTATCATTGACGAAGATAACGATATTCTTTTCCGCAGGGAAAAAAAGCATTCGGGGTTCGGCACCAAAGAGATGAACGTGCAGAGTTGCTCAGCAGCTAAGAGATTACCTGTCAGATAACCCTACTGATAATGCCTGGGCTTCTCTGAGAGAAACTCTTGTTTTCGCTTTTTCTTCTTGCTTCTCACCCTTCTCGCTCTCTCTGCCCATTTCGTGTCCTGTTCCGCTCGTCTTGACCTCAGCCTGCCAATAACGGGTACCAAAACCAGAAAGTGACATTCACCTGAGCTAGTCGACCACTTGGGAGGTTGCGAAGTCGACGGACAAGATGCACCGCCCAGGGACTTACATCCATTGAACTCTCGGAGACCAGCCGATAGTGGGTCGGCTGGTCGATACGAGTCCAGGGGCAAGGATAATAGAGGTGTGGAACTAAGCATGACAGCAAGGGTGGCTAGAATGGTTCCCGGTCCCCCCCCTTCAAAAAATAGAAGAGCTGATATAGCTTCAAAAAAAGTGTGAAATGGTCCCATCCATTATCGACAGTAAGCCCGCTGCCGCTCCCGATGGACAAAGCTCTACACGTAGTCACGGTCGGCAACCTCGGAGGGGGGGGGGGGGGGGGGGGGCATCTGATGATGCGGGGTGGTATAGAGTGTCGGGGTGGCGTTTATCATGGGAGACGAGATGGTCAAATGCGCGGGTTGTCTGTCGACAAGAGCCGGGCAAACGGCACTCTGAGGTAAGGAGAGAAAGAATGTGGCTTTTGGTGGCCTGACTCGTCCCAGTTCTAGTCTCCAATAGATAGAGGAAGCCGAGAGCTGAGAGCTAAGAGCTGAGACGTAGGAAAGTCACCTGGGCAATGCCTCGCGATAATCCACTACTAGTGCGGTAGGTACGTGCATCAACTACGCGCATCAACACGCTTAAAGGGGACTGCTGTTATAAGTCCTGCCTTTCTATCGTGCCGAAAGGGGAACAGACGGGTTGGGCGTAACTCATTAGGTTCAAGCGTCGCTCGCTACTGGGCATAAGACTTCGGTATGGGACACAATTCCATACGAGGTTGACTGCATGCGTGTTGGTCGAGCCAATCGTCTGAAATACACCCTCCACTACACGAGATGGTCTCCTCCGCTGCTATATTTGACCTCGCATGGCCAACGCATGCATGGCATGCTAGGCGCCGAGATGCGTGAATGATCACCGAGGTTAGTCGTTTTTCCTGAAAGTGCCCGAGCGTGCGAGAGAGAGAGAGTGAGAGCGAGAGAGAGAGATGGGGGTGGTCCGAGAGGCGGTAAGGTTAATGGGAATGGAGGCAGGGGGGGGCGATTCGGAAAGACAAGAGAAGGGTGTGCCACCGTCCCGGGAGGCAGCCTGATGTTCTACTCATAAAGTTGCCGGCACCATGGGAGGATCATCACCGCTCGCGGACGGACTCCCCCCTTTTCAGAATCTGGGCCTGACGATCTCATGTTGTCTATCGTCCGGTTGCCCTGCAACCCTTGCAACAGGATCTGGCTTTCGCAGGAGGCATCTAGGAAAATGGGTAGATTTGGCTCTACAGTGGATGAGTTTTCTGGCTCGGCTGGGAATCGGGTAGGGTTGGATCGGATGGGGCCGAGATTGAAGCTCGCGTGCATCTTATTACTGCGCATCTTATTACTACAACTACCCGCCCACCCATGCCCTAAGGATCGAGGTGCATCTCGTATCTTGCTGCCTCAGGATAGGGAACGGTGTGAGGCAGGGCAACGTGGCGTCGGCGACAGGTGAAAACGGGCAAATCTGTGAGATGGGTGACAGCAGCAGTGGTGAGCCACTATAGGCATTTCTTTTCCGAACCTATTGCAGATCAACAATCCATTCCGGAAAACCCCAGCGCCTCTTGGACCACGTGATTACTGCTCGAAGCCCTGTGCAAGGCGATGCAGGCTCGCTCACTGCATATAAGGCAGGCGAAGCGAGCGGCAATGACATGCTATGATTCATAAATGCGGGAATGGCATCGTTGCAGCGCATCGTGGTGGCTGACGGGCTCGACCTTCTGGATCGAATTAAATAGGCCCGAAGAGTGCCAGGAGACCTCTCCCGGCCGGAGGATGGACGCGATGGCTTCCCGACGACGAAGGGGCGAGAGAAGGCGAGGATGGAACAACAACACAATGATGATAGAGCACGTTGGACGGATGCTATCGAGGTGATGTTATGTGATGCTGATGTGTGCGATAACGAAGGAGATAAGGGAGGGAGAAGACGCTGCACCTAAAGCCCAACGCGTCTTGTGGCCACCTATACAATTGAAGAGATTGTTGGTATAAACCAGTGAAGAATGCAGGTACCAGGTGACCAAAGCAAGGAGAGGTACCAGGTGCCTAAGGTACTTACCATTACGTAGGAGGGACCTAAGGTACCTCCTCTACCTCCTAGTAGGTTAGGAGGTAGTCAGAACCAGCCCACACCGGGTTAGTTTATAGCGGCTTCTGTCCGCTCCCGTCCGTGCACTCCCGCCTCCGTGGCTAAGGCAAAGCCCGCTGCTAGTAGCCAGAGCCAGGTACTGCCTCTAGGTAAGTAGATTCAGTAAGTACCCTCCCCTCTGAGGTACGCCTCAGACACGTACCTCTAACTTCAAGACTCGCATTTGGCATACATATACGTGCAGGTCGGCTGCTTACCTCTGTTGGGACCCCTTACATAATCCAGGGTCTCAACCCCAGAACTTAGGTACCTTGCCTACGGGTATAGGTACCTAACACAACCGAAGCTATGAGGTAGGAAGGTACCTAAGCTACCTGTAGATATGTACATAGGTACGTAGACAGGTAGGTACCTGATTTACCTAGCGTAAAGCGGATAGCATTCCCCGTGGCTCGGCACGTCTTATCAGTCATCTTTTTTCAACCTTGACTCATAGCCTCGCGCCTCTCCAACCCGGCAAGTCATTTACCACCATAGAGCCGCCGCCGACGATCTTGGTACTTGAATCCGTCCAAGCCGGTTGTCGAAACTCGCCATAGGCATATACAAACTTGAGAAAGGTTGTCTTTGCTGGGCTTGTTGATTCTGCTACACACAAAATCGCACGAGGTTGCTGGCGACCCCAGTTGTTCCGATCGTACCCGCCAACTAGGTACCTATCATTTCTTATATTTTTCTGAAGCCGCTGTATTTCAAAAAGCGCATCGCGACAGCAACCTTGACTTGGATTCGTCGCTACGTTGTCGAGTATCTCGGACAGGGTAGCTATGGAAGGTGTACAGACCCCGGCACTCCAGCCAACTGCTGCGACGAGACCTCCTCGGGGTCGTCAGCCTCGGGGAAGCCGATCTTCTAGGGCCCGAGGGGGACGCCATCATCACAACCAGCAGCATGCTCCTAACGGAACCCAAGTCGTCACCACCCCGAATTCTGCGGCACCGGATTCCTCTCCTGCTGCCGGAGGGCCTTTGGATCCGAATAGTCGGGGTGGGAGGGGAAGGCGAGGTGTCAGAGGCTCAAGGAGGGGAGGGGATGGCAATAGTCGCAGAGCTGCACTGGCTAGGCCACGGACTTTTGGCGGTCATCTTACCGGTAACACTCGGGCTGAGAATCCCGAGTCTGCAAGCTCGGCGGGCTTGGATATTGATGCCCCCGAATTTATCCCGGGCCAGCCGCCGCCCGAACGTAGCGAAAACGCCTCTAGGAGACGACAAGTCTCGAGCAAGACTACGCGAGAAGCCCTGAAATCCACTGCCGAGGATCTCCCAACGAGGATCCACGAAGACATCAGCAGTGGGCAGTATGAATGCGTGATATGCACTAACGAAGTCTTGCGGAGCTCAAAAGTCTGGTCTTGCTCTATATGTTGGACCGTCACCCACATGAGCTGCGTCAAGAAGTGGTTCTCTAATCGGACAATGAATCCCGACCAGCAGCAGTTCAACTGGAGGTGCCCGGGATGCAATTCCACCATGATGGATGAACCCAATACCTACCACTGCTGGTGTGGCAAGGAGATTAACCCCAAGTCAATTCCCGGCCTTAGCCCTCACGGATGTGGACAAACTTGTTCCAATCCTAGAGGGACCTGTCCACATCCGTGCCCCCTCGAGTGTCATGCTGGCCCTTGTCCCCCATGCACGCTTATGGGGCCGTCTCAATCCTGCTTTTGCGGCAAGCATACATCTACCAAGCGTTGCGGGGAGACCGATTACGCTCACGGCTGGAGTTGTCATGAGGTGTGCGGAGACCTGCTACCTTGTGGGGAGCACGAATGCCATCAGGAGTGCCACTCCGGCCTCTGTGGGAGCTGCGAGGTCCTAGTCTTCTCTCGCTGCTACTGCGGTAGAGAATCCAAAAGCATCCCTTGCGACCGGCGTGGTGATAAGCTGGAGTCGTATAATTATGCTCAGATTCGTGCGGTAGAGGGCGAGCCGGAGAGCGACGACCTACCCGAATCTTGGTTCTGGGGTTCCTTCGGCTGCGAGACTGTTTGCGGCAGGCCATTTGACTGCCAAAAACATCTCTGTAGGAGAGGATGCCATCCTCAAGACGAAAGTCCAGCTCGTTGTCCATTTTCTCCTGACCTGGTCACCCACTGTCCATGCGGCAAGACGCCGTTAGTGGAAGTCAGCGACCGGCCCAGAACGAGTTGTGAAGATCCGATCCCCAACTGCAAGAAGCTGTGCAACAAGCAGTTTTTGTGCGGGCATTTCTGCCAGGAGACCTGCCACACAGGGCCTTGCAAGACGTGTCTTCAAAAGATGGAAATCACCTGCAGATGCGGCCGGACGAAAGGCTTCTCAGTGTGCCACCAGGGAGTCATCAGTGCCCCTCAATGCATGAGGATCTGCCGTGCACAGCTCAACTGCGGGAGACACGAACATGGCGAGCATTGCTGCCCTGGAGAGAAGAAAGCGGCGGAGCGGGTGGCAGCAAAACGAAAGAATAGAAACGCCATCCTCGCAAACGACGAGGTCGAAGCCGAACACATCTGTACCCGCACCTGTGGGCGGGAACTAAAATGCGGGAGGCATCAGTGCCAGCAATTGTGCCACCGAGGTCCCTGCTCTTCTTGTCCTGAAGCCATCTTCGAAGAGATTAGCTGCAACTGTGGTCGAACCGTGCTCCAACCTCCCCAACCATGTGGCACCAAAGCTCCGGCGTGCCATTTCGACTGTATAAGGCGGCGATCGTGCGGACATCCCCAGGTATCTCACAGTTGTCACCCCGATGATGATTTGTGCCCAAAGTGCCCGTTTCTCGTCGAGAAGCCATGCATTTGCGGAAAGAAAAGGCTCAAGAACCAGCCGTGTTGGTTTGAAGAGCCACGATGCGGCTTGCCCTGCGATAAAAAGCTCAAATGCGGCACCCACACGTGCAAGAAGACGTGCCACCGGCCGGGCGAGTGTGAAGACGCCGACATGGCAGGGTCTCGATGCAAGCAACCTTGTGGGAAGATGCGCAACTGTGGCCATCTAGACACCGAACCGTGCCATTCCCCATCGCCTTGCAAGGAGGATAAGCCTTGTACAGCAAAGACCTTCGTCACCTGTGATTGCCAACGCAAGAAACAGGAAGTTCGGTGTATGGCGACGAAAGCCAATCCCTCACCTCGCCGGGAATTGCTCAACTGCGACGACGAGTGCCTCCGCTTGCAGCGGAATCGTCTCCTAGCAGATGCGCTCAACATCGACCCTTCAACCCATACGGATGACCACGTGCCATATTCGGACACGACGCTGAGGTTTTTTAAGGAGAGTCCCCAATTCGCGCAAACATATGAGCGCGAGTACCGCGTTTTTGCCGGAGACCCAACGCAAAAATCTCTTAGATTCAAGCCGATGAAGTCGTCGCAACGAGCGTTCCTCCACTCGCTGGCCGAAGATTTCGGATTCGACAGCGAGAGCGCGGACCCAGAGCCTCATCGCCACGTTTGCCTCTTTAAGACCCCCCGGTTCGTATCAGCGCCGATGAAGACGCTCGCCCAGTGCGCAAAGATCAGAGCATCTGCCGCTGCAAGCCTCCTGGCGCAGCCGTCGGCATTAGATGGCAGGAACACATCGACGGAGCATCCGTACAACGCTCTTCTTTTGTTTGGTCCGCGCTTTGGACTGACGGTCGAGGAGTTAGATGCTGCTCTACAACGAGAGTATGCCGCGTACCCGGATGTAAAATTCCACACGAGTTTCCTACCTTCCGACGAAGTCGTCATCAAGGGCGGCGGCGTGTGGACGCCACAGATTCTCGAGTCTTCCTTGTCGTCGCTCAAACCTACTTTGTCGCAAGTAGTGCGGCGTCAAGAGCTCGCCAGCGGCGTCTCTCTGTGTCACGTAGACGATTCGCTAAATGTATTGCGGCGGGAGCGGGACGCGGGAGGACAGAGGGAACAGGGATGGAGTGCTGTCGTGAGCCGCTCTACTGGCCGATCAAAACCAGCTGCCGCCACAGCTGCGCCGACGGTGCCGATAAGCAGAAATTTCGTCGCCCTTAAAAAGGAGCCGAAGAAGAAAGCCGAGGAGCAGCCTGTAGAGGAAGACTGGGAAATAGCAGCGGAGAAGCTGGATGAAGAGACAGCTACGACACCCGTGGCCTAAGAGGGCGCCGCATTTAGAGTAATATGTCACTCGGTCTGTAACTAGAGAAGAAAGCACATAAGGAGAGATCATAGACTAGATCTAGAAAGGCCCAGGGTCTAGCAGCATTGTGGCTCTTGACAATAATAAGGAATGGCCTTCAGCATGACGTCCGTATCTGATAACCATTATGCATGTCTGGTGATAAAGGGGCAGCGCCTAAAAACCGCTGTGATCCACCCACTCTATACCCCTTCATAGGGTAATTATAATGTAGATACCGTTTTAAATATTCTTAATGATTATGCTTCTTGGTCATAAGGGCATCTCAAACAGACTGTTTCGTCTTCCAATATTCGGGATCGAGCAGATCGTGACTCGCCTCTTGCACTCTGCGGTCAGTCATTCCGAGTTCCACAAGCACAGGGTCAAGGAGTTGTGCCACCTTTTGAAGCCCTTCGAGCACAGTGTTTCCGTTGTGCAGTGGCTCGGTCGCCTTCCTCAGCACCGAAAGGCTTTCGATCTCGTAGTACCGTGCTACCTTGATTTTTTCGTATCGTGTTCGGTTCACAGCCGTCTCGTTCTTCTCCTACCCCCGATCTCAGAGACAGAGGTAGCGGTTCCTGGTGTTACTGCTTCTCAGTTCACTTACCAAGTACGCCGCCTCGTCTATAAGGGGAATTTCATCACCGAGCCGTATAATGGCCTGTCGAGAATACTAGCTGGATCAAATATCGCGGCCAGCTCTCCCGGATTCATTGCCTCCGGGACCATCACATCGCAAAAGTTTCGGCGCGGGCTCGTCAAATACGCCTTATGAGCGGCCCAAATAGTGAGAGGATTTTATAAATCTTGTTCGCTCGTCCCTCCTGTCGTGGTCTGCTGGTGATGCGGAGGGCGGCCTGAGGGCCGAGAGCCTGTCATGTGTGAAAGGGAGAAAAGGGTGCCTTCGGCGAGAGTGACCAAAGAAGTGTCAAGGCGAGGGGAATGTCGCCGTGCGCCGGGCCTCGTCAGCCACGAACACAAGTCGCACGGGATGCCTGGTCTAGAAAGCGAGTAAAAATGGTGTATTTATCAGGCTTTCTATATAGGTAGGTGTTCGTAGAACTCGTTTTTTTGCCGTCCGTGTGCATCAGTGCGTATATATCATGGATGAATCAATAGGCCTCTCAACCCGTTAGGATTCCTCTCTATCTAGGCACCCTTGGCATCGATAGTAATAGATCCAGTTCTATTGGGGTTCAGGAGTTCAGGGACCCTTTTCAGGGACGTGGCGACGGCTATAGGCACTAATTAAACCCTAACCTACCTCTCTTATGTGACGCTGAGGCGCGAGACGAACTCACGCTTCACGAGAGCTTGGAAACAAGACTAAGCCGGGCGGCGAGGCTAGCGAACAGGGAAAGGGGAAAACACGCCCTTACGATCGAAACAGGAAAGGCGAGACAAACTGGGAGCTGCGCTCACTTGGGGAATACAGACAGAAACGAGGTGTTGCGGGATAGCCTCGGCAGCAGTAATAGTAAGGTTAATCGACTCCGGTAAGGACCGCCTACTAAGGGTATATTCCTCCCGGTTCCAGTTCGCTAACCTTGCTACCTAACTTAATCCTTTTTCTCAACTCTCGTAGAACGTGTGTTGCTCTCGCGCCTCAGCTTCATATTGGGAAGGTAGATCAAGATTTAATTAGTACGAGCCACGCTGTGTCGCCTCGGGAAAAAAAAAACCCTTGAATTTCTTAACTCCTGAGCTCCTGTAAGCCAACCGCCGTAACCATCACTTGCTACACAAGCATCCCCGCGTAGAACCTACTCGCCTCCACCAGGCCCTGAAACCATACCGGCCTCGCCATCACTATCTCCAGGCACAACCCATACCCCCTTTTCCTCGTCACCCCCTCCTGTTTGCCCGGCTACGTAGTAATGCAGGATCAGCCTTGACAGCCTCTCCATTTGCCTAGGCACCGATAGCCTCAGCAGGCGGTCCCCACGGGCGTTAATTACCACCACTACTACGTCTAATTCTATTGGAGAATGTGCCAGAAAATATGTACCCATATTGGAATTACTACATTACCTATCCGGTAGTTCCGGGCACGAACACAGTGGTTTTAGGCGCTCCCGATAAAGGGGTAGAAAAGGAGGTTTCAGGTAGGCATGGAATTTGTTACGTAATCCAAGCCACAGTTACCCTGGTCCAAGTTGTGGCTTGTGTGTCTCTCCAAAACCGCTTCTCTGTCATAGCTGCGGCAACTGGGATGTTCCTACTTACATCCTCCAAAATCCTCCCCCAGCTACCAACGATGAACAACTTCGGGGTGATAGAGCTCGCGAGCACGAAGACGACGAACGCTCCGGGCTGGGCCTATGTGCCAGACACAGGGACGGGGCTGGGGCCTGCGGCAGCGTCGGCGTCGCTGCCGCCGGGGAACCGCAAGCGGGCGGCGCGCAGCGCGGCGGGCGGCGGCGGCGGGGGGGCCAACCTGAGCGCGCTGTGCGCCGACGCGGACGCGCGGCAGGAGGCGAAGCTGCGGCGCGAGATCGAGGCGCTCGACCGCGACAACTACCACCGCGACGTGGCCATCGCGGTCCCCGCGCCCGCGTCGCGGGGCGCCAGGAAGCACACCCCCAACGTCCGCAAGATCCTCCAGTCCCAGAAGACGTTCGCGAACCACCTCGACGACTACGGCGCCCTGCTCGCCCACGCCGACACCACCAGCACCGCGGGCGCCCCTTCCGCAGCTGCTGCCGCCGTCGCCGCCGCCGGTGGAGGAGGAGGAGGAGGAGGAGGAGGAGGCACACCGGCCGCCGCCGCCGCCGGCTCCCGCCGAGCGACCGTAGCCGCGGCGCCCGCGCCCGCAGAGAAGCCGCAGCACAAGCGCCGGAAGTCGCAGGCGGCGCCGTCCCGCCGCGCCTCCGCGTCCGGGCGCAAGGCGACGACGCCTGTCAAGCTCGAGGAGGACGTGCCGATGACGGACGCGGACGCGGGTACCGCGGCCGAAGCCGGCGGCGACGCCGCCGCCGCCGGCGCGCCGGCGCGCAGCTCCATACTGACTCCCTACGCGCGGCCGCACGGCGGGGACGGCGACGACGAAGAGGAGGCGGCTCGGCGGCGGCGGCGGGAGGCGGAGGAGAGCGCGGACCCGCTGCTGGCGTCGCGCGTGCCGCCGCGGCCGTCGGACGCGGAGCTGCGGGCGCTGCTGGCGGCGCCGCCGCTGAGCTACGGCGAGGCGCGCGGCCGGTGGGACGACGAGCGCGACGGCGCCGCCATCGGCGGCCGGCGCTACCCGCCCCGCGTCTTCTGCGAGGTCTGCGGCTACTGGGGCCGCGTGCGGTGCATGAAGTGCGGGGCGCGCGCCTGCGCGCTCGACTGCCTCGAGACGCACCGCGAGGAGTGCGTCGCGCGGTACGGCCTGTGAGAGGAGGAGGGTGTCCCTAGGGAATGCGGGTAGCGCTTCTAGTTGCGGAGGAGGGGAGTCTGAAAGGGAATTCTAGGAGTCGAGGTAGCGAGGCAACAGCGTTCTCTCGGGAGGGGTAGGGGGCGGGAAAAGGACAGGCGTGGGGTTCTCCGCGCACGCATGTGAGACAGGGTTGCCAGACGTTCACGCGAGGAGGAGGACATGGGAGATTGCTACGGCAGCCGTCATCGTCGCTGTGATTCGGCGGAGGCTAAGAGAGAAATATCATAGATACCCAATTTGCCGCGAACACAAAACAGGAACAACATCCACAGACTGATTATCAATCGCAGCATCAGAAGTGCCTACGAGTATACGCGTTTGCTTACCCAAACTTCACCGGCAACACGAAGAACGGCAATATCTACCCGCTAGCTGGCCAGTTGACTACGTTTCGATCTTCGGCTCCCTGAGCCAGCTAGCAAGGCAATCCACGGCAGCACCGCCAACGATGGCGTCAGGCAAGAAGATGTGGGTGGTTAGAATTGTGCCTTCAAGACAGAGAGAGAACCACTGTGAAAAATAAAAATACAAAACGCCCCGGGGATCCTCGTCCCGTTATCCTGCGAGGATTCCTCCCTCCTCGTCCACTTGCCGTATCTACCCTGCTGCCTGTCTAACCGAACGCCGTCGCAATTTCCCGTTGCCCCTTTCCTGTCCCCCCCCCTGGAGAGCTAGCTCCGCTTGGTTCCGAGGCGGCCGGTGGGGAGGCATTGCTTTGGCGCTATCCTGCCGGGTTTAGCGATCTTAGGTACATATCGTACATATGTGCGGACTTTCTCGCCGGAGCCCGGTTCGCCGGGCGGCATGTTGCGCGGGTTGGTTGATCGGGCGGTTGGCTGGCCAGGAGGTCGAACGGTAGTGAGTAGAAGTAGGAAGAAGAGGATTGCGATCAGAAAAAAAAAATAGGTAGTCAGTCCACGTCTCGAGTTGGGTTCGCCCCTATATCCTGCCCCGCCCTCGTTCCCAGGTCTTCAACCTCTTGACTTCACACATCATCCGGCCTCTTCCTCCCTCCCTCTCCCGCCTCCTTCTCTCCTCCCCAACCCCTCCGCTCTCTTCTGCCCCGCCCGAAACCCCCCCCCCCCCCTTTTACCGCAGCTCGGAGCCGGCGGACGGCAGGTCGAGTGTGAAGGCGACGTCGCCGGACGTCGCGCCGCCGCGGCACGTGGCGCGCATGCTGCCGGTCGGGCACACCCCCCGCGCCGCCCGCACGCACTGCTCCCACCGCAGCTTCGACACGTTAATCGTGGCGCCCGGCGCGGTCGCCCGCAGCGTGAACTGCGCGCTGCCCGACCGCCCGACCGTCGTCTCCGGCGCGCCCGCGCACTTCGTCGCGGAACCCCCGATCCCCCCGCAGATGGCCAGCTCCGCCGCGTTCTGGTCGTGGAACACGATCCGTCTAGAGCGGGAGAGCGGGTTAGCTTGGGTCTCGGCGTGGTAGGAAAAGGGGCGTGCGGTGTAATCCGTCTTTTTTTATGTATATTTACTGCTTGGCTCACTAGGGGGACCTAGGAGAGGCAGGGGGGAACTTACGCGTTGCGGTCGAGGCATTCGACATCAAACGCCGCTGATGGGCTCACGGCCATCGACTTTCGCATCGCCAGGACCTCGAGATGTTCATTCTCCACCGAGTAGTGTGGCCAGACCGGTGTGGCAAGCGTGAGGCTCGCGCCGGCGATGAGGAAGGTGTTGAGAGCCGTCGAGAAGAGCATGTCGGTGGTTTTTTTTCTCTCCCCTAGTTTCTTCTGTTCTTTGCTTTTTGAGGAGTTCGAGAGTAGAGATAGCGGTCGGACAAGCAACGTGGCAGAATCAAGAAGGAAAACCTGGTTGAACGAAAAGAAGCGTAGGACTCGAGTCTACCGAGGTCGCCGTCGAGGGTAGGAAGATGAAAGAAAACAGGACAGCAGTTTAGTTTGAAGTCTGATCTGGCAGACTTTTGAAATGAACGGTGCCCTGCACTTCCAGCCGAAAGAGAAGAAGACGAAAAAAGCGATCGACGATACGCAACACGGTCGATTCTTGGGTAGACCAGCCAGAGAAGCGAAGGTCGAAGGGACGGGACGGGAACCAGGAACCGGCCGGTACTATTAAAAGGGATAGATAGGGCGGCAGGGAGCGACGGAAATAGCGTCCATCGGCTACAGTGTACGTGACATGTGCACACAAAAATGTATCGACCGACCAGGCCAGACGAGCCTTACCATACGGCCATTCTACAACATATTGCAAGGCACAAACCACGCCGTCGACGCCGTCGACGCTACACCACAAAGGCGACCTTTGCTACCCGGTCCCAAGCTCGGCAACCCCTGTCCTGGGATATGCACGCGGAGAACCCTGGCCCCAGCGGCCAAGGCCGAATCGCTGGTTTCTCGATCAATCTGCGACGAGCAATCCCTGAAAATGGAGTCGTCCGAGGTGCACTAGGTACGTAGTACACAAGCAAGTTAGGACGATACCTAACAGCTTGGCTGTTTTCCGGTTACGTAGTGAGACTCGATACCGCTATGTATATACCTGCGCTTCATCGAGGCACGCACGCCATAAACTACCTACCATGCTCGAGAAACAAGTTCGAGAGAGAACAGACTGCGGGCTCTAGACGGACGTGCGCACGTCCGTAGGCTGTGCTACTGCCCGTGGGCCATGCGTCCTAAACTGCGCCGACGGCATCGCTCGCATCGCGAGGCATCATGCGATAAGTTGCGTAAGCTCGACCTTCATTCATTCACATACCGCCCACTCGCTCACCCCGGGCCAGTACGGAGGATAAGAGGGCGGGAGATCTGATTTCCTCTGTGGCCACATCCGGGCAAGCGTCGTAGATCACAGAAGACTTCCTCGTGTCGGTCTTATTGATGGGGGAAGATGCGCATCGCGCAGGATGTACTTAGTCCGGCGATCAAGATGGGAGGACAGGGTTGCGAATGCGAAACCGCGTCGCCAGGTTTAGCGAAAGAGGAGGAGGGGGGGGGGGGTGCGGCCAAGTCAGAGACGTCGGCGTCGAGCCATGTCTGGTGCTTCAATGTTTTTGAAACACGCAATGCCCGATGGGGCCTTCGAGACCGCCGTCTTGCCCCATTCAGCTTCACCGCCGGGATCTCACTAGACCGGGTTTCCGTTAGACAATTAGCCAATCGATCCCACCACCATCGTCATGACACCGATCGAAATCCGCAATTGCTAGAAGAGATCTGTAATTAGAAAGGGGATATTATGAGAAGGACTGGACATCGGATGAGACCAAGATGTGTTACACACCTTCTCACTCGTTACCTCATACCACACGGCATATCAAACGGCGAAGAGGTAGGTAGTCGTCCTACGAAGCATTACGCCGTACAAGCCCCATCTCAGAAGCAAGATCTTACATTTGCGGATCTCTTCGCTGGCCACAAACTCCGCAGATTCTCACGTCCCCAGCATTCAAATACAGACTACCTCGACAAGTAACGGCGGTGCACTTCCAGGAATCTGGCACCTTGGCCCGATTCAGAACGTGAGAGCAAACACCACAAATGGTTGCGTCGCATCCGCTATCGAAGGAGCACAGAGGGCAGATGCCCGCAGATGCTCCGGCACCCGTGCGACCGCCAACGGGAGCGGTGATGTCAGTGGCCTTGCCTGACGGTGATTTCTTGCTCTCGCAAGGCCAGTTTTCAATGCTGTATCGGTTCTCCGGACGTGTATTTGGGGGTTTGCCAGCCATCGGTGGCGTTGAGCTGCGAGCCTCGAGTTTCACGCAGGGCATTGACGACTGGAGGAGCTCGCGTCGCTCATTCCGAGCGTCGTCGCCTTGGGGATTCTCGTCCTCGCATACTCTTACGAGCCTGTTGCCCTTGGTATCCATGAGTCGTTGGCCGTTGATGTCTATCACGATATCCTCTTCGTCATCATCGTCGTCATCGCTGGCAATGTCCGATTCGCCGTCGTCTGATTCCTTTTTATGGATACCTTGGGACTGCTTTTCTTCAGCTTCCTTTTGCTTGTCAAATCTGGCTAGAGCAGCGGCTGCTCTGAGCTCTCGTCCACGCTTGCTTCCGGCCACTCGGGGCTTCGCCTGGGTCTTCTTCCCCTTTTCTAGCTCCGTCTTCACGTCCTCGTCATCACCAAGGGTTACTCCGTTGGCGCCGAATTTCTTGAGGATTCGACGTTCCTTTCTCTCGCGGTAAGACAGCTGTTTCTTTGGCTTGCGTTTCCTCGGCCCTGACTTGTAAGCCCCTCCACATGGTGCTTCTGGAAGTAGCTCGATCGATTGCAGCGTATTTTTCTCGTACTCTCCGGACCCTAGCAGAGCGCCTCTTCCCCACAAGCCTTCGCCGGTAAAGCCGCGAGACCAGAGAGTCCTCATCTGGTCGGCGTACCGGTTTCGTACGGCCCAAAAGGCCCGCGAGTGGTTCATCTGCTTGCAATGGGCGAGCCTGGTAGAACATGAGCATCGGTGTTGTCATACGGACATCCTTGTGTAAAAGAACGTACTCGTGCATCATGACCATCTGGACGTAATCAAAGGGCAGCCATTTCCCGGAGAGCGACTTCAACACCAGTTGAATGACCTCGCCCGCATTGAAGTTTCGGCCGACGAATTCCCTGTTCGGCTCATACTGCTCTAGGGATGTGACAAAGAGGTGGTGCTCCCTCATGACGGGCACTGGCAGAAGTCAGTGCCGAATTTCGCCAGTGGCGCCCAGGCAGTACATAGACATAGACCTCAGCTTGATACCTACAGCATTGGGCGGCGATCCGCTGTAGGAAGTCCTGCGCGATCGTCTCATCAGGCCCTTTCAGAGGCTTTATGAATGCAATGTGGCCATTCGGCTGCGATTTTCTCGCGTTTAATCTTTCGAAGCCAGAAGGCATCGCGATATATGACAGACTGTTGCTGGGTGAAGGGGTTGGCGTCGATGACTTGGATGAGGTTGGTAGGCAACAATCTGATGAGAGGAGGGGGGAAATAGGTACCTAGGTAGGTGGTAGGTATGAAAGTTACCTACCTCTATGCTCTAGGTACCTGGTAAGTACATTTGTGCTGGCGCATATACGGCGAAGTCACAGGTACCTAAGGTACCTACGTGTATTCTTTTTGACACCTGAGGCACTCACCCATGGTCGGACAACGTACCCGGGTACCTACAGCTAGGCAATGTCTCCTTCTAGAGCCTCGATATCCAAGTTCAGTTCTCCATCATACCTGGCCCCTTGTTTTCTCAGGCTCAAGACCTCGAGCTTACGGCGAATCTGCATCTGTGCATGGCAAAGCTGTCGACCAAGATAGGCGAGTAACGAGGGACGATGCGATGTCCTGAGCGCCCACTGCTATCAACGCCTTCGCCCAGTGCCGCCAGCCCCTAAATCGCCCTTGTCTGCCAACGAGACAACCTCACCAATGCCGGCAGCCTCCTGCTCATCCTCCAACGCCATGATCTCTTCGCGACAATCCCACCACTTCTCTTCGCTAAGATCGAATGCCTTCGTCTTGATCTCCTTGATTGTCAAGCTTTCGGGCTGGATGCCCTTCCATCGCAGGCTCGTCATGAGGATTTCTTGCCACTCGTTGGAGGTTCTCACAAAGAAATCCCGTCGGGATTCAAAGGGCTGCGAGGTGTCAGCCTTGCGTCGCGAAACAAGCACTTTTCTAGGAATGAAGAGGCTTACCCTAGGATGCGGTAATCCATCGTCGACCGTTGTCGCTGCGGTCTCAGCTTCAGACTGATCTGAATCCATAGTGGACACAGAATCGGCCACTGAAACCTCGTCTGCTTGCTTCTTTCTGCGTTTGCTTGGCGATAGAAGGGCTCCAGGGTCCTCATCCGCCATTTCAATATCGTCTTCCTCACCTTCCTCATCTTCCTCGTCCTCGTCCTCGTCATCTTCGTCTTCTTCGTCGTCGTCTTCGGAGCCCTGTGCATAGAACGGTAAGTTGTGTAATAAAACCCCCTACAAGGAAAGGAAAAAAAAAAGGAATGTCACTTCCGGTGGTAGGACAGGAAGAGAGGATTTCTTACCACCCAAGTATCGTCCTCCCTGCTGAAAATCTGCTTGCATCCGTCCATCTTCCCCAGGTCGATAGCGTATAAATCGTCATAAGTATATTCGCGATCTTTCGCCTCGAAGGTGCCGCCGTAAATGTACAAGATATCATCCTGTACGGCCATCTGGGCGTTAAATCGAGGGTGTGGAAGCTCCATCGAAACCGGCATCTCTCGCACCGGCCTTTCCGGCTCCTCCGGCTCTTTATTGGCCTTGAATTCGATCTCCATGCTATCTGCATCCTCGATAGATGACCCGGCCTGTAGCGCAGCGAGCTGTTTTAACAGCTCCTCCTCGTTCGCTTGGGCTCTTCCACGCCGTCCAACTCTCTGCTCCGCCGGGGGAAGTTTCTTCTGGGTTCTTGGCTTGCGAAGTGCTAACGGGAAGAACCTATTCCTTTCTATGTTCCATGCAAAGAGCTGGTTGAAAAATTCGCTCTCCATGCCCTCTTCTGTCTGCTCGACATCGTGGACGCCGCCAAAGAGAATACCGCGGCCTTTGTGATAGGCCATAGTTGCGCCGGCGCGGGAGGGATGCGGCGTGTTTGCCGGCTTCTTGCGTTTCTCCCACCTCACATTCGGGGGTGTGTTCGGGGGAGAGTCAGTGGGAGGCTGGGTAATGCGCAGAAAGAAGCAGTCTTCGTGCACCATGGCCTTCACGATGTTCCTCTGCCCCTGCGAGGCACCCTTGGCCGACTTGTTTGCGGAAACGGTCGCCTTCACCTTGGAATAGCCGCCGAACAAAACGGCACCTTGCTCGTGGGGGAGAAGGGTAAAGGATGACCTGGCGTCCGGTTTCAACTGTGCTGGAGGAAGCACCGGAGTGTGCCAGAAGAAATTCTATACGCGGCGGATGAGTACAACGACGGGTCAGGTTAATGCTGTAGCAAGGATGCTCAGTGCCTGCCTACCTGAGTATCGTAAAGCCAGAGATCGTTGAGATATTTGGTCTGATTGGAAGTATCCTGAAAGCCTTAAGACGTAGGTATGCGGAATTAGTCTCTGGATATCAGTACGGCCCACTGCTTCGATGGGCGACGTACCGCCGAAAAGGATAATGTAGTTCTTATAGTACGTCATGCGGTGACCGCTCCTGGCTGGAGGGCTTTTCCCCTTAGTTTCTAGACGGGTCCACTCCCTGGTAGCAGGCTCGAGCCTCCAGAAGTCATTATAGTGGTAGAAAGTACCCTGCTTGGGGCTTTGAGAAATGCACGATCAGCACGAATATCTGCTCCGCGCGCCGGGACAGGGACCCGGCGCATGCCAGGAAATGTTTTGCTCGTTACGAACCTGCTGAACTCGCCACCGAACAAGAAGACAGAGTCTTTCTGGTTTCCCCCTCTACACCAGGCGTGGCCAGACCGGGGGAGAGGGGCATTCGGCGAGGTGACGCAATGCCATTCATCCCTATCGGTATAGTAGATATTGAGATCATTGTAGAAATTGGCAAGGGCACCGTTCCAAGTCTCGCCGCCGAACAACAGAAGCTGGTTGCTATTTGACGGCGAGGCTAGGAAGACGGAAGACGAGCGAGGCTTTGGAGGCTCTTCTAAGACGGTCTCGGTGATCTTGACGAACTCCTCCTGGGCCTTCTTGTACTCGGCGAGGACAGCATCTAGATCGACGTCCTCGGCGTCGCTACCGTCGAGTTTGGAGGCTCTAGCTTTTTCTTTCTTTTGGGCCTTCTTCTCCTGCTTCTGCTTCTTCTCGGCGAGCTTCTGCTTCTTGGATTCGGACTTGGACCCTTTCTTGTCCTTGGCCATTGCTCGGTGCCTTCCTTTGGGTACGCGGCCACGATAGGCCTTCCAGCAACCCCCCTTAAGCCAGATGCTTACTTACCTACCTAGGTATGCAATGCAGAACGTCGAACGTGGTTGAACTGCTTCGACTTTGCGTAGGCGGATAGGCAAAAATATCTGGGTAGGTAGGTTACTAAGTGGAAGGTCATTCAATGCACAGAAATTGCTGCAACCCCTCCGCCCCTCCGCCCCTCCGACCTGCTCATAGGTACCTACGTACCTACGTACCTACCTACCTAGGTAGGCTAGATATCAACCCCTCGGGCACTTACCTAGTAGGAGACGAAGCTGACTCCAAATCAAGCTTTATTTAATCAGATGCTCTCTGCTCAGGAGGTACCTACCTGCATTTAGGTACTTAGGAGGTAGGCAGGTAAGGTTGTTGCCGCCGTCTAGTCGATGTGCCTCGTCTACTACATATTGATATAACGGCCAATGGGCTTGCCCGTTTTTATTTATTTGAAAAAAACAACAGCAGAAGCCTTCTTGCGTGTTGTGAGACCATCTACTCATGCCTAGGTACCTACCCAGGTACCTGCAACCCCGACCCCGGCCAACTTGCTTACACGCGCGTACCACGCTGCTATACCTACCTTTACGGACCGATAATTTCTATCTTCTGGAGACTAGAATACACACCTTACATTACTACCTCTTTTCTCAATTAGGCTACCGATTCTCGCGATGCCCACCTCCCCCCCCCCGTCTTCGCAGGGTCTTCGGACACTACCCCTTCTCGTCATTCTCTCCGTCTGAATACCTTTATATATTTTTTAAAACCCCATATCCCTCTTGGTGCCGACCATACGTATCTCCTTTCACGTGCGTGCCGACATGCTCCGATGCGACCCCTCCACACATGCACCACCCGCAAGGAGCTAAGCGGTGACATAATACTGGGCACAACATAGATGCCTCGACGCTACAGCGCGGTGCGGCGAACGGATAGCAGAAAAAAAAATTAATACCTCCCCAAAGCCAACCTTAGCAGTTTATTCCCTACCTTCCGTCCACCCGCCTCCCTACCGCAATGTTCTAGCCGTCTGCCATACCGGGTTTCGTCGCTCCCACTTGACGGCTGCCGAGTCCTAGCCGCTTCTCGCAGTTCCAAGTTGGCCGGCATCCCTTCGCCATCGTTTGCGGACCCTGCTCTCTCGCTTTCGAGCCTTGACGCCGAGTACCATGGCCGCTACCGGCGTAGAGACCGCCGCGACGAAACCCTCCCAGATCCCTACCTCAAGCAGACCGGCCGCATTGGAGGCTGTCGAGGACATCGTTTACGGTTCCGTAGGTCGACGTGCGACAATTCCCTCTCGCCATGCTCTAATGATACCAGATCGCAGGCATCGTCGGCAAATATATCGAATATCCCTTCGACACCGTCAAGGTCCGGCTGCAGTCCCAGCCTGATCATCTTCCTCTCCGCTACACCGGCCCGCTCGATTGCTTCCGCCAGTCCATCCGGGCCGACGGCTTCCTAGGATTGTATCGTGGAATCAGCGCTCCGCTTTTCGGAGCGGCCGCTGAGACGAGCAGCCTGTTCTTCTTCGAGCGCATCGGCCGCAGCGTCTTGTACACGTCGGGGTACTATTCGCGTGATAGAGTGCTCCCCCTCCCGGCCCTCTGGTTCACCGGCGCATTTTCCGGCGCCTTCACGTCCTTCGTCCTGACCCCGATCGAGCTCGTCAAGTGTAAGATCCAAGTACCCACTACGAACAGCCCGGATGGCATCGCACGTAAGGCGCCGAGCGTCACGTCGGTCATCCGAGACGTGTATAAGCACGAGGGCGTAAAGGGCTTTTGGCACGGGCAGATGGGTACCTTCCTCCGGGAATCCGGCGGCTGCGGCGCCTGGTTTGGCTCCAAAGAGACCGTGACCAAGATGTTCTACCTCTGGAACGAGCGGTCGGCTACAACACAAGCAGAAAAGGACTTCTTGGCCACCGAAGCCTTGCCGCTATGGCAGCAGGCAGTGGCGGGAGCCACCGCCGGCATGTCGTATAATTTCCTATTCTTCCCAGCCGATACCGTCAAGTCACGCATGCAGACTTCGCCAGTCGGCGGCTCTGCCCCGCCCAAAACCTTTTGGCAGGAGGGCAAAGCGCTGTGGAATCAGCATGGGCTTCGTGGATTGTATCGCGGGTGCGGAATCACGGTGTTGCGGTCGGCGCCTAGCTCGGCCTTCATCTTCATCGTCTTTGACAGCTTGAAGCGCTATTTTCCTCTGTAAGTCGACATTACTAGACACCGAACGGGTTATCTGCATAGAGGTGCAATCTAGAGGAGTTTGGGTGTTGCGATGCGACTCGTTCACGTAAAGACTAGATACAATAGGTAGATGGAATAAAGAGGAGCATGCGGTATTTGCCCCATGCTGAAGTACAGGGTGGGTGAACAGGTATGAGTTGCAGAATCTACTGGCCCCCCCCCTCCAATGACTTAGATGTCATCGTTCCGGGCTATAGCGACTCAACCTTTGCCCCTTTTCACCCATCTCTCGTAGTGGTGACCCCGGGGTAGGCGGCCCGTCGCATCCGAGCCTTCTCCCATTTTCGCCCTTCCCCCCCTCTACGGCGTCCTCTTCTCCAGCGCGGCGTCCGAGATGTCCCAGCCGTTTAGATGGCCGACGCCGGCGTTGAGGTAGGCGGCGAAGCCGAGCCAGGCGAGGTAGGGGAGCTGGCACCAGGCGGCGACGTCGTCGACGGCGAAGTAGAGGCGGGCGAGATAGCCGTTGAGGCCGAGGAGGGCGGCGAGATCGGCGAGGGCGAGGGCGGGGCGACGGAGCCCGAAGAAGAGCGGCATCCACAGCAGGTTGAGGCCTAGCTGGGTCGCGTACAGGGCGCGCAGCAGGTCAGGGGTGACAGATGGTGCGGGAGAGCGGGAAGAGGCGGCGACCACGGCCCGGTGCGCCGCGTACCCCATCAGCCCGTATAGCACCGTCCACGCGGGGCCGAAAACGCGCGCCGGCGGCCGCAGCGGCGGCTGCCGGATCTGGAGGTGGGTGCGCTCCGTATCTTTGGCTGTGCCGCGGGGGGCGGGGTGTACCCGGCGTTAGCGGGTGCAGGGAGAGGGAGGGAAAGGAAAGGAAAAGTACTCACGTTGGGAGCCGAACCCTACGGTGGTGCCCAGCGCGATGGGGAGCAGGATCGAGGCGGCCGGGTTGGCGAAGACGTCGTAGGGCAAGCTGGCGAGACGGGGGGTGTAGGTGGTCATGTTCGGCAAGAGAGGTACCTATTTATACGTAGATGTCCGCAAAAAAGACAAAACACGATGTTGATGAGGAAGCTCTGGGTTTAATAAGAGTAGGGATGTTGTATGTAGGTTATGTGTTCCTGGTCGAGCTGTGAATAATGCTTGCTGCGGTGAGCTCGAATTTCTGTTGGTTGCGTGCCCGCGGAAGAGAATGCGGGAAGTCGGGGCCGAGGCATTAAAGTGGTGACGTAAGGGGCCGTCAACTCCGGCGCAATTGATCAAACCACTGCATATACGGGTTAGCTATGGCAGTGTTCCCTACGGAATCCGCCTATGTTAGTAACAGCGAGTAAGGTCGACCTTGGTGAGGTTATACCTAGGCGTTGTTTTAGGTAGTTATTAGGTAACACTTGCTTCACTTCCCAGCTGATTCATTCCCTTTAGCAGCTGTCAGTCGACTTCGTCACGCGTATGTCACACGGTTAACGTCTAATAGCACTTTAACCGTACCTTGCTTCGGTATAGGGCTGAGAGTGAGTTGGAGGCCATGGCGCATTATGTCGGGTTATTAGAACAGAGATCTACCTAACCCTCGGCCGGATATTCATTCGACAACACCTACCGACCTATAGACACAGATCTATTGAGCCCCTCGTACCCCCCCAGAGGAGCCAAGAAAACAGTCCAACAGAAAGTAACCGAAAGCCCGGTCCGCGATAACGGCATTCATTAGCACTTGAGGTGTGAGAAGTCCCGAGTCGCGAGGCCGTGCAATGTTTAACCATCCCAGGCAACCAACTAGGTACTAACCTTAGCCTCGCGAGTGAGAGCTTACACGAATTGGACGGGTTCCGCAAAGGATAGCTACGTGCCTGGGTCCTGGTGTGCCAACATTATGTGCGGCCTTATACGCACCCACTTCATTAATAGGTGGGTGGTAACTAGAAGCCCTAATTCGTGTTCCTTTACCCGCGAGAGGAGACGGGTACCTAGTGGTAAGTACCTTCTTGCCGATATATGCTGACTAAGCTCACCGTCGCGCATAGCGTCGAAGATGTTTATGTACATAGGTACGTGCCTACTGCTCAGTGGACCCGGGTCGGTCCTTTCAGCCACACGGGGAGCGGCGGCGGCTCGTATCGGCCAGTTTGCCAGTCGCTGCTCCATCCGTCGACAGACAGGAAATCCGTGCTGCAGAGGCGCGGTTGGCAACTGTCGTTCTCCTCCTACTTCTCCCGAACAAACATCACCAGTCATCCATCTCGGGACCTCGCGCCCTCTAGGAAAACTTGTGCTGTCGACATTATCCGCACCTCTACAGTTCGTCCATCCTTTTTTCTGACCACTTCCCTTTTTTCGATCAATGCAATGGCCTCTCCAACGTCCGTTGTTGTCCCTCCCCCTTCTTCCTCCTCACGAACGCCCCCTAAGATTTCCTCCTCGCTCCGAAGCTCGTCACCAGTCTCGTGCTCTCTCTCTCTCTCTCTCTTCCTCGCTTTTCCCGCCTCCCTCTCTCCATCTCTCTCTATACCAGCACACGAACCACAGCACGGAGCCCCCTAGACAAACTTGTTACTTTCCCCCTTGTTGCCATCTTTCGGTTTGCTTGTTGCAGGACTTACGCTTCTGCCCATGCTCAGCTTCTCAATTTGGCTTGCCGATCCCACCCTGCCTCTCTCCGCCGTTCTTGATCACCCGCCTTCTATTCTATTCTCATTGCTCCTCTCCCCCCAACGTTGTCAAAATGGTTTCTCTAACAACAATCGCGTCGTCAAACAATAGGCATCAGGTTTATCCGCAAGCAGTCGGCCTTAGCTGAATCCTGCAACAGCCACGCCTCGCCACCGAAGCCAAGCCATTTCTACATATATACGTTTCAACGACTGCATCCCTTTAAGAATAGAACAGTGGTTTCCCTTTCCGAAGCGTCGCCCTAGCAAGATTGGCACACCGGAATAACTAAATGCCAAATTCTGCGGCCTAAACCCCCAATATGGACTCGTACTCATACCGCGACGCTCCTGCGCGCTCCCCCCTCGATCGTGGCTGGGGCAGTCGTGATGACCGAGTCAAAGAAGAGCCTCGCGACAATTTTTACCGCGGGCGTTCTCCTGGTGCGTTTTCCGACACCCATTTCAGAAATCCGGCCCAATTGGGTGCTAGAGCGGCCTGTTTAGTCACCTCCTACGCTTTGTTGTTCTGTGCTTACCACTGAGGGTTGTGGCGTCGATTAGCACGTATCACCTCGGAACGCGAACTAACTATGACAGGCCATGACCGCAGCCGACGAAATCGATCGCGATCTCCCCCGCCCGTGGACCGATACGAACCCAGGGCGCGTGGTAGAGACGAGTACGCAGGAACTCGTGATCGGGATGAACGGCGGCGCATCAATTCCCCCCCTGCCAATATTGATCGCTACGTCCCTGGCCAAGGGGGCAACCAACCTCCCCAACCAACCATAAACCCTCTAGCAGATCCCGCCAAGTTGTCTTTCCAGGTCGGATTCTCATACTTTGGAGAGTGGTGGAGAGCGAATGAGAAGATCAAGGAGGAGAAGGAGCGGGCTCGCACAGGCCGGAGGCGTGAACCCGAGCGGCCTCGAGGTCGCGAGACTCAAGAAGATCGGGATAAGGAAAAGGCCAAGATCCAGGCTGCCTATGACTCCTACAAAGAGGAGTTGCAGGCCAAGATGGCTCGAACGTTCGTCTCTGAGCACAAGAAGGAGCAGTGGTTCCGCGAGCGATACGTCCCCGATGCCCGCGACGCTCTACGCAGACAAATCAACGAGTTCCGCCGCAGCGCGTACAGTCAATGGGAGCAAGACATCGAATCCGGCACATTTGATGAATTTTCTCTTGAGGGAATACCAAAGAGTGAGAGCAATGGGGCAGGGGGGGTTGTCGAAAAGGAAGAAGGGGAGGCAACCGCGGCGAATGAGGTGCTAGGAGTCGGCGACCTCGTCCCTACGACTGGCAGCGATCTCCGAGATGAAAGCCTATACCAGCCTACCCTCCTAATTAAGACCATCGCCCCCCACGTCAGCCGCCACAACTTGGAGTCTTTCTGCAAAGAGCACCTCGGCGAGGAGGAAGGCGGCTTCAAATGGTTGTCACTTAGTGACCCAAATCCTAGCAAGAGGTACCATCGCATGGGATGGGTTATGCTACACCCTTCCTCTGAGACGGCAGCGCCGGTCGAGCGCGCGGACCCGAAAGATGAAGATGGGGATGTGGAAGTCAAGTCGCCTGTGCCCGTCTCCACAGCCGAGAAGGCCCTCGAGGCTATCAACGGCAAGACTGTGAAAGACGAAGTCCGTGGCGACTTTGTATGCCATGTGGGCGTCCACAACCCTCCGAGCAACCCTCGCAAGAAGGCGCTGTGGGATCTGTTTTCTGCCCCGGAAAGAATTGAGAAAGATCTTAGCCTCGCTCAACGGCTCGTCAATAAATTTGAGGAAGATTTCGGCTCCGATTTCAACGCCACTCTCAAAATCGAGGAGAGGGTGGAGAACTTGCGAAGCGCTGGAGGTCTTCAGGCGGCCGGTCCTGCGCCGACGACGAAGAAGGTCAAAAAAGACCGCAATCTCGACTTCGATGACGCTATGGACGAGGGAGAGGAAGGCGAGATGGGTGAATCAGACGAGGAGGGTGCTGTGGATGACGAAGTGGACGACGAGGATCTACTGGTGAAGAAGAAGCAACTAGACCTGATGATCGAGTACCTCCGCCGAGTTTTCAATTTCTGTTTCTTCTGCGTCTTCGAGAGCGACTCGATTCACGAATTGACCAGGAAGTGTCCCGGCGGTCACCTTCGCCGACCCAGAAGCACTCTGTCATCGGCTGCTAAGAATGTAGCTCGTGCTAGTGCGAGCGGGGAGCCCTTCCCTTCTAAGAAGCCGAAGGAGGCAAAGGACGAGGAGGAAGGCGAGGCGCCGGAGCCCGACCGGAAATTCCGCAACACATTCTCGAGGTCGGAGCAGCAGCTCGAGCGAGCGTATAAATGGGTGAAGACATTCGAAGACAAGATTATGCAGATTCTAGAGCCAGAGTCGGTTGATATCCGAAAGCTCGGTGGTAAGCCGACGGAAGATGCACTGAACGACGAGCTTTCCAAGTTTGTCAAGCAGGAGGACGAGCACAAGTGGAGATGCAAGGTTCCCGAGTGCACCAAGCTTTTCAAAGAGGAGCACTTCTGGAAGAAGCACGTCGAGAAACGCCATACCGAGTGGCTGGACGCGATGAAACAAGAGGTAATCCCCCCGCTTCGTCTGGGGACGGGTCCCGTGCGCTTGGTTCACTGAACTGACCGAATCTAGTTTGATCTCATCAATGCCTATGTGCTTGATCCAGCACATATCGCGCCGTCCAGGACCGACGCCAACAGCAATGGCCATTTCCCGCCCGCTAACGGACAAACACAGCAAGGCACTCCACGAGGGTTCAATCTACAGAACTTTGCTACGATGAGCAACATGGTCCCGCCATTTGCCGGCTTCCCCGGTCTCCCCATGCCGCCGCTCTTCGCGGGTAATCACGGTGTGCAGGCCGCCAGTTGGGGCGCCGGCGGCGAAGAGCGTGGCCCCGGGCCCATCCGACGCAACGCCCCCAGCTCGGGGAGATTTCAGAGCCGGGCCGGCCCATACGATCGACGTCAACAGCAGGGACGCTGGGGCCAGGACAGTCCGGGCATGGGTCGTGGACGGGGTGGTGCCGGCCGATGGGGTGACGGCGCGGGCGGAGCGGCAGTCGGCCCCCGTGAGGCAGTTCAGGGCCGCAGCCTGAAAAGTTACGAAGACCTCGACCACGTTGCAGGCGGAGGCGGTGGCGAACTCAACTACTAGCTACAATACTCTTCGCGATTCTGACATGGGCAGAAAAAAAAACAAACCTCTTTTTTTCTCTTCTTTTTTCTTTCCTCCGGTGGGCAAATCCGTCAAGAATAAGGCAATGCCAAAACACACCAACAATCCATACACCGGATAGATATCTGAGCCGCTGGCCCATCGGTGTGGGTTGATCGGTCAAACCGTCCGTCTCGGTTCCTTTGCCTCTGGCTAGCTAGCTCGGTGCTGGAAATGGATGATAATATTTCAAGGCAGAGCAAAGCGACTTTGCTCATGCTCTAGACGTCCGGAACCACCAAACTAACTGGCCCAAACCTTTTCCATCGACCTACCCCCTGCCTAATCTGGGCAATGTAATAGGAGCTTCTTCGAACTATAAAATGGAGAAAAAAAAAGATAAAGGGGGGAAATCCAAGTCATAAGCAGCAGGGAGGGGAGGAACGGAAGGGAAATGTCCAGGTTGCTTGGTGTGTCTATGTGTGTGCGTTGCTAGTTGTATGTAATGTACAGTATCTAACCTACCAATTTACCTATCGGCCTGTCAACCACCACCTTACCTCCCAGGCTTTTTTAGCCAGCACCGGAAACCCTTTTTTCGTTCTCCCTTTGCATTCTCGGCGGCAGACGCGAGCTCGGTACGCTTCGCTTAATACCTCTTCGCGACCAATACTCTTCCCCCCCCCGCATCCTAGCCTCGGCAATGCCGCCGCACCGGCGCGCACGTGCTGCCGTGCTTCCTGTCTCGACGCGGCGCCGCAGCAACCGGTCGTCGGCTAACGCGATCCGAGCAGAACAGAGCGCGGCGACGATGGCGGCGGCGGCGGTGGCTCGCTTACCGGACCGGCTGCGCGGGAGCGGCGGTTTTGAGGGGGGGGAGGGGGGTTTGTTGGAACAATTGATCTTCCATTCTCTTCTCCTCCCCTCTCCCTCCCCCCCGTAGACTTGCGAGAGGACGGGCCGCGGGGCTGGTGGCGAAGGACACTCCTAGTTCCCCGGCGTCCACCAGCTAGCTGCCCGAGACCTCCTGCGCACGAGCGAGTCTCCTGCGCATCGGAGCGACAACGCGCACTTCCAGCGACTTCCCAACCGCGGGGTGGGGGGGGGGGGGGGGGGGAGAGGCTGCCGCAAGGAGAGGAATGCGTGTAGATGGGGGGGCGCGTTGCATCGGCAGAGGAAAGGGCGGAGGGGGGCAAGGGTTGAGCGGGCGTGCGTGCGTCGAGATGGAGGCGCTTGTTGGTCTGGGGCGAAGGGCTGGGCAAGGCGGCGGAGGCGAGACGAGACGAGCGATGGGCGTCCCGGGCGCTGGCAGATCAGCGTGAGGGCGAGGGCGAGGGCGAGGGCGAGGGAAGCGAGAGAGAGAGTTACGGTTGTGTGTTCGGCGCATTCCTCCCCCATTCCTATACCCACGCATCGCGCCGCTCCTGTTTCTTCGCCAGCTTATGTGGTCACCTGTTCACTTACCTACTTGCTCTCGCTCCCTCTCTCCCTCTCTCATTCATATCACTAGCCAGCGCAGAACCAACTGCCTACCCCCTTTCCCTCCCCTCCCCCCCTTTTTTTTTTTCACCCCATCGGTCGGCGATGGGGTCGGTGTCTCTGGTTGGTGCCCGGCATAATGGTTCAACAGCCAAGGGGTGGGGAGTACGTAGAGAAGCCGGCGGCAACCGCACAGAGCACACAGGTATTGTAGGTATGTGTGCGGGTTGCGCATACGCGCGTGTGTGTCCGTGTGCAGGTCCGTAAAGTCGGTGAATAGGCCGGTATGCCTAATGCTATTAATACCTACATGTCTTCCTGCCGGCCTGTAGGCATGCCTATTATCTGCGAATAGGGGATACCGAGAAGAAAAAAATCCCAGAGTAGATTGCCTGTATGTATCATGCGTGCCGTGCATATATAGGTATATATGTGTTTGGCATATACCTACAGCTATGCGCGTCTATACGTACAGTAATCAACAAGTGAACCCCCCTTCTGCACCTGTCTATCCAGCTTAACCCTCCCCCCCCCCCAACTAAGTATTCTTACCTATACCCCCTTTCCTACCTGCTTCCCACTTCGGCGATGGCGATGGGCTATTTCGGGGATTTACACACCACCTCTCTGTCTCTGTCTCTCTCTGTACAGGTATGTTATATGTGTGTAAGTGTGTTGTATGTATGTATGTATGACTGCATAGGTAGCTGAATGAAGCAACGGATAGTGTATGGGTGTGTGGGTGTGGGTGTGTGACGACCCCGTGGGGGGGAAGAAAGGAGTGGTATGTGGAGGGATCGGCTGGACCCAGCGTCACGGCCAGAAACCAGAATTGGAGGGGTTTTTTTTACGCCCGCGCTATTAACGCGACAACAACCGGCTGGCGGTGAAGAGGAAAACGTCGTAGCGGCGTATATGGGTGTCGGCGACTTACCTTCTTGGCAACGCTTTCCGCTTGCCATGCAGGGCGTGGCGTGCCCGATCGTCGGCAGGGTAAGAAGTCCAGAGGCGAGAAGCATCCGGACCGAGTATGCAGAAGAGCGATCTCCTGCCCCCTGGTCCGGATGCGGAGACTGATATTCTGTTTATTCACCTGCATCGCTTTGCATGTGTTATAGGGATAAATGTCATAGGTCCCGGGATGGGTCGCCGAGGGGGTGTGTGTGCCGGACTGAGTTCGCGTCACGTACAAGACAGCGCGGTGCAACACCTACTCCGGGGCATCGCCCCTTTTCGTACATCCCGAAACCAATGTAGAGGCAGTCAACACACCTACGTTGACCTCGTCAGTGAAAGAAAAGGGGACCGTATGGGTTCGGTATCCTCCATAGACAGCTGGGGAGGTGCTTACTATCCAATCCCCCGCTTTCTATTCGCATGATGCATTCGGATCGGCCTCCATTGGTTGCGCTTCCTAGAGCCGGCGTTGTACGGCGAACACACAAGGGGAGAGATGAATGTTCATAGATAGGAGAGATTTTATAAACATACTTGATCGGCGACCCAGGCCTGTCCCTTCCCAACATGTGTGTATATGTTCCTAAACCATACCCGCCTGGTCTATACTCACGCTTCGCCCCTAAGTTTGGGCGTTTCGCGTGCTCATCGGCAGTCCCGGCTAGAATTCGAGCCACCGTCATCCTTCCTCCCCGAGATTGGGTATTCGCTCGTCAAGGGATCTACGATAGGCTTTCACTGACATGATATTGCCTTGGTTTCGGCCCTACTTTCTGGGAATGTAGTAAGGATGTCGATTGCCTTCACCCCCTGCCTCCGTTTCTCCGTTTCTCCATGGTCGATCTAACTCCTTTTGTCCCTTCAGCTTTAGTGAATAATGAGTAAAGAGCGAATTCGCCAGACAGCCATTACTGCTGTTACGCACGCAGGGGTGAGACTTTCTCGTACAGCTCCGGTCACCCCATAATTGCCGCGACACCCACGCCTCCGGCAAACATGGCAGCAACCGTGACAAAGCTCGAGACGGACAGAAGTGATATCCCACTAATCCCGTGACCTGACGTGCAGCCGCCGGCCATCCTCGATCCAACTGCTAGGAGTATGCCGCCAAGCACAGCTCTGACGGGTCCGATGGTTATCCCGACTGCCGTTTGCGCGGCTGGCGATACTAGGGAGATAGCTAGCGCGCCAACTGTCATGCCGGCCGTAAGGGCAACGGAATTGTACGACTTGGGTTTCGGTGCTCGTCCCATCGCCCACCAGAAAGAGTCGCCGACCTCATCGAAGGAGGAGGAAGTGCCAAGGAGGGACTTCCGTGTCACGATGGACAACAGCTGAGCGCCGGCTATGAGGACGCCGCCCGTCACCGACCCAACCAAGCCAGAAGACCCCGGAGAAAATAGGTATACTATAGACGCCACGAGTCCGGCAAATAGGGTTTCGACAGCAACGAGGGCAGTTAGTTGGCTCGTCCCTAGCCACTCGTCAAGGGCCAGGGGGTGGTTCTCGGCGTCTGCTCCCTCTGTGGCTGCCTTTTTCCGTCTATGAATAATCGGCCGCAGGAAACCTGTCCAGAACACGCCTCCAAGCATCGCGCCACCTAGCGTGTAGAGACCGGAACGAACGCCAGCTCCGATCTGCGCGTACACGGTCCCCGGGCAAGCACCGGAAACGGTCATGCCTGCTCCTAAGATACATCCGCCTATTATATTGCCATCAAGCGGCCCGAAGAGGTTGATGGTAGAGAAGCCGCGGGGGCTTAATATGACGTAGCCTAACCGTCGGAATACGTTAACGACGAGACTATTGGCAAAGTTAACTGCGCCGCCTTCCCCGCGGGACCACGCTGAAGAGGGGCTATGGCGCCCCGTTAGGAGATGCAGATTCACTTACGTGCTAGTGCCTGAAGCCGTTAGGAACGTTGTGACCATGTGCCAGTTGTGAAAGGTCATCTGTTCGACGATGACATCGGGTAGGTAGATCGCCGCCGCGGACAGGGCAGAGCCAAAAGCGACTCCAGTCACAAAGGGTCTAAACATAGTTTCGGATATCAGTCTGAGATGCAAGATATCGATGATAGCGTTAATGGGCAAGTGTAGTGGAAAGTCGGCTAAGGATGGCGGAGGGACATCGACACAGATTTGAAAGCTCGGCGGCAGCGAGGTATTATACTTTAGTCATCCTGGATGTTCGAGTCGGCGATTCGCATCATGAGTTTATCCACATCAGCCTCTTCGCCCATCTCCATTCGGGCACCGTGTTGTAGAGATGGCCCCGCAAACCGGCCCATGGCTAGAGACCATGGCCGTGGGAAGCCAGTAGACTTGGTCCGGATCCATGTATTTTCGGCTCGTCAAGTCCCGCAGCGATCCCAACGGGTCGCCGACGCTAGTGTAGCGGGCATCTCTACCATGCCATGGCACGCTAGGTAGGTTTGATCTCCTTCGCTTCCTTCACGTTGTGACTGGGTAGGCATCTGTGCTCGACGTCCTTAGTGATAGTGCCATGCCCCTTTTCGGAGCGAGGAGGACTACGCTATGCCGTAAGGGGCCAGGAGGTGGTTGCACGCGGGGAGGTTCGAAATCACCCATGTGGCACGCCCTACAGACGCCCCAAACATCTTGGGCCATGTTTCGAGAAGGTTATGAAACATGGAATTTGGGACGTCAAGAACTCGGGAGATTTCCTCGAGGCTAACGAGTAGACGGCGATCATTAATGGTTATGGGCCTCGGGGATCTTGCATGGGGCCGCTGCCCGTGCGCCTCGCCGACGTTGTTTCGAGGCGGTCTCGTGGCTTGTTCGGCCTGACGGACGGTCGACCAGGCCCACCGACTACCCACGTTTTCCACGCGTCAATGCATCTTCAAATCTGTCGATGGAAAATGCCGAAAACTCCGTATGTTCCGCGAGCCAATTTGACTAATAATAGAGTATCGACTTGTCGCCATCGCGCGGACGATACAACAACAACAACACGTCCACTATCCATTGGCTTGAGACGGCTCGTCGATCCTATGACAAAGCCTACACGTGCTGCCGCTGCTACGCTTGTCGATGGAGGAAGTTAAGATCGACAGCGGAGCTTGCTCACCATGATTTCGAGCGCGCAAAGGCGAGCCGGCTGGCCAGCGGCAGACGCCATCGTGTCGACGATCTCTATGTTCCAGGCAATGCCATCTTCCACCTCACGAGCATGGCTACGTCGGAAAACGCACCAGGCCCTTCGAATATCGAGAGGATCATGACATGTTGCATGAAATGGTCGGGCCACCTCAAGGGCAAATTCCCCCCCCCCCCCCCCCCTTCGCGCCGGTAGAGCAGTGGATGCCCGAGAGAAGAGATCAAAGGATCACAGTTGCGCCGCCCGTACCAGGGTCGACTGCATTGACCTCCTACCTTAACCCCAGGTGGTTCGCCCCCTCCACCCTTTATGCTCTATCGAGGCGTGAGACTTGGATGTACGCAAAGACGTTACCCGTCTATATACACCAACCTACGGGGAGCCCGTACTCTTGTCAGATGTGGATGGGTGGTGGACGTCGTAATCGGGCCTATAAGAGAAGAGGTGAGGGGGAGCAAGCCAATGGGGGTTACGGTGGTTGTCGACGGATGCTGCATTCGTCTAGATTAATTGCCTGCAATGCTTGGGTGTTTGGAACTATCGACAACGCGCTTAAGTAGGTATAACTAGTTAGTCGTCGAGAGGAGAGCATCGTGAGGACCACACAAGTTGTATACCAAGTCGTGGTCGCATCTAGGAATAGCGTAGGTAGGCCATGTATTCATTCCGTCATCGCTGTTGCTCTGCTCGCTCCCCTTTCGTAGTTTCCTTCTCGTCCTTTGCCGGCTCGCTCTTTCTTTCCCTGGCCCCACCCTTCCTGTCCTTTCCCTCCCCCACCTGCCTCCTAAACTTGCCCTAACAGAAGCCACATTGCATCGTCGCCCTTTCCAAGAATAGCCTGCTGTTGCGTCATTCTGTGTATTCTGCGTGTGGACGCGGAGAGGAACTTGGCTTGGATGCATACCTGCATAGCACACGTCTTCTGGTGTACCTAGGTACCTAGGTACGTACCTATAGTAATGCTTACCTTTAGTTGCATATTTCGGCAAGTTGGAACCTCCAAGACGACGGTGCGTACAGGTACCTTGGTACCTAGCTACCATCTTGCAGCCTCCTAAGGTTAGGGACCTAACCTTACCTACCTACCTAGGTACCTAGAGACTAGGAGCTCATAATACCATAAAGACTTACCTGGTACCTAAGGTTAGGCACCTAGGTAAGGCACCGTAGTGCTGTATTTCGGTACGGCAATAGGTACTGCGCAGGTACCGACCTGCGCCGCGACCAGTAGCAGCAAGCTCTGCTCATTAAGGCAAATACCGAGGTCTCTCAGCGCCGATTGCCTTGGCTACCCTGGCCCGAGCGCCGCGGGGTCACAATTGCCCCAGAACCCCTCAACAGCGCGACGACGGACCTCTCAGCTCGCGGCGCGCCGCCGTAGATTACAAATAGGGCCTTGTCCGAGAAGTGCCGGAGGCTGCCTTTGACGCTGTCCCGTATATCAGACGCCTAGTTCTGCGCCGAGTTGTGCGGGCCTGCGAGACGATCTGTTTTATTTATGTATTATTATTTTTTTTTTTTTTCGCCATCGCCTGCCGTCTTCCCCACCGTCTTCCCCCCGCCCTTGTCCCGAGTAAGAAGCGAGACAGGTAGCTGTTGTGATAATACTTAAAACATAATAACCTGAGCGACGTTTTCGATCCCGGCCTCTATTTTATCACATACACAACTGCGCCAGTACGCGCAGGACTCGTGCCCACCATGCCGCGCACTCTGACCATCAAGAAGGTCGATGGCAAGCCTGGCCAGGTGTACTACCCGTGAGCTTCCCACCCATCCCGCTCCCACCCTACCCCCACCGGCCTAAAGAGGATAAGAAGCGAAAAAAACAAATCCCACTCCTTGCGTCCCACGTGCAGACAGCTTACCTTCGCACGGCTTCTCCGCAGCCTCCAGCTCAACGAGGTGCCCCGTCCCGTGCCGGGGCCTAAGGAGGTCCTCGTGCGGCTGCACGCCGCGGCTCTGAACCACCGGGACCTCTTCATCCGGCAGCAGCTGTACCCGGGGATCTCGTTCGAGCAGCCGCTGCTCGCCGACGGCGTCGGCACCGTCGTCGAGGCCGGCGCCGACGTCGACCCGGCCGTCGCCCGGTCCCTGCTGCGCGCCCGCGTCCTGCTGACCCCGAGCCGCGGCTGGGCCGCCGACCCGCGCGGGCCCGAGGACCCCAACCCCGCCAGCTTCAGCGTCGTCGGCGGCTCCGCCCTCCTGCCCCCCGGCTCCGGCACCGCCCAGGACTACGCCCTCCTCGACCCCGCCGAGCTCGAGCCCGCCCCGCCCCACCTCACCGCCGCCGAGGCCGCCGCCCTCCCCCTCGTCGGCCTCACCGCCTGGCGCGCCCTCGTCACCAAGGGCCTCGGCGCCCCCGACGCCGACGCTGCTGCCGCCGCCGCCGACGGCATCAACGTCCTCGTCACCGGCATCGGAGGCGGCGTCGCCCTCTCCGCCCTCCAGTTCGCCGTCGCCTTGGGCGCCCGCGTCTTCGTCACCTCGGGCGACCCCGCGAAGCTCGAGCGCGCCCGCCGCGAGCTCGGCGCCGCCGGCGGCGTGTCCTACCGCGACGCCGCCTGGGATAAGCAGTTGGCCGCGCAGCTGCCCGCGTCCCGCCCCTACCTCGACCTCGTCATCGACGGCGCCGGAGGGGACGTCGTGTCGCGCGCCGTGCGACTGCTGCGCCCCGGCGGCGTCATCTCCGTCTACGGCATGACCGTCGCCCCCAAGATGGACTGGACCATGCAGGCTGTCCTCCGCAACGTCGACCTCCGCGGCAGCACCATGGGCTCCCGCGCCGAGTTCCGGGCCATGGTCGACTTCGTCCGCCGCCACACCATCCACCCTATCGTCAGCCGCGTTGTCCGCGGCCTCGATGACATCGCCGCCATCGACGGCCTCTTCGAAGACATCCGCGCCGGCAGGCAGTTCGGCAAGCTCGTCATTGAGATCTCGCCCGAGGGCGAGGACAGCGCCAAGTTGTGATGACGAGGGAGACCGCAGACAATGATGTGCGTGCTTCATCCATTCACCTAGGGGGTTTGCGTAACCTATAGTAGCATCACGTAGGAAGGCTTGTTTCGGGGCTGTGAGGGCATAAGAGACGTACATCCTTGCCACCCTAGTTCATTAGATAGAAATCACGACATTTCGTCGTGTAGAACAGGCACAGAACAATATAACCCGTCGTCGTACTGTTCTGAATTATGGGTGATTTTTGCCTCCCCGTTCCGTCTGCGCCCATATCAAGTATCCGGTAGCTTGATATTAGGGTGATTCTTCGAGACAGCTCTCTCGTAATAATACAGTATCACGACATTCTCCAGCCTTCAGCCACCCGAGGCCCCAGGATGCTGCTACCTTCTCGACAGGATCGCGAAGCAGCGTTGACTTCATGTCCGGGGTCAAGGCCCTGCTAGAAAACCCCCTCCCTGATCCGAAGATGACCCTTTTCTCCCTGGCTCCCCCCTTTCCTGCCATCTGGGCTCTATTCCTGTCGAGTACAACTCGAAACAAACGAAGATCCCATTCGCCAAACGCCACCCTCCTTCCCTACCATCGCGAATGTGCCGGAACCAAATCATGCTAGAGCGCAATTGGTGCTGAGAAGAAAAACCGTAAACTGTAAAGGCCGTTTATGCCTCGTCGTTAGCTCGGCTATGGACCTGTCCATTCCCAGCCTTTAAGCTTGGAGAAATGCTAATGGCGATCTTTTTCGAGCCACCCCCAAGGTCCCGAGTGCCGGAAAGACTCCTCTTCTTACGAAGGACCCCCGGTACGCTCGGGGTGTTGGAGGTGGCGGGAGTACTATTTCGGCGTTTGTGTTGGATCATCTTGGTTAGGTCGTCTTCCTCATCTTCCTCTCGCCGTCGTTTCTCGGACAGACGCTCCGGTGGAGGCGCGACGTCGGCGGTGCCTTGGTCTTGTTTCCTCTGCCCCTCATCCTGCCTGTCCTCGTCGGCCGAGAGAGCCCCGGATTCGACGTCTTCGTCCCCTTCCTCGTCGGAGGCATAATCGACCAATTGTCTGGCGTGGGCCAACTCGCCATTGGCGGATGTTGGTCGATTTCCGGGTTTCGCGTGCAATTCCTCTTCTTCGTCGGAAGTGTTCCAGTATTCTTCTTCGGCTTGGTCTATGGCAATGTGTTCCATTAGCCCTCCAGTTTTCGGGTTTATGATGTTGGCTCGTCTCTTCTGCTCATCTTCCGTACCCGCGAAGTAGTCCAGATTGGCACTGAAACCCTCAGTTTGGTCGTATCGGATGATTAGGGTTCTAAATAGTTCCAAGTAAGCCAGGCTCTGCACCTTGCCACGGTAATTTTCGACTACATGCTTGACTAGATCTTTGATATTTTCCTTCCGAATAAACTCGAAGAATTCCAGGCACGAGGAGCTGAGTAAATTATCCCTGGGCATGGTCTCGATGAGGACATCGAGGATAGGTCCGACGACTTTTTTCTCTACCACCTGTTTAACGTAGAATTCGTCCTGAAGACCAATTAGCTGTCGCAGGAATCGAATAGCGACTGGACTACTGTTAGCATACGGAACTAGGAGGCTCCCTCGGCCGTGAACAAACTCACCGAGTTTCAGGAACTTCTCCGGACAGCTAAGGAGCTGGCTGATGCGCAAAACGATGTCGTTGTTCAGGACGAAGAACTTGCTGCGGTGTTGATGCTGCCGAATGAAAAAGCAGAGTATTTCGATCAAATACGTGAACATGGAGGCCTGCTGGACGGAGAACTCCATGCTCTCGCGGCCTTCGAGGTTGATAAGGGGTTGGAACAGCTTGATAGCCGAGCTCTCGTAGAATACGTTGAGGAAGTTGTCTTGTTGCGGATCCGCGTTCGGCGGTATCCTCGAGGCGGCTCTAGCTGCGTATTCGCCATTGGCTTTCGCGAACGCCTCTGGTTGCATCGGCGGGCCCTGATCTAGTAATACCTTTAGCGCATCTGATATCTGCGATTTTACTCCCAGGTCGACCTCGACTAGGAGCAGATCGATGAGCGAGTCCGTCAGCGGCGGCTGCTTCTCGTGAAGCTGGCGGTATATCATGGAACGAATCATCTGCGGATCGTGGTCGATCATGGAAACCAGAATATCGGTGGCCCCGACCCTGACTGCAACATCGTGATGCCGTAAGCCAAAGTTAATGACCTGAAGGAGACCATGAGCGAGGAAGTTGTTGTATAGGGTCTGTCGAGCAGGTGGTTGAAGGTTCTTAGCGATTGCGCAGCACTGCTGGATAAAGAGAACCGCCTCCTTCTTGCGCCTGGGCTCGGGCTGCGAAGACTTGAATATGTTGAACAACTCGGCCAAGAACGTCAAATTAGATTGTAGATGTTGCACGATATCGACCTGGTTGAAGAAAATGAGAGAGTTCAGGACGGAGAACGTATTGTCGTCCAAGATCCGTGCGAGCACCACGTCTTTCAGATACTGGAGCCGATAAGTCTGGTGGATTTTCCTGAGGATTAGGCGGTCCTCGATCCGAACGACTTCCTTGAAGCGACCCTCGCCCTCCAGCCAGTGACGATGGTTGGCCTTATGACTCGGGAAATCCGGGTCATATTCCAGGGCGCCGACGACACCAATCACACATTCGTCCGACACGGCGTGTTCTATGATGCTGGTGTCATTGAGCAGGATGATAATCTTCATGATGTTGCAAAGGCGATGTAGGTCATTGAGGCTTTCGAGGTCCTCGGCGTCGGTAACCAAGGGGATTAGCTTGCCGATATAGTCCTCAGCCAGGACGTACTTGGTGAGAGCATCACGTCCGTTAGCCGATCCGCTCATATCACGCATTTGCGACTCGATCTCGGCGAGGTTGGCCATCGAAGCTTGTGGGAGGGAAATCGGATTCGACAAGTCCATGGCAAGATCGTCGGACAAGCTGTCATCTGCTCAGAACTAGATTAGAAGACCGCGACTCAAACGACCACAGGGAAAGTCGCACCTGGTGGGTTGACAGAATGGTATTGTTGTTGCACGCCATTGATAAATTTCCTACGACACAGTTAGCTACTATTTCTCTAGCAAGCCACCCCGGAAGATGGTCGGGTCGCGGCCAGGCAAGGCATATTTGTATACCAAATCATGGCGCATCCTTCGGCTTCTTGAAAACTAAGCGCCATATCCACACCTGTGCCCGGTTCGGTCCAGACAATTAAAGTCTCTGTAAGTGATACCGGTTAGCAATCGGCGGCCCCAATCAGTCGACATCAAAGAGGCCCTCCCCCCCCTCCCCCTTCCCGCCGGGGACATACCTTGTTGCTTAGTGAAACCATCCTCCTTGCAGATTCTAGTCTCCAGTAGCACGCGTTCAGGTTGATCTTCGGACTCGACGAATACGCGCGGGTCTTGCTGTTGGCCATCGTCGGACTGCAAGTGACGGAGTACACGTTAATAATTGAAGGTAAACATGGCGAGCAAATGCGACACCGGGGTACGAGCTACGGGAGCGGCAGCGCGTCACAGGAGAGCGCTTACGATACTAAAGGCGGCAGTACAGAAACCGGTGCCGCGGTCAAACCAGTCGTTGTTACGGAGCTCATACACCTTGACCCGTTTCTTGTCCGTCGACGGATGAGGCACGGGCTGTGCCGCCATCGTCAACGGTTGGCCTGAGTTCGACTCGACAACCAGGCGGTTGTAGTGCAGGAGGTCGGGCGCGAGATCGAGGTGCTGTTGGAGGGATAATTCGGTGTCGCCTTGGCTGAGGATGGTAAGCGCAGCCACGGTTTCTCGATATCGGCGCGCTAATTGACGGGCGCGCACGCGACAACGGGTGCAGATGTGTAGATAGATGTTGGTGTGCGTGAGCGTGAGCGGAGAGAGGGGGGCGGGAGACGAGGATTGCCGAGATTATTTTTTTTTTTCCGGGTTGGAAAAGGGCACGAGCGGGCCAAGACAGAGAGATAAAGAATGATAGAAGACGGGATGTCGCTACAGGACGATGGATCGCGACAGACGGACCTGGAAGAGACAAGATGGGGCTATTGTGTGGCTCGTGGTGTGGATGACGAGCGGTAACCCAGGTAATGTGTTGTAGTAGGTAAGTAGATGGGTGGAGGGACGGATGGATTTGGGATGAATGAGGCGACTCAGGTAAAAAGGTCAGTCGAGAAGGTCGGGCTAGACAAGGCAGCCAGGTCAGGCTTGTCCCTCCGTGCGACAGGGTCCGGGGGGGGGGGGTCGTACCTCTTGGTGGTGCGTCTGATTACGGGTTGGGTCCACGGCCACCTTTGGGTGACGTATGTATATATATATGGAGAGAGAAGTCGAGGGCTGATATCCAGTTATAAGACATAGGTATATTAAGAGCCTGCACTGTAAATATGCCCGTAGGCTTGCCTGATGTACCCTGCCTGTAGCGGGAGTTAGGGTACCCCCATAGGCACCTGTCACAGGTCAACTTCGCCGTTAGACCGCGAAAGGGTATTAACCTTACGTTCATACAACACGCCTGGTATAGGGCCGTCCTCCGAAGGTGAACTCGTTCAATTCCTGGAGGCAGGGTTCGTGGCATAGAACAGGTAGGACGTTAGGCGGTATTGCGACACGGCGACGACGCGATAAAAAGAAAGCCGCGATATGTGTATGCATGGGTATATATGTAAAGTGCCCTGAGACCTAACTCTCAACGCTAACGGTTGTACTCATAAACACCCAAATAGCAGTAAAGCTTACATGCAAGGTGATGTGATACTGCAACCCCCGATCTATATACCGTATGTACACCCACCCGCCATTGCCTCCGTTCGTCGACAAGTGAACTGTATAGGTACCTACCGAAATTCTAAGTGGGAAAAGAATCGCCGTTTTATAGGCTCCTTCACGGATGTATCTGTGTAGGAGGCCGGTACCTCCTATAGGTGTAGAACTCGGTACGTGAAAATGTGCCTATTTTTAAGATGGTTGGGTTAGGTACCTTTACCTAGACGCTGCCGTCACCCGGCTCGCGCGTTTTTTTTCTTGAAAAAATCACTGGACATGGGGAGGACCTTGGCATAGGTATACCACTTAGACCATAATTATCTTCTACCGAGCATCATATGTGCAGCTTACAGCCTACAGGAGGTACCTTGCGTTGGTAATTCAGGGGCAGGTACAGACACATCCTAGAAGGTACTATCCATGTATCCGATGCCCACCTGTACCTACCTCCTAGCTTAGGTACTTAGAGGTAGGTAGGCACCTCCTAAGGCGCCTCTCGGGGTGGGTGTATATAATGCCGACCTACCTAGATAGGTAGGTAGGTAGGTAGGTTCTCTATATACGCGTAGGTACGCGTAGGCACCTGAGGCCGTCGCGAATTCTCTCGGCCACTCTTTATTTATATCTACGTAGGCCTCTTGGGGCCGGCAGTGCGTTTCGGGTTGCTACCCAGGTTATCGACAACGAACGTTGTTTTGCCTATGAGATACCTATGCCAAGAGCTATACACACGCTGGAAGAAATACGTTGTCCACTTGGCCGCGACGGTATGCCAGACTCTGGAGGAAGCGACATAGGTAATGAATAGGCAGGTAGCTCTTCGACAGGTGGCCTATAGGAGGTTTTCAGGCAGGCGGGCAATTGGATAGGTAGGTACGTATTTGATTTGGATGTACCTATAGGTATTACAAACTCCACATTTGCATCTTATCGGATCGTCTACAAGCCTATCGCCAACCTTCCTCCTCTCAACCCGTTGTGCAGGAGGCCATACCAGGTAGGAAGTTTAGGCCTCTACACTTTCCCGTGGCGGCTCTGAATCCGGCCAATAGTCCCGTGATGTAAATGGCTTACATATAATGTTTTGATGCCATGGTGCTCTATCCAGACACCACACCCCAGAGACACACTGGGTCCTTACTATCGGGATCTGCGACTCTTCAGTATGGGTCAAGAGGGGCAACTAGCAGGTATATCTCTTTCCAACAAGTTAAGCCACCAAAGCTCCAACACTTTATACTTGCCCGGTATCGCATAGCAATTGCTTTCGTTCTGGTGACACTTGCATATAACTTGGAAGCATACTCCTTGATGCCCACATACATGTCTCCATAGTTTGCGTCAAGCCCCAACAAATGAGCCTATCCCCTCGACTCCAGACGCGACCGGTGATATACGAAATAGGAGAGATCGACTACTGGTAGTTCGCCGAGTGTGTGTGTCGAGAATAAGACAAGAGACTGCCGGCTCCCGGTAGGCTCAATACTTGACTAGGTATATAGGTAATGTCAATATCAATACATACGCATGTCGAATGCTCAACTGCAAGGTACCGTGACCTGACAGGCAGTCAGGCAGGGATTGACCAAATGGATCTACATATAGGCGTATGCATTGAGAGGCACATATATCACATCATGCATCAATCCATGTAGGCATGCACATATGCACATACATATGTTGCTGATAGCACTGACTGGAAGCTGCCCTGGCTCGGATCCGCAACCCAAAAACCTGCCCTGCTTTCAAGCGGCCTACTCTACTTGTTAGATAAGCAGCGTCTGTGTGCGTAGGTAAGGTATTCAACGCGTGTGCAATTGTGCATAGACGGGTTATCATGTTGGGTGTGTTATGGGGATCCTCGGTCCAGAGTTCCGAGCTCTCCTCCTATGAGCGGAGATACCTAGCTAGCTATGTAGGATTGCCCCCCACGGGCGTCAATTACCACTGCTGCTACTACTACCTAGGTATGTGGGAAATATGGGGTTTCATTATAGCGTCTCCTACCCGGCCAACTCATGACGCCGCTTTTACCTACACTCATGACGAGGTGGAAGAATCGAACCATATCTTTAAATGATCATATCCAATGCAATATTCCACGTATAGACAACGAGGAGAAATGGAAAAACAATACTAGGCTGGTATTCTCTAGTTGAACATCGACCCAACCACCAACCCGATGGTGAAATTGCACATCTACTAACAACAGACGGAATGAGCCAAATAAACACAACGTCGTTTACATATCATCAAGAAGCAACCACCACGTAGGCGATTCTAAGGCGGGTGAGGTGTAAACAAGAGAGAAAAAAAATATGGCTTTTATGTAAGGGAGGAGAGCCTATTCATGGTTTAAATATCCTTCACTTGCTCTGTAATAACTCTACCTAGATTTAAGATCAGCTATAGCTGCCAGTATGTATTACGTCCGAAAGGCGCCTAGACTAAAGCTTTATTCTTCCAGTCTCTGGCTGTGGAGCTTGCGGGATAGCCAGAACAAGAGAAGAAGAAATGGATGTCCCCTTCAACAAACCTGCAAATCATGGAAACATAATATCCGTCGGCTAGAGTGCTTCACGCGATCTTGCCAGTGTGGATGATAGCTACCTAAGTCAGAGCTGCCTAGATCTGTCAAGGAACGTATGGTCGTCGACCTTCAGCAAACTGTAGTATTGCCTTGGCCGCGGAATCATGGACAACTAGGGCGGCTGAGGAAGGGGGGTTATGACAAAACCTAGGTTAGGAGGCGGGGGTGAGCCAGATAGCCTCTCCTTCGCCACGGAAAACGATGGGAAAGAGAGTCCGAGTCCGATCGGCCAGTGATTTCCGGTGCGTATTCGACTTATGGGTACGACAACCTCGTCCCCAGAGATACCTACCACTACGTCACGGGAGAATCGAAGCACGTTGGAAGAATGGCAGAAGTCCAGTGACCAAGTCATGTCATAGACGGCAGCGCACCAATCCAGGTCCAAATACGAACAAAAGCTCATTCGGAAATGGTAGGTATTTTAGAGCTTCGTTAGATTTGGCACGACGCTCTGGAGGTGAAAGGGCGCCATTTCCTCCATCGCTCTTATCCGACAAATGCCAATCGTCTAAGTCATTACCGATATTACCTGGAAGTTGGTTGTTAAGCTAAGCAAGTTGTCATCGAACTCATGCTGCATAGTGCAAGGAAATAGCAAACCGCAAGTCGTGTGCAGAAAGCAGTTATTGCAGATCCCTATACCACGATCGCGGCCGCAGCTAAAGGCGGCGTGGCGTGGTTCAGGTCCGCATCGGGCAACCTGATAATCTCGTTAGGCATATAGGTACATTCATACATATGCAGCTTACAGGAGGTACCTCTTGGCCTACCTTGCATATCATTACCTACCTATGTATACGTAGGTACCTACACCTACCTATAATACCTGTTGTTAAGCACCTAGGAGGCAGGCGGGCCGGTGCCTACGGTATTTCGATAGTACATAAATATTGCAGTTGTTATCTTTCAATAGCATTCCAGTAGGCGCTAGCCTATAATACCTGCCCACCTCTCGTGGCCACGAGAACACTTCCCCTCCTCTCTACACTCCGCACTGGAGGGATGGCTCCAGTGCCAGCTGCCTAGATAGGTACGGACATGGGTATGGCACGCTCATCAGCTTCTCGATCGACCTCGAGTATCTTCACTTCTTTTTGGTTGCCGCTTCCGGATCGCCATCGTGAGATCTCCAGGACCCCCGGAACTCGCGGGACCCAGCCTCACTGTGCGCCATGATCTCCATGCCCCCCCCCATGGCGGCTAGAGCCCGGCACCATCCAGTCTTCGACCGTCAACGGTAACAAATCCAGACATGGGTCTGCCCCGATGTGCCAGCGTAGCACCGTGACCTTTTCAAACCCGTGCGCCTGGATTGCTATCGCGGTGGAGGGGACCAAGCCCACTACAAGAGCTGAACCGCCTGCAGCAGCTAAGTCTTTTGTTCTAGTGTGCGATCCAACGAGCCAACGGGTCGACGGCGCTACTACCTTGCATTGCATGGGACGGGGGGGGGAAGGGAACGTCGAGAATGGTGGTCAAGGACCCGGCTGGAATACGAGAGTCTGGGATCGCCCCCATACAGATGCCTACATATATGCCTACATATATGCCTATGTATGGGACACCTTTTGCGAATCCCATCGTACGGGACCACCCCCGCCAAGTCCTCTTTTTTCCTTCGGACGTCGAACCGGCAAGCTTGTTTTTTCTTGTCAGGGGAGGCTGGCGGTAGGTATTTAATATTGAACGCCCATCTACCTATGTATGTGTATGTGTTTACGCTTGTGTTTCGTCTACGTGGTAACATCGAGTATCGATGCAACCTTGCACGATAAGCACACCAGTCTTGCTTTGTCGGGGTTGCAATCATCAGTCTCTTCATCGCCTTCCTTCACGCACTCTGTCTCTTCTCCCTGTCTTTCGAGCTGCCATCGATTCCGACTAACTTGACCAGGAACCACTACACTCAAGTCTCATTATTCCCGTAGCTCTCGAGATTCTCGGTTCCAAACGAGCATGCTAGCAATCGCCGCCACGTCCTGTGCCAATGTAAGCGGCATTCCAGCATCCCCCATTAGCCTCAGTGCTAGGTCTGAGTCTGTTCGCGCGATACAATAGTTCTTGCCTCTCAAGCGGTTTCCGCATCCCTCTATCTTAAGCCTCCGAGGATTGCAAGGACGGTACCTCCCTCGAGCCCGTATCTGTTAAGCACTGCAGTTCTCGCCTGTCCTTGCTCTGCAGCTCATCGTGCATTTCCCCAGCTCTCGCTTCCTGTGTCTTGGTTGCGGCCAGCCAAGGGTCAAGCCTGTCTCTTTCCTTGGATCATATCTACCGGGAACTTACCGGGAACAAATCTCAAACATAATAATCCCCATTCTATGCTTCAGCCCCCGCTACGAAACAAACCGACCCTTCTAACATCTGGATTACTATTACGAAATAAATCCGGATCGAGTTTGTCTCGCTGTCTCGGACGACGGCCGCTGCTTATATTATTGTCGCCTCCCCCTTGAGCATTTCGCTGTCTAATCGAGTCCCGCCTGTCCCCCTGGAGTCCCCCTTGACTAGCCTTGATCTGGAGCATTGAGCCAGTTGGTGTCTGCCCTCCGACCCCGAATCGTCACATCTGTCTCAGCTCTGCGATAAGCGCCATGTCGGTGTTTTCGTTGATAAGGCGAGCTCGGGCGCAAGCGAAGGAGCATAGTGCGAAGCAAGCTGAAAAGGAGAAGGAAGAGACCGTCAAGTTACCCTACAAGCATGTGGTCACCCACGCTGCCGCCGACGCCCTAGCAACGGCGCCTGCAAGCTGGAAGGACGTTGACAGAGCTAGGATCTTGGAGCAGACTAAACGGAGGACTGCTTTGGCGGCGAGCGACCCCAGCATGTCCGGGCTGCCTCGGGTTGGGAGCTCATCATCCTACAATCCATACGCGGCCGTCTACGCAACCCCTGTTGTCCCACTGCCAAAGAATTACAGCTATAGCAGCGTACCTGCATCCTGGCGCGAGCCGGGCACTTCTCGAGACGGCCCGGACTATATTAGCCATCCACCGAGTGCGAAAGGAAAGGAGCGGGCGTCGGCACCACCCTCGGGATTTTCGAGACTGGCCTCGGAGGTATCGCCTGCGCAGGCCAACGCCGTCCCTCGCAAAGGTAGAAAACCTGTGCCGGCGCGCCTACATTCCCACTAACCTGCTACGCAGTTGTGTCTCCCAACGGGAGCTCGGGAACTTCTAGCGGATCCGACGAAGAGCTAGAAATCAGGAATACGGGCTCGAATCACCGTCCCCAAAGTCCCGACGATCGTTGCAGCCCCTCACGGAGAAGTAATTCTAGTGAGAAATCTCATCACCTACATCCGTCTAGTCCACGCAGGGGGGACTTCCCTACGAAGCCTGATCGACACTACCCACCCCAAACTCATAGCAAATACTTTTCGGCACCCCGTCCCCTAGACCGCCGCATACTCGATCTCGGCACTTTCATTCCGGCTGCCGGCTCGATAACCCCCTCCTCATCCTCTACCTCTGGGGCGATCTCTTCCACGTCGTCCACTGCGTCGATCGGTATCGCTATCGGGACACCCGGGGCGTCTTATTCTCCCCCCTACCGGCCCAGTTCGAGTCCCGCAGAAAACTACGCGGCCCTGGGCCGGATGAATAGCAAGGAAACAACCTGGAGCGCTGCTCCGACGCAAGCGCAGCCCTTTGAGCCCCAACGAAGGCTCTCGCTGGCGAGCGTATACACGGCTTCCACCGATACGCGCGTATCGCTAAATGGGCAGAGCGTGCTGCCGGCGGGCGCGCCGGCACCTAGGAGGAGGCGCAGGTTGTCCAAGACTAGGCCGCCAGACAGCAACGGCAGTGTCAGGATGTCGTCGGAGACAGTGCGTCCGACCGGACTGAGAGTAGACGGTATCAGCGCGGCCGCGACTACGGACCTCTCGCAAGCGAACTACGCGACTCAGCAGCAGGGACAGAAGGGGATCGTGGCTGCTCCGAACGGCGACGCGGGCTGGAAGAAAATGAGAAGGTTTAGTAAGAGTTCGGACAGCGAGACGGCTCGGGGAGTGCGGTGGCCGTTTTGGATCGGCAGTAAAACGTCGGCTAGATAGGTGAGATAGCTAGATTCCACGATCGACCAGCGGCAGCTCACTGCGGTGCTGGGATGGGTTGCTTTGTCCTTTGCTCCTGCGGTCGCATAGAGTCGCACGAATCCGGAGAGGTAAGCGGGTGGCGTTCCGGCGTTCGCTTGGCGATTATGCGCAGGTTGATGTTTTGCTCTCTGGGTGGTAGTAACATTCGATGCGCACACATGCGAAGCGACCCAAATATGTATGTATCTTACCCGAATAGCGACACATACCTATACATAGTCCCCCATCGGTATCACGATCCACGAATCGGTCGTTGGATAGCCGGCACGGGCAGGAGGTTACCTGGCCGGCCACAGCTCGCGTTCCCACCTGGCCTACTCCGTATATTGTAAAGCCGCATGGAGTAAGGGGATCTACTACCTCCTACATAACGTAACTACACCTGAGTCGCTCGAGGCACCAAAGGTACCTACCTACCGAACGTAAGCCAAGCTGCTGTATTGACCAGAACCCCAATCACCGATTTTCACAGGTATGTAGTAGGTACCTGATGCGCCTAGGGCACCCAGAGGCAGGTAGGTAGGTACCTACCTACCTAATGAGAAACCGGAAAAGGGGTAGACGACGTGGGGCACGATGTGGATCTCCCGGACAGAGGCGGAGGGCTGGCAGGATCGTGGTGGACGGTCAGTGGTCTTTTCGAACGCAAACAACTAGTTCGTCGCCGGCCTACGCTTTTTCTTCCTCTGGTCCTTTTGACACGGCTTCTATTCGCTGCCGAAGGGGCTTGCCTGCCTGCAAGTGTTGTTGTCGCGGACCCCGCCCCTGTCTTCCTCTCGCCAACCGGCGGCGCGTCCGAAGCGGAACCCCGAATACAATCCAGTGCTGACAGCACGTCTAGTCGGTGGTGCTGCTTAGCGCGCGCCTACCTACGCATCTATTGGCCAACGGAGCGGAGCGTAGGAACGAGCTGTCTCTCTCCCGACTTAGTGTCTAGGCGCCGCCGCCACACGATCTCCTCCCGCTCCGGCGGCGTCAGAGTCGTTGGTTCGACGCCATTCGGCGTGGTCAGACGTCCGGCAGCGCCCCCAGACCCGTGTGCTCTCTGCTACACAAGCCTCGTCTGGATTACTTGAGGGGCGCGACCTTCGACCGCTGTGCGGGCGAGTGCTGCGACGATATCGGTAACGGCTTGTGCTGAGAGAGGTAGCTGTCCGCTCCCCTGATTTAGGGAAATACCAGCGGCGCTCTAAGAGGCGCGGCCGCCGTGTTCTCAGGGCGGCAAGGCGAACGTGGGCTAAGGAACGACGGTCGGGGCTATAGGGGGCGTGATGCTGCAGCACCGGCACCCGCGTGACCTGGGAACGGCTCTCCGCGTACACACCAACGCCTGCCTGTTTCTGGGATGGATAGGGGGTAGGTAGGTGTTCGGCAGCGCGTGCCCCTTTTCCCTCGAAGTATGCAGTAGTCGGTAGTACTCGGCGTATTAAAGCAGCAGATATACCTACCTACCTCTTACTACATAGGTAGGTAGGTATCTGTCGACCGGCTTCGCCCCCCTAGAGGTGAACCCCGTCTATCGCTCCCTGTTCCTTCATATATACATTTTTGAGAGGAGCTTTAACGGGCATGGGTGTGCCGTACACGTACCACGCACCTCAGAAGAGGGCCGTCGCCAACCAAACTAACTAACTAACCACCTTTCATGTTGTTATCTTGAAATTTGCTTCTCTCTCCGTCCCTGTGTTACGGGGAAATCGATTGTATTGGGTCGCGATAGAGCCGGAGGCGTTCGCATAGACGCGAATGTGGCCTTCTCGTGAGAGACGACCTGGTATACCGACGCCGGTATAGAGGCATCGTCCTGTCGGACTTTGCTCTCATTGGGTAGGTAGAAGCGCCTCTGAAAGCGAAGTCTTGCCCCCTTAGGACCGCGGCTTTCGATTCGCAGCGCTCGTCTGTCTCTGGCGGTCGACCACGGTGCTGGAACTGCATACGATAGACAAGGGGTGACGTGCATATGCGGACGCGTACATACCTACATATGTACGTACGGTGTCTCGCACCGACCGATTGGAGACTATGCCGGCGAGGCTTTTTTTTTTTAATTGATACAGTTATTGGCATGGGAGGACGAGGTCCGGGATTACTCACTGCATGCAGCCATGACCCTTCGGCACGGACATAGAGGATGGGTTGCATGGCTGATACGTAGGTATAGAGGACGATCCGGTGGACTTGGACGGACATACCAGGTTGGGGTGTATGCCCCGTATACGCATCATGTGCCTACGTACCCCCACGCATGTTATAATATTGGATGTCTACTAATTTGCTCTTATACCTACGACTGCCGGCAGATGCTATTCACCTAGCTGAGGGCACGGTTGACCAGCCTCGGCAACCGTTTCTTAGATGCTTCCTCTCATACTGCCGCCCCTCTCCTTCTCCCAACTCTAACCTGTTTTGAACACATTTTTCCACCTTATAGGACGGGCACTTATTCTACTTGCAGCTGATAAGCCTTTGCGGATCGTCTCGGGTCCGTTATATCAGCCATGGAAGCTGTCTGGCAACGTTTCTAGCACGTAATTCGCAGAAAAGGGGGCGCGGGGGATACCTAAGTGTTCGGCTCGGGCTGATGATGAGTTGGCTTTACGTCGTAGAGCCGACGTTTCCGTAAGGTTATCCGGCGGCATCAGCCGCATATGCACGCCATCTCTGTCAGGGTAGAGAGGCATGTGTTTGGGCAGTTTCGGCTCCTCGCATATAACCTCTGGGAGCTCACGCGGCTGGGAGGTTGCATCTACATACCTACATACATGGCAGGCATATACGCACATGCCTACATGCACACGCATATCCACACGCACATACACACGCGGCAAAGGGGGGCGACGCGTTGGCCGTAGCCGGACTTTCCTATCTGGGATTCCTCGGAGGCCTGGGGGGGCGACGTCGAGAATCTCACTTGCCCCCCTCCCTCTCCCTGCGCGCGGTGGCTCGCGCTATGGATAGGTACGAGTATTACACCTCGCGATCCTTTCCACGGTAGGTAAGCTTACACTCGGACTTTGCATCTCGTACGATACGACTGACTCACTGCGACCATTACCTTATGTGTATACCTCCGTTAGCTGACTACCTAAGGTGCGTGATCTATCTCCCTGACCTACTTGGACCCTGGAGGGGTGTCTAGCTATGCGGGAAGCCAATGGCCGTAGGTATCGATTTCGGGGGTCGAAGAAAGGGGGGGCGTTCAATGACAGCCCCTATCCCCGCCTGACAGATGCATCGTCGGCCAAGACAACGGCAATTGCGCATCCATGCGCCTCTATAGTTGTCGTAGCCATTACTTAAACACCTAAATAGGTACGAGCGGAACTGCACGGCGGCGTCGCATCGTAACACGATTAATACTTGAAGTTGGGATGCCTCTTCGAACGTGATGCATTAGGCAAGCATTAGACGGGTTGCCGGCATTCGTAATCCGTTGTCATCGTAATCGACGCATAAACCGAGATATACGTAGCAAGTGGGTAGAGACACAAAGTATCACTAGAATCAGAGGCCGGCGCCTGCATCTCAATATTGCAACACCCCTTGAGGGTCTCGTCGGCAAGTTCCCGCCATCCCCGTGTTGACCCAGGGATGCTCCAGGGATAGAAAAATCGCATTGCGACATGCGCCTGCGAATAGGATGCCTAACGAATGCAAAAATACGTGACGTCACGGCAGGTTGACAGATAGCTCAAGCAAATAGAATATAGTGGCTAGTAATAGATGAAGGGGACATGCTACGAGGTACCCCCTAGCGTAGTGGACAGCTACCTACCTCTTTATAAGGTACCTAGGTATAGAAGCCGCAGAAAGCCGGTGAATGACCCACCTAAGCAGTATTTACCCACCTAAATACCTAGGTAGGTAAGTTAGGCAAAGCAGGCATCAGACGCAGAGGGCGCAGACCTTAAGTAGGTACTTGCCTAGGGCAAGTGTCCACGTAAGATGACCCAAAGAGGAAAGAAGTGAAGTCGCTAGAAGCGCCGCAATTGGCTAACCCCTAGGGACGTTCGCACTACCCAAGGTGACTAAGCCGTGGTACTTGCCCACTACCTGGTACCTATGTACTTACCCAGTCAAGCCTACCTAGCGCTAAATGCGGCCTATACAATCCCTATCCCTGCCGGCGTAGCAACCCGGAGGAAGCTTCAGGACGGCGCTGGGGTTGAAGACGATGGATAACTTGAATTTGGTCTGGGCCTCATTGGTCGCCGGAGTTGCTACTCTCTGGTTGACGCGGATGTCGACTGTGCTGGACGGACGGACGCGCGGTCCCCCTACTATATAGCGGTAACAGAAACAAGGTATATATCCGACAACCTCTACCCAAAGTATTATTAATAACGTACGGACAACAAGATTGATATGTCCCTAAAGCGTAAAGCAACTGTGGCTGATTCGCTCTCTCAGTTACCCGCTCTTCGGGTCAGGCTCGCGGAGTACGCCTGCACAGCGTGCCGATCACCAGAGGAGGAGAACGACGATACAATCTGGAAGTAAGATCTCGTGTAGTCCTTGTTCGGCTTCCTAACCTATCCTGTGGTGAACTTTAGTATCAACGATACCCTCAGTGGAGGATTACCCTACCGAAGCGGACTGAAAAAGAGAGAATAATGAGAACAAGTCGCCATTGACCTCGATCTTTCCGAATTCTCAGCCTTTGGCCAAGCGTTTCGCAAGGTTAAAAGATCACAAGTTGGGTCCCATGTTGGCACATGGAGGCATTCCACGAGGAAAGGTCTATGTAATAATAATTTCTCGAGGCAGACTGGATTACACGCGAAAGGCGTCTTCCTGACCTGGGAACTGGGTAGGCATAATAGACATGTACCCTTTCCTACCTGTACCTAGGTACCTAGGCTTGAAGCAGCGAAGACTTGCTTTGCTACAGGTCTGTGCCCCTGGGCTGGGCGGGCGTCCTCGGCCACAGATGCAAGGTACTACTAACCTAATACAAGTGAACAGCGGCTGCACGACCGGGCCGTGACCTGTACGCGTGGGGCGGCTAGGGTAGGTACCTACAAGGCAAGGTACCTACCTTAGGTAACATATTATACCTATACTTATATGCATATATGCATACGCTATGCATCTCCAGGTTGCCTACTCAGTAAGAAGGTGTATGCAAGGTGGAGATGATGACACATGGGAGCAAACGATCCGCAGGAAACAGCCTCGCAAGAGGAAACCGTCGCCGTGGTTGTTACACGTCGCCTTGTTGCATGCAAACATGGAAGGGACGAAGACAATACCTTGATCTGTCCTTTCCTTCCTTCCCTCCTTTACACCTTGTGGCTGTATCGGACTTTGTAGTTTGGGACAACGGGGAAAGGGAAAGGGCAAACCTGGCTGGTACCTACTTTCAACTTGCGCCTGCGCATATTCGTTTCCTGCCGTACATCTCGCGCTCGCATCGACAACCACGTCCACGTCCACGTCCACCTTCACCTTCACCTTCGCCCTCACCTCCACCTCCACATTCATACCTACCTATATCCGCATTCTGCGTTTGGCCTTCTTCTCCAATCCTTCGACGTTGCGACGCTCCCCAATGTGAACCTCTACTTCCTTCGCCCTCCTCCTCCTTTCCCTCTGCCCTCGACGCGCGTCCTCTGATGGCAGCCATGGCCGAAACCGTGGCATCGCTCATCAAGATGGTAGAGGAGGCACCCCTTCACATCCTATTAATAGCGGCTGTAGCACTGGCCGTACTCGCCTTCTATGGTGTATGGATTCTATTTGCTCGCCAGCTTCTGGCAACGAGTGGCTCAGCTAATCTATACGCAGCTCTATGCCGTCCTACATCTCGTCGCCCCGAAGCCACGCCCCGTCCTACCCTCCGAAAAGACTTATCTCACCACCACGCCTACCGGCGTTGCTACGCGACAGCTCCCGTGCTGGCACGACCAATGGCTAGCCGAACGCCACGAGAGCGAGAACGAGGCCCGAACCAAGCACGACGATCCTGCGGGCGCAGACATCGCCGATGCCGGCTTCATCGAGCCTGCCGAGGTGCGCATGAGCGTCGTGTTCCCGGCCTACAACGAAGAAGATCGTATCCTGCCGACCCTGAAGGAGGCGGTTGAGTACCTCGACGCAACGTTTGGCCGCGAAACCCGCCTGCGCCCGAACGCACCCCATAAGCGACCCCCCCCTTCCCCGCGTAGGCATGTTAAGAATGCGCCCCGCGAGGATCTGTCCGGATACGAGATCATCATCGTGAATGACGGAAGCAAGGACAAAACGGTTGATGTGGCACTGAGTTTCGCGCGGGAGCACGGCCTGCACGATATCCTCCGTGTCGTCACCCTCGAGAAAAACCGGGGCAAGGGGGGCGGTGTCACCCACGGCCTTCGCCATGTGCGCGGCGAGTACGCCTTGTTCGCCGACGCGGACGGAGCCTCGAGGTTCAGCGACCTGGAGAAGCTGATCGAAGGCTGTGAGGAGGTAGCCGATGGCGCGCACCGGGGCGTCGCGATCGGCAGCCGGGGCCACCTGGTGGGTAGCGAGGCGGTGGTGCGGCGGTCGGCGCTTCGCAACTTCCTCATGCGCTCATTCCACCTAGTGTTGATGATCCTGACGCCGCCGGCGACATCGCGTATCCGCGACACGCAATGCGGCTTCAAGCTATTCTCGCGCGCGACGCTGCCTCATATTGTACCGTACATGCACGCTGAGGGATGGATCTTTGACATCGAGATGCTGATGCTGGCCGAGTCGGCGCCTGCCGTGCCGGTACTCGGCCACGACGGCACCGTCATCGGCAGCAGTCCCGGCATTAAGGTTGCCGAGGTGCCTATCGACTGGCACGAAGTCGGTGGCAGCAAGCTCAACGTCATTCAAGACAGCATCAAGATGGCTATCGGTCTCGCTGTGCTACGTGCTAGCTGGATGATGGGCGTGTACCGCCGGCGACTAACCTAAAGGTTAAGGAAGAAGAGCAAACGGAAGAAGGGAGAGAAGAAGAAGAAGAAGAAGACGAAAAAGACATATAGAGGAGGGAACGGGGAACGGAGAATAAGGATAGGGCCGCGCCGGCTCAAGCTGGCTTGCCGAACGCAATAGCCTACCTACAGGCGTAGTCTCGGCTCGTCTTGCCCTGCTTTGCCGCTTGGATTCGTTGGGTACGGAATATGAACCGGTACCTTGCGATTTGTGTACATGCAGCAGCTGGGAAGCGTGGGTGGGAATCATCGCGTAGGCCTTCAGAAACCCGATGCCTTGTAGATTTATAATGTACATGACCATACGCACGATAGATCTCCGGATCCCCACGGAAACGGGACGTACCGAACAAGAAGAAACAAGAAGAAACTGACCCAGTGGGACGTGACGGCGTGACACCTAGTAGAGGACAATGTGATGTACAATGGGATTCGCTTTCGCTGTGAGAGCCCGAACAGACTGTCTGGAGAGATCGCGCGGGGACCGCGTCCGCACGCGGACGCGAAAGTGCTTTACAGCGTTCATCATATAGTAGGGGCATCCATTTCCGAGCCACACTTTCTTTCCCTCTCCCCCTCTCCCCCTCTCCCCCTCTCCTTTTCCCTCGTCTCTCGTCCCGGCTTGTTCATCTCAACTACTTCGGTGCCGCCATAGCCGCGGCGCTTATAGCATACCCGCTTTACGCGGGCGGAGGGGGCGCTCCGCGGGCGTGCGTCGCGAGGTTGGCTCGGGAGAGAGAGGAGGAGTTGCGGTTACGCACGTGTATAGGTATACGGACATATATATATGTGTGTGTGTGTGTGTGTCACGTAGGGGTGAGTCCTTATATGTCTATATACAAGTTGTAGAATGTAGGCGCCTACGTTTTGCGCGACAACATATACGTATTTATGGTATCACAAACGAGATCGCGTCCATTCCTCTCCTTCGGCGGTCCTTAATCATTACAATTGGGTACGTTATATAGTATATGTACGCGTGATAGGTATGTAATGCAGACGTCGACGCAGTGCTCCCGTAGATCTCTATTCACCTTAGGAGACAAGCCAACATATTCACTGTGAAACGGCAACATCCCCCTGAATCCAGTTGATACAAGCAAGCAGTCAATTAGCATTAGTCGTTAACTCCTAGATATCTTAATATAAGTCAGGCGCGGGTTCAGCTTTCTAAGGATTCGCATATTAGTAGATTGAATGATTACTCGGTATCGTAGGATCGCGGGAGGCGAGCCAGCCAAAACGCACACCCCTCGCGCCGCCGCCGCCGCCGACATTCGTATGAGCAAGCAATAATCGTCGAGATCGTCCTGCCAGCCCGCACGTCCCCAAGGCTCCCTCCCCTCCTCCCCTCCTAGCCGCTATCTCTGCATCGCCTCGCTGCTCCTCCAATAGACAGGCTCGAGCCACGTCGTCGCCGTGTAAGACACGCAGCGAGAAAACAGTCAGGTGGGCAAGCAGGGTGGGGGTTGAGCGGACCAGAGACAGTGGAAAGACATGGCTGTTTTCTGCTCTGGCATCTAGTCCTATTACACCGCTCTCGCAAACCAAACGTTTGCTGACTTCTCTCCCTTCCCCCAACATTATACGCCGTACACGCCCGGGTATACGTGGTTAGATAGGAGAAAGAGAGAGAGAGAGAGAGAGAGGGAGGGAGAAGGAGAGGGAGAGGGGGTCCGCTACACGAGCAGCTCGCGGTACATGACGGGGAGGAAGACGTGGCTCGCGGTCCAGAGGATCCAGAAGGCGTTCCACAGCAGCAGGGGCAGCTTCCAGAGGCCGACGGCGCGCCAGTCGAGCCAGATGGCGAGGAAGGCGACCGAGAAGAAGTGGTAGGCGAGCACGAGCGGGTCGGGGATGAGCCCGCCCAGCATGCCCATCGGCTGCTGCACGACGCCGCGCTCGAAGTACGCGAAGCAGCCGCGCTGCAGCTTCGCCAGCTCCGGGCTCTGCGCCGCGAACAGGCTGTAGAGCGCCATGGCGAGCACGTTGATGATGGACGTGAGCCGCTTGCGCCGCCAATGGAACGTGGCCATCGCCCGCGCCACCGCCGCCGTGTCCGCCAGGTGCGGGACCCGCTCCGGCGCCAGCAGCTCGCGCAGCAGCACCACGTCGTTGAGCGCGACCGTCATGCCGCCGCCCGTCAGCGGGTGCCGCATGTTCATCGCGTCGCCGACGATGATGAGCCCCGGCACCGCCTGCTTCGACGGCGGCAGCCAGCTGTTGGGCATGCTCTGCGGGATCTTGCTGTCGCGCTCGAGCGCGGCGCGGAACGACGGCCGCACCGACGCCGGCAGCGCCGGCAGCACCACCTTGGCCATGTAGCCGCGCACGCCGCCGTTCGCCGTCGACGCCTCCGGCAGCTTCTCGGGCACGTCGACGAGCGCCCGCGTCTCGCGCGTGCCGATCTGGTACAGCAGGACCGGGCTCGGCGCCCCGATGATGACGTGCCCGTGGTGCGGGCTCGGCAGCTCGCAGTCGAGGAGCTCGAGGGCGTAGAACTTGCTCCGCACCACCGGCGCCTGCTTGATGTACTGCTTCCGGAACCGCGAGGCGTACCCGTCCGCGACGATGGTGAGCTGCCCGAAGAAGCAGTCCGGCTTCTTCTCGCCCGTGGAGGCGTCGGTCGTGCGCGTCTCCACGCCCAGGATCTCGGGGTTGTGCTCGCCCTTGACCGTGTTTATGACCTCGGTCTCGAACACGCTGATGTTGGGGTGCTTGAGGCAGGCCTGCCGCAGCTTCGTGATGAAACGGCCGTGGTGGAAACTCCGGCCTTCGGGTCTGGGGAGCTCCGCCTTCTGCTGGTCAGAGCTCTTTACCGGTTCTATCTCTTTCCCATCTGGCCCTAGGAGGCCGGGTATCCTCGGGTATGGCATCCGGACGTTCTGGCCGTGGAAGAAGACGTTGAACCCGTTACACGGCACGGAGTCGATATCTTCGATGCAGTGTCCGAGACCGAGCTTCCTCAGCGAGTTGACGCCGCCGGGCTGCATCAGTTCACCGACGATACGGTTCGGCTCCTTCATCCACCTCTCCAACAGTATCACACTCCTCCCCTGCTCGGCCATGGCGTACGCGACGGCGCACCCGAAGACGCCGGCACCTACGACCACGACATCGGCCTCGTGGTACGTAGTCCGCCGCTCGGCGAGCTCGTTGACTGTCACTGTAGTTGCGCTCATAGGAAACGTTGGGACGGGTTCAGGTGCGGGGTTCGCAGGGGCCGGTCAACAAAGAAGTTGGAAGGTTGAAGGGGGGGAGATTGTAGTGTAAGGTAGGCAGGGCCTGAGCTCGGTTGTCTTCGTCGTCGTCTACGATATTGTTGTTGTGAGTGGGCAGCAACGAGTTGGCTGTATAGTGGTGGTAGTGGCGGAGGAGGAGGAGGAGGAGGAGGAGGAGGAGGAGGAGGAGGAGGGATGGATAGCTCGGCCGCCTAAGGAGTTGGATGATTTGGTTGGCAGCCTCGTGTAGACACGTTTCGACGAGCCGCGAGGAGGATATAAAAGGAGGAGCACCCAGGTAATTAGCAGCGAGGGGAGGATGGCGGGCGCCGGCACGAGGCGGGAGGGAAACAGAATCAATGTATCGAGGAATAGGAAACCAACAGTTGTTCTTTTTTTTTTCTTTCCTGTCTCAGCTCATGATGGTTCGACGCATCGTCCCACGGCAGCGGTGTTCATTCCGTGCCCCTAATCAAGCCTGTCAGGGTTCGTTGTCCAGAGCCGACCCAGAGATTCGAGATTCTGGCCTCTGTTTTTCTTCGTGTTTTCCCAGCTAGATCTAGCTGGTAGGCACATGCTTGCCAAGGCTCAACCCCCAATTTATGGCTTATGGGATGCCCCTGGCCATGTGACCCGATCCGGACATTACACAATGACGAACGTATCCATATACCGACGGCGGGAGGTACCTTGACACATGGAAGAGTATGTATCTATACATCCAGGCACAATGCATACACCAAGTACCATTCAGGTGTGTATACGATACATATAGAGATCCGATGTACCTACGGTAGCTACCTGGCACCTTGCCTACCTAGGTACCTAGATACCCAAGGTACCTAAGGTTGCCTGCCCTCCCCACAAGGAACCGCGTACGGGTCCTGGCCAATCGTCGGATAGCTAATAAATGGATGGAACGACAGCTGCCACCACCTGCAGATCGGCGGTGGGCCGGTCAAATCACGCACTCCTGTCAGGCGATTCCAGATGTCGCATGTAATGTGCGAGATTGAATAGGAGACAACCATAGAATAGGGGATGTCGAAGCCCTTGAGGCATTCGAACATTCGTGGTCTCCCATGCCTTCGAGTATATATCGAATAAAAAACCCTGTAAGCTTTTTTATTTAATTTCTCCAAGAGTCCCAATGGATACCATGCCATGCCATGCCATAAGTACCACATATTTTCGTGATCATGAACCCCCTCTTCGCCCAAGATCGAGCCTAATTCTCCAACGTTGTCGTCATGCCGTTGCCCCCCACATCCTCGAGTGCGTTATGCATGATCTGGAGGACCTCGCAGGAGATCACCCTCCCGTTCGTCTCGTTCTCCGCCCGTCGCGCCGTCACTATCTTAACACCGTCCTCGAGCGTTTTCTGCAGAGTGCGACCCAACCTACCCCGTAGCTTCTGAACCGTCCGCCTCGCTGCCTTCAGATACACCAGCACTGTCCTATCTACCGAATATTCCGTCATAAGTAGATCCCTGATCAATTCGCTCATCCCTCCCGTGTCGAGCGTGTACGCGTAGGCCGTGAGCAGCACCCGGATGCTCTGCCTCGAGAAACATAGATTCTCGTGACCGCCTTTGTCCTTCGCGAGCTTGCACAGCGCAATCGCCCTTTCGTGCGAGTCCAGCTTGATGCATATCGCAGCCATGTGGGTGATAACCGTTGGGTCGATGGTGATGTTCAGTTCCTCAAATCGAGTGATCAGATTTTGCATGTGGAGGAACATATCATCCGTCCTGGCCTGAAAATAGTCGAGGTGATATCTGATATATGTCGATACCGCCGCAGTAACGTCATCACCTCGTTCGTGCGCGACTAGGATGAGCCCCATCGCAGAGCTGGATCCCGTATTAGAGGTCTGTAACGCCGCTGCTACAGCCAGGCGAAGACAGTGAGCGCAGGGCGGCATACCGAACCTCAGTGCACGTTTATAGATGGAGAGTGCCGACAATGGCCTTTTTCTATGCAGCTCTTGGTTCATAGCCTCGTATACGTCTCGTTCGTTTGTCGTCCTTCCCGTGTACGCCAGCTTGTTGACCATGATACTTCGCGGGTAGTGCCATCGGCTGGTCTTCGATGTGCTGAGGCATTTACCAGCCGTCAAGGCTGCCTGACTCATTATCCTCTGCGTCACGTCGTCGGTGGTCTTGGGATCCATCTGTTGCATCTGCAAGTAGAGCGCCTGTAACTCTTCAAAGGTGAATCTCCATTTGGTCCTGCAGTTGCGAAGGACCGCATTGCAGAAGCTTGGATCGAAGGTAAATCCTGTGTCACTACAGTATTTTAACCACGAAATGAAGCCCGGCACATCGTGACAGTCGCCATATTTGTTTGCCACTATCGTAACGACATAGCGGTGCATTCGCACTTCTAGGTCATCGATATATCTCGCCACAAACGCTCGTACCTTAGCGGCCGGATGGCTGGAGGCAAATATTTTGAGGATCATAACAAAAGCTTGGTCGTATTCCTTTTCTTGCCCTGCTCTCAGTGTCTGCATCTCGACGAAGGCACTGAACACGCCTCGCCAATCTTCAGCCTTAGCCTTGATCAAGGCCAAAAACCCTCTCAAGCGGACGTCTGTTACCATGTGGGGATACTTCTGGATAAGCGTCTCGTAGTAGAACTTAGCCTTATCTTTGTCTCCGGCCTCGATGGCAATGTCAACCATCGTACGGTACACGTTCTCTGGGTAGTTAATTCGGGAGAGGAGACCGAGGGACGAAACTTCTTCGAAGAGTGCTTCGGACGTCGAGAAGTCTTGGTAGCGACGGTAATGGGCCTGTAGTAGTCTCCTGATCCACCACGTCCACAGAAAACCGTTGTCTGGGCAGTTCATGGACCCAAAAGCACGAAGTACTAAGTTGGCTTTTAGACCTTTCATCTTCTCTACGGAGTAGACAACACAATCCACCGTTTCGGTATACGCTGGTTCTCTGGGGCTCGTTTTTGAAAAATTGAGAAGGAAGAACTTGATTACGTCCTTATAATCGTTAAACCGGTAAAGCTCTCGTATAGCCCATCCCGAAAATTCCGCCGTATCACGGCTGATAAGGCCGAAAACTCTCCAGTAAATATTTTGAACGGTGCGCACGTCTTTCAACAGCAGGTTTTGAATGAACAGCTCTCTTCCTACGGTGTATACCTCCCACGTGAGTAATCGAGGCCTATCCTTGAAAGGCAACAGAAACAACCGCGATGCCGCACCAATAGCCTGCGGGGAGCACTGCCCCGCCTCATCCGTCTGGCGCAAGTGAAATTGTATTATAGGTATGGGCTCGTGGGCGTAAAACTGACTCTCCTCGAGAGGGCCGGCGCTGGCGGTGGCTATGAGTATCTTGTTTGCGTCCACCCATCTGCCGCTCCTCTGACACTCCCTCGAAAGTCGAGCCGATATTGCGACCCATTCTTCCTTGTTGCCCTGGGCAGGGTTGTATGTGTGACATTCTTCAAAGAACTTGGCAATGGCTCGATCGAGGCTTTCTTCGCTCTTGCTCGATAGAATCCCAGAGATTTCCTTAGCCAGTTCGTCGAGGTCGGCTTTGTGCTGCACCGGGGTGGATAACCTGTCTGAATACCAGCCCCCGTCCGATTGCGCAGCGGGGAAACTAAAATCTGCACCGCCAAACTTGAACGGGGATTGAAGACTGTCTAAGGCAGGTAGAGGTGGTGGTTGTGTTTTTTGGGTAACAACCGCCGGCGGCCGTGAGGTTTCGAGCCCATTACCCAGCTCCGAGGGGGCTATAGGCCATTCATGCGGAGCTGCGTGCCCGGCGGAATCTTGCGATGGAGGCAATCGGGATTCGTGATGCCCGCTGTGCGCCTTAGGCTTATCCTCAGCTTCACGCCATTGTATCGCGCCTCTATTCTCGGCAGTTGCCTCCCCAGGAAGCCAGGCGGACTCGGTCGCTCTATGATACCGCTTCGCCGATTTGAGTTTTTCGTTGTTCCCGATAGCCGTCCTCAAGGTAGAGATTCGCCGTATCTGGTCTTCCAGTATCACGCCGATGGCGCACGAGGTGCCGAAGGCGATACCGCGGAGGGCATTAATTGCGATTTTCGACGGGACTGGTAATGCGGGCGGCATAGTTCCGAGGCGCGTCTGGCCATGTCGGAAGGCGTAAATTGAACCTCCCGGGCGCTGTGGTTCAACTCCTCCCGACAGGCGACGCGAAGATGAGTGAGGCGAAGCTGCAAATTCGGTCATACGGATGATACGACCATGTTGAACTGGCGTCGCATTACTGTAATGGCTTAGCTAATAGGTACCTAGCAGCAATCCCTGGTGGGGTAAAGTTCCTCGAGACATCTCGCTTAGCTGAATTCTAACCTACGTAGGAGGTAGGTAACTTAGTCTGTATGCAACTATTAGATGTGCGATTACACAGGTATACCGGTATGTATGTTATTGCTTGCGGTAGAGGTAGGTATTGTAGATGGAAGCATTAGGCGCCGACGCACGATCTGTGTAGCATATCTCGAGGTCGGTTCCCAGAACCGACAACGCGTCCCGAGCTACCCCCGAGGTAGGTATCTTCGACAGGCTTTGGCACATAGCTCAACTAGGTGGGGTTTTTCTATCCTATAAATATCTTTACTATACTTCGTACATGCCTCTATCCTATGTTTTCTTCTTTCTTTTCCGGGGTATACCCCCTCCCGCCTAAACGCCGTGCAATGTTGCCTACTTATTACACTGTCCGATGCCTGGCGGAGCGGGCTCGGGCGTTGTGATTAAGTTCGTCTTTAAAGAGGTCTAAACGTGCATTTCAGGTCTTTCCACCGGGAACCACACCTGCAGTTGTCGCAAGAAGGTCTGGTATAAGAAAAACATGCAACCGCTCTGGATGCTAGTCCAGGCGAACCGCGGTGCAACTCCTCTAAACCAACCCCCGATTCCCTCCGTTCTATATATGGACCTCAAGCCTTTGAGTATCGAATCCTCATCTAGCGCGATAGCGCCTGGGTGTGGTGTGTGTGTCGAAGGCGATGATGTTGATATAGGGCGTTTTTGTAGTATTGGTGAAGGTGGAGGCTGCTTCGGCGTCTTGTCTTTCAGTCCCAAGGCAGGCTCCGTCGCCAAACGGCTCTTTGGGTTGCTCCTGGTAGGGGCAGCATCGATCTGGGTCTGCAGCCGCGTCTTGACTACGTCAAGGGGGCAGGTCAGTACACCGGCTAGCCCTCCACCGGCGGCGCCAGTGAGAAGCTCTAGTCGGGTCCCGATATCTTGACTCTTCTTATATTGGCGGGCCCAGCTCTGGAATGTTTCGTAAAACATGAACTGCAATGCCGAAAAGGGTACGTCTCGGTATAGAGTTGCCTTGTATCCGGAAAATAGCTCGGAGAACCCCTCAGTCTTGATGATAGTTCTCACGGCATCGAAGGTTCCACGATAGTTATACCCCGAGTTGAAATGGGGGTTGTTGAAGCGCCCCTGGAGTTGGAGACGAGTCTTTAGCACTTCGGATGGCACGTACACTATAGAAGCGGCAAAGTCGCCGATAATACCTACTAGGATTTAGCACAGGGGTAGAAACCGATATACCAACGATCGCCCCAATACGTACCGGCCGTTAGATAGGAAATATGAGGCTCGATGCCGTAGTCAAGCATTTGCCGCTTACTCCATTCATAGGACCCAAAGAAGAAAACCGTGCCGGGAAAGGAGCCCATCATGGCCGGGAGCCACCCTCCGTATAAACCACGTCGAATTCCTTCCTGCCGCCATATCGTGTAGTAAGACGAGCCTAAGGATGTGTACTTGGGCGGCATGTGCGGGTCGCCTTGCTGTCGGGTTTTGACGGTGTCGAGGGAGTGCATCAACATATCACCAGTAGTCCCACCAAGCCCTCCGGCGAGCATAGTCTAGAGACGACTCAGTCAGTTCTCACGAGCTTGCGGTTCCGTGCCTCAGTCCGACACTCACATGAATGTAGGGCGCGCGTGCGTCCAGCTCGCCATGTTCGACGGTCATTTTACGACCACGCGACTGCGTTGTAGAACCAACAGTTGACTCGAGAAGTTTGGGGTCCGACGTCCATCGTTATTCCCAGCGGCAGCAGTATCGGGTCCTTCGGAGACCAGCGGGTAGGGTAGAGGTGCGCGTCCCGTTCGCGAGTGGTCGCCAACAAGATTGGCGAAGTATCCGGCTTGATATAGCGCGGAGGAGGCGATCGCGCTCGAAAGCGACCACCCACTGCGTGCTGGCTCTAGAAGAGGGAGGAAGAGAGGTTGGCGGGAAATTTTCGACTTTCATATCTACATTGCATTAAATCCTATCGGTCGTATCGGCCTACGCGAGTTTACACCCCGCGCATCGGATTTGATCTTTTTTTCGATCTTGGTGCCGGTGGATCTGTGCACCCTGTCTCTTATCAGCTTTATCAAAGATGTATCGATAGCCTGTTCTGCCTAGTCGCATATCAGCTATTACCTAGTACGGAGTACGGAGTCGCATAAGCTACATGAGGGTGGAGTGCCCCATTTTTAGTGTATAAGCACACGCCTCAAGAAGGGGGTGCTTGCCCATTTTTAATGCAAATCACTATTACAGACATAGAATTCTGCATATGTAATTATAAGGGTTATTCTATTCCCTTTCTAACGTGTTTACTCATAAGGTAAGTGGTTGAAGGCAGCCCCACTACAGCTAGGTATTCCGCACCTAGCTATTCCAATACCAAGCATGAAATACCCAACCCGGGACATGGCATGTGTATGCTTGCATTAGGTACGTAGTAGTATAATACATCTCACTTGGGTAGGGATCTATTGGCGTCGAATTTCTAGTTCCTGATGTTTCCGGCATATTCCCACCAACGTACCCTACCAAACCTGTGTAGCGGCCAGAGGACATGGGTGACCTTCCCGATGATGAGATTCGTCGAGATCGGTCCGTAGTCGTTGCTGTCTCGGCTTAGGCGTTCACCACCGTCGCCCTCGACCCAGACGTGCCCACGGGGCACTCGGACGGTAGGATATGGATATGGATTTCTCGTCTTTATGATGTCGCCTTCGAGTCCGACAATCCTCTTGACGGTCACCAGCTCTGGATCGTATGGGTTCCTGTGAGTGTGGACGCCCGGTATTAGCCGAGAGCGGGCGTGATTGCAGGGAAGGGGTCGCGACGAGAAGGCTTCGCGGCATACCAGAAGGTGACAATCATGCCTCGCCGTAAGTCATATTGCGCATTGAGCTTGTAGTTAACCACTACGTCCTTCCGTGTTGTCTGGTCCTTCTCCGCGTTCAGGAACGGATACATCGAGGGGCCATTAATCCACGCGAGCTCGCCGACGTAGTGGTTAAACATGGCGACCACGGGAATCCATGTCGCGAATGCGAAGAGTTGGAAGCCGAATCTACCGAAGCGCTGCCGCTCACGCTTGACCTGCCCCCATATCGACCTAAACGACATTTAGCATGGGAGTCGAGAAACCGACCTTGAATGATAGCTCTCTATTGGAGACAACGACAGCGATGATGACGATGGAGATCGGTGATACTCGAGAGAGACCTCATATCAAGAGGTTAGGTATGCTAGGATGTAAGTAGCGTTTAAAATAACACGCTAAGTACACGACCTACCTGAAGAGGTATATACCTCTACCCTATCCATGTTCTGGTGCACAATTTCTTAATTGAATACAAGCTCTCATGTGGTACCTATCGTGATATCGGATAAACAGATAATACGGAATAGTCACCACATACCGGCCAAACCACGAATGGCCTCTTTTGCGTAGGTACGTTTAGTACCCATAACCTAGGACGCAGACTCTCCCTCAGTTTCTTGTTTTAACAAAACTTTTTAAAAAACAAACAAAAGACCAAGCCCCCCCCCTTTCCGCTTCTCAGAAACCGTTTCTAGCTCCGGTGAATATCATTCAGATTATATTCCCTGTAAAATGCATACACGGAAACTAGCGATCCGTTCTGAAAATGCTCTATCCGCATGCTAGGTGCTTTTATGTCCCGTGAATACCAAGACCCCTGGGCACCCTTAACCCGGCCTAGTACCCCTTTTAATAGAACTAACTGAAAAGTTCGGGACGTTCGAGACTCATGAACCGCAGCCTAGACAGTCTCGGGGATATTGTCGTCGCTCTCACTAACGCTCTCGTCTCCGCTAACCTCCGCATTCTCACGTTCGCGCTTCTCCATCAGTGCCTGCAGCTCGGCGTCGTCCGAGTCCGTGACCGCCTTCGGTTCCATCTTGACGACGAGCTGACCGCCAGCGCCCGTGATATTATTGCGGATATCGACAATTGCCTCCTCCAGTCGCTGTATGCCGACGCTCTTGTCCAAACACGTGCTGGTTAGCACGTAGAGAGGCGGAGACACGAGCCTCACTTTAACTTGATTGTCCGCGGTATTTCGCGCCTCAGCTGTTCTTAAGGCTGCCTTCACGGCATCGATTCCGTCATATTCGAAGCAGGTAACCTCGATATCAGCACGTACTTTCGTAGGCTGGGGTGTCAGCCGCTTTCCGATGTAGGACTTGAGCTCCTCTGCCACGGGATCGCTCGGGAATTCGATGCCGCTCCACACATCAGGGTTCCTGCGGCCGGTAGGTTAGCAGCATGGACGCTCTGAAACGGGACAGGGGCGCTCACGTTATGGAAAGTTTGAATGCGTCGATCGAGTGGCCGAATTTCTTGTTCAGGGGCCAGGCTATGCTCTCGTACAGAGTCTCGATGGGCGTCAGGGTCTTCTCAGCAACATGGCGCATGATCGAATGGACCATCTTGCTCTTGTTGTAACGCTCCTCGCACTTAACAATATCCTCCGGCGAAACTCGTCGCTTTGAAAGGTCGATATACCCTGTAAGGATAATCAGCAAACCAGCTCACGCGCCAAGACATAACCCTGGTCGCTAGACGCACCCTTCTCCTTATCGACTCTAAGAACGACGACGACCTCATTGCGGCCGACCCGGATTAGCTTTTGGATACTTCGAATACGCCGTCGCGAGAGTTCGGATAGCAGGATCATGCCGTCGATGTTGTCGTATTCGAGGAGCTTGACGTAAGCACCCATATCGGCGATCTAGAATAGGTTAGGCAAACTCGATGTCGCGTGGTGGCGGGTGACAAACCTGCTTCACATTGACCATGACGAAGCTATCGATCTCCGGGTACTTTTCCTCGTAAAAGCGACAGTTTGTCAGCGACATGTCGGGCGAGAGTCTCGTGGACGTAGGGGGATTCGGGGCAAGTGGTGTAGGAGTAGCCGATTTCTGGCCCAAGGTCGCGCTCAGGCGAAAGGGAAGTGCTCTTGCAGGTCGTGAGAGGTTTTCGCCGAATTGATCTGTAGAATCGGTTCTTTCTCTCCTCGCTGTGATGTGAAAAGGGTCCTGGAGGGGCGTCCTAGAGCGGCACGCGTTTTGGCTTGGCGAGTTGAACAGATCGACTTATCGCTTCCTTGCCTAACTGTGTAGGAAGGAGTCACAAATTTGCTAATGATTCGAAATCTTTATGAACCTGAACGTGGGGTGTGGCGCCCGATATTTTTTGGAGGGGTTACTCGCTGAGCCCGCTCACCACCCCGCAAGCCACACCCGACTCCCACCTTCAGCCTCAGGCAAGTAAGCACCGGCGCCGGCTTACCTATCCATCAGACCTCCCCGCCATAGTTACGAGCCTGGACAAGGTGTGGCTGGTGACCACGGAAGAAATCTGGCACCGGTGACCGATTTTATCACCTTATCGGGTCAGCAAATAGTTTTCCATGCCTCCCGGCAAGTCCCACGTGGCTGGGAACGCCGCCTGCTTTTTGAGTTGACGGTGGTCCGTTCCACCAAAAAAGCACACGCCGCGGTGCCCTCCTTTCCTTGCTCATGACATTAGAATTTGTACGTCCAGCTGTTTCCAAGCAGCCCAAATGTCGCTGGTGCCGCGAGTTTACCGGAAGTCCCTTTCCAGCAGCACCAGCCCGCCGGCCAAAAGAGACAGAGCGTGGCATCTCCACGGCACCGGAAGATGATAGCTCGAAACATCATGGTACCCCTCCGCCCTTAAATTCGCCTTACGAGACCGATTTCTCGACACTATGAACCCGGTCAACGCGTCGAGTGCCGAGACGACCCTCTCCCAGGTCGCCTCGGCATTCGCAGATGCCTCTTCCGCCGCGCTCGCTTCTGCTGTCACACGGGTAGACGACGTCGCACGTGTTCAGGGCTCTTCCTCGTGGCTGGGCCTCGTTGCCAGATTGGTGCTCTACCTGCTTCACATCCTGTCGACAATCATATACTGGAGTCTGAAGCTCACGACGATCTCTGTGCCGACGCTGCTCTTTACGCTATTCTCCACGAGCTTAACCGTGACGATGAACGCGACAACTTTGTAATAGCTCCTTCTCTCCTCCCTCCGCGCCATCGCTGTACTGACGTTGGACCCAGGGCATTGATATTGCTTGTCATGTTCTCTGCGGTAACTTGGGTTGTCAGATACCGATATTTAAACATGTATTCTCGCCTGCCTCCAGAGCCGCAACGCAAGGAGCCGGAGTTGGACCTCTTTCCGGAGAGCCACGAGGAAGGCGCCAAGCCTGGTCTGAGTAATTATCTAGACGAATTTCTCAGTGCCATCAAGATCTTCGGGTATCTCGAGCGACCTGTGTTTCATGAACTGACCAGGAGCATGCAGACCCGGAAGCTAATCGCCGGCGAGACCCTGAACCTGGAGGAAGAGAAGGGATTCTGCCTGGTTGTGGACGGACTCGTTGAGATTTTCGTCAAGTCTTCTCACCCCAGCCAGACGTCGCGACTTGACATACCCCACCACACCTCGCTGCAGTCTTTTTCCGACGATGACGAGCACTCTGCCCCCGGCCAGCAACGCTATCAGTTGTTGACCGAGGTTCGAAACGGCAACCCCATGTCGTCGTTGTTCTCAATCATGTCCTTGTTCACAGAAGACGTGAAGCTTATGCTGCCATCTGAGGACATCACCAGGCCCGGCCGCTCAAGCCACCAACGTCTTGCCTCCGGCGCCAGCATTCCGCACCCAGAGGACATACCGCCCTTTTTGGCCGAAGCGACAGACCTAAGCAAATCCCATGAGCCCTCGAGCGCGAGTCGCTCCCCCACCGGCAATCAGGCCACATTACCAAGGATTTCCCCCCTTTCGTTGGATGATTCGCTACAGTCCCGGGCTACTCGTCGTCCAACCGTGAAAAGGACAGCGACGTCGGTCCATCCTGATATCATTGCGAGGGCAACGGTCGACACGACCATTGCGATAATACCTGCGAGCGCTTTTCGGCGGTTGATCAGGGTTTATCCCAGAGCCACTGCCCACATTGTGCACGTAATCTTGTCGAGATTTCAACGCGTTACTCTCGCCACGGCATACAACTACCTCGGCCTTACTAGCGAGGTCCTTCACACGGAAAAGAACATGATTAACTATACAACTTGCCAGCTGCCGAACCTCCTCCGAGGGGATGCTCTGGAACGTTTGAAGGAGAAGTTTAAGCAGGAGAGAGAGAGGGCCGGTGAAGAGGACAGTGGCAAAGGGATCGCTTTACACAACGCATCGGTGACTCGTCAGCGTCGCCGGTCTTCGACGAGCCTCCGTAAAGAAGCAGCGCTGCAAGCGATGAGCCGCTCGCGACCCCAGTCTGTAGTCGCATCTACGATTGTGCCCCCGCAAGAGCGTGTTTCGATACACACACCCAGCCCCGGCGACCTCCTCGCTAACGTCCAGATAACCCGTAGTGGAGGCCCAAGGCCATCGGGCACTCTAGAGATTCCGATCGCGCAACCGTGGAATCCACCGGACACATTCCACACAGGAGATACGAGCCCTCTGGCGCAGCGCACCTTCGACCCGTTCTCAACCCAGAAGCGAGCCCGCCTATCAATTGACCCTCGCGAATCCGTAGATGAGGACAACTTTTTCAGGGTATCTATTTTGGAGTGCGTCTTCAAAGCTTTAGGTATGGGTACTGGTGGATCATCATCGAGAGGCCCAGAATCGATCGAGGGCTCCCCAAGACTCGTCTCATACGACCAAAGAAGGCAAAAGGCCGTGTTCAGCAGCAACGCATTTGGCTATATAGATCCCTTTGATAGTGCCGCCGATTGGGACGCCGAATCGATGACTTCTGGCGGCGTTTCAATGACTGCCACCCCGAACATCCAGTTTCTCGCCGCGGAAATGAAACATGACGTTGAGATTGTCTTCTTTCCTCAAGGATCGGTGTTGGTCGAGCAAGGGGAGCGAAGCCCGGGCCTTTATTACGTCGTCGACGGGTTCCTCGACATCTGCGTCCCGTCGGATGACCCGGGGAGCGACATCCTTAGCTCAGCCAGTAGAACCTCTGCGACGGCTATGCATCTAGCCGAGTCTCAAGAAGCTGCTCGGCGGTCGTCATATTATTCGCCTGCGCAGGAGGCCAACACCAACACGAATATGCCCGAGGCGAAACGGTACGCCAGATCCAGCCGTCGCCGCGTAGGGCTGGTGAAGCCAGGCGGCCTCGCAGGTTATATTGGTACAGTCTCATCGTACAGGTCCTTTATCGACGTGGTCGCCAAGACGGATGTCTACGTCGGGTTCATCCCGCGAGCAACTCTAGAGAAGATAGTAGAACGGTATCCAATCGTGCTTCTCACGATGGCAAAGAGGCTGACCAGCCTGCTTCCGAGACTAATACTTCACATCGACTTCGCTCTCGAGTGGGTCCAGGTCAATGCCGGGCAAGTCCTATTCAATAAGAACGAGGAAAGCGAAGCTATCTATCTCGTCCTCAACGGAAGGCTACGGTTGGTAGAAGACCGCAAGGGCGGCGGAATGAATGTTCGTGCAGAGTATGGCCAGGGCGACAGTGTTGGTGAACTGGAGGTTATGACCGAATCAGCTCGCTCTGGCACCCTGCATGCCATCCGTGCTACGGAACTTGTCAAGTTCCCGCGCACCCTGTTCAACAGTCTGGCTCAAGAGCACCCCAACATCACCATAAAGATCTCCAAGATCATCGCATCCCGGATGCGGTTGCTAGTCGACGATCCGTCCAGCCTCGCAGGGAAGGATGCGGCTTCTGGCACATCCATAAACAAGGTTTCGTCCACCCTCAACATACGAACGGTTGCCATCCTCCCGGTAAGGTCCGGCATCCCCGTGGTTGAGTTTGGGAACCGCTTGATGAATGCTCTGGCCCAAGTTGGCACGCCAAACGGCGCCACATCCCTGAACCAGGCCGCAATCCTCAGCCATCTCGGAAAACATGCTTTCAACAAGATGGGGATATTGAAATTATCACACTATCTTGCCGACCTAGAGGAGAAGTATGGGTTGGTTGTCTACGTTGCCGGTGAGTAAATCTCTCTGGTTCCTATCCGTCCCCTTTGCTATGATGAGAAAATCAGCCCAGAGCGCCGTCTATGAAGGCATTCAATCTCTAATTTTTTCCTGATTCCAATCCATTCTCTCGTGTTGGCTTTCCGAGACCTCCCCACCCGTGTTAGATTCTAACTCGTCGGGCAGACACAAGCGTGACGTCTCCTTGGACCCAGACGTGCATCACGCAGGCAGATTGTATTCTTCTGGTGGGCCTAGCCGAAGGATCTCCTGAGATTGGCGAGTACGAGCGATTCATGCTGGGTATGAAATCGACTGCCCGCAAAACGTTAGTTCTCCTTCATGCCGATCGGTACTCGCCCCCCGGACTCACGAGAGCATGGTTGAGAAATCGGGTCTGGATCAACGGGGGCCATTATCATTTGCAGATGGCCTTCGAGACAAATACCGTCGCTCCCCACCCACCCCCGAGGAAGAACGGCCCGACTTTGAAGGAACGTGTACAGATCCTCCAGGCCGAGATACAGAGATATACGGTGCAGAAGATACGTCAAAGGCCTTACTACTCACCCGACGCCCCGTACAAGGGAGACTTTCAGAGGCTCGCGAGAAGACTCTGCGGCAAATCGATCGGTCTTGTGCTGGGAGGGGGCGGCGCCCGAGGCCTAGCCCAAGTCGGCATTATCAGGGCCATGGAAGAGGCCGGCATACCGATCGACATCGTCGGCGGCACGTCTATCGGTTCGTTCATCGGAGCGCTATACGCACGACACACGGACGTGGTGCCCATGTTCGGCTTGGCGAAGAAGTTTGCCGGGAGGATGGGTAGCATGTGGCGTTTTGCTCTCGATCTCACGTATCCGTCGGCGTCGTATACCACCGGCCACGAATTCAACCGCGGGATCTTTAAGACTTTTGGCAAGCACCAGATTGAAGATTTCTGGCTGGAATATTACTGCAATACGACGAATATCAGCAAGAGCAGGCCCGAAATCCACACCAGCGGCTATGCTTGGCGATACGTCCGGGCGTCGATGTCGTTAGCTGGCCTGCTCCCGCCGCTGTGTGACGAAGGCAGCATGTTGTTAGATGGCGGGTACATCGACAACCTCACGGTGTCACATATGAAGTCGCTCGGGGCGGATGTGATCTTCGCTATCGACGTGGGGGCATTGGACGACGACACACCCCAAAGCTACGGGGATTCCCTCTCGGGCGTATGGGCGTTCTTCAACCGATGGAATCCGTTTTCGAGCACCCCCAACCCGCCAACGCTGGCAGAGATCCAAGCTCGCTTGGCCTACGTATCCAGCGTCGATGCTCTAGAGCGTGCCAAGACAATGCCGGGATGTATATACATGCGGCCGCCGATCGACGACTACGGCACTCTAGACTTTGGAAAGTTTGATGAGATCTACGCGCTCGGGTACAAGTTTGGTACAGAATTTCTTGCCCGGCTGAAGGAGGATGGAGTGCTGCCGCTGGTGGAGGAAACCGAGGCCAAGAAAGCACTACGGCGGACGATGGCGCCTCGACGTGCGAGCATTTAAGTACGTCCCAGGAGTGCTCGATACCCACTTCGTTAGTACATAGAACCTCGTCCGAGTGCGACGAGCGACGCATATGGTAATAATCAATCGGCGCGATCCCACGAAGCCGAGTCCATAGCGATAATAGCGGAAGCGCCTAATTAAAAGTATATCGTAAGGCCATCCGTACTGCTGTGAAAGCTGCCGGATGGGTTCTAGGTGAACGTGTACGGGGATTGTTGCTGTTGCCTTTGCCGTCCTTTCAGTGTCCGTTTGCTTTACCCCTATTGTTTTCGTTCCAATTCTAGCAAGGCGCGGGGTTTGCTGAAAGACTAAGAAGACGTCAAGGGGAACGGTGGAGTGAAGAATAGAGAATAAAGAGAGGAGACGCAGCGGATAGAATGGGACAGAGAAAGAAGAAGAAAACGAGCTTGTTTTAACTCTTGAAAGACCATTTATCAGCACAGGTTTTCGTCCGCCCACCCATGTGTCTTTTTAGCTCTAGGCCATCTTGTTAGGGTTTTTTGCCGGATTCGTCCTCGGGAAGTGTGCTGCTCATCGGCCTGGAACAACACTGCTGCTAGGGTACGGGTTCGACCACGAGAAAGCTTGTCAAACCTATCAAACCCATCTAGAACTTTCTCGCCTGACGGGACACAGATGATGCGTAAGTAGTACGCAGGACTGCTCCGCACAACGTTGGGTGGCTATCTCTTCTATAGCACTGCGGTTGGCCATTGTCGTGTCCTGACGAAGCCACGACGTATCCTTTGTACGCTCCCCATACGAGACCCAACATAGGATAGCGTTGTGGAGCAGAAGACGTTTCTTGCTATCACTCGACTCATTCGAAGTGCTGGCTAGGTACTTAACCAGGGGCCGAACGGGACTTCTACAGGCGCAAGCCGGCTGCAGCACAAACAGACCGGTCCATCGGAAGATCTCACCGGAGAACATCGAGTCACGGGCGAGAGAAGACACCTCCTAGCATCAAAAACACACCCAATTGCTCACTACAGGCCATGGCGGACAGGAGCTCGGGACTGTCGGCGAATTTCTCGTCGGGCTGTCGCTTGCCAGACTCTGAGGTCTCGGGAGCGAAGCCGGGCGGCAAATACAGCCCAAACACAGAAACACCGAAGTAAGGGGGACAGGACAACAGCGCGGCAGCACGTAGGACCATGCCACGCGGCTGGTGACTTGGTGCGTGTAAAGGGGGGGCAAGAGGAGGTCTTCGCGACGGAAGACCGGTTAGATAGGCGCACCCGAGCTGACCGAGTACCTGAGGTAGCTTGACGGCCCGAACGATAAGCCTTCTTCAGGATTGTGACAGAGGGCCTTACGCGTATGGTACCCTTTCATATACCTCACGACCACGACCACGACCACGACCACGACCACGACCACGTGCCTGATCGCCTAGCGCAGGTGGTACCTGCCTTGCATACCTACGCACGTCGGGCATTATGCTCCGAGATATGACGACACGACGGCGTGACGACGTGACAGCCAGCAGGGCGCGGAGATGGCAGCGACGGCCGAGACAGCGAGGGGAGCGGCGCCCCTGCCATCGCAGCTCCAGCACGCATAGAACTCGGGAGCTTAAGACGTATGACGGCAGCCTGCTAGGCTCGACTAGGCATAGCCCGCCGACACGAAAACGCCCCGGTTGTTCCAGACGTCCGGCGTTGACGTCATGGCACCTTCCGCCCAGATCTCCCCGACACCAGCCAGCCATCCTCCGCCATGACATCAAACCGAGGCGCCCCTTAGCGCCGTCGCGCAGCGCCTAGCTCAGAGACGACGCCCCGCGGCGTCCCTCCCCTCACCGCGAGAACCCGTCTCGGCCGCTGCCGTGGCCCTTCACTGCAGGGTGGGCCCCCCTTGCACCTGTGCGACGACGGCTTCGTCGGCCTCGCCAGCTGCCTAGGGAATCGGGCACAGGCGACAGTAGTTTGCCCCCCTCCCCCGGAGATCGTCGATGCGTGGTCCGCAGAGCAGCCACAGCGCTGTACGACCTCTCTCTCTCTCTCTCCATTTATACCTACCTACCTACCTACCGCGGTGCCCGCTCCCCTGCGCAGCACCTCGCCCATATCCTCCCAAAAGCGCGCTCGACTACACCAACTCCAACTCCTACTTCTCCCGACGCACGCACGCACGCACGCACGCCCGCAGAGAGACAGAGAGATAGAGAGATAGAGAGAGAGAGAGAGAGAGAGAGAGAGCGAAAAAACCCAGCAACAATGGGCAAACTCGCGCCAGCGGACCCGCGCACGTACCGTGAGTCCACCCACACACCCACACACTCTCTCTCTACCGCATCGGGCCCTCCCCCTCCGCTAACCTGCCCTCCCGCCCCAGTGCCCTCGCGCGCGCACCCGCAGCACCGCTCCGCGCGCAAGGAGCTCGAGCGGCGGCAGCCGGGCTTCGACTGGACGCCGCCGCTGGTGCTCGGGCTGATCGGGGTCGGGCTGGCCTGGGACATCGAGAAGCAGGTGCGGCGGGCCGAGGAGCGGCACGCGCGCGAGGAGGAGCAAGAGCGCGAGCGCGAGCGCGAGCGCGATGGTGGCGGCCGCAACAACAGCCGCCGCCGCCGCCGCCGCCACAGCACGAGTGCCGGCCGGCAGCAGCAGCAGCAGCAGCAGCGGCGCGAGGGCGCCGCGTCGCTGTCGGCCCTGCGCGCTGCCGAGGAGGGCAGCGCGGACCCCGCCGCCGAGTCTGCGCCGTGGCGCCGGAGGAGCCGCCGCCGCCACGCGTCCGCCGCCGGGGACCGGGGTGACGGGTGCGCCTGCGACGCCGCGCGCAGGTGCCCCCGGCATGCGGGCGCGTCGCCGCACGCGAGCGGGGCCGACGGCAGGGGACGGGAGTACGGCGGGTCTGGGCGCGGAGAGGGGTGGGAATACGGCGGGTCTGGGCACGGAGAGGGGTGGGAATACGGCGGGCCTGGGCACGGAGAGGGGAGGGCGAGGAGCAGAGGGCGAGAGCGGCGGGGTTCGCCGTAGGGACGGGCGAGCGGCCGGGGGATACGTTTGCCAGGACTAGAGAGAGGTCTGGCGATTTGGAGAGGGCGTTGCTACTCGCCCGACTTGACTTACCTGCGCGCATTGTCAGAAAATGTGGACATGTCGCGGGCACCAAACGCCGGGGCCGGGGGGGACTAGAGGCATATATGGAGTAATGGGGATATAGAGGGGGGGGGTCGTAACGCATACGTCGTACCGCAGTTTACTTTATTTTGCTCTCCATCTGAGGCTATGCTTGTCTGGTTTCAACTGTATCTAGGCATACACTCCCGATATGCTGTAGTCCTCTCCTCTCCTCTAGGTATATGGGTGAGCTAGCCTTTATCGTCACGTCCTTCCTTTCCGCACCCCGTCGCGCGGCCCCCTCCTGCCTACTTCGCCTCCGCCTTCGCCTCGGCGAGCACCTTCTCGGCGATCTCGACAAAGACCTCAAAGTGCTTGTCGACGTGGCGCGCCTGGACGAAGGGCGTTGCGGGGTTGTGCCGGATGGCGAAGACGCCGTCGCTGAGCACCGTGCTCGACAGGAAGATGCGACCGTCGGCGAGGATGGCGTCGTAGACCCTTTTGGTCAGGACGTTGCGGCGCGCCTCCACCTCCGCCTCCTCCTCCGCCTCCGCCTCTCCCTCCTCCTCCCCGTCCGGCGCTCCGCTCGGCGGCGGCAGGACCGCGCTTCGCGCGACGCGCACCAGCGTGAGCGCGAAGCGGGGGCCCGTCACGATCTCGAAGAGGTCGGCGCGCTCGTGGGCCTGGGCGGCGAACGTCTCCGCCAGCGTGACGTGCCGGCGGATGTGGGCGCGGAGGCCGGCGACGCCGTAGGAGCGCAGCACGAACCAGACCTTGAGGGCGCGGAAGCGGCGCCCGAAGGGGATCTGCCAGTCGCGGTAGTCGGTGACGAGGCCCGAGTCGGTCGGCGCGTTGCTGAGGATAGCCAGCGGCGACGTCGACAGCGCCGCGATCAGCGGCCGCCGGTCCCGCACGAACAGCGCGCTGCAGTCGAAGTTCACGAGCAGCCACTTGTGCAGGTTCACGTTGAAGCTGTCGAACCGCGACAGCACCCGCGAGTCGTCCGGGAGCCGGTGCTCCGGGCAGACCAGCGCCGACCCCGCGTACGCTGCGTCGATGTGGACCCAGACCTCGCCGCCGCTACCGCCGACGGGGAACTCGGGCGACGGCCCGAGCTCTTCGAGGACCTCCGCGATCCCGTCCATGTCGTCGATGGCGCAGGTGTCGGTGGTGCCGAGGGTGGCGGTGAGGTAGAAGGGCTCAAGGCCGCGGGCGCGGAGAGCGAGCACGACGTCGCGCACGGCGGCGCCGGTCATGCGATAGCCGTCCTCGGGGTACACAGGGACCGTACGGAAGCGGACGCCGGCGATCTGGGCGGCCTTGCGGGTGGCGGTGTGGGCGGCGGCGCTGGCGAGGGCGACGAGTCGAGTGCGGCGGAGGGCGATAGCATCCTCGCGGGCGTCGGGGTCGGTGAGGTGAGCGGTGGCGTCGCGCAGGTACCTGTCGCGGGCGGCGACGAGGACGGTGGCGACGGCCTCGGAGGCGGTGCCGTGGATGACGCCGCCACCGCCGGTCGGTCCGGTGGACAGGAAGCAGGGCGGCAGGGCGAGCGCACGGGCGAGCCAGTCGAGCACGATAGTCTCGAGCTCTGTCACTGCCGGGGAGCAGATCCAGTTGAAGGCCGCGCCGGTCAGCGCGGCCGAGTACATCTCGCCGAGCATAGCCGGGAAGCTGCTCGACGACGGGAACCAGGCGAGGAAGTTGGGCGACTGCCTGCACGCCTCCGCGCCGCACGAGGGCCCGGGCGGCTTCTCGTCAGTCACCCGAGCGCGCACTCTCTCTCTCTCTCTCTTCGCCATCCCAGCGACGAAAAGGGGCAGGAACAGAAGGGGAGAAGCGGGGAAGAGAAACAGGAGAGGAGAGTTGGGACGCAGACCAGTGGGTGATACCCGGGAGGATCTTGGCCTCGAGGTCTTTCTGGATGTCGGCCCAGGACTCGCCGTCCTGGGGGGCCTCCTCCGGCAGCAGCTTCCTCAGGTAGCCGGGCTCGACGGTGGAGGCGACGCGGCGCTCCTCGATGGTGTCATAGTACTTGACGACTGCCAACGGCGTCGTTAGTCTCCGCCGAGCCTCTCTTCAGGGTGCGGACAGCTGCTCACTCTCATCGACGGCGGACACGGCCGCGTCCCGGAACTGCTTGGAATCCATGCCGGGCGAAGGGGGGGTTAGGTGAGGAGGTGAGGAGTGCAGAAGATGAGGAGTGAAGAAGAAGGCGAAGTAAAATTTTCACCTGTCCTGGAAGAGTGCCAACGACGAGTAGGTTTCGCGTTTCCGACGGGGATACGGATCTGGATATCTCCGCCGCGGTGGTGTCCGGGGGAGAGGAGGTTGTTTTATATCCAGCTCTTTATACACCTGCGGAACTCACGAAGGGAACATCAGCCCGCGGCCAGGTACTTCTAGGTACCTACCCAGGTATATCGTGTGCGGGAGATGGGAAATGGGACCACCCGTCACCAGTTGTATTTTAGCGCGGGGCTATTACTCAGTACCTGCATAGGTACCTATACCTAAACCTCAGGTACCTACGCTGCGAATGCCTACCTCCAATCTACCTACCTACCTATCCTTCTGACTGAGGGCATGTATCTTTGGTACCTGGGGTCATCCGCGAAAGGTACCTAATGCGCCTAATGCCGTGTGTCAAAAATTCCCATCCTCGGAGGGCGCACTAACCTACCGAGGTTCGTAGAATTGTCGAAATAGGAGGTACATGTCACGCACGTTAGGTTTGTGCTAACGGTGACATGTATGTAGGTACTTGACGTGTACCTATTCTTGCCTCCTGTTGATTTTCAGCTACTCCTCCCCTCCCTTCCCCTCCCCTCCCTTTCCTTCTCTTCCCCTCCCCCCCCCCTTTTTTTTTTCCCCACGTACCTTAAATGAAAGTAGAAGCAAACATCTGCTCGGAGGGAATTTGGTCTTCTTTTGACCGCGTCGGAGCCGAGAGGCGCGCTCCCGTTCTCGGCCTCTCTCACGATATACCTAGGTAGAAGTAAATAATACGTGCAGATAGGTGCCTAAGCATCGCGAACGGTGGATCTAGTTCTCTTCGCGTGTCTCGAGGACGGATGTAGAGCTCCTACTCCCGACTATTCGACGCGCCAACCCAACTAACCACCGATTTCGCGGGGCCACAACCGGGAAAGCGCCTAGAATTGCACGCCCTACGACGGGACATATCAAGACACTAGTAAAATTCGAACCTGTCAACGGCTTCGTGGTGTAGTTGGTTATCACGTCAGTCTAACACACTGAAGGTCTCCAGTTCGAGCCTGGACGAAGTCAGGATGTTCTTTTTGGGGGATCATCCTCACAGAAAATGCCCATGCTTTCTCTCTTCGTTTGCATTTTTACCTCTATCTGCTCGACCATTCGAAATGACCATGTTCCTGGTGAGTTGCATGCCCGCGTTCTCACCACTCGAGCTTAGGGGAAACCGCCTCTTAAGAACCCTGCCTCCTTTTACCCCTTTTCGTGTCCACCCGCAGCCCGAAATGCTACAATGCAGCGCGCTATGCAGCGCGCTATGCACCGCGAGAGAATTGAATAGACATAACGCTACCCCAGCTTCCGTTTGCAGATATCCTCCTTCGTCGTACAGATGCACTTTTCACAGTTCTTCTCACCTCGCATACCCATCGGTTAGAATCCCTTCTTTCCTGTGAGGGATCCATCTATATACCAAGGCACAGCAAATGAGGCTTAGTAGGTAGCTGTACCTAGGTATGTGGCTAATCGAGCGCACGATGGCAGTCATGGCTTCTTCACGCTTGGGCACCTGTCCTGAACATATCCCTCCAGTTTTTGTAGTGGTCTAGCATGTCCTGGGTGACAAGCCTCGGCGTCTTCTGGATCGCGGCGAGCAGCACGTCCATGGCGGGGGGCAGGTCGCCGCTCTCGTCCGCGTCGGCGTCCCAGTAGGCCTTGTCGCAGATGCGCGCCAGCTCGGCGCCCGAGTAGCCCTCAGTCGCCGCCACGAGCCCCGGCACGTCCATCTCCTCGGCTGGGAACCTCAGCTCCCGCGCCTTAGCCGCAATAATAGCCTCGCGCGCCTCGCCGTCCGGCAGTGGCACGTAGATCAGTTCGTCGAACCGTCCTGGCCGCCGCAGCGCCGCGTCCAGCAGCTCCGGCTTGTTCGTTGCTGCCAGCACGAACACCTCGCCTATCTCCTCGAACCCGTCCATCTCCGTGAGCAGCGTCGTCAGCGCCTGGACCCCTCCGCCGCCGCCCCCCCTGTCGCCCTGGCTCGACCGCGACCCCGCGATGGCGTCCAACTCGTCGAAGAAGATGATGCTGGGGCTCGCCTCGCGGGCCCGCTTGAATAGGTTGCGTATCGATCGTTCCGTCTCGCCAACGTACATGTTCAGGAGTTCCCCGCCCTTGACGGAGAAGAAGTTGAAGGTCGATTCGGCCGCCATGGCCTGCGCCGTCATGGTCTTCGAGCAGCCAGGTGGGCCGTAGAGCAACACGCCCTTGGGCGGCTTCGACATCCTTGCGCGAGTACCCTAAGGACGTGGTGGCAGCGTCAGTGAAAACATCTTTCAGCTGTACGGAGGCGAGACATGGGGTTGTTACCTTCGGGAATCGGAGAACCTTGCGGAGGGCGTCCTTGACTTCTCTGTAACCGCCGATGTCCCCCCAGTGCACAGTGGGCGGTTTCAGGTTGATATCGTGCATAGCGCTCGGCCGTACTTTCGAGAGTGCTAGTGCGATGTCATCCCATTCGAGTGGTCCCGTATTCGGAGGGCCGCGACCCCGTCTCCTCCATGCCTTCGTAGCCTCGAAGAGGACTTTGCGCAGATCCGCACCTGTGTATGCGTGGGTGCGTTCGGCGAGGCCGTTTGCATACTGACTGTACCGGTCTTCGGCGAAGAGTGGCCGGTGGAAATCGATGATTTGCCTGCGGGCCTCTGCATTCGGGACGGGAAGGGTGATATGCTCCTCGAACCGTCCGGGGCGTTGGAGCTCGTGAGGTATGTCGTTTAGGATATCGAGGCAGGTAGCGATCACGACAACGAGGGGTCTTCTGTTTTGCTGGCGTGCCCTATCCGTTAATGCATCTAGTCCTTCGCCGATAGCCTCGACCATGGCATGGCGACTCGATTGGTCCCGCCCTATCAGCTTCGTTATATCGTCGATCAGAATAATGGTTGCGTCCCGCTGCTCGAGAGCAGTCTTGAAATGTGCCTGAACAACGGAAGGCTTGTCGTTGTAGTTTAGCCGCACAACCCTGCCCCAGTTCGTCGCAGCGATGCGATCTAGTAACATCGATTTCCCTGTCCCGTGTCTCCCTTGGATTACGATTCCGCAGGAAAAGGGGGGAATCGTGAACCCATCAAAGTCGACGTCAAAGTCTTGAAAGAAGTTGGTAAGTTCCTGCGTTGGAGTAAGGGCCCCCGGGAGCGGCTCTATTTGCAGTGTCCCCCCAGCCCCTCGATTCACGTCGTCACTAGCCAGCTCAACTACTGTGGAACCGGGGGTATATCCAGCAACTGTGTCAGTTCTACCATTCACAGATGTAACCACAAAAGAGCGTTTTATGCCATTCAGCAGAATATCTTCATACGCTATTCCCGGCAGGATGTATTCAGCTATCTCTGTTCAGGGTGTTAGAAAGAGTCATCCGTAACCATATCTTCTGACACGGCACGAAACAAGGCTCGCTAGAGAAGGTGGTAAGTAACAGTAACTTACCCAGACGACTTTCGAGGTGATATTGCCATCTTGTCTGCTCGGAGACCGGCAACGGGGAGGCATCGGCGGTCACGTCCTCCATGGTTACGGTACCGGCCGCAGGAACGGGGCCGCTTCCGGGAGTAACCCGAGCGATCTGACCGAGCTCTAGGCCAGCAGTCTTCTGAAAGACCCGGCTAACGGAAAGAATATTGCTGGCAACATTCTTGTCCGGAGCAGGCCAGGCTACAGCCTCCAGGCGAATGCCCGGCTCAGCCTCGACGAGGCAGATATGGGCGGTAGTGAATCCACCTTGGACGAAGGCGGTTGGGTGGATGAAGACCTTGGCAGCGTTTTTGTGGTTTGGGGTCTTCTGGCTCGCGACATCCTGCGGCTGGAGGCGGATCTTGAAATCGTCCCTGGCCATCGCCGTTCGGATACCGATGTCGGTATCAGGGGTAAGTGGTAATCTAGATTGGTATTTTCAAGCAAGGGCCCCTCCTTGATGCCACTACGAAGTCGGCAGAAACTTTAGCTGTAGAAGAGCAGGCAAATCATCCATCTTTAAGAGATCGTCTCGTCTCCTTTCCTCTATCCTTTTCTCATCCTTTCTCTCCCACTCCGAATGCAAAAAATAAAGACGGGCAAAGGGAGAGTGAAATGGGTACGCATACGAGGGTTGTGCAAGTTGGTAGAGGCAGTGATATGAGGTGCACCCAAGACTTGACAAGCTGTAGGACGGCGGATAATGCATTGATACCTACATAGGATACTTACATATTACATATAAACATGTACCTAAATGTCGGGTAGCTAGGTACCCCTACGAGCATTACAGTGCGCGATGAATGTAGGATTTGCAGGCTTATAGTTAGCGTTGAATGCCCTGTAAAGGATCCCCCAGCGGTGCTGTGCCCAGTGGGGTCAAAGCTACCTTAGGTACCTAATGGGATAACTTGGCCGTACGAATTAGCACGAGAGGATACGGTATCGGGTACTTTAGGCTTAGATACCTAACCTCAGTTATGTGCCTAAGAGGTATTCCATCCCACCGAAATCCTCTTTTCCAGCACAGCTTCTCTTCTCCTCCCCTCCACCGTCAAGTATGCGATGCGCTGGTCATCCTGTCTCGCTACCCCATGCCCGTAAGACTGCTCAAGCGGCCACCTGTACGATCGGTAGCTGCAGCATGGCGTCTCCCCTTCATGCCTGCGGCTGTAGCACTGCTGCACGGTAGCCCCAGGATGCGACTAGATGACAGTTTTGACGATCCCCCCCCCTCACCATCATCGCGACCAAGCAGGGGCAAAGACAACGGCTCCTTCGAAGATGCCTACCCTGGCCGCAATCACGATCGCGATAGCACACGGCAACCCGTTTCGACGAGCAGAAACCGGCGCGGTTCTCTCCTCGAAAAGCTGTTTCCCGACGAGGTCAAACAGTCGCGGCAACATTCCGACAGCGCGTCTAGAGGCACGTGGGCCTCTATCTTCGACGACCTGCCCACTCCTCATCCGTCGTTCCTGAAGGCCGAAGTAAACAGCGTCAATGCCAACGCCAACGCCACCGACCGCGCTTCCTCTTCCGACGTGCCCCTCCGCGCGCAGAGCATGCTCGTCCTCTCGGGCGCGAGCCCCTCGCTCCTGGCGAGCGACTTCCTGCGCCTCGGGCGGCACGGCGCCCACGTCGAGGGCTGGGTCGGCGGCATCCAGCGCGTCATCCCGGCGCTGGACCCCGATACACTGCGGCCGCTCGGCTATTACTTCGTGCTGTTCGACAGCCCGGATGCTGCGCTCGCCTACCGCTCCGACGTCGAGCGGCTCTGGCGCCTCGGCAAGGAGCATCTTCCCGGGGCGCACCACGGGAGGAATGCCGCGGTTTACGCGGGCGTCCCCTTGCCTACTCTCGCCCCCGTGCCGTCCTTCGGCCCCATACGACGGGTCGCCACCAGCGGACCGATGGATGATTTCGAGAGGGACGTGGCGGCGACGCTACGCTCCTTCACGCTCATCTCACCGTCGCAGAGCTACCACCTTCAGACGTCGTCGCGCCTCACGCGCGAGCAGCTGTTAGACCTCGATATCGGCGGCGGCGACTCCCCCTACTCCTCTTTCCACGATCGTCTCGCTGCCCGCGCCGGCTCCCCACACTTAGTCCTCATCCATGTCGAAGGTGGCCGCATCTCCGTCAACACTCTGCATAGCGTCATCGAGGCCGACGGCGCTGAACGTGGGCTCCCCTGGCGCATCCTCGGCCACGACCGCGACGACATAGTCATTCTCCCCTTCGGCAAAACCATGGTCAAAACACCCGACAGGGTAAAAGCCGATGCAGAAGCCCTAGCTAGAATCGAGGCAGAAGCCGCGGCCAGAGCTAAGGCCGAAGCTGAAGCGCAGACCGAAGCTGAAGCGCAGACCGGAGCTAAAGCGCGGACCGGATCTGAGGCGCAGACCGGAGCTGAGGTGCAGACCGGAGCTGAGGCGCAGACCGGAGCTGAAGTAGGAACCGAGGCGGGAGCCAGGGGCCAAGACAGCAGCGCGGCGGGCAGCAGCGACAGCGGCCAGGAGAGCGGCCCCAGCGAGTTCGAGCAGAGCCTCATCGAACAGGCGAACCGGCTCACGGGGACGCGGCCAGCGAGCTCGGGCAGCAGCAAGGACGAGTGGCAGCCGGAGGTGGAGGATCTCACGGCGGCGGCGGCGGCGGCGGCGGAGGAGTGGTCTGCGTGGGAGCGGGGGTCGGCGGAGGACCGGGAATACCGGCGGTACCCGCGGTTCATCGTGCCGTTCGCGGACGGCGCCGAGGCGCAGCGCTTCGTCCGGTGCTGGCACCGGCGGCAGTTCCGCACGAAGACGGCCACCCGCGAGGGCGACAAGGACATCTCGTGGGAAGAGACGCGGACGCTGAACACGACGGTGCTGTGGTGATCGGGACGAGAGGCAAAAAAAAGGGTAGGGGGGTCGTAGGAGACGATAGAACTAACTGGGCCAGCCCGCTCACTCGCTTGCTGCTTCGCGAGACGTGTGAGGACGCGAGGACGGAGCGGTGGCCCCGTACATGTATATATGTACCTATAGCAATATTAAGTCAGCTCTTCCTCGACTCCCACCTCTCGCCTCTCTACGCCTGTGTTGACTCCTAGGGTGTGTCGTTGCACGCGGCACTAACCTGGGGGGCGACGCGCCGTGATCTCCCCGACCCTTCCACCGCCCCCCTTTCCGCTGACCTTTAACTAGAGAGAACAGGGAAGGGGGGTGCCCTCCCTCCCCCTTACACCAAGTAGACAACATTATCAAAGCGTAGGAAAGAAAACGCCCCATCGCAGGTCACGATACGACGGAGAACACCGATTCTAACCAGCACAGGAACGGAAACACGGCCGCGGGTGGGGGAAAATAATGTATTAGGCCAATGTCAACATAACTCCGCCGATATACCGCACTATGTCCTCCCGCCCTTTACCTCCTCTTCCTCTAGTCCCCCCTCACTCTTTCCCTCGGCCACATTCTTCTTCCAAAAGCGCAGTATGGTGGTGTGTTGTATGTGTAGCGTCGTGTATGCGTGCGTGCGTGCGTGCGTGAGAAACAAGTCTATCATTGCGAAGTGGGCAGTAGGTGGGTAGGTAGGTAAGTCGAGCAAGCAAAAGCAGCCTTGGTTTTTTTTTTTCCCTCCCGGCTTGCTTTTCCCCATCCCCCTCTCTCCTCCGCTTCCTTCTGGGGTCACTTGTCTTCGTCGTCATCCCGTGTCGTCTTCGTCGTCCTTCTTCGTCTACGAAACAGCGAACTAGCCGGCCGAACATCCCGGCCAAGGTTTGTTTACAGTGCATTAACTCTCGTTTCGAGACCCCTTCAGGATGGAAAAGGCGGTGGCCTTTTTCGCGGTTCTTCCTCTCCAATGGAAGGCATGTCCTCTCGGTCTGATCTACAGTTAAATCTCGCTCTGCCAACAAAAAAAAGAAAAAAGTTGCCAGCTTTCTGTTCAGCTCTGCGTCTGGCTCTCCTCTCGCTCCCTCTCTCCTTCTTTCTCTAGGCTAGGCTGGCCCTAGTCCCTCGGCATCTCCAAGAATACTTTCCCCAAGTTCAGCAGCATTTGCCCGCTCCGGCGTTGTCTCCCTGTGCGACAACGACGCCAGTTTGCGCGGCCGGCTCCGCCTTGGACGTGTCGATGATACGCTTCTTGATGTCGGAGGCTAAGCTATAGAAGGCCTTGTCGATGTTGATGTTGCTCTTGGCGGATACCTCGAGGAAAGGTATGCCGAGTTCCTTAGCCAGCGTCTCACCTTGCTCCGTTGACACGACACGCTTATCTTCCCAGTCGCACTTGTTGCCGATGAGTATCTTGTTAACGCCTTCGGTAGCGTGCTGTTCTACATTTGCGAACCAAGTTTTGATGTCTAGAAACGCAGGTGTTAGCATGAGGATGTCAGGGAGATTTGGCATAGAAATAACTAGGTCTTCTGAGTCTGTCGGCGGGTATGGTGGTTGTTTTCCTCCAGGCCTGCGTCGAGTTTGACATCCCGTGTGATCAAGGGGAATAAACGAGGGGCCGCCTTACTCTCGAATGACCTCTGGTCGGTGACGTCGTAAACCAGGAGGATGCCCATCGCACCGCGATAATAAGCCGTTGTGATGGTCCGGAATCGCTCCTGGCCAGCAGTATCCCAAATCTGCAACTTCACGCGCTTCCCATCTAGCTCGATCGTGCGGATCTTGAAGTCGATGCCGATGGTTGTGATGAAGGACGGCGTGAAGGAGTCTTCACTGAATCGCAACAAGCAGCATGATTTGCCGACGCCCGAATCGCCGATTAGGAGAAGTTTAATCTGCGTAATTGAATGCGTCGTTAGCCTATGTCGGGATGGCGGAGGGTGGGTATATAGGGCAGTATGGGAGGCGCGGCTCGAGTGGGCAGGGTGAGCGAGACTCCCGGTGAGCGAGACCCCCCGTAGCTCCCGGATCCCTAGCGACAGTCCAGAGGCAGCCCAGAGGGAGGGAAATGACGACAAGAGCGACGGGTAGACCTACTAAGAAGTCGTAGTTTCGGTTGCCCGACATTTTGGTGGACTCGCTCGTCGGAGACGGCAGAGAGGACAGGAGAGGCTCGCTCGATCGACTTCGTCAGTTGGAGCTGTGACGTAGATTCCGGTTCGGGTTACGAGAAGAGGTTCTTCGCAGGGCAGGGAAGAGACGCCTGGCGTGTGGTCGACGGAGGGAGTTGGTAGTAGCGGTGGTGGTTGGCAGGTGAGTGGTGATAACGGCGATAAGTGGTGGACCGTCCACGCTTGGCACCGTAATGAATTTATCTAACTCGGTTCGTGCTAGCAAGATGCTGCGGAAGCTGGATTGTTTTGGGCAGCGAGAGAGAGGGGGGATGAGGGGACGGTCGTCGGATAGAGGTGCTAACAGTTGTCGCTGCGTATGGAGGCAGGTTGGCGGACAGAAGTTGGTTGTTATTCAAATGAGATGTTGCCAGCAAACAGAACGACGGTGTGCACCTGGCTGCAAGGCTTTTAGGTACATCCACACCCACCATACTTGCGATATGTAATCGGCGGAGATAAATGAGACAAAGGAGTTATTGGTCCAAACGAGGCAGCCTCGCACCCTCCCATGCTTATCTAGGTAAAGCTTACTTCGAAGGCGATGTACTATTATGGGGCATATATATACCTGTAGGCTGTACGTAGGAAGTAGATAGGTAGGTACCTACCTAGGTAAGTAATTCGTATATACCTAATACATATACCTACCTTTATATATGCCTCTATATGAGAATATAGAGTACCTTAGGTACCTGGGCAGGTTAGGTACGGGGTGAGTACGGAGTAGCGAGTAAGGTGAGAGGTATATTTCCGTAAAGCGGACATGGGCCGGTAATACCAATGCCCACCGGTTACGCAACAACACCTTTAAATAGGTTAGGTTCCTCTCTGAGCCACGTCCGTTGAACTACTTAATGTTACCAGACCGGTTGGAATACAACACAACCTAACCTACACTAAGCTCAGCGAAGCTAAGTGGTTTATAGCAGCTACAGGCAGGTCCGGTACCTATAGCACCCGCAGTCTAGGTACCTACACCTGCCGAGGTATGTACGTACCCAAGGCACACAATGTTTGCGCGACCCTGACTCAACCCCAACCCTGCCTCCCTCGGTATTGTACCCGGGGTAGCAAGCCGATAGAGCTACGAGCTTCCGAGATGTTTACTCGAGACAACCATCTATCGTGGCTACGAGCATCGCTTGCCCTTAATAAGGGATGATTCGGAAGGGCTGCATAATGGTGCTACCGATTCCCTGCACTGAACTGTACCTCGATACGTTTCGTCTACAGAATACCTCTCATATGCATTGATGCTTCTCCAGTCCAAGTCCCCTAGTATATGCATGCAAGCAAGCTCCTTACTACCTCAGCCACTTAGAATAGGCCCAGCGTATCCTAGCCAGCGCGCGCAGCTGCGACATGATGCCCTTGAGGTTAGCGAGGTCATCCAAGTCATCCAGGAAGTCCTTCTCGATGTCTGCCGGGAGGAGACTATGCACCAGCTGGCGCAGCACGTGCACCTCGCTTATGAGAAGGCCGTGGTCCTTGTACGGGAGCACGTTGTTCGGCGAGGGCGTTGCGTCGGAGAGGATCCGGTCGATATTGCGGAGAACCCGCACGCATCTGCCCGCCTTTCGGCTCTCGCGGAACCCCTTTCTCCCCCCGAACACCCCGCGCAAGTACTGCACTGCCCCGACGGACACCAGGATACCTGGCGTCAGGCCTACAAAGCCGAAGACGAGCTCCTGACTCTTCAGCAGAGAATCAATCCCGCTCATCGCCACCTCCACATCCACCTTCGTCTTCTGCACCTGGATCAGCAACGTTCGAACCAGATCGCCTCGGACGGTGCCCATGAGGGGCGTACGCAGGTCCTTCTCGTACGCGCGGAGGATCGGCGTCACATCTCCCTCCCGAACCTTGGCCCTGATCTCGGCGACTTGCGCTTCCGAGATCGCCGATGCCCCGGTTGCGGCACCCGACTTGTCGAGAGCAAAGTCGACGACCATACGCTCCAAACTCTCCCTATCCGCCTTGAGGCTATCCCGGCTCATGATGGCTATCTCGCTATTGGAATCGTGGCGGATGGTCCCGACAATTTTTCGGACAGGGTCGATCACCCAATTGAACCAGAAATCGCGTACGGTCGCACCGAGATCTCTAATCCAATGTACGATCTCCTGCTTCTTATTGACGAGTATCCGAAGAACAGTAGTCGACGAGAGGAGAAGAGATATACTGGGGAGCCAGTATCTTACGAGCCTCGACGGTCGCCCATTGTCCGCCACCAGCTCTTTCGTGTCCTGTAGGTGCGCCGGCAAATGGTATTCTAGCAGATCCTGAAGCCTTCTAGCCACCATAAGCGGTCGGTTTACCTCGTCTTCTTCGGCCTGGGTCGACAGCTCGGGGTCCTCTTGGACGCCTGCGAAGACTCTATCTTCAAAGTCAGAAACCCTGAGGTTGGGGGCCAACACATCTTTGAGCACCATGTCCATCAGGATAGCACTGCGCTCGACTACGCTTTTCCACTCCTGCTTTGCCGAGAGGATCGTGTCGGCCTTACCGTCATCGCTCCCGTTCGCGCCAAAGACCAGCCCTTCGACGATTAAGACGCCAAGGGCGCTCGAGGTCATCTCCTTCAGCTTCTTCAGCTTTGCTTGCTTCTGGCGGGCTTCGGACCGGCAGAGGGCGACCGGAGACATAACGGTCCGTTGTAGGTTGGTTAGTGACTTCTCGCGGATGCTCTCCCTTACGATTTCGTAGAACCGCTTCCATTGTTGAGCGAGACCGGCCTGAAGAGACTGCGTGTCCGGCCCAGCCTCGGAACCAGTGGCTGACGCGCCGCCACTAGCATATAACTGAAATCTGGCCTTGCTATCCTCGTAAATCTCTCTCGACCAAGCCCATAGCCGGACCGGTGAGGTTTGCACCATGTAAAGGCTGGTGTAGGTGGGGGAAGAAAGCACATCGTCCCAATACCAGATATGGTCGCTTAGCGGGATGATCTGGTCGAGCAAGGCATGCAAGATTATGCCATAGGTCTGGAGGGTTGCTTTGCCGACCAGAATCCACTCAAGCTCTGCTTCGTACTGATTTGGCAGCGCCTCCTCGAAATTTGCCGGTAACAACCTGGATTGAGACAGAAGAGATAGGATCTGCTGAGGGAGAAGGACAGCGTTGGGGCCCGAAGGTGCCGACAAAGCCTTGACGGTCCTCAGCAATTCCTTCGCCCGAGGACTATCCAAGTCTATAGAGGCACGGGTGGCGGCGGAGTCTGTCAGATAGCTTAGGGGGATGCGGTCTAGCTGCGCGTCCAGCTGCCGTACTTGACTAGAGAACGTCTAAGCCGCATTGCCAGCGTTGGTAAAACATCCACACAGGACTTACTCGGCCACGACAGACATTATTGCCTTTTGATTAGCCCAGGCCTGCGATTCACTGCTCCGCAGTGATTATATGGGTCGATAACACTCGGGATCACTACCGCACGTAACTATTTCTCTAATAAGGTCAGGTCATGGCGAGTAACATGAACCTAGCAGATCATCTGCGTTTACCGAAAGGAAACGTCCGGGACGAGGACCGGGATGTGAAATGAGCTAAGGGAGCCAATAACAGCAGGGACGAATTATATGACCGGGCTAGAGCGATGCTGAAGAGGTCGAATCTGCTCGACAGATCTTGCACAGGCAAACTCCGGCGAGGCGATGCAAGCTTACGGCGCGACGACGGTGAATAAACACCTCCAGAAGTCGAATGTTGGTCAGTCGATGGCGAGGACTTTCTGGAGACTGCGTTGGCGAGTGAGGTCATCACCAAGGTGTGGGGATGAAGAAAAAAAATGATCGAAGCTCCATCCCTATCCACAACTACAGAAAGCTTGGGATAGGCTGGCGCGAATGAGGCTAGGCAGATGCAAATGAGGCTAGGTAAAGATCGCAACTGCAGGAGCCCTAGGTATAAAGGTACATTAGGTACCTACCTACCTGTAGCGAAACTACCCGCTTAGGTAGGTAGGTACCCCCCAGGCATGATGAAAATTGGGATGAGACCCGCACTTGGCTTGTGGCGTAAATGTAGGTGGTTGCCTAAGGCCACTACACAAATATCATAGCTTCGGTAGGTACCTACCTATAGTAAGGCGCGGATCCGCCAACTCACGCAAGCATAGAAGTACTCTCGTGCCGCATATACCTAGGTGGGTAAGAGGTAGATGGTAGGCAGGATTCAGGGGGTGGCACCGGTATTGACTGCCTGAGCCGTCCCTTGGTTGGGGTTAGGTAAGAGCATCAAGGTCGGCTGGGCCAGGTCAGGTGACACGAGACAGGAGGCGACGAATGAAAGCAAAAGCCAAAGCTTCCAGGGGCCGATTATCTGATAAGCGTTTGGCGGCCGGGCAGCGCCAGGCCTTTTCAGGACAGAATACGACAATGCAGTTGCCCCACACAACCTCTATATACGCTGTACCCAAGTACCCATGCAGAAAATGGGCGGAAAACGGAAACCCACTAACCCTTTCGCAAATACGAATACGAAAGCCACGCACCTGCACCTGCGGGTTCCGTGAGGACAAATTGAAAGCAGTTCGCGTCACCCCTGCCCGGACTTGCCTGTCTCGTCGTCATCTCCACGCCCACTGCAGGTACCTGTCTAACCTGCCCGAGGTACCCCCATTCTGAAGCAGGTATGCAGGTACGCGGGTCTGCCTCCCGCTGGTAGCTGCTGGCTAGGTTTCTATCCGTACCCAGCCCGTTAGTTTCCCCAGCGAGGTACCTGTCTCTGTCAGTAGGGAACCTGCAGCGTCTAAGACAGGTGCGTTCACTGGGTAGATCGGGAGCGGGAAGAGCAACTTCCAGGTGGGATCATGGTGGCAGCATTGGCGTGAATTGGTGGTGCGGTTGGACGGACTGGGGTACCCCTAAAACCAACCAACGTCTAATCTCCTGTGTCTTTCTCCTTATCGCTTCCACCGCCCTTCTTTTATTTGATCTGGAACAAATACTGATCAATTTCTTCCTCTTTTTTTCTTCCCTCGCCCTAGATTCCGCTGTCGGTACAGCTCCTCTCAACCCTCTCCCCTCGTCGGCCTGTCTACTCTACCGAGCAACAGATAACGGGAATCCCGGGGAAAGAATCAAAGAACCCCCCCCCGCCGCCATCTACTCCGACACTGCCGCCAACCACCATGGCCACTATGTACGTCCCTCGGGTGCCGCCTTGACGCACGCTCCGTCGCGATCCGATTCAACATTACTGATTGTGCCCCGTCACAGGAATGCCACCCTCGCCGGGGCTTTCAGCCATCCCGATTCCTATCTCAGCGTCTTCGAGGAAGTTTCCAAGTACAACGTCCAACTCAATGTCCTCGAGCGGCTGTGGGCTGTCAGTTACTTCCCGCTCCGATTCTTGGCGTGTCCAGACGCGATCGACTCGGTGGCTAACATTAGCGCTTCTAGGCCTGGTACCTATGGATGCAGAATGACACGCTGGCGACCGGCATCATGAGCTTCGTCATGCACGAAGTCGTCTACTTCGGTCGATGCATCCCTTACATGGTCCTCGACTGCATCCCCTACTTTAACAAGTACAAGATCCAAAATGTGCGTAGGATGGAGAGCGCTGCGGGGTGACCTCCGAGCAAGGGAGTTGGTGCTAACTATCGGCTTAGCAAAAAATCCCCACCTGGAAAGAGCAGTGGGAATGTGCTGCCTTGGTGTTCCTGAGCCACGTCACTGTCGAGCTGCCCCAGATTTGGCTCTTCCATCCCATCGCGACCTACTTCGGCATGGAGTTCAGCGTTCCCTTCCCCAAGGTCCAGACCATGGCCCTGCAAATCGCCGTCTTCTTCGTCATGGAAGATGCGTGGCATTACTGGCTCCACCGTGCCCTACACTACGGCCCTCTCTACAAGATGATCCACAAGCTCCACCACACCTACTCGGCTCCCTTTGGCCTCGCTGCCGAGTACGCGTCGCCGATAGAAACTATGCTTCTGGCCCTAGGGACGATTGGAGGCCCCATCCTCTGGGTCACCGTCACTGGCGACCTCCACCTATTCACCATGTACGTGTGGATTGTCGGCCGTCTCTTTCAGGCTATCGATTCCCACAGTGGATACGACTTCCCGTGGAGCTTGCGACATTTCTTCCCCTTCTGGGCCGGCGCAGCTCACCACGACATTCACCACGAGAAGTTCATCGGCAACTACGCATCGAGCTTTACCTGGTGGGACTGGATGCTCGATACTGAGTCCGGGCCTGAGGCTGCTAAGCGTCGCCGCGAGCGGAAGCTGAAGAACCTCAAGGCCAAGAAGGCCGAGTAGAAATTCCGGTTACTTCGGGTTGGAAACACCAACTAGGGCCTACATTGGGCGGGCGGGTTGAATAACATCTCGCCGGTCCTGGCCATTTGCTCCTAGTTATCAGGAATGCTGGTCACTGAGTAAGGAGAAATTTGGCCGTCGTCTGATCGCGCGGATGCGCATCTAGAGTGACGTGGGGGCAATTTGTTGCGCTGATCGTGGCGGTCATTGGTGCCATAGACGGTTGGGTAGGCCAGCTCGTACACACCATATAATGTTGACGAAGAGAAGAAAACAAATACCTATCATAGACTAATAGCAAGCTCTGCATCCGTCACTGGAGCCCGAGTAATTCCACGAATAGCATTCATGATCACGTTTTTCCGCAGTCTTATTTTGAGAATTCGTGGTTCCCGCCCGCGTAATATGCAAGGACACGTTGAGTTTACGACAGGTGCCCGAGGTCCGGCCCCATGCTGATGATTGTCCGTGCAGGCACTACCACAACACGTGAGCCATACTCGTCACGACGTCGGTCTCCACAGCTAGAACAATCGCGAGGGCTCTGGATGGTGGGCGGGTGGATAGGAAGACAAGGGCAGGGTAAGGAGGAGGGGGCCAGGGCGAGGCGGCCGGGCCGCGCAGAGGGAACGGCGCGAGGCCCCGCGGCCCCGTCTACGACGGGGACTACGTGAAGAAGATGAGGGAGAGGATCAGGTTTGGTTGGGCAAGGGGGGGGCGGGAAGGGGGGTGTTGCCCGTCCGCGTCCACGCCGTCTTCTCGTCCGCCCACGGCCGGGCCCGTCGCCGCCCCGCACCGGCGTCTCGAGCCCGGGAGCCCGGGGCGCGCGGGCGCGGACCGCCCCGCTGCTTGCTCGCGCGCGGCGCCGAATTCGATGATTTAACGTCTACCTAGGTATGTAACTCAAGGCGCCCGCGGATCTACGTGCGATTGTAAAGGGGGTTTTATTTTCTTTTTTATTTCTCTGCTTTCCTGCGGCCGCCGGGTGCGGCGCTTGCGCGGGGTAGGGGCAGGAGCAGAGCTTGGAGAGAACCCGGCGCGATAGATCGGTCGATCGATCGATCCTCGTCGCCGTCGTCTCGTGTAGCTCGCGGGGGGAGGAGAATGCATGCCCGTCCGATAGTACGCCTACCGCGGGGGAAAGGGGGAGGAGGTGCTAGCCGGGGTCTTTCGCGAGAAATCACTTATAGAGTAATAGGTACCTAAACCTTCCTAGACCTCATTCGCGGACGCAGGTATAACATCTACTTATCCTTTGAGAGGGGAAATCTCCTGGCTATGGAGCCAGTCAGTCTACCTACCCTACCTAGGTAGCCAGTCGGCTGGCGTGTATCCATCAGCCGGGAGGCTCAGACCTCCGCGGCGTACGTACGTGCACGCCTCAGCCATTCGCGTTTCCCGCCTCACTTCCTCCTCGGCACGCAGCACTCCCCACCGGCGGCGGCGGCAGCGCGGTCGGTAGCCTGCTGCAGCGACGCGCCGGCCTCGTCCGCGGGGCCGGCGACCTCGCCAAAGTCCGCGGCGAGCCCGTCGCAAGCCGCCGCCAGCGCGACGTCCAGGGCCGACAGCCCCCGCGGCTCGTGCGTCGTCCACCGGATGTGCGCCACGTTGTAGACCTAGAGATACGGGCAGACGCGGCGCGCAGCAGCAGCAGCCCGAGTTATCAGCGGCTATGACGGCGGCGACGGCGGCGGCGGCCAAGGAAAGGGAGGTTTTGCGGTGAGTGCGGTGGGGCGGTGGCTGCGCACGCAGGTAGCGGGTCGGGGAGGACGGAGGGGACGGGGCTCGGAGATACGAGATGTGTACGTAAGGTCGAGCGAGTAAGCAAGGCGAGAGAAGGAATAAGAGGTTAGGAGAGAACGCTGAGAAGGCCTGGGGAGGGTAACGTGTAACTCGACAGTCGCTTAACAGGTCTCAAGTAACAGAGAGGGAGAATCCCGGTGACTCCTTGCGGGTTGAAGGGCATCAGAATAAGAACCCCTGTTCTCTCTTTGCTCCCTCCGTCACGGAACAGTTCTGTGTAACGATAGTAGCAGTTCATGATCAAGCCTAGCTCATCATGGCTCTGCCACACACTCTTTTATTCGAGAACAGTACGACTGCGCACGTGTGCGTGATCCAGTGGAGGGGGGCTAGCCTTTTATTGCGGATGGAAGGACGGAAAAGGGGGTAAAAGGGATGGGAGGGCCTTACGTTAGACCACTCTGGGTGGTGGTTTTTCAGTTTACACTGCAGCGAAACCGCGGTCATGAAGTCCTGTCAAGGCAGAATCGGGATTAGCCAAACATCCTTCCCCGTCGTCGTCGTCACTATCATTGTCATCATCGTCGTCGGCATGTTCCGAGGAAGAGAGCTGAAGGATGACAATCCCAAACTAGGTTGTCGAGATACGCGTTTCGGGATGGCTATATTTGATCAGATGCGGCTCGGGAGTATTCTCCCGAGCCGGGGCTGGCACCCATTCTACGTGACCGGACGTATCAGATCTTCCCGTGTCTCTATGATAGCCGGCATGACGTGTGGGGACGGTGTGTGAGCAGACCGGGCGAATGGGAGGTTGTGAGCCGTCAGCAGTAGCGGCATCGTTCCCTTCCCCGTGACCAGCGCCAGCGACTCGTGGTTGGCCGCGTCGCTAGTCTTTCTAGATCGTGATCCGAGAATCAGATCACCGTGGGGCGAAGCACGCCTTCGAGAAGCTCAGTCCAGCAGTAGGGCGAACAATAGAAGGGTGTCCCGTTATCATCGGCGCACCCCCCCTCGTCCCCGTTTTCCTTGCCCTCGGCGGCGGTGGATTAGGCTGAGCCAGTACTCGAATGTAAATCTAGCTAGAGATCCAACCTCGGGGTCGGTGTAGTCACACTACCGAGAAGATCGTTCGGACTGTGCGCATCAGCTCTTCTCCCTATGTTGCTGTTTTTTTCTGCACCGCGTTCCCTCGTGTGACCTAGACTAAGCAGGCAGAATAGGGGGAGGCGACCCAAGCGCGCGGACCCGATAGGAGGTGGGCGGTCGGGGGCAGCATCGGCCGAGTCGAGTAAAAGGACGTCCGTCGTCCACACCCGGAAGCAAGTATGTAGAGGAACGAGACGAAGACGTGCACCTGGCACGAGGGAGGGCGCCCCGAAGCTCGGGCGGTTGACGCCGATCACGATGACAACGATGATGACGGCGGCGAGCGGGATGACGACGGAAACTCACCCACGTCTTCGCGAACGTCTTGAACCTGAAGCTCCTCTCGAGGCCCTCGCCGCCGGGGGTCAGCACCCAGCGCCCGCCGCGCCCGGCTGACGCCAGCAGGGGCTCCAGGGCGCGCCTCAGGGCCGGCTCGTCGGCGTTAGCCGAGAACCGGACCTGGGGCGCCGTCGACGGCGTCGGCGCCATCGCGGGCGCTGCCGAGGAGGCCAGCGTCCGGCGTCCTGGTGTCTGACGCGAGGGAGCCTTCCTCGACGCCCAGAACGCGGCCGCTCTCCGTGTCGCTGCTGTTGCTGTTGCTTCGGCGGCGGACGCGGCGGCGACAGCAGCGGTAGTGGCGCGGCGGACCACTCGAGTGTGCATGGGGGATGGGATGAGATGTGATGGGACGTTGATGGTGCGGTGCGGCTACTCTTGGATCGCACGAGATTAATAGACCGCCGTATACCTATATAGGTGTGACATGTAGAAGGTATCACGGCGCTTGCATACGGAAGCAGATTGCGAGCTACCCTTGCTAGCTGCTCTCGCGGGTTTGGTTGCGATTCGCAGGAGGGATGGCGAAATAGGTATATGTTGGCTGTGAGCTGTTCTCGGCATCAATTCGGTCAGTCGATCGCGCGCGTACCGAGTACCCAGATGCCGTCACATTATGTCGTTGCGAGCTGCGGCGTGCAACTATGACATGGTTACCCCGGGTTACGATATATGTGTGACGAAAGATGTATTACCTGCCCGCCTACATACCTACTCATACGAGCGTATCGATGCCGAATCACCATCTTCAAAGCCTCACCCCTCCTCCCTTGCCTATCGATTCCGCCCTCCCGGCAAAAGAGAAATAGGTAGGTATATATACTTAGGCTAGGCAATTGACGGGAACTCTTGCTGGGACCCCATTCTCCCGACAGAGGAAAGCAGGCTAGGATGGGATGGGATTATATCTGGCGCTATGACGACGGCGCGCCGTTTGGGCCGTGGCCATCTTACGTTTGAAACTGAACGGCCACACAGGGCAGCATCGTGTGATCCCATGAGGCGAAGGTCGCCTTGTTATGCCCCCATTCGGATCGAGCAATCTTCTGCGACCTTGGAAGCCCACATCCCGTATTCCGTATCTGTACCGTTGTTCGGTCGCGCCAGCCGAGAGCGGTGGCGCCGCACGTAGGCAGGCATATGCTGCCTGCTTCTCCTGACCGCTTGAGCTGTTCGCACGATAGACAAGATACACATAACCTACGATGACCCTCCTCCAACAACCAGCTGAAGGGACCGAGAGACAGGTTAGTTGTTGGCTAAGATACTCCACCTATCTATCCTCAGCTAACCTACACGTACTGTGCCGTAACCACCCCCTCTCTCTCCCCTTCCCTTCCCTTCCTCCCCCTCCTCTCCACTTGCTCAGTTGCGGAGCGAGTTGACATGAGCCTCCCACGTGGGCGTCTTCTGTCATCCCGCCGCAGGCGTATCATTCCCGAAGACGAAATGCATATATACCGCCGCGCGCGCCCACCGAGCCTCTTCGGCGAGGTCTAGCTCATCCCCGCACGTAACGCGCCATCGCTATAAAAAACATCGGGGTCGGAAGAAAAAACTATGTGTAGAAGCTAAAAGGAAATTAAACCCCCGATTGAGGGCTTTTTGTATTTTTATTTTTATTTTTTTAATACACCGAACCCAGACCGAATATAGCTCCATCGCCTAAGTGCCTAACCTACCTAACTTATTGCCTGCGTCCCACACGCTTGGTTGCGCGCTCGGACCCAGAAGGATTGCATTGTTGTTACCTCGGGCATTTGGGGCGTCTTGCGGGTCTGGCGGAGGGATGAAAGAGAATAACCCTCCGAGTAGGCCCCCCCCCCCCCCCCGTCCACGCCAGGGCTTCCCTTTTTTTTTCTTTTTTTTTTCCTTTTGGAAAAAAGGGGAAAAAAGAAGGACCTCACAGTCAGGTTCTCAAACTCCGAAATTTCAGCCTCTCAACTTAGAGCTTGTTTTCGTCCCTCTCGGAGTTTCAGCAAGGTGTCACAGTAATCACATACCTATGGTGACGCGGCTGACCTATAATTCCTGGTCTGGTTACTTACATCCCCCGCCCCTCTCCCTCTTTCTCTTTCTCTCTCTCCCCGGGGTTTTCTCAAACGAGGATTCCGAAGTGGCCTGCGCTGTAAGCCAGGGAGAATACGTGGGAAGCCGTCCCGACCACGTTCGCTTCACGGCTGGGACCGCTTGTAAGCCGGTGTGGACATTCGCCCGTATGCCCCGTAATTTGTAAGCGCCCGGGAGCTGGTCGGTGATGAGCAGATCGGTTTTCGCATGGGTTGATGCCCGAATCGCCGTGTGTTGACGATCGATTCCTGCTCGGCGAGGCTGGGACCAGGCTGCTTTCGACGCCAGAAAGTGCCCGAGACGGCCAGATGGCAGATGGGGGTAGATAGGTAGGTAGATAACAGATCTGTATGGCCTGTTCCGCCTCGACGGTTCTGTCTATCCCCGCCCGGGAATACCGATATCGCTTAAGTTACCCGTTTGCACGGCTTGCAGGCTTGGCTACGCGCAACTTGGTAGCTTCCAGATTTGCTTCAGCGCCGGCGAATCCTCCAAACCGTCGGGTCCTACAGACGGGCTCGTAAGTAGAGCAGCTGCTCGTACGGGCAAAGGAGGAGGTGTAGGTGCGCGTGTATGCGCGATGGTGGCCCTCTCCGAAAATCGAAGTTCAGTTCTGGCTTCGGCGCGGCGGAGTGGAAAGGCCGTGGAAGTCCGCGGAAGGAATTGAGCGGGCGGACTCGAATGGGAAGCTGGATTGCGGCAACACGCCGGTACCTAGGGCTTAAGGTTAATGGGACCTGGAGGATACTACGTATATGCCACATGCCCTCCTCAGGGACCGCTAAGGCAGTTTGGGGGCGAGATGTGCCGCTCTCGATGCAACCTGCGATAACATGCCTACATTTAGGCACGTCCATATTCATATCGTATGCGGGATATGAGGTAACTACGTATATGAGAGTACATTTACATTGTGATAGGTGTATCTACAAGTAGAGGTAGGCATGTAGGAGGTACCTAGGTAGGCACTTGTAGAAGTCCATTGCAGGTACCTACCTACCTACGTCTAGGTACACAGGCAGTCAGGGGTTCCCTACCTACCAAGGTCCGCGTAGCAGATGCTTAGGGCGAGTTGCCTAGAGTCCCTAATCTACCTGCTCTCGAACGAGAGGAGAACGAGATAGCAACAGCCTCGGGATCTATTCTGGTGCCTAAACTAGGTAGTAAGTTTTCCCGGGCGAACTGCTAAATTCGATGTCCGACAGCTAGGCACCTAAGCAACCTACTTCCTGGCTGCCTCTGCCTAGGTACCTGACCTGGTAAGAGAAAGGCCGGCAGGCAGGCAGAACTTGATGCTACCAAACCCAACTGACCTAAACGAAGTTACCTCTTTTTATACCTACTAGGCGGGCTGCTTGCTACCTTTATTACTACGCGGAAGGCTAGATTACCTAGGTACCTACCTAATGTGCCTGCTATGTACTCATACTTTCGAAGGTAGGATGGGATCCGCCCGGAATCCCATACGCTCATACATGCTGTTTTATCATAAGCCTATATAGACGTTATGCCTAGGAGGGCGTCAACCTAGGTTAGGGAGGCAGTTGTGTATAGGCATATGTATATAGATATCTGGGTGGACAGATAGATAGATAAATTCCACCCAAAGTATAACACATGCGTACACATAAGGCGATGCATATGGTAAAGAAGGCTCAATGTGAGATACCTACGTCGGGAGGTATCATCATGAATGTTGGGGTAGGTACCGAACTTGGGAAGTATACCAGGTGGTATGTATTACCTACTAAGATATACAATTGCGGTTGACGTTGCGAATATAGGTCCCATCTAACCTCCTATCGTATGCGCTATCGAAGCGCCCTCGTAACGCCCCGGTAAGCCTCCTACATACTGCAACCTGTATTTTCACGGCGGGACGGATTACCCCTATTATATGGCACGTAGGTAGCCATCCACCAAGCTCACCCCCTAGCATGGATGTGTGAAGATCACACACGCACACGCATGTATACCTACATACACTCGCATCCATCCATACCTACACTTACGCGTATACGTCAGGCAGGATAATGCAGTGTCAGCATGGGCGCATCCATACGACACTGGCTCTCCTCCGCTCCGCATCCCCTATCGGGGCCCCTCTTATGGCCGGACGCGACGTAGGTATTCCACGGCCTGTTGATTAGTCAGCCCATCCGAGATGCGAGGGTGGGGCACGGCATTGTCCATGTTATTATGTAGGCGGGAGGAGAGGAGACGGGAAGGCTGTCGCTTTGATAGCTACCTAACCTAATCAACCCAAAGCACCCGAGTTCCACAAGCGACAACAATAACAGGTGTCGAAAAGCATGGCCCTATATCCCTCTAGGACGATGGCTGAGCTGAACTTCAGCTGTCCACTTTCGATTCCTCATGTCGAAGCAACCAATCCAGGAGAGAGAGGGGGAGGGGGGGGGGGGTTATGTTCGAGCTCTCTCTATCTCGGCCTACGGCCTAATTAGCTCGGCATCGCTTATAATATTGCTGCTAAGTATAGACATTAGCCCGCGAGTGCTAGCCGATTAGATTCGACGACCTCCGTGAGCACACAGATCACTGCCGTCGAGTCGCACAAGAGCATCCACGGCCCGAGGGAGAGCAGGCCTTTGCATGGAAACGTAGCGCGTTATTGGCCAACCATACGAGCCCCGCGAGGGTTACTCATCCTATGCTAATCGGATGGTCGGTCTCCATCGCTGTGCAGGGTCAACTTTGGTCCAATTTCGTCCCTCATGATGGCATGACGTGAGTCTGAGGAGATGAGACTCGAGTTTGGCATCTGCTATCTCCGACCCAATACTATACAGGCACACGCCTAGGGATAGGCATGTAGTTGACACAGCATGTCGCATGCAGAGGAGACAGATTTGGGTTGCGTCTTGGCCCGAGGGCGCGTACCGTGGAGGTCCGTTCCCTATCTCGACAGTAGGGTACGGCCTGCAGGCTGACGACGGAGAGAGCGAGAGACAGAACCCGTAGCTCTCCAGGAGGCTCTGCATGGGCAAAAAGTTCAACCTGATTTCAGGCATCAATACCTGCCTGGGTATGTAGGTAGGGCCAACGCTGTAGGGGCAACTCTGTGATCGAATCCGCAGGCGCATTCCGACGCTGGGCACCCCTGTAGGATCGTATGGGAGGATGCAGGTTGGTTACCTTGTCATGTCAAAGTATCCGAAGGAAGTGCGCATTTCGGACGACACAAGAGAGTTGGCGAGAAAGGGAACCCCCTTCTCTCGGTCAGGCCTGATAGCGCTCGGGGGATGATCAGGTAGGTAGCATGGGCATGTGTCGATACCGTCTCCGCATCCTCCCTCGCTTTCCGTCTTTCGGTCCCCTTCCCCTTCTGTCTTTCTTACCCACGGATGCTGGGGTTGGGGAGAGCCGATAGCTTGTTGGAGATATTTATGGGGACGAACCAGACGGGAAGGGTGAAGATAGATGCAGGTCGCAGAGGAGTTACGGCTCCTCAGTCATGATCTGGAAAGGACGGAGGTGCGGGTGGAGGATAGATCGACAGGATTACTAAAGAAACGACGCGATTAGCTGGTATGTTTCTTCGAGAGCGGCCCAACCTGTAGACGCCATCATGTGTCCTTAGGCGAACAGAGTAAGCTGTCGGCGACGTGCAATAAAACCGACCAGAGAGAAGGCAGCAGGGTTCGGAAAACTGCCCAAAGCGCCAAGGACGAGGAAGACCAGCTGCCGACGACGATTGAGGAATGCCAAGGCTGCTAGGGAGGCGCGGAATATATTACGGTGCGCCCAGCGAATCTCGATTTCTTCCTGGATGGTTGGATTGGGCGGAGCGGCGCGAGATCTAACATTGGGTTTCTACTCGTACTCAGTAGGTAGAGATATCAGGTAGGCAGGGTGTTGGACCGGTGCCTGAGGCAGGCTAGGTAGGAGGTAGGTTATGTGGGTAGGTTTACCTAGGGGGGTTCTACTACGGAGTAGGAACGCAATAATACGGATTGTGTTAGGTTATGATGCACTCCCCTATTACCTACCTTCTATACGTTCACGCCCATCAAATGTCCCTATCTACCTACGTGAGGCTCTGGACTTGGATATTTACGGCTTTAGGCACCCTGCCAAGGACCTACCTAAGGTACCTAAGGGACGCAATACATCGATATACTACCTCCTCCTATAGTGCAACCATCCCGATACCGTATAAGAAGCACAGGTGCAGTGAGCAAGGTAACCTCGCCCTCCATTAGGTTATGTGCATAGTGCCTTGGGTACGCAGACCACCACCACCACATAACCTCCTACCTACCTACAACCTGCCTTTTATTAAGTCAAGGTGCTTGCCCCGCACCAGCATGACTGGCCCACGCGGTTCTACCTACATTTGTACATGTCCGACGGGGCTTGCGGCAATAAGAGAATTGCCTGTTGGCCTTATCTCATGTACCTCGCTTCCGCAACTCCGTGCCTACACGAGGTCAGAAAGATGTTATTGCCATAGTTAGAGGTAGGTAGGTAGGTAGGTAGCCGCCGCGCGGACCTCTGATTGCTGCATAGGTGAGTACCTATGAAACAATAACAGGCACCTACGCAGCCGAGATACGTGCCAGTCCCTATAGTAGGTGACCGGAAATTCCAAGTGCCCTCTCCTCGGGTGTGCTTCCGGGGTACGTATAGATCTTTATTCTTCGGAGCTGTTCCGCTCGGACGTGCTCGATGTGTTTTGTTTATGAGAGCCTCCCTAGTCCATACTAGCCGCAGTTGGCCATTCTACCTACAACATATGCACACTACACGTATACGGAGTACAGTACGTACATATTACCGTATGGTAATGATACGGCAAGGTCAGCTAACAGGTACTACGTAGTATCAGCTTGGTAGAGCAACCCACTAAGCTAGGTAAGAGGACCCTGTCTTCTTCAACTAACCAAGTCCCGCTGGCTCATTGTCCAATCAGCTGCGTATCGCATAGAACCCTGCACACACATCCTGCATCTCGGTACTACAGGTAGGGTACCGTGGTGGGCGGGGTGGGTCATTAGTCATAAGACCGGGCACAATCTCTGCTGAGTCCATATGAGTATGCGGCAGCCTGTCATATTACGTAAGTGAACAGGGATATCCGGCTGCGGACATTTTTGCTCTGGGGCAAAAACGCAACCGGAGTCCCAACCTGTGGTTATTTTGCAACTGCTAGGTGTGTCTGCTTGATCCTGCGCGCTTCTAGCTATCGTGCACCTCCTATCCTACAGAATAGCACCTAACCTAACCTACCGTAGGTATCTAACACACCTACATTTGGTGCTTGATTAGGTACGCACCAGTAGTTATTACCGCTGGAGAAGAACCCGGGTGCCCTGCTACGTAGAGTCTCCCACATGGTAGGTAACTCGGGGAGCCGCGGAGCCGAAGATCTCTTAAGCCCGACACCGATTCCGACCGAAAACAGCTCAAATAAGACATGCTGTTGTCATCTTGCATAAATTTGCCCATTATGTACAGACCTCCAGAGGCTTGCGCTAGGAAAGCAGCGTATACGTGTAGATACAGCTGGTCGGGATGGGATGTGCTACGTAATAGAGTCGGGATCTCCAGAGCTATGCTAGTTTCAGGCAGACGGGTCCGACCTGCTGACATAACGAGGGTTTAACTCCCTGCGGTTGGTACAGACTTGCGTAGTATTCCCTCCCGATGCAGTACCTGCCATATCAAGGCAGGCCAGTACCCAAAAGTGCATGTGACTGAGATTAACGTGTGCACCTGCCGGCTGAGTACGGAGGCAAAAGCGGAGAAGGATTGCCTAGAGAGGAAGGGCCAGGCCGACTTCTATACAATAAGGCGGAAGGCAACGGAGAGGGACGACAACTGCGAGGCGGGGAAGGTAAGTGGTTAGGCACCTAAATGCACTTAATTACGTATGCGTATACCTATAACATCACCGCCTCGTAGCACCCCGGCCACCCATCGGTGTATCTGACGAAGATGGCTTGAGGGAACATTGGGAAGAAAAAGGGTAGTTTGCTTCGGCCGACGCCTCGGATTCCGAAGGCTTCCAGATAAGAAGATAAAGAAAAGGGAAGAGGTTGAGCATTCTAGGTCATGTACTGTACACTGGTACGTGCTACGTTGTTTGCGAGTTTCCCGTACATTGATTGCTACCTACCTACCTACCTAGATACCTATATCCTCTTAGGCACCTAACGTCCCGATATGCCTATGTGCACAAGGTGTGGCACCTGAGGAATCAGGCATCAGGAAAGGAGCCCTGTGATTGGTGGAATTGAAGAAAAACACGCAACAGCTAACTGTTCGTAAAACGCTGTATTTAAGCCCTTTTAGCAGTTTAGTTTTTACACCTTCAATTGATCAACTAGGTTTACCTTTCAACTCGTCTTGCGTGCCTTAAGATTAAGGCAGCGAGGCCACGAAAGGAACCGCCACCAAAACGCACAAAGGTAGGAAGATATTTATTGGGGATATGTCGGAGGAGGCAAGTACTATGTATGAAGCCGGGGGGAGGGAGGGGGTGGAAGGGAGGCTAGGTGGTACACGAGACAGGTTTTATGTAGGCCGAGCCTTTTTTTGCCTGTTGTAACCGTCTATCTGTTTTAGGTATCAATTTGCAACGGGCTCGATGTAGTGTGGCTCCAATGACTTACTCCTGTTGTGATTATTATTAGTCAGGTTACACAAATGACAAACCAACCCTGATTACGGAGAAGCAGGCGAAGAGAGGCCTTTTACACACCAACCACTCTCAGCAGGTAGCACCGCGTCTACCCTCCAACTTACTCACATCAGCCAAAAGTTCTCCCGCCGGCATCTCGACACCAACGGTGCCCCTGGTTACGCAAATGCCTCCCTCTTACTGATTAGGTAATCACCGGGCTGGCGATATTACTTGATCAGCAACGGAAGGTACTATCAAGAACATATTCCCGCTTGAGGATAGTTAGGTACCGAAAGGAAAGGCTAGGTAGGTTAGGTGCTAGCTCGAGGCTACCTTATATAATAGGCGAGTGTACATACGTTATGCGGTGCCTACCTGTCTTAGATGCGAATATACCTAGGTGCCTGCGTACCTACCTGTAGGCTAGGTAGGTAGGTAGGTACCTAAGGTAGGTAGGTATGTATATGAGTACATTTACACAATGCACTTTACGTAGGTACCCGAGGTACCCAGCTACCCGACGCAGGCAGGCCAGGTCCCTCCTACGGTTTGGTACCTGATGTAATGTTCCACGTCGCATGCATTTAGGCCTAGGTAGTAGGTACTACGTGACCACATCAGGTACATGCCTAGAGCACCTACCCGTAGGTAAATACCTCCTACCTACCTACCTCATATTCGTAGGTGCAAGTGCTCGCGTATTATGTTGCAGGTACAACCGGCCTCTTGCTCGGGTGGAAAACCCGGTACGTACCGGCGGCACATTTAAGGCAACTTCTAATGCATGGGGTCCTCGACTGCGTGCTGACAAACCAACCCAGACTTTACCCAGTCTGTCCGATATGTTTTTTCCCCCCCACCCTCCTCGGACGCTTCGGTCATCTCTCACACCTTCAGGCCTGTCCAGCAGACTCTTGGTGGCCCAACTCCCTTTCGGCCTTTCTTGTCGCAAGCAGCAGCCAGTTTTCGACCCGGGTCCTGGACGGGCACTGTGTGGCACTAAGAGGTGTTCGGATTATTCACCAGCCACGGGATACATAGAGCCGATCCATTGTTGACCTACCCTATTCAACCCTTTCCCTTTCGCGCGAGGAATTCCAGGTTTTTATTCTTTCCCCCCTACGACTGCTATCTCATCGTGAAACCGCAAATTCGGCTCGACGACGCTGAATAATCCATTACCCTATTCGAGTCACGTGGAAGCGCCGGCGTCATTGGCTGCGACTCGTCCCTTCGATTCAGCCGGTGGCAGACGAGAGAGCCCGTACAAATTATCATACGAATCGCAATCAGGCAATCCGAGGTTTCGTATTGGTCTGCGATTCCCGCTCGCGGTCACGTCTCCGTCTCCGTCTCGCTCTCTCTCGCCAGGGATTACTCATTGCCTCAGTGAATAATATCGAGAAGGGGACTTCGACTTCGCTGACTGACCGCCGAGCCTGTCTTCTTAGGTCATCAACCGCATACAGGAGCCACACCGTCCGGTGCATCTAGATCTGCGGAGCACCAGCGGCGGATAAACACAGATACCACATACCTCGATTGCGTCGAGATATACGACATTCGCAAAAGACGCCAGCTCATCCATGGAGTACGCTGCAGCCGCTGCCACGGCCGTTCGCGAGGTTAGACTACGCAGACAACTTTCCCCCCCCCTTCTCTGTTTATCGCGCTTCTTCTCCTGCTCCCTCCCCTCCCTCCTCTCTCCTTCTTCCTCTCTGTGGGTGTGCGTGTCTCTCTTGCCCGAGCCGCGTCGTTTATTCCCTGTTCGCTCGAACCTAGGGGTGTGCGATTATACATATATCATCAGGAACAGCGTACAGCTGGTACACTTTCTACGTCTACACACATTCACACACACACACACACACTCTCTCTCTCTCTCTCACACGCATTATACGCACGCACACGCGCGCGCAGGCATATACACACCCCCATACATCATACCTGGACGCATACTAGATTTGGTGGTTTGCGTCGACTCTTTCCTCGAAATTACTTTCCCACCCCCCCTGCATCGACAAACGCCGTCCTTGCTCCGAGCGGAGCCCGTCCCTCGCGCGCGCCTTTTACCCCCCTCTTGCGTGCCTCTGGGTAAATAGTGCGTTTTGGACGGATCAATCCGTTTCGGACTCTGTCCCTGGCTAGCTAATCTCCTCTCGCCAATCTTTCTCTTCACCACAAGTGTTCCTCTTGGTATCCCGATGCTGACTCAGACATACGATGCAGAACCACGCTGGCTCTAATGGTGAGTTGCTTCTCTCCTCTCTGTCTCCCGTCTCCCCGCCTCCCTTCCTCTCTCTCTCTTCCCCTGGTTCCCGCTTGTTAGCAACACGACCGCATGCCCTGTACGGCATTACGGCACTCTGCGCGCTTCCTGCTCCCTCTCGCACTCCGCATGCCTTCTACATACGACGTACTAAACATACATGCATCCGCTACATACGAAGCTACCTCAGGGTATCCTCGAACCGCCATTACTGAATAACACCCCTCCCCCCCGGGAATCCTCCTATTGCCACCCCTCCGCTGTGACGCCGCATGTCTGCACAAGGCCCACCCCCCTCGACACCCCCCCCCCCCTTCAAGCTGTTACGGCCCTGGCTATCTAGTCGCTTTGCTTGAGGTCACCTTTGGCTTGAACATGTAATCAGACATACCTCATATGCTAGCTTTGTGCCGCTATTTTTTCCTTGTCGGTTCTGGGGTCGCGTTGCAAGGCCAATCTAAGATCCGTCTGCTTGCTTTTCCCATCCCATCTTCCATTCGAAATACCCGCCTACGCCCCCAGCAGACTTGCTTTCCTGCATACATATTCGGTCTGCGGTCCGCCTCATTTACTTAATCGTCTCGATTTTGATACCTTTTTCGGTCTCCTCGCTCACCCTCTGCCTTGTCTATTTCCCTTGGGACATATCTCACCCATATTAACACGCTCTCTGCGTCTCGCCTGCTAACTCGACAATCCTAATTTTAGACGAGGCAGAATCGCGCGCCCAGCTTGGACAAGGGGCAGCGGAGTATTTGAACCAGGCAGGGTCTGTGTCGGCTCCGTCTCCGATACCCGTCGTCGCCGCAACTCACACTGCGCTGAAGCCCATCCAGCCGTCACCTCAACCGCATGGACTCGGCAGTTCCGGCGTAACATCTCAGTCGCATATCCACCCACAGCTGAGATCGGCTTCTACTGGTGTCTCGGCACCAGATATGATGCAGAGAGGAGTCTCTCCCCCATCCGACGAAGCCGGACCTGTTTCCGGATCTCCCGTGACCGGCATGGCGGCGCAAGGTCTGCTAGGGCATGAGCCTGACGACTCCGTAACCGACGGACGGAAGGCAAAGCGGGAGTTGTCCCAATCAAAACGAGCCGCCCAGAACAGAGCCGCGCAGGTGAGTGACGGCGCCTCTTTTTCTCTTTTCTTTTCCCCCGGCCTCTAGATTTGGGTGTTGAGGTGGCTCGCATATCAGGACATAGATCCCTGCGCTGGCTTAATAGCTATCGACGTCGGCTTTATTACGTACACTAACACGCACTTGTAGCGCGCATTTCGGCAGAGGAAGGAACACTATATCAAAAAGCTCGAGCAGCAAGTGCGCGACTATGGCGAGATGGAAAACAGCTTCAAAGCGATCCAAAATGACAACTATGCGCTTCGCGAATATGTGATACAGTTGCAGTCGCGCCTCCTCGACTTGCAGGTCGAATTACCCCAGCCGCCACCTAATGTCAACATTACACCGCCCGCTGCGGCCGCTCCTGGCGCTCGTGCGACGCTTGCCAGCGCCGTTCCCGAATCTGGTCCCAGCAATGCCAGTGCTGGCACCCTCGCGGACGTTGCTGCTGCTGTCGCCGGATTGAGAGCTAGGGAGTCTTCGGCCGACGGAATCTATCCGAAGCCGACCTTCAAACCGGAGCCTAACGAGGATTCCCAAACAGCGGAGGAAATTCGTAGACAACTCCAACAAGAAGGCATACCGACTCCTTCCTCATTGCGAGCCTAGGAGGGGCACCCAACGTCTGGGGCGTGCCCCGACGACTTGTCCAGGTACCCCGGGAAGCGCGCTGATTCGGAAAGCGAGAATTCTCAAAAAGTCCCCCGCCAATCTGCATAGGGAGACGGGAGGATAGGATATCCGGTGCGCATCGCTCAGAAAGCCCCGATCTTGACAAGAGGATGCAGGCGAGGTCCACGGAAGAGACGAACCCAAAAAATCGGAGGTTTGGACCTATCTGTAATTTCATTCCTGTCACACGGCGGCGTTGTGGACTCGCATTGTTTCAAGAAAGGGGGGAGGGAGAGGTAGGGAGTCTGGCGTTTGAGGGCGTCATGCTTCACCTTATTTTAACCATACCGCAACGGTTGTGGATGATGCATGTTTTTGCAATAGCTATAAATGGAGGCCATTGCGTCTCTGGAAGAGCCGTCGGCCGCGTAAATTACTGGTCGACGGGTCACGTCTTCTCAGGTGGAATACAGACAGCATCGGTATATTCCCAAGTCCTATTATGGACCTACGGATCGTCCTTACGACCAAGGACCGGATGGGGGCGCGGGCTAAGGGGACAGACAGGGCGTAGGGAAGGGTCGGACATATAAACTATGGCCGATAAGACGAGGATTCGGAAAACAAGCATGTGGTGGGTTTCAGACTTGAGGAAAGAGAACGTAGGGATGGAAGAGCCTCTAATCAAGCACGGTACCGCTGTCTATTTAAACCAAGGGTGTGTAGACCAGCTCAACGCGCTGATATCTCGTCGTCGATAGCAAATAATACTGATTCTTCTCCCCGAACTACCTACATTTATGACAGCATCGGCGCGGTCGCCGTGGTCAAGGACTGATTGTTTTGTCGCTGCTGCTAATCGGTCCGGGCCGCGACGCATACACACATTACATACCGCACACCATGCGTTTTCTCGGCGCGCGTTCCGCCACTTCCTCCTTCCTCCAGAGTACTACGCCGACGAACAACCCTCCGCGAAGTCTACCTAGGTCCTACCGACCGGCGTGCGCCACCCCTCGCCCCCGGTTTCGACGCTGGAGCTAAGGGGGGCCAACCCAGCCGAGCTGAGCGGCTCCTCTCACCACCAGCCAGCCTTACGTATCTAGCTCATCCTCTCGTTGCTCCTCTCTCTCAGGCGAAGGGGAAAGGAACCTCACGGTAGACAACCCCCTATCCTGCGAGCACGTGCTGTGGGATTCATCTGTGTATCTATGGTTGTTATCTGCTTCCTCTGGGGGGGGTACATGCACACGATTCTACGTAGACGCCAGGAGAGAAGGAGAGGGAGAAGGGGTAGAGGTCGCATGCTAGATCCCCCCTACACCGACACGTATCCCAGACTCCTCCCCGTCTCGCCCCGTCTGCTCCCCCGTTATCTCGTCCTACGTCGAGTCGGGAGAGACTTGTGGTTGCGAGTGTGGGTGAAGCAAGTGCCATACACCGTCTCATCCCGTATTGTACCGCGTTGGGTAATGCTATTTTGTTGATGTTTCTTCCTCGCTTTGTCCTGCGGCTTCTGCCATTACGCTCCCTTCTCCCTTCGTCTCCCTTTCCTTCCTCCGTTCTTCTCCCTTCGCCCGCGTGGGTTCCGTCTACGAAATCCGTGTCGCATACGCCGCCCTCGCTGACTCATTCCCTCGTTTTCACGCACCTGATGCTCCTTCTCCACGTGGTTGGACCGGCCAAACGAGACAAGAAGCACGAAAGGGGGATCCCTGTCGACAGCTTACCGTCGTAAAAATAAAACGGAGCCATCTGATGCGTGTTGGCGGCCCAGTTCGACGGTGGGCAAAGTACGGCAGACATGCCCGAGTAAACCAACCCCCCGCCTCCCTTTTTTTTTGATCTTTTCATTTCCCCCCCTTTCTGGCGCATTCCGGCTCCGTGGGTGAGTAACCCATCCATGCACATATGTCTGAGCACCGAGCCGGAGCCGAACGCGTGTAGAAAATAACAGAAGTGGGGAAAGGCGAGGAGAAAAAAGCACGAGGTAGCTAAATAAGCTATTGCTTATGCGGTATGAGGAGGGATGGGGCTGGCTGAAGGGAACAGACACGAATCGCGTATATGTAGGTCCCCCAACGGAACTTCTGGGAAATCAGGCGTAAGAATTTCCCATGTCATGCTCCTATGAAACAAAACGTCAGCAGAGATAATATTGTGTTTCGGTGGCTACCCCTGCAAGGATGCCCGCTGTTTATAACAAGGAGTGAGATCCCTAAAGGCGCAACTTGTGGCCGGAAGATTGTGGGTCTCCTCACATGCCATCATCAAGGCGGAGTCGTAAGGCACCTCGTCATGATATATAGCGAGCTTGTGGCCAGCAGCAGAAATCATCACAGACCACGGGACCCGTGTAGGATGCGCAGGCGATGAGGACCTCGCCGAGATGGAAAGGACGAAAGGGCATAGCGAAACCGGTTTGACATACCTTCAAGTAATCGTGGCCCTTCTCCTCGTACTCCGCCTTCGTCACAGTAGCTGCCTTCCAACTTGAGGACCCGACCCATTCAGCAGCGCCTTTCCAGGCGTCGAGTAGCCGATCCCCGGCTCGACGGACCTTCAGCGGCGCGTCCATGGGGAGCAATGGCGCCAAGCCCTGGCGGAGACGGTTGTCGAAATTCTCAAAGAGCGTGTTACCACCGGTCAGGAATATGTCCTTTAGGAAGTCATCGCGGTTGAGGCCGGAAATACCCGCGAGTCGCTGCGTTAGTATGTCGCCAGTGATCTCGACTAGGCCGGCTTGATCCAAACCTGCGATAGAGGGTTGGAATACAACCTCAGGAACGCGGATGCGTTCGACATTGAGATGGATCTGGTGGATCTGCGCCTGTGAAGACGGATCGAAGGGCCGTGGCCCGCGCAGGAACGCGTGTAGAAGGCTTTTGTTCCAGTCATTCTGCGCCTCCCACGTATGTTCGTGAGTGAATGCATCGTCGTACCGCAACAGGTCTTCCTCGAGTGCCTTGAGGGTTCCTTCGAGATCCTCCTCGCCGTCTTCGTCGTCGCTACCACCCTCTCCCACAGCGATCTGTCTGTAAACGCCCCAGTCGTCGTCGTTAGCGCCAAAATTATCGTCATCTCCGCCACGGCGGCGTTTTCCTCGAGGGTTATCCGAAGCGAGATTCGCGATCGACTTCATTCGAATCTGGGAAGCTAGGGACTTGCGGTTCCCGAGGTCGGCTTTGAGACGGTCGCGCTCCTTCATCTTCTGAAGCGTCAGGCTGCGTGCCACACGTTTCTCCTCAAGCCAACCCTCTAGATCATTGTCGCGCCGCTCTCGGTCTAACCGCTCTTCTTCAGCAACGCGAGCCTTCTCGGCTTCCTTCTCGGCCTTCGCGCGCGCTCGCGCTTCGTGATTTGATTTGAGCAGGCGCTGGTGGCGCTTCGTCTTAAGGCCGGCTTCGTCGAGTTGGTCATCGGGGACTTCGAGGAGACTGAAGTCTGGGGCTTCCTGCTCCTCCTCGGGATCACCTCCCACATCCTTTGTGCGAGCGCGCCGGATCGACTTATCTAGCTCTTTAATCTTCCGCTCTAGATGCGCCTCGTCCTTCAAGTCGTCTCCGTCGAGAAGGCGTTTAGTGTCCTTCTTGTTCGCATCGGTAATTTTTTCCTGAAGTTTCTTGTAGTACTCCAATTCTTGTTCCTTCCGCATTAGCTTCTCCAGGCGCATCTTAGCTGCTTGTTCCTGTAAACGACGGCCGCTCTCCTTTTTCCTTTCTACGATACGGGCGAGTTCTTCCTCGCTCTTCTGCACTATGACCTCTTCGGTGAAGGGATACTGGATAACGATGTCCCGGTCTTCCAACCCGGTCCAATCCAGGTATGATCGTAGTTCTTCGTCGTATGACTCGGAGATGTAGCAGTAGTCGCGGATCATGTACTCGGCTTGAGTAGCAGTGAGCTTTCCGGGGAATGACGGGTATTTGAGACGAAGGAGTTTAAGGAGGTATTCAGCAGCATGCCATCCTCCCCAGTTCAATCGGATGGCCTGGGAGAGTACAGCCTTCGCATTGAAAACGGGTATGACATGAGTGGCACTGTACGAAGAAGACACAACCAGCCCGGTCTGTCCTTTATTGTATCGGTAGGAAAACAGAGAATCAATGCCCGTGGCGATGGAGGGGGCTTGGTAGCACTCAAAGATGATCTCATTCATAGCTGTGCCGAATGTCAGTTGTGCTTGTGACTGGTGTGTGAGAAGGGTAGGGTACAGGCTGAGAGTACGCACATTTCCTTGAATAGGGCAGGTTTGCGACAGCCTCTGTCATAACAATAGGCATGTCAATAGAGCCGTCGGCGTTGTTCATGCCTAGCTTTAGAAAGGTCCAATCCAGCACATGCTCTTCCACGTCCCAATTACTAACGATGCCTGTCCCAGCTTCGAAGGCGTTTCGAATGTGCCCTCTCGCAGTTGTGTCGGCATAGCAGTCGAACCCGGCGAAAGAGTACGTCTTGCCTAACTTTCTGTCCCTGTATTTGGCCATGATGGGAGGAATGACCAATCGCGGGCTTGGCTCGAATGACCAACCGGCTCGGACAGCAGACGAGCCTGGAATAGAGATGCAAGTTAGCAAGGCAACACAAGGCAAGTCCGGAGTATGGAGGAGACGACGCACCATTGTCAATGACGATAGCGACAGTGCCATCCGGTCGGGCCAGAGCCTGCTCGCGGCCATCTGGCTGGGGGGCAATGTACTGGTCGAACTTGGTGTCCTTTACATTGTAGATGCGGGCGGGCGGGTAGGCCTTCTCCTGGCGCACAGGGAGGGCTGGAGATTGGAGGGCGGAGGGCGCCATAGTAGGAGAGACGATGGGGGTATGATCTGGCTGTCCTAGCTACGGGCGTTGAAGGCGGTGCATGGTTGGGTTGGAGAAGCCTGCTGTGAAAATGGATGGTGTTGCGGTTCAGGTTCAAGTTCGCTGCTGTAAATCGGTGGTGTTGTCTCTCCCCTCTTTTCCGGATCGAGTTCTGGGATGAGAGGGAGGAGGTCCGTCGCGAGGTAGTTGTTGGTGGAATGGTTGGAACGGCCGGCTCCATAACCGGCACCTTTTTAAAGATGCAAGGCTGACGTCGTACCGGCCTCCATCATTTGGGGCGGTCGGTGCGATGATCTGCCTAGAGATATCAATTAAAGCCTAAAGGTAGAGGTGATCTTGCGCCTCGCCTTGACGGGTGCCATGGGCACTTGTGATAGGATCAAGAATCTGCCTTCCGAAGGTATGTCTTTACCCGTACTTACTTCATGCACATAGGTACTATGTATCATTCTAACGGGGTATCATAGTTACCTTATATACCCACCAGGTACCTACCCAGGTACCTGGTAGATTACAGGTTACTACTATGTACATTCCACCTCTCGATTCTCATGTACGAACTCCTACGAGATACCTACCTCCTTAGGACGTAGGTCGACATAGGGGTGCCTATTATGCATAGGTACTCATTTATCCAAGGTATATATATATCATCACGTTCAAATGTTGTTTCTGTTAGGACATGATCAAGATTACCTATTAACCTCTTCCTCCCCAGCAAATAGGTAGGCACCTTCGTGAATACCACGACGGGCCAGCTTGGTGTGGTTGCGATTTTGTGCTCTACATACCGGATTCTCTCTCTGCCAACTCCAAAACACCTACCAAGACTTTCACAAAACAGGGTTTGGGCCGGCTCATGAGGGATCCTTGAGGTTGTCCGTGGCTATTAGATATGTTAGAACAGGCACTGCCCCGTGAGGAGGCTAGACATCTGGTAAGAGGGCACCTACCTTCCAGGTGAAAGAGGACGTTAGATTGGTAGTTCTTAAACATCTGTGCCACGAGCTCAATGTTCATGTTCTGGATGTTGATCTCCTGGAGGCTCTTGTTCATGACGACAATGGCCTCGTTGAGTTTCTCCTACGTAGCTCGCATTAGTATTCAATGAGGGGGGAGGGAGAGGAAGTGAGCTCCATCACTTACAACGTTGGTTATGATACGCGACAGCAAGAGATTCTGCTGATGTTCGTGCGGGCTTTCCTACAAGGGGTCTATTAGCTTATCGGAATATTCTTGTGAGTGACGTCTAGAAATGAAATGAAATTGAATACCTACCATTTTGTCCTGATCTGGCCTCTCTCTATGTTGCGCGCAGGTGTAGGAGAGGGAGGATGGGTTTAGGGGCTTGCTGTGTTGTTGATGCTCAAGGCATTGAATTAAATAAAGCAATGTCGACAGTGTTGTCTGAAGTACTTAACGTACCTAGGTAGTTGTTAATTACATTATGCACTTATACATTATATGTAAACGCAGAGAGATGTACCTAAGGTACATATACCCATGCATATGCCAATATACCATTTATTGAAGCTATTTTGTAGTTACGGGGAAATCCCCCCACAGCTGGAGATTGGCATACGTCGAGACCCACGGGCCTCACATACCTATCGTGTTACCCAGGCGTTACTGACATACAGCCAGCCATCTCCTGCAAACTAATCTTCTTCTTCAACCAACATTCCACCGACAACCTACCTTCCTTTATCTTTCCAACGTCATCTGGGGTGGCATTTGTCTAGATTTTCCATCGTGTGCTGACCCCCAAGAAGAAACGTCTTGCTGGGGAGACAATGGCAGCACCAACTGAGGCCCAGAAGGCTCACCAGGACCTCATCGATCAGCTTGACATTCATTCCATTCACAAGAGCTTTCGAAACCCTCACTGGCGACCTAACCAGCGCCGCAACAAGAACATCAAGACCATACTCGGCGATGCCTCGAGAAAGGAAGCCTCCATCGTAGCCACGCCGCAAGATAACAGTGGCACAGCTACTCCGGTTGTCGCAGAGGGCGATGGCCTCTCCACCAGTGGCTCCTCCACACCTACCCAGCAGCCCGCTGGCATCACGGGTTCCAATAACCTTCAGCCGAACCTCGCCCAAGCCTCGCGCAGCCTATCCAAGCTCGTGCTAGAGAAGAGCCTGCGCCCAAACGGCGCCGCCGGCACCACGTCGGTCTCGGCCGCGGCTCCCAGTGCGACATACACCAACATCGAGTCGGCGCCATCCCTGGCACACACGAAGCGCTACTGCGATATCACCGGCCTGCCGGCCCCATACCTCGATCCCAAGAGCCGACTTCGATATCACGACAGGGAGATGTTCGGCTTCATTCGCACCCTGCCGCAGAGCGCTACGGAGCAGTATCTAGAAGCCCGAGGCGCACACACAGTCCTGAAATGAAGTGGAACGGAAGAGGCACAAGGTGTCCTGGGATATGCAAGATGGACCACCCAGGTTCCAGACTCCTTTTGAGGCTCAACAGCATATACTATCACGGTGTGGGAATCTTCGCAATCGCTAGTTGTTCTGTACATATGTACCGGATTTGGGCCTGGCACCACTCTGGAAGCATTCAAGTTATGGTAGCTAGGCTGGCTTTGCCGCGGGATAGCCTCAGATGGAACGATGGAACGATGGAACGATGTCACGCAGCGTAGGCAGTGGATGTCCGGCCAACAAAGTCAAGCCTATCCTATGCATCCATCACCTCTCGGTGATCGATGGCAGGTTACGCTCCGGCTTAATCGTGATCGGGTATGGAATTGCTCTCCGCCTGTAACCGACGAGTACCGGGGATGAATGGGGAAGAATCATCCTCAGTGGCCCTTGCTTTTATAGGAGCTAGGGACGTCGCGGCAGGGTTCGTCACGGCCACGGTCCGGCAACCAATTTGTGTCGAGGTTGTCTCGTGATTTGCTGTCGTGGGAGCAGCGAGGAGGATAGGGTATTTGCTTAGATATACCTGATAGACTTGGGCCTTCTTCCCAGACATTCATTCGTCATCTTCTCCGTGGCACATACTCGCTGTACAGATTGGCAGGCATAGAGAGCTAAAAGAGCTTGAACTGCCGTTATTCTAGACCGGCTAGCTCTCTCTACCTGAGGAATAGGGAAAGACAGGGCGTAAGAAAAGCGCCAGTCATGATCGAAGGATCAAGAATGCTGAGTCTCGGTAGAGGTCATGCGAGAAATTATCGTTGCAAGATTGACTTGGACTCTTAGATCTTTCCGTAGGGAGGGAGGTTGGGGAGAAGGGGGGGGGGGGGGTGTTTGCAGCAAGCCAAAACCTCTTGTGTACGGGAAGTGGTGAGAGGACGGGAGCCATAAACAGGAAGCCGAAAGAAAATGGATACAAGTTCTTATTTTTTGGAATTTTTTTATTACTACATTGCCATTCCACCAGCAGCAGCTGTCCCCCAGGTGTCAATAGCAGGGTTCTAGCTGACTCCGGTGCATTGTTGTGTAGCATAGTACAGATTATCCGTCCAATGTACCTAATCCCCCCTAGGCTACGGTACTTAAGGTGCTCCGTAAGCCTTAGTTTACACCGGTATAGGGCCCGCCACCCGCTGGCCGGCCTGCAGCTCCAGGGCCGAATAGCAAGGAGAAAGCTAACTGAAGCTAGCTGGAAGCTAAGTAAGAGAACACGTTGCCCAGTGTCGCCCAGCCCTGCAAGTACCCGCCCCGGCTGCGAAGACCGACATCCACCCATAACCGTGCCGGCTGTTCCTTTGCAACATAATCCACAACCCACTTTCATCCTGGACACCTTCTCGTCCCCGACTCAGACCTGACATATTCTCTCCTTCTCTATTCCTTTCTCTTCTTACCTCTTCCCGTGGCAACTTGCGGGTAGTTAGCGGCTCGGACGTCGGACCAGGGGCTTACCAAGACGGGAAAAGAAGAAGAAGACATGTGGCATCTTTGAAGCGCAGTGATATTTCTTCGCATTCGCAAAGCCCGCCCCTCCACCGTCCCTCTCGAGGCGCCGACTGGCACAGCTTTCCTTGGCACCATCCTATAAACTTGATTGGCCTTGCCGCCGTCAACTGCCATGGAGAACGCCTTTGCGAAGCCCATCGATGAGATTCTGGCCAACTTCAAGGTAGACCCGAGGGCCGGCCTCACAGACGACCAAGCTGCCGAGTTGCGCACCAAGCACGGAAAGAACTGTATGTTGCGCCGCGTGACGTCGCAAGACGGTCAGCCCGAGATAGGTGCTAATTTGTGTAGCTATCCCAGAAGAACCGCCTACTCCCTTGTGGGAACTCATTCTAGAGCAATTCAAGGATCAACTCGTCCTGATATTGCTCGCATCTGCTGCGCTTTCCTTCGTCCTCGCTCTCTTCGAAGAGGGCGAAAATGGCTGGAGCGCATTCGTCGACCCTGTGGTTGTAAGCTCACCTCTCCTCTTTCCGGCAGCGCCGTATATGCGACCCTCGATAAATTAACCTCACCGACTGCCAGATCCTCACTATTCTCATCCTCAATGCCGTCGTTGGGGTGTCCCAAGAGAGCAGCGCCGAGAAGGCGATCGCTGCGCTCCAAGAATACTCCGCAAATATCGCCAGCGTGATCAGGAACAACGGACATGTCTCGCGGGTCAAGGCTGAAGAGTTGGTCCCTGGCGACATCATTTCCGTGGCCGTCGGCGACAGGATACCTGCTGATTGCCGAATCGTCTCTATCGAAAGCAACAGCTTCGCTGTCGACCAGGCTATCTTGACCGGGGAGAGCGAGAGCGTCGGCAAGGACAACACATCTATAGTGAAAGATGAGAAGGCAGTGCTCCAGGATCAGACCAACATGTTGTTCTCCGGCACTACAGTCGTTACTGGCCGTGCCAAGGCGGTCGTTGTCCTGACTGGAACTAATACTGCCATCGGCGACATCCATGAGAGTATCGCCGCTCAGATTTCCGAACCGACACCTTTGAAACATAAGCTGAATGACTTCGGAGACTCCCTGGCGAAGGTCATCACAGTTATTTGTATTCTTGTATGGCTGATCAACATTCCAAACTTTACCGACCCAAGCCACGGACACTGGACCAAGGGCGCCATCTACTATCTGAAGATTGCCGTCTCGCTCGGTGTCGCTGCGATCCCCGAAGGTCTGGCCGTTGTCATCACGACGTGCCTGGCTCTAGGAACCCGCAAGATGGCTGCGAAGAACGCCGTCGTCCGAAGCCTACCGTCTGTCGAGACCCTAGGGAGCTGTAGCGTCATATGCTCCGATAAGACTGGTACGCTCACGACAAATCAGATGAGTGTGAGCAAGGTCGTCTACCTAAGCGAGGATGGTACCGATCTAGAGGAGCTCGACGTCGAGGGCACTACGTTTTCCCCTAGGGGAGATGTCTCATTCAAGGGCAAAGTTGTGAAGGATATCGCTCAAAGCTCAAGCACGATTCGCCAGATAAACGAGGTGTCCGCGCTTTGCAACGATGCTCGACTTGTATATGATGGTCGGTCTGGTGCCTATTCCAACGTAGGAGAACCTACCGAGGGAGCGCTGAGGGTCTTGGCTGAAAAGATTGGACCCTGCGCGCCGGTGAACTCGAAGCCTGAGGACTGCGTGCACTATGCTAGCGCCTGGTATGAATCCAAATTCCCTCGCCTCGCTACATACGAGTTCTCTCGAGACCGCAAAAGCATGTCGGTGCTTGTTCAAGCGGATAAGGAGAAGAAGCTTCTGGTTAAAGGTGCACCCGAATCTATTATCGAGCGCTGCACGCATACTCTTGTTGGTGCAAACGGCAAACGTGTCCTCATCAACGATCAGCTCCGAGAACTTCTCCTGAAAGAAGTGGTGGAATACGGCAATCGTGGGCTGCGGGTCATCGCTCTCGCCAGCCGGGATGACGTGGGGTCTAATCCTCTGATCCAAACCTCTAGAACCACGGCTCAGTACGCTCAGCTGGAGGAGAACCTCACCTTACTCGGACTCGTCGGCATGCTGGATCCCCCTCGACCGGAAGTCGCCGGCGCTATCAAGAAGTGTGTTGATGCCGGCATCAGGGTTATCGTGATCACCGGCGATAACCGCAATACCGCGGAAAGCATCTGCCGCCACATCGGAGTCTTTGGAGAATACGAGGATCTTCGAGGCAAGAGCTTCACGGGACGGGAATTTGAGAATCTGAGCCCGAGCGAGCAGCTTGAGGCGGCGAAAAAGGCCTCTCTCTTCTCCCGTGTCGAGCCAAGTCACAAGTCGAAACTAGTCGACCTCCTCCAGTCTCTCGGAGAGGTCGTGGCCATGACCGGCGATGGTGTCAACGACGCCCCAGCCCTCAAGAAGGCAGACATCGGTGTTGCGATGGGCTCCGGCACTGACGTGTCCAAGCTGGCCGCCGACATGGTTCTCGCCGATGACAATTTCGCCACCATCGAAGTAGCCATCGAGGAGGGTCGATCCATCTATAACAATACGCAGCAATTCATCCGCTACCTAATCTCTTCAAACATCGGAGAGGTGGTCTCCATCTTCCTCACTGCTGCCCTTGGCATGCCTGAGGCCCTCATTCCAGTCCAATTGTTATGGGTCAACCTTGTCACCGATGGCCTGCCCGCGACGGCCTTGTCCTTCAACCCACCCGACCACGATATCATGCGAAGACAGCCCCGGAAGCGAGACGAGGCGCTCATCGGGGGATGGCTTTTCTTCCGGTACATGGTTATTGGCACTTACGTCGGCCTCGCCACGGTAGCCGGGTATGCTTGGTGGTTCATGTACAACCCCGACGGTCCCCATATCAGCTTCTACCAGCTCTCGCACTTCCATGGATGCTCCGCCGATTTCGCGCACATCGGGTGCGAGATGTTCGCCAATGACATGTCGAAATCAGCGTCGACGGTGTCGCTGTCGATTCTCGTCGTCATCGAGATGCTCAACGCAATGAACGCACTGTCATCCAGCGAGTCCCTCCTGACGCTGCCGCTCTGGGAGAACATGATGCTGGTTGGCGCCATCGGCCTGTCGATGGCGCTCCACTTCGCGCTCCTCTACACTCCTTTCCTCCAGGACCTGTTCTCTATCCTACCCCTCGACTGGACCGAGTGGAAGGCGGTGCTCACCATCAGCGCGCCCGTTATGTAAGTAGAGAGAGACTTCCCACCTCCCCTTATTGCTACGCCGCGCCTCTCCTCCTACCCGTCCTCTCTCTTTTCCCCTTCACACTGTGACACCCAGTACTAACATCATCGTCGCAGACTCATCGACGAAGTGCTCAAAGCTGTCGAGAGGCAGTTCTTCGTCGCGAAGACGACGAGCGACGCCACCAACGCCGACGCCGCCACGAGGGCCAAGAAGGAGACGTAGCCGCGCGCACGCATGTTGCATTTGTCCCTGGGACCTGTACAGGAATAAGACCGGGAGCACGCTAGACAAATAGAGAGAGCTAGACTTCCCTGAATGGGAAACCTATACGTAACAGCATTGCAATTTATAAAGAGCAAAAAAAAGAAAAACTCCCTGTCTGCGATTCTGCTGCTTCAGGATACGGCATGATTTGCGTGTCTCTTGGTATAGGTATAAGAAATACGTAGCGAACGAAGGAACAATGAAATTTGTTTTTTACCAAAACAGATGAGGATTCCAAACACAAACTATCGTAGTTATATGCATATGTGCTGATGGGAACTCTACCCACTTACAGAAGTCGACGAGACGACTATTACATACCTTTACGAGATACCCATTTCACGTTGAAATTGGCCCTGTTCTTTGCATATTTTTCTGTTCCTTTTCTTTTTTTTCTTCCTTGGAAGGATACTGTTTAGATAGCTGTACGACACACACCTCGGTCCATCACCCGCCGCCCTTGCTGCCCGAGCACATCTGGAAAAGTAGGATAGGATAAGGGGGGCTTCGTCTCGCGTATAGGCTTGCCTCTGTAATTCCCCTTGCCACGCTGCGTCCAGTCGGTCTGGAGAGGGGAGGAGGCGGCGGCGATGGCACGCATGTGTGCGTGTATGTGTATATAGGTGGGTAGGCATGTTGGCGGTATGGCCGGGACTACCCTGCACAGCGCGGGACAACCCGCCGAACAACAATATTCGCCCGTATATGAAAAACCCTCCCCGTTCCCTACCACCACCCCTCCCCAGGGCACTCTCCTCTTCCTCCGCAGAGCGGGGTTTTAATATCTGAATAACTATTTGTTGTTGGCGGGTTGTTCCCCTTCCGCCGCATGTCGGATTTTTCTTTTCGAATTAGTCTTGCCGACCCTTCAGCAACCTCTTGGTGACCTTGCCCTTCTCGATGATATACACGTGCGCGCCCCAGCCGGAGAGGGCGTCGCGGTCGACGGCGCTCAGCAGGGCCTGCGAGATGGTCTCGAAGAGGTCTTCGGGCGCCTACGGTTTCAATGTTGCATTAGAACGAGGGGGGAGCTAGAAAACTTATTGCATCCGTGATGCCTTGGAAGAGGGGGGTGGGGGGGGAGACGAAAAGCAGAACATTGACTCACGAGATCGGGCTCCCAGAGGCTCTCGCACATGCCGAAGAGCTGCTCTGAGGCAGTGCCGCTGACGATAAAGTCCTTGGCGAAGTCGATGCAGCCGATAGAGTCGAAGCCGCAGATGAAGGGTTGGCCGGACTTGGGGTCGAGGCCGGCGACGACGGGGCTGACGAAGTAGGGGCCGAAGCGGCGCTCGTAGAGCGAGGAGGAGACGAGGTTGGCGAAGGTGGTGGGGGCGATGCCGCGCTCCTCACGCAGGCGGTACATGTTGACTTTGTAGCGGAACAGGTCGGCGACGGTGGAGACGTCGGTGGCCAGCCCGGTGAGGCCGAGGAAGACGTCGCCGTACTGGAAGATCTTGGGAAAGTTGTTCGACACGGTCAGAGCCTGCATGCCCAGCCGCAGGTCGCACGCGATAGCGACGCAGTCCTTGCCCACCATGGCGACGCAGGCGCCGCCGTCTGAGCGCTCGCGAAGAGGGGTCGTGTTAGCCTACAGCCACCACCGCGATTTCTCGGCTTTTTTCTTTCCTTCTTGTGTTGGAGAGGGAGGGGGAGGAAGATTCCGCACTTATAGAGAAGGGTGAGGACTATATCATATCATTGTCATGGTTAGCCAGGTCATCTCTCTCTTAACCGGTTCGGAGCTCTAAGGTGGGTTGTCCGGGAGGGTTTGGGTTCAGCTTACCATGGCTTTGAAAGATGGTGACGAAGCTTTAGCCGAGCGGCTGAGTGTCTAGGCTCTGTCCGGAGAGTCGATAGGGCCGCTGCTATCGTCGTCGATGTGGTGGTGGCTGGTGGTTGTTGAAGCAATAGCAGACGGGCGGTTGAAGGTGGAATAGGCAAGTAGATAGGTAGGCATGTTAGCTCTTAGCTCTCCCCTTCCTAGTGTGTAACATAAGGCCAGGCAAGGCAAACGTCGTCTGGCGCGGCACCACCTCGTTGTCACCAGCGATAAGATAAGCCCGTACCTAGATACCTACCCACTAGGTCACATTAGTTGTTTAAGTAGCTTAGGTGCCTAGCCTACATAATCCCCCACATTATGCATATACCCGGTTATTGTACACAGCCCGGATGCCTCTTCTTGACAGGTGCGTAACCTACCTACGTCTAGGTAGACATGACCCCCTCATCAGCGGCTACGCGGCTTCGAATCGGGATAACTAGCTCTAACCTCCGTCTTTCTTCCCTAAGACTTCCATCCGCGGTTAGGGGGCGCAGTGCATAGAGGTAGGTATGTATATATCTTCCTCTAGGTAGACACTCCTTCTTCTTCTTCTTTCCTACAGTTTACCACATAAAAAATACTAGTACTCATCGCTTGCCATCAACATCCTACACACCCCTCCACTTTCCCATCCACTACCTACCTATAGCAACGACGACAACGAACACGACGACGATTACGACAACGATAATCACCCCCCTTTTCGACATATATATACCCACTGATCCACCGGGCAGCTTCAAGGGGGGTTCCACTCAGGGAATACATCCTGTTCCTCACATTTCATCCGTCTACGCGCTACCGACATTCATTACGCACCACCCTACCTCTCAGCCTCGATCCACATTCGATCCGTCTACACGGGCCCTGCGACGCATGGCGACCAACGTCAAGGTCGTGGGAACCGACCTCCGGCAGGTCACCATCAAGGTCAACCCCGGAACCTACCTCACCGACGTTCTAGAGCAGGCCTGCGAGAAATTCAAGGTCCCTTCCAGCAAGTACCTATTAAAACACAAGCAGAAGCACCTGGACCTGTCGCAGACATGGCGTACCTCTGGTTTGGTGCAGGGAGCCAAGCTCGAGCTCGTCGTCCGCTCTAACACCGCGACCGCTATCAACGTCGCCCTACAATTCCCATCTCCCGAGTCGAATCTATTCCCACCATCTGGCCGCGCCGCCCAGAAGCTACCGAGTGACTTCACCATATGGCAGATACTACGCCAGTTCGAGAGCGGCAAATCAGGCGATGGGAAGTCCCTAAACATCACCGCGCGGGGCGTGGCACAAATGACTAAAGGTGCCCCCGCCGGTAGCGGGCAGCTGTACTACGAAACCCCCGTGTTGGTGATCGAAAGTAGAACGCTTTCGACCTTTGCCGACTTCCAAAAGACCCTGTCTCAGCTGGGATACAACTCGGGAGGCGTGTTGATGCGTCTCTCTTTTCAAAGGACCGACAAGACTCTAGTGGATGCCATGGAGGAGATGGGCCGGTTCTTCAAGGCAGAAGAGGAGACTCAAGTCGAAAAGCCGCAGGAGCCTGATCCCCAACGCACGGTGGGTGGCGACGCGGGTACCTTGATTGATGTTCCGCCCCCGAGCAATACAGACACCGCCCTGCCCAGAGCCACCACACCCAGTCACCCGGAGACAGATCTATTAGGCGCTATCCAAAACGACGATACCGGCGACCGTACCACATCGCAAGCTCCATTAGTAGACGAAATGGCCGTCGACGAGCTGGCGCTGTCCGACCATCGGCCCGTCACCATCTTCTCTGCACCTGCCTCCAACACACCGGCGGCAGCCTTACGAGAAGACTCAGACGAGGAGTTCGCGCCGCGTATCGAGCACGCGCAGGCGCACCAGAGGCTGCTGAAGACGGCGGGCGAGAACAGGCGGCTCCCGTCGGACCGGGAGCTCGAGGAGAAGGCGGCGGCGGAGGCGGCCAGGGTGGCGGCCATCAAGTCGATCCGGATCCGAGTGCGCTTCCCCGACAACTTCTCGGCCGAGTGGACGTTCGGGCCCGAGGACACGGGCGCGACGCTGCACGCCGAGGTGCGGAAGATCATGGCCCACGAGGACGCGCGCTTCCGGCTCGTGCTGCCGCCCGGGCCGAGGGCCATCGCCGACGACGCGCGGACGACGCTCATCCGCGGCTACCGCCTCAGCGCCAACACGCTCGTCAACTTCACGTGGGACGAGGGCGTGCCCGCCGACGTCCGCCACCTCCCCTTCCTCAAGAGCGACGCCGCCGGCCAGGCCCGCGACGTGGTCGTGCCCGAGGTGCCGGAGGCCCCCGCCGCCGCCGCCGCGGACGGGGAGGCGGAAGGCAAGGGCAGAGCCTCGTCCCTCTTGGCGGCGCTGAAGCCCGGCTCGGCCTCGGACTCCGGCGACGGACCCGCGTTCAAGAAGCCGAAGTGGCTGAAGGGCTTCGGGAAGAAGTAGGCTGGGACGGTGGAGGGATGCGCGGTAGGGTCAGGTTACGATACCTTTCCACAGAAACTGGCGAATTGATGAACATGTAGATGGCCGTCCGTTCTATATACACAGCTACGAGACGCATGCATCTGTACGGAGTTGCGGCGAATGGGTCCACACGCACACGGATTTTGATTGTGAGGGTAGAGTAGTAGTTAAGACTTGTCTGAATAGGTAATCAGATAACCAAGAGATATCAGACGGCATGGGCATGCATCGTATAGGATTCGTTTTATTTCTCCTCTGCTCGACCGCGTGTGATTGCCAATAGCTTCTCCCAGGTAAAGAGCTGGCTTGCAAGGCTAACTGATCTGACCGAACCGACCCCTCCGTGCAAGAAGGGGGAAAAGAAATCCATGCCGCAATACGAGACGCCAGACCATGCCAGACCTCATATTTGCTTCTCTCCTTTTTCCATTTTACTCATTTACCCATCCTCGATCAACGCCCGTGATTCGCCGTTGCCATGGTTTGTGTTTATCACTCTTTCAGAAGAGGGAAAGCCACGGCCGTCAAATTTAGTGACCAGCCCGACGAGCCTCGGCGATGACGCGCTGGAGCTCGTCAACCTTTCTCTTGGCGCGGCCGAAGGTGCCGAGCTGGAGGAAGTCGCTCGTTAGTTTTTTTTTTTTTTTTTGAATCCTTAGGCGAGGGCGGCACGGGGGTCAAGACATACCCGCTTCTTGGCCAGCTTGCGGGCTCGCTTATCCTTGCTGTTGCGCAGCAATTCGATAACGCGGCGCTCGTAGGGGGCGAGGCTGTAATTTGTAGTAAAGAGGGCGAACGTTAGCGATGGTACGACCCTCAGAAATCCCCAAAGACGTTTCCCCTTCTGGTTCTGCTCTCGCTCTGGCTGCCGTCCCGTGTCTTTTCCCACGCTACCCATTGGGAGAGGAGGGGGGTTGTACAAGAAAGGGAAAGGGAAAGGAAAAAAGGAGAGAGAGATGACTTACCCAGCGACCTCCTTGACGATGTCACGGACGAAAGCGGTGCGCTTGCTCAGATGGCCCTTGGTCCGGGAGACGCGGGGCTTGACGGCGCGGGGGGTGGTTTTCTAGACAAGTTCCCGGAAGAGAGAACCCCCAAGAGTCAGCCCAACTGATTGTCCATCTTCTGCGGTATTGCAATGTGTTTTTCGGATCAGGAAAAGGGATTGCAAGAGCAGAGATCCTCCACGAGGTGAGACGGGGGCGCGCAGGAGGGGATGGAGACACTCTGTCTCGTCGCTCTCTTTTTTTTTTCATTTCGGCGGATGGAAAGGTAGGCAGGCAGGTAATGTTGGCATCAATCTTCTTACATGGCCGCGGTTGATACCGATGGTGAGCCCGGTGCGGGCAGGCGCTTCCTTGGCCATCGCGGGCGGTATCTTTTATTCTTGGAGTTTTCTTCTTGTTCGTGGCCGCTATGGCGTTTGTCGATAGGTGAGTGAAAAGTCGTCGTCGCGGGTTGTAGAGGGAAAAGACGAGAAGGGTAGCGGGAGGGAAGTTCGAAATTTCCTAGTTTGAGGTTGAGATTTTGCAATTGGACGGTTGGGTTTGTGGTGTGGGGCGTGCCAAGGCGAAATTACGAGCATTAAGCGAGTAGCTGACATCTTGTACGATTGGCCAGCCTTGTACGGGTCCGCTTCATAAGCTAGGAGGGCCAGGCTATCCGTGATTGGAGAGTCGCCATGTGGCAGAGACACTTGGGTACTACCAATGTGCCTGAATTCGTTGGTTCATGTTAGTGAAGTACCAGGTAGGTAGATGTGAATCGAGATCTAACCTTACCTCTCGACTTACCTCCTCCTATACATAGGTAGGTACGCGGACACATAACGCGTCATCGCATTTTGATGAGAGATAGGTACCTAAGCTCTAGGAGGTAATTACCTAATGCCCTACGTGCAGCCGGATAGACGGGGATCTTCTCGAAAGCCTCACCTTGCCGTGCTACCGCACTTCCCGATTCGGCGGTCGACTTGCAGCTGATTACCACCCAAAGTAGCCGCGTCTTTCTCCGTCAACGTCGAGTCAGCCAGTACCTAATGCACCTACGTGCGCACCGAGCTCTGGCGTGAGACCTCTGGTCGATAGTTTCATATGTATCTAGATGTGAATACACGCATCTTCCCTCCCGTCTCTCTTCTCGCTCCTTGTGCGCTTTCTAATCTTATTGCAGGTGCCATTTCCCCGAAATAAAAGCGAGAAAATATGGCATCAATTCCCGTACTTGGTCCCCGTACCATCGCTACCGCGGGGGTAGCAGTGCTCTTTTATCCTGCGTACGAAGGCGGATAGGTATATGGGGTACGTGGCTATGAAAACGCGAAATGTGGATCGTTATTTTGCCCATCGGAATGTCGCTTGTTACCGGGGTCGGCGATATGACGCAGCCCCCGTCGTGTCACAGCTCGGACGGCCCCTGCCCACTGCCAGCGCACGTTACGTAGGTGACGCTGCCGGGTGGCGCCCAAACAACAATATGGAGGAGGTCAGGCATGTTGGAAGGCAGGCGCGACACCTTCATCTCAGGTGCCACCGGATCTGTTATCTCGCTCGGCATCATGTACCTTCCTGTCCCTATAGGTACCTGCCTCGCGCCTCGCGTACGGGGTCTCAGCAAGGCAAAGAGTACCTGTATGGTAGGTAGGTAGGTAGGTACCTAAGGTAGACAGGTAGGTACTTTCTCGCTGTTGCTTTGCTTGCCTGCGTCCTCACTCCCACGCACCTTCTTGTCACTTACCTACCTACCTCCTCCCTCCTACCTCCTACCTACCTACCTACATTGGGTAGGTATGTAGTTATGTAGGTCACGTAGGCAGGTTATTAGGTAGGTTATCTAGGTATGCCTAGGTATGTAGGGAAGGCATGAGCAAGGCATGAGGCTACCTGCCTATGCGTAGCGAGCAAGCCACTATTTTCATCCACCTCCTCTTCCTCTTTCCTCCCCCCCGCCTCCCACCTCCGTGTCCCAAAGTCATTCACTGCATTTCCTTCACTTCTTGATTTCCCACCCCCTCCCCAACTCCTCTCCTCTCTTTCCTTTCCGCTGGTAGGTCTCCGGGCTTGACGCCGTCCGACCTGTTATCAGCCAGTCAAACCCAGTCAGCCAGTCACTTACTTACTCGTTCGCTTTCGTCACTCGGTCGTTCACTGGTTCTTTCTCCTCCGCTCTCTGTTTTCCTGCTCTGGGAATAACGACCTCGATAGACATGCTGCCTGCCTCGGTCTGCAGTACGACCTGCATTCGTTAGATTGAATCGATTATGCTGGCCTGGGTCGGTCAACTCTGCGTCTCTTCGTTCCGTCCCAGCACTGCATCGTTTCCTCGTCTTCGTCCGCGCTCTTGTCATTGGTAATTATGTTTTGATGTTGGTTTTGGCCACTGCTCTGGGGGGTGATATTTGCATCTTCTTCTCTCTTGGTCCGCATGCTTTGGCCGTCGTTTATCTTCGCCATGTCTCTTACCCTTCTCGAAACGGGTGCTCCCCAAACCCTGTCGCAGAGCACCTCTATGCGCCTTGCCAGCAAGGCGGGCTGGGTCAACACCCTCAAGTGGAATCGAACCGACACGAACCTCGGCATAAACTTGGACGACATCGATCCCTTTTCTCACGACGGCCGAGATGCCTGGGAGACTCTGAGTAACATAGCAGCACTTGGCTGGACCCTCGGCGATAATGACGAGAAGCCAACCCGTTCAACAGCGCCCCCAAAGTTCTCTTTGCATGGCGATGACGCTCGCCCTGAGCACCCGGCCACGCCTTCCCCGCGAGTAAGACCGTTCCACAAGTGGATGAAGAACCTACATAGGCGAGCGCACCGTCCAAGGACCCGACACGGTCATAGCCGGGCCGAACCGTTTCCCGAATTCCCCGAAGTTTCCTTCGCAGACGATGTCCTGTCGCCAGATTGCCATCGAAAATCGTCTTCGGGCTCTTCCTTCGGATTCGTTGCGGCAGTGAGGAGTGCAAGTGTGAGTCTCGCGAGCGCCAGCGTGATGACACGATCGAGGAGGCATACTGCTCGGTCGTCACGTCGAGGCAAGACAGACTCTAGCAGTAGAGGCTCTACATGCGCCCCGCGAGAGTCCGAAGATAGCACGTGCCTCGAGCGGATATCAACAAACGATACCGGAGTCACGGAGCGGTTGTTGCAGAGGCGCCATATCCTCGAGGAGCTTATTAACACGGAAGAAGGTTATATCGGGGATGTTAAATTCCTCATGAATGTACGACCCCTAGACGCTTGAGATCCACCAAAGCTGATTTCGTATTAGGTTTATGTCACCATCTTAGCTTCTTTACCGTCGTCACACCTGGGCCTTCGATCCTCCATCAATCGCAATCTAACGGATATTGTTGAATTGCACGAGGAGATTCTTGGAGATCTTCACCGAGCGGTACCAAACTCCGAGTATACACAACCCGAGTGTATCCCGAAGATTTCCAATCCGCCGTCGGCTAAAGAGCATCACCATTGGCATAGCCTAGACTCCGTCCCAGAGGGTAAAGGAGGCGCTCCCTTGTCTTTACGGGACATTCCTAGTGTGATTGCCGAGCCAAATGTTGCAGCTGAGGTAGCTCACGTTTTTGGTAAAAGGGTATGTAGGCCTTAACACGACTCGTTCGTCCAATGTCGCACCTCGATCCGCATATATCAACCGCCGGGGGTTCCGGTTCTAACGTTTAAGCAGATAAATCGGTTCTTCATTTACGAGGAATACGGCGCAAAATACGAGATGATGATCAAAGACGTCGCATCTACACATCGGACACTTCCTCAGTGGGAGACGTACCAGAAGGGGCTGGAAGCTTTAGGCGCCTCTCTAAGTTCTGCGAATCACCATCTAGAAAATTCCAAGAAGTCGTTGACGATCGGTGATCTGCTGGTCAAAGTGGGTAATGGCAAGGATCCCTATACCGAACCTCGCTGACAGCAAGCAGCCTATCCAGAGAATCTGCCGATACCCCCTTCTATTCGCCGAGCTTCTCAAATACACTCCCGTGTGTGATTGCCCCAACTCACATATGGAGATAGAGAATGTCCTTATTCGGCTACGCGAGGCCACTGCTGAGATCAACCGTGCCACGGATGACCCAGGAATGAAAATATCGATGGAGCAGACCTGGCTGCTGCAAGATAGGCTCATGTTCCCGAACAAGGTTGGTTTTTCCTAGGCCTATGCCAGTTACCGCCTCTAACTAGTCAGCAGAAGTTGGACGCGGCTTCGAAGAGCACCATACGCTCGTTTGGGCAAGTTCGCCTGTGCGGTGCCCTGCATGTGTGCTGGCAGACCAAAGACAGCGTGAATGGCGCATACATGGTTATACTCCTTTATAAAGACTGTCTGTGCCTTGCTAAGGCTAATCGAGCGGACCATGTGTACACCATCCAGGCTTGTTTGAGTCTTGATGACATCAATATCGAAGAAGTTGACAATGGTCGAGGTAGGCCTCCAACCCCCCCCTCGCATCTCTCGACATGCTAACGAGGACAAGGCCTCCAATGCCACACTGCTCCGTTTTCCTGGAAGCTTGTATTTGAAAGCGACCATCAACTCTACGAGTTCGTCATGACAGCCTGCTCCCAGAAGGAGGAGCTGGAATGGCGCACTCGGCTTGCGCGGCACCATTCGACCAAACCACCCGAATTCTTGAAACCTACATTCTACAGCGCCGTATTCCTCGATATGAGGAGTCTCGGAACGATTTTCGGAAAGCCAGGTACGCGCAATACGTGTAACGATATATGGCCGAGTAAGACAGTTGACCACTTTAGGTACCGTTGCCCGCCGTCTTTCCATTCAAAGAGCAACCACTGTCGGACCTAGGTCGCCACTATGTCAAGTCATCCTGAAGAACACTAGTGTAGTGAAGGATACGTCCGCGGAGGCCTCGGGCTCGCAAATCAATCGTTCGCAATCGTTCATGACAACCAACGCCCGCATCCCGGTGTTGGCCCCATCCCGAGGAGACAGAGCTCGTCTTGAGGCCTTGCTGGCGGACGTGTGGAGCCGCAAGGTGCTGCCATTTCCCGGGATGACGACTCGCTCAAGAAGCGAGCATCTTGTCCGCAGTTCGGCGTCTACGGTAATGCGCAAGCTTAGCGTTGCGAGCATCGCCAACTCTTTTACGAAGCGCCCAACCAGCGCTACGGGCGCAGTGAAGCCGAGCGAGGACGAATATCCGCACGTCGACAGTTTTGTCGATGGCCTTGTCCAACTTAATTGCAATGAGTCAAGTTCCGAACTAGTTGGGGCAGGCACAGCCGAAGGGGATGCCAAGAAGAGACTCCCGGTTATTCGAGACGAGATCGAGCATAGCCTTAGCCCGACCAATTCTTCCCTAGCCGGTTCCTGCGCCGATTCCGGGACGGTGAAGAGGTCGGACTCTTCGAGGTTGGAGTTGAAATGGCTGGGCGAAGAACACGGGTTCAATACACCGGGCCTGCACACGTCCTTGTCCAACAGCATTCGTCGAAGCCGGCGGAGACTGTCGGCGGGATCATCCCCATCTTCGAACACAGATGACGAGAACGTGGGCCAGCGACGCGGAACGAAGCATCATTCGCAGGAAAAATCGGCGAGTGTCGGGGCCGCACGCAAATGGCGCCGGGTCGGTGCCATCCGTAAGGCCTCGATGGCATCTAGCATTCGTAGTCTGTTTAGACAAGAGAGGACGGTCTCGGCATTAAACAGCAAGTAGAGTATAGCAAGGACCACGGTTGGAAGGTCAGGCGTGTATGGCTCAGGGCCACGGCATGGTTGGGTCCCGCCCCTCTTGTTTTGTTACGACAATACCAGGACGGCACGGTGTCCGCTGCCAGGCGTTGGTTTTGTTTATGGTTCGGTTGGCTTGTAAGACTTGGGCAAGCACGATTATACCCTCGATGCAATGTCCTTAGCTTTTGAAAGAAAGAACAATAACACTTGAGACTTTTATGTTACTCGATGCGAGGAGCGGGAGAAGTTGACGAAATTAACGACGAGGTTCAGATAGAGCCCAAGGCCCATAGGCGATGTCGATGTAGGTATGTACATATAGATGCAGATGCACGGCAAGGGTGATGGTGGTGACGTCTTAGCAGCGCTTAAGTGTATGGAAGGAGGTAGGCAAGGGCCTCAGGTAAAGTACCTAAGATATCTTGGGTAACTTAGCTACCATACCTACCTCTCATACTACGGGGAGGGTACCTAGATGTACCCCGTGACGGAGGTCGGAAGTTGGCTGGTGATCGTTGCGTGTTGAGCTCGGGCAGTGACGTAAGACAGCAGGCGGGGCAGTCGGGATAAGCAAGACAGGCGGCGCAGGCGACGCAGGAACGAGCAGAGAGAGGTTCGCTGAGGGGCAGATTCCGTTTGGACATCGATGATGACGTAGGTGCGTAGCTCGACGTATGAGTATGGCAAAGTGGGTGCGGCATGATGATCGAATCGAGGAGAGGCGAGTTACCTAGATAAAGGTAGCTTACCTGCCCGTCCCCTCAGGACTTCCTTGCCTCTTCTCTGTCTTACAACCCGCAATCCATCCGGCTCTCCATCTCCAACAATTGAACTGCCCGTGCCATCAGCGAATCTGTCGACCGCTATCAAACCTCCCAACACACGTCGACAACTTGCCTACCTAAATCTTGTCCATTCCTCTCACTTCCGCCAGCGAAAAGCGAACGACTAGCTGCTTCGCCCGCTGAAACTCGCCCGCCGGCCGACCCGATCCGCAAGACGCTAGATCAACCCGCCCTTGAGCGTGCAACTGCCCAAGATGACCAAGGGAGAGGCTTCTCAGGTCAAGGTCCACTACAAGGGCAGCGACGAGGACTTCATCCTCTTCATCGACGACCTCGACACCTACAAGAAGTGGAAGGGGGACAAGAGCACCCCCATGGCTCACTTCATCTCCGCCTTCAAGATCTTCGTAACTCACAAGTAAGCCCTGACTCGGCACGTGCCCTCCTTCCTCGAATCATTGCTTGCCCGATCATCATGCCACTACGCCACCCCCTCCGTGTCCAATGGGGGCGTAGACGGGACGAGCGGCCGGCAGCAGAGCATTGGCCTTGAAATGTTGCGACTCTACAACGCTCGGCCCCCAAATACGGGCCGCGCCGGGAGCCGTCGGGGGGGGGCACTCTCAATGCCTGGTGCATGTTGGTCCGACGCCAGCCGAATCGCTAACGCCGTGTTTTTCCTAGGCAAGGGGCTCAAGGCCAGATGAACGGTGCCTCCAAGTCGACGCTCGAGAACGAATTTGGCACTTCCAACGAAGAAGAGGTCATCCAGAAGATACTGGAGAGTGGCAGCATCCAGGAGACGGAGGTAGGTCGCCTCGCGCACAAGCCATCAAGGAAAGTCGAGCAGATGCTGACGTACGCTTGGCAACAAGTTCCCTGGGCGCCAAGGACCTAAAAACGACGCCCAGCAGGGCTCCATCATCACCGGCCAAGTCTCCAGATAGACGCGCCAGCATCCTCGCCGGCCGCGCTCGAGGCAGCTCGCTGCTTTGGACTCGTTCGCGCCGGGCGGCGTATCGCACGAGGGCAAGGGGGTGGGTAGTGCCATGGGCAAATTCGGACGTCGCGGGGTCGAGAACTGAAATTAGCACAGGAAGCATCAGCAAGGAGTTGCTCTGCTAACTTTGCTCGTGGAGGAGTGCCGTCCCGGGGTGGACGGGCGCGCTATGCATGTTCTCTAGGGGATCCCATAAACGGGTTCACTGGGTTGATAGGTAGGAGGTACTAGTTTCAACCGAATGCTTGCCCGAGCCGTATTGCCTTTGCAGTATAGGTGAACGCATGCGTGAAATCGTCGCCGCCGTCGCGGTTCAGATGAGGCGAAGCTGACCTCGTCCCGTTTTTTTTTTTGTTTCTGGCCGTTTCGAAACGTAGTTTCGAAAAAAAGGGGAGTTTTGTTTTAGCCCGCTATATACGGGCATTCATCCTACCGCCCGCGTCGCCTGAAACGGGGCCCTTCTTCTCTTCCCTCTCTCTCTCACTCTCTCTCCCCTGTGCTTCAGAGAAATTAAATATTCCACCAGCGCAAAACCCTCGCCATCCTCGACTCCGCCTCTTCTACGGGGTTGAACCCCCCTCCCCCGTCCCGTTCCCCTTCACGCTCAGCTGTTTAATTAATTAATTTTTTTGTTTTGTTTGGTTTGGTTTCGTTTTACGAACGCTCGCTCGCTCGCTATGTGCGACGGGCGCCGGAGGAAGGAAGGAAGAAAGGAAGGCTTGCTTCCTAGGAAGACAGGCAGCGCTCGTGGGTTTTGATTAATTGATCGATCGATCGATTGATGATCTAGTCTACGTCGCTAGAAACGTTCCCCGGAGCGGAGGGCTCAGCCGGATTAGGGCGGGTCTGGTTTGGCTTGGTAGGATTGGACAGAGGGAGGGAGGGAGGGAGGGAGGGAGGGGGGTGGGTGGATGAATTGATTGGTGATTGCATCGTTGATCAGATTTGGTTGATAGACTTATTAGACTTGGTTGACTTGATTGAGGGGGGGGCCGGACGGACCAAGTAAGTATTGGTTGCGCGGGGATGCAGATTATCGCACTGCGGCTAGACAAAGTCTGAGGAGCGGTTGGTTAGAGGAGAGAGACGCATCAATCATACGCAGACAAGACAGAGCGTAGAGACGGAGAGCGATATGGCCTGGCTGGTTTCGAGAGAGGAGCAATAGTACAGCGAGTCAACATATGGAGATGGAGAAATAGTTTCGAAAAAAACGCATCGGTATTATTAGCCTATCCTAGCTAGCCAGCTGCCACCACCGCACGACGCAATACACGATGCACCGTACAGGCACACACACGCGAGACCTCCTTCCGGAGGGTTTCCTACCCGGGGTTTGGCTGCGAGGGCCGCGGGATGAGGTGAGATAGAGATGAAGTGAGACGGTTGGGATGTGTGTAAATGCGAGGAGGACAAATGGATATTTTTCCCTTCCTCGAGGACCACATAGGGTAAAAAGGTAGGTAGGTAGGTAGGTGATGCGTGTGCGTGTTAATCAGTACATGGTATATGTGCGCGCGCGCGCGGGCGCTTCCTCTTGCTAGCCCAGCGATCCCCGCATACACGGTTCGATGCGTGCACGGGGTATTCTCTCCTTCTCCCTCTCCCTCTCCCCGGTATACCTTATCGTTGGTAAAAATGCGAAAGGGGGTAATAATAATAAAAATGCAGGTTTGTCAACGCCGACGTCGCGAATTCCTATGTCGTACACAGTGCAGTGACCCGGCCGATATAGGGGGGAATTGGCCAGGAGTGCCCCAGACTACCCTCTCCTCTCCTCTCCTTTTTTTCTTCTCTTTTCGGACTGTTTCTTTTTCTTTCCTTCGTTAGACTGTGCGCCTAGTTCGTTTATGTGCCGATACACTGGGGTGCATATGTTCATTCCTCAGAAGGGCGAGAAAATTGAGCTGTTAATGTACGTGAGTCCCCGTCCTCTTCTCCCCTCCCTCGCCCCACCGTCGGTAATGGAGATGGGGATCAGGGCCAGCGCCGATTATCCGACCGTCGAGGCGAATGGGTATAAGGAAGGAAGAGGGACGTGGAGGCCAGAGCCGACATGTACAAATGACCCGGGATGCATTTGCTCCATCAGGACTGTAGGCGGTTGTCGCTGCGCCTACGCCTTGGAGCCACCAGGGCGACCTCGTTGCGGCAGGGTCCACGGCTTCTCGCATATGATCTAGGATGAATTAGCCCCATGCAACTACCACTATCACGTAGAGAAGGTGTTCAGACATACCTCGCCTTCGCTGTACGCCCAGAAATAGACAGCCATCCCTACCACGTAGTATATGGCGGAGTTGGTGCCTTGGTACAGCAGGACGGAGGCCAGGGAGGCGAGCGGGAACGAAGCGAGACGGGCCTCGATGCTGCGGTGGAGTGACGTTCCGGCGACCAAGCCCAGCGGCCACTCCCACGCGAGTATGAATATCCCCATGACCAGGTTGATGATTTGCAGCGCCGGCACCGGCTTGACGGCCGGGTCCAGCGTCTTGGTCATGAAGTCGAAGAATATCTTGGGCCAGAAGAAGGCTTCCACGGCAGCACAAACTTGGTCTGGGAAGCCGGTTAGCATCTACCACGTCCTCCGAGACTCGCCGCGGCGGAGAGGAGATCACGTACAGGCTGCGGCGGTGAGCGAGATGAGTCTGGCCCAGTGGTTCTTGATGAGTCTCCCCATTTTGACGGATATTCCTTTCTGCTCAATCGAGGTCCTAAAACTCTTGCGTCCTTTTCTCTTTCTTCTTCCTGATACCCCAAACGATCCAAGCGCTCCTAGTCCAGAGAGAATCCCGAAAAAAAAAAACCACGTCCGGTCGAAGAAAACGAAGGTAAACTGGCGGAAGTCGACACACTCGGTGAATTAACAAACAAGCAGCGGGGAAGCGAAGGCAATGAATTGCTAGGTAGCCGGACCTGCGTAACGAATGAAACAAAGAGTCGAATTAGACGAAAAAAGAAGGTTAATTGTGAACGTCGAGTGCACTGCGCTACGGAAGAAAAGAAGAGGAGGAAGAAGATGTAGACGCAAGGCCGGCGGGACCCTACGAGGCTATATTGAAGTTTGGGTGGCCTTGGCTCGTATCCCCTGTCGGGAGCTGTGCTCCCGTCGAAGGAGGGTGTGTCAGAAACGATGTGGTGCTGGGGTGGATCAGGTGTTGCTAGGCTGGCGGAGTCGAATCTTCGTCGGAGATCCACGTTCTCGAGATCTTGTCTATGACCACCGCTGGCATCCGTCCAGCATCGCTATCATCCACAACGCTTGTTTTCCTTTTCCCCCTTGCTAAGGAGGATTCGACTTTGTGCTGGTATTCCGCAACCTTATTTGTGTGTGGGGCGTTGGCCGGATGAGGTTATATGAGACAGGAAGGGCGAAGCAGCGCGAAAGTGGTCTCTGAGGGATTCCTGAGCGGTGCGCTGGGGAGGTACCAATGTCATAGCTCGTCCAAATCGTCTAGTGGTGGGGTGTTAAGGGGCGCTCTAGCTCGTCGCATGAGGGCCGAAGATCATACAGGGCGATGATACTGGGGAGGAGGTGTTCCGAGTTTCTTCCTCTATGAAAGGGACAGCCCCGGGTTTTTCTTGCACCACGAGGCGGCATGCAGAGGGTTTAAGAAAGCGACCAGCTGGTGGGTCGGCAAGGAAACACAGCGAGTCTCACCAGCCGGCGGCCGAGACCGCCATCGCGAAAAATCAACGCTTGCAGGGCCAAGATCTAGATAGAGAGACGCAGTGTGGCCGGCTCTTCGCAGCGAGCCACGGGCTACGCAGCGCGAGAGCGGCTACGCCCTGCCTCATGATGTGCAGGACGGACGTATATAGCCCAAAGAAGCCTAGAGCATGAGAGATATCGACCACAGCGACACCCGTCACAGTCGGGATCAGGGTGGGTACAGCGTGTGAAGGTACCGTCGATTGGGCAAAGAGACCCCCAAGTATCTTGGCCCGGGTGCGCGGGCGGCAACAAAGCAAGCTGGAGCGGCGAGCATTGGGTGTATGCGATAATCGCGGCCGTCGAGATGGTCGTCGACGAGAGCCAGTGTCGTGCGAGACCTACTGAGTACGTGATGGGGCTTTTCCCCTCGGCGGCTATGAATCTCGGTGCAGCCAATAGGAGGGCCATCCCGAGCGTATCTTCTGCATGACAACATGACCGACCCCAAAGCCCCCGGCCGTCGACCACCCCAGCAACAGGGATGAGGGAGGGATAATCTGCCAAGAGTTGCAGTACACCCCCTCTCCTCCCCCCTTTCGCGTCCTCCCATCCGTATTGCCATTTACGACAGCTCCCTCTCATTCTCCTCTCTCCTCTCCCCAGGTACCTTCGCATAGCGGCAGGCGGATGCTGGGTGTGGCTCGGAAGAGGCAATTTGGCCGGCCATCACATGCCGGGGCAATACTAGCAATTGGCTATATCCCAGTTTTGCCAGCGGGAAGCCTGGCAATTTGGGGCCCAATTTGATTCATTCGATCATTCAGCACACAGACGCTTCTTGCTGAACCAGCCGCCTAACTTGCGTAGTGTAGGCCAGCTTCTCGCATCGTCTCCTCTCTCTCCGTCTGAAAAAAAGAAAAGGAAAAATACAGGTCAGCAGCGTCCGAGTGACCCAAGCAAACAAAGGACCTCTTGAGACAGGACCTAGCACGACCAGGCCGCCCAGCTTCGTAGCCGTGGTCCCAAACGCTGGAAAGTTTCGCAGGGTGCAATGCTGAGGCAGACGGGGTTTAGAGAACAGCGTACGGCCCAGCAAGGGGTGTGGCCATCATCCGAGCGGCTAGGCCCAATGGAGCCAAAGCCACCTGGATATAATATGCAGGGCCGACCCCGGGAGCCGCCAGGATCTGCCAGGGCTCGGGGCTTCCCAGGCGACTGTCGGCGGAGGGGCGGCGAGCTGGGGCTGGAGATGCGAGACGCGACCCAACCGCACGTGGTATAGACACCCTGGGACGATATGCGAAGGGCGTCTTCAAATATCGGCACAGTCGCCGCGAAGGAAGCTCTTTATTCTCGCCCTTGGATTTGTTTCTAGGTCGAGGGCGACGGCTGATCGAACGATTGTCTGCGCCTACCTAGCAGGATCCGAGGTCATCCGTGAGGGTGGACGTTTGTCTATCCTCTGTTTCCCATGGGGCCATGAGGGAGCGGGATCTCGTACAGGTAGGTAATAAGTGGCAGGTGCTAACAGTAAGCCAAGTAGGTCGCGGCGGGATATGGGATGAGAAGCGAGCTGGTCCCTCCCCCCCCACGTCCAGCAATAGCACGATCAACTGGAGTCGATTCTTTTCTCAGTTGGGAAGGCCGACGACGGGAGCGAGTAGGTAGTAGCAGCGAGGTCCGGTACGGCGATGTGAAGTGAAGTGAACCGCAGCGCAGTGCATACCCGAGCACAACATGCGCAGTGAGAGCCAGCAATCTTGATCACCGCACATTAGCGGCTTGGTAGCTGTCGTTCCCCCTCGGGGAAGATTGGTTATCTGGGCCGGGATTCGCGGTCTGTGGTCAGGCACTAAAGAAAGAATGCTTCGGCGGTGCACGCATGTATGTAGGCACGCCCCGTATGTCGGTAGCCGGCCAACGAGGCTGGTGGTTGGGCGGCGTCATTCCCGCGATGGATAGCATCAGCCGATGATGCTGTGGAGAGGATGGCGGGCCCGTTAGAAGGTTGGGGCATCTAAGGCACCTGTAGTGCTGTTTTTTTAGCCCCCCATCTCCCCCAAAGTTCGCTCTGATAAATAACCGGCGACGTCTATTTGTAGGCACCTAGCTTACTCTGTCAACCCTAACTGCAGGTATGTATGTACCTACATTGGATTACTGACCTTCTCTCCCCTCGCCATTGCCTACTAGCTTATGTACCTACCTGCCTGCCCACTATTGGAAGTTTAGTGCCGTGGAGTAGTACGTGTAGGTACCTAAGATCGCAGCACCTAGGTACTTATACCGTTCCTGTCCCGTACCTTGCGGTGAGGTCAATAGGTAAAGGTACGCATACATCGGGGGGCGGGGCGCACCACGGTTGGGTTGGCTCTATTAGTGTTCATGCGGTGTGCCGCCGACGCAATTCTCGCGTCGCTTCTCGTCGGGCGGCTGCTCGCCCGCTGCCATTGGCTCCGTATTGCTCGGAAAGCCACACGGCCGGGGACGAGCGCTGTGGCTCGTTCGACCCAGCCCCCGCGCGGCCAACCAGAGGCTTTCTCTTCGCCAACGCCCTGCACCTAAGCACAGCAAGGCCCGGCCTCCCGCCCCCCTGGCCGTCGAACCCCATCGTCCGCGTTAAAGGCTGCGATCTCAGTCTCGCCAAACCTGCAAGTCGACAGGTGACCCGTCAGCTCAGCTTCCTGTCCTCCACGTTGTGGCCGTCCCCGACCGCGCGGGCGTCGGGTTCGCTCGCACCAACACCCGTCTAATTATGGGCCGTGGAATTCCCCAGCTCGAACCCTACGCACCCTCTCCAGCGATATAATACCTACCTACGTAGCATCGACTTCTCTTCCACCCCCTCCCGGCATACCACCCAACATGCAAATCATGACGAGCGTCCCGCTTGCCGGGCACGAGAACATCCGCTGCAGAAAGTTCTACGGGTAGACATGGGATACCTATAATTAGTAGGAATGCTAATACCTACATAAGTGTGGCTGTGGGCGGTGCAATAGGTTATCCTTCCTCAATGATCCCCATTACCTGCTATACGTATAAACGGAAAGTGGCAAGAAGATACGCACTTATCTATGTATATGCGAACCCACGGCATCTCTCCTAGATGACGGTAACTATTTTGGTCACCGCTTGTCGTCTACTTACCTATCTGCCTCCTATTACGCGCCGCTACATCGTGCCATACATGCCCACGTCCTCAGCGGCCTCTCCACACCCCTCGCCGGGCTTTTTTTTCTGTTGACGACATCCAAGCCTGGTTGTGGGGTTAGCTGTTCTGGGAATTGATCATGCTAGTGTACGACTAATAAGCGCCTCTCTAATCGACGTTCGTCGCTGTGGCCGTTCATCATCCCGACCCAATGACAGGCCTAGGCCAGTAGTGACATTGGCAGAACCGATACGACAGTATGTAGGTAGGTATTTTTAACTGACATCCATACTACGATCGTGGTTCTCATCATCCCACCTAGTTATGATACCTGAGTGAATTAACGAGTGGATCAGTATGTAAATGCTAGTGTCAAGCCTCCGGCTCTCATACCGAGCTGAGAAACGAATCCCCCGCCGCTTCGTCTACCGCGAATAAGCTTAATGGAATGTCTGCGGAGCTTAACCAGATATGGCACTGCTAAATATGAGCGGCTAGCGAGCCAGCCTATCTAGTCCAGGTCGCGCCACAGGATGACTGAAGCGTGACCGCCAGGCCATGTCGCCGACGGGCCAGGAGAGATCCGTGCTCAGACACCCCGTTACTCAACCAAATACTCCTTCTCCCAGAAAGAGATGGCGCGCTCGGAGCCGCCTCCCAGAAACTCGGCCATCCTCGCCTGCCCGGCTGGTGTCGATACCGTATCTAGCAAATGCCTCAGGTCGGACGTGATGTCGGTCAGGACATGGACCTCATGTTCGGACAAGGGCGGCTTATCAGAGCAGTACGGGAGCAAAGATCGAACCGGATTGGCCATCTCCCGGGAGCCGCTGCTGGTGCTCATCTGACGGCAAAAGGCGCCCAGGCTTGCTGGCACAGCTGAGATCGAGTCGACGGGGATAATGGGCATTTCCAACTCGCCGACGAGCCTTCCCCGGTTAGTCTAATTATACCAGAGCAGCGAACGAAGCGAGCCGGAATCTCTCGCTCACTCTAACTGAAGCTTCATGAGCCCAGACACGGGGCTCTCTTGCTCTGCGGTGCCCGGCTTTAACAGGAACACGATTACGCTGTCCTGTCCCCCGTTGAGGTGACGCAGCCGCTCGATTCGGCTTCGGGATTCGTCTGTGCCGATATCAGCCGGCGATAGTAGGATGGCGCGTAGAATCCTCCGGCGTGACCCAGCGGTGCCCGGCAGAGGGACGGCGACATCGTGAGTGCCGAGGCTGACCTCTGGCTTCCAGCTTAGCTCTAGGGGAAACGTGGGGAGAGGTGTGGCTGGATATTGCGGCTACTACACCTTTCCATCTCGGCCCCGTGCTACCGGCGTTGGCTCGCAGAAGCGCCGGCGCAAGTGAGGCCCAATCGGGACGCTTGCGCAAGCCGCAGCAGATCAGAGGAGCTACCACTGGCGGCTCTCTGCTCGCCGTCGACGAGCCCGCCATGGGGTCGCACGAAAATCGCCGCAGAATTGGGGTCCCGGCAGTGCCTGCTGTACGACGTGGGGTGAAATAGAATCGATAGCCAGGACTGCGAGGCTCGCCGTTACGAAGGCGTTATAAGGGGGGCTGGAACAGCCTCGGTGAGACGAGAGAGTGTTCGAAAAGCGTTGGAAACGAGCGTAGCGGCGTGGGTTGGCTGGACGCGGTTGCGTGCGGAGCAGACGGCAAGAAGACGAAGGCGAGTTTCAGAGCCAGACGGCGTCGAATACAGGTACCCAATCGCTAGCGCAATAGGCGCTTGCATTCTCTTCGACGCAGCTTCCCGGCGGCAAGGCAGTGACGGTTTATTGCCTCAGGCACCCAACCTCAGGTATCCCCCCCTCGAGTTAGGGGATTGTTGAGGGAACCCCCCCCCCCCCCCCCCCCAGTGCGTCTACCGTTTGTCTATCTCGGGGCGCGCGAGGATCGGCTTCGTGGCTTTCACGGCTTCCCCTGGCCGGCGCCCGCCTGTTGGAGAAGGAGATAGCATCGCTACTGACTAACATCCTAGGTGCCTAACAATGGGCTGCTCTCTTCACTCGAAAGGTGTCGGATGCCTAGGGGAGCTGGCCTTCAGGACTAGGACGCGTCTACACGTACGCGCATCTCGACAGAGAATTCTTAACGAACAATACGCCCCGGAGCATAGCCTACATACCTAGGTGCTGCCCGACCGCCTCACGGGCCCGGGAAGGAGTATACAACCATCTATTGTCCCCAAATTGGGACCCAAGACTCTGCAAGGTATCCCAACAGGCTCCCGCCTGCCACACGGCTATGTATGTTGGTGACAGTGTATCTCGCAGGCTAGAATGTTCCTCTCTCGGTCGGCATTTTCTTGCACCTGTAAGGTAAGCCGAGCAGAAGGAGGCGACGAGGCTCACCTTTTTGGGGGGCTATTTTTATTTGATTCGGTGAAGTGCTACCTAGGCTGCTTTTCCCATGTCTAAAATCTACCTATGTGCATATGTACAACGAGTACAACCCGGGAGGGGTTGTCCCCACCTGTATATATCCGTGAACGGCTACCTCTGTCATATCCGGATTTGGTGCATCGCCGAGCTTCTTTGGACTCGAGATCCCCGAAACCTGTCCTTCGTGGGCGCGTCCTTGCTCGTCGTGGTGCGAGGGTACGAGACGGCGTCGCTGGTTACGGGGTCGGTTCCGAAGGTAAGAGGGACTTGTGGGTCTTTGGGTCCTTAACCCTCCTTAAAGCTTCTTCGATCAGCAGCACTCGGCTCTGCTGGCGCTTCTCGGCCTCCTCGAGCTCTTTCTCTCTCTTGTCGAGCTCTTCGAAGCGCGCATTGAGCTCGTTGATCTTCTCGAGGTTGGCATCGGGCTTCTGAGACGACCTGTGGTACTCGTATAGGATCAAGACGGCGGCTACGAGCAGGATGAAAGCGTCGCCAACCACATCTGCGAACAAGTCGACCGCCTTCGCTTCCGGGAGGGGTCTGAATTTCCGCCGCCAAACGCTCCTCGCAGGGGCGCCAACTGCGGAGTGGTCGTGGTGTTTCGCGCCATGCTTAGCCCGCATTTCGTTATCCCTTTCCGTCTGCTCTTTTGTCTTGACCGTGGGCGCTTCGGCCTTCTCCTTGGCCCTGATCTCTGCCTCAACATCCCGGAGGAGTGCTACCGAGAGACGCATGTTCAACTGGTGGATGGACTGGCCATACCTGGCGGCGAGCTTGCGGAAGTGCGGGTGGTCATGGGCCTCCTGCTTGATCCGATTCTAATCGCGTCGTCAGCAGATTGTTAGGCACGCCGCGTCTCGCGCGTAGATGTTGACCGTACAGCACCGTATTTCGAGACGTGCCTAAGGAACAAGGAGGCTAATTTGAACAGTGGTAGTGCCACCATCTTGTCGCTTTGCTTCCCCCGCAGTCGGGCTCCGCTTCGGGGCGATGGAGACGTTGTGGAAGACCGGGATGCGGGACAAGCGGCAGGGATTCCCGTTGGCAAACACACTCGGCCAAAGCTCTAGAATATAGCAGACATGTCTACTGAGCTATACGCGTTCATCTACTCAGTATACGGCTCTGGCAAATGGTCTGCCCCCTATTTTCTGGAGGGGTAGATAGGTAGCGAGCGAATAACTACCTAGGTAAGTAAGGTAGGTAAGGCTTCGGTCGGGCGAGACGCCTGTCTCGCTTTCTGTCTGGGCTGACGTGTATTTTTCCGGCTTGCCAGGGGTTCCTACTACCTAATTCTAGTCGACCCGAGGACTCTAATAAGTGCATATCAGGCGGGGATAGGACAGTACACGTAAGTGTGGATCCCAGGGCACCCCAAAAGGAGCCCTGTGAGATTGGTTTATTCGTAACTGTATTTAAAGCTGTTCAATCGCCGTTTCGGCACCTAGATTTACACCTATTTAATCAAGAAGTTAGGTTTCAACGTTTTGTGGGCCTTAATAAGGTAGCGAAGCCACGAGAGTGAGCCCTTAATAACGCACACAAGGGCATGAATGTGTACTTGCGTTAAGCTGTGCGATTATGAATAGGAAGTAGGTTCCGGTATCTTAGGTACGTGTAGGAACCCGATGTATCCCTATAGTGCAAGGTCGCCCCTTAGGTACATCAGTAGCCGTATCAACACTACACTGTGGCCGTCGATGCTTCAACCGCGGTGCCCCAAGGACCTATCCTCCAGCCATCACGGCGGCTAGTCGTACCCCGAGAAGGGCGGGCGAAGAGACTTAGGCTGGGATACACCGCCCGTAGGGCCATCGGGGAACCGGCCATTGATATTGTCGGCAACATGTTTCGCCCCGTTAGGTAGGTATCTATCTATCTATATAACTTCGCTATAGGTACTCATATACGTACCTAGGTAGGTGTTGATTGACACCAATTGTGACCGGACCTAACCGGGTACCTAGGTACCTATGTGGGTGGTGAGTTATCAGCTTGGTGCGTGCCAAGCCCAGAACGGTTAGTGCTTCTGTCGATGGGGACCTCTGGTCGCTCCTGCCCGTTGCCTCCCCAACCGTCACCGGGGTTTCCCGCTGTAAACAAACGGGGCTATTTTCTGGCGTGGACCCTACCACCACTCCGTCAACCAACATTTTCCACCCGACCAGGCTGTCCTCTCTCTCTATCTATCCACTCGAGTTCTCACCGTCACCGATGGAGCTGTAATTCCGTTTAATGCAAGCACTCTCCCTCCACTCTCTCTCTTCTCGCTTTCTCAAAACACAGAATTGCTGCGCAGTATCGCGCCTGACGAGCTACGTCCCTGCTACAACTCCTCTATCTTTCCCCCTTTTTTGCTTGTTTTCATCTGGCTTCATATGAGGTCCATGTCCTACGAGACATATCTGTGAGTTGCCCTGGCTGTTCTCCTCTCTGGGTGTGCATGTGTCTATATACGTGCCCGTGCTCGCCGCCGGCCTGCTCGTCCCTTACGCCTCTTCCGCCGCCGCCGCCGTCCTAGCGAAGTGCCACCCCGAGAGGTCCAATTGAACCTTGGTCAAGAGTCGTACATGCTGAGATGGGGTGTGGATGAGCTTGGACAGATCCCACCATTTCCCTAGCACGTAGCAGACGCATTTTTTTTTAAATAAAATATTCATCACGGCCGTGGACTTGGAGTGGGCAGCTGTTCATCGGTTGGATTTAGGAAGTTGGCTAATCGGTTACCACTAGGGACGCGAGTATCGTCGATACTACCAGATAGATCCCCTGAGCTACTGCTGTGCGTGTTATAGCTTATCTTAACAGTCGGTCTCCGTACCATCCCCCATGGCGGACCGAATTGCGGCGATGAAGCAGGCCGTTGACTCGGACGCCCTGACCCCGAGGGATGCGAACGCACAACTGCCCCAGCGCGTAGCACACTCTACGAAGGCCAAACCGGCTCCCGCTGCCAAACCAACCCAGAAGGAAAAGGAGGCACCTCCTCAGCCCCCCGCCGCTGTCCACGAGCCTCCGAGCTTTGACCGCAAGGATGGCGCCACGTATCAGGTCGGCAAGATGCTGGGGAAGGGCGGGTTCGCTGTTTGCTACGAGGGGTATCTTAACAAGAAGAAGTACGCCTTGAAGATTGTCAGGAGCAAGATGCCGCCTAAGATGGAACAGAAGGTTGGTTTCGGCGATGAAAGCGCCCCCAGCCGGTCCATGCTGACACGCAACACAGTTCCAAACCGAACTCCAAATCCATTCGAAGATGAAGCAACAAAACATCGTGCAGTTCCTCAGAGCCTTCTCCTTCGAGGGATGCACCTACCTCGTCCTCGAGCTGTGTCCCAATGGCTCGTTGATGGACATGGTGAAGAGAAGGAAGGGATTAACCGAGCCAGAAGTACGGTTTTATTCGGTGCAGATCGCCGGAGCCATCAAATATATGCATGCCAAGGGCATCATCCACCGTGACCTGAAGATGGGCAATATCTTCCTGGACCGGGATATGAACGCCAAGATTGGCGATTTCGGGCTGGCCGCGCTGCTGGTCACGGGCAGAGACATGCAGACGATTCGCCGAACAACCTTGTGCGGTACGCCGAATTACATCGCCCCCGAAATCTTGGAAAAGGGGAAGAAGGGCCACGATCATATGGTGGATATCTGGAGCTTAGGCATTATAATGTGAGGATATTGCCGCATCTCGTTTGGTCGCGGAGAACTAACAGGCGATACTAGGTTTGCCATGCTCACCTCCAAACCCCCGTTCCAATCTTCCACGACGGACGAGATTTATCGTCGTGCTAAAAACCGAGATTACGAATGGCCCAAGCCCGAATCGTCCAAATACATCTCCGAGGAGGCAAAAGAGATCGTTGCCACCATGCTAGAAGAAGCACACCTACGACCGGATCCCGATGCGATCGTTCAACACGACTTCTTTCTCTCGGGATATGTCCCCACGGTAGCAGAGATAACAACAAAGCTGCGCGACTGCCCACCCGATAGTAGCCAGTTCTACGCTGTAGACCAGACGCCGAGGATGCTTGCTCAGAACCTGCGCAATCTGAAGGAGCTGTGCAGGGCCTGCGAGGTCGGGGCGTGGAGCAGCACGCAGATGGTGCATAAAAGCACCTGGAGAGAGGTCGCCCTGGAGGAAAAGGCTGGCTTGACCCCGATCATTCCGCTTGCCGAAGGCATCGTATATAGACCCTACGATGATGTTAGCAGGGAGATGAATCTCGTCCGGGTGCCACCACGACAACCTCCACAGCCGACTTCGAGGATAGAGAATGAGGACACGAAAACGCAAGTTCCGCCGATAGGTTTGTTGCGAGCTCCCCCTCAAAGCTTTGCGGCACAGCAGCGAGCACAAGGCAGACCAATGAGGCCAGCCGCGACAACTCGACCCACTACTCAAGAAGACATATCCGCCGCACCTAGCGCCAGCGGCATTGTGCGCTCCCGTTCGAGGCGAGAACTCCCCCAGAGCTCTACCAATAGCAGCCGTAATGTCTCGCTGAAGACGGATGCGTTATCCTCGGCTGCTTCGAGCCGCCGGATCAAGGCGTCGGAAGCGCCAGCATCCGCGACGACACAAGAGGTTCGGAAGACGGTTCCCCAGAAGGCACAGGATGAGCGAGCTTCCGTGCCTGTTATGGCGGATGCGCCGACCGGCAGCCTGTTTGGGCCTTCCGAACGCAAGATGATGGTGCCGGGGACGGAGCCGGACTCGGTGCTAGACCGACTTCGCCGCCTGCAGAGCGAGCTCGAGCGGGCTCTCAACTCGCGATCGATGGCCATCGAGAGCAAGACACCAGCTCCACCTTCGCCGCACATTGTGGTCAAGTGGGTCGACTACTCGAACAAGTTCGGGCTAGGCTACATCTTGAACGACGGGAGTGTGGGTTGCGTGTTCAAGAGCATCCCGGGCAGCGCCAAGGGAGGCAAGACCGTGACGCTGCCGCCGAGCTGCATCCTAGTCCGGGAAGCGGAGCAACACTGCGCGCGGCGGCAGGACCCCGGATACGCCGACCGCCACCAGATCATCCCGATGGACCAGGCCGTGCAGTTTTACGAGAACGACGGCGAGGCCGGGCTGTCGACCGTGTCGGTGGCCCCGTCGCAGTTCAAGATCTCGGTGGGCCCAGATGGCGCGCCGAGCAAGATCCCGGTGGGGCGCGACATCTTCGACTTTCGCAAGCGCGAGCACCTCATTCTGTGGAAGAAGTTCGCCAACTACATGATGGCGTACGGGCGGGACCAAGACACGACGGACGATACGGGCCGCGTCCAGACACCCGCATCGTCGGCGTCGTCGGCGTCGTCGTCGTCGTCATCGTCATCAAAGCCGCCCGCCATGCCACCGTGCGACGTGGTGACGTTCTACCAGCGTATCGGGGACGTCGGGTGCTGGGTGTTCGCTGACGGGCACCTGCAGTTCAACTTCCCGGATCACACCAAGATCGTGCTGGACGCGACGGGCACGTGGTGCCACTTCTGGCACCTGCCACAGGAGGCGGCGGCGCGGCTGTCGGCGCGGGGTGAGCTGGACGAGGACGCGCTTGACGAACGGGCGGTGCTGTCGTACCCGGTGCAGACGCTACTCAACTTTGCGGGACGGCGGGCAGCAGCGGCTGGGAAGTCGGAGGCGGCCGTGCGGCCGTCGCGGCGGCGGCCCGAGATCAATCCGATGCAGCAGGGGATCCCGGCGGCCAACGACTTCCGACGCAAGGTGGAGTTCGTGCGGGAGGTGGTGGCGGAGTGGGTGGCCAACGGCGGGCTGGGCAACTGTCGGATGGAGCGGGAGCACCGGCGGCGGTGGATGGGCGCGCGCGAGACCGCGCGCAGCGGCCCGAGCAAGCACGTCTGGGTCACGATCGGCGCGCGCTGGGGCGACAAGCGGTTCTCCGCCGTCGTCGACCCCAAGAAGCCCGGGGAGCTCGGCGCCGAGGTGGAGGCGAAGGCGGCTGCGGCTTAGAAGGGCTACTTGAATCGCGGAGAGGGGGGAAGAAGAAAAGGGGGAAGGAATTGGGGAGAGGGTGGAGAATTCACCTCTTCACTCCTTCTCTTCTCATCACTTCTCTCTCTCTCTCCTGTGCCATGAATTACGACCGAAGGGGCGCTGGGGAGCGAGGAAAGTTAAAGGCGGCCAAGGGGAGGGTGGGGGCTTGGTGTAAGGGCGTTTGCGCGCGTGCGCGTGTTCCATGCTCATTCTTGTAATCATCCTTTTTTTTGGGTTGCTGTTGTCTCTGTTCCCGGAGGGAGTCAGCGCAGTGGAAGTGGCCGGGGGGAGGGGCCGGACCAGTCAGCCCGGGTCCCAGCCCCCTCTCCCACTAACATCTCGAAGGGCAGGGCAAATGGCAGGGTCGTATAGCATGGCGTAGCGCGTTCACGGCAGGCAGGCAGGCATCATAATATATACGTTACATACGCACCGCGTCGAGGCCGATCTTCTAGAATGAATGGCGCCGAGGAATTGCATTGGTAGATCGGGCCTGCGCTGCGACGGAGGCAGCGGCGATGGCGCCCCGTGTCCCGTCTTTTCGCGCCGCCGCAGGCTCCGTCTCAACTCGGTGCGCGCCGCCTCGCAGGTTGCAGCAGCCGCACGGATCCGTCCGGCTTTGGCGCGTGCCGGCCGGCGACCGCTCCGATCCGGTCCGGCGGCCGAGCGCATAATACGCGTCTCGGTGCCGGGGCCGCTGGCGCGGGGCGCGGCTGGCGTGCTCGCTTTCCGCGCCCCGCCTCCTATAGCCAGCCAGTTCGTCGCCTACGCCCCTTGACAGCGAGGGGACCCGACTGCCTACCTACTTAGGTGGCTGGGGTCCCCCGTCGACCACCCAGCTCGGCGGGACAAGGCGCGCGGGGCGCTTGTGTGGCGTGGCTCGGGGCTCCGATAAAACCCCGCGGGGGAGTTCCGACTGCCGTACGCGTTAGCAGCGACGGCGCAAGTCCCCCCCCCCCCCTAAGCCTCCCCCGGAATGCGAACTGTTGTACTAGCTGGCGTCAATGGGCTTTTGGTGTTTTTTTCTTTCTTTTCTCCAAGGCGGCCGGGCAGGGCGGGGTAAAGTCAGGTATGTCTACTTTACAGGTAGGTATCCACAAAGTAACATGCTTCTATAAAACTGTCTATAGCTGTCTCGCTCGCTCTGGAAAATAAATCCTAGCTGAGAAGGCCGGCTTGTCGAGATGGCGTTGCTCGTCGGGTTGGGTGCTGTCACACCCGCCTACGTGTGTGTAGTATGTATCTGGGACCGAGACGTAGAGAGAGAGCTACTAGTGACGGGTGAGAGAGTGAGAGAGAGATGCCATTGGTTCTATTTCGCGTCCTATGCGCCAGACCGGGAATCGAGCAACCTAGTTGGTCCCACTATGAAAACAAAGCAACGCTCTCCTTAAAACAACGCTCTGCTTAAATCTACTACACTCGTACCACACGCGCAACCCGTATGGCCGTGTCCACCGTATCTGTGCGTATGGCGTGGATCAATGTGTGTGTATTTATTAATTAATCCCCTTCTTTTTCTCTTCCCATCTCTTCCTGATCTTCCTGACCTGGCCCCACCCCTTGCCTTCTTGATATATACAATGGCAGTGGGTGGGTGGGTGAGAGCCATTCCCCAGGTACAGAGGATTGTTGGTGATGCCGGCGTTGACGGTGGCGACGTGGTTGGGGCGAGGGAACGAAACCCTCTGGCGTCAACAGAAGGAAATGGAAAACACCCGTATGAGTACGCTGCTTGTATGTATGTTGTCGGAAGTTTCCCGCTGACTTCCTTCTCTCTCCCTCCCTCCTCTTATCAATTGCTTTCCAAGCACATCTACTAGATGCTCGGCACTTTCTCCTAACGTCCTCCCCTCGCTGAGACGCATAAACAACTCCCGGTCCAGTCGTCTCCTATTAACAGCCCATCTAAACAAATAGGAGAGGGAAAGGGTGATTATGATGATCATGATGACGAACGCCCCATGTGATAAGAACGAAGGGTATAGGAGAGAGAGACATGTTGGAATATCCATGTGTACGCCGGCTCTAGTCTTCCTCAATACCCCCCCTTCTCTGTTTCGTATAAAATGTGATGGTTCGGGGCTGTGCAGAATAATATGCTTGGGTCACAGTTAACCGTGACCCTAAAAATGAGGTGGGGAGGGGGTGGGGGGATTTCTTTTTCGAGTCTATGGGAAAGAAAGGTTCCAGTTCTTCTCTCCTCCGACAGCATCAATATTTGCTACCTGAGTAATTCCCTGTATTGCCTCGAGCTCGCTGCCTCGATCCGATAGGGGGAGCTTCGTAAGGGACTCGGCAGTGGATACTCTAAAACGACATATCGTTGAGTGAGTAACTCTGAGCCGCGTCCACAATGAGCGTGCCTCGTTGCTGGAAGCCGAGCCTGCCCCTTCCGCATATTTGGGGAGTCTCGTCGCCTAGGACACATATTACATTACGACGCAATCCTTGTCGTCCTTAGCTTGATTCTTCCTCATTTTCGAGTTTCGTGGGGGGGCGACGTCCATAGGAGTGCCCCCGCTTGCGGCGGCTCGGATAGCAGCCAGTCTCTGCTTTGCCCGCTCGTCGCCGGCATCGGCTGCCTTAACGTACCACACATTGGCTTCCAGTATGTCGCGGCGGCAGCCTATTCCCATTTCCGTGAAATAACCCACAGCATACTGAGCCTTTACGAACCCTGTTTCGTCGCGTGCTGATTAGCCAAGACGCGTATTAAAAAAAAAAAAAAGCCATGGCAGGGAACCAGGAGAGGCGTACCAAGGTCCGCAGACCGACGTGCCCACTCATAGGCTTCCTCCTCGTCCTTCTCTAGGATCGGATCGGCTCCCACCATGTACCAAGCACACAATCCCATCATGGCTGCGGCATGACCGCGTTCTGCCGCACCAGTATAGAAATGGACGCTCAAGGCCGGATCTCGCGGGCAGTTTAGCTTGCCGTGCTCATAAGCATCTCCCATGCGAAAGCTCGCCTCGGCATGTCCGAGCTCGGCTGCCTGGGTAAACAGCTCGGCCGCATAGCTCTCGTCCTTGAAGATATCGGCGCCGTAGCCGGTTTCGTACAGCACGCCAAGGTGATACGGGGCGGCATTATACATGGCGTCTGCTGACTCGGTGGCGCGCTTCAGCCATTTCACACCCTCCCTATACCGGTTTTCTCCGAGGTCTCCGGAGAGACAGGCCTTCCCGAGCCTTGTCATGGCGCCGGGATGATTCTTGGATGCCGCCGTTCTGAGAAACTGTACGGCCTTGGCCGGGTCTTTTCTACAACCCCACCCGAATTCGTAGCATAGCCCGGCGCGATAACCAGACTCAGCGTGACCATGCTTCGCAGCCAACACGAAGAGGGGAAAAGCGGCATTGTAGTCCTCCTTGCCCTTGTTGAACAGGCCTGAAGCGAAACCGTCGGCTAGGTAGTACTGCGCAAAGGGATAACCCGCGCTGGCTAGCCTCGTTAATATGCTTTTAGCTTCTCGGATTAACTCAGCTGGAGAAGACTCCGACCCGTCCTGCTGCTGCGGATTTGCCTTCGGACCACCTTTTCTCCGAGACAGCTGGTCCGAATTCAAACCTTGCTCCTGCGCCGTCGAAATCAAGAAGACGGCAAACGAATACTGAATGGAAAAGTCGTTTGTCTTCTTGACGTTTTGCCGGTACATCTCCAGCGTTTTCGCCGCGCTCAACAGGGAGGCATTGGACCCGACGTTATTCCGCAGGTAGGAATTATCGAATGTGATGGGAGCCGGGGCCTGCTGAGGATAGGGAACGTTGAGTAGCTCTGCGTAGGACACCGGTCGGGTCTCGGGAGACTTGCGGGACTGCGCTGAAGAGGTACGCGGAAGACCGGCACCGAAGCCGGGCGAGCGCCCACGCGCCCCCAATTCAGAATACCCCGAGTATGCCGATTGAGGCCGAGGAAGCGAGCTCCTTCTCACGTACGAATTCGGAGTGAGATGGCGGTTTATGGCTGTGCCAGCCTCCCCCAGGTCGGATTTCGACGAGTCTCTGGATGACGAGTCTAGAGGGAGGCTGGAGACTCGCGGGAGGAACGGCTGGTGATGGTATTGTAATTGCGGCACCGAGTGATCCGCGAAGGAATCCTCAGCGGTATCCTCGAGCTTGCTCTCGTACACATCGCCGAATCCCCCGGATACCGAGCTTGCGCTCGTCTCGATGGACGCCTCCGTTGATGCTTGGTTCTGTGTGCTCGCAGTCGTATCTGATTCACGGCTATGCCGGTTCGGGTCATCGCTACGAGAGCTCCCCGTAAGGCTTTGGTCGTCCATCTCTAGGGTGGCCGAATTTCTCATGTGTGCTAGTTCCGGGGCCGTCGGCACGGGAGCAGGGTCCAGGACCTTTTCTTGAGCGGACCTATGAGGGAGATCGCTAGAGAATCTGGGAGACAGCAGCCGACCAGGACCGGGTTGGTCCGGGAACGGGGGCTGTTTAGGCGTCAAAGTCCTGGTCTGGTCGAAGGCATTGTTGCGAGGAGAGTGAGGGTGTAACGCCTGGGGATAATCCCGTTCACGACCGTCGGTATACGCCGACGACGCGGGTATGTGACCGCCCTCTATGCTCGCGTTTGACGGCCGTGCCCAATTGTCGGGGTGGAAATTGACCCTCACGGGGGAGACAGGCGACGCCCGTATTGTGGCCGACTCGGTCGTATCGGAAGTCGGCACGTCGGTCGTGGCAGAGCTGCCCTGGGAGTCGCTGCGATCATGCTGGCCCAGCGGCAGGGTTGGCACCGGTTTCCGGTGGATAGATCGGGGAGGAGATGCGGCCGTTGGCTGAGGCGGAGTCGGAGCGTTCGTGGCCGCAGCCATTGCTCAAGAGAGAGGGGAGAAGCGTGACAGAGAGAGATAGAGGACGACCGCCGACAGCGCAGAGTCAATTCTGAGGCGGGAGGTTCCGAGGAGGGCAGAACGAGCGTATATAGTATATCGGAGGCCACCCGTCTCCTTCCCAGCACTGTGAAGTAAAAGTCCGTCCTATCACGACGGCAACACCATCACAACCCCCCTAGGAGTAGATGCTATGCTAGCTCGACCTTGTCCGACGTATACAACTCTAAAAGGAGGCTCGATGCAGGCAATCGGCGGCCACGGGGGTGATGCCGGCTGTGAGACGAGGAACAGGGCTTCCGAGGTTCAGCAAGGACGGCAACCGAGTAATTGCAACGCCATGTATGGTATGTACGGGTATGTATGTGCGACGGCAGGGTATCTCAGACGACGAAGCCTAACGATGGACAGAAACTCAAGCCAAGAAAACGAGAGAGATGGGGAGAAGAGTGAGACTCGTGATTATGAGGCCTGCGACAGAGGGGAGGTGGTAAGCAGTGCCGGTGATGTCGATGTGGTACTTCCTGGCTGTCCGCAGGAAAAAAGTAACAGTAGACCAGGAAGAGAGGGGGGGGTCCGAGAGAGGGTGGGAGGGATGGAGGCGCTGGGCGACAGCAAGTTTGTCAGAACGGAACGAGTGATCTAAATTTGATGGGACGGTTCGGAAGTGGAGAGTTTACATATGAGTAGGGGGGGACGGGAGTATTAGAGAGAAGGGGGGGGTGGGCACGGCGGGTGCTTTAGCGCGCCTTGTACCTAAGCTAGTACCTACCTAGGTCGTTCTATCTGACTGATTAGGTGCCTACCACGCCTACAGTAGGTACTAATAAGATGCCTAGGCTAGGTGCCGTGAGCAGGAGGTAGGCAGGTAGGTACCTAAGGCATACGAGCGTGCTGTAGTATGGGAGGGCAGAGGCAGCTCTAGGTACCCAGCCTGTGAGGTGGATGGGAGGCTGCCTATAGACTCACCTAAGGGTACCTATAGTACCTACGCACCGAGGGCAGGTACCTGTGTAGGCTTTCGAGGTACTCCTGCTAGTCCCTCAGCTTGCAAAGCTCTCTTCTATACCGTCTGTCTCTCTTCCCGCTGCCGGAACGGATTTCCCACCGTGAGCGTAGCCATGCTAGCCGCGAATTCGCAACAATAACGGGGAATTGCCTCACTCGACGCTCGACGAACACCCTACTAGCACACCCCGGCCACCCGCATGCATGTAACCTGCGCAGCCTTCCCCCTTGGGATCGACAGTAGGAAGAATACCAGGGAGGCACCTATGCATCTATTCCTCCACCGTCGATTCGTAATTACCGCTACATCTACCTGTATCGCGAACATCGGTACCTAGGAGCTATACAAATAGGTAGGTGTGTTAGGTACGTAACCACTTCCAATTAGTCTGTACAATTCAAGCGCCCTGCGTGCCAGGTAGAATTCCGGGTGTGCCTTAGCTGTATCGTAGTACGCCTTGTGCCCTACAACGGATTTCTAGCGTCTCCCTTAGGCGCCCCTGGGCACCGGACGGCAGGGTCCTCGACGTCAACCCCAGCCTGCCAGCGAACTTACCTAACCTAATAGGTGCACACTCGCTCGATAAGGTTAGATGTGTAATGTGTGAATGGAAATGGGATATTTGTTTCATGAGGTAAGCATCTCCAACGACAATTGACATATCTATGTGTGAGGTACCCATCCTATGAGCATGTTAGGCAAAGGCAAAGGGGGGGAAGATGATGGATGTCAATCCAGTATTTTGGATCCCTAGCCCAGGGTACATGGCCTAATAAGTCGCGGTACGAGGTTGTCTGGCATTACTTGCATGGACCCCTGCTTAGGACCCTCCCATCCTCAACTACCTGCCATAGATAATGACGAGTGCCAGGCCTCGCCAGTGTCCACAAGGCCATGACAGACAAACGGAGAAAGTAAGAAAGAAAAAAAAAGCCCTCTCGTAATGCCGCTTCGGCTGACAACACGTGAGAACAATACGAAGCACAAGGGGAGCATAAAGGGAGAGCAACGGAGACAAGTCGACCCGAGGCGGCCCCCCTCTCGATGAGTGAGCCCTGCATGCAGCCTACTGCGGATGGTTTTCTGCGTGACTATATAGACTAGCTTCATCTCCAGGCCGGGACTTGCCTGCCTGCCTATTATTAGCTTGGATATCCTTCGTCTTCGTGTTTCCAGAGCACGATGGCGGCAACACCATTATCGCCGCTCATAGGGCCAGCAGGCTGCCGTCAGCAGGCGTCGCTGGGAGCATGGCCTATAGTAAAGCTAGCGGGATGAACGGCGTTGACCAAGTTTCCAGCTAGCGAGCTCCTGAGACTGCGAGCGCTGGGAGCGCTGGTAAGCCTACTCAGCCTAATTCGATAGTGCTTCAGGACCGCACCAGAACAACAGCCGGTCCCGGGCTGCCAACCTCAAATCGCATGGTGTCGTCTTTCTTCGACGCTTGGCAAGGTCAAACCCTCATCGAGCCTTCTTGTTTCATTTCCTTTTTCAGCTTTGGGGGACGCCACTAAGAGGAAATCCGCCCAAATGACGGCCGTGACGGCAGGGAAGCCTTCCAGCTCTTCCGCCGGGGCTTTCGGCGACACAATCCAGCCGGTGATCAATGCCCCCCCTCTCCCTGTCTACGGCGGTGGCTCGTTTTGCGAAACAAGTTGATGGCTGGGTGAAGCTGCAGCCCACGTGTGGCACCGGTTGGTGGGTTGCATAAGCCGACGCCCGCATTGGATGGGGGAGCATTACGCGGCACGGTCGGTAAAGATCCATCACGTGAAACTCATCACTTTCCTCTTTCGCTCCCCGCGTCGGCGCGCCTCTCCTGTCGGTCGCCGGTCCTGCTGACAGAGTGTCGATGGGGCGGGTATGTATAGTGCATACGGGTACGTAGGTAGGTAGCAGTAGGCGCATACATCCATATGCGGCCTGTCTTCCTGATCTGCGGCTCTTGCTCGGATAGATTGCCTTCCCGGTACGAGATGCATTATGACTGGCGAAGACGGCGACCGCGCGTTTAACTCCTTTTTATTTTCCCATCTTTTTTTCCTTGCCTCTCCCTTCTCTTCTTGGTCCTGGATCAGGGCGATCCTCTCTCACCGCCCGGGTGGATCCAGATCGCCGTGTTTCATCTCCATCGAAAAGTCGCGATCACGTAAATGGCGAGATGAGGCGGGGCTGGAAGTCTGGGGAGTGGAATTGGACGGACGGACGCTGGAACGAACCCAACGTCGGTTCTCAATCCCACCACGACCGCATATAACATATATGTTTGAGTGGAGGTTTATATATATATATATATATATAGATAGATAGAGATAAGGATGCAATCGACACGACACAGACTTGATGTGCCCGTATCCTCTCCGCCTAGCAGACGCACCGACGCAGACCCAGCCGGACTGTGCTATGATACAAATGTGAGCAGTGCTGGCTCGTTCGTTCGGTACCTGTTACTGAAGGTATTCTCGTATTCGAAACTAGACTAGTGAGGTTGAGTTGAGAGAACGTTATAGCTGGGATAAGAGGTCTATAGGCATATATTATTGGTGTGCAACGGTAGACTCGAGAACATACGACTTAACTTGATGCGCCTCTCGTGCTTGCTTCCACAGGCCGAGGCCAAAATGATCGCTATATACCTTTATTTAGACGTGCCTATGCGTACAGAGTACCTACCTTAGGAGGTTAGGTAGTTACCTCTGCTTAGTGTATTGCAAATTTGCAATTCGGTATTTGTATTCAATCACAGGCAGAGGTACTTACACGCCCCACCAAGATTTATAGACGTAGAGGTATCTACTTAAGGTACCTAGTGTAGCGCATCTTCACTAAAGGGCGCCTATAAATGCAGTGGTTTCGATCGCGATTATTTATTCATTGATGGCAGTGTACGTGTTATATTTGGACTTCATCGTGTTTTGTATTTTTACCCATCTCCATCTACGTATAGAGTATGTACTACGTAGTAGACGCATACTCATACACACGTTGGATCTCTCTGTCAAGGTTACATGCGCCTATGTCGAATTCGAACTCGTATTTTGACCCCATTTAACGGGCCACTCAGGCGCCATCCTCGAGTCCTCTCTGTAACCATGCACAACATGGTGGTGGGCGCGCTGGCCGGGTGAACGGCCAACACGAGACAGCCTCTAGGCGCCAGCGTATTGCCATAGGTACGTGCCGGCTATGTAGCTGTGGATGCGAGCGAGGCGGTATGGGTACTTTGGTCGCAAGTATACTACACGTATAGGAATGAATGTCTTGGGTGATGTAAGCTAGCCCTGGATGTGTGCTATGACAGTAACTCTTTCCTGTCTCGCACTGTCCCAAGCACGCCTCGCCCACCCTTTCTCCGAATCCTCATGGTGGCCACAACCTCCAGATTTGCTCCTTGCTCGCTGCCATCCTCCCCCCCCCTTTCAGCTACCGAATAACCGCATACTCAGCTACGACCGTCTCGATTTGCTTCTTGTCCATCTGGAGCTGGCAGGAAGAGATGCCTCCCTCCCTGGGCCCCTCCCTAGGTCCCTCCCCAGGCTGGGACTTGGGTTCCTGGGTCACTCTCGTTTTGTTCCCTGTAACTGCCCGCCCGTCTGGTCAATCTATATTATTTTCTCTTAATCCGCGACGACAATTGCTTTTTGTCACGCATTGATCGCTTTCCGAAGCTCTGACACCCTGGCTGGATTGGGAGGGGTCTCGATTACTTAAAGGCCCCCTCCTCCGTGTGGCGCTGGTTACCCATTGAGACCGGACCATCCCTCGGGCGTCTCCCGAACCTGGGTGTACAAACGTATGACATACCAGTACATCGGTAGGTACCTCCGCTCATACCATTAGGTGCCTGGCGATGCGGTATCGAACACACGATTTCTATGTACATGTAATGTACATATGTATTGTATGTGTGTATCTACGTACATCTATACAGACGCCTGCCCGTCCAACCCAAGAAAGGCACCCGGCGCGCACCATCGACAACGGCGACAGTGACAGCGGACGGTGTTTATGTTGTGGATGCGAAGCTGACTGGGCAATAAATATCCCATACATGCGAGCACACACACACACGCGCATATACACACATCTCTAATTGTAAATGCGACAGTTTGCGATGGGAGGGCAGTCTCTTCATACTTTTACCTCCCCGTTCGCTTCGTCCCGTCTCGCCCTACCTGATCCGTCCCCCCCCCCTCTCTTCTCTCCCCTTTTGGGTGCTTTCGCTAGTTTAATTTGCATATTTTGTACCGCGTTTAGGCACCTCCCTAGCCTGACGTGCTCTAACCCCAACCTCGCTGGTGGTATCGCCGACGGGCCTCTCAGCGCCCTCCAAGATAGGTACCGAAGGCTAGGCACGGCTAGGTGCCTCTCCTGCCATCATTCCAACTATAATTACCATTGCTGGATCTGCAACTAGAGAGAGAGCCCTGGGCTTGTCTCCTGCAGGTATTTCCAAGGCCTGTCTGAGCAGGGGTGTTCCTCCTTTCCTCTCCCTGCTGCTCGCCGACCTGGCCAGCTTCCAAGTCTCCATTTGTCCACCACCACCCACCACCACCTCACCACCGCTACCACCACAACAACAAACTAGTGAGTCCACCCGCTCATCTCATGCACCGCGCCTTGTTGCTGCTCCGACCTCCCATGGGAAATCCGTCATTTGTGGTTCCCGTTTTCGAGCACCAGCCTCTCTCTTCCTTCCTCGCGCCATGCCTCGCATCTAATTCTTGCATGCCTTTTATGCCTTTTCCTACCAGGCCCAGCTGCCAGTGATCTCCGTCTCCGCGATCCATCCCCCTTGCTCGGACCAACTCCGTCAAGGCGAAGGGTAATACATACCATACCTACATACGTACATACATACTTGCGATCTGCTAGGCATTCGTTTACGTCCATCAGCGCCATTTTCACCCATACACGCATCCGCGCCTATACTTGACCCCGCGGATCCCGCCGTATATACAATACAGTCGCTCTGCACCTGTTCTAGTGTCCTCACTGATTCGGCCGCTCACCTGCAACCATGTCGCTCCCCGAGCGGCCGGGCATGGTGAGTCCCCAGTATGACCGCCGGACTGCTTACCGGCAGTCTTCTTCGACGTCGAGACGCCACCGTCCGAGCGACATCGAGACCGGTGGTTTTTATCCAGCCTCTGGAGGGGGGATGTCCTCACATCAACGTGCGCCGTCTGGAAATTCTTTCGCTGAGACGATCCGCAATCCTAATGGAACCACAGAGAAATCGCCTCTTTCCCCCACCGGCCTGGAAGAACCCTCCGCGGGCATGCCCTCGCGCAAGAGAAGCCTCATACGGCCTGAGAGAAACAGAATCGATAAGGACCACCCAAACTATCACTACCGAAAGCATGCCGCGAATATGGATACCCTCCCGTCCTCTACCGGCAACGACCCGATTTTTGAAGATATTGAGGGGAGGACTGACCTGTCTGCGGACCGGACCGTTGATGGCGCTTCCGACACCTCGCCCCCTCGAAGGCAAGGCAGCGGGGATAGCGAGAAAAACAAATCCAAGTCTGCCAAACGCAGGCGGCGTTCGTCGGGTGCCAAATTATCGAAATCGACCAGGGAAGCTAAGCGCCGAGCGCCGAAGGAGACGATTAGTCCTCCGAGCATCTGGAACGTGTACTGCGCCATCATCACGTTCTGGTGTCCCGATTTCATCCTGAGCTGCTGTGGCTTTCGTGCGAAGGAGCAGAGGAGAGCCTGGAGGGAAAAGATGGGTCTCATCAGCATCATCCTCTACATCATGGCCTTCGTCGGGTTCTTGACCTTCGGCTTCCAGCAGACTGTCTGCGCCGCCGCCGGCGTCCGTCTCCATGCAAACGAGGTGTCCAACGGTTACATGATTTTTCACGGAATTGCTTACGATCTGACTAGATCCGGCCACCCCCCGGCTGATGGTATCCCGCTCCACGAGGACGGGTCGTTTTCCAACGTTTTATACGACTTGCCTACCAAATACGGCGGCATGGATGGCAGCTTTCTTTTCCAAAATGTCAATGGCAGATGCAAAGGGATTATCACGCTTGCGGACGGGTCGCCCGTCCCTCACGACGAAAGCGATCGAGATGAGCTTGCCTGGTATTTCCCCTGTACAGCGTTCAACCACGACGGCTCGTCGACGCCGAACTTTACGAGCCCGTTCTACACTGGTTACGCATGTCATACTTCCCAAGTCGCCCGAGACACGTTCTATCTCAGGCTCCGCGGCACTGGCGACGTATTTTACACTTGGGACGACATTAAGAACAGCTCGCGCAATCTGGTCGTATATTCTGGGACTGTTCTTGATCTAGACTTGCTGAACTGGTTCAACGAAGACGAGGTTAACATTCCGGATCGTTTCAAGGAGCTGAGAAACAAGAACTCTGCCGTTAACCGGGCCATCCATGGCCGCGATATCACTCGGGCTTTCCAGAAGCCTGCGGATAAGCGGATCGCAGAATGCCTCGAGGAAACCATCAAAGTCGGAACTGTGGATACGGACACCGTCGGATGTATCGCGTCTCAAGTGGTACTTTACGTGTCTCTGATATTGATTCTCTCGGTCGTGCTAGTCAGGTTCGGTCTGGCTCTGATATTCCAATGGTTCATCAGCCGCAAATACGCAGCTATCAAGACGTCGCAAACGGCAGACAAAAAGAAGCGAAACCAGCAGATCGAGGACTGGAGCGAGGATATCTACCGAGCTCCCCCGCGAATGTTCGGCGATGTTAACAGCAGCGTCGGGAGTTCTGATCGCACTAGCAAGCGTACTAGCACTTTCCTGCCCACAACGTCTCGCTTCTCGGCAGTCTATGGCGCTGATAGAAATGTCCGACGGCCACAGCCAACGACCATGGCCAGCCAGGCATCCACAGGACCTCTTCTCCACCCCAACTCGATATACAAACAGGGCAATGACAGCAGGTCGAGCATGCTCCGTTCCGATCCGTATGGAAGCTCGGCTAGCCCGACTGACGGATACGGCCCCTCTGGGTTCATTCACGAAGCCGTGGTCCCTCAGCCCCCTTCCGACTATCAACCATTCGGGTTCCCCTTGATTCATTCCATATGCCTCGTCACAGCCTATTCAGAGGGAGAGATGGGTCTCCGAACCACGCTCGATTCCATCGCCATGACTGATTATCCCAACAGCCACAAGGTCATCCTCGTCATCTGTGACGGTATCATCAAGGGCAAGGGCGAAGCCATGGCGACTCCCGACATCGTGCTAGGCATGATGAAAGATCATACTCTATCTCCGGAGGACGTTCAGGGTTTCTCGTATGTCGCCGTGGCCAGCGGTTCGAAGCGGCACAACATGGCTAAGGTGTATGCTGGATTCTACGACTATGGTGCTAAGTCCCCTATCCCGATAGACAAGCAGCAGAGGGTCCCTATGATGCTAGTGGTCAAGTGTGGCACGCCGGACGAGGCTGCCAAGGCTAAGCCGGGCAACCGAGGCAAGCGTGACAGTCAGATTATCCTGATGTCCTTCCTCCAGAAGGTCATGTTCGATGAGCGCATGACGGAGCTCGAATTCGAGATGTTCAACGGCCTCTGGAAGGTAACCGGTATATCTCCCGACTACTACGAAGCTGTTCTCATGGTCGACGCCGATACCAAGGTCTTCCCAGACAGCTTGACGCACATGCTGTGCGCTATGGTTCGCGACCCTGACATCATGGGACTTTGCGGCGAGACGAAGATCGCCAATAAGAGGCAGAGTTGGGTCTCGGCCATCCAGGTTTTCGAGTACTTCATCTCGCATCATCTGTCCAAGTCTTTCGAGTCGGTCTTCGGAGGCGTAACCTGCCTCCCCGGCTGTTTCTGCATGTACCGGATCAAGGCTCCCAAGGGCGCACAAAACTACTGGGTTCCCATCCTAGCCAACCCAGACGTTGTTGAGCACTACTCGGAGAATGTCGTCGACACGCTGCACAAGAAGAACCTCTTGCTCCTCGGCGAGGATCGATATCTGACTACGCTTATGCTCCGAACCTTCCCCAAGCGAAAGCAGGTCTTCGTCCCCCAGGCGGTTTGCAAGACCACGGTCCCCGACGAGTTTATGGTCCTACTTTCTCAGAGACGACGGTGGATTAATTCCACAATCCACAACCTGATGGAGCTTGTTTTGGTCAAGGATCTCTGCGGTACCTTTTGTTTCAGCATGCAGTTTGTTGTCTTTATCGAGCTGATCGGAACTCTGGTGCTTCCTGCGGCCATCGCGTTCACCTTCTATGTTGGTATGTTCATCTAACCCCCCGCCGAATTTCTTACGCCTACGCTAACACGAGTCGCAGTCATATCTTCCATCGTGGGCCCGGAACCACAAATTATTCCGCTTATCCTGTTGGCTCTGATCCTGGGTCTGCCGGCTGTCCTAATCATTGTCACGGCTCACTCATGGTCCTACGTCGTGTGGATGTTGATCTATCTCCTGTCGCTCCCGGTCTGGAATTTCGTCCTCCCAACCTACGCGTTTTGGAAGTTTGACGATTTCTCCTGGGGTGACACTCGGAAGACGGCGGGCGAGAAGACGAAGAAGGCCGGTATCGAATACGAGGGCGAATTCGACAGCAGCAAGATCACCATGAAGCGCTGGGCGGAGTTCGAGCGAGAGCGCCGGATCAAGGACAGCTACTGGGCATCGAAGGAGAGTGTCGCTGGGAGCAATTGGCCCGGTACTGGCCCGAACAGCGCACCGTATCATCCCTACGATGATCAGTATTATTCCGATGCATAGGACGGATGGAGGACAAGATGAGTGCTGGAAAGGGAGCGGAAAAGTGCTCCGGAGCGAGAGAGGATGGGGGCCGGAAGAATAATAGACAGGAGGGAAAGCGGGGTGACGAGCTCACTCACTTACACTATGAGGAATCGACGCTGTTGACAAGTTATGGGTCGGTGGATGGCGGCTATCATCGTCATCGCCGGTCGTCGCCGGCAGCTTTGTTTTCCGACACAGCTCGACTAATTCAGTTCGGGACCGCCAGCCACGTGTGTCTGGCGAGGGGCGCGAGAAACCTACCTGATCACGCCTTAATCTTGCCCGTCCCCTACCTCAAGGGAGTATTTGGCGTTTACCCAATGGTTTGCAAACGACAGACAAATCTGTACATACAAATCCATAGCTCTCTCCCAGACACGCCGTCTCGCAGAGAAAGGGGGTTTGTCGGTCCCGTTCGCGACCTGAAAATTAATTAACTCGGCGAAATTAGCTACATGTTTACACTGCTACGTATCTCGGTCTACATGCACAGATTTATATACTAGGTGTGAGATGGCGTCTCATGTGACGACGACAACGGTTCGCCCGTCCCCTACCCTACCTCACTGCCCCCTCCCCGGCCCGGCCCTACCCTGCTTCTCGCTTCTTCGTCTAGACTCTCTTCTTTATCGTCTTCGATCCTGCTGTTCTGGCCGTGTGACTTATGTACGTGCAGCACAGCGGTGGCGGCGGCCTCGGCCTATCCCCTTTTTCTCTCCTCTGCAGATTACACCACAGTGCGCCAGCCGCTTCCCCCTCCCCTCCCCTTTTTTTAGAATTATTTATTTCCCTTCTCATGCACACGGACATATGTGTGTATGTGTGTGTGCGCATGTGCACGTAAACACGGTGAGACGTTTTGGCACTGTCTACGTGCGTGCGTGTGCTACCGGCGTGCAGAAGAGAAATACCTGGGACGAGTCTGGGCACGTAATGCGATAATGTGTGGTATGCACGCATGTACGTATGAGGCATGTACGTCGGAGGGAGCAACAAGGTTGGTGAGCGAGGATGTGCGCGCACGCAGCAGCAGCAGCAGTCAGCGTAACGCGCGTTGGTTCGCACCGCTTCCGCGCCAACGCAATCCAACAACGACGACAGCAGCCCGCGGACGGCCCGGACTCGACCCCCCTCGATCTCGCAGGTCTCAGCCGTGGGCGGCTAGGGGGCCAGGGGATCGGCAGCGGGTGGCCGAGCGCCATTGCAGGTATTACCTATGGCGAGGGCGGGCGGGAGGAGTATGCAGGCGTGTTCATGAGTAGATCGTCCTGGACTCGGAGCCGAGGTTCTGCGGTGTTTCTACTCCGCGCAGCTCTATATTTATAAACAACCGCGGATTGGTGGCTACTTGTCTTCCTCAACTTCGTTTATCAGAATACTCGCCCGCGCCTCCGACTACCTATAGAGGGCGGGGACAGAAACATTGCCGTTGATCCTTCAAAAAGCAAAAAGACCGAAAAAGAAACAAGTGAGCCGCCAATCCATCACATTTTCTCCGTGCTGATAATTATCTAACGCCCAGAGAAATATGACACATGTGCACACACACACACACACACACACACACACACACATATATATATATAATATATATATATGTATATTATTATATACTTACTATGTGTCTACGCCTGATGTTCCCAGGGTGCTCCGGTGTGAAAGGCAGGGAACCCCAAAATGGCATCTGCTCTCGCAGGTATTCCCTCGGGTTGTCGGCACAATAGTACTGTCCTTCCAAGCCCCCGGGATCTTTCCCGACTCCGAAACAGATCCCGAGCAAGCCTCGTAATCAGCCATGTCCTAGGGTCGCAGGTTGGGCCCTGCCGTGCGACGGGGAGAAATGCTTGTCGCGATATGCCGATTAGCTGGGCAGAGAGCCACCCACCCTACCAGCCAACGAACACATCACAGGGCGTATTCCGGCGAGGGTTCTGTCCACGTCCCAACCTCGACACCAACGCCAGCCCGCAATGCAATTGAGCGCTCGCGCATGCGCGATGGGTTGGCTTTATCAGGAAAACAGACTCCGTACGCCGCATTACGGAGCAATGCATCATCGACCGGGAAGGTAGGCACTGCGCTCCTCCCGTGAAGCGAAATCATGACCTGTCATCCGCGTAAGAATGGAGACGCCGGTTCCGCGGGAGCGACATACTGCGTATTCGTCAGATTTCGAGGCCGTCATCATGAGCGATGGTTAGTTGATCTGACGCCTCGAGAAGCTGTCATATGAGCACTACACGTCTCGTCATAATTGGGGAGAAGGCGGCCGGGACCCGACAAGCCAAGCTGGCCCGAGACTCGATACTCGAACAGGGGGCCAGCGTCGATTCTACCGAGACCAAAATAACCAACCAATGCTGCTGCACTACATACAGCTGCGGCCACCCGCTTCAAGTATGACGAAGACGCGGTAGTGGGACGAGAAGAAGAAGAAGGAGAAGAGCGCCGTCTAGTAAGCAGACGAGTCCCGTGATCCCGGTTTCCGCAGCCGCCGCAGTAGTTCAGCGGCATCGATGGCCAGAGTGTTTCCGACTCTCTCGATCGAGCGGTCTAAACAGACGTTTAGGCAAGAGTACAGATGCTGCTAAGTGCCCTGCGCCTCGCGACAGTCTTGTTGACAGGTTGTATGATCACCGCACATCAGTAGCAGTCCACAAGCTCGCTCTTCTCGGAGAGCCGACTGGTCGAAAACTACTGTAGACATGCTGTTGGTTGCACACGCTGGAACCGCGGGTGCGGGGCCTGCCGGGCCGTGACCCTCGAGGTGGTTTTTTTTTTCTCTTCTTTTCTTTTGTCGCCTCCCCCCAGCGCCGCACCCCTGGTAACCCTCAGGTTGCTCAAGAAGATTCCTTGCCGGTCTTCCTTCGGCCCTCCCGTCTCGGGTCGAGGAGCGTAGTAGCCGAGTGTAGCGGTGAGGTCTCCGAGAAGGGAAGAGGGAAGATAAAAAAAAAAATGTGGGATACAGCGGGACCCTGTATACAGATATATTCTGGTGTGCTTGGTGCGCTGGTGTGCGCACGTCGGCGAGGGGAATTCTCGATGCGGTGCCAAAGTGCGCAGCGTTCTGGCCCATCAATCAGGACGAGGCCTGTCTCACATGGTAAGACACCTGACTGACTCTTTCACGACCGCAACAGGACTGATTTGTCACGGACAAGCCGCGGTTAGGAGAGACATGGGTATAATGGGAAGAAGAAGACTGGTCTTGTACTCGGCAAATGATTTACGGGATGGCTCGTCAGGATCAGAAAGTGACACATCACAGTCGAAATTTGAGAGGGCAGACAGCCAAGATTGCCCACCCCGCCAACTCCGGTCTGCATTGACAGGCAGGACAACCCATCTCGGTCTGACGGGGAGGGAAAGGGAAGTGTGATAGATGCGTGTATGTAGGTATGCAAGTGTGTGTGTGTGCCAGCGTGGGAGTGCGTCTTCCGAGTCAGCGGTGTTCGTACGCTGCTATCGTCATGACTATCACGTATATCGTCGGGGCAGGGGGGGGGGAAGGGGGGAATTTGGAGAGCGTCGGAATTCCTAAAGAGGTGGGACACTTACATTCAGAGGTAAGGCCTGTGGAGAGACGGGGGAATTGTGTTGGTGAGGGTGTGCACGAAGAGGATGCAGTGCAGTACACAGGTACATGCATATGTACCTGCTTTGGAGGTGGCGAGGAGAGGGAGAGAGAGCCTGGAGTTCGCTACCACAAATCCCGCCGCGCTACCAAATGGGGCCTTTCCCTATTGGGCACCAGAAAGTACCAAGCAGTTCATATAAATTTGGACCCAACATGCGAGGAGATACGGTAGAATTGTATACCTACCCACCTAGGTACCTACCAGCCTAACCTGCCTGCCTCCTGTACTTGTGCGTATAATAATACCCTCCAAACTGAGCCTCGATCTCTATAGATCCCCGAGTCTCACGCATGCCCCGAAGCCTCTGAGGAGGCAAGCGATGTATACACCTAATGTTGCTGCTATATAAGAGCTACGTATGTCTCCTTCTATACAGGTACGTAGGTAAGCCTAGGAGGAGGTACCTTAGGTGGTATTGGCGCATCAGCACCAAAAAATGGCGCGTCAGAGGGCACAGCTTCCACCATCCAACCCTGGCTTGAGAGGTAGGTACCTAACTCACCTCCTAGGGCGGACCAATACTTGATTGTGGCGCAGCGAGGGCGGTCCTTGCCTGCAGGCGGGCGTTGACGATTGGCCCGTTCACTTACGTACCTTAGGTCCAGGTAGCTAGCTTCTGGATGTACAGATATAGGTACCTAAGGTAGGTTACGTCGCAGTGTATGTACCTACCTTAGGTTGGCACTCAGGAGGCAGGTACGTAGGTACGTAGGTATATAAATAATACATGCACAGAACATCCATCACACCGAGCACACATGCATACGCACACACAGATAGGTACACCTCCAATGTACGATGTATGTATGTATGTATGTAGGGTTCTGTTATCGTACTCAGACACCACCTACCTAGGTGCCTTGGAGCATAGGAGAGAGGCGGCTTCGTCGGGCTACGGATAACTCGAGCCTGGCTTTACGATCAGCTCTGTACAGCATTGCTGAGTTGACAGTGCCAAATTGATAGTGGCTACGTGTGTGCAGCCAGGCACCTTGTTGGGATGGGGTAAATTATGTGATTTCCGATGTGATGTACGTATGAGCCGTATGAACGAATGTACGTCGGCGGACGAGGCGAGGTGGTATTAGCGGGTTGTGTTGGTACCATTTCCCGCTTTCCGTCTCTCGCCTCTTCCTCCCTGTCTCCGTCCCTGTCCCGCTCAAGTCTTAAACCACCCCCCTCTCTCTCCCCTCTCTTCCCCCCCCCCCCCTCCACCCCCCGTTTCGCTCCACCCCCATTCAATCATCATCGTCAGCCCGCCCCAATTCTTATCTCACCTTACCTCCCTTTACCCTTGTCTATATCGATCGATACTTGTCTGTGCTTTGCAACCTCCCCTATTATTACGGTAACATCTTCAACCGCTATTCCTCTTCATCCGCTGACATCCAACGCCATTCTCACTCCCGTCGTCATTGTCACCGTCGCCGACCGCCAGACAGACAGATAGACGAGACCAGTTTCGCGAAGATACGTATCTCTTGCAGGGAGCCGGGATATCCTACCACGTCCCTGTCGAATCATCATCACTTACTACTGCCTGCCTCTGGCGTCCCTCCTCTGCCGCATCGCAACCCACGCCACACACACACTACCCTTGGCCAGCCGGTCACGATAGGACGCAAACCAGCGATCTGCTGTCTCTCGGTATATCTTGGCGCTTCTTTGACGACCGGCCAACCACGAACCCGTCCCCCTCCTCCAACCGTGTGTGAATATATATATATATATACCTGTATACATACACGCATATTGCATACATACCTATCCTATAAACACATATAAACACATATACACACATCTGCCTCGCCACCACCCGTTCCTTCTAGTATCTTGAGCGTCATCCCAGGAACCACAGGGCCAATAGGAATGGGCCGCATCGCCAGAGAGAAAAGGCGCTGAATATCAGGTAGTGAATCCCCAACCTAGACAATCTTTAGGCTCTCTTGTCTCTGTCTCCGTCTGCCTGCCCGTCTCGCTCCCGCTCACCCACCCCCCGCCCCCCTCGCCCCCTCTCCGTGTGCGTCTTTCTTCCTCCTTCTCTCTAAAAAGAAAAGGGACCCAAAAGGAGGTAGATGGGGGAAGAGAAGAGGGAGAGCAGGTGACTTGCCAGCTTCCTCCAACAACCCTTTAATGATGCGCCCTACCAATTCCCCACCCACCTCTTCTTCACCCTTTCTCACTCCAGACCGTCCTCAACAACCTGCCTCTCCCCCGTCTCACCCTGCCGAATCCTCCACTTCTGACCTCGACAGTCTTTTGAACGATCACCAGTGGCCGCTGCAACCTCCTCTGCTCCATACCGCGCATGTCGACACTCACCACGAGAACCAACCTCCGCACCGGGATGACGACCGGCATCATCGTGCTGATCAACCCGACGACGACGAAGAAGAAGACGAAGACAGCGACGAAGACGACGGAGACGACGGCGTGTTAGGTTTTGATGACTTTGACCTGGAAGAAGACGGTGTTTTCCTGAATAGCGGTAATTCTAATACGATGGACACCCAACACGGCCACCTCTCCCTCCCTACCCTTGAGGCCCTGTTTGCCACGGCATCGGAACATCCTCCCCTTCAAACTTCGGTTCTGTCCTCGTCTCTTGCCACCGCCGAACATGCTCCGCTCGAACCGCAAGCCAACCCGGCAGCTGCTCAAGTCCCAGAACCCCAACCCTTCCCAGATATGCAGGATACCGATGACGAACTTGATCTCGCGACCACTGGTCTCCATCCCATGGCTCTGAGCAATGCTAATCCCATGTCGCTCGGACCCGAAAACCCACACGTCATGCAATTCATCCAGCTCTGGGAATGGCAAAGCCATACAGATCACCAGCTCCGGGCGAGCGGCCCCGTCCCGCATCTTCAAGGAATTCGTCGCTTTGCGAAGGGCGGCCCACGACGGGTTAATTACAGGCAGCTGAGAGGCGACTATTTCGACTTTCAGGGCATCAATTGGAGGGACCTCGGAGTCACGAGGGGCGCCGCTCGGTTTCGCCGTATGGCATCCTTCCATAACTACGTCAACCGGCCAAATTCCGACTCGTGGCGGAGTCCAATGTGCGATAGGATGCTACCCCCGGAGGAAAACTATTTCCGATTTCAGAGTATGGATATCCGAAAAGACGTGCGGCTGCTACATTTCCAACTACGGAACATACTTGGCGTCGCATCACGCACGAGAGTATTCTACCCTAGCTTCAACTCGATCAAGGAACTTGACCCGACCAAGGAGCCCAACGAGGCAAGAGACGGCAACCCTCCAAGAGAGCGCAATGAAGGGAAGATAGCGATGCAGTTCGACAGCCAGACCGCCGCCCACACGTCGACCCTGAGCGCCACCGAGAACATACTGATAGCCGGTGGGTTCTACGGAACGTATCGATACCGCCACCTCGACTCCGCCGGCGGGCAGGATTTTCACGAGGGTCGACTCACAAATCACATCAGCGGCATCACAAACCACGTGCAAATTCACTCGTCCCGGCACTCGTCGACGCCGTTGGCGGCGTTTGCCTCCAACGACAAGGGTTTCCGTGTCGTGGATCTGTCGCTAAACAAGATCATTTCGGAGAACATGTACGAATTCGCGATGAATTGTTCCGCGCTTAGCCCGGACCAGAGACTTCGCGTCATAGTAGGGGACCGAGAGAGTGTCCTCATAACCGACGCCGCGTCCGGGGAGATCCTCCAGACCCTCGACGGCCATAGAGACTTTGGGTTCGCCTGCGACTGGGCGCCGGATGGCTGGACCGTGGCCACCGGAAACCAGGACAGGAGTGTTCGGATATGGGACGCCCGCAAGTGGAAGAACAGCAGAGGCGAGAGCACCTCGATTGCTGTGATCCGGACCGAGATGGCTGGCGCGCGGAGCTTGCGCTTTTCTCCCCTCGGATCCGGGAAGAGGATCCTGGTTGCTGCGGAGGAGGCTGATTACATTAATCTGATCGACGCCCAAACGTTTGCGACCCGGCAGACGGTCGACATATTTGGTGAGCTCGGTGGGGTCTCGTTCGCCAATGGAGGCCGCGACCTCATCGCTTTGTCGTGTGACCTTTGGCGGGGAGGTGTCATGCGTTTGGAGCGATGCGACGCCGGCGCGGAAGACACGTTCAGCTACGCACGCAGAAAGGCGGCACAGCCCGGAGGTTGGTGGCGGACCCCCGGCTACGATTGGATGCAAAGCCCGGAGCAGGTTGTGGCGGCACCCAAGTCGCAGGAGACACTGACGCAGAAGAGGAGGCAGGCTGCCATGTCAGAGAACTGGACCTTCTGACGCGACCGTATGCATAGGACTGAGAATGAGCAGAAAAAAATATCGGCGGAAAGGCGTTTGGGACACGTGAGCATTTAAACGGACAGCAAGCGAGGGTGCCGGTTTATAGCTTACTCTCTTCGTCGTCCGACTAGGTTCTCCTTTTCTTTCTCTTTCGACTTGACGAATTTGGTTTTCTTCTTCGTCCCCGTTCTTTACGGCCATGTGGAGGGCATCGCTTACGTAAACCACATGTCGAGAGGCACATTCTCTTGACGCGAGAGGAGATGTGGGCCGGCCATCTGGAAACTTGACAAGGCGGTGGTAGATATAGCCGGAATATCGCTGATGTATACGCCCGGAAGAGGGACGAGGACAGTGAGGCTTGTATTGTTACCTGCGGGTCCTTTTGACACTGCCCTATGCCAGGTTCTTGGCCGGAGTCGGGAGGCCGAGGAGCCGCTCTCGGGAGCGGATTGCTTATAGCAGTACCCGTCGTCTTCCGCCTCTTCATTTGACATGGTGCGCGTCGAACGAACTGGAAGAGGAAGGATATTCCTCTCTTTTATGTGTTCCCTCCTCGTCTCTCGCCGCCTCGTATGCAGATAGGTTGGGCGGCTTAGCTCTCGAGATCTTACGGCGGCCGAAGAAGAAGGGGACAAATGCATGCACGCATACAGAGACAGGCATAATTATACACGAATAAGGTCCCAACACGGGTTCCTCCTTCTACATCGATATGCGCGAGGTGGGCAGGCTGGCTTAGTTTAGCTGCTATGATCATTTACGAAACTACCAACAGTCTTGAAGCAGTGAACTATAGGTTAAAGATATTGAGAGTAGGAGGGTAAGACGGTTAGTTGGGGGGGGGGTTAAAGGGAACGAGCGAACGTATATAGGCTTCCGCGCATAGAAACCGTGAAGTATTTCAGTAGAGAGAAAAAGTTGTGCTTACAGGATAGTAGGCAGTAGCTTTAATACCTATGAACAAGAACTAAAGAGAGAGGGAGGGGAGAGGCACACATGTGTGATATATATATATATATATATATACATAACCCCCCTTCAACCATACATCCACGGAAAAGGGGCGCAGCACTTGCGGGTATGGGTGCGAGACGTCGACGCAGGCGAGAGCAGTAGTTAGGGAAGCGATCCACACACATACGTGTGTGTATATACCTTCTAGCCGTCGGGCTATAGAACTGCCAGTTACCAAGACGACCGGATATCTGGCCAGCTTAGCTTGCTAGGTAGGTGCCAGGGCGGGAGGGAAAGGGGGCAGGGGGGACGTAAACGGGAAGGGGGGGAGATTCGGATGCGAGGAACCGGCAGGCAGGCAGATAGACTAGTTAGCTGGGTACTCTAAGCGGCCTATGTATGTAAATAGAGATATATATCTATAGGCAGACAGGTAGACAGGCAGGTTGCGATTTGTCTCGGAAGCGCCGTTTGCCCCCCCCTCTCCTACGTATATATATCTACGTAGTATATCGATGCTCGCCTGTTCGTATGCGAGGCCTCCGGCTATAATAAAGCTTGTGTCTTCTGCGGACAGCCAGTTTGTGGTTGCTTACCCGCTCCAAGCATCATCGTATACACACTTCACTCGCGTCTTCCTGGTTACGTTTCGTTATCAGTCGTGAAAAATGGCATGTGACATGTATATAGTAGATCTCGGGTTGAAGGTATCTATCTATATTTCTGATCTATCAGAAATTCCCCCCTCACCCCCCTCTCCACTCCACCCCCAACCTCTCCTCGAGAGTCTCTAGACCATCGAGATTAATCCTATTGAGTCCGTCCGTTGTTGAAGTGTCGAGGAATGACCATCCTAGACAAGCTTGGCCCCCCTCCCTCTACCCTTCTCCTCTACGCCACTCAATGACAAGGCAAATAAGAGAATCTAGCTCGTTCTCGTCCTATGCTCTCTCTCACCTCTTTATCCGTTGTGAGGCTCCCCGTTGCCTTTCTCCCTTTCTCCCCTCTCTCCTTTACGCGGGTATATACTCGTGGGGTGAGGACACTCACTTTGAGTATCCCTGCGACCCCCAGCCTCGCCTCTAGAGGGTTCGCCTGCCTACGCCGGCACGGTGTCCCTCCAGTACTTCGTGAGCACGAACGGCATCTTGGTGACGACGGCCTTGCGCGCGCGGCCGCGCACTACCACCGCCAGCTCCGTACCTGCCTTGAAAAAGGTGTCGCGGACGTATCCCATGGCGATGTTCGCGCGGAGCGTGGGACTCGGGCACCCGCTCGTCACGGCGCCGAGCACCTCGGCGCCTGCGTCGGCGCTCGCCACGATGGGTGCCCCCTCACGCGCCGGCGCGCCTTCGACGAGGAGCCCGACGCGTCGCCGCGTGACGCCCGTCCCGCCCTTGCTCTTGGGCGTCAGCTGCGGGAGGATCTTGTCCGCGCCGTGGAACCCCGCCGCTGCGCCGGTCCGCCGGTCCCGCCCGATGATCCAGCTGAGCCCGGCCTCGACCGGCGTCGTCGTGTCGTCGAGGTCGTGCCCGTACAGGCACATACCCGCCTCGAGGCGCAGGCTGTCGCGCGCACCAAGCCCCGCGAGCCGCAGCCGCTGCGGCCCCGCCGCGGCGAACAGCGCCTCCGTCAAAGCCACCGTGTCCGGCCCCGCGACCGAGAGCTCGAACCCGTCCTCGCCTGTGTACCCGCCGCGGCTGGCGAGCACGTCCGCTATCACGCGGCCGTCGGCCGCCCGCACCTGCACCGTGCGCGATTGCCCGAAGTACAGCTCCCGCAGGTTGACGGCGGGGTCAGCGGCGAGGACATCGGAGAGGATCCGCTCGGCGAGCGGGCCCTGCAGGGCGACGAGGCCGCGGCCCTCGAGGACCTCGTGGGTCACTTCGGGGTGGCCGTGGGCGCGCCACTGCGAGAGCTGCTGGGAGAAGTACGCGAGGTCCTTCTCGCGGCAGGCCGCGTTGGTTACGACGTAGAACTTATCCGGCCCCAGCCGCGTGATGATGGTGTCGTCGACGATGCCGCCGGTGTCGGGCCACAGGAGCGCGCTCAGCGTGCTGTGGTGCGCGGCCAGCGCCTCCAGTCCCGCCGGGGTGACGAGCTGCAAGAAGTCGGTCGCACCGGGCCCGCTGAAGTGGTGCTGCACCATGTGCCCGACGTCAAACAGAGATGCGTATCTCCGCGTGAAGTGGTGCTCGGCTACGACGCTCTGGCCCGCGTACTGCACCGGCATGTGGTAGCCGCCGAATGGTACCATCTTGGCGCCGTGGGCGATGTGGTAGTCGTACAGAGCCGTCTTCTGCAAGGGGGGTGCTGCCTCCGAGCTCCCCGGGCTGGACGCATAACCCCAACTGCCCCGGACGGCGAGAACTGGGCCCCTGGAGAGCGCACATTGTCGAGGATGGGGCTGTGGGGTTGCTAATATTCTCGAGGAGCGGGCGGTGGTGGTGCGAGAGGACGATGATAATGCGCGGGAAATTACGGGAGGCGGCTGCGTGGTGCGGTGGAGCGCTGGCACGCCCTGGCTGGCTCTGGCGAGGAGTCTCGAGGCCTTCATGTTGAGTCGATTGGCAGCTCGAAGGCAACGGGTGTTTTCGCTGGCCCGGAGCTGGAGGTCCAACTCGGAAAAGGCTCAGTCGGTGAGGGTCGAAGGAATGCTCGGTGTCGATATCCGATCATACCTGTTGAATGAAGAGCTTCCTGACTTATAGGCGTGTCGGCTCTTCGTCGCCGATCCCGGCTTCGGGTGGGGACATGGGCGACTTCTATTAGTCCGAGCCTCTCATAGCGAGGGAATCCGCCATGGGAGGTACCCGGCTTACTGCGCCAGTACTTGCCCGGCTTACAGGTACCTAACCGCCGCCTGAGCATTCAGATGGAGCATATTGCGGATATGCCCCCAAATCAGGCGATAGCATATGCGTGTAGACGCATGTAACCGTGTACCGCGGCGCTTTAATGTCGCATCAGCCGTAGCGCCGCAACCAGGAGACGTGTACCCAGGTACCCACCCACCACCCGTACCCAGGTACCTACAGGCAATCAACCGCCACCCATTGCCACCGCAAATACTGCTCGTATAGCAGCAACACCGGGAGAGATAGAGGGAGAGGACATTATATTAAACCGCGCGCATACCAAACACTCCACCAAGAGAGACTTCTTCTAACTACGGAAACCTTGTAGAAAATCCCATACGCAGTGAAATCGTCATTCTATTAGAGAGGAAGAGACGTAAGAGGGTTTTGGAACGGAAAATAGACCCGGTACAAGGCACCACTAGCCCCCTAAACGTGACATGGCCATACGCATCAAGTTCTCGTCTACGTCCCTGGAATATCAATTCGTTCATACAGATTCCACCCCGCGACGCCGCTCCCCTCCCGGGCTTCCAAAACCAAACTTGCTGCTTCACCGTGTGGCATCGCCACAGCCGAAGAGAGCGCGCGTGAGAGGGTGCCGAGAAGAGCGCGCGACTTTTTGGGGCCCACGTCGATTGCCCCGGAGAGTATGACTTTGCGAGTTACAACCGACCGGCCCCAGAGCATTGAAGGAGATGAAAGACGGAGCGTCGGAATGGGTGGGAATAATAATATTGTGCTTCCTTTTTACTGGTGTCCCGCCTTTCGGAGGGTGGCGGCGAGCCACTCCAGGCCCTCATACAGACCATCCCCAGAAGTAGCGCAGGTTGATTGAATGTACTGCACAAGCCAGGTCAGCCACAAGAAGCAGGGGGATACCGAGGCTACCAAGTAACGCGGAGAAGGGAGGGGGACATACCCAGGCGCGCTGTCTCAGGCTGTGAAGACCAAGCTTATCGGTGATCTCGGCGGCATTCATGGCATTCTGTCCTCGTCGTTAGCGTGCTGGCAAAGCCGAGGCTGAGCATGCCGAAGGGGTACGTACGGGGAGATCCTGCTTGTTGGCGAAAACCAGCAAGATGGCGTCTCGGAGCTCATCTTCATTCAACATGCGCTGCAACTCCTCCCGAGCCTCTACGATACGGTCTCGGTCGTTGCTATCGACGACGAAAATAATGCCCTGCGTGTTCTGAAAGTAATGTCGCCACAGGGGACGGATCTTGTCCTGCCCACCGACATCCCACACAGTGAATTGGATGTTCTTATATTCGACAGTCTCCACGTTGAAACCTGGGAGGCGCGACACGTGTCAGCGAGGGAGGGAAAACAAAGGCAGCCAGTACCCTCGGAGCGTAGTCACGAGCGCGAGAGCAGGAATGGCAGAGAGGGATGCATACCGATGGTGGGGATGGTCGTGACAATCTCGCCGAGCTTCAGCTTGTAGAGGATGGTGGTCTTTCCGGCAGCGTCCAAACCGACCATCAGGATTCTCATCTCCTTCTTCCCCCAGAGCTTGTCGAACAACTTCGAGAACGTGAGACCCATGATGGCGACCGCGACGAGGACGTGTCAACGAATAAGTATTATGATAGAGAGCTCGGGGAGCAAAGGGGTATTGTGCGTATATCCGGCGAATCTGACTAGAAGTGGGAAGCCGGGCAAGGTCAGTAAATACTTGGTAGACGGATGGATGGCAAGGCGGAAATGATGTGATGGCCTGACGACGATTGATGGGCAGTCGGGATTTATGGGGCTTGGATAGGTCGAGAGGACAGATCGATCGGATTGAGATGGCGCAAGTGACCGAGGAAATCGGCGCCTTTGGCTCGTCGTCTATCCAGGCTGCCGCGATGAGAGGCCGACGATGGATGGGGTGGGCCAAGGTTATGATTGTGATGTATTACGAAGGAGGGAGGCAAAGCAGGCCGTCCATAGGCTGGGGGGCATGCACCGAGAGGTGGTTGGTAATGTAGACGGGAGGGTAGACTGTGCAGGTAGACAGGCAGATGGTGTCAAGGCAGGGACAGGCAGACATAGTCGTGCCCGTTAGTCCTGTGGACGAGTCATCCGCGGACCGGAAGCCAGTGCGCCATTGATGGAGGTGGTTAGGCTGGGACCAGAGAAGGAGGCATCGTGGTCTCTTTGTCGGAATGATGATGAGGTGCAGCGGGACGCAGGGCGAACGGACGGACAGAGAGAGAGAGAGAGAGAGAGAGAGGATAACAAGAAGACGGATAGACGGATGGGATACGGACGGATGTAGATAGACACGCAGGTCGGATGGGCAGGCGGAGGTGGACTTACGAATTGACGACGGTGAGACCTGCTCGACGGAAGAGTGAGAGATCTCGCGGCGATGCAGGTTGAGCTATCAAAAGGGGGTTTTTGGATGCGGTGGATTGTGGTTGGGGACCGGTGAAGAGTGATAAAGCAGTAGAAAAGTAGTAGGCAGGTGGTCAGGGTAAGTGGCAGTAGAAAGTGGTCCCAGCCTAGGTAGACAGGATTGTGTGTTTTTTTTCTCAGCCAAGTTAGGTAAAAATGCAATGTGGCTGGAGACCTCTCTCTCTCTCTCTCTCTCTCTCTAAGCATGTACGGTGCACGGAGTCCCCGGGTACCTCCAGTTGCGTGTTTGTATTTTTTACGATAAGGGGAGGCAAGGCCAAAGGCAGAGAGCACGTGCCCAGACCATGGCGTACTCATATTATGTACCGTGTAGTACACACGCACACACCTCTATGTGGCAGCATACCCACAGGGGTACAGGCAAGTATATGGAGCGCCCATCCCAAGTGTGGACCTGTACGTATCTGCCTAGGTACCTGTACCTACATGTAGGTACCTATGTACATGGGGGACCGAACCTTGCAGTGGTAGGTACATAGGTACCTCTAGGTCGGGAAGGTTAAGTAAGGCAGAGCCAAACCTCTTGCGCAGCCTGCCTAGGGTAGCTTATGATGACCTCCCAGGTTCCATTAGAATCCAGTTGGTAGTATAATACTTGCGCATAGGTAGGTAGGTACCGACCTACCGACCTGTATGGGCTCCTTAGCAAAGGTGGCAAGTTAGGTAAGGTACCTAGAGGTAGGCAGGTAGGCAGTATGGCTAAGCCATGGAAAGGATGCATGTGTCCACATGTACCTCACCTACCTGTCCCTACACGGGCAAGTAAGCATAGGGTACATGTGAGTATACATACTTACCTACCTACCTACACTATAATGATAGCATCCCTTATACCTGCGAGATACCCCGTCGTGAAACAAAACCCACACCTCTCCACTGTGATAAGGAAAGGGGCATAGCAAGTATCTCCTAAGTACAAGGAAACATATATGTAGGTCTCCCCTGCCTGTCCAACCGGAAGTTGAGAGCTTCAAATACCTGCTGGAGGTAGGCACCTAAGTACATAGTATCGTTATGAGTGTACTTATGTACTCAACTTAGGGCGCCTTACGTGTAGATTAGAATATAACCTCCCAGTTACCTGCTAATGAAGGTCCTTAGGAGGTACCTGACATCTGAAGATATCTACCTAGGTACCTACCGCCAGGGAAGTGCGCTAATCCTGTTCCGGCACAGTGGATCCTTGTCACTTAGCTCTCCTTTCCTTGGCTTGGCATGGAATCCGCGAATCGCCAAAGTGTCCAACTCAAGCCAACAAAGCCTCAATTAATTCGGACCCAAAAAAGAGAGGACAGAGACGCCGAAGAGCTCGCCAGTGCTCGTGCCCATCTCACCACCACGCGCCCGGGAATCAAACCGCCAAACCCGCCAGCTTACCTGTCCTCAGTTGAAACTCGATCGCGCCGAGCCTCCCCTTACGCTACGGCCAGAACCAGCCAGATGCTGCTGCTGCCTTCGACCACCGCCCTGCTGCTGGCGGCGGCCGCCTACCTGCCCGCCGCCCTGGGCCACAACATCCAACTGCCCGCCCACGGCCGCGAGTGCTTCCACGAGGAGCTGCACAAGGACGATGTCATGACCATCACGTTCCAGGTCGGCGACCGGGAATTCGGCGGCGCGGGCAACCTCGACGTTGATTTTTGGGTATGGATGAACCCCGCGGCGGCGACCACTTACACACCCGCCTACCCACCTACACCTATATAACCTATATACGCACATGGTGTATATATGCAGTAACATATGAACGACGCCCGCGGGCTACCCGGCTGCTGTCCTACTCTTGCTAACCAACGGGCTCCCCCTCCCGGTCCCGCGCCACTCCACAGATCACGAACCCCCTCGGCCAGCACGAGACCTTCCAGAAGGCCACCTCCAACGGCGACTTCTCCTTCACCGCGCGCCACGACGGCAAGTACGTCTACTGCTTCGGGAACGAGCATTGGGGCTCCAACAGCAAGGAGGTCTCGTTCAACGTGCATGGTATAGTATACGTGTCCGAAACGGAGGCCCCCCAGGACCCTCTCGAGAAAGAGAGTACGTTTCTTCTCCCCCCCCCCCTCCCTCGGCCCGTCTTTCCCTTTGTCCGATCCCCGGGTGGCCGGGTGGGGGGGCTTTCTTCCTCCGCGAAGCGCGCGCAACGCTAACCGGGGCACTTCCCGTCGCGCGCGCAGTCCGGCAGCTCTCGGAGCTCGTCAGCCAGGCCCGCGACGAGCAGTCGTACATCGTCGTCCGCGAGCGCACCCACCGCAACACCGCCGAGAGCACCAACAGCCGCGTCAAGTGGTGGAACCTGTTCGTCATCGGCGTCGTCATCGGCGAGTCCATCTTCCAGGTCTGGTGGCTCCGCCGCTTCTTCGAGGTCAAGCGCGTGGTATGATGAGGAGAGGCGGGAGCGGGAGCACACACAATACAAAGGGAGGAAGAGACGGAGGGAGACGAGGGTTCGGAAGCCCCGGACGGGCTCCGGACGGTTCGTTCCTGTTTCCAACGGTTTTGGGTTACGTCTGGCGTATCATGCGGGCGGGTAAGGCAGGCAAGGAGATGTGCGATAACGATTCCCGCCCCTTCCCTCTCCCTCTCCCTCTATTTTAGGGGGAAAAAGGGGAGGGAGGGAGATATCCATACACGGGGTATCCGGAGAGCGAGTGAAGCATCCTGTACATTTGAGACGACGAAAACGACAACGAGGAAAGAGAAAAACACAATTTTGCATGCCTGCGAAGCGGCAGCCCCCTACGTAATTGTGTCGCCCGGGCGCGGCGCCGTAGCAGCAGTAGTACGCTATATCCGGCGAGGATAGCCCGAGCGGACTACCTAGAGAAGTAAACTGGCCAGGACGCGGCGCCACAGGCTCCCTACAGGCCTTGGCGGCGCCCAATCCAGGCGGTGTCCCGCGGTAGGGGAATATTACAGCAGTACCTACCCACCTACTATTCTACGTAACCCAGGCGCGAAAGCCGGCGAAGATGATGCTACCACCAGTGCCCAGGGACTACAAGTGATAGGTACCTACAGGTAGCTCAGCGGGATGCGTATGTATCGCTGTCATAAGTTAGGTGCGCATTTATTCTATCGCATCACATCATAACAGCTGACAGTGGGAGCCCAAGGGACCGACATGGTCATCTGATGATACATCGCCACTCCCGGCCTGAAGACAACATTCGCCATCGAGGCCGGAGGCTGAGGCGTCCATCTTAGCCTACAACGCTTTAAACGGTGCTGGTTTATGCTACGACGACTGATCAAGAGTAAGCAGTAATATCCCCATAGACAACTTGCCTCTGGCGCGTTAAGATCCCTAGGGGCACGTGTATCACGTTCGGAAGGCCGCGCGGCAATTTGGGAAGATACAATCAACATGCCTCACTTTTTATCTAGCTAGCTACCTACGTGAATTAGTTCCCAACTGCAGATATATACTTCGTCATAGCATCCATCCGCTCGCTAGTGAGCTTGAGCGACACTCTAAGCAATTCCTGTGCAACGTCGCTCTCTTCCTTCTGCAGCGTATCCCAGTCTTCGACGCCCATGACCCAGGTGACACAGTCCTTTACCGCGACCACGGTCGCGGTACGATTCGTCTCTGAGAAGAATGGGAGCTCACCGCACGTCGTACCCTGAACGATGGGTTCGGATAGTCGGCCCTGAGGCGTCTCGTAGTCTGCTCGAAGCTCGCCTCTTTCCAAGATATAGAAGCCGTTAGCTAATTCCCCGCGGTGGTAGAGTATGGTTCCCGAGGCGTATTCCTTGCGGGTGAAATACGGCGTCGCTCGGAACCAGAAATCCTCGTTCTTATCGCTCACGTCGTGGAAGACCTGGAGCATGAGTCGCAACGGTTCGCTGATGTTTTGCCACCTTGTCGACCGCCTCATCTCTTGCTGGTCGAGCACATTGCTCGCTGCTCGGTGTAGATGGTTCCTCCTTGGAGACTGTGCCAAATATTCGAAAGGTTGTGTTGTTTGGCGATGATTAGGAACCTCGAGGCTCCTTGAGAGCGCGGGCCGAGAAATTTTCAAGGCTTCTTGACGAGCGTAGAATGTCTTTAGCTGCTCGTTCTCGCAGCTCTCCAGTGCTGAATTGAGGTCAGGCATAAACATGACATTGGGCCCGTCGGCCCCTAATCCAACTGCCCTCAGGTCTCGCCCAATTTTGCTTTCTGCGTCCTTCCCACTGATAAGAAGATGGATGCCCTTTCCGTCTAGCAGCCTGTTGATGGTTTTAAACCCCTCGGCTGCCGAATAGTCTATACCGGCGACATGCCATAAATCGACGATTAGGTATTTAATCGGGTGCTCCTCGAAAATTTCATCAGATACCAGGCTACGTATCTTCTCCTCGACACCCACGATGGTTCCGAAGAAGAGAAAACCGGAAAGTTTGATCACGTAGGTCTGGCTACCGACGTCCCGCAAATAGTGGTGCTGCGACGGGTTTCGTCTTACCATCGAACCGACCTGGTCTCCTGTGTAGGTCGTCCGGATGGCTGAGACTTGGGACGCATGGAAAATGACCGAAACGAACGCAAGAATCATGCCGACAAAAATGCCGACGACAAAGTCATAGATACCCATAGTAAGTACTATGACCAAGATCTATACAGGATTAGTCGCAAGTTCTAGAAGCACGACGATGTTAGGTATAGCTTACCGTCAAATATTCGAGTATTTTTAGTTTCTTTCTCGGAGCAATAAGAGCATCCAAGAGCAATTCAAACCCAAGGACGAAGATCAGAGTGCCAACAACCATGACTGGGATGTAGCCTATAATCACCGGTCCAATGGTCATGACACCGAAGGTAAGACCTGCCAAAAGGAATCCAGCTAAGCGGCTATCGCCGCCCGACCTCATGAAGAACAACGTATTGGCGAAGACCAGATAATTCTGGATGCTGCCCGCAAGCCCAGATAGGAAATTAGAATAGCCGTGCAACTTGAGTTCGTGGTCCAAGTCGAGATTGTCTTCTCCGTTGATTTGTGCCAATGCGGGGACATTGATGGGGACGTGTAATATGCTGAAGAAGGTTAAGGCAAACATAGCCCCGGTTGTTTCTAAAATGGCATCCCAATGGACTAGGTTGAATTCTGCAGACATGAGTGAGCAAGAAAGATTAGGCAGCTTGAGGGCCAACCCAGAGACTTACTGTAGAGAGTCCAGAAGTACCAATAAGGCTCTCCAGCGTCGGGCGCCTCGAAGATCCATCCCGCCCGCCTCAGAGTCTCCATGTTTAGACCCTCGATTGTGCAGGCAAAAATGTAGAAGATGATCGGCACACATAAGATGTAAATAGGTAGGAAATACTTCGAGGTGATCTTCTTCTTCAGACCAAAAAGGACGGCGGCGAGGGCCAGGGGAATCAGCCAAAGAGGTAGGGTGTCCGGCTGGACTAGTCTTCGGCCAGTGTTGAGATCGTAGTCGAAGTTTTCGAGGCGTGCCGAGACCTCAAGGCCCGTCGCGACGAGGAACCAGCCCACGCCGCCGATACACCCAATCAGGATATGGCGAGGAATGAAACCGACAAGATAGCCCAGCCTGAACCTCCCCATCAGGTAGAATACGACGCCAGTCAACATGGAACTAATAGCAAAAGACGTTATAGTCGTAGCAATGACAGCATCGGGCTGGTCCTCTCCTATTAACGAGGTAATGGTGGCTGCCATGTTGTGGAAGAAGGGGACGACTTCGATCTAGAAACGTGAGCGGGTATTCGTTCAAACCCAGGTCTTGCAACGTACTAGTTCAGATCCGATACCGCCCCGAAATATACTGCCAAAGGAGAAGGTGAGTTGCGAGATAATCGTGCTGACATAGAATATTGAGATTCCGGCTGGACCAAGGCTTGAGAAGACGGGATTCGATAGTGGGAAGAGGATCATTCCTGGTGCCCCAGTCAGCACTGTGACGCCACGAGACGAAGATGTACGAGATAGACTTACCGTAGGATAGCGCATCGAGTATGTTAAGTAGAAGGCCGACGATCACGGCAGGCAAACAACTGACCGGCTCTCTGATAGCCCTCCGCCAAATAACCTTCCTATCCCAGGCCTTAGGATTGACCACGTTCCTAGCGGTACGAAAACCGCTGCGGATACGGTCCCTGAGTAGCATCGATGATGATCTTGGTGCAGACATTTTCGGTTTTTGGGCCTCGGCATCGCCAACCTCCGAAACATCTGATTCCCATATAGGAGAGTTTTGCCTTAATAGCGGGGACGTTTCCGATGCCTCGTCACCCAGTATCGACTGCGATGTACCTATTGGTGGTGAGTGATACCTGTCGCCGAGGGTTTCGCCGTCCGGAGCCGTCTCCCGGAGAGGCTGTGGCGTTGAGCCTTGAAACATGCTGGTGAGCGCCGAAGGGCCTGAGTCAGAGGCGGTTTTGGTGCCCAATGCCGTTCTTAAGGGTCCGGACGGCTCGCCTGCTGCATAAGAGGACAATATTTGAAAATCGCCGGCGGACGACGTCTTATCCTGGGGGGTTGGCTGTTCACGGCCGGGGTAGGACGACCCAGATGATATTCGGTTGAGGAATGACGTGCTCCGCTTATCCTTCTTGTCTGATAGAACATAGGAGGCAAGCTCGGCGGTGTCCTCGCGGACGCTTCGGGCGAAGCTGGCACTATCTATGGGGGCTTGAGAGTAAGGTCAGCGAAGGAAGAATGCGTACCCAGGCGGTTAGACACTGCTTACCCAGGTGGTCTATCACGGGTCCAGGTATGAAGGACCTGGTGGGCTCTCTGTATATAACGGGGTAACTCAGGGGAGAGGAGAGCGGTTGCGAATTGTCCGGCGTGGACCCCAGAGATCGGGCCGGGTTGGACAGTTGGTCAGGGACATCTGCCAGATCGGGCCGGGAAGCGACGGAGGACGATCTTCGCCTCCACGAATAGAAGTTAAAAGATGAGGCAGACATCTTGCGAGATCGCTTGCTTTGCTCGCTCTCGAGATCGGGTATATGCGCAAGGTGACAGTCCGTCGAAGCACGCAAGTATGCAGTGAAAAGACCACATTCGGGAATATGTAGGCTGCTGGAGTAGGGACCGAATGGCCTTGCACAACAAGCACCTCCTAGAGGTAGGTTGAAGCTCTTCGGCGGGGCCGGGAGGATAGTCCAGGTGTGTCTATGGCCTTCTCGGACAACAAGGCATCTCTAGACTGAGGAAGGGTGAGTCAAGACCGGGAGAGAGGAGGAAGAGAGAAGAGAGAAGAGAGGGCCGAAACACGGCTGCGAAGATTAAATTGGTAGTATTGAAGGATAAGAGAAAGAGAGTACCGTGCTAGCTCACGGTATTTAGTCAAAGATAAACTTGGGCAGGGTGGACTGGCGAGCTAAATTATGTCGCGAAGATTCCGCGATGGCGCTAGCTATAAGAGGTACCTTACCGGTTTACTTGAGGAGGCAACCTGCCGAGGGTCCTGTGTAAACCCGCCGGACACACACGTCGGCGCCTGTTAACGGACCTCCCTAGGTACCTAAGGAGGCAGATATACCACCTGCCTCGAGCTTAGACAAGCAGGTACCCGTGTGCCGGTTGCTGGCTTGAATCGCGACCTGACATTGCCTGTAGGTAGGAGGTAGGCAGGTTGGTACGTTTACCTAACCTGAGGTGGCCCGCCAGGGGATGCGGGAAGCCATCTCCGATTTCAGAAAGGCCCCCCAAGATCATTGGTGGCGAACTCGACGCAGCTCGGGGGGGGCAGATAATTGTTATTGGACAAGAGGGACTATACCTACCTGGGGTAAGGTGCACGCACCCCCCTATCCAGGCTTCGAAATACCTATGTATACACGATATTAGGTAATTCCTGAGCAGTCACAATCGTGTATGCCGTATTAGGTAATTCCTGAGCAGTCATAATCGTGTATGCCGTAACTGCAGTATCATGCAACCTCATACACGCCCGGTTACGCCGCGAAAACTTCTGGACCCTTATAGGCTGCCTACCTAACCCACCTAAGGGCTACCTTCTAGGTCAGGTACCTACCTATGTAGGTAGGTAATTACCTGTTAATGTAGGTAGGTATTGCACCCACTTCCCTCCTACCCCATCATAGTTTATGCCCACGGCACCAACTGTTGTGACGGCATACGGAAATACCTACACCGATGCGCAGTTGCGCAAGTCTTTCCTTTTCTCTCTTTCTTTTTTTTCAACCTTCGCAGCGATCAACCCGCTTAAGGAGAATATGACGCGAGCCGTATTCTTCTTGATTGGAGGTTAGTTGGCTACCTCAGGGGCCTGTGCTCCGCAACAACACCCCGCGTGTACACCTTACCGATTCCTTACGTCCTCGTCCCTCACTAGGATAGTCATTTCTATGCAGCTCCCTACCTCCCCTGCCTCCCTACCTCCTCACCACAGCCTTAACTGCATACATTAGACTCCTCGACGTGGCAATGGGACATCTCGTCAACCAAGGCTTGGGCAGTTACGGATCGAGTGGCATCGCTTTTTTGCTCTCCGTCCGTGCTGTTAGGATCTTGGGATCGAACGGTTTACCTGCTGTCCCTCCATCCCCAAATCCCCCCTTACGTACCACTCATTATAAATGCCAATAACCAAACAGTCACCCGACCGCAGCATCTATACACCTTACCCCTCGACAGGTCGTATCTCGCTTCGAAAGCAGCGTGCTGCCTCCGCGATGGATCGACGGACACGCTGCTGCGGCATGGGCTTTTTGGGGGTCGTTGGCGAGGCCGGTTCTTTCACCACCATACCAGCAACGGCTCCACAAACCTCCGCCTTCCTGCCCTCGGTCTGTAGCAGATTGAAGAGAACCTATGCTCGAGTTCTCGTGCTTTCCTACTTCCCATCGCAAAAACCCTTTGGACAACGGAACCGTCGTAGGTGCAACGGGCCGGGCCCAAAGGCTGCCCATAGGATATACCACCTGGAAAAGCCTCATCAGATCTGAGGTTGAGAGATCCCCAGGAGCCTCCAACCCTTCCCCACATCAGATCCCACCACCACCACCCCCGCCAGTATTCGATGGCCGTCTCGATGGTGACCCTATCCGGTCCCTGTATTTGCCCGGGCCCAACCGCCGCTGCATCCTGCATCACCGGTCTGGATATACTTGTTTGGACATGTGTATGCTTACATACGCGGTCGCCACGGCTGTATCCCGCGGTCGTGTGACTGAACTATCCTGGGACGCTTTACGAGTTTCACCTGTTACCTCGGACGGTTTATATTAATCGATCCCGTCCCGCCATGCTAACCCCACCCCCCCTCGCTATAATGACGGCTCGTTGGTTTTGGCTGGCGCATAGGTCCCGGCGGCATATACATATTTGGTGCCATCGAATGCCCGGTCCAGCAAAATTTGCATGCTGGACGAGCTTGCGGGTGGCAGGCTGGGCGCTTCGTCGTCCCACCGACATTTGGTCGTCATCTGTTGCGAGTCTTGCGAACGGTATGTCGTTAGGGTTGCTCATTTGCTTTGCCATCACGCAACCGGGACATGAGCGAATGGGAGCTGTCTGTGTTGGTCCACTGATGGCACGGAAGCTCCCAAGGGATGTCTTGTACGACTAGGAAATACCAACGGCATGTAGTGCCTCTTGTCCGGCCCCATCTTGGGCAGCAGCTAAATCGGAGGTAGGTATCCCTACCAAAGGGGGGTTTAAAGCAGGTAGATATATCTCCAAATAGCCCGTTCAACCGAGCTTTTGGAGGTAACCTTGGGCTATCAACCGCTCGACGTCGCCTTGTCTTACATAGAACTGACTGTTTTTGGTGAGTGTAATGGAGCTGCACCGACGCATGAGCAGATATTCCCTCACATCGATAATCGGAGGAGCAATCTTACCCGTATTCTGTCTGAATCTCTCCGGCATCTTTCAGCACCCGTACGTCGATAAACAGGTCTCGGGGGGGGTCGAGACTACCTGTCAGGTCGACGTCTGTCCATTGGCCTTTGTAGGCGGCCAAGAGATCGCTATATTGACGCACGTAGTCCTCTTCTTGCGGGCTCAAGCTACTGGTGCCGCCGTTGCTGATTCCGGCGCCGGATGAATTGCCGGGTCCTGCTAGGCCATCCTTGATCTGCTGGCCAGCCAGGTCAACTACGTCGTAGCCCTTCCAGACAAGTTCCTCTAGCCTGTCCGTCCGTGTTCTATGGTAGGCGAGCAGACAGCGCTTGTTCCTCCGCATTGATAGGTGGTTCACAAGTAGCGTACATGCCGTGGCCGGTTCCGAGCTCGGGTCGAATGACCCTTGGAACGGCTCCAACACGTCTGCGACATCCTTATCTAGATCGCGGACTTCTCGTGTAACGGCACGAACGATCTCGGTTTGGTACGGAGGCAAATGCGCTAGGTTTTGGGTCCTCTTGGCATGTTGGACCTGACATGTCAATTAGTTGTCGCCCACACGAACAGAACGACCATCGCCGCGGCCCTCACAAGTTTATTTCCTAGATCGCCGTACATTGTCGGCTAGGTATGCCCCACGTGTCGAGATGTGGAATCGAGGGTTCAATGGGGGTGCGTATGTGACGGGGCGATCGGCAACGCAGGACTCAATGGTAGAACCTGACGGGGTTTGGAAGACGCGGACAGCTAGCTGTGAGGGAGACGCGCTTCAACATGGCTTTCCAAGAAGCACTTCTTAGCGACGTGGTGGGTTAGGTGAAGAAGCCGAGGGGCTTAGGTAATCGCATCCGATTTACCTATAGTAGGTACGACATGCATGGATCAAGGATGCAGCTGTACATAGGTACACGAGGCAGGAACGTATCAGAGGCACGACCAGCAACTGGCGGGGTAGGTGAATTATGAACCTGCCTGCCTTGCCCTACATAGGTACCTCTCGTACCCAGGTACCTAGGTACCTATGCTGCAACCGCATAAATGCATACCTAGATCTGTCAACGTAGATGCATATAATTACATCTGTGGATCCCTAGGGCACCTGAGAGGAACCCTGTGATTGGTTGATTCGCAACTGTATTTAAAGCTATTTAATCGCCGTTTTGGCACGTAGATTTACTCCTTTCAATCAACAGGTTAGGTTCAGCTTTCAACACGTCTTGTATGCCTTACAATTGAGGTAGCGAGGCCCTGAAAGTGAACTGCCAACACGCACACATCATTACATATGATGTATAGGCATATGGTATGGTCTAGTGAACATACGGGGTTAGGGGGAAGCGGTAACCCGTAGGTAGTTCTCCTTTATACTCTGGCCCACGATACAATGATAAGGATAGCTAGGGTGAGAGCTACCTACCTTAGGTAAGCAACCCGCGCCGGTGTCTTACTCAGGTAGGTACCTACCCGGGCAGGTAGCCTACTAATACCTCCTACCCAGGTACCTGCCTACGGTCAAGAGGAGGGAGGGCACTTGCCCAAGGCTCTAGCATGGCGGGGTGGAAATCGTAACCCCGCTATAGACCCGAAATTCTTTTTATCTTGTACCCTAATGGCGCAACTCCTGGGCTGACCTCTGTACTAACTGCTTGTCTCCTTCATCGCATCTCTCGTTGAGCACTCGAGACAAGGTGATACCGCGAGTTGCCTCAGTTCCAGGCAGTCCGACTATTCTTCACGCCAACCGCGAGTTGTGCCATCGATCTGATCCGTCCGTCCGTCCGTAGTGTGTCCCTTCAACGACTCGCCGATTTACCTGTTAATTCCCTGTGCCGGCCGCGTTCTGCATAACCAATCCCTAAGCATCATCATGACGGCGGCCCAGAGAATCGCAATCCTTTCCGTCTTCGACAAGACTGGCTTGTTGGACTTGGCTAAGGGCCTTGTAAAACAGAATGTGCGCATTCTGGCTTCCGGCGGCACCGCCAGGATGATTCGCGAGTCCGGGTTTCCAGTCGAGTAAGAGCCTCCCGCCATTGGCGACCCGGTGCTCGGGTCCTGACCTCTCGTAGGGATATTTCGGCTATCACGAAGGCACCCGAGATGCTTTCCGGCCGCGTCAAGACTCTGCACCCAGCCGTCCACGCTGGCATACTAGCCCGCAACCTAGCCGCCGACGAGAAAGATCTCGCCGAGCAGAGCATTGATAAAGTTGACTATGTCATTTGCAACCTGTACCCGTTCAAAGACACCATCTCCAAACCCAATGTTACCGTCCCAGAAGCCGTGGAGGAGATTGACATAGGAGGCGTGACGCTCATCCGGGCAGCTGCCAAGAACCACGCGCGCGTCACTATATTGAGTGACCCGAATGATTATGCCGAATTCTTGCAGGAACTCGAGACTGGCGAGATCAAGGAGGCAAGCCGTAATAGATATGCCCTCAAGGCCTTCGAGCACACGGCCGACTATGATGCCCACATCTCTAGGTTCTTTCGTGCGCGATACGCCGGCGACGGTCAGCAATACCTGCCTCTCCGATACGGCGCCAATCCCCACCAGAAGCCCGCCGCCGCATACACAACCTCCGTGAACCTACCCTTCAAGGTCCTGTGCGGCGCGCCTGGTTACATCAACCTGCTGGATGCCTTGAACAGCTGGCCACTGGTTAAGGAATTGAAGGCGGCGCTCAGAAAACCCGCCGCCGCCAGCTTTAAACATGTTTCCCCTGCTGGTGCTGCCATTGGCGTCCCCCTCAGTGCCGAAGAACGCAAAGTCTACTTTGTCGACGATATCCCGGGAATTGAAACTTCTGGACTGGCCCAAGCCTACGCGCGTGCTCGGGGAGCCGACCGCATGAGTAGCTTCGGAGACATCATCGCTCTCAGTGACGTTGTGGACGTCCCTACTGCCAGCATAATCTCGAAGGAGGTCTCCGACGGTGTTATCGCGCCCGGATACGAGGATGCCGCGCTGGAGATACTCAAGAAGAAGAAGGGAGGGAAGTACCTGGTGCTTCAGATCGATCCCGAATACCTGCCCGACCCTACTGAAGTTAGAACTGTATACGGCGTCACTCTACGTCAGCATCGCAACGACATCGTAATCACTCCCGCTTCGTTCTCGCAGACGATCACGCCGAAGGACTTCGTGCTTCCGGAGTCCGCCGCCAGGGACTTGACCGTCGCTACGATCGCGCTGAAGTACACGCAGAGCAACTCGGTGTGCTATGCCAAGGACGGGCAAGTCATCGGGCTCGGAGCCGGCCAGCAGTCGCGCATCCACTGCACCCGTCTCGCGGGCGACAAGGCCGACAACTGGTGGTTGCGCTTCCACCCCCGCGTCCTGGGCATCAAGTGGAAGAAGGGCACCAAACGCCCCGACAAGAGCAACGCCATCGACCTGCTGGTGAGCGGCGAGCTTCCAAAGTCGGGTCCCGAACGCGAGGCGTTCGAGTCTGTCTTCGACGAGGTGCCTGCGGTGTTCACGGACGAGGAACGCGACGAGTGGCTCAGCAAGCTAGGCGACGTTGCCGTCTCCAGCGATGCCTTTGTACGTTTTGTCTCCCTCCACTCCTCCCCTTACCCTTTTATCTTTCCCTTTTCTCCCTGGACTTCTTATCCCCACCCTCCTACCCAAGAGAAGAAATAATATGGGCTCAACTAACCAGCGCCTCCGCAGTTCCCCTTCGTCGACAACATCTACCGCGCGCACCGGTCGGGTGCCAAGTACATCACCGCCCCGGGCGGCAGCCAGAACGACTCGGCCGTCCACGAGACGGCGGAGAAGCTCGGCATCATCTTTGTCGAGCAGAATATCAGACTTTTCCACCACTAGCACGCAGACGAGAGAAAAGCAAAAGGGAAAGAGTGGAGGAAATAAAGGAGACGAGGGAAGAAGAGGAATGGGGATGTGTCGTGGTAGGTACTGCTTATACGAACGCTCGGGCAACCTGTGGGGCGGGAAGAAAATATAGCCGGGTTAGATAAAAAGGAAAGAAATGACGAAGCTATACGAGAAATGAGAAAAAAGGAATTATTGAGGGAAAAATCGTGAATTAGGAACACAGATAGGCAGCGTGATAAGAGATCATAGTGGGTGTGCCAGTACAAGAAGCTAGTTCCGGGAAAAGTCGAATATTATTGCGAGGACCTCGAATCTCCTCGCTAGTAAATCGGTGTGGATATAGCCCCATGGCTGACTACGTCGGTGGATAGGGGGGTGGTTCTCTTAACCATCCCGGTGCTAGGAACTCCGAAGCCTGAAAAGGGGTTGAGGCATACCACGAGGGCTTCATCCTCTCACTATACTTTGATTTGTTTGCCGTAGCCCTAGCGACCTCTATGAAATTTTGTCCCTCTGAAGATATACTTTCCCGACATCGTGCCAATCCGTCCTACCTCGTCACCGTCATGATTTCATCAGTCATGCCCCGCTGGCTCAGAGTCGTTGATTCGATCATGCGTTAGACGTCGACATAAGTGCGAATTCCACCTAGAAATAGATGGTTTACAGCTTCTGCATGGCGGCCTGTAGATTGTTTCCGATTAGCGTCTGACGTTTCGGATCTGCGTCGTGTTGACTTGACACTTACGACATCCGATGACTGGACATATTCCTCGAATCCCTCGATTTCTTCCTGCAGGTCGGTGATGGAGATCTTCTCGTCCTCGACGACTAGGATGATCTGTAGCTTCTTGATACCGAAACCGACAGCCTCCAGCTTAGAAGCACCCCATACTAGACCGTCCTTTTCGATCCCACGGACCGCCGCCTCGAGCGCAACCATGTCGGTCTCGTCATCTATTATGGGCCAGTTAGTTATTTGCTATTATGGTTTCCATTTAACGCTGCGTGCAGTCGTACCCCAGGGCTTGACGTCCAAAGTGACAACCGACTTGGCGGCAACCTTCGGCTTTGCCTCTTTCTTCGCCCTATAAGCAGCCAAACGTTCTTCGCGAACGCGGACGGCCTCTGCATCTTCTTCCTCGTCGTCGCTGCCGAACAAGTCGACGTCATCCTCCTCCGCGGCGGGCTCCTCTGGGGCCTTTGCGGGATTCAGGGTGGCTTCGGTAACTTCGGGCCCGTATGTAGTGTAGGGCTTAGCCGCATCGCCCGGAAGGGTTGCGAATTCGTCCTCGAACGAGGCGATGTGCTTGTACCATCGCGCGGCATGGGGGTACTTCTCGGAGTCGGGTGCGGACTGGATGGCCTTGAAGCAGACGACGTCGGCTTGGGACGGGGCGTAGCTTTTTATGAGTCAGCCGCGAGTTTTTCATATGCATGTAGGTTAGGGCACCAAAGGGTGAAGGGAGGAGGGACGTGATTTAGTTATACGTAAGTTCGGTAAAGGGAGAGTCAGAGATGCACTAAGTGCCATTGTATATGTCCTCATTTGACAGGTCTTGAGTCTGCTCAGAAACACGGACCAATGTTTCTCATCATGCTGAAGGGGAGAGGGGTTGGGCTCGCGAGGCGCTCTCTTACTGTTGCTAGAAAACCAGGGGGCGCGCTGGCGAGGGGGGATTGTTTAATTTCTCGCGAGTCACACTCGCGGGAGAATAACGGAGGCTTGGAATAACAGGGTAGGATAAAAAGTGATGCCTTACCCGGTGATGTATGATCGGGTGATGACCCAGCTGTTGAGGACTGCACCGTCGTTAGTCACGGCCGCAGTCAAAGATCGCAGAACCGCCCAGTGGTGGAACGGATCACGATGGATCCCGCACCGCACTTGGCAACGTGGAGGCACCGAGATTATTTGCGTGGATCGAGAAGTAGCAACGTACCAGCCAGGCCAGCGTCGGAGAGCAGATCGGTGAAACCCATATTGGATCGACCTCAAGATTGTAGAGAGCAGGGAGGCAAAGAGAGAGAAAGGGGAAAGATAGAAAGGAAACAGGACCAGGTGAGGGAGAAGGGGAGAAGAAGGAGGGGTATATCTTTGGTAGCGGAAGAGGGACAGGAAAGCTCGTGAAGAAAATGAGAAGTTGGTAAAAGAAGGTGGGGTTAATTACGGCGGGATGTATTTTTTCGAAATTTTTCGAAGAGGACGTAGACGGGTGGAGTCAGGAAGGGAAAGGGTGGTCAACTCCACTGCAGGGAGCAACCTAGATAGGTACAACATTAGGTACACGTAGGTAGAGAAGACGTGAGCAAATCATCCGGCCAGGTGTCTCTCAGCTGTAGGACAGCTGATGCCGACCGCCCGCATACATGTATGTGTACCTACCTACCTACCTAGGTACCTAACTAGTGGAAGGTGCGTAGGAGGTACTTAGGTAGGTACTTTACGCATATATGCTGGGTCGTATGCTTACATGCATTTAATATTACTCTAGGCATTTACCGGGTCCTAGTATAGATTTTGCCCTTCCACTTCCTACTCTTATCGATTAGGTAGATGATAGCCGCTAAATCCAGCTTTCCCGCTAATTCGTCAATGCCGATATAGGTACGAGAGGAGGAGCTTCGATGACGGTGGCTCGATACTTCGAGAAAAGCCCAGAGTCGCCGACGACCAACAAGTTGGCCACCATCTCGTGATATCCACCTCCCTTCGGGCCTCGATAATTTCTCTCCTCCTTCCTTCTTCATACCCACACTTTACTCTCTCTCTCTCTCCAGGCAACCATCCTAATATCCACCTACCTTACCTACATCCTACCCTGGTGAAGGCTCTCTTAGCTATTCGTGTTACTTGGGTATAATTTTGACCCTCTATTCCCCTCTTCTTCTGTTACTCTCCGCTGCTCGTTTGTTCTATTCCACCACTCTCCTTTACGGTTCTCTTCTACTGCCGATTTGCCCGCCTTCACGCACTCGTCATGTTGGCGAAAAGACAACTCCTTACCACTTCGCGGCGAGTCGCTGCCGCCTCGTCTAAAAGTCTCTCTCGACTCAACACAACTCCTTCGCAGTTGTCTAGAGCCGCTCTCGTTCACACAGCTAAGGGCCTCTCTTCCGTCACCTTACCCACGCCTCCGCGCCGAACTTATGCAAATGGCCGGCCTCATCCACCAGGGGGCACTCATCAGATGAACATGGGCGGCGAACCTCAAAAGCCTGCCTTAGAGGAATTCGGAACTGACCTTACCGAGCGAGCCAAGGAGGGGAAGTTGGACCCCGTCATCGGTAGGGATGCCGAGATCCAACGCACCATTCAAGTACTGTCGCGACGGACGAAGAACAATCCAGTCCTGATCGGAAATGCGGGAACGGGTAAGACAGCTATTATCGAAGGATTGGCGCTGCGCATAGTGCGGGGCGATGTTCCGGAGAGCATCAAGAACAAGAGGGTCATATCTCTCGACCTCGGATCGCTTATTGCCGGTGCCAAGTTTCGGGGCGACTTTGAAGAACGTTTAAAGAGGGTCTTGAACGAGGTTCAAGGATCGAATGGAGAGGTTATATTGTTCATCGATGAGCTTCATACCCTCCTTGGTCTCGGAAAGGCCGAAGGCTCCATCGATGCCTCTAATCTGCTCAAGCCGGCCCTGTCTAGGGGTGAATTGCAATGCTGTGGCGCTACCACGCTTGCCGAGTACCGTCTGATCGAGAAAGACGTAGCGCTAGCCAGGCGCTTCCAGTCAATCCTCGTCAACGAGCCGACTGTCGAAGACACCATTAGTATACTTCGCGGTATCAAGGACAAGTACGAGGTACACCACGGCGTTCGGATCACAGACGGCGCTCTCGTAGCCGCTGCCACGTATTCTAATCGTTATATCACCGACCGCTTCCTTCCCGACAAAGCCATAGACCTGATGGACGAAGCAGCAAGTTCGTTACGATTGCAGCAGGAGAGCAAGCCCGACGATATCATGCGGCTCGACCAGAAGATAATGACAATCCAAATCGAGCTAGAAAGTCTTCGGAAAGAGAAGGACATAGCGAGCCGTGAACGCCGCGAAAAGCTCGAGGAAGACTTGAAGAAGCTTCAGGAAGAAGAGAAGGGCCTGAACCAAAGATGGGAAAAGGAGCGCGCAGAGATCGATGCGCTGAAAAAGGTCCAAGGGGAATTAGACAAGGCCCGCATCGAATTGGATCAAGCACAGAGGACCGGGAACTTCGCCCGGGCTTCTGAGCTACGCTTCGGCATCATCCCTAATTTGGAACGGAAACTCCCCAGTGAAGCGGAACCGGGAGCGCAAGGCCCTGACACCTTGATCCACGACTCGGTAACGGCCGACGACATAGCGAACGTTGTCTCGAGGGTTACCGGAATACCCGTCTCCAAATTGACCTCTGGGCATATCGAAAAGCTAATAAATATGGAAGAGATGCTCCGGCAGTCGGTTCGCGGACAGGATGAAGCCCTCAAGGCCGTTGCGGATGCCGTGCGCATGCAGCGGGCCGGCCTAAGCGGGGACAACCGCCCGCTAGCATCCTTCTTCTTCCTCGGCCCTACCGGTGTTGGCAAGACCGAGCTGTGCAAGAAGCTCGCCGGCTTCTTGTTCTCTACCGAATCCGCTGTCGTCCGATTCGACATGAGCGAGTTTCAGGAGAAGCACACGATATCGCGACTCATCGGTGCCCCCTCTGGCTATGTTGGGTACGACGACGCCGGTCAACTCACGGAGGCGGTGCGGAGGAAACCGTACGCGGTTCTTCTGTTTGACGAATTTGAAAAGGCGCATCGCGACATCTCGGCGCTACTCCTCCAAGTCCTCGACGAGGGTTACCTAACGGACGCGCAAGGGCACAAGGTGGACTTCCGAAACACGATCATTGTGCTCACGTCTAACCTCGGCGCTAACATCCTCGTGGGCGCCGACCGGTTGCACCCGTACACCGAGACACCCACCGGGGAGGTCAGCCAGGAGGTGCGGACGGCCGTGCTTGATGTCGTGGCCAACAGCTACCCGCCCGAGTTCCTCAACCGTATCGACTCCTTCATCATCTTCAAGCGGCTGACGCACGAGGCGCTGCGCGACATCGTCGATATACGCCTGAGGGAGCTTCAGGAGCGCCTCGACGACCGCCGCATCACGCTCGAGGTTAGCGACGAGGTGCGTCACTGGCTCGCCGAGCGCGGGTACGACCCCAAGTTCGGCGCGCGGCCCCTCAACAGGCTCATCACCACCGAGATCAGCAACGGCCTCGCCGACAAGATCATTCGCGGCGAGCTCAAGACCGGCGAGCGGGCTAGCGTCCGCATCAAGGGAGATAATTTGGGCCTGGAAGTCTATCCTATCGCGGCCACGACAGAAAATCAGCAGCAGCAGCAGCAAGATGCCGCGTCGGCGTCGTCGTAGCAGCAACCATGACCCACCACCTTCGTTTCCCGTTCCCCTCGATGCTAGTTCTATCGCGGCGTCCCGCATGTCTGAGACGGGGGCGAGAAAAAGAAAGCCCGAAAAGCATTCGGTCGGCGTTATGGTTGTGAGGGTAGGTAAAGGTAAAACTTTGCGTGTAAATAAATAAAAAAACACTTGTATTTGTAATGTACATCTCGGTCTGTATTCGGCCTCTCGCCTCAATGCAAATGCACATATACTATTTGCACATGTATATACATAAATATACCTATGCTTGCTGCACATTACGCATCTTATTGCCATCCGCGTTGACGATCCGCCGGAAGACTCGAGTGTTCGTTTCCCTGCCCCTCATGCTACCGAGCCGCGCAGGCCGGCTTGATGCATTTATGAAGAGTACTACATACCGACGGATCAGACAGCTCAAAAACGGCATCCTAGATAGTATATATTCTCTCTCTTTTTTTTTTTTTAAATTAAATATGGTACAACTAGTTTTACCAGGCCATCGCCGGTGTCCCCCCCCCCAAGCTATAGCTTGCTTGCCTGTTATACCTATATATATATATCTGTCGTGTGACCTGTCCCTTCTTCTTTTCTTCCTCCCCCTTGGTTGCTTTGCGTGGTGGCCAAGCTGAATGACCGTCCCTGTCGCCTCCCCCCCTTATTCCCGACTTCTCGCGGCCCCGACAATATGCTTCTGTACAGTAGATGATGACATAGATATATATATACCGAGGAGATCGAAAGCAAGAGACGTCGATCCTCGTCCATCCGGAATACAAAAGAAAAAAAAAAGGAGCTACAAAGGAACTTTCCCAGCGGAGAGCTGCTGAATTAGAGTAAGGAACGACTTTTGGTATCCCCACCGACACCCCCGTTCCCGGCCCGTCTCTCGTCGTCCCCACACTCGCCTCTTCTCTTCTCTGCGCGGATAGACACGATCACATCGCGGTCCCGGGCAGCCTCGTCTCGACGTCCAAGTCGGCGTCGGCGTCGACAGCGTCGGCGGGCGGAGCCGCCGCGGCGGACGACGAGGCGCCGCGCTGCGACGAGCGCAGCAGCGCCGACCGCAGGTCCACGACGGCGCCGCCGAACACGGACGGCTGCGCCTGCTCGTGGAGGCCGAGGTACCCGGCGCTGCCGAACACGCTGCGCTGCGAGTGCAGCGCCCGGCGCGGGCTCGGGCTCGGGCTCGGCTCGCGCGGCGGCCGCTGCCAGGGGACGTGCTTCTCGCGCGGGTCCCGAGGCGTGGTCGCCTCTGCGGGGCTGCCGTCGTCGTCGCCGCCGCCGCCGCTTTTGCTGGGGGAGCCGCTGTTGACGGGCGTGGCGTAGTCGTAGTTGGACGAGGAGTAGCTCACCTCCGACGTCGTGGTCGCCGTCGGCGAGCTCGAGAAGTCGAAGTCCGGCTTCGTCTGCGCGAACGAAGACGTGCTGGCGGTCGGCCCGCCGCTCGCGCGCCGCGGCGTCGAGGCCGCTGGCTCGGCGGTTCTGTTGTTGTCGTTCGCCGGGGTTCCGTCGGCTGCGCCGGCCGCAAACGGGTCTTCCTTCTCCGCGGACGGCGTCGATGGGGACGCGGCGCCCGGCGCTTGTATGCTGATCGAGGGGATGTGGGCGTCGCCGTTCGGCGCGCCTGGAGCGGTCGAAGTTTCTTCTGTCGGGTCGGCGGTTGTGGGGTTGGCGCCCTCGCTTTCCTGGTCCCCGTTCACGCCCTGTTCTTGCGCGGAATGGGTGGCGCGGAGAGGCGACAGGGGGCGGGTTCTAGGGGATTGTCGCAGTATAGGCGACGGCTGGGCCTGGTTCCTGGGCGGGTCCTGATGCGTCCCGCTTCCGATACCGTCGGGGTATTTGTGGCCCTCGTCGTCGCTGTCGAACACGGCCGCATCCTTGGAGTAGTCTACGCTGGCGCGGATGTGGTGGATCTTGGGAGTGATCACTGTGGAGAGTCTAGGATCAGCGACTTTTGCTCCTTGTGAAACCAGGTCCGAAATCCCAAATGCCTCCTTTTGACGAATCGCCTCGGGATATACTCACGTAAGCTACTATTTGGGGACTCGTCTCCGCTAAACTCCAGACTGGGCGTCGACGAGGCGATGGAGGGCTCGTAGACTGGCGTCAATCCCGACTCTCCTGATTCCGCGTTCCTTACGTGGGGTACCTCCTTCTCCTCAACGCCTATCGTGCTTCCATTCGGGGTTCTTGGGCCCGATGTCAGCGCTGGGGCTGCCTGCGGTACGCCCTTGCCCGTCGGCAAGGGAGATGTGATAGCCTTCTGCTCTGAAATTTTTCCCTCCTCGCCCCCCTGGGCGTCCGAGGTGGCGGCGTCTTCTACATAGCCTTCCAGCCCTGGTACTAGTGGGAACACACGGGCGCCCGTCTTCGAGTAGATGACGGTTGGCGATTTCGGAGCAGGTTCGTGGGTGGTGCTGGAGGTTTCGGGGCTGTCATTTCCAGTACGTGTGGGAGCCAGCGCTGTGCTTCCTGACCTTCCCTCTCTCTCCGCGATGCTCCTCGAGCTGGAGGACGCGGCGCCACTCCGAGGCTCTGATGCTGGGCGAGAAAATTCGTCGGGGGTGTCTGCAACGTCTAGTGGGACCGGCGCAGCAATCCCGAGCCCGTTCGCAGGGATGGCGATATCCGCCGTGTGAGTAGAACGGGCCTTCTCTGAACCGCCAGACTCTTTAACACTCGCGGCTTCATTATTTTCCTTTTCTTCTTCAATCGTACAAGTATCTTTGCATATCATCTCGATATCCCGCTCGATACGCTGCCGCAGTCGGTCCAGAACGTAAGCCTTAGGCCTTTGTGCGGGCTTCTGTAGAGGCTTCGCTTTCTTATTTCCGGCTGGCTCCAAGGGCTCTCGCGATACGAATGTTTTGTCGAGGATGAAGTGGCCGCGTTTGTGAGCCGTCATCCGGACTGACGTGGCGTTGCCTCGCAAGGTATCCGCCACGCCCGCTTGAACACGATCCAATATCGCTTGAGCACCTCTTCGAGAATGTGTGTTTGATGCGCCCAAGACGAAGAGGAGAGGCTCATCTAGCGACCAGCCGTGGCCGCGAAGCTCTGTAATCCTAAACTCGATGTCGTTCATCTGATTGATCGTGTCATCCGTGCTGTCTCTAACTGTGCCGAAAGCAACCTCCACCTGGTTAACGAAGGCAAGGCAATCCTCGATCTTGGAATGGAAAGAAAGACTGCTGTTACAACGGATGGACCGTTCCAAGTTAGGGAACTGGGGCCCGATGTTGTTCACGACGGAGAATCGCAATTCCAAACTATCGCTGTCGTGGTGCCGGCAATCTTTGCACCCGTCCACCTTCATACATTGATTGTGAAGAGCGTTGAACTCGTCTCTTTCCGTTTTCAAGACGCTTTCCAGGGCGTACGACGCCTCAAAGAACAAATTCTCCGCCTCTACCGAATTGAGGGGCGCCGTCTGACGGCTGCTAATCTCAACCGACGTTTGCCATTCGGATGGCGTCCGGCGGTGGCATCGACTCGTAAACGAAAAGTTGATCGTGTATCCCGGTATAGACTCGAAGGACTGCGTCTTCTCCAGGAAATAGGAGCGCGGCACGCACGCCATGGGTTGGACCCGGCCCGCGCGATGAGGGAACTTCTCGAGCTCTTGCCGCGGGTCGTCTCGTACAGGGCCGTCTGTGAAGACAAACCCTTCGTCGTGGTGCTTTAAAAAAAGCCCTATCACCTGGTGAGCCGATATGATGACCTCTTTTGCGGCTTCGGCTGATAGGGTTTGCTTCTGATACGATTTGAACGTCCTGGATGCCCAGACGTCACACCAGCCTTGAATGATATTGATCTGGATCTCAAATCTCAACGGCTTATCTGATCCACTCGCTGCTGCGTATTCCATGGCGGTCGAGTCCTTCCGAGTAATCAACTCGTAGCAGCAGTGATCTATGCGTCTCAGCAGACCCTGACATAGCGCCTCAGTGGCTCGGAGCGAGGGCGATGCCTCATAGTTGCGACTATAGGCGTAGCTAAGCGGCTCGTCGAATGTGATAGTGAGCTGGACGGCAAGGTCTGACTCGGTTAGAGAGCGGCGCGGGACCAGCTCCGGCTCGGAGGTCGGCTCGGTGACTTGGGATACTTCAAGAACTTGGGATACCTCGACTGGGGATCCCGGGGATTCCTCTAGGAGTTGACGGGTCGCGGAAAGTTCGGATATCTCGGGGTCTTGAGGCACCTCTAGGAGTTGGGGAGCCGCAGAGATCTCGGAGACACCGGGGATTTGAGGCATCTCGGCTGCCTCAGGGAGTGTCGGCTCAGGGGCCTGAGTGACGGGCACGGCAGATACTTCAGGCGCCGGAAGCACTGTAGGCAATGCAGGGACCTCAGGCACCTCAGGCACCTCAGGCACCTCGGGGACGCTGAGAACACTGGGCGCTTGGGTAACGGAAACGACGTCGGACATGGAACCTTCGCTCTTCTTCCCTTCGTGACGGCGGGTGGTGAGCCTCTTCATGTCGTTGACGAGGCTCTTGAACCTGACGGGGAGGACCCCCGACTTGGCCCGGCGTCTCGACACGTCTGGCCCCATTTTCTAAAGATGTTTGTCGACAAAGCAACGAGCCAGCAGCCGACGAAACATGTCGCCTAGAGCGAGTGTGTCAGAGGGAGAAGAAAGGGGGAGGAGAGGAGTTAGATCATGATGCACGCAGGACACAGAACATGAAATAGATATCAAGCGCGCCGCCTAAGGAGCCGTGTACCCGAATCAGTTAGGGCTGACAATCTACCGTAAGGTGTAAAAAAAAACATGCCACAGCATTGCCATCCGCATTCCGAGATTGACCGGCCTACCGGCTGCGCCGTGTTGGTCCATACGATGGATCTACGCATCGTCTGATTGGGGCTTCCCCCATATATGACTCCCGCTCGCTTTGCCTCTTCGTGCCTTACGCCCGTTCTTAGATCGAAACTTAGCCCGTCGCATCGTACTTAGCACGGCCATTAAGCTGGAGGCACCGGTCTGCCTACACGCTCGCGGTGCAACCCACGGAGTCGGGAAACGCGCGCGAGAGGAGGGAAACAAAAGGGGCACGTCGGTCCAATTAGACGAGCCTGGGGCGGCGTCTACCGCCGGTTGGGTATCCATGTGACCCTGGTTTGAGGACAAGGGCCGGAGGGAGAACAACGCAGTGGCATGATCCTCATTCGTCCGATCAGTGCTGACGTCCGATCCCAATGACGACTTGCCTGGTGTTCACTTATCTCTTAGCCGACGTAGCCCGGCCGTGGCGTCTGCGTTCGTGTCATCAAAACCCGACCCCCGCTCGTTTTATGTGCGTCGTGGTTGGGGGGAGGGGGGGGGGGCGTCGTTCCGGAGGCGCCCCAGAGCGTACACATGGCTCATCGTCATTTAATAACGATCCTCTCGACCAATGGCACGCCCGTCAGTTATTGATGCGCAAATAGGCTTGGGATCGGGCCGCAGGCTGGTAACCAGAAGACCCGCGAGTACATGCAAGTAACCCATCCGTCCGAGCACGCGTTTGCCTACCATCGTCGGCCTCTTCTCCCCCTCTCCTCTCGGTAGATGCCGGGTAGGCCCACCTCATGATGGCCCACTTAGGTAGGTACCAAGACCTCGGGAAGAAGTCTCCTGGGCTTGCGGTAGGATTCCGCGCGCTTGTTGATACCCGCTGTAACTGGAGACCCTTCGGGTTGCTTCGAGCTGAGTGAGACTGGCCCAAGGCGGCAGCGAGGGCGTTCATTGGAACCAGGCAATCGTGAAAGCATCCCTAGTGCATGAGGGGTGCTTGTGCATATGTGTGTATTAGGTAGGTATGTGTAGAGCCTGATCCGAGCTGTCACTTAACGCTCTTACTCACTCGTTACCCAGGTAGTTCCCCGCTGCTGTCGTGCTGTCGTGCTGTCATGTTGTCTCACAGGAACTAAATAGGTATGTGTTATCATTTTAACTTGTATCCCCCCCTCTCGCCCCCCTGGTCCACGACCAGGCAGGGCGATGAGCTCGCTTGCTTTGCCCCACGTAATACTCCACGATTACCTCTTTTGTGCTGGCGATGGGACACATGTTCTCCTTCGCGGCCACTACCGCCTTACACTCCCGCGCTACTGCGGAGGGCCTAAGCCCTCTTCAAGTAGCCCTGCACGCACGCCTCCGTTTGTACGGAGAGCGCTCGAGACCAGCTGCAAATACGTAGACAGACAGAGAGAAAGAAAACAGAGAGGGGAGAAGGAGGGAGAGGATAGCTGAATCCCAGGGTATGATGCTAGTGCTCCCTGCTTCTAGGAAAGACGCGTCGATTCTCGCAATATGATCTTTCAACTAACAACTCTCTTCTTAAGGCGCGTTACCCTCTACTATTTCGCTAACCAGGGAGCTGCTGATAAGCAGCTAGGCACCGTGACAACGCAACGTCGACTCGTCCTCAATTCCATCCTCCTCCAACAAGTGATCAACAGGTACCGCGTACTAAGATCGACGAGCTAGGTAGTAATACCTCGAGGCAGCCACACCGATCATGGCAGGACCGAAGAGGAAGGCGAAGAAGGGCGTCAAGTCTAGCGTCCAGGAGAAGGTCGTATCGGACTGGGCCCGCTACTTTGGACCGGGCGATCTTCCCGATTGGCAACGCTTGATGGCGGATCTGGGCTTCGAGGAGCAGTTCGCCAGTAAGACCCAGTGTCGAAAGGTAGGTATAAGAAGGACCCGGGCGATAACACGTTGCGTTACTAGCGCTAGCTAACCTCATCTCCACTTCGCAAGGCTCTCAAGGGCGTCTGGGTCAACATCGTCGATTTCCTCGACAATGTCGAGGCGGGTTGCGCGCCCCACCGCTTTCCAAATAGCACCCAGCTCGCTAAGTATACGAGAAATAGCGGGAAGATTTACCCTAAACGTCACATACAGGAGAAGAGTCCGCTTCGAAGCCTACTTGCCCACATTTTCTAACGTGGGGCGGGAAGGACGGGTAAGGCATCCCCGTCAGTCTCGGAATATTGTCAGGCACCCCTGATTGGGAATATTGTATGCTATGTAAAGGGTGTATGTGCGTGCGTGTCTGTGTGGGTAGGCAGCATCTATTTGCGGAAGATTCCCGTAATTCCCGAAATATCTAGTGTCGGATCTCCCATAGTCTAATTGTGCCCGAGTCGTTGCCAATAGCCAGCAAGTCGCTCTTCCTCCCGAATGCTACCTCTGAGATTCTACCGAGCGGCGTCTGCTCTGTCGGCCAGTTCCTGTAGACTGTGCAGCTTGGCAGGTGTGCGAGTTTCAAGGCGTCCTTTTTATGCTTGCTGCCGAACGCCAGCAGTTGTCCGTCGGGGCTGAAGGTCAGCACCGTCACCGCCGTCGTGAGCTGCATGAGTCTCCGGATAGGCGTCGGTCGCTCTTCGATCTTTATTTCGTCGTCTTCTGAGGGTAAGATTAAGGCGTTCCGGTCATATATGTTAGCCACGCCGCTACTCGACCCGATCGCTACCCAGCGATCGTTTCCGAGAAGGACAGGACCATCGAGACCACCGAGCGCTATCACCGTTCCGCTGTTGGAACCCTCATCGTTCCATATCGCTAGAAAGCGCCTCGTCTCCATGTTCCATTCGCCGACCTGACCATTCTGGCCTAGGATGGTAAGACCGCGCCCGTTACTCCACCAGCAGAAATCTGCGATCCCGCCTCTGCTGTCCAGTCTTGCAGCAGCGATCCATTGCATGGTGTCGGCGCTCAAGATATTGATGATGCCGCCGCCTTTTCTTGTCGAAGCAACTAGGCCTAGGTATTTTCCGCAGGGGCTGAGTTTGAAATGTTCCCATGTCTTCTGTTCCAGCTGATGGCCTTGTATCCTGTGAGTTTTTTGTACAGTTCCCGTCGCTAGGTCCCAGGAGTGGATGTATCGCCGCCGCCCAGCAAAAAAAATCATGTCGCCGACAGGGCGTAAGAATTCGGCTCTCTGGATAGGCACCTGCTTGACCTGGACGGAAGTCAAGAGGGGGTTCGGCCTCGGATGAGCTGTCGGGTCTATGTGATGCAAGTACAGTACCGAGGACACGCTGGTAGATAGGAGGACGGGGTATTTGGGATGGAAGGCGAGAGACGTAACGGCAGCCTTGTGTGTATCGGGGATGTCTCGTGATCTTTGAATATCGATGACTTCCGGGCGAAGCTTTTTTGTCTTTCCTGTCTTGCGACTTTGCAATCTCTTGGCATCCCGAAGAAGAGCGTCCAATGGCAACGCAGACACTTCGATATGGTCGTCGTCACTTGCCTCTTCACTAGATACCTCCGAGTCGCTCGTCGTCGCAGAGGACCGCCGTCGACGCTTCGCGGGGCGCTCGTCGGCCTCTCGTGCCCACCCGGGGTAAGGATTTAGCCGCAGGTATTCCTGCCGTAGCCGCCTCGTATACTCAGCGCCGTTTACGACATCGTCTGCCTCGCTGACCCGCAGCCTCCGTAGCTGGCTGAGACTGGCTAGCGACACAGTCAAACGCTCGTCGTCGCTATCTTCCCATGCGGGCTTGTCCTTCTCCGCGATTTCCCGACTCTTCGCGGCGGACACCACGGCAGATTCCTCGTATCCCTTGGATGCAGCGCCTTGGAGGTCGAAGGCAAAGAGATCCGCATCGTCCACAGCTTCTAAATCGGACTCGGGTTCGTCTTCTCCTCCCTCGCGATCGGTCCGAGGGGCGAGGCCGGCGCCGCCAGCCTTCGATTCGTCGCGAAATAGATTGTGACGGAAACTTGCGGCATCGCCGAGCACAAATCGTTCGAGTTCCTCCTCATCCGAGTCCTTGTCGATTGTTTGCGCTTGGTAAGTGTGCGACGCTCCTTCGTCGCTGGCGAACTCGAGTTCGTCCTGTGCGGACGAGGACACGGAGTCATTGTCACCCTCCGGCCGGTTCGGAGGCATCGCACGATTTGCTTATCGAAACAAAGCTGAGGGTAGAAATTCGATTGCTAGCAGAAACCCGGCTGGGATGAGTTTGGGTAGGTAGATTAAGTCTTCTAAATCGTAGTTTGTATGGTGGTGGCTCCCGTTTTTTTACTCTTTTTTTCTCTCTTCCCAACCTGTCCCACCCTCCAATCAGAGCCCCCTGTTCTCATTCGAGTGCAAGGTACCTGCGGGCGCGACGAGTGACGTCGACCTGTGGCGCTGTAGCGGAAACCGAGCTCCACAATAACCCTGTAACGGCCTAGCCAAAGTGGCTAGGCCTACATACTTACTCTCATCTTTCCCTCAACTGTCCAACTCATGATGGACCAACAGCTGTCAAAGGTAATTGAGAGCAATCCTATCGGGCCTGGGCTTTATGCTTTCCTCTCCTCGTTCGGCTCGATCTGCGAACGCACAAGCATGCCTGGCGATCCTGCCGCCCTAGAACGACTTGGTCGGGAAGATGAGCCGAGTTGCGCAGCCTCGTGGTTTTCACTCAATATGGTTATCGGATTTCCTGTAGTTAGATCTCCAGGATCTCGCCGTCATCCTTCTATCGGCATTGATGACACTTCCAGCTGCTCTTCATCTCAGGGCAGCTAGCGGGGAATCGCTCTAAGTCGGAATCACTAGACTTGGTGCATCCATCACGTCTGACAACTTCGACCCCGATCATGTTCGGCCCCTTCTAAGCTTGGCTCTTCCCGATAACCCCGACCGTTCTTCCATCTGGGATCAAGTCTACAGTGCCGTCGCCGAATCCACCCCACCTCCTTTCCGGACAGCATCTTCTATCCAACCAACCCCCTGGCTGCGTAACACCAGTAGCTTCGCGAACCCATTGGAACACCGCAAATTCGTTGATGCCCTACTGAAACAGGAGCTTGGCCTCATGTATGTCGGGCACCCTAACTTTGCGTATTTTGCTGGCGTGTCCGACCTAGCCGCAGCATCTGAGGCATATTTTCAGCAGTGTGTAGGGGGGTGCCAGCCCGCTCTTCAGCAACGGCTGGGTGGGTTGGCCGGAGGCGGCGGAACAAAACGACGTCCTCTGTTGGTTTGCGGGCTTTTGTGAAGGGTTGACGGCTTTTGCAGAGGCTCGTAAGCCTAACCCAGGACACCCACGGATGGTATTGGCACAATCTGATACGCCGATTGGCGGCTCCGTAGGAAAACGCAAAATGGATATCGGGTTTGTGAGCGTTGGGGAAGATTCGAGATACCGCTGGTCCCAGATCCTTGTGCCAGGAGAGCTAAAGAGTAACCCACCTGCCGATACGCCCTCAGAAGCATAGCTTGATCTCGGGACCTACGCGAGAGAAGTACTCGCTGCACAGGATACCCGTCGCTTTGTTCTAGGATTTACCATCTATGGATCTCTCATGAGAGTATGGGCCTTTGGAAGGCTTGGTGGTATCGCTTCTGAGCAATTTAATATTAACCAGGATGGATTTCGGGTTGTTTTCACGATCCTCGGCTTTCTATGGATGGGTGAAGACGAACTCGGGTTTGATCAAACCCTATTCACGACAAACGAAGAACGCTTTTTTATAATCGAACGGAGCGGTTTCACGGAGAAGATCATTATTGATAAAATGATGCAGCGGGGGCGGTGTATAGCCGGCCGGGCGACCACCTGTTGGAAGGCTCATTCCGAAGAACATCCAGAAATACCGCTGACCGTCAAAGATTCACGGCAATACGTTGAGCGCCATGAGGAAGGCGAGCTCTTACGTGAAGTGACCGAAAAAGGCGTTGTTAATGTGGCTCGGTATTATTATCACGAGACAGTTCAGATTCGCGGGATTGATGATGATGTCCGGGACAATGTTCGAAGGGGGTTAGATGTTACGACAGCCACGAACTACCGGCCAGGACGTCCAATACGGCCAAACGACGCGGTGGTGAATTCGTCCCGGAAAGGTCATAGTGGCAGTAAGAAGCGGTCATCTAGCCAAACTGATTCCCTTTTACCCCCGAGCAAGCGATCCTTTTCAGTATCCCCAATGAAGATCATCCGTCCACTGCCGAACCGGGTTCATCGGCGTATTATCCCCCGAGATTATGGCCAGCCTATTTATAAAGCGAGCTCTACGTCCTCGTTGCTCGCCGCTCTACGCGGTAGAGGGCTGTCTCAAAGGCCACGAGTCTTCATATAAGGCAGGCATACTTCATAGGGACGTATCAATCAACAATCTGATAATAAATGAAGACAGTTTAACCCGTCCTGGCCTTCGCTTCTGATCGACCTCGACCTCGCTATAAAGGAGCAGCGAGACGGCGCCTCAGGAGCGAAGGGAAAGACCGCCTCGAGGGCTCCCATGTCAATCGGAGCACTACCAGGCAAGCAGCACTCGTTCATGCACGACCTGGAGTCGTTCTTCTGGGTACTTTTCTGGCTATGTATCCATTACGATGCAAACGGTCGACATATCGGACCGACAGGGTTCAATGGTTGGGATTACGAAAGCGATGCCGGATTAGCGGAGAAGAAGAAAGGAGTGATTGTCGACGAGGGAGTTTCTCGTGAAGGCGGAAAAAAATTTCTGGCCATACTACTGACCATCAATTTCGTGTGTCGATAGACTGCGGAGGGATGTGTTTCCTAATGGTAAGAGGTGGAAGAGGTTAGAGTCAGGGCTCTATCCATCGATGATGAAGACCCTTCGCCAGGCACGGAAGGACCCAGAGGCTTCAGAAGATGGGTAACAAGATGGCGGGGCTACTCACAATTGACCGAGCTGTGCGTGTAATCACAGCCTCCGTAGCAGACCGGGTTGTCACCGCGCATTCCGGTGTCCGGTGGCTTGAAAGCATGGAATTCGCATCAGCTCCTTTCAAACACGTGCCGTCTCCGCGAACCCCATCGTGGGCAATCAGGAGTAGGAGCTATCCCCAAGAGAAGACGATCGCTACGGGGCCTCGAGGGATTCTGGAACGAGAGCGTGCCGATCAGAAGACTTGGACGGAAGAACCCTATTGCCCATACTATCTGGCGCAAACGGTGAAGCTAACACCTCCACGAACCACTAGACAATCGATACACTTCCGAGCGCACATCTCGTCGACATTCGCCTCCACTACGGTGGCTGGTAACAATGGACGAGTCCAGCAATTGACAGCGGTACGTTCTGTTACGAGGCTGGACTCGGTGGATGCACCTGATCAATGTAAGTCCTACCCGGGTCGATTTGAATCTTGACATGCTTCCCGCCAGCACGTTGGGTACACACCGCCTAGGTACACGCTAGAAGCAGGTACATCCCCCCTGAACCTCCTCATCTTATACAGGCACCCTTCGTCCAAAGAGGTCCTAGGAGGTAACAGTATATATGTGTATGTATTATATCTGGGCGTATAAATATAAATACTCTCACATGAATTCACAAGAAGATCGGCAGTCGCCGTAATTCTTCATACGCACCCGGTTTTTCCCCCCACGCCTCTCTATTCAAGCCAGCCTTGCCTCCTCGGTGCCTAGAGGGGACTTGGACTGCGTGAACACACCAGTGTCACCAGGAATGCGAGGAAGCAGCGGCAGCTAGTTCGTCCCTGAGTATGCCCAGATCATCGCTCACGGACTGGGGGCTGCGGAGCGTCAGGACCGCCGCCTTCTGAGCGATGTCGACCAGGTCTTCCACCCGGCCGCCCTGAGCCAGGCCAGCGACTAACACGCCGAGGAAGGTGTCGCCGACGCCGTTTACCGACACCACGTCGTCGACCTGCTCCGCCGCGGGGAACATGCGCATGTAGACGCCCCCGATGTCGGAGCTGCCGCTAGGGCACCTCGAGAGGATGAATCTGTCGTGGGCCGCGCTCGCGAGGCGAGGGTGGTCCCTCGCCAGCGCCATCGTCAGCAGGGAGCCGCCGCTGCCCACCTTGGTGACGATCGTCGGTATGTACGGGAGGAGCTGCACGGCCTGCTGCGGGATGCCGGCGTCCGTCATGCTGGCCGACGTCAGCTGGACGAAGCGGTCCCGCGCGCCCCGCATGCCGAGCGCGTCGATGACCTCCCACCACCGCGAGTCGTCGAGGTACTCGTGCCGCTGCGCCGCCGCGTGCATGGCCGCCAGTTCGTAGTGGTTCGGCGTCGCCAGGTCGACGCTGGAGTGCGGGAACACGCCCAGGCGCTCCACGTCCTTCTCCGTGCAGAACAGGCGCGACGACTTCTCCTTGGACACCGGCTCGAAGACCACCCGGGCCTGGTTTCGCTTCCCGGCTTGTATCCAGGCCCGGATGTCGCGATCCGTCCAATTGGCGTCAACCACGAGCCACTTGGGCCTCGACCCTCTTACCGTAGACCTCCAGTGCTGCGGGAAAGAGTGAGCTGTGAATATCCCCATATCCGCCATGGCGAGGACTAGGTTCTTGTTAGCATCGTTGACTGCCACGTATTGGGCGGTCCGGTTGGCCGGGTACTGTTGGCGGCTCAGCTGATGAATGCACGACGTGTCCATCCCGCTGGCACGTAAGGATGATAATATTGTCGAACCAGCCCTGCTTTGATTAGCAGCCGCCACAATGAGGATCGATGCGATTTTGGTAACTGACAGGTCATCGCCAATTAGGCTGCAGAGTCTCACTTTGGACCCCTGCATGATCTTGTGGGCAGCGAGCGCTACGTTGTGGCCGACGCCCCCGACGGATTGGCCGATATGCGCTGGGTTCGATGTGTGAAGATGAGGAGTCGGATGTTCTAGGGAGTCTTCGCCAGCGTAGTCACAGCTCAAGTCTACGGCCACAGAACCAGCGACGAGGATATCAGCCTGAGAAGCAGCCTTCGATTGTCAGCCAAGCTCCAGAGCTTCGCAGTCGCAGAGGTCAAGCAAAATGTATTCGGTCTTCCCCACCTACGGATGCTCTCTCTTACTTGGGACTTCCCAGAGTGCATGGAGTCTACACGTATATTTACCCATACCTTTGCCTCGCTTGGGTTATCCTCTGTCGATGCACTCCGGCTCCTTGAAAATTCGCTCTGCTGTTCCACCCTGGGCCCTATAAGTTGGACTTCTCTGTAATCAAAGCCAGGAGAAGCTCGAAGCTTACGAATTATTGTAAGATACGGAACCCCCCGCGGTGAGCTGCGAAAGCGCGACAGCTATTTTAGTGGCCCGTTCAACATTTGCTTGCACGAGGGCTTTGTTCGCCGGCACACTGCGCCCATCAGTGAGTTGTCTAATTCTCTTGAGAATAAAAGGCGTATTGTCGCTGCCGCGGGCACCCTGCTCGGTTGATTCCCGGACTGCCTGTTCAATAACGCCATCCATCTCACTCCTCGAGATGGAATATTCCTCGGGTATCGGGTTAGCGAAGAGAATTCCCGACTCAATACCCAATCTCTCCTGGGCCAAGATCATGGCGGCTGCTTGTTCCTCGTCTTGCACGACAGAAGGACTTTTTATGCCGCTGTCCCGCGCCCAAAAGGCTGGGAAGTCCACGGCACCCGTTCGACCGTCGACGAAGGTCGATACGAGCACACCCTGAGTCTCCAGGTACTCCAAGGTTCTAGGGATATCAAGGAATCCTTTGCAACCGCTGCAGATAACAGCCATCCTAGTTCGCCCAAGTTCGGTGAGATCGGCAGATATGTCGAGTGAATCGTGCCCACCCCGGTGGACACCACCGAGACCGCCGCTGCCAAAGACCCGAATTCCAGCAAGCCTGGCCAGAACCATGGTGCCCGCAACCGTAGTGCCTCCGTGGATTTTCTTGCCCGCCATCCCCTACACAAATTCGCACTCAGAAAGGGGAACGCGGGGGGGCAAACATGAACTCGGGAGGCATATAGGTACAAGGGTTCAAGCATACCATGCCAACAATATAGGCAAGATCTCGCCTAGAGGCTTTCTTCGGCGAACCCTCGACCATGCGTGCCACCTCCTCTGGCAGGAGGCCGACCGTGGGCACGCCTCCGAGAATGCCAACGACGGCAGGGACACCACCATTGCGCCGGACGATCCCCTCTAGGTCCAGATCATTGCCTAGAGCGCCGTGAGTATAAATGGTGGTTTCGAGCGCCACAACAGGTTTGTTGGTAGCCAGAGCGTCAGTAACCTCTTCGGATATTCTCAGTATATCCTTTAAAGCCGAGACGTTTCCCAGGGCTGAGATGCATCCCGTTCTCTGGGAAGTCGAAAAACGCCGTCGACCAGCACGTGCAAGCAAAGCTTGTCGGCCGTAATGGCGACAATAGTTTCGAGCCGAGAGCCACGGCCTGTGTAGAGACATCATTGTGGCGGGTTGCCAGATGCTTATGAGTACCCCTAGACAGACGACGGCAACTACTCGCAAATCAGTGCTGACGACGTGCGCTAGATAGGGAGGGAGGGTAGAGATCGGTGTAGGTTATTTATCTACTTTCTTGTTAAGGGGGAGGCTTACACAATGTTCCTATATGGAGAGGCAGGTCTATGGCGCTTCCTACATGAAATCTGGGTAGGTATGTAAGCACGTAGTACACGTTACCTTCGCGCCTGTCAGCGGGTTGAAGTCTCACGCAAGTCGACGAAGTCGTAAATTCGTGGCTGTTGTCAAATGTAGGCACGTACCTAGTAAAGATCAGCACGTCGTGTCGGGGTTAGAAGAAAAGCAGTAGAGGCGAGAGCCACGAGCAATGAAAACGCGGACAGGGTTACCTGAGATAGGTAGGTACCTAGGTACCTGAGGCGGGAGACGAGTACTTGTGGACAACGCTAGCATCGAGCTAAGGTACCTAGGTACCTGGCCTCCTACAAGCCAAGGGCTCTTTACTCATATATCGTAGGTAGTAGAAGCACCTTAACTCTCGCTTATAGTACTGAGTAATGCATATAACTTATGCTATGAGGACCTGTACGTAGCTACCTGTTAATCAGACCTATTGACTGATAAAAGTGCCCCCGGGATTTGCGGTCCGTGCGCCCTCGACGTTGCAATCTTAAACCTGAAACCGCGGGGGGCTCCCCTCGTGAGCTTCATCGTCCTTCTAAAACCACCCCCGTCTTCGCAACCCGAGAACCTGGGAATCGTAGTATAGCCAGAATGGCTAATCAGCACGTTTATAGCGCTGTTTAAACGCACCAGCGTCCTCTCTTTTCTCGCGCGATGGCGAGAAACACCACGCATACATAAGCGTACGATCCGAGCAGGGGTCCGATAAGGGAGAAACTCCCTCTCGCCGTCGGGAAGATATGCGAGAAATCCTCGAGGCAGGTAACCCGGTATGTTCGACATGATCATGCATGCTAGGCAGGATGATCGAGGGCCCGGCACGTCCTGTGCCGTGGGACCCCCAAGTTCTCGAAGTCGGCCAGGGGTGCCGTGCTAGTCATAATTCACCCAGATTACTATTACCGCGTAGTACATAGACATACCTACCTAATAACCACTCGAATCGCCCTTCGGCTACCGCATCTCATCTCGCTATCATTCTTTTCGATAGTATCTGAATAATTTCCTTCCTACTCACCTACCGATTGCTTATAGAGCACCCACTGTGTGGCAACCCTATAAGTTGAATCGGTGTATAGTCTTCCTTCCGCACCTGGCGATGTGGTAATCCCCCTTACCCTCTCGCCTATCTCCTTCATAGTCCCTTCGTAGTCTGTCTCAGCGCGTCTCTCAGCCAGACGCAACCCAACAGACCCAGATGGTGTCTTCAACTTACGTCACCGTCCTTTTCTCAGCACTCGCGCCCTGCATATCGGCTCTCGAATTTACGATCGCGGGCGGCCAGATATTCACACCTGGCTTCGCTGTCCTCAATGCGCCACAGCCAGGCACGCCTCTCGGGGGAGGTATGTCTCTCCCATGCCCAGGGGTGAGGTGAACAGGGCCTAATGCATCAGATATTCAGACACCATCGAGGTGGCCCTCGATGTAACTGCCAACGGCAGATTAAGTCTTCCCCCGTACGACGACGGCAGTCCTAGTCGTATCCACAACATCACCATCTTCCTCTACAGCTACGACACGGGGAGGAATTTCACCATAACGAACGGGACGGCGTCGGAGAACGATGTAAGCCTCGGAGACATCATGCAGTCTGAGCCGGGGAGCACCGTCAAGCATGTAAAATGGAACTGGCCGACCTGTCTCGTCGGCGACGGAAGGCCGACAACTGCAGACAGCGACCGAGGGGCGTACAACGTCAGTATCTCCAGCGCGGCCACTCATCTGTCTATGTAGTCGAGGTTGGTCGACTTCACTCACACTCGCGCAGATTTCCATCCGCCAGAACTTCCGCTTGAACGGGGAGGACCATTACACCATCTTCGACGTCCCGATCTCGGTGACGAACCGGATCGACTTCACCGGCAACAACCCGCCTTGCGACGCCGTCGACAACCCTCTGCTGGCGCCGGAAGAGATCGACGCCCAAGCTGCGAACAGCGTCGGCGTCCTCTTCGCGCCGGGCGATTCGACGATCATCCAACAGTCTGGCTTGGGCAGCGCTGGCAGCCAGGACGGGATCGGACCGCTCAAGCCGGAGGCCGGCCCGGGTGACGGCCTGGGAAGTGCTGCTAGCTCAGTCGAATGGAGTCTTGCGGCATACTGGACCTCGTTGATCGCCATCGCTTCGTTATTTGCCTTCTAACTTTGCACCCATATATCCATATATACCCGTAAGGACTTACAGAATTCGTATAACACCTACAGCAATATATTAGGTACTTCTTGTTATCCATCTGATAGAATACCGTTATTTTCTGCCGTAACTTCTCTCACTCGTATGATTCTGCTTCCATATCCCCGTTAAACACATGCACTACCTATTGTATGCATATATCTCTAGGAAACTGTTTAATCGTATACCTAAGCCCCCATCCCGCACTATACTACATACCTAGAATAGGGAGTATGCAAGGCGGCGAGTCAGTTGAGATGAAGAGACCTTGAACCAATCGTTGACCCACCCCTTGTCCGACATTACATGTACCCATGTATCCCTCCACCTGGGAATGGGGAGAGAGCCCCGTCCGAATGCGACTACATATATGACAGGAGCATGTCTCACACGCCCCAGAGGCCTTCGATTTCGTGGCCGTAATGGGTCATGTGCCTGTTACCTACCCGCGTGAAGCGAGTATCCCGACACTGCCCGACGCTTCGAGTACATAACGAAGCCGATTTGGGGGTGCTACGCGGGCAAGTTACGCAGGTATCCGTGCCTACGTGTGACGCGTGCACCCGTCTTTCTCTCTTCCCACCCCTCTTTTATCCTGTCGTCTAGAGCTTGGACTTGTCCTTGCGACCGGTCTTGACAAACTTGGAGAACTCGCCCTTGAGGAGGTAGTCGGGGTAGCGCATGTCGGCGTCGAGGCCGACGCCCATGCCGCGGTGGCGCCAGTCGGCGCCGTCGACGATGAGGACCTCGCCGTTGACGTAGTTGCCTGCGTCGCTGAAGAGGTAGACGGTAGCGTCGGCGATGTCGCGGACGGTGCCGAGCCGGCCGAGCGGGATCCCGGCCCCGGCCGTCTTCGCGTCCACCTTGCTGCTCGCGAGCCGCATCAGGCCCTCGGTCGCCTCGATCCCGCCCGGCGCCACCACGTTCGACGTCACGCCGTACGGCCCGTACTCCACCGCCACCGACGCCATGATCGAGTCCACTGACGCTTTTGCCGCCATCACGTGCGCCTGCATCGGCATCGCCGTGTAGTGGAAGGTCGCCGACACGAACAGGATCCTGCCGCCCGTGAGCCCGTCCTTGCTGCCCTTGTTCCGGGCGGCGGACTCGACGAGGTACGGGATCGTGGCCTTCACCGTGTTGTAGGTCCCCAGCACGTCGATCTCCATGACCGTCTTGAAGCCGTTGGACGTCAGGCCGGAAATCGGCGCCACGAAGTTACCGGCAGCCCCGGCTCTGAGGGGTGCGGGGTTTAGCTCGGCCAAACAGCTTGACGCGAGGACCGGTCTACTTACATGACAAAATCGATCGCGCCGAGCTCTCTGGCACATCTCTCGGCGGCTTTCACCAGGTTCTCGGGCTGTCGCGGCAGCGTCAGCGTCCATACTCTGAAGAGGGTCGGGGGTCGGAGTTAGCCTCTCGGGGCCGCACGTACATCCCTAACATCACATCCGCCGATGCCGATGACCTTGGCACCGGGTCGGGCAGTAGCGAGATCTTTCGCGACGGCCTCGGTCTTCTCCTGGCTGCGGCCGATGATGCAGGCGTTTGCGCCGAGGTGGACGAGAGCCCTCGTCTGGGCGCTGCAGATGGTGCCGGCGCCGCCGGTTACGAAGACAACACGACCATCTGCGCGTCAGCGAGTTGTTAGCAGAGCGACTAGGCGCTTCGCGCGAAATCGAACGGGGGTCGAACCGAATATGCCCTGCTTCCACACGTTGCTGACATACTCGGAGGGCGGGATGGGCATGGCGATGACGTTGCGCTGGGGCGGCTTGCAGGTCGAAGTGAAGAACGAAGCGTATTTCCCAGGGCGAAGATGCAATGATACGCTAATGCGTAGGTCAGACTACTTGCGCAGCTCGCGGGCGGTGCTGTTGATGCTACTAGCGCTGTCGAGCTCTGTGGACGTGCCAGATGTAAGCGCTCGATGCCTCTCAGTCCCACGACACACACCCGCCGTCTTATAAGAATGAATGGAGAGACGACATTTGGCCTGGCAATCGGCCAGAGACAATGAGAGAAGAAGCCTCGGCTCGCGACCAGGGGGGAGGCAAGGGGCGGTAGGAGGTAGGTACACTCAGCCGGACGTCGGTAAGAACGGTACCTAGATACGTACTCATGCGAAGCGGAGGGATTTCAGAGACCCACGGCAAACTCCAGGTTCGACGCCGCGAGCCAATCATGTGCAGCGAGGCCGCCCCGTATCCCCTTTTCGGCGTAGGATCCGCCGATCCGCCCGCCGCCAGCCCCGGGTCGAGTTGTGGCGGAGAGCTTGGGCCAATTACGCAGAGCGGAAATGCCATTTGCAACAAACTCCGGACGAGGTTAGGTAACCTCTTGGGTCACTACCTTACCTCAGGTAGGTACCTAAGGTAGGAGGTACCTTAGGTACCTCACGCTGGAGGCCATGTACCCACCTACCTAAGGGTAGATGGAACGGGTAGGGCTTACGTTAGGTACCTGTACGAGGTAGATTAGGTGCCCGGTACCGTCCCCAAGATTAGGTACCTGCCTCTAACCTAAGCTCAGTCCTTTCGGTGCGTTTCCCCCGCCTCTTCTCGCCCCTCCCCTTCCGTCCATCCATCGTCCGTCATCCAACCCATCCAACCCATCCCCATCCGGGCCAAAAACCTCACTCACCACTCATCACCTCGTCGTCCTTCTGTCCCTTACGTGCATCACTTTGGCTCTCTTCCCTCCGCCGCTGCATCTGCTCGAGCTCGACTGTGACGTGCCGGTAGAAAACAGAAACGTCAATCTCCCTCTCCCATTCACTCATCGAACTCGGTGGCAACTTTGGCCCTGTGGCCTCCTCCTCCTCCTCCTCCTTCGACGCCCGAACCCGACCCATCATCATCGGTATATAACAATACTGGGTACGCCCGGCATACCATTGGGCACTTTGCCAAGCGTATGTGGAGCGTGCATCCCAGATTGGCCTGTCCTCGCCTCAGATACGCAGCCCGCTCAGTGTCCCACCTGCATCCCATCCGCCACCTCGATTTCGCCTTCGGGTCGACTTGATACCAACTCCATCACCACCTCGTGCCGCCTGCTTCCTTACCAGACCTGACAGCATCGCCCACACTCCGCATCGTATTGTCCGCCTCTGATCCCCGGTCTTCTTCCGCAGGCCATGGCATCGCGAAAGGTGTCTGTCCTCAAGTTTGTAGGGACCGTATCCCTCGGTCTACTGACGGTACGTTGCTCCCCGGGCTGTCGGCCTCCCGCATTTCCCCCTCCAGCAATTCCCCGCGCCTAAATACCCACGATAAGGGCAACCGCCTCAATAACCAACCACGCACGCATCGAGGACGCCTCTGCTGCCTATCCGTCAATTCCGACGCCGTGCATCTATGGGTTTGTTCATTCTTACTAACTTGCACGATACAGGGCACTTCCTACACACTCTCTACCCTCACGATCCCCTCCTTACTCGAGCTGCCTTCCGCCGCTACCGCAGCCAAGGCATTCCGATCCCTCGCGTCGACAGCATCGACCCACCTCAATATCCTCACCACCTTTTCCAGTTCTGCCTTCCTCCTCGCCTTCGTGCTGTCCCCTCGGGGCTATAGACACCCCTACCTCATCTACACCTCCCTCTTCTGCTTCGGGACCCGCCTGGCCGACTATGTGACCCCGTCCATCTTCAGCGTTCCCGTCTCCAGGTCCGCCGCGGCAAAGCGACGTGCCGCCGCCAAGGACCGCAAGGAGCGGCGCGCTGCGAAGCGTATGGAGGCTAGCTACGAGGTCCTCAGCGATGCCCACAGCGACGAGGGCAACGGCAGCGCCAGCGGCGAGGAGCTCGAGGAAGACGTCAACGGCGAGGACGTCCGCGGCGAGGTCGAGTACTTCGTCCGGAACCAGGTGGTGCAGACGGTGCTGGCCGGCGTCGGGTTCATGATGGCGGTCGTCGGCATCTGGGGCGACGGCGCCGCCGTCAACGTCTCGGAATTCGTCGTCGAATTCTAAGCTGACGGGCTTGCAGGGGAAGCGGCGGGAGAAGGGGCAGAAGCCTGGCGTGTACAAGGAGCCAGACAGATATAGTTTCGATCACTCATTACTCCGGGGTTGTCGTCATCCCGCATGTTCGGGTGGGAGGGGGAAAGCCGTCGGAAGGTCTAGAAACACCCCCCCCCCCCTCCCCCCTCCTGGGCCTTCCCAGAGGCTTGTTAGAATTGGTGCTGTAGTATTTTTTTCGACGCGCTCTCACCTCATTCTTAAGCAGTTTCGCGTAGACTTCCATAGCAAAAAGAAACAACGAGGGAAATAAAAGGGGAAAGTTTGAATCGTTCCACCCGCGACGCAGGCGGTATTCGTAGTGCCCAATGTCCACGTCTACATCTACATGACTAAACGTTTAGACAACGTGTTGCGCATCACTTATTTCCGACACATAAAGAGACCCCGTATAGATACATATATCTCGTGCGAGGCCGTCCCCATCACGCCTCCCCTTCCTCGGGCAAGAGGGGACGATGATGCCGATGGCTGACGCGCCGGCCGGCGGGCAAACAAGGAGGCGTTAGCGAGCGCCGTGCCATAGGAGCGGCTGAGAGAGAGAGCGTGTGTGTGATGCGGGCCAGATAACACGGTAGCGGAGTGACGCGGGCGGTGCCCGGGCATGACGGGAATAACGACATGTAGCAAGCGGAGCATGTGACCAGCAACTTTCCTCTCTATGCATCCCCTTCCTTTCTCTTGCCACCTCTCTCTCGGCTTCTGCGGGCATCGCTGATCAGTGGGGGGGGGGGGGAGAACCACCTGCGTTGAAAAAAAGAGAGAGAGAAAAGCAAAAGAGGGGAGAAAGAACTCGGGGAGCTCATAGCCTTGAAGACAGCTTCTGGGGATGAGAAGGGAGCTGTGTGTGTGTGGTACATATATCAAAATGCTAAACTACGATAAAGGAGGTAGTATCGAATTTACACCGTTTACTTAAGCATACCCATACATAGCGGTAGACAAGTCCTCTACCACTTAGCTCTAGATACGCAGGACAGGTAAATATATATATATATACATATATATACAGGGAGGTCACTTCTCCGTTAACGGATGTGCTCGACAACATCTGGGGGGCCTAATCTGGGCAGCTAGACCTCAACCCTGAGGCGCCCATATTTCATGGGCAAGACACCTCGCCCTACGTCAAGTAACGCTGCGGCTGCGGCTGCGGTATCCGGATGACAGCAGACGACATGTGTTGTTGGTAGACCAATGGAGGGTGTTGCTAGTTTAGACGGAGCCTCGCCGCGAGAGGCATGAGGCCGACCTCAGTCGTCCTCAGAGGAGAGCACGCGGGCTAGACTCAACAAGCGTCAACCGCTATACTAGTGAGAGCCCGTGAAGGGTCCCGTAGGAAGCACCCTGCCGAGCTTTGCTAGCATATTCCACAGCCAGTAGATCCCCGGCAGCAGCAGAGTGTCATTCTCGGGAGATTCTAGGCGAACAATTGTCCAAACCGACCGCTGGATGCCTTACCCTCCCAGGTTGGACACGACGAAATCTATCACCTCTGGATGCCTTCCATCTGAGGAAAAGATGAATAGGGGACCTTCTCCCAAATCACGAAGATACCGGCATTTCAGATGTAATAGACCGACTAGTTTTCCGAATATCAGGTTAACGTTGCTGCCTTAACCCATTCCGACGATCTCCATGAGCAGCCGCCTTAACAACACCTTCTTTTCAAGCCTCTGCCAACTTTTTGTGTGAACCCGGCTCAACGTTTCCATCAGATTCCTGGCACTCAGGTAATTATTGGTGTTGCTTCCCGAGAACACCACCCAAGCAGATCTCCAATCTGGCCGCGCGCGGCGTCTTATGAGGCATGTCAGCTATATATATAATAGTGTCAGGATAGGATTGCTCGCTGGTTATGATCGCTGCGGCTTCTGACGAGACCTAAGGGAAACAACGCCCTGCCCCGCCGTTCTCCAAGCCGTTCATCAAGCGCCATTAGACGCTCGCCCCAGCACTCCGTGGTCGGGGCAACTCGAAGCCCCACGAATGCCACGCATTCTTGGTTCGGCACCGCTCCGATACAAAAATTAGCCCCATAGGGTTTCACCAACGCCTAGGAGGCGGAGATGAGGCGGAAGGTTAGTAGCAGTGAGGGCGGTTCAATGGTCTCCGGGGCAGATACAGGCGTATTCAATCAGGTTCCTGTTGTCGTCCATCTCGGCCACATACTAAGTAGCGGTTGCCGAATTAGAGGATGGCGTCCAGGGCGCGCCGGTCGCCCACGATATCCTGGGTTAGATATTGCGACGTGTAGCATCTTTGCGTTATGAGTCGTTGCGGTGCTTTGCATCCGGTATGGCTCCTGCGGCCGCCAACCCATACCGGCGTGCACAGGGACAGGATGTCCATCCGACAGGATAGACAGCCACCGGCGGCTGTTACCGCACGGGAGGTCTGGACGAAGTCACCAGATAAGAGAAGAGGAGAGCAAAGCTTCACCTCTCTTCCGGTTCGCAGGTGGCCATACGAGGTCGGAATACCTTTAGTGCAATGAAGACCTCCACACCTGCTGACCTGCAATGCAAGGTCCAGTCTATGATCTAGGGAAAGTGCCAATAGGTAGGTATGTGCCCATGTCGGATATCCGTGGGTGGATGGCTCTCAGGGGGTCATCCGCGGAACGCTTTCTTGTAAGTATTGCCCGTCCGTACCGGCTAAAATGATAGACGATGACCAATACCTAGATGCTTCATCCCATACCGGGACGAAGGAAAGGGTCCGATGAAGTCAGCGGCGAGGAGCTGTACCGTGATAAGCAGAGAGAAAGCTAGCGACTTTGCCGGACCTTAAGCTCTCCCGCAGCCTCAAATACTGGAAGAAGGCCGAACGCTAAAGCGTAGGTAGGTAGGTTGGTAGGTGGACACAGCCAGCACCCACGACAGGGTTCGACAGGGTTGCCATCTTCGTCCCCCTTTAGGTCGTAATGGCAACCGGTCGGGCGAAGAATCGCAGCCAGGGCGCGCTCGAGCCGCCGATGATTCCGTAGGCTGGCTGTTCTGGGTGTTGGGGGTGGGATTTCGCTTGATGTAAAGGTTGTGTAAGAAGAACGGAGGAATCTGGTTTGCGTTCAAGTATCAGATTAGGCATATCCTTGCGACCAAGACATGATTAGACCGTTCTGCATGCTTATGCCACGTTATTATACCACTTTACAGTTGGTTTGATGTGCCTATAGGGCAGACGCCTCCTCCAAGGTTGGCTTGTAGCGAATCAGGAGGCACGCACACTGAAGATAGGAACACGTCTACCTACATATACCCAGTAGACGCAATGCTGAACTCTTTATATACGCATGCATACATAGGTATACACATAGAGGTGTATGCTGTGTACCCAGTAGGCACCCCATACACATACCACAATACTGCCCTGAACCGTGTTTGGCGGCGGCAAGCGAAGAATTCAACCTCGGAAGCCGATGCGTGGCCGCGAGAGGCGGCCGTGTAAACATGAGAAAAGTAACTAAGCAGCGTCGTGTAGCAGAAGGGGCCGGCGGCGTGTTCGTTGGTGGGGGCGGGTTGTTGTCGTTTATGGCCGGGCGCTTTTGGTGTTGCTTTCGTATCCTCATATAGTAGGTACTTTCGTGCATAGAGGGTGTGATTCGCGGCGAGCAAGAAGACGGCGATGCGGATTTCCTCACGACATTATTTGGCAGCTTGCTTATACCTAAATTGCTTGGTCATGTGGATTGATTGGTTACAGGAGAGCGGCAGGCAGCGTACAACCTAAACGTACAACGCACATCGTAACATGGCTGCTGAGAGGACGTCTACTTGAGAAAGGGGGATAGATAACGGGACGAGCACTTAGGACGGTCGATGAAAGGGCACGTGATAGCGAGGTGGACGACGAGAAGATTAGACCATCTATGGCGTTTCTCGTTCCGATGGTACTACCAAGACTACGTAATGTGATGCTTGCCAACCTATGTATAATTCCTATGCTCCGCGTAAAATGCAACGCAACAGGGTATCAAGCAGCCTTTGCAGAACGCCTAACTGCCCATCCTGACCGGAACAAGAAAACAGAAAACAAACACGCAGGTGAGCCCGGTTGGAGCTGACCTCCATGCCTCATTTCGCCATGTCCTACAGCAGGAACACACTCTTTCCTGTCCCAGAGGGTCTGTCGACCTTCCATCAATCTTCCCATATCGTTTCCAGGTCGAGATCGCCGCGCCGCTCCGCGCCGCAAACACTCCAACGCTTGCGCTTGTCCCTCGACACAATACCCAGAGTCCTTCCGCGGATGGGCGCGTCCAAACCGCTGCGACCCTTGGACTCCCCCGAATCCGCGCCGTCGACGGCATCGGCCGCGGCCTTCAGCTGGGCGATCCTCTCGGCCTCCAAAGCCTCTTCCTCAGCGTCGGGAGAATCTGGGATGGTCTCAAGGCTGGAGATGCTAGGGCTGCGAGATCTCATCGAGGTCGGCGTCGATGGGATGGACGACGGCAGATAGTAGGAAGGAAAAGTGGAACTAGCTGATATGCCCTCGAACCGGTATGAAGGCGAGGTAGCTGTAGCCGGTGGAGTTCCGGGCACGGAAGAAGCAGCGCTTGACGTCGGGTACCCTGTAATTCGGAAAGGAGAAGAGGTCCGTCGATGGGTCTGGTTGTTGAAAGCCCCTATAACGGGGCTGGGGGGGCTTCCGAGCTCACCAGGTCCATCCAAAACCGAACTTCGCACCGGCGAGGTTGGAGGGTACGCGTCATCAGTTAGCTTTCGCGGCACTCGGTTCCGGCTGGGAGAGCCCGAAGGGCTGGCCGGGCTAACCGGACGAAGTAGCGGCGCGTAAATTATACGGCCTGAACCATCGACACCTGGCATGGACCGTGTACGACCGATGTTCGGTGGTGCGAGACTGGCGACCGACTTAGATCGAGTGTGGGCACCCGACAGGGGCGACGTAGTCCGAGGACGATACGGGAGAGGTGGGAGAGACGGCGCGGTGGTCCAGGACGGCGAACTCGGCATAGGAGGCTCGGTCGATCGGCGTAGGGCGGAGGGTTTACGGTCGAAGTCCAGGTCGCTGGTACCGATCGCGGGTGGTTGTTGCAGACGCAACCTAGGCAGAGGCGAGGACCGAAATTCCTCCATCCTCTCGGTCTCGGGAACGGGCTCCATTTCCGACGTGGTGTGACAGCGTAGGCGAGTCTACCTCGGCTTCGCTTTCATTGGCGTCTCGGCGTATCAACGGAAGCGGCACGGGGGACGGTCGAGAGGCGAGTGTGCAGAAAATGATACTCTGATAGGATGTCCGATTGCCCACTCTGAGGTACGACGGCAGAATGCAGGTCTCGGATGCGAGGAGGGCAGAAGGGCAGAAGGGCGAGACGACCCGAAGCTCTGCCTGTCCGAGGAGAGAGAGGAGAGGAATAAGGAGAGAGACAGAGAGAAGCGAGAGGAGAGTTGATGTGAGGCGAGGTTGTGACCGCAAGTTCGGACTGCGGTGGAACGGGGACAGGGTAGCGGAAAGCGTGAAATTGATGTTATGCGGGTCGTATGTCGTACCTACTGCCGAGTGTGTTCTGAAGCGTCCGAGCCCTCACAGTCGCCGGGGTTTGGTCGGTGGGTGAGACGTGTGCGCGCGTGTAGATATACACACATACATACACGACAATGTAGGTCCTACGTAGTACTATGTGTACTATGTATGCATGGATGGGCAATAATGGAGAGGGTCAACAGATGGGAAACCGGTGGGCGGACGAGGCGGTTGGAGAGCGCGGTGCTCGTGGTCATCCGCTAGCGGGCGAGCCCCTTAGTGAAGATATCGTGGGCGACACCTGGCAGTACGATACGTGGTTGGCAGGGTCCAATCCTGGGGGGGCCGGCTGGCTTGGGGGGGGGGGGCGGTAGGGGATTGCGGAGGCGCGAACAGCCAAACGAATGAAGACGCCGATCGGTACCTGGAGAGAGGGAGAGAGAGGCCCTAAATAGCGAGGAAGTGGAGGGTCCCGGCGTGGGAAGTTTTCCCTGGGTTTCCTGGCTGGAGACCCTACTCTGAACGGAGAGGGGATTTGCGGATGGGAGGGACGGGGTGGGTTGAGGACGACGAGAAATGATCGAGGACGACTGGTGGAGAGCTACCTAACCTGATGGATGTATGCACGTACGCATGTCACTACGTGTGCGAGCATGTATGTAGGTGAGAGAGCATGTAGGTACATATATGCACGTATGTGTGGTGCTACGTCCCCCGTGGGCTGTGGGAGGCTGCCCTCGGTAGAGGTGTGCACACCTTTCTGGGTGTAGATAGGTACCTAGGTATCTAAGGTACCTCTGTGTAGGTACACACCTGGGTACATGCCTACCTGGGCCCGTGGTACCGATGCGGTAGAGCGGCAGCGGCGGTGGTACGTGGGTAGCAGGTAACTGGCATGCATTAGGCACATGCGGTAGTTGGCTCCGTTGGATCAAACGTTGGATGGAACCTCGATTGGGGGGGGGAGGGGAACAAGGGGGATCATCTGCATTGGACGCGACCGGATTAGCTCCTACAGGCCCTGAAGCCTACCTGAGAAGATAAGCGTGCTCATCCAGGCGAATGCAATCCAACCATTGCCTGAGCGATGCTAAGCAAGGCACCTCTGCCTCTGCCGTCTCCGACACGCCGCCTCCTCATGCAAGACACTAAATTTACATGCCTACGTCAAAAGGGCATGTCAGGCACGGGCGTATCCTATAGGCGTGCTTAGGGCCTATTTACAGGGAGACAGGTACCTCAGCCAGGTTGAGGTAAGGGGGCACCTAAGCGACCTCGGGACTTGGGCACCGCATCGCATCACTCAATCACGTGTCGTCGATGGCGGGCTCTTGGCGGGCTTCTGGCCGGCTCTTGGCGACGCTGCGACACCCTATCGTTCTAGCAGCCAATGCCCATTCCTGGCAACGATTTCGCGTCGAGGTTAGGTAATGCGCATTCGCTTCCATGCGAACATTAGTGGAGTTCATGCACGGCTAATAAATCGGACTTTAAAGGGGGCGGGCTGGCTGGTGATGTCTTTTAAGGCATTAATATATTGTACTGCATACCCACCGCCGTACGCGCACCTCTTAATTGCATGCCTGGGTTGACAAGTGCCCGCATTCGGAGAAGGGCGGGGCGGGTGTAATGTTGCAGGTATATACTGTGTATATGTAGTAGGTGTGTAGTTGGCCCCCACGTCCGGCCACAGATTACTTAAGTACCTTAGGTACTCAGTAAATGTTGACGATCCACTCTAAGACACCACCTATCCTTCAGTTCAAAGTACCTCACCACACAAAGTCGGCATCGGAGGTACATGGTAGCAAATATCTGCTAAAATTAGGCTGTGCATAGGTACCTAGTACCGATCTTCCTAGGGACCTCACCTAGCGACCTCACCTAGCGACCTAGGTACTTCCTGAGAGACACACTGTTGACACCCGGTTGGCAGTCAATTTCGTCCCGCGTCCATGTACTATGGCACCCGTCCCAAGCGTGGAGGTACCTACATCCATAGCCTATCTACAGATACATTATAGGCACCTGAGGCATTGGTAATTTAACACCGTCTTTTTTTTTTCAACCAACGACCGTCAGCCCGACCCGGTCCATCACGATCGCTTCGTCAACCTCGTTATCCTTCCAATCTGGCAATCCTGTTCCTCTTCATAGACGACCTTGTCGGCCCCCTGCTGGCGAGCCGGTGCCAGGACGACCTCGCGCGAATCCGACCTTGACTCCCTCAATGGCCCGTGCTAATTCTTGATATTTTTTCTAAACTTAACTCCCGCCCGACGTCTTGCTCTGCACGCCGCCAACCTTCCTGGCGGTCCTGGTCCGGTAGATCCCATCTATCCACGATGGCGCGCCCTCTAGGGCCAGTCCGTCTGCGGAGGACAAACTACGTCACCCTATTCATCGGCGCCGTGCTATGCGTCTTCATCATTTACTTCCTCACTGCCTCGAGCTCGCAACCCAGTAGTGCAAGCCGGATCCCTACTCCTACCCGTAAGCCTACCTCGAAGTCGAGTCTCATCGCCGACCGCCCGCCCGTGCGACGCTTCAACCTCAACAACGTTACCATTACCGCCGACCCCATCGGGAACCGCGAGGCCGTCCTGATTCTCACGCCCATGGCCCGGTTCTACCAGGAATACTGGGACAATCTGCTGAAGCTACAATATCCCCACGACCTCATCACCCTCGGCTTCATCTTGCCGAAGAATAAGGAGGGAAATGCGGCGACGACCGCGCTGCAGGCCCAGATCACCAAGACGCAAAAGGGGTCCGTGAAGGACCGATTCCGAAGCGTCGTCATCGAGCGGCAGGACTTCGACCCTCCCCTGACATCGCAGGACGAGGGCGAGCGGCATAAGATGCAGAATCAGAAGGCCAGACGCGCGTCGATGTCCAGGGCACGGAACTCGCTACTCTTCACAACGCTCGGGGCTGACACCTCGTGGGTATTGTGGCTCGACTCCGACATTATCGAGACGCCGCCTACCCTGATTCAGGATCTTGCGGCCCACGACAAGCCCATTATCGCGCCGAACTGCTACCAGAGGTATACCGACCCCGAGACGGGAAAGCCGGCAGAGCGGCCGTACGACTTCAACAACTGGCAAGACAGCCCGACCGCGCAGGAGATCGCCGCGAAGATGGACCCCGATGATATTCTCCTCGAGGGCTACTCCGAGATGGCGACCTACCGGGCGCTGATGGCATACATGGTGGAGCAGGTGGAGCAGGTTCACCTCGAAGTGCCGTTGGACGGCGTCGGTGGCACCGCGTTATTAGTCAAGGCGGACGTCCACCGGGACGGTGCCATGTTCCCGCCCTTCCCCTTCTACCATCTAATCGAGACGGAGGGATTCGCGAGGATGGCGAAGAGGCTAGGCTGGCAAGCTACCGGGCTACCCAACTATAAGGTCTGTCGCCGCGTCACCGGACTGACACCGCTTCTCGGCGCGCTCAGGGGGGAGGTGGGCTAACATTGGGAATATAGGTCTACCATTATAACGAGTAGAGCGACGGAAACGGGGGCCAACACGCGACTCGACGCTTTCCATCGTTGTCCTAACGAGATATTGTAATCTGCTACGAGTATCGGACTATTATTGCATTCCAGGGACGAAGAGTTCGACCATTCCCTCCTCCCCCCCCCCTACAAACATACCGTATCATTTTCTACGAGCTAAGCAGCACGCACGCATCACGCCGAGACGCCTGCGGCCGACGTAAACTAGGGCGGGAGAAACGAAGAGGAGCCGAGACCTATGAGAATATAAGAAGTTCCAGTAGATATTATATTCATTGCCAACATCACGGGACGGGGCACGGGTCCTTTTTAAGGACGCGGCGCCGGGCCCGGGCTGGTGCCATTGGGGAAATGGAGGAGCGGAGGGGGTGTGTTCCTGCGACGGCAATATATACAAGGCGTTAGGCTGAACCAGCAACTCTCGGCATGCTGGATGGAAATTCACGGGGCTGAATCAACGGAGAAGGAGAAAGTATTTTTTTGGTCTACCCTTCCCGCCGTTCGTCTTCCCGAAAAATAAAGAGATCAAGAAGATGCGAGCTCGCAAACAAAAGCTCGCCTTATGTGGTCCGTCCTTTCCACGGCTAGGTCCCATTTACTTGCCCTATTTGATACGTGATATATGCTAGATACGTGATATATGCTATTTTGTCACCACGAGGTTTCAGCCCCGACTGGTCATCTATTAACCCCGCCGCTGGTTTCGTAGAATGCTATATATATGTGTGTGTGTGTGTCCGTGGAATCCGTCCGTCTGTACGGGTGCACATAGGTATTCAGACAGCCCCTTCTCCTCACCACATATGGACATAATACAGCCTATACACACCTCCCGTGCTCTTTCCCTCTTTCCCTTTGCTTCCTCTTCCTCCCCCCCCCCCCCCCCCCCTCTCTCTGTGCGTGTCTGTCTCCCCTGCTACCTACCCTCGTAGCGGCCGCCCTCGTCGCGGACCCAGAACTCGACGAGGCGGCGGGCGCCGAGGGCGTCGCCGCCGCGGAGGAGGGCGGCGACGTCGACGTTGAGGGGGCTGTCGGTCTCGGGGCAGGCGAGCAGCATGCGCACGGCGCGGACGCACTCGAGCACGCTGTAGGCCGGCGTCCACGCGTCCTTGAGCAGGTCGAGGCAGATCTCGCCGCCGCGCAGCGCCACGTTCGCGTGCACCACCGGCGTCCGGAACGCGATCCGTGGCGGCTGCAGCGGGTACGTCACCGGGATCGCGATGTCCAGGAGCCACCGGCCCTCTGCTCCCGCGCGTCGTCAGCGGGTTCCCCCGGGGAAGTGGTGTGTGCGTGTTGGGAAAGGGAGAGGCGGCGGGAAGGGGGGGGGGGGGGTGGGAATCAAGGGATGAGGGGGAGAGGGGGGGAAAGAGACGAACCGTCGTAGCCGAAGCCCACGCCCCGTCCGTTGATGACGGCCTCCCAGTGCAGCAGCTCGCCCTCGCTGACGGGCCCGAGCCGCTCGATGCCGGTCTCGGTCTCGCGCTCCTTCTCCCAGATTTTGAGCTCATGGAACAGGCGCTTCGCGGCGTTACGCGCGGACGACGCCGGCAGCGCGGAGGATCGGCTCGACATCCCAGATCGCGTGGGGGGGGGGGAGGGGGGCAGGTAGAGAGATTAGGTACGTAGGTTGGGACGTCGGCGTGTAGCCAGGCAAGCTCCTTTGCTGATCTCGCTTGGCCGCGGGTTATGGACGACACGGTGATAGCAGTCTATTAATACCAGCAGTAATGAAACGGGCGCAGGAGAGGAAGAAGAAAAGGAAACAAAAATAAAAATAAAAGCGACGGAGAAGGCAGAGAATGGAGAAAGAATGGTGGCAAGGTGCTGCTTCTTCAGCTCAGCTCCCTGGCCAGCTGCACTCGGGAGGTCCGAGGCGAGGTCGATCGAGTCGTGATAGGCTGGCTGCACAGAAGCAAGCGATTTGCTGGAAGCGAACAACCGACGCCTCGTTTCCGTTGGCTCGTTTGTGGGTTCGCGATGGGAGAGGACGGAAATCTGGCACGGTTGGTTGCCTCGGGGAATACCCGTGCAGAGACCAGCTGGATCGTTATATACCTAGGTATGTACCTACCTGGTATTTATAGGTAAGCCAAGATCATTGTAGTTGTCAGCCCGAGTCGTTGCTATGTTAGGTACATCTGAAAGCACCTTAGGTACCTGCCTCCTAAGGTACCTGTATCTAACATATACGAGCCGAGGCTCACGATAAATGCAATTCGATTAAACGAGATAGTATGGGTACGGGTATATGGGATGGGATCTAGTGGCCACGGCAACCTAACCGAGACAAATCATCACGTCTCGAGGCGCTCACGTACAGGACCTAATAAGACACCAAACTCGGCCCACAGCCGGGCCAAGCCGGGAACCGCGTGAAACAATCACCGTGTATCTGTATACATACATACCTCATATAAGCACATGCCTGCATCCAACGGGGACGCGTGGGTGGGATGTCGCCCCGTTGCTTTTTACTCTAACGCACGCCTCCCAGGAGACAGGACGGGACAGGACAGGACGAGGCGAAGGAGCAGAGTCTTCTATGGAGCAATAGTATTGTATGTTCGCTATTATTGTGTACACCTGAATGCCTTAAGTGGTTTCACCGTAATGAGCAAGCAACCTAGTCACACGTCATATAGCATCTGGTTTAACAGGTCGAGCTCCCTCGAACCCCTTCAGATCCCCTCCACCGTCATCCCCGTCATCCTCCTGCATCTTATGTTCAGAAATATCAGTGCCACCAACTCTTCGCCGATGAGAACTCTGCTGAGCAGCCTAGATGGCCGTCCACTTTCTTCCGTGCCCCCCCTAAGTTGGAAAAAAAAAAAGAGGTAAGAGTCTTGAAAAACGAGCCGTGGTCATGAAGTGGCTTGGAGCGCCGTCATGCTTTCGTAAAGAGAGAAAAGAAAGAGGTGGAGAGAATAAAGGAAAGGAGAGTGTGTGAGAGTGAGAGAGACTAAAACGTAATTGTGAGATGCGACAATCCCGTCATTTCGGGTTGTCCTAGTAGGCGCACGAGTAGGATGGGTGTGCTGTGCGAGCAATATCGTGATTTTGCACCTCAAGCACTTTGAGAGCAATCCTCTGATATGGGGTTGGTGTGTGTAGTGGGAATTGCGTCAAAACACGTAAAAATTCATCCAATCCGTCAACAATGGGCTAGGTTGGCAGCTGAATTGTGGCTGGCTGGCTTTCTGCTAGCCTGGTCGGGAAGTTGGTGTGCCTCCGATGCAGATACCGAGTGACGAGACGCCTAGGCGACCCCTTAAGACTCTGTCGGCTCCTTCGTCTTCCAAAACTGCATCATCCGGCTAAGGCGCTTAGATTTGCTAGGCTTAGTCTTCTTCTCCGGCTCGCTCTCGCAGGAAACCTCCATGCTGAGCTTACTTCGCTCGCCGTGGGCGCTGCTAATCAGCCTGCTAAGACTAGCCAGGCTCGATCTCCGACGGCCGAACGCAGAGGTGAATGAGGCAGGCCGTTGCTCGTGGAAGGGCATGTTCCTAGGCCGGACACTCGGCATAAACGTACTCTCCCTCGTCATGGTCGAGTTGCTACTCGTCAGAGAAGGGACGTCAACAGATACCCGCACCAATTCGGGCCCCGGCTCGCCCATTAATAGGGAGTGGTAATTGTTCTCATCGGCTATAGAAGATGGCGTAGTTGAGATTCGATGCGCATCGTATGACATGGGAGAACGGGGCGACGGAAAAGACGACGAATAACTCAGAGAGTATGGGGTACTGGGCACCGCAGAGGCCGCGGAAGTTGTCGCGGCATTTGCATCGATTGGGTCGGGTTCGTAGCCGCTTGGTATCCTACGGGGCGACGGCGCCGAGTCAGAAGCCTCGGAGAAGCTCGGAATCCTGCCATCGCGTTTGGGCGTGCCGTAGTTAGGTTCTTCTAGGATAACCTCTTCGTGGAGGCCACTAGCAGGATTTTCGGTCCTCATCCTAGATCCCGGTCGTTGCATGTCCAGACTTGAGCCACTGCCTTTTCGCTTGGCCGACGACATGTTTGATTGGCAATCGCTGTCATCATCCTTACTGGGCTCCGACTCTCTCGTTGGCGTCGAGGCGGCGCCATCATCAGAATTAGATGCCGAATCAACCTCGACAGAGGAATCATCTCGAGTGTCAGCGGTGGATTCTTCCGATGGAGCCGTCGCGCTCTGGTCAAGTTCGTCGTCCTCTTCGTCCTCCTCAAACACATCCGCCATAGTCGAGGAGCTGCCGAATCGGTGGATGCCGAATCGAGCGGCTTCGAAGGGAGGCATTTCTGGAGCACTCTCAGCACGGCGATGGTAGTGCATGCCAGGACCGCTGAAGCCCCTCATACCAGCGGCGCTGTGAAGCTGGCGCTTCGGGGTGGCGCCGGCTCTCTGCGCCTCGTCCCATTGAGGGTCACGGGAGGAAGGGGTGTTGAAAGGGCCGAGGGCGGCATCGAGATCGATCATGGGATAGTGGATATCTTCGTCGTAAATCCGGCTGGGTGTTGAGGGGGCCGAATCAGATGGAACAGGTGCGGTTACCAGAACCATTGGCGTAGTAGGTGGTCCCGAGATATCTAATGGACCTTGTTCTACCTCGTCGACCGGAAGTCCTTGTCGCATAGGAGGGGTTTGAGAACGGCGACGCACGGGTTTAGATTTCTGAGAACGCGACTTGGATTTCCGCGTCAGGATAGAGCCAGCCCATGACTTGACCTTCTTCTGCTTCTTTTTTCTCCCGGAAGACTTCTTGCTGTCGGTGCGAGACATCCCACCATTCATCTTTGGCCCGTCTTCTTGATCCGCGAATGCGTTTTCTAGGCTCAGCGCTTCCTCACTATCCCTAGGCGGACAAGAACCGACCGGCTTTGCTTTCGTAGGCGAGCCAGCACTTGCGAAAGGGTCTAGGCCGAAGAACGACCATTTCCTTGGCGTTTTTGCCGGGCTCGTGTTTATGGGGGATCCGGAACGGCTTTGAGGAAGGCCTATTAGCAGTGGGATAGAATTTCTTCGACGTGAGGATTCGGAATTTCCATCTAAGACCTGGAGGCTTAGGGTTCGTTCCAACACGGCACCTGCGGTGCTGGGACGCGACTCATTCTGTGCGCGCGGGACGGGGGATCCAACCCGGCTGGATGGGTCGCGGTCTGCAGGTGCCGGATTTGATGACATAACGGACGAAATACTCCCCGAGACTTTGTGGCCAGGTCGAACCGTCGTCGTACTCGACGTATCAGTTGAGATCAACGACAACGGGCGAGGGATGAACTCGAGGGTGTCGGAAAATCCGACTCGCGTCCGCACCGCCGACTTCGGTGACGGGCTGGATTCCACTGTGGCTGAGAACAGCACCTCCTGGGGGTCCTCCATGGGACTTGGCTCGGACGGGGTAGTTTCAACATTCGAGTCTGGAAATGTACGGAACTTGTCGTCGAATTCAACCGGGCTTGTGGGCGCGCTGCTGCCCCTCATCGCGGCTGGACTGGTCGGCTTTAATATCATCGTCAGATCGTGACTAGATATAGCCCCAGAGCGACGGTGGGCATGCCCTCGCCTGGGGTGGATGTCCGCAGGTGACAATTTGGGTGAGGCAAACCCGCTATCTGATCGGGTCGGACTCGAAGTCATTACCGTAATCGGCTCCCCACTCTTGGGCTTACCGCCAACAAACTCGCTCCCACCCCGTCGATGCCCATTGCGAATTGGCGACAGGCCCGGTGATTGGGGAGAGAGCGGTGGGCTAAGCAAGGAATTGTCGGGTCGAAGGGTCGCCCCCGGGTTGAACGAGAAATCCGGGAGCACCGAGGGCTTAGAATGTCGACGCGCAGTACCCGGACCAAAGCCGGCGGCTGGGTTAAAACTGAAATCCGGGAGAGCGGGCGACCGCGAGGGAGAGTTGCTCAACCCATCCCCAAAGGCCGGGGTTCGCCCAGGCAATTCTATAGCAGACTGGGGACGTCGACCAGCCACCCTGGAAGAGGAGAAAGCGATCGAAGACGAAGACGGGCGACCTGGGAACACGAAGGGGGGATTCGGTGGCGGGAAATTCGCTCGTGAAGAGGGCTGCGAGCTAGAAACAGTTGGCTGAGTAGTAGCGTCGTCATCCCCCTCAAACGTCGGAACTAGAACCTGAGCTGGCGAGACCTCATCCACTCCTCTCACCGCGATAGTCGCAGTCGGGCAACTAACAGCAAATGCGGCAGCCATCTTCCTTCGAGCCGCTCCGCGGCAGAGACCGGTCGACAAACTAGATACCACGAAATTTCATAGAGCGCCGTCCGAGTATCGCACCGGTCGGAAGGCGTCGGGGGCGCGAAAATTACTCGAACATTACAATCCGGTAATGCGCAAGGGCTATGTGGTGAGACGCTTGAGAAGAAGCGAGCAAGTCAGCTGCCGAAAGATGACGACGACTGAGGAAATGACGTTTGGACCACAGGGCCGCACAGGAGGAGCACACGACAAAGTCGTACCTAGTAAGCAGATGTCAGGCGAGACGATGGGTGGGTTTTTTTTTTATGGTCGGGAAGGTCGTCGAAGCGATAGGTATACGGACGATTCGGATCCTTATAGAGAGGCGGGTGCGAGAGGACCAAAAATAAGGCAGAGGCAGGTAGTTGAATCGAAAAAGAAGTTAGTTAAAGGAGCGGACGGTCAAGACCAGAGCAAATCATAAGGGAAGAAAAAAAAAAGAGAGATTTGCTACTGGAATTGAGCCAACACTTTGGGGGGGGGGGGGGGGGGCTGTTGAGGGGATTGAGGTGAAAGAGAGGTGAAGGAGGAGATTGAGGAGGTGACGGTTGGAGGAGGCAGACGAAGCCAGGGCGATGGGAAAGGCGAGAAGAAGGCCACTTCTGGGCCGTGCGGGAAACGGTAGGTTGGCGCTGTGTGCTCTGGCTGGGCAGGCTTTGTTATGGGTTTGTTACCTGTTGTACGTAATAAGTAATAAGGATCTTACCTAGCTTTAGCTGGCCTTGGCTGGACGCAACCAGGAGGGAAGAGGAGGATCATGTAGGTACCTCATACAGGCAGGTAGGAGATATGCACCTAATGTATGTATGAGCATGTAGGTAGGTAGGTATTATGTACACACCTGCACCACATGAGGTCGGCAGCGGACACAGGGGTTGGAGGCATGCCTTGGGTACATGTACATATAGGCGTGGCCTTTCCGATAACGTCCCCCAAGCAGCTAAAATGGGCGAGTAAGTACATGCATTAGGCGTGGTACGTAGGGTTTGGTGGTGGCGGGTTGCCCTGCTTACCGCTACCTTATCTGTATCCTACCTAAGGCTACAAAGGCTACCTGCCCTAAAGACGGTCGAACGGCCATTCTAAGTCGTGGTGGATGGTCCCGTAAGGAGGTGAAATCGTAGACCTAAGCCCTATGCTACCTACCTACGTGTGTACCTTACCTTCCTTCACAGTACACGTAGTACATACACCACACTATTCATACCTACGTCGCAGCAATACCCAGGTGCAGCAAAGCCAGTCTTGCATGTTCCCTCCAGCCGTATAGAAGGCCGAAGACCCAGCAGAAGAAGGCAATGTCCTGGCCTCCGTATCCGGGAGAACCTTGCCCATCGCTACTCGCGTCCTAGACACGGTAGACGTATGTGTGCGGTAAATGTGGCAGACAGTAGGGTTAAACCCGGGGCTCTATCCGGCTCTAGCAACGTAGATAGAGCTACCTACCTACGGTCCACTACGGCCCATCGCATTAGGTATTGGAGCGCCATCTAAGGCGAGTACTGACTCAATCCCGTCTCCGTAGGAACCGGCAAACTCAGGCTGCTAACCAACCAGCCGAGCCAAGCTGTATTGGTTTGAGCGGCCCGAGTCAAGGAGTTTGGCAGTGAGTAGAGGGAGAGGGAGAGGGAAAGGAAGAGGAACCCGGCCGTCGAACGATGGAAAGACAATAACCACACACACACACTTACTTACGACTCGTACGTGCGTCCACACACACCACGTAGGAAAAAAAAATAGACATACGTGCATACCGTGTCGGGAGGGACTGGAGCAGCGTGTATGTGCATACCTACCTCCTATCTACACTCGTAACACTAACACTACATATGATACGCACGGGGGTGATATGCAGCACACGATCTGCGGTCACACCGAAAGGCCAGTCTTCCTTTTTCTCCCTCCGGGGACCCTGCAGAAACATCGAGCCCGCGGACTGTGTCGGAATACGGTAGACTCTAGACCTACCTACCGCTATTTATTTATATATAGGTATTTACGGATACCTCCAGGCAGGGGGTATATAAGTACCTCATATACCTACGTGGGAGGCAGGTATGCATATTAAGTATGTGGTCGGTAACAGCAGACCGTGACGAGGCGTCGGGAAGTCAGAGGATGGAACGATATATGCGCGTACTTACCTACCTGGCTGCCTACCTACCTACCTAGACCTACAGACGTAGCCATACATACATACGTAGGCAGGTCGACGCACGCGCTGCGTATAGGATGTTGGACATGTGTCAACTACCCAGGTTAACGTACGTGACTTGCCCCAAAAGCGTAGAGGCTTTCGTTTCGTTTCTATGCACGTTGCGCATGCAGACTTTGAATGTTCGAAACCTCCTATTCCGAGTGGCGGATAGCCTCATGACCACGACTGCCTGCGGCCGTCGCGACGTGAGGCTCGTGCAAGGTATGACGACGACACCCCCGTGAAGCTTGGGCAGAGGGGAAACGCTACGATTGGGACCGTTCTAATCGTGAATCGGTGGTCGGGATACTATACGGTACCTCATGGAGGCCGGTGATGTTGATAAACAACCCTATAAGATGCGGATGCCGATTCGTGATTGCGATGCGCATACCGCCTATTCTACTTGTGCTCAGAGGCAAGCACAGTATATACCTACCGTGTAGTGCAGTCACAAGGTTGACAGGTTTCCTTCTCTTCCTCCTCCTCCCATCCTCCTGCTCCCTGGGTGAGTAACAGCCAGAGTAACAGCCAGAGGCGGTGTTTGATATGTATCCTTAGTGGCTGAATTATTCTCCGCGACCCCCGTTCATCGGATCGTTCAATCAGACGGGTGGAAACGAAACATCCTTGAGGGTCAAGAGGGACGTTTCGTCCTCAGTGGCGGGCGGTTGCTGGTAAATCCCCTGACGAGCATCTTCCGTAGGAACAGAAGATTGGATGGGACGTGTATGTATGCACTTCAATACCCTGGAAATTACCTAGTATGCACCTACGTGTACACGCATACATACCCGTTGCTTATGCTCCAACTGTAGGTATGTACAGCAGGTACCTACATATACATAACATCCATATTACGCCCCGGGAAGAGGTTCGGAGTCGATCCACGCAGGGCTCCTATAATACCAGGCATCCCACATCAGGTACGATTGTTGGTGATCGTTAATCTTGTCTGCGAAACATTTCATCAAATCAACATCGCCGAACCGTCAACGGAACGAAGCGCTAAGAGCATATGTATGCATCGCTGCTACATTGCGCCGTAATACATGCCGTGGTATACATATACGTGTGGCGCCAGCGATTACGACGAGACAAGAACGACCTAACGACGCAGCGGGACACACGGGGGCCTGTACGGCGAAGAGCATCGCATCGCCTCCCACGCAGATCTCGCAAGGTCGGGTAACATAGTGCCTTCTAGCGTAGAAGCAATGCGTCTGGTCTTGGCCGAAGCCACACATAACACGCACATATATCACATACGTCGTAGCATATTACACGTACATGCCTCGCGCCGCTGCAGCCCGCAAGCCCGTCAGCAGCCGTCGCATCTGCTTTCGTCGCCCCCCAGCCAACCAACCCGGGTTCGGTGTGCTCAGATAACTGTGCATGAGGCTGTGGATACGCTGCCGGATAAAGAGTAGTCGATCTCGCCGCCAGGCCGCAGGACCTTCTGCCTACCTACCTCCTACTAACCTAGGTACCTACTATAGCGGTTCTTCTATCTATTATATCTTTTCCTGCCTACGTTATTTCGTGATTGGCGCTTCGTCTCCATCGAGAGACGGGCAGGCCATCGGAACGGGCTGAAAGAGTCCTCCATTTCCATTTCCAGGTTGCTTTATTCGTGTGTTTACTTGTTCCTTTCTTTGTTCCTAAAATGAATCTTCTTCTCTCCCATCCTCTCCCTTCCCCCCACCATTCTTTTCCAACAACGTAGCTGTGTAACCAGAGAAGGGCCAGTGCCGTCCTAACGGGTACAGGCGAAGTCCCGTTACCCCAGCGTGTACCGAAACAAAGCTGAAAGCGATCAGTGGTCGGTCAGCCGGCAAAAAATTCTTCAGTCGTCATCTCCGAGGCTGTCTAAGAATATCACGGGCAAGCGGGCGAGCAATTAAACCCGCGCCTCAAGCCGGGTTCAGGGCGGGCTACCAAATTGGGTGCCACCTGGCAATCGGTTTGAGTTAGGTGCGAAAATGAGGTGCGAAAGCGACCAAACAGGGTGACGATAGCAGGTACGATATAGCCGACTTGCTATACTATAGGAGAGCAGTACCTACTGCTACTATTGTCACCAAATACCACTCTCCATAAAGTCGCAATACCACACACACACACACACACTCTCTCTCTCTCTCTCTCTCTCTCTTCATAGTATGTACGTACTTATGGTGCCAGCCGTCGCCGATCCAGGTTACCTCTCCTCGCTCCCCCACGATTACCATTCTGAATACGGGACGCGGAGCGCTGTCTAGCGAGGGATAGCCTGGACGTAGGATCCTTGGCTCGGGTGGGTTTTCGGTCCCTTCGGGGTCAAGTGATAACTGACGGACAGGGCCTGCCTGATTTAATGAATCCTTTTGCGGAGAGATCCTTGCCCTGTTAATATCGAGGACATGAGGGCCAAACCTACACGTACGTACTCTACACATATCGCATTACTTAGTTCCGCCCCCCTTCATTATCTACCTTTTAGCGATAATTTCAGGATCGTGTTTAGAGTGTTGGTATGTGTGTAATGTATGTGTTCGTTTATATTCGCACCCACATCTACGTACTGGTATGATGTATTAGTCTACGACCAAGATGGTGGCCTCGTTTCCATTACAAATCTACACTCGGTGTTCCGAATTATCCAGGGATGTGCCGAAGCGCATGCTATGCTAGCTCATCGTGTTCGGTGCGTGTGAAGCGCAGAACGTCTTCCACGCGCTTGAAGCTGCTACATAACATCTCAGGGTGATGAGGATGCATGCATACCTACCTAGGTAGGTACCTACCTCGCATATGTGGGTGTGCACATAGACGAGATGGCCGGATTCCCATTTATGTATAGGGGGCAGCTGGAGCTAGGTACGTGATTTGAATTTGAACACAGAGGCATATTATAATGTGGTTGTGTGTGTGTAGGTAAATAGGTACCTCTTGTGGCCATCTAAGGAACGGGTGAACAGTTGATTGAATTGCAGTTATCTACGTGGCCTTTTGTAGCCGTTTTACGTGCCTTTTATATCCCGAT